ATAAACTATCCTATAAAACGAATTAAACCTATCCTAAATCTTATTGCCTAATTATAATAGAAGTGGTTTTTTAAGGTAGACATAGCTAATAGATATTAGGCGGTGCCTCTTGCTTTAGAATATACCTATAAAACTATATTTCTATCGGTTCTAGGATAATATTACTACTTAAGAATAGGTTAGGGGTTAACTAAGGCACTAAGGATATATTCTCGTTTAAAGGATTTGTTTACGGGCCTAATTCCTGCTCTATTCGCTAAGCCTAGACTAAATAGGGAGACTTACGCCTTTAAATACTTCTAGGATAATAATATTAGAGCTTTCGAGACATTTACGGACCAGATTCAGTTTCTATATAAGCGGTATTTCCCTCGACTTATTTAGGCTAGATTAACACTTAATCCGAAGAAGACCTATTTCTGTGTACGACGTACTACTATTCTAGGTTATAAGAGAACTATCTTAGGGATATATTCTTTTATAAATAAGCTACGAGCCTTATTAATATAGCCCGTACTAATATCTAAACCCAAATTAATAAGATTTATCTACTCTCTGCCGTTCTTAAAGGTGTATATTCCTAGACATATAGATATAGTTATTATTCTTAAGGAGGCTATCGTTTTAGTCGGGAAGGGGACCACTCGACGAATTATCGACTTTATATAAATAAGATAATAATAGAGAGTCTTTAATCGTATTAAGGTATTCTTTTCTAAGATTATACTATTAGGAGGAGACCCTTATCTATAGTATTATTTAGCTACTAATACTTTAAATATTAGACTCAGAGGGGTACTCTTTTAGATACGAAATTAGCTTATTAGTATATATAGTTCCCGAGAGATAGCTAGTAATAAGATAATTATAATATTTATATTATTCGCGTTAACTGGAGCAGAGACTCGGTACTATACTACTAAGAAGGAGGCTTTTACTATATTAAAGTGTGCAGAGGAGACTCGATAGCTTATAGCTAGAGCTAACCACCTAATTATTCTCTATACGGACTATATTACCCTTAAGACTGTGTTAGGAGCTAATTCAGATATAACTAACAGAATTATACGATAGAACTACTTCTTATAGGAGTTTAGATTCTCTATTTAATATATTCCTAGGAAAATATAGGTTATCGCCGATAGCCTTTTAAGGCTTATACACTAAATAATCTCAGAGGAAGTTAATAAGGATAGATTTAATATCCCGATAATACTTATAAAGGTTTATGCGATAGAAGAAGGCGAGCTAGATTTTTAAACTAAACCGTAATAGTAAACAGATTTATTTAGTTATTATTAAGATAATCTATAGTATTATAATATCGTTAATTAGCTATTAAAATATAACTATAACCTAATAGACTATAGATACTATCTTATTATAAAGGATAGGATAGGTTTTCTTATATATAGGGAAAAGAAGGGAAACTTTTCCGAATATATCCGATCTAACTAGGTCCGTAAGGCTTTATTTAAACTATATAATATTTATAGGCATTATACGACGAGGATTACCCTAGGGCGGGCCTTAGGTAAATATTTCTGGCTATCGCGGTATTATAATATTAAGCGTTACTATTAATCTTGCGCTTAATACTAATTAATCGGGCTATATATCCTAAAAGAATCTCTATATTCGATCTCTATAACAGAACTAATAGCTATATTTATAATTGACTTTATTAGACTATTTAACCCTCCTTTAATAGAAGGCCACCGATATATTATAGTTAGATATAATTATATAAGCCAATTTACGTTTGCTAAACCTATATTCGTTAATATAGCCTAGGTTACAGTAAAATTTATAGAATTAGACGTCGCGATCTTCGTCGGATAGCCCGCAGTTATTTATAGTAATAATAGCAGTTATTTTACTAGGAAGGACTTTACGGACCTTCTTTAAATATATAGTATTTAATATATATTAGCTAGAGTTCGCGTACCTTAGTCAGTCGGCCTCGCTAAATAACTCGTGATATAAGTCCTTTAAATCCTAAGAGCTATTACTATATCCTATTTACTAGGCTCAGAGCGTTAGAATCTGTTTATTAATATTATAATATAGGCTATTAATTCTCGTAAGCTATTAGCCTATAGATTTAGCCTTACCTAGATATTAATAGGGTTTTAGCTAAACTATCTTAGTCCTTCTCCCTTTAATAAATAGATATTAGGGGATATCCTTTATTAAGAGTTAGAGCTTAGGAACCCTAACTAGGTCGACCTCTTATAGAGTTCTAAGGTCTATATTCACTAACTAGATTATATCCGGTCCGTTATATTATAATTATCGCTTAGTAAAAGCGTTAGCGAAATTAAAAAGGGGAATCAGCGAACTATAGCTATAGGAGACCTAGTATTACTTTATAAATCTATCTTAGACTAAGTAAAAGGCCGTAAGCTTAAGACTTAATAGTCTAGCCTATATATAGTTACGAAAGTACTAAGGAATTATCGATTAGTAAAGCTAGCAGACTTATTATCCGGATTATTTATAGGGAAGTATCACCTTAACTATATTAAATAATTTATACTATATTTATTTTAGTCTATAGATAAAGTACGAGCAGTAGCTACGTTAAATAAATTATAGCAAAAAGTCCTTAGAGAAGCTATTAGATAAGTAAAAAAGATAACAATTATAAAGAGTGGCACTAAATAGGAACGTTCTTATATAACTAACGTATAATTTTAAAATATAAATCTAATTATATTATAAATATTAATACGATTATATCCTTTACTTTTAGTAATAGAGGGACCTAATTATTTCTTCTTTTATTCTACTTAATAACGGTATATATATTACTTCCTTACTTATCCTATTTACCTTTCTTTATTTACTATCACTTTATATATTCCCTTTATTAAGTTTATTTATATTCTGTTACTCTCGAATATAGATAATAAAGACCTATACCCCCGCTTACCTTTATCTTTAGATAATTTATTTAGTTCTTTCGTAAATTAGGATTATAATCCTAAGCGCCCTTAACCTATAGTCCTATTATCTGAAGTTAAAGTAATAGTCTTATCTTTAACTTATATTATAGATACTTAATCTTAATACGACACTTTAAACGAGCTTACTGACCTTATTAGCCTTACTACTAATAAGTTAATATTAACTGCGGCCGTCGCTAAGGTTACTGCTAATATAATAGAACGACTTACGATTCCTAATAACACTATAATAATAGATAAGAATAATAGGGATATATAGGAAGATCTAAAGAAACCTATAACTAAGGATAACTTACCTACTATAGTGAAACCTTAGGATATAGTAATGGCTAAGCCTAAGTTAGATCCTACTACACAGAATACGTTTAGCTCCTTAATAAAGTTATTTAGACTTTAACCCCGCTAAGTGCCTGCCCCTATTAAGAATAATAATACGATTAAGACTCTATTATTATAGCTAATAGACCCTACTCTGATTACTATCACTTAATACTCGCGAAGTTAAGTTTTTACTATAGAGACTACTATATTAGAGGAGTTATAGGCTATAAGTGGAGAGGACTAGGCGAAAGTTAAATTAATAGATACCTAGCTCTTAGAAGTTATTCCCTAAACCTCGCGTATTAGAGAGACTTTTAAGAAACACTTTAGCGCGTTAACTGCTTATATTTTTACTAAATATCGTTATTTATTAGAGACCACTATAATAGTTAAGAATATTATTTAATCTCGCTTCGATCTTAGTATTAAGAAGTTAAACTAACGAGGGTATATAATTACTAAGACCGCTAAAGAATATCTAAAGACTCTTATAGTCAGTAGTAATCTATGCCTATATAATCAGAAAGGCACACCGAATACCTAAGGGATATCTAAAAAGTTTGCGACTCCTAATAGAGTAAATACTATAAAAGCGTAAACTAAGGCGCTAATACTAGTTATTTAGTCTACTAAGGAGATCCTTAATAGATTCTAAGATAGCTCTCGTAATCTTAAAGAGCGTATAGCTAGGGCTATATAAGAAGGTTAAGAGATATAGAAGAGATCTACTACTACTCTCTGTACTAAAGCTATTAACTTAACTATTAAGGTCGCCGCACTATAGCAGAGGATCGACTGTATCTAAATATAACTTACCGCTTATATAAATAGATTAAACTCTATTATTGCTAAGTATAGAATTATATCGGAACGCTTTATAGTTAACTCTAAAGCTAAAGATAACGACGGAGATATTAGGAATCTAGAGCCTCCTAATAAGCGACGTAAGCTAAACTAGCGTAAGACAGTAAGGGTAGATAGCTCTGGCTCTGGCTCTAGAAATATACTTAACCTAGGCCGTAATAGATCTCCCAATAATTATATAGCCGTAGCATAAATTATCTGTAGGTAACGATAATCGGGACTAGCGAGGGAAAGTAGAAATTGCGATCTATATTCTCGAGATAGAAATTATATTATAACTCCTTTTACTTATTAACTACGATTATATCCCTTTACGTTTTGCCTGTGCTATCTTATACTAGAGTGCCCTAATAGGCAAAATTTCTTATGAAATTATGGCTCGGGCCCTAGTGTCGGGACAGAAAATACTATAGGTATTTTATATAGTTATTACGCTTGTTACGGCCCACTTTGGATATTGCCCACTTAGGCGGTGAAGAGTCCGGGAGAAATATGCCTAACAGCACTTAGTCTAATAATTATCCTTACCAGTTTCAAGACATACAATACAACTTGTTTACAGACCACTTTCAAGCCTCCCAAACAGGACGGTAAAGTATTGAACAGTCTTTCCTTGGCGTCACCAGCTTACGGAAGGCAGGATCTCGGGCATTCTCCGCTTTCCATCATCGCCATTATTTCGCGGCTCTATCCAATCCCTTTGGCAATCGACTCACACCTGCTTTGATCCAGAGTGGGCCCTATTTAGGTTTCGGCTTTTGCCTTTAAAAAGTGGGATTGAAGATTTCATCCAGTTATTCTCTTTCACTAACAACGACACTGTACTGTCACCTGTATACCGTTGAACTAAATCACTTTATCCAAAGACCCATTCCCGGTAGCAACAACATTCACATGGGTGACACTATCAGTACCGGATCCTTCAATATTATCTTCAATGTCACCCTTATCACCATAATGCGCGCATCGCTCAATGGCTTCAAGTGAATGGCCTTTCGTTTCGGGAATCAACAACGTGACCAAGGCATTGAGCAGCATGACACCCGAGAACAAGCCGAGAACACCTTCCAGAGAAATAGCTTCCACGACGGTTCCAAAAGCAAACGAGGTAAGAATGGCACCACATTTTCCCGCGGCCGCGGAGATACCATGTGCTGTGCCACGCACACGGGTGGGAAATACTTCGGCGGGAATGAGGAATGTCGTACAATTCGGTCCGACGGTGAGCATGAACTGAGAGATGGTGAAAATAACCATGAGGCCAGCCGTGGAGGTATGTGCACTTGGCGTGCTAATGCCGGCCCAAATTGCATAGAGAATACAAACAGCGATACAAGCGTAGAATTGCTGGCGAGTGCGGCCGATACGGTCGGGCAGGAAGATGCCGACGTAGAATCCGGGGAGGTATCCCTTGATCATTTATTAGAATGGCGGACAACGATGTGATAAAGAGACTTCTGGAGACTTACCGCGACTTGAACGATGATGTTACCCACAGCGGTATTGTACAATGTTTGATAAGGTGTCGCACCCTTGGCGTATCCAATCTTGCCCAGGATGATGCTCTGGTTGAGGTTGATTCCGTAGTAGGCAATATCACTAAACCTGTCAGTTGTGACATCGAGATTCTGTCGTTATGGATGCTCACAAGAGGAACCAGGAAGCGGCCGTCGCGAAGAGGACCTTTGCGTGTTTCCACTGGCTGAAATGATCACGGAAGTCTTTCCACTGTTTGGCGAACCCGCGCTTCTGTCCATCCGCCTCGTCGCATACGTCTGCTCGGGGTCAGATCAATTCAAGATGAAGGTTGTAAGAGATCTCACATTGCTTGTAGGGTTGAGTTTCCGTAATGGTCAGTCGCGCGTAGAGGGTAAATGCAGCCGGGACAATCCCAATGCCCAGCAAGAGTCGCCAGACCCATTCCAGATGAGCCTGGTTATCTGCGATAGAGCCCTCAAAGGCTTTGAGCAGAATGAGAAACACAATACCAGCGGCAATGTTTCCAAGGCCAATATTCGCGAAGACGGCCAGCACCTGCTTTGCTCGGGATCCAAAGGGCGATCTTTCCGCGGACAGAGAAGAGGAGAGGGGGTAGTCTTCAAAGGATTAGAAGATGAAATCCGTGAATCCATTTACGTATTACTTACCGGCACCAATTCCTACACCTGTCACGACTCGGAATACTGCTATCCATGCAGTCACTGAGTGAGTACTCATTCCTTTCCATGGTAAGAGAATGACCATCAGGGTTCCAAAGATTGTGAGAAGCAATTCTTTCCCATAGATGGTATGACGACCCAAGACATCACTGAGTACACCGAAGAGAAGCTGGCCAACGACCATTCCCAGACTAAGGCCACCTTTGATGATATCACTGGAGACAGCCGGGACCTTGCCGTTTTCGTAGTAGAGGTATCCCAAGATCGGGACCACTGCTGGCCATTAGCCTCCTTCTTCGAGAGATGGAAATTGCTCACATACCGAGTCCAATTGTCAAGTTGAGATATCCATCGGCAAAGAACCCAACTCCTGCAGTGATCAAAAATCGAATCTTGGCCCCCAGAGAAGCCATTGGAAATGTCAAGAGTGCAATGAAAAAAAATGGGAATATTTAAAAACAAGTGATATTCGGGCGATTTTGTGATTCAATGTCTGCACAGTGATGCACCCTGATTTTTTCAGGTATAGCGGAGTTTGCAACGGCGCTTTATACACAATCGCCACGCTGTCGAGGGGACGAGGCGTCGTTTCGCGGGAGGAAAGTCGGCACCAACGCCGCGACAACGTGTGAACGGCAATGTCAAGTCGCGGTGGCCGAGATCTTGAGTCTAAAGTCGCGGGTATGCAATGAGGAAGATGAAGATCACCACGTTGTGGCAATGCACGGGCCCGCGCTTCCGTTGCCGCGAGGCGACCGACGGCGGGCCACTGTGGAGACGCGCGCTGGCCACTCCCGTCCCCACGTGCACTCGGCCTGTCTCCGCCGTCGGATTATATCTTCGGTGCGAAGTCCTGTGGCATATTGCGGACCTGGACCTGGAGGATCTCAAGGGCTAGACCTTAGTCTCAACGGGCGTTTTGAGCTCAACCTGATTAGCTCGGCTTGAGAGAGGGTCGGCAGATGCAGAGGGCTAGTCCCAGACTCGGATCTAAGTATCAACAAGCGTGAACGGCCCCCCGTGCCTGGGTTATGGTGATTTCGAGAGATGGATGTATCGCTACCGTCACCGCCGGCAGTGAGTGCCTTGCGCGAGTCGTTCGGTGATCGCAAGCCGCCGGACATTACGCGGAAGATCACTGCGTGTGTAGCGTGTCGCAAACAAAAGGTATGTTCCGATCCGCATCCGTGAGAATCCCCGCTAAGATCGATTAGATCAAATGTCATATGCGAGAAGGCCAGGCACCCTGTTCTCGGTGTAAAAAGCGAGGTCTACCATGTACGGTCAACAGAAGTCTACAGACATTACTAGAGGAAGATGTGACGTGAGTGATTGCTATGTGTGACGAAGCATGCGCCGTGACTCACCCAAGATAGATGGAGAGGAGCTGTCTCTCTCAAGATCAAGAGCCTTGAAGATGCAATCTCAAAGATCGCAAGAAAAGTGGACATGCCCGAGCTACAGAGACAATCAGAAGAGCCCCCAACGTCTCCGAGTCCACTGGTGGTGGAACTGGCCAATGCAGAGCCTATGCAAACCAGCCCAGAATCTCAGAGAGCAGACACCCGAGAGACAACCCAAGCCTGGGAAGTGGTCATGGACCCTCGAGGGGGCCCTGGTTCCATACCAGCCTCCTGTGTCTCTAAAAGTATTCGAGCAGGGCAACCTAGTAGCTTGCCAATTTCACGCCACCCAGATTTAGTATCAACTGGATTGATTACGTTACGACAAGCATCCGCATTGTTTGACACATATCATCTACGATTGGATCACTTTCTCTATCGCATTCTGGGAGATCATATCAGCCTCAACTCAGTACGTGTGGCTTCGCCACTATTGACAGCGGCGATTTGCACGGTCGGCGCTCTCCATTCGCCGTCTTTGGGCGATCTGTTTGAGACATGTTATGCCGAATACAAAGGGCTCGTTGCGACTCAGATGTTTTCAAGAACGGCCAACGAGGACGATATTCGGGGGCTATGTATTGGAGCATTCTGGCTTCATGAATTATCATGGGCTTTGATTGGAAACGGTATGTGAACATCTGTTCTCACACCGGGAACCCTACTAATGACAATGACAATAGCTGTGCGGGTCGCATCCGACATCAACCTTCACAGTGGAATTTACAAAGCCTTGAAGGGTGACCGGGAGGGTTATATTCAAGCCCGACTCTACTACCTAGTTTATGTCTGCGACCACCACTTCTCGATCGCATATGGCCGGCCCCCAATGTCCCGTGAAGGCTTCATCATCGACTCGGCCAGCCGCCTTCTAGAAACCGAACATGCGACAGAAGACGACGCCAGGTTGATTAGTCAAGTGAAAGAGTGGTCCGTACTGGGCCAAGTTTTCGATACATTCGGTGTGGATGTTGAAACAGCCATCACGCCCCAAATAATACCCCAACTCCGCCGATACTCCATCGCCCTGGACACATGGTGTGCGGACTGGCATGAGAGCTTCCAAGAAAACCAGCAAGTTGGAAATTATCCTGCCAAGGGCGTGGGCTTTCATTTCCAATTCGCGAAGCTCTACCTTTGTTCGCACGCATTCCGCGGTATCCCCGCCGCAGAGAACGCGGTTCAATATTTTACTCCTGAATTGGAAGAGATCGCCAACGCGGGCGTTTTATCAGCCATGTCGATTTTGCGTGTGATTGTCTCCGATGATGAATTCCGCACCTTCCTGAACGGGCTTCCGTTGTACTTTGACACGATGCTGGCCTTCGCGGTAGTATTCCTACTCAAAGTTGCGACAAAGTATGCCACGGTCATTCGAATCGACACAACCAAGATCTTCTCCCTTGTTACACAGACGGTCGCTGCTCTTCGAGAGATCACACAGATCATGCATCGACAACATTTACTCGTTGTCATTGCTGAGGGTTTAGATAAGCTATTGTCAATATGCCAGATCCAGGGTCAAGCCACCCAACAATCGGTCTACCAGCTTTCCCCAGCACTAGATCATCATATTCAACTCGACATGGCCTGGATGGAAAACATGGCAAGCTTTGATTTTCAAACTAATTTCCCCGACGTGGTGGATGACTGGTGGCTTCACTATAATACATCGATGGGAACTGCCGCGCGTCCGATGGGTCCATCAGGTTAGACAAATATCATAATGATCAATTGCTGATCAATTGAGCACAAGATCAAAGACGTCGTAGTTCCTCCACTGTTTTGCTGGGGCTGCATTTGCGGGTAGCCGAGGTTTCGAAATGATCACGGGAATGTCCTGCTCGCTGAGACCGCCGTGAGATCGCAAGGGATGGTCTTTCACGTTGGAAAGATCATGATCGGCTTTTTTGCTTCCAATCACGGCGTGGGACTTGGAAATTACCACAATGTCGCCTTCACGATCAAGGGGCATTTCATATTTCCTTGCTGCATCTTCTCCAGTGAGAGCTTCCTCCACTTCGGGAAGAGCACAGCAATGCGAAAGCATAGGCTGTAGCTGCGTGGGATCTTTCAGATAGACGCGTACAAATGAGCCAAGTGCCCCATGGTGTCTGACAAAGGGATCGGTGATGGGACAAATGACCCGCGATGCATCGGCACCGAATTTCTCGTTGAGAGCTTCCTCAAGAAACAGGACATTAGGCTCTCCGGCCTCGCTCGACTTTTGACTCATGCCGTGGTCGCCAGTGACGCCCACTACGGACGCCAAATCGACAAGTCTTCCCAGCCGCTCGTCAATCGCACCCATGAAGTCATCAGCCTCTTTGCTGCCAGGTGCATACTTGTGCTGGATGTAGTCGGACAAAGTCAAATAAAGAAAGTCCGACCTCTTCTCCTGCAGCAGCTTGATACCCGCATCCAGCACGAACAATGACAATGTCCCGGAATACTGGCTTGGAGCAGGTTGGCCAAGCCACTTTTCGACATCAGCGATGCCGTTTTCCTCAAGGGAACATCCAGCCGCGCGCTCTGCAGAGAAGCAGATAGCACCGCTATTCAGACCATGGGCAAGAATCTTGCGCAGCTTGTCTTTGGCAGTGATAGCGGCAACACGAACACCTCGTAGGTGCATCTGCTCGAGCAACGTAGACCCTCTGAGCAAAGAGTCATCCGTAATCATCTTTTCTTCGCCGGTCTCGCGATCAAGGAAGAAGTTCCCTGCGATTCCATGAACCGAGGGAGGGGCACCGGTGATGATCGAGACGTTGTTGGGGTTGGTGAAAGAGGGCATGCAGCTTTTTGCTGTGGCGTGAAATCCGTTGTCGACCAGTTTCTTCAAGTTGGGTAGAAGACCTCTTTCAAAGCCCGAGTCCAGATACTCGGGGTCGAAACCGTCAATGCAAACTACCACAGTTGGTTCGGTTGGCGTGCGATATTCTTTCGAGTGCAAGCTGAACTTGGACCGGGATTCTGCAGGTCGTGTCAGTATAAGTCCAAAATTCAGATACTTTTTTTTGGGCTTACTCAGAAGGCATTCGTATGCCATCTCTTCATACACCTCCAGCGGAGGCACAGTCACATCCGGGTCCTTGGCCAAGTCGTCCCATCGTCTCACAGACAATTTAGCTCCGAGCCATGGGTCTTTCTGTGCCTCGACAACTTCTTCTTCAGTAAAACCTCCACCCTGTTTGCCATGAGCGTCAGTATTGCGTTTTTCAGGGAACAGAAATAAGTCATACCTGGAAACGCAAAGTGCGTTTACTAGTCTCACTTAGATCATCATGGTAGTTTTTATCCGTAGCAACCAGATACCGCTTTGCCATGACATGCGCGCCAACCAGTTGACACACTCTTTCGCTGAATCCAATGGATCGCAAATAAGACTCGCCCAGAACCTCATGGCTCTGTCGGCCCACATATTGACCTTCCGGGCTAATCATCTTTGCCATCTTTTCAGCAGCTGGAATAAAGCGTCCGACATCATGCAGTAGAGCGGCTAGAATGACTTCAGCATCTTGGCCGTACTCGGCGGACTCGGTTGCCAGGTGGGCACATTGCAGTGAATGCTCGAGCTGGGTTACTCGTTCACCGAGGTAGTCACCTTGGCCCTGAGCATGGAGAAATGCAAAAAGTGACTTGATTGCCTCTCGAGTACTTTCTCGCACAGACTCAAGTGGTTGTCCATTTTGAACGACTTGCATCTTGAGATTCATAGTCACAATTTGATCACTGGGAGTTCAATGATAGTTTGGACAAAAAGATGAGTTTTAATATGGTAGTTCTTTCGGTGTTCACGAGTATCTACATCTGTTCTAATAGAGGGTCAGCAATTTGAGCTCAAGGCAAGAAGTCCGTCGTCCCGCTCTTCTTACCCACGTGCACGGCGCAACACGATGACTCCGCCCGAGTTCCACTTCGATCTTCGTCCGCGCAGATTTCCGGCACGAAGCCCGACGGCCCGTGCGTGATCTCTGAATCGGCACTGGATCGAGTGAATGAAGGAATGGAGTCACTCGGGAAAGATGGAGCTCGGCAAAAGACATTGTAACGGATTCTCAAGCTTTGGCAGGCGAAGAGGGGTCCTGAATTCTATGGCTTGTGGGGTTGAGGTCAAAGAGAGACCGCGGCGACCGAAGAGATATATTTAATAGCAGCGCCCTCCTCTTAACTCAATACAATTTTCACATCACTTTCGTTTTTACTTCATAGAACCACTATGATGAGTCCCCTCACCCCCGAACAAGTGGCCTCGTACCATAAAGATGGCTTCCTTCTTCTGCGCGCAAACGAACACAAGCTTGTGGACCCTGTCGCCCTGAAGCAATGGACCGAAGAAATCCAAGCCTGGCCTCGCGTCAAGGGCAAGTGGATGCCATACGACGAGATCAACATCAACGGGGAGCGCCAACTCATGCGCACCGAGCGCTTCATCGATTTCCACCCTCAGTACAAGGATCTCGTGTGCGGCGAGAAACTAGCCCAGATCCTCAAGGCCGTGTCGGGCGACGTAAGTCAACGTCCCATTTCAATACCGAACTGGGTTTTAACGAAGATAACCAGGACATGCTCCTTTTCAAAGACAAAATCAACTACAAGCAACCCCACGGAAACGGTTTCCAAGCCCACCTCGACGCCCCAGCCTACGACCACATCGGGCGCATCGAGCACGTAACAGCAAACATCGCCATCGACGCCGCGACCATCGAGAATGGTTGTCTGGAAGTCGTGCCCGGCTCGCACAAGATGGAAATCGAATTCGCTGCGCACGGACGCATCAATCCCGAATGGGAAGCCCGGCATGAATGGATCTCCATCCCGCTTGAAGCAGGCGATATGCTTATTTTCGGTTCGCATCTCGCGCACAGATCCGCTGAGAACAAAACCGAGAAGAGCCGGTCGAGCCTTTACGCCACGTTCCATTCTAAGAAAGATGGGCTGGATTTGCGGGAGAAGTACTACAAGCATCGGATGGAGAATTTCCCGCCTGAGCACGAGAGAGTGGAGGGGAAGGATTATTCGGCGGGATATAGGACGTATGGTTTTGCGGCGCCTTTTACGCCTAAGGATCAGAATGTTTCACAGATCCCAGCTGTCATTGCCGGACAGGTATGAGTTAGGGTCGATTCTAGTTCCAAGGAAAGTGGTTTCATACTCGGTGTTTCCCATAACTTAAATTTCCACAGTTCTTCAAAAAAATGAAATCTCAAAATCACCTGCTTTGCTAGCTACCTGAATATGCGTTCAATACCATGCATTTGTTCGTTATTTGTACAATTTTCTATACACGGGGAGGTGTCATGCTCGCAAAGACCCCTTTCGGCATTGCCATGACCGCGGTCAACATGATCAACGTCGCTAGCAGAGTCAGGATGAGGATGGTATGGCGGATCACAGGTGAATCCTTCAGCCAGCCTCCTTTAACGGCAGTCCGGTGAGACGAGGGGGTATCAAGTAGTGGTTTTTGGGTTGGCGATTTGTGGTCACTATTCTGCTCGTGCGAAGCGTTGGGCGATAGCTCCTTGACGGTTTCAGTTGTTTGATTTTTTGTCCCCTGAACATTTCCTTTGCTGTCCGACATCTCGTCACAATGTTCAGCTGAATCGACCGTCACATACTCCGGAGGCGTATCCGACTCTCCCAGTGGAGGTGATTCAGGAGCACTTCCGAGTTCCAAAAGTAGGTTCGCAATTTCCTCGTGTTTATAATATCTGGCGGATGTGAAAAGGGTGACCCCATATGCATTCTTCCGCCAAACTTCGGCGCCTGCGGCTATCAAGCGCCGAACCGCCTTTTCGTTTCCATACGCGACGGATAGCTCGAGCAAGAGGTTTAGTGATGAGCGCTTTTTGGGTAAGGTGACCCCACGCTCCACCAACATGGCGCTCATTTTCTGCCTATACGATAATGCCGTGGTCAATGGCGATTCATCCCATTGGTCTTTGGTTTCAAACTCGGCACCAGCATCCAACAGGACCCCTGCTACTTCGACGCTATTGTTCAAGGTAGTCAGATGGAATGGGGTCCGCCCGTAATGATTGGGAAGGTTCAAGTTTGCACCATGTTCAATGAGAAGGCGTGCGATGTCGGGGTTATTGCGTGTGGCGCTGTAATGAAGGGCTGAATCACCAATATCCGGATCTTGAGCGTTGATCTCTTCCGGTGATGCTGTAATGAGTCGACTTTTGAGCTCATCAATTGACTCAGAACTTGCAAGTGACCAGATAGCCAGGGGAGTGTTCACGGACATCTCAGTATCTGTGCGCCTTGGGGATTGAATGGTTGAGCCGGTGGCGGTGCGTTCTGGAAGTGGACCGAGGATGTCTCGCGCCTCTCTGTTCTGTATCTTTGCTCGTCGAGCTTCTCGTAACATATCAACGAGTGTTGTGTGGTTCATCTCACGAGCTACATAAATTGGTGTTCGACCATAATTGTCTCTGATGGTTGGGTCGCCTCCATACTCTAATAGTGTTCGAACAGTCAACATGGATCCGTTCCGCGCTGCATCGTGCAGCGTCGTCTTGCCGTTGACATCTTGCATGTTGACATCCAATGTCTCGTCGAATCTGAGAAGAATGTCAAGGACTTCATGTTGGCCATTCACTGCGGCAGAATGGAGCATGCCGCGCTTGAAAACATCGGTGTGGTGCACATTCGCTCCGCGCGCTAGTAGCAACTCAACGACAGCAACTTGATTGTAATCGATGGCTCGGTTAAGCGCAGTACCGAGTGATCCAACCTGCATGACCTCAGTATCCGCACCTTTGTCGAGGAGGATTTCCACCACTCGGCGGTATCCATCTTCGGCGGCCAAAACAAGCGCCGTTGATCCGCCATGGTCTTGGCGATTGATGTCAATGTCAGGATGCGTGAGAAGAGCCTCCACGGACTCTGGTTCATCGTATGAAGCCGCGACCATCAGCGCAGTTAGTCCACTCTCTTCGCACCCTTTGTTGATCTCTAGTCGCGGAATCGGCAGGAACGCCTTGACAATGCCAATGTATCCATTCAACGCAGCTACCATTAGCGGTGTGTATTGATACACTGTGAGGTTGACCTCAGTCGCATCTTGTCGAAGGAGCAGCTGGACCAGTTGCTCGTAATCATGGTAGGCGGCACCGTAGAGGGGCGTACCGCCGACGTTGTCCACCGAGTTGACGTTAGCTCCAGCCTTGATCAAGGTCTCGGCGACATCGACAACTCCACGTACGCAAGCGAGCGCGAGGGGTGTGACCCCATTGACGTCACGGGTGTCAGGGTCAATTCCACTCTCGAGCAATTCCATCACCAATCTGTTCAATCCGAGATGTGTGGCCATGTGCAAGGGGGTGCTGCCGTCCTTCCCAGCCCAGCTCGTTGAGTCCTCAGTATCCACGTACCACAGTGCTTGTGACACAGCTGCGAAGTATGCTGGATCCATCAAGAGCTTACGCGCTGAATTGAAGAAATCATCTCGTGGTGTTTTCAGAAGATGCTTGCCCCAGAACGTAGCTGCGTATTTGAGGAACGGATATTGCTCTAATCGAGTATCAAAGTCGGCCGATTCAGATGGCCCAGTACAAGGTCCTTGCCGAAAAGGATCAAACTGAAGGTAGGTCAGACACGTTGAAGTCAATTTTACACTTCCATCTGGAAACCATTTTTCATGGTACTTGGAGAAAAAGTTCTTTGCCGAGAAGTGTACCAGGCGAACGCAGTCTGACTCGTCGAATCTGACAATGCCCTCACACATAGAAGCAAGCACGAGCGCTCGAATCACATTGTCCGGGTCAATATCGTGATCGTTGGGCGAGACAGCAAGAGCGTGTTCGATCTCATGGATCTCTAAGGGGCGTTCGGCGAAGACCACCCAGCGGAGGAACTCCATCGCGACTTCCTTGCGGCTCGACGGTAAGTCATTGATGCGCATCATTGCCTCGTTGTAGGTGTCGTCCAGCTCTTTAGGAAGGACTTTGAGAGCCTCTTTGACTTCGCCAGGTCGCATTTTGGATGCGAGAGTATCCATATTGAACTTTGCCAGCAGGAACATTCCGCCATTCTCTCTGACAACTGTATCCACGATGTCTTCTATCAACACTGCTTTACTTTCGACGCAGCGCTGAAGAAATTCCGATGAGCCGATACGCCATTTCACGTAGGTGAGCAAATCTTCTTCCATCGCAGCAATGTCAATGATGGCACCGTTGAATTGCTTGACCATAACGTGACCTTGGTGCTTGCATCGCCCCCCTTTCTGAAAGCACGGTTCGCACAGATCAAAGCTGAGATAGTCCTCTTCATCATATTCATCACACTCACTGCAATGGAACTGATACCGCTGGCCGCCTTTCCCACAAATTTTACAGTAGATGCCTCTTTCCAGAAGGGCAAAATACCTTGTGATGCTGTCGATGGGGCGCGAAGTTACCATCAAGTTGATCTTTGTTTTCAATGAAGTCAAAGTTTCCAGAAGAACGAGCCTGCTTCTCTTCCCTTAGCTCATCGAGACCATCGACAACAATGAAAGTCTTTGGAAAACGACCTAGCTCCGCGTTGAGAACTGTCAAGTACTCCTCCCGACCGGGACTTGTATCGGCCTTGCTGTGTTTGGAGAACATATTGGTTGTCTCTTCTGAAACAAGCCCATAGCGCTGAGCGACTTGTTTGACCAAGCTGGCGAGGAGACAGTCGACCGACTGGGACTGAGAATCGTCCCACTTACAATAAAGCATCAGGATCGCCGAGTCCTTGACACCCCCTTTATCACTGAGCCGCAGCCTGTCGAGTTCATTGATCACAATAGATGACAAGAACGTCTTGCCAGCACCTGGAATGCCCGGACAGAAGAGCACTGCGTTCTCGCTTTCCTTCCATTCGCGAAAGTCTTCACAGCCTAGAAACCACTTGCACGATCCTTCGTGATGATCCTTGAAGAATTGGCTTTGCCTTGCGACAAAGTTCAGCGGCGATACCCAGTCAATCATCGCCTTTAAACGCCCTTCATCAATGACTGCCTTCACAGCCTGGCCATCGCGGTGAATCTCGCGCGTCAGAGATAAGTTCGACTGATCCAGCATCACATGCAAGGTCTGCTGCATACGTCCCATCCGCTCAATAAATTGAACAACATCCGGCTTCGCCAAAGGCCACCCCAGAGTTTGCCCAATATGCCGCAAACTTACGCGCGACGACCGCGGCGTCAGCTTCTTCTCCACATCGTCCACCAGACCTTTCATCTCTTTCACCAGACCATCCGACTCGAGCAAGGTCTTCAGTTGCGGCGGAAAATTCGCCTCATCCAGAACATTCCCATCAGGAGCCAGTTGCGCCTGCACAGCTGTAATAGTAATCCACAACCCCGTCAACTCCTGCAACAGCTGTAGGCGTTCTTTCCCTCCCGCGCCGATCGTGCCCAGAATCCCGATAATCTGGAATGCAGCCGTCGCCACGCCGGCAATACTAGCCGCCAGACTCAAGGGATCCATATTTTTGAATGAAGTCGAACCATGGAACAGAAGCTGTCAGGGACCCGAAAAACACAAATAGGGTCTCCATGCTGTGCGTGACCTGGGGCCAGCCTGCTTCTTCTGCGAGGCATGGGGGCGAAATGCAGGAGGCATTCTCGTCGAGCCAATCACTACCTGACAATCCACCGATAGTCTCTTCATGGACACGGGCTGACCATCTCGTTCTTAGGCCGTGGGGCGTGGCGTGTTTGCGGCCCAATGGATGCGGGCCGCTTGCCGCAGTAAGCTGGGAGAGGCCCGACAATACGAGGGTTCTCGGGCAGGGTGGAGATGTTCAATTCTCAGAGCTGACTTCACTAAATTTGGGCTTAGTTACGATTTCAACAGTCTTCATATATCAGGAGCCGACAGGGAACATTCATACAAATAAGTTAGAATAGGTGGCACCTCCACTTTGGCGGGGTAACTTCAGCAGATTATCATGAACAAGGTCGAAAGTAATTCAAAGTGATTCTTCAAATTTCCATTGTACGGCATCAGCTAGCGACTCCGGCGGGCTATGGCGACTATAGGAATAGCACCAATACGACCGCAACCAGACAGGGCGGAGTCCGAAATGCAGTTGACGGCTAGTGATCCTGAGAATACACCCAGGTCCGACGTGAATGCCTTTGAGGACATACCACCCAATGGCGGCTATGGCTGGGTCTGTACAGTATGTTCCTTCATGATCATCACTCAAACGTGGGGAGTGAGCAGCGCCTGGGGAGTCATTCTATCCCACTATACCTCACACTCTACCTTCCCCGGTGCACGCCGAATCGATTACGCCTTTATCGGCGGCTTGATCATTTCAGTCGCCCTCCTCATCGGCCCGATTGTCTCCATGTCCCAAAAGGTGCTCGGAACCAGAATTACTTTGTTAATAGGCACCGCGTGTCAATTTGCCGGTCTCTTCGGCGCCGCTTATGCTACTGAGATCTGGCACCTGTTCCTCACACAGGGCATGTGTTGTGGTCTCAGGGATTGGCTTTCTATACATCACGATCATATCTACGCTTCCAGCGTGGTTCTCTACTCGACGGAGCTTGGCTATGGGACTCGCCGGGTCGGGCTCTGGTATTGGGGGTATAGTGTACAACCTTGCTGCCAGCCGTGCTATTGAGTCTGTTGGTGTGCGGAAGACGTATAAGATCTTAGCTTTCAGCGCATTGGGAGCCAATATCGTCTCATCATTGTTAATGAAGAGCCGCGACAAGCCTCAAACTACCCGAAAGGAGAGAACACTCGATTGCCGCGATCTCGCCCGCCCAGAAATCCTGCTCATGATGCTTTGGGGCATCGCCACGGAATTCGGATACATCGCGTTGTGGTATTCACTTCCCAGTTACGCTGTATCAATTGGCCTGAGTGCACAACAGGGAGCTGTAGCAGGCGCAATTTTGAACTTGGGATTGACGATCGGTCGACCCATCGTGGGCTACGTCAGTGACGTGTTTGGGCGGATTACCGTTTCCACCATTGTCACTGCGGTGTGTGGCCTACTATGTCTCGCGATTTGGATTCCTGCAAAATCGTACGCGGTGCTGTTGCTATTTGCGCTTACCGCAGGATCCGTTTGTGGGAATTTCTGGGGAACCATCACCCCTGTCGTGGCCGAGGTGGTTGGATTAAATAGATTGTCCACGACGTTTACCTTGATCTGCTTGGTATTGGTGATCCCGACTACCTTTGCTGAGCCTATCGCGCTTGGGCTTGTGAAAGGTTCCAGTTATCTTCACACACAGGTGTTTGTAGGGGGTATGTTCTTCCTTGCTTCAGTTAGTCTGTGGATACTTCGGTCTCTGAAGCTCTATGAGGTGGAGAAGAAGGCAGCAGATGAGCGACGTGGGCTTACTATTTATGATTTGTCTACCTTTCCGGGATTTGTCCGTTGGATTGGGCTACGAAAGATGTTCATCTACGCTCGAGTCTGACTTATCGTTGTTCATGTTTCCCGTCTTCACACTTTACGACTCGTTCGGATTCTACGTTGAGAGCTGTACGGCACTAGCTTGGTTTAATGATGAAATGAAACTTTTTGAGAATCATGACCACATATCAAGACGCTGGCCGATCAATCCGATACAAAACCTCAGCAGGATGTAAATACGCCTCATACTCCACCTCCTCTCCATCCATAACATCGTAATGATAATGCCCTCCTTTCCTCCCTCCTTCGGCATCAAAACAATGCGTGTGTTCCATTCTCAGCCCCAGTCCCTCGGGGTCAGCACTATGCATGACAGTCAAACAGACCACAGGAGCTTCAAAAACATGATAAGTGAGCCACTCATTCTCCAGTTCAGCCCGGTCTCGGAATGGTAGCTTATCTGGCGCAGGAAAATCAGGCATAATGTGAAATTTGGCTTTTCCTGATTTCAATAAGAATGCACCGCCTAGGCTGATTGGGTTCTTGTCCCCGTAAACCGCATGTAGGCCTAGCCGGATGCAATTGGTAAAGTTCAGTTCTCCGATCCGTCCTCGGGCGGTTACTTTCAGGACTGGTCCGGTTTGTCCATTCGATCCGTAGAGGTTCATCATGAGGGCGCAGTTTGTGCCCGAGAGGGGTTCGCATGATGGGGAACCATCCTGGTCCACTTGAATAACTCGAGTCATGTTATTTATCGTCAGAGAACTAGGTTCTTCGAATTTTGGTAACTCCACGTTCGATTTCCAGGATATATTGGGTGCCAGCTCGGCATTGTGCCCAAGGTCGTGAAACGGGGCGGCCCCGGCACCGAGAAGGAATCCTTCTGCCGGGGACATTTGCATATCTCTCGCTAACGCGAGAAGACAGTATTTTGCTTGAAAATTAGGAGATGGAAATAGATTTGGTTGTCCGCCGATATCTGCTATGCATGGGCTGCCTGAAAGACCCGGGGCAGCGAGATTGAAGGGCGGCTGGCGCAGGTCTGGACATTGCGCGACGCTCGCACTTGCATGGGCGAAATTGGTCTCTAAAGATTTCTGGATCACTTCTGCTAGTTCTTCCAACGCGGGGTTATCCCGAGGGTGATTGGTGATATTCATGTTGAAATTGAGTGGTTCAGCGCGCACTTAGGTCGGACTGACCGAGTGATTGTAAATTCTAAGTGCGGGGTGGGCGCAATGGCGGTTTCCCTCGTTGATGTCCTTGTTCATTTGATTGCTCATATCTCACTACTTACAATCTACGAATTACTCTCTATGTTCATCTTCGACTCAAATATTATTCTCACAATAAGCTCCTCGTGTCGACCCTTGATAATGTACAGTGCATACATATCTTCCGCATCGCAGTAAGGGGTACCCAGTTCTATGGGCACTAATGGGACTTTCCACCTAGGTGCAGCTCACATGCAAAGAAAACTTTCCACACTTGAACCGCGCACGACTTCGGTTGACAAAGCTGGCACGGGTACCTGGTAATGCAGTCAGTGGCTACGCTCATTGGAAGCCACAGGCTAGAAAAGATCAGACTCGAAGATCATAGTCAATTACTGGAAATTGACATTGGTATTGGAGACAAGACCTAACTAGTTACCTATACAGCCACGAATAAGGTGACATGTTCATCACATGGAAATTTTCATAGATTTCCCTCGTACCTCGACCCATATCATTCGCATATCCTCATTATTCAAATCGAACCGTCTCCTCATAAGATCATAAAAAAAACAAAAAAAAAAGTTTAGAAAACCCCCCCAAAAGATACGTAGAGAAAGAAAGAAAACAAGACCCATCCCATACAGTCCCTATTTTAGACCACATAAGAAGGTCGTCTACTCGAGCTGCGATGACGGTGCGAACTCGAGTGTCCCCGACGACTAGAGTGGCTACGTCGGCGCAGTCTTCTTCTCGACGACGACGCGTTCCCGTTCCCGTTCCCTAGTATGCAAGAACAGTGCGAGGAAAGCAGTCCAGATGAAGAAGACCGTCTCCATAATCCCCATAGCAAAGCAAGCCTTCAGCATCGCACAGTTCTTGTTCACGTCCAGCTCAAGCGGGTTATTTGTCTGCTCGCCGTACTCGCCGAACGGGCCCAGAGAAATCCAGACACTGCCGCCGGACCAGTGAGCGCAGTCTGCGTTGGCGATGAAGCGCAGCTCATAGACGCCGGCAATGAATGCGCCGAAGAAAAGCATGTCGACGAATGCGACGAAGATTGCAGAGCGCTTTGTCGTGCTGAAGCGGATTAAGGTGTCGATAGCCCAGAAGACGGCAAGGACACTGGTGATGAATAGGACGAGGATGTAAGCTGGGGTGAGCATGTTGGCTTTCAGGTAGCCGTTGACGAAGTAGGCCTATATGGTGTTAGGTTTTTCCAAGGCTGCGTGATTATGGAGTATAGAGGGAAGATAAGCCTACCATCATGCCGATGATGGGAATCAGGAAAATGATCTCCACGATCCGATTCAAAATGAAGAATAGACTGCCAATCATGATGACGGTAGGCGACAGAGTTTAGAGACTCGATCTGAAGAATGCGCGCGAGATGCGATGGGGGGATTCAGAAATCAGCCGTCAGATGCGCTGTAGACCGGAAAGTCAAGCTACACCGTGCGCGCGGAAGGATTGCGATCGCAGCGTATGCAGATGCATGCACCGGGGGTCAAAAGAGAGGAATGCAGAAGAAAGAAGGAGGGAAATAGAACAAAGATAAAGACGGTGCCGTCATCTTGCGCTGAGGGGCCGTGAGAGGGAGGCTGGACCTGTCAGCTCTGTTCTTGACGGTGGCTGGGGCAACGGACTTGTTCCTCCATGTCCGATCGGTCAAGGCCGGGCACGGATTGGCCGCAGATGAGACTGGCGGATGCCCCGCCATCTCTTTAATCAACGTCTCGCATTTGATTTGATTCTTGATCTCCGTCTCGGGGGGTTTTGTAGTTGGGTGTCGGAATGGCAACCATGTGGGTCTCTGTCCGGATTTCCTCAAGTAGGGCTTCTAGTACAATGCTTTTTATTAGACACCACATCAATGTGATGAACGCGAATTGCCCACGTCATAAAGAACATTGGCATTTAATGCCCAAACGCTGATTAATAATTATCATACACGCCATCATCATGCGACGGTTTCTAAAGCAGAGAGGTCATCCAACTGTAGCGCGAAATGGATGCAGTGTACCAAACACCCAATAACAATCGCTCGCCTACACATTCCCAACCGCCACATCAGTCAACTGTCGCCCCCGGTCGGTTGGACTCACAACCACATTCGGGCGATGCACATCCGTTGACGGTACTGGCCTTGGGGAAGCGTATGCTGTATTCGTCTCAAAAGAAGGGGAGTAACCCCTAGCCGCAGGGTTCGCAGTCGTCGCATAACCCTGCTGCATCTCATAACCATTCGCGACGTCATCCTCACTAGAAGACCAGTTCCCATCGGGGTCATGGTCATGTGAGCGACGGGGATACGCTGCAGGCGCATAGGGGTTCTCGCCGTACCCCGTCGTTCCGGAAGCTGATATATTCGGGGACGCTAGACTGTGACGCAGATCTGGAGGATTTAGTCGATCTGCCTCGGGGTTGCGCAGTGGTGTTGTGATGCTTTCGCTTTCCGAGTCGAGTTTCCCGTGCACGGGATGCGTAGGCTGTGAGCCCCAGGTTCGGATCGGGTATGCACGCCCCTTGCGCCATGCTTCGGAGAGTGGAGGGAAGTATTGATGGTAGGACACAATGGCGCAGGCAACGCCTAGTAGCGAGCCGGTAATGACGTCGAAGGGGTGGTGGCGGGCGTCCATGATGCGAGACACGGCAACGAGCGTCGCTGCAAGGATCGGGATCATGACGAGGAGGGTCTTCCAGGTCTCGCCGCGGTTGTCCATAATATGGAGTTTTCCACCTAGCCACATCGAGGTATAGAACAGTCCGGCGAAAGAGGCTAGTGGGAGCTTCGAATTAGTCTTGCCCTGTGTCGCCTCCAATGCTAACAGGGATACTCACAGCTGCTATGACCAGACGGCCATGATCGGAACCCATCTTTGATCAATGCCGCCTCGCCGGTACAAATCGTGGAATTTGACAAGCCGTATGGCGACAGGTCGTGACTTCCAGCTCGCGGCTGACAGCGATCAATGATGTCAGGTCGAGGCTTGCCGCAGGCATTCTTGAGGACTTGTGTGATAACAAAAGCGAGACCCTGCGATAGGAGCAGCCCCAGGATACCGCAGTTCATCTCCCAAAGGCGATCCTTCCAGCGCCAGGGGCCACGCAGCTTGCGCTTCCCAGAGGCCGGGTCCGTTGGCTTGTGGTGGGAGAAAATGCCATCCAGAAATAGAGTATAAATGATAATCAGCGCGAGGGAAAGAGGCCGGAGATGCAGAGGGCGTATTGAATCGGGATGCGCTCCTGGACGGCGTAGGGATATTGGAGGGAGATGTTGTTTAGAGAAAAGTGCTGGTGGTAAGGTTCAATTGAGTCGAGGATCCAGAATCCGATGACACAGGCACTATAATCTATCAGAATGAGCCATTGGGCTACTTGGTCCTAGCTTATACTTGCATTAGGATCACGTAGTCGAAGATGTAGCTAGACGAACATTAGTATAGTTCCAGCACATTCCGCGGGGAAATCACACTCACGAAAGGACAACACGCGGCCGTAGCCGGCGCTTGGAGAACGGCAATTTACCTGGGATCTCCATAGCTTGAACCGACGAAGGGAACGACAAAAAAAAAGGAAAGGGTTAAGAACAGTCAAGAATGAAAAGAATGAAGATGCCTGGTCGCGTGTGCACCTGCTAAAAGAACCGCGATCGACCGATGGCGCAGCGCCTTGGCGGAGGGCGTTTTTCCTCATCAATTCGACGTGTCCTTTGACTCTTGGGCTCTTTGACCCCAGTCCCTTCATCCTTTAGTCTTTATTATTTCGCGAATCAGAGCTGCCGAGTCTGTCACTGGAGCATGTCTCCGCGTCGGAGAGTGGGGGCCTAGGACGGGTTTCACTTTCTCAGCATGGTGCAGGAGGCTAATTGCAGGCCGAGACCCTGGGTAAGGATCTCCAGGTGCAACCTCGATACAGGGTGCAGTACAACTCGTGCATTGGGGAATCGAAACGTGCCTAATGCTGGGCATGTCATTTGGTAGGTGGACTGGGGATTGTGGGTTGTTGTGCGAGCCGCTGCAGTGATCCACTGTGTCTAGGCTCCATCATTCGTGTACGAGCTACCTCCGTGGTGCAACAAGCCACACGAAACTACGGTGAGGACCATTGAGACGGAATGAAAGTATGGTATACAAGGTATATCAAAGGAATGGATTGTACTAATACAGCACGAGAAAAGCCGACTGCAGATCCGTATGCAGATTGACATGTCCGGATCACACAGTCCGTCAGAAAAGCCATAGCACATCAACATCACACATTAAAAACATCACAACACATAATTACCACAGTCGTCTGGGTATACAATTTTAAGTGCCTAGAGGTCCAGAAATGACACTACTAATTCAGCAGCTGGTGATGAACAGACCAAGAGGAGAGGGGTTCCAGTCCTCGAAGAAGTTGAGGTTGGTGCTGCCAGCGTTCTTCATCTCGTAGGCAATGGCATCGCCAGCGGGGCAGGCGAAAGTGGTTAGCACATAGGAGTTGCCGGGCGAGATGGTAAGGGAGCCCAAGTCCTGAGCAACCGAGGGGGCGTTGCTGTAATCGGTGGACTCGGTGGCAACAGAGGACAGCTTGGAGATGTCAATCTTGCCGTCACCACTGAAACTGTAGGAGGAGGTCTCGAGGTCGGCCTTCTTGGGGAAGAGGAAGACCAGGCTGCAGGTCTTGTCGCTGTAGTAGGCAGGGATATCAAAGTTGAAGATGGTCGAGATGGTCGAGGACACGGTGCCGTTGTATGAGGTACCGGCAGCAGTGGTGGGCGCGGACGAGTCGATGGGGATGATCAGGTGAGGGTACTGGTAGTTACCGGAGGTCAAGGTGGTAGGGCAGTGGCCGCCAGCGGAGGAAGTGAGAGAGGGGGCACTCGAGGCAGAGGTAGCGGCGACACTGCTCATAGTCGAGGGCCGAGCGGCATTGCTCGAGGATTGCATGCCACCGGCAGAGGCAGAAGGAGCAGGGGCAGCGCTCGAGGAGAATTGAACTCCAGCGGGAACGGAAGGCCGGACGTTGCTAGCAGGAGCAGAGGGAGCAATGCTGCTAGAGCCAGAACCACTGCCACCAGTGCCGGCAGCAGGAACAGATGAAGTAGGAGCAGGGGAACCACCAGCACCACCGGCAGGGGCCGAGCTAGGAGCAGATCCACTACCGGCGGCACCGACACCACCAGCAGCAGGAGCAGAGGTGGCACAGGCGCAGTCCGAAGCCGTCACAGTGACAGTGGTAGTCACGGGCGAGCCGGTCAGGCACCCAGCCGGGCTAGCAGGGCCACTGGGGTGAGCAGAGCTAGCACCGGGGGCAGAGCCACCGAGGGCAGAGCCAGCGGGGGCAGAGCCAGCGGGGGCAGATGCCGCGGAAGAAGAGTAAGCAGGGGCAGATGCCGCGGAAGTAGAGTAAGCAGGGGCAGATGCCGCGGAAGAAGAGTAAGCAGGGGCAGATGCCGCGGAAGAAGAGTAAGCAGGGCTAGGGGACGGGGTAGCCGAACTCATAGCAGAGGGGCTCACAGCAGAGGAGCCCACAGCAGAGGAGCTCCTAGCAGACGGAATGGTAGAGGAGGAAGAGCCGGAAGCACCAGCACCGGAGCCAGAGCAAGAATCAGCAGTGAGCTTGATGCTCTTGCACTGAGTCACGGAAGTGCTGTTGGTGGTGTAGATGTTCCTGCCGCCATTCTGACCAGTCTCACAGGCAATGAAACTGTTACTTCCATGGTACTCCAGCGCGCCGTTAGAGGCAATAGAGAAGCCGGTGGTGGGCGAGGCACCTTCATCACACTGCCATTGGGTGGTGGGGGCTGATAGAGATTTAGTTTTGGGGGTTTGATTTTTGAGGTTGATCTATGACAAAACTCACGAGTCAAGATACAGCCACGGCCGTGGCTATCAGTGACGCCACCGCTTGAGTTGATACAGTAGTCAGCAGAAGACAGGCTGTTATCACCAATGCGGTTCTGGCCGTCGCTCAGCTGGCCAACGGAACCAGATGCATCACCAGAGGCAGTGAGGTGGAAGCAGCAGCTGTCACCGCGACCAACGAGGGCATTGGTGCCGGCAGCGAAAGCAGCGAGGGTGATGAAGGTCTTCATCATGGCAAGCGAGGGCGTCTTGAGCCTATTTAACGAAAGAGAGGCGTTGTTCCGCAGAAAAGACCGTTTGAATGGTTAAGGCTAAAGGCTTGCCGCTTAGGGTGGAATGGGATTTCCAAGACTGGGGGATCTGATACATCTTTATAGCGGGCTATGGGTTAGATCCACACCGTTCCGAATCAAGATAGATCAGGACCATGACGAGGATCCCGGTAGCTTCCCCGATAGATGGGAAAAAATAGAAACGACGAGGTGTCGGCCTGTCAAAATTGTGCTCGAGGCCGTTGACCATGGATGCTAGGAGTGGAGTGCCTAGGAGAGCAGGTACGCAAGGTCCGAACCAGCCGGAGGATATGTCCGTCCAGTTATCGACGTCATCTTCAACCTGAGGTCAGCAATTTCTGTGGGGAAGAGGTCCATGCTGTGCTCCGTTTACTCCAGCTACTCCACGCGGTCACTAATGTTCAGTGGCTGTCAATCAAGCCGCGTGGATTCTCAAGGCCTATCACATCCACTGAGCCTTTAACTGTCTGGGTCCTGTCTAACAAGTCTTTCGGGCAGAGGGCAAGCCGAAGAGGAGTGGCCAGACAGCCGGTATACCACGGATCAAGAGATTGGATGTGCATCTGCCTACGATGGTTTGCATTGATGACACGCCGGATCGGACGGATTCGATACACCCAATTTCGGTGGTTGCCATCGTACGCGGCTTCTCATTCGAAGTCCAAAATCTGGTACCTCGTGAGCATCATTCAAGGAAGGTTACTCATGGAGGCACCACCAGGTTCTGAGAACAGCTAAGCGTAAACATGCAAGTATGCAGTATTGCAATCCTGATCTAATCAGGCTCACGGAAGCCAGAAGCAGTAGCCTTGGATGACCCTTTGAGCGGTACATAGTGGTGAACTTTGAACTTTCAGATGCCATCTGATCTTTGGGAAGCATTGTTGGGGCCTGTGTTACAGGGTAATTGTGGGCTGAGTGAAAATACACAGCCTTGCCCAGAACTGGGATAACGAGGGCGAAGGGGCAGGGGGCATTCCGCGAAGAAGCAACAGGATTGGACGGGAGATGGGATCTAGTGAAGCCGTGACTTAATCGTCAGCATCATCGCGGTACCAGGAACACGAGTGGAGACTGAGGAGTGAATTCGCCAACGGGACCGTTGCGCTATTTTTGTTCCTGTGGTCGACCCGAGAAACGACGACCGTCGGATACGCACAATCGTTTTGGGCATTCGGATGTTGTTGTCAACACAGATGGGAAAGCATGCATTTGTACGATTATATGTGAAGCGAGAGTGCTGCTTTGAGCGTGCAGGAGCCACATTGACATAGGACTTCGATCGCCTTTTCGAGCTTGTGGAAATGTAGAGAGGGTTTCGCAACAGTACGCGATCCACGACACGCGTCACGGATCGGCGATCGCCTCGGCATATGCTTTCTTTGCTTCTAGAACTCCAAAACATAAGAGAGCGAAAAACTCAGTCGGCGACAAGGAAGTTCGGGAATGTGCTGACTCGGATCACTGGGCATAGCCAGGAACCAGGCACAAGCGGCGAGTATCGCCCAATATCGAATCGGTTTCAGGTAAAATGTCACCGCAATTGGTAGACCCAGTCAATCCCGCCACTGCAAGCTGCCCACTACCGACTCCAGTCTCCCTTCCCTGCCGTAGTGTATGTATGTAATCGTTGAAGCGGGCGAAGGGCCCTACAGTAGTGCTGGCTCTGACGCCAATGCCAAGTTTGATCGCGTCGATCGGGGTGGGGATCTTGAGCGGGATTTAATATCGAGATGGCCTCCTATGGGATGACAAAGGACTAACACATAACCGTTTTTCGGTTCCTGCGTCATATATTCAAAGTCTCAAATCATGAAACTGTCAACTTGAGGCGCCGGATCGGATACCACGAACACGAAAGGGCTGTCCAGCTCAAATTACAGCGTATTCCAATTCACGAGAGATGCGGGTTCCACATTGGTGTCAAACGCCTGCTAGAGGTCATCGAATGACGGAACGGTCGGATCAGGTATGCCATCGAGGCTCATTTCGGATTCCTTGGACCATAGAGACTTATTTATAGTCTGTTTTGATGCCGGTTCGCAGGTATCTTCCAATCGGGACCGGCCTGCCTTCAATGGAGATGGGGACATTTTGCAGGCGTAGAATCATGTAGAATTGCTCAGTATCTCCTCGGCAGATGGTGATTGGTCCCGGAATCCCTCCAAGATGCTGTATGCATCTCGGTACTCTTCGGCCTGGAGACTCTCAATTACAGGTAGACACCTCTCAAGAGAACCAACATCCCGATGCAAAGGTAATGTAAGACACCCGAGAATTTCAGACAAGCCAATAAAAATAGAAGGTCCCTCAAGTAAAGTGTCGCTCAGTGCGAATGACTACGCGCGCCACAACCATGCCTGCATCCTTCGAGTAGGAATAAGCCGGGTCCGTAGAGGCTCGGGACAGACAAGGCAGATACAATTTGCATCTTTGTGCATAAAGTAATGATTCGAAGATGTATCGCTGAAAATTAATGCCTGGCGCCCGGCGTCAGTCTGTTTCGGGTAGCTCGTGAGTATTGAAATCCAAGGAAAACATCGGTGGCAAATTTGGTCCAGGTCACAAATCTCAATGTCAATATCGCCCACCCATTCGTCTTGCAGCCCTTTGGATCCAATCTTCGCGAATGAATCCTTGTCGCTGATTCTCGGCAAACTTCACCGAGCCGGATTGATTGGAGGCAGTACGACATGAAAGCGGGCTGATCGATAGGCTTGTTGACATTCTCCATTCCATCACGAATGTCGTCATCATTCGCATTCAGAGGCTTGTTGATCGCAATATGAGGAGGTTTGATTGAATAAATTCCCCTGTTGGGGGCCTTGAAATTGTCATAGCTGCCTTCACAGGGTCGATCTTGGCTCTCCTACAAGGGCTTATGGGTACGTATTGCACAATCTAATCTGGCGCGACAAGATACAATTGAACTCGTCTTCCAAACACTGCACGTACCTTGTGAGGGATGATAGAACCTCATGATCAATAACTCTATATTATGTGGTTGATCAATACGAGACAAAGCTAGATGCCACGCCATTGAGTTGGCCGTGGAGAAGAAGTCGAAGTTGCAAAGTGATTTATACGGCCTTGTATAAAGGTAAAGATATGATTTTTGTGGCTTGCATATCCTCGAGAGACTCAGAAATCGTTCGATGGCTTCACTCCAACACATCGAGGGATAGTTTTATCCATATTATAAACTGGCCGTTGACTTCTCTGACTGAGAACAATGCCGTTTTTAAGTCTCGTTGGGTCCAGGAGAACGTAGTATTTGTCAACATCGTCAATCCTGATGGGCTTCCGATTATTGAGGGTTCGTGAAAGATCTCTCAGACGTAGCATGAGCTATGTGGTGTATAGGTGTGATCTCAGTCATGTGTTCGTCCACAATCTGTTTTGCTTCTTCGGGGGTGGAAGTCAGATAGTTCGCGTTCGTATCTTTGCAGATGGCAATATGCGTACAATCAATTCAGAAAAGGTAATTTAGCTGATGCCACCTTACTTACACTCAAGCTCTTAGAACTCAAGGGAACTTCAGAAACGATGTAGCTTGCTGCCACAGTAAATATATTACTGGGCGCAACTGACCATGGAGCTGGGAATACCTTTGCTTCGTCAGCCCAATTAAAATCAATCGACTTCATTTTTTCCCCAGTGAAGAAGTGAAGAAGTCGATCTCAGGCAGTGAATATGGTGACGGCTGCGAGCTATTTTGTATCGAGGAAACATTTGATCGTCTTCCTTGGGCCTCTACACTTTCCTCCAATTTGTGCAAGCACGATAGATAATAGTTCAGGTAACTATTATTGCAGCTTCATTCATCGAAGCGGTTGCTGGCACGTTCAGATCACAGTTAATGCCACGACTAGTGCAGTCTGGCAAGTAGTTGTCAACTGCATCGCAATTTTCGTGGCCGATAGAAATTGCAGGGCACCGGGCACAATCGTGAATTTTTCAGACGCTTTTTGCCTTGGCTCATGATCCATCTCGCTCCGCACAATGTACGCTGAGGACAGACTACGCAGTCGTGACGTCGAGTGGTGTGAGAGCGCTCTTCACGAATTAGAGGGCGCGATAGGGCCGCGGAACCTCCACGGATGGACTCAATGTGTGAGTCGACATAGAGTATAAAAGCACGACTATATCCCATCGAGAGAGCCATTCCTCTCAATGGCATCTCTAATCATTGCCAAGTCAAGAAAGAATTCACCATTCTCACCATGGAATCCATTGTTGCCCAAATTCATACCCTGGCCGATTCAGCCGACGAGGTCGGCGCCTGAGCATTCAGACTGCCCTTAGGAGGGTCCTGTCAGACTTGCTAGGTCCTAGAAAACGATTATAGATCTTGCGAACTCGGTATGTGCCCGTCAATATGTCAGAATAACTCGAATACTAAGAATACCAGAACATACTACACGCCGTGATTCGCGTCGGGGCAGACTTGGGGCTATTCCGCACTTTAGCTACGACTAACAAGACTTTCAAGCTTGAAGAGCTGTCAGATCTCACAGGGTCAGCCCCTGGCCCTTTAGGTATGTCATTTTTACCGGCTTCGGAAATCAAACGTTACTTATCACAAGTTGGCAGAGAGAATAAATCGTTACCTGGCCTTGAACAACACAATTAAGGAGGTTGGCATCAACGAGTACCATGCCAGCAGAGTGACCCACATTTTGGCTAGCGACCTGGGCGAAGCAATGGTCTACCACGGCTTCAACACCCATAGACCTGTCATTCAAGCACTGCCCGATTTCCTTGCAGCTACCAAGTACCAGGATATCACCAGTAACACAAACACACCATTCCAGGTCGCTCACAACACCAACCTCAAGTCTTTTGACTGGATGGTCATGCATCCAGATCATTTCAAGTATCTGCAGAAGGTCACGACTGGCTTCAAGGGAGCGGAATGGACGGTTGGGTTTGATACCCTCGACATCGAAGCACAAAAGGTTCCATCCACTCTACCCCAGCCTTCCGAGAAGCCATTCTTCGTTGATGTCGGGGGTGACCATGGACACCAATACATCCAACTAGGCAAGAAATATCCCAGCCTCCTCGCGCGACTTCTGCTCCAGGATCTTCCCGAAGCAGTAAATAAATTGTCTCCAATCGAAAGCGTGAAAGCCGATGCCTATGACTTCTTTGAAAAGGAGCCTTTCACAGGTCCGCATAAAAATTTTTCAACATGTTTTTCTCTAACAATGATCCCGCAGGGGCCAAACTCTACTATCTCCGAAAAATCATGCACGACTGGCCCGACAACGAAGCCACAAATATCCTCCTGAACATCGCCGGTGCCATGGCCATAGACTCCCGCATGTTGATTGACGAGATCGTCATGCCAGATACTGGAGCTTACTATGAAGTCACCATGCAAGATTTAGCAATGATGAACATCTGTGCTGGAAAGGGGCGCTCCAAGCAGCAGTGGTCAGATCTCGCCGGTCGCGCGGGCTTGCGCATTGAGAATATTCATACTTATATTCCCTCTACCCATACCTCGATTCTTGTATTGGCTTTGAAGTCGGCGAGGAAATGTTAATTATTCTCAGACTCTCCATGAAAGCTTGCGTAGAAGCAAATATCATACTCCGCTCTTATTACAAGTCTCCTGAGACCTCAGGCCAGAGGTTATCATGCACTGAAAGTTTCCGGACGCCTGCACCTGTATGGGCCTTCGTTCTTTACCGTATTATGCTTTCTTCATCATAATCACTCTTTCATGTATCTTCGAGAGCAAGGAACATCAATCTGAATCTGCAATTATAATTTTCTGTCGTCCCGATAGAATCAGTCTACGAAGTTGGGAAAGACCTCGTGCCGACACTCAATGAGCCATCTGATTGAAACCGATCGCCTGCCAGAAATCCTCGACCAGCGCCAAATTTTGCTCGCTCTAGACTCGAACAAAGTGTTAGAGAAAGCCACCATGATTTAACTCCAAAGGCGTATCGTGAGGCATATAATGCTGAATATCAAGTTGAGTTCCAATTGGGATTTAGCATTCACTCAGCTCATGTCTCTTAGGAAGAAGCTACCTGCCTACGTGTAAGCTACTTTAGGTCTAGACTGGCAAATGCTGGTCTATCAAATTGAACACGTACGGCATCCATTCACTATTCCAGGGCCGAGCTCTGCCAGCACTGTATGCTGCCCTGGGTGATGGCCAATCTCCAAGTCTTGCATATCATGTATATTTTCTTCATCAGGGGTGCTAGCGTCTCTCTTCAAACGTTACCTTTGGATCGATCAGGTTTCATCATCCTGGTGCGACAAACAACACACACATGGCCAAACTAACAATTGATCCGGAGATGGACAAGACCGTTTTGGGACAAGATTTGAACCAAAAGTTCAAATATTGAAATTTAAGAAGCTATCAACTCGCGAATTTGACGAATTTGACGATGGTCAATTCCAATCTTACTCAAATTCGAAGGCTTGTTATCAAGTAGGAGATCAGCCCCATGTGGCTGTAGTAAATATGGCACAAATCCATCCCAGTTCATGTAATGCGCAGAATAGCAATGCAACAGCTTCAAAGTATTGTACATGGTAATAATTTCTCTCACAGCTTGCCACCAGTGATCTGCTCGCCAAGCTTCTTGACTCGGTCCTGGATGAGATCCCAGCGACCAGTTTCGCTCTTCCGGGCATCGTTGACCAGGTTGACAATGGTCGGCGGAACACCCAAGTTCCAGATGTTCTCACCCTGCTGGTGGTCGTTGCGCCAGGCTTCGTTCTCACCCTCCGGGAATACTCGGTCGATCTCAGCGGCGAGCTGTTCTTCGTTCACGATGAAGGTTCGCGCGTTCATATACAGCGATTGAATTTCCTCACGACGAATGGCATCCTTCTGGGCCTGCTTGGCCTCCAGTCGCGTCCGTGAGAGGGCCAATCGTTCTTCCCGATTTGGGTCTGAGAGGGCAGCACCTTTCTGGGGTCGCATCGTTTCCACAATTGATGTCCGAGTAAGAAACTCATCTTCAGGCTCCGGTTGTTGGAGAACACGCTCTCTTCTGGCCTCACTCTCAAGACTTCGCTCAAATACTGTTTGCTGGGCGATCTGCTTTCTCTTGTAAAGTTTGCGGAGACCTTCCCGGAGATTGTTCCTCCGCATCTCCGCCATCTTGATCTTAAAGGCCTGCTTCTCTGGATCGGCACTTTTCGGGTTGACAGTGCGAGCAGTCAAGGGAAGAGGTGTCGCGGCATCGAGGTATGCTTTGCGCGGCTTGTCTTGTCGGCGGGCCGGGAACAGTTCACGAGGAACGGGCAGGGTACCCTTGACATGAGGCTTGACGGGATTGGCAGGCTGGATAGTTCGAGGTGTTTCAATGAAATGAGGCGACTCGGGGCCGACCCGAAGGTTGGCAGAGGTCGAGAAGCCACGGACCTGCCTTGTGGCAGTCCGGCTGTGGCGGAGAGCAGACATGCTGCACTGATGGGATCCGTTCGTTCTGGATGAATGTGTGGCCGTTAGGCTGAAGATAGGTTATTGCCAGTATACTGAAATCACAATTGGCCTAGATGACCACGATCGCAGAATAGGAGGGCATGCGGAGGAAGCAGCGTCGGAAGAAACAGAAGCGATTTTGCCGTGGCCCGTGCACGCGGGTTCTTGGCGGCAAAAAAAAAAATTACCTGTCCGCCTTTTTTTTCTTCTCTTTCTCGCGCTCTGCCACTCCTTGTGTTTTGGTCATCCTTCACTTTTTGAAGGTCACTCCCAATTTTTTTTCTCTCAACACCACAGGAGTTGCTCATCATGGGTACTCACAAGAAGGAGGCCAACCGCAAAGAGCGGCAGGGAAAACTGGCGATGGCATGGGCAATGTCAAAACCAAAGGTGAAAACTTCTATCGGTATGTTCGCCATGCAATTTCGGTCTCACTTTGGGAAACATTGTACTGACTATCTCCGTCTAGCTCTGCGAAGAAGGTTAAGCACTTGAACATGTTCAAGGATGGCAAAGCTCAGCGCAACGCCCAGGGAGACATTACGAGGGCTGCCTCCTACCAGTCCCGCGATGCCCCGGTCGCTCGCATCGAGCCAAACCGTAAATGGTTCGGTAACACGCGAGTTATCTCGCAGGAAGCCTTGACATCATTCCGTGAGGCTGTTGCCGAGCAAACCTCGGATCCCTACCAGGTTTTGCTGAAGACCAACAAGCTGCCTATGAGTCTGATCCGGGACAATGATCACAATACCGTGAATGGTCTCAAGCAACATCAGGCCAAGATGGAGATTGAAAACAATCCATTCGGTGATACTTTCGGTCCCAAGGCTCAACGCAAGCGTGTCAAGACGGGTGTGACATCCCTGGAGGACCTCGCTGGCGAGACCGCCAAGCTGCACGATTCTTACCTGGAGAAGAACGACACAGAAACCCACGACGATGGAAGTGCTGCTGTCTCTGGTGATACCAATTCCTCCTATGAGGGCCCTGTTCTCACCACCGCTCGCGAGTCTGTCTTCTCCAAGGGTCAGTCCAAGCGTATTTGGAACGAGCTTTACAAGGTCATCGACTCCTCCGATGTTGTTATCCACGTTTTGGACGCCCGTGATCCGAACGGAACTCGTTGCCGCAGTATCGAAAAATACATTCGCGACGAGGCTCCCCACAAGCATCTTATTTTCGTGCTGAATAAGACAGATCTTGTTCCTACCGGTGTTGCTGTAAGTGTCACACTCTTATCCCCATCACATCCTTTCTATTTTAGTGTGCATTGCTTTCTTTTTTGCTTTTTTTTCTTCGGCAGCGAGCCGTTCCATCGCTAAGTCAAGGCTTCTTCCTACGGCTTTACGTCGTCTTGTTTCTCCATGGAGATTTGTCTGTTACAGCTTTGGTAGATCAACAGTGTCCCGCACCGAATCTCTTTCTGAGGCTAGGTTGATTGGTCTTCGTCTTGAAGACCGGTCGCAAGGTCATATGTGTTTTGTTTTTGAGTTGAGTCCTGCCTCTGCCTTTTTCGGTGGCTCAGTGGTAGGACTCTTAGTAACATCCCACACATTCCTGCAGTTTCATATTCTTTGGTGACCATTTACTAACATGGCAAACCTCAGGCTGCTTGGGTTCGTTTCCTGTCCAAGGACTACCCTACTCTCGCATTTCACGCCAACATCAACAACTCCTTCGGAAAGGGTTCCCTTATTCAGCTGCTTCGCCAGTTCTCATCGCTGCACTCCGACCGTAAACAGATTTCCGTCGGTTTGATTGGATATCCCAACACCGGCAAGTCTTCCATTATCAACACACTTCGCGCCAAGAAGGTCTGCACTGTTGCCCTTCTCCCTGGTGAAACCAAGGTCTGGCAATATGTTACCTTGATGAAGCGAATTTATCTCATCGATTGCCCTGGCGTGGTTCCTCCCAATCAGAATGACACCGAGGAGGACATCCTGCTGCGTGGTGTCTGCCGTGTTGAAAATGTGCACAACCCTGAGCAATACATTCCCGCCGTACTCCGCAGGGTTCAGCCCCGTCACTTAGAACGCACCTACGGTATCCGGGAACCCACTGATGCCATTGATTTCCTCAGCCGCCTTGCTCGCAAGGGTGGTCGTCTCCTGAAAGGAGGCGAGCCTGACTTGGACGGTGTGGCGAAGATGGTGATCAATGACTTCCTGCGCGGAAAGACTCCCTGGTTCACCCCGCCTCCCCACACTGAAGACAAGGAGGGCGAGAAGGTCGACGGCCGTGAAGGCCGTCTCGGAGAGATGGGTCGCAAGCGCAAGATCGATCAGACCGAGGGTGCAGAGGCGGAGGAGGACGATGATGACTCCTCTGACTCGAAGCCCAATGAAGAGTTTTTCGGAGTCGATGACGATGGAGAGGATAGCGATGATTCCATCGCCAACTTGGAGGTTAGCGATGTGGAGAGTGGCGAAGAAGATTGAAGGCCTACGCGACCCTGATACCTCAATTCTCTAACCTTGGCGATTCGTCGCATCATTCCTTGCGCTCGCTCTTGAAATAAAGAGTGTATGTGCTCGCCGATCGGCACTTCCGGCGGCATCACAAGCCGTGCCCCTTCCCTTTGGGAGCCGCGGGTTCCTGCTTCGCGGGTTGGAGACTCAAGACTTCATCCTTGCAGACTTTCCCATGGCGCATTCAGGGCTGGCCAAGCTTTTCTCACGAGAGGTCGTGAATGTCAATGTCCGAACCAGATCTGGCGTTAGAGCTGAAGAGCCAGCCATCACCCTCAAGATACCCGATTCTTTAGTGAATCCAATGAAAACGTTTCCACCCAAATTTTCATTCCTTTGTAACGCATCGACTTGTTCAGAATACATTCAGTAATCGTAGATGCATTGATGAGTTCAGACGCTTGTGTTTGTTCCATGGAATCGGGTCTGGGGTTTGTTCACCGCCTGCGGCGTGGGGCTTTAGCTCCGTCATCTGTCACCCAGCAGCTTCACGAGAACATTGCAGTTTTACTTCCTCTTCTCTTCACTGACATGATCAGCATCCTCCAGAAGCTGCAGTCACTATGCCTGACGACATGTCTATGATTCCTTACGGTGGAAACCTTGATGTCGTGCTGTAAGTACTCGATGCTTTGCCGCCCACCACAATGCTCGACTAACTATGACCAATGGATAGGCGACACAATGACTCCGTGGTAGTTTTCGACCGCGATTCTCAACAAATAGCCCTCCGCAATGCCTCAGATGCTCGCAATGCAGATCTTGAGCTCGCAAATTGCCCATTATGCCACCAGCCCATGCGCGAGGGCAGCCGAGGCCGACATCACGGAAGCGCCGACCCTGAAGCCGAATTCATCAACCCGAACTACTTCCGCATGCTCGATAATAGCCTTCCTGGCTCTGCAAGCTCTTCGCGACCTCCATCTCCAAGGCGACGTCTTGTTCCGCCCGCTCTTTCGGATGGTCGTCCCACCGGCGGTCCAACAAGCGAGCCTCGCCCTCCCCAAGGAATTTCCTCGGCGGCTTTCAGTACAGATTATTTCAAGAAGTTCTTCGTCGAAGAAAGGATTCTCGGAAAAGGTGGAAAAGGTGTTGTGCTACTCGTTAAGCACGTGTTAGACGGTGTGTCTCTCGGACACTATGCATGCAAGCGTGTACCTGTTGGCGACGATCACGAGTGGTTAGAAAAAGTGCTGGGCGAGGTCCAGTTGCTCCAGCACCTTTCCCACCAGAATCTTGTCTCGTATCGCCATGTCTGGCTTGAGAACGCGAAGATCAGCACTTTCGGTCCTAGCGTTCCGTGTGCATTCATCCTTCAGCAATATTGCAATGCCGGTGACCTTCATGATTATATTTGTGGCTCTGTTCAGACAACCAGCACTGCACAGCAATTGAAGGACCGGCTCCGAAGAAAGTCGAAAGGTGAAGCAGACCCGCAAATGGGTACAGGTGGGCCACGCATGCTCCAGCTTGATCAGATCTACTCGTTCTTCCGAGATATTACCTCAGGCATGCGGCATCTTCACTTGAACGGGTACATTCACCGTGACCTCAAGCCTCACAACTGTCTACTTCATGAAACAAGCGATGGCATCCGGGTGTTGGTTAGTGATTTTGGAGAAGTACAGTCCCAGGACACAACGCGCAAATCCACCGGTGCGACAGGAACACTTTCGTATTGCGCTCCCGAGGTTCTCCGGCGCGAGTACAATGATGGTCCCTTTGGAAACTTCACCTTCAAGTCGGATATCTTTTCCTTGGGAATGATTCTCTACTTTTTGTGTTTTGCGGAGCTTCCCTATGCCAGTGCCGATATTATCAACGAAGAAAAGGAAGACCTGGATCAGCTTCGAGCGGAAATTACAAGCTGGGCTGGCTTCAACAAAGGCCGACGCAAAAGGTCTGATCTCCCCCAGAAGCTCTACACCTTCTTGGAGTTACTGCTTGCTGTGGACCCCGATCGCCGACCCACGGCGGACGAGGTTTTGAGCGGAATTCAAGCCGGTGCCAGTGCCAACGTCAAGAGGACCAGCTCCGCCAGTGCAACGAGCTCGCCTAGCTCTGAATTGCCTGCATCCGCACGCATACGTCCCGTGGACAGTCCAAAGCCTTCAGAGCGCGCTCTCTCCCCACTAAAAGAGTACCGCGCAGTCCTCCGACGTTCCGACAAGATTCAGTCTTTGATTCGAGCGGCTCCTCTGGCACTCCTCTTGTCTCCGATGCGCTGATAAATGGGCGTCCATCTTTGAGTCCAGATCGGGACATTGTTGTGCGACAAAGATACTCAACCTCTCCTCCTGTATCTCCAACGCGACAAGACCGCGAGCCAACCGTTCACAATTCCCCACCACCCATGCCTCAACATCTTCTTCCGCCACCTCCCAGCCGATTTCCAGTCTTAGATTTTTTGGGAGCCTGCATGGTGGTCTCTCCAGGCTTACAGTTTTCACTATTCCTTCTCAAAGTGGTCTCAATTCTCCACCCCTGCTCACCGCTGGCGGTTAAGCCGTGGATTTTATACCCCCTTCTCCTTCTCGCTGCATTTAGCCTGCGATCATCTTTACAGATGCAAGCATTTTCCACAATTGCGCATCTACTAATCGTGGTGGCCGGCATTCGCCTTGGCGTGCTCTGTCTTTGGAGTGGGAATGCAGCCATCACTTTCTGATTCCACTTTGACCTAGGCCTGCTGCCGCATACATCTATGACTTTTATGACCACAAACGCCTGTGATACCTTTTAATGAAATACGAAACAAGTGCATTACTTCAAGGGAAGCTCAAGTGAAGCGTATCGTAACCGGCATCAATGAATTAAGTTCCTAGTAATCTCAAGTTGATAAAAAACATGCCAATTGATCAAATAGAACAAATCACCGCGTTAAGCTCTAGTAGTTGTCATTGCCGAAGGCACCCTTAGCCTCGCGCTTCTCATGACCACGCTCCTCGAGCGTGCTGCTGTTCAGCACATCACCAGCCTTCTCCATGATCTTGCCCATGGTGCTGTCACCGCCACGGCCAGAGGAGCCATATGAATCGTTGTTGGAAGAGCCGTACGAATCGCTGCCACCAGTGCGACCGCTGGATCCATAAGAGTCGTTGTTAGACGATCCATAGGAATCGTTACCCTGGCCCGCGGCAAATTCATCACGGTTGGAAGAGCCGTAAGAGGTGTTGCCTCCGGAGCCAGCTCCAGAGCCATAAGAGGAGTTGTTGGAAGATCCAAAGTTGTCACGGCCCGAAGAGCCATAAGAGTCGCTACCGCCGGTGCGACCACTAGACCCGTAAGAGTCAGTGTTGGAGGATCCGAGGTTGTCACGGCCCGATGAGCCATACGAGTCGCTACCGCCGGTGCGACCACTAGACCCGTAGGAGTCAGTGTTGGAGGATCCGAGGTTGTCACGGCCCGATGAGCCATACGAGTCGCTACCGCCGGTGACACCACCAGACCCGTAGGAGTCGGTGTTAGAAGATCCAAAGTTGTCACGGCCCGATGAGCCATAAAGAGTCGCTACCGCCGGTGACACCACCTGACCCGTAGGAGTCGGTGTTAGAAGATCCAAAGTTGTCACGGCCTGATGAGCCATAAGAGTCGCTGCCGCCGGTGACACCACTGGAGCCGTAAGAGTCGCTAGCACCGGTTGAGCCGAAGGTGTCACGACCAGAGGAGCCAAAAGCGTCACTGCCGCCAGTGCGGTCACTGGCTCCGAAGGAGTCGGTGTTGGAAGATCCAAAGTTATCACGGCCGGACGAGCCGTAAGAGTCCTGTAACTTCAATTAGTACAAATACTAGAGACAATGGCATAGATTCGCATGGAAGAACACTCATCCCCATAAATGAGTAGTCCTTGAGAAACCACGAGCCTAATGTGAGAAGGAATGGGAGAAAGGAAACATACGTTGTTACCGCCGTAAGACATCTTGGCGTAGTATGAGATGGATATTACAGAATGGGGTTTTAGAGCTCAGGAATTTATGATTTTCCTCCACGAACACGAGGAAACTCTACTATTTAACACATTTTTCCAAGCTTCCAAGATTTGTGTCAGCTCTTAGAGTTCCCAAACATGACGTCGGTAACTAAGCCACGAACTAGCTGGACAAGCTGAGCCAGCCGATCTGATCTCGATTGGATCCGTCCTAGTAAAAGAGGGGTAGAGAGAGGGGCTAGTGGTACACGATGGGCTTGCTCACCCTCATGGTTTTGCCTCGTGGTGATTACGCGTATGTCAATGCGACCCTTGGAACCATTCTCTGGCTCTCCTCGAGGGCCAAGCATGGTAGACGGACGATCATCAGCCCCGAGAGCTAATTACCCTGAAGCTCATGGCCGGGAGTGGAGACGAAGTTGTCCTAAAACATCTTGGTCATCACACCATCTCCACGTCTCTCGGGTCCATTCACCCATTTTAGGGGTCTATTGGGAACTAGCACCACAAACTAACCCTTCCATTTAGCTAGGGTACCCTGAAATCGATAAGTTTACAAGGAAATCTCTCACCACGTGCAGCTAAGTCGTCATTCGATTGGAATCTTTTCAATGTTTCCTCCAGGGTCAAAGAGACCATAATAATCCGATGTAAGCATCAAATGGCGTCACTTAATATGAACCCCGCGCCACAATCCGAGAGCTATGAGGCAATCCTCGGATATAATGGCAAGGATAGATGCTGATCTTTTCGGTGGCGAATCTATCCATGGGTGAGGGGCAACCGGGCAGACAGCACTTATTGTGGCTGGCCCGAGGTAGCCCCATAGACTATCATGTACTATTGAGCCACATATTAGGTCATACTTCGAAGTGGGCGATGCGCCACAATATGGCTTGACCGCATAAGTCTTAGTTGAGACCAGACAAGCGAGACTAGAGAAGCTCCAGTTGCTAGCTCCATTTATTGAGAAAGGGGTACGACCGTATACAAAGTTCGTATATGATTAGGTCATGCTTTAGAGAGACCATGCTGTCAAAGAAGGACTAGCGCAGATGCTAACTTTACATTCACACGGTTATTGGGATAATGATGAGATCGTTCTGTCATCTTTTCCGTCATTTCGAGTTCCTCCTCGCTCTGATTGTCCGCTATCTTCCAAGAGCACTAGGAACCGACAATGCTTCTTCATAGTTACCATACCATATACGCCATCGTTACAGAGAAGTCTTGATTAAAAACATACCAAACTTTGAGAGCACCTCGACTTCGCCTGTTTGGTAGATCAAATTGAGGGGTTTCAATTATGTCGGAGGATGAAAATAAACCACATCTCCATAGACCAGATCCTCAGCCAACTCTTCCTCGCTAGACAACATCCTCGTAAGTACTTCAAAGTTCAATACGAAAAAGTCACCGGTTTGAAAAAGCCAGCCATGGACCTGCGGTGATGCAGCCAGAGAGCCTTCGGTGCTAGATTTGATCTTGGACTTCATTTGACGTTGACATACCAAGGCGCTTCTGGAAAGAAGGGTATGTCCACAGTAGCGCGGCAAATGCCACGACACATGAATTCCGGCTGTTTGGGCCTCTATGAGACGCTCGGGGAGATCCTACTCAAGGGGCATTTGAATGGAAGATAATGTATGATTTTGATTCGGGTATACATAGTCGAGTTCAATTAGCGCATGCGAGCAGCTCTGAACTTGCTGATTCGTGGCTGGCCCTCTTCTTCGATGGGCTCATTGTCTTGCTCATTATTGACGAAGCCACCTTGTTGATGGATCATTCGATTCCGAGCTTTGTAAAACTCGGAAGCAATCTCACGGCGGTGGGTTGACTCGTCAAGCTCATCGGGTTCCGGTGCGGCTGCGCCAGGGGTAATTTCTCGCTCGACAAGCTTGTCAGCAAGAGTCTTGCCTTCAGGGGGCTGAGGAACGGCTGGCTCCCAAGGAACTGTGATGGGCGCAGAGAATGGCTTTGGTTCCGTGGGAGTGGCAGGAAATAGTTCAGGTGTTTTGTTTGACGGGACGGCGTTGACTTGTTTCCGTGCGCGAGCCTCGGCGAACTTGGATGGCTTGAAGGTAGGTGGAGGAATAATGGACGAGCCGGTCGGGTCATCGGTAGTAGTTGAGGTACGAGCGCTCCTGAACTTTGAAACCTTCTTAGGGCGTTCTTCCGCAGCTGCTGGTGCTGCCTGAGTGGCAGATGTACGTTCGACGATGGCATCTAGGAGCACTGGAACATCTGGTTGCGGTGGAAGAGTCCTTGGCTCGGCAGTCGGGACTGTAGGCGCGGGAGCAATGTCCAAATCGTCCGCAAATGCGACACGCTTCTTGGGCTTTTGGTTCTTGGAGTTCCCAAGGTCATCCTGCGAGACAGCTGCCGCGGGAGGCTTCTCGAGGTCTTCTCGAATGTCCTCCGGGAACCCTGCCGAGTCCTTGCCCATGTTGTACATCCCTCGCGCATTAAGCTTGGCCTCCAGTTCTCGCATTTGCTTATGATATTCGTCGGAAAGAACAGTATGCGAGCGGCCAAACTCATCTTCGTTCTCCTCGTCGTCATCCCAGTCATATTCATCCTCGTCAACGGAAAATTCACTTCCTTCTTCATCAAGCTCCAATTCTGCCACAATCGCGCCAACCTCATCAATCCCGTATCGCAGCATTTCCCGGCGAAGATTGGCGTCCTCAATGGACTCATCGATGTCGGTAACCGGAGGTTGCTCGCGGTCTTCGGCTGTCACCAGGGACACGGGTTTTGAGAGATCAATCTCCTCTTCCTGCGAAGGAGCGCTACTAGTTTTTGGAAGCTGACTAGTGGAGGTAGTTGTTCGCTGAGAACGATCCTCGGCTGTGTCCATTCTGTCGACTTTTTGCTCCGGCGCAGATGGCGTTGTCCCAGTAGGAGCATCCTTCAATGTAGAGATTGTGGTGACATTCTCGGGAATATCCTCCACGCCGGCCTTCTTCAAGGTCTCCAAGAGCTGCGAAGCTTGATCACCGGGTGTATTAATCGAGCTAGAGACAACATTGCCCTCCTCGTCCAGCTCTTCCATGATCTCCTTCACAGCGAATGCGCCACCATCAACCGGAGCATCAATTGAGTCCACATTATACAATTCATCTTCGGCAGCCCGCAGTCTCTTCTCCATGGTAGCCACGTTTTGCTTGACATAGTCAATCCGTCTTCCAATAAGATCGATCACCTGTCTGCGTGTTCGCGTAATTCCTTGTTTACCTCCAAGAATTGCTTGAATTTCGTCGTCTGTCACTAGCTCGCCTCCAAGTTCACGGCCAGCGATAACGAAATCGTCCGTGGTGGCGTCATTGTCGAGATCGCTAATCGCGTCGCGAAAGCCGTCGTATTCCGCTTCCCAGTTGCGCCAGTGGTACAGAGACTTCTGGAGCTGAAGTATATTATCCTCTAGAGTGAGGCGACGCTGCTCGAGAGCGTTCAAGTCGTGGTTAGGGATACCCATGGTGTGTTGTAGGAGGGAAAAACGGAGGGGCAAAAAAAAAGACGAGAGGAACAGTAATGTGGCACGTGCACGATGAATGCTTATCGCTCCGCCTTTTGATCGCTTTCCTTCGTCTTTTGACACCCTTGAGAAGCTACACTATGGCTTCCAAGAATGGGATCGACCGCCGAGATGAGGACGGTAAGTCTGTCTGGGCTTTGTGTATGTCCCATGTACTAACTCAAGTCCTTCTCAGAGGTCTGCCCCGTCTGCAAGTCCTCGCGGTACCTGAACCCGAACATGCGCTTTCTCATCAACCCGGAATGCTACCATAAGATGTGCGAGTCCTGCGTCGACCGCATATTTTTATCCGGTCCCTCCAGCTGCCCTGTCGCCGGCTGCCGAAAGACGCTGCGCAAGAACCGATTCCGCGCGCAGACCTTTGAGGATATCGGGGTCGAGCGGGAGGTCGACATTCGGCGACGCGTGATGCACATGTACGTCACGGCAACCATCGCACAATTCCATAAACATGCTAACATCTCATCAATAGTTTAAATCGCCGCGAAGAAGAATTCGACTCAAAGCGCGCCTACGATGATTTTCTCGAGCAGCGCGAAGAGATAATCGCCAACCTCGTATCCCGAATCGACGTGGCAAAGACCGAAGCCCAGCTCCAGAAGTACGCGACCGAGAACATGGCGTCTATTCGCACAAATCAAAAAATCGAGGAACAGGAGGCGACATCATTCCACGCACGCATCTCTCTTGAACAAGAGGAGGCTCGAATGCGCCGACAACTCGCACGAGAGGAGCTCGAGAACGAGCGACGAGAGATGCAAGCCGGGCGTGAAGACTTCTTATCGCGACTTGCAGCTGGAACATCATCCGATGCTGCGTCCATCGCGCGGGAAAGCCACAAGGTGCAACTGAGAAAGTCATCTGCCAGGCACAGTGAACAAGACCGACTTCGACAGAAACAAGCTGCTCTGCGCGGCTCGGAACTCAAGAGGGGCACGAACCTCTCGAGCGTCGAAAGCGCCGATCCTTTGGATACCGGACTCATCAAGGGGTTGCGGAAGATCAAGACTCCCGAGCCAGAGAAGCCGTACGATCCCTTCATGGGATATCTTCCCGAGAAGCGCGACTATGTCACCTTGCAGCAGTCCTACCCATCTCAGTACCTCGACCGTCTTTGCAAGAGCACGCAGGCTGCGGCTGGTGGGTTTGACCTGCAGGAGTACTATTCGCGCACTCTGATGGAGGCATTTGCTGGTTTGGGTTGTTTTGTCGAAGAGGAGATTGCAGAGCGAGATATGAATCGATCAAAATCGGTGGCTAATGAGGGTACTGCGATGGCAGCAGTGAATCAGTAGCATTGGGAGGCTTTTCCTTACATGGCATAGCGTTGGCGTTCAAAAGAGCTTGGTTTGGTGATCTCAGGGTAACTAGTTAGGATACTCCACATACAATTCAAAGCGATCAGATTGAAGACAAGTGCGCTTACTATCGAGTCTTAGAGAAATACTCACGCTATCAACTTTCAGGCATCGAAATTCGTCCCAATTTCAATGCCGCTATGTGATAAACTATTGGGCACCGTGATCATCAACTTTTTGAATGCCATCAATAGAGTCCAATTGAGGTGGTGGACCTTGTAGCAAATTGTGGGCAAATGAAAAGAGGTGAAGGTCGTTCCAGTTCAGTGCGAATCCGGCCCACAAAAAGTATGAGGAATCCAGTTCATGATGGACTAGTCCACTTAGTGTCGATTGGTCCTTGTATCTACCCCTAGGCTCGGCGACTTTGGAGACCTTGGCTCTACTAGATCCGGGTAAATCCCTACCGCGGACTCAAGAACAGTTCTTGGTACCGTGCCCGTGATCCACGGATATGCAGTAGGACAAGTATGATCACGGCGTGTCTTTAGCACTTACAGTTCAAGGGAAACCTCTACCGCTCGCCTTACGCTTGAAAAAGTTTATCTCATTCACGACTGTACACGAGGCTGGATATGAGGGCGAAGAATGGGATGAGTCTCTGAATGGCCAGTGTAGCAGCTTGATCTAGATTCATTGCCGCTATCATGAGCCTGTTAGATTGCTAATATGTGAACACGAAGGCCATTGTTTGACCATCTGGTATGATGATACCCTCTAAATTCTCTCTATGGAATGGAATGGGATGACCGTAAGCTGACAGGCCTCAAGAAAGATGTCATGGTACAAGCAGATAATTTCTTAGCCTTTAGACACAAAAGTGCAACTGGTGCGCAATTTCGTTGATCGAAAGACGAATCAATCCCACAAGACATATCAATCTTTCGGCAACGTATAGGGAAAGGATCTACTCCTCGCGTGTAAGAGATTCTCGGAAACATCAAGTCGCTCATGCTAGAACAAGTAATTTAAACTCCCGCACAAATGTAAAGTACACAGAAAACAAACACCCGGGACGAAAGAACACGTGTGTACACAATCAAACCCGTCCAGACAACTCAGCTGTACTCTCAATACCCTCCCAGGGCAATTCATCCTCCGACTCGTCCTCGGCCTGGCGTTTATCCATAGTATTGGTGGTAGTATCGAGTCCAATCGACTGAAGTGTCATCTCCATCTCCTGCTCGGTGATATCGCCTCGACCCTTGTGTCCCTCAAGCACATCATACAATGCATAAATTTGGTCGGACTTCAGATCAATGTCTTTGATCAGCTTCTCAACCTTCTCGGTGAGGGCTTTGCGTTGCTTCTTGCCCAAAGAGGCGTCGAGCTTGTTGAAGGCACTTTGATATCCAGCAAGCTGCATCTTCAGGTGGGAGAGTTCGTCCTCGAGAGCCTTGAGGACAGTGGCAAGAGCCACAGCGGGTGGTTGGGAGGGGCGCATGGTGGGGTCTTCGTTGTATGGCGTGGGCTCGGGCATGCGCTCAGAGACGGGGACGGGTTTGGGAATCTTGACAGCCTCATGGTTGCAAGGCCCATCGTGGGGAGGGGGAGTTCTTGCAAACCATACAGTTCTTTCCGTCGTGTTGGGCGATGCCATCGAGGGCGCGCTGCGTGGCTTGCGGGAGTTTTAAAGGGTTGCTAGCAGCGAGTTCGGCACGGCTTAAGGTGATATCAGGGAGAATGAAAGCAGATGTCATATCTTCCATTGGGGAACGCTTCTTCTTCTGCGATATGGAGGCAACGGAGTGGTCAGAATGGCGCCTCGGGCGATCGGCAGTGGGAACTACCAGGCTAGCGTCACCGTCGGATATGGCCACAGAACGAGAAGTTGTGTCACCCATGGCGGACGCAGGGCGCAGAGGGACCTGCTGGGGTGCCTTAAGCGACGATTTTCGGGGAAGAGGGGCTTTGTGAACGCTCTGGCGGGTCGAGTTCACCGTGTCGTTAGCGGTCAAGTCCTTCTGCATGCTTGAGCGACGGTTCTTCCGAGAGAGACGCTCCTCTTCGAGCGTCTTCCGTAGACGAGCAATCTCATTTGTCTAGGATTGTGGGTTAGCCATGTCAGACAGCACTAGTGATCAGTCTGCGACTCACATCAATCACACTGAGCAAGGTGAGATCCTCCGCCTCGGAGGATGCTCGAGTCTGCTCTGTCACATCAACGGGACCGCTCTTTTCCTCCATCATTACACGCTTTGAGCGCTGCTTGCTTGTATTTGATTGCTTGCGGGCGTTCTTCAATTCGGAGTGACGAGGAAGCTCAGATCGAGCAATCTTCGATGATGAACGCCTCTCGTCGGGCACGTTCAAGGAGAAGAGAGCCTCCTCTGCGCTTTCCTTCTCAAGTCGACCAATCTCCTTGTCAACTTGACTTGACACCTTGGCGCGGGATTCTTCCTGGCGTCTGTTCGATCTGGTGCTTCTAGAGGTAATATCTCTGGTGCTGCGGCTCATGTCACCGCTGCGCTCGGTATAAATCTGACTTTCCTCGGCATCCGATGCGCTGAAACTGGCCTCAATCTCTTGCATTTCCTGTTCTTGGGCCTTCTTGCCGGAATATCTCGGCAATTGGCTCTTGAGCTCTGCATTCTCTTGTCTTAATTGCTCGTTCTCAATCTTGAGTTCGCGTGTTTCAAGGTAGGCCACACCAAGCTGTGAAATCGCAGACTCTCTATCCTGGTTCAGACGTTTCACAGCCGCCTCTTGGACTTGAGTCTTGCGGTCCGCAATGTCAAGCTGGTTCTGCAAGGCAATGTTGGCTGCCTCGAGTTCTGCGAAAGAATGTCAGGACTAGTAACAATAATGATGCGGTTTGTACAAACTTTGGTATTCAGTGATCAAGCGCTTGGAACTACCCTTGTGGCTATCATCAATTTGGTGCTTGTCAGAGTGGCGCGACCTCTTAAGGGCGGCATTTTCTTGACGATAGTGGTCGATCCGCTTCTCGGCATCAGACTTGAACATCTCCAGCTCAGCGACCTTGTCTTGCAAAAGTCGGAGGGAAACAAAAAGAGCCTTCTCGTCCTCAGGGATTGGGACGGCGTCGAGAGGCATGTGTTCACGGGTCATAGACACGTCGGTCGCGTCGTGGGGAGGAGAGACGAAACGCGTGGAGCGCATCTTGTGTTGACGGGAGAAAACAGGAGTGCCGTCTTCATAAACACCAGAAACCAACTCAGAGATATTAGGGAGGTCGGGAAGGAGGAAGGACTGGCGAGTCATGGTGTCACCCATGGTGTTGTTGTGATTGAGGGTATTTGATACGGGGATGTTCTTGCGTGGGGTTCCTGCCGCACTGCCGTTGCGTTCCTTGGAGTAAGCTTCACGACTGGCGCGTTCAATAGCTTCGGCAATTTCTTGTGAGTTGTTGACCTGGTTGAAACGCGTCGATCGAGGCTTGATGTTCACGGGAGCAGGGCGCTCATCACCCAGGAAAGACCCGTCGTAGTTGTCACGCACCTTGGCGTGCATATCCGAGAAAGTCCGTCTTTGATCGCGGGTCTTGTTAGAGACCTGAGGGCTCCTAATTTCCTTCTGGGCTTGCGTGGCTCGCCTCAATTGGGCATCCTTTCGGAGATTGTCGCTGGCGGCGCGTCGCGTCGAGCGGGCGGGTTGTTGTTTCTGGGGGGTAGGGTAATCGACTCGCACGGCGGGAGATGAAGACCGCACGCTATTTTGGAAGCTCATAATGGAATCGCGCGAATCATCCAGACGACGAGACGCTTTCCCCAGGCCTCGACCTAGCTCCAAAGACAATTCACCTTCGGAGTCGGACATGGCGCCTGCATCTACACCTTCATTAATTTCGCCGTCGAATGCGTCTTCTTCCTCAGAAGTGGGAAGCTGAGAGAAATCGGGAAAGGCGCGATCGAGCGTGGATGTGTTGATGGCGAAGTCAGGCTCGTCGTGGTAATTCATATTGGGAAGCTCGGGACTGCCAAACTCGCGGGTGGATGCGAGAGCCTCGTGTTCAGGATCAAAGTCAGACACCGTAAGACTGGCGTCGGAAAGAGGCATATCAACAAACCAAGTGCATGGGGAAGCAACGGAGGAAGGTCCCAAGGTTGAATTGAGTGGAGTTTGTTTTGGCCCGCGGAATGTTTTGATCGCGCGTCTCTTGCCAATCATCACCCGTGCCTGTGCTCCACCCGTCCTTGTCGTTTCCGCAGTCTCTTACTTCTATCCTCATCTGTCTCCTAGTTCTTGAATTGCAAATATTCTAATGGTTTGCTAGCTAAAACTGTACAATTATGGAGTCTGGCAACATCAAACAGCTTATACCCAAGTATCTGTCTCAAATCTTGTATTCTATGCTATGGTTATATATCGTCGTCAACCTATGCATTAAACCGATTACCCGACAGCCAAAGTTCAGTTTCACAGGTTGAAATTATTTCCGCACAACTTTCACACCTACCCTAGATGAAAATTTTCCTTCCTTGAGGGCATGTGTCATTTCAGATTCGACTATTTGAGTGGAGAAATTTGTTGCGATAGCCGTGATTAGCCGCCTGTTTCAAAATACCTAGGTCATCTGTTCATGATGCCAAAAGGACTCCCAGGTATATTCGACGAATGACTCGAAGTAACATTTTGATGCCATACACTAAGGAGGGGATCATCGATAGGAATGATGGGAGGAAACCAAAGGTTTACTTTGACGAAATCTCTGAAGAAAGGGACCACCATGAGAGACATTACTGGGAATGGTCTGGCACAGAGAGCAATGTCGAGCTTTGGGAACCCACTGTAATGCCTACTGCTTCCGCCCTTGGGGCCCCCCCCCACCCCCCCTATGCGCCATCATAAAGTACTTTTGCCCTCTGGAGCAGCGAGAATAGTTCCTCCATGTATGCGAGGCAACGTTGCGAATCCCTATAAAGAATCTCGAAAACGGAAGTCTTTCAAGCGCATAACCCCAACCCCAACACCAACTTGGTTGTTATCAATCATGGTTGGAACCTGATTCATACAGAGAGCCCTTCAGTAAAACAAGGCATCTGGGGAGGCACGGCAAAAATTACGCCAATTTTCGGTCATTTCAAATAATAAACTGGAACAGGGCGATCATTGGAATAAAGCCTGGCGACGGATAGTTCGCAAAGCTCAACGACGAACAAAGTCGTGACGTTCATCTCAACTATGATAGAGAAGTGACGTCGGAAGTGTGGGGACTTCGCCCCCTTCCCTGGCTGAGGTATGCGGCACAAGAGCATTAAATATTCGGCCCCTGCCTCAATCAATTGTCATATTTCCCAATCATTATCTGATTTTGATTTCGGACATCATGAATTGTACTCGTTTCACAACAGCGCGAGCAGCCACGACGAAAGGTTTCCTGGCTGGAGCTTATAGAGCCAAGCCACTACCGAGAACGACAGACCGGCGGAGCTATGCCACCGGTGCTGGGGCACAGGAAAGCGCCGGGCCTTCCAAGAACTGGTCAGCCGCTTGCACTGTGATCTATCCAAAAACTTATTAACAAGTTCATGAACAGGTTGAAGCTATCGATCCTGCTTGGCATTCCGGTATCAATCTTTCTTTGGCAGAGACTTCAGACACCAAATTCCAAAGAACACAAGCAAGGCGAGGAGCGCAATAGATCCTCGCGCGACTATGACCAGGTTAGTCAATGTCCTTTATAGGCCTCGTCAATATCTCATCCCGGCGGGGGCATTCCCACATGGATCCTCATGCGACTAACACATATCCAGCCTCGTTCAAGAGGAGAGCAAGGCGGCACCGGCAGTATGTCGTTCAAGCAGGAAGGCCTCTCAAACACCAACACCTCCAACCCCCATGTCAATGATCCAGGCTTATCTCAGAAAGGAGAAGGGGAAACCGAGACTGCGAAGGTGAAAGGAACAGTTCAACATGACCGCCCCCAAGTTTGAACCGGTCGGGCATTGTAAATAAGAAGATAATTTCAATCAATATCTGGGAGTTTCTCTCGCATCAAAAATCTTGCTTTTGTGAGACAAGATCGGGGCCAAGTAGTTTCTGGCGCATCCCGATTGCCCAGCAGTATCAAAGAGCTTACATGGTGTATTCGCTGCCCTACTTGCTATTATGCACATCCTCTGACTTAGTGAATAGGTGGTCATAATGATGAGGCTTCTACATACAACTCCAGAAATTCGTTCCACCCATGTTCAGGCGGGACATTGTCGATCGGCAGCTTACCCGCCAATCAGGCAAGAGTTTCTAAATGGATCAAATGCAATATGAATATGCGCGACCTTGAGCTCAGTTGACTTCCTCATTTATACATGGGAATCTACCAGCGAAACGAATTTTCTACAACTAGCTTGTGAGGTGCTGACCCTCTTGCTGCTTCAAGCCCAGATTTTTGGATTGCTCAAGCGGTAGGAGGCCATGGGAGGGTCAAAGATTGTTGCTCAACATTCTCGGCCAACGATAGACCCGAACAAGTTGCAATTAACATGATAGAGCTCTCTCAATTGATTTTTGATTGGCGGATGGCCACTGATTGATCGCTCGGACATGAGGTTAATCGTTAGTGGTGATTCATTGGCATTCAGGGTCTCTCAATCGGCATGACGAAATAAAGTGGAGCTTCACTTTCAAGATTGACCAAGTATTGACTGCTCGGAAAACCCACACAAGCTTTGAATAGCAGATCATCGTTTTTCGAAATTCCTCCATCTGCGTTGTGATAATAGGTCCCCTCATTTGTCGACTTGCGTTTCCGCGCCATGGCGTCCTCGAGCGGTGGCCAAGATGGCGAAGTCAAAGGTGCGCGACCATATGAACGTACTCAGAACTCAGAGGGAACAAAAATAAATATTGATCATACGACAGATGCCGTCGAGCCTCGCGAACAAGAGCCCCCTGAAGGTACGCAAGAAGCTGCAACCAGGAACGAGGGCTTGGGCCATCACCCCAGCTTCAGTCTGGCGGCCCACGAAGATCAGAATCCAAATAGCAATTACTATCAAAGTCCCTCCCACAAACATCAAGATGGTAAAGAACAAGATGATCCGACATGGAGTTTGGCTCAACCGCTCCCTCACATCGTCAGACCAGGCATGCGCCATGGCGCATTGCCAGAAGATAGGAAAGAAGATCAGCAAACTGGCCAGGACTCAGCTGGAGGTAGGAAGCAGAACCAGCCAACCGGCCCAAGGGACGATGGGTTTTTTAACACCTGGTCGAAAATCCGCCATTACCTTCGAGAGCCGCTGGCGGAATGGCTTGGGGTCAGTACTCAAATCCCGGAAGATGGAATCTTCACTGTCTAACGTTTGCAATCGTAGATAACCATCGCAATGACAATTGGTCTATGTGCGACACTGTCAAACTTCACATCGAACAGCCAAGCTGGAACATTCACATCCCAAAGTATCGCCTGGGGTTTCGGATTTATGGTGGCTATTTACACCACCGGTGGTGTGTCTGGTGGTCATCTAAACCCGGCGATTTCAATCTCACTGTCCGTGTTTCGAGGGTTCCCTGCGCGTCAATGCTTGATCTACATTGCGGCGCAACTACTGGGAGCTATCACTGCAGGGGGATTTGCATACGCGATATATCACGATGCTATTGTTGAGGTTGCCGCCGTAGCCAAAGTGCCACAGAGCCAGAGTGTCGCCTCGGAGGCTTTCATTACCGCCCCGAAGCCATTTGTCCACCCAGCAACGGCGTTTTTCACTGAGTTCATGGGAAGTGCGATCTTAGTTGGAGCAGTCATGGCCCTTGGAGATGATAGCAATGCTCCGCCTGGGGCCGGGATGAATGCCTTCATTCTTGGGGTCCTGATTTCGATTGTGGTCCTTGCATTTGGCTATAACACCGGAGGGTATGACAATAGCTCCCAAATTATATTTCAATCTCCCTGTGAACTGACCATGTGTGCCTTGCTATAGTTGCTTCAATTGCGCCCGAGATTTTGGCCCCCGACTCGTCGCCGTTATGGCCGGATGGGGAGGCCAGCTATTTCAAGTCACCCATGCTTGGTGGGTTTGGGGCCCATGGTGTGCAGATATCAGCGGCGCATTATTCGGTACATTCATTTACGACGTAGCCATCTTCACGGGTGGTGAAAGCCCGGTGAATTACCCTCGACGACGAAGAAAGCGGGCCTTGCGCGTGAGGACTGTGAACCTACGGAAAAAGCTGGGCATTGGACGGAAGGAGAAGACTGCTGATCTTGAGAGATGTTGCGAGGATTAAACAAGTATTGATATAATCCAGGGCAAGACACCAAGTACGTGCATGATACTGTGCATAATAATTGGGCCTATCATGTCTTTTCAGGCAACTCACCACTTACAACCCCCGTTCGTTTCCACGGCGAATCTAGTAAGATCTGAGCCTTGGACTTCTAATAAAGGTCCAACAGTGGTGGCTTACGAAGCATTCTTTCCTTGAAGACAATTGAACGTAAAACTGGACTATAAACCACGTGATCCGTGGATCTGGGGGGGCATTTTGAAACTTTATCTTAAGACGGCTTTCTTTATCATGTCGTATTCACCTTTCAGTTCGTGCTGCATCCTCTAAGGTGTCACGGCCACGGCCTGTGCATGATATACTGCACGGGATTCCCATGCAGCCCAGGACTTTCGACTATGTTGCTAATTTCTCCTATAGTGCGATGAAAAAAACCAGAATGCCAAAATTGTCTTCAAAAGAAGCTCCATTGCCAATTTATGGAATTCCCAGCTCCGAGGATTTCGAGAACGCCAAGCACAAGTCAACATTCCAAAGCGCGTGCTAAGGGACAAATTCATGCCATACCGTCATCTGATGTCCCACGAGCCTCCATCGCACAGATATCTTCCAACGAAGTCGACACCACCGATTTCAAATTCCTCCACCACTTTACCATGTCCACTTATCGCACAGTGAGCGACACACTCAAGCGCCAAGATCTATGGCAGAACCAGGCCCCTCAATTAGCCTTCGATCATGATTATCTCCTGCGTATGATATTTGCGATTTCAGCTCTACATTATTGCCGTGAATCATTAACTACCCAGTATCTCCCCTACGCACATCAGCAATACGAGGCGTCACTGCGGTGTTCATCCGCAGCTCTCTCCAAAATCTCTTACTCGAATTGCCATGCACTGTACGCCTGTGTAGCCCTTGGGTACATTTTTGAGATTGGGTCTTCATATCATGGCAAGCACTTTCTCTTCAACAATGAGGGATCCTTAGCTCATTGGGTGATACATCTGCGAGGGAGGAGTGCGAACGATCATGAACGCTTCGTGGAAGGAGCTGAAAGAGGGTCCCCTGCAATCTATGTTTGATCTCCCGGAAGACGAGGAGAAACCGGAAAGATTCGAAGAATCTCTAGAGCGACTTGAGGCTCACATCAAGTCGTTGAGCGTCGAGGAGGAAGTTTTGTCTGTGAATTCAGTTGCCATCCGAGGCCTCATACAGTGGCTGAAGGTTGCTCGAGTGGGGTTTTTTGGCTGGATGTTTCAGGTCACGAATATGTTCATTTCATTGCTGGCAAGAAAAGAACCTTTCGCTCTGGTGATATTTGCTTACTCTTGCGTTATGCTGAAACACGGGGAGCCCAGCTATTGGATCGATCAGTGGCCGAAGGAAACTTGGAATGACTGGTTTATTGAGCTGTCAAAATGAGGTCACCTGAGCTCACATCAAAACTATTTCTTGTCAGATGTAGAAGGCGTTCAATTTATCGATGAGATTGCAAAATCTGCCCATCATCTAATCCATGAGAGATCAATCTATAAAGGAATAAATTTGCAAATGCAACAAATATGCGGAATCACAGTTTCTCCTTCATGCCGGTGGATTTCCGATGCCATCATCTCTAGAGTACAAAGTATCGATAACGAACCGCTCTCTCTGCTTGTTCGTGTGTTCTGCCTTTACATTCCCATTCCCACGTGATGAAAGATAATCCTAGCGGCGCCTTGTGAATCCAAATCTAATTATATACATCTTAAAATAATTTTTTTTCTGCAATTATTCTGTTACTCAAAGTATCGAAAACGGTGGATTCCTTCGCGCCCAAGAGACCCACTACCGAACAGGTACGAGTACGTCCGTACTGCGATTGGTCAAGTAGAGTACGTCGAGCCTCAATTACCTCCACCATGTAGCTAAAAATCCCTCTGGGGCTATCCAAGTTTCGTCTCTGGATCCACATATGATGGCTTCATTGGCCAAACACGGAGCGCGTTCAAGCCGACCAGAAAGGGGTACACGCACTTTGACGACCTCCCAGCTTTAAAATGGTAGACTGTTAAGACTTCCGTCTTCCTTTTTATCTGTAGAATAAAACTCTTTGCATTTTTCTCTCAAACTATTATCGACTGTTGGACTTGCATTAGTTCCATCCGCCATGTCAGACTATAATTTTTACGACTATACTCCCAGTAAAGCGGGAGCCATCATTGCTATCATCTGTTATGGCACTAGTGCTGGCTATCACATATTCCAGCTCATCAAACTGAAGTCGTTCTTCTTCTCGACCTTCATCGTTGGCGCTATAAGTGAGCTTCACCATGTTCCACTACTCCTCTAATCTCGAAAGCTGACCAGATATGAAACAGTGATGACTCTCGGTTACATCTTTCGTACAGTATCATCCGGAGATACAACCGTAATCGGACCTTACGTCGCACAAAACGTCTGCATCTTGCTTCCACCCTCTCTCTACGCCGCAACAATCTATATGATATATGGACGCATCGTCTCATTCGCCGGAGCCTCGCATTTGTCTATGATATCTCCTCAGAAAGTCACAAAAATCTTCGTCATTGGAGACGTGATAGCGTTCTTCACTCAGGCCAGTGGTGGTGGTATGATGGCAATTTCTTCTATGTCGAAGGTCGGACAAACCATCGTCATCTTGGGTTTATTTGTCCAGCTCATATTCTTTGGAGGATTCTTGACAATATCAGTGATATTTGCGAAGCGGTTGAAGACAGTGAAGGGATCACTACTTCGATTCCAATATGGAGCATTGTTGTACGTGCTGTTCGGCGTGTCGTGTTTAATCATCATCCGATGCATTTATCGCGTGATTGAATTCTGTCAAGGAAATGATGGTTATCTCATGGGCCACGAGGTATTTTTGTATGTCTTCGATACTATCCCTATGTTTGTGGTGCAGTTTATCTTTCACTTCTATCACCCTGGGAAGGTGCTTGTGCTTGAAGACTATGAGACTGCGGGAATGAATATGGTATAGATGGACCCGGGGAATTGAATAGATACCCGGACTTTCAGCAGGATATACATTCACGATTCTCTGAGAAATAGTATCTGAGACTAGACGGTGCGCATACAGTTTGTGGATAATGGAAAGATTATGCATTCACCAAGCTATGTGCTAGTAAATAAACCAAATTGGGCGGTCAGCTTTGCGGTCACCCTGGTGACACTAGAGCAAAGGTGTCGAGATGAAATGAAAACTTAAAGTAAAAGTACCCCTTCTTTATGATGCGAATTGTCGCCTTCCTGTCCTATACGTGTAGATAAGCCGCTCAATTATCATGCCAATTACGAAGCTCGTACCGTTCTACTGTCTCAAATGATGATAGCGAACATTTGGCCGTGTCTAGAAATTTAATTTGAGGTGCCGAGCATCGGAGGTGGGCTCGGCCAATCCAAAGTCCAACGTACTCGTACTGAACGGTGGAACAACTCTACTTCAAGCCCGTCGATCCTTTGTAAATAGACATCACGGAGACACGCGGGATGAAATATGGAACAAGTTTGAGGAGACCACGCCTCGGTTCCGAATCATTCACTCTTATTCAGGAAATTCGCAAGATCGAAACCTGCTCCCTTTATCCACCAAGTATAACGTCCTTGATATCTGTCGAGGAGTCCTGTTTCCTTGGAGTGATTCATCCGAAAATCCCAAGATTCCATCTTCCTTCAACATTCATGTATTGGATCTCATCCATACCTTACACAATGTGGAAGCTCAGTCTGACCACAGCCTTGGGGCTCATCATCGACCAGACCTTGGCCAGACATGTCTACATTCCCTCCAGTATATCACAATGGCAGCGTGAAAGGTCGAGAACCTCTCTGTCCCCGGTAACCTCGACGGATTCAAAATGAGCACGGCAGCTAATCGCACCTCTTTTGACCTCTGGTATTTTGACGCCGTCTCCAAAACAACCAGCGCAGCTATCAACATCGTCTTCTACAACACGGGCGATTTTCATGCGAACCCGAACCCCCTGGCTGTCCAGGTATACGGAACATTCGACAATGGTACTGAGTTCTCTGCCCAGGCTCTGGCATCGGGTGGCGCAGTGATCGAGAATAACGCGCACGGTGTATCTGGAGATTGGAAGGGCACTGGAGCCAGCTTCCGTGGATCGAATCTCGACAAGCCGCATGTCGAATACGAGATCAAATTCGATTCTCCGGATATTGGACTCAGTGGGACCTATCGTCTGAAGTCGGTGAGTCGCGACCATCTTCATTGTTCATTGACCCTGTTGGAAATTTATTTCCTGACAAAATGAATTCAGCTCACACCCGCTCATTACCCTTGTAACCTGAATGTCGGGGGGCTGAAGCACCCTCCTTCTCCCTCATCTCCACTGGGCCAATGCAATCCCCAATGCCCAAGCGACCATCAATTTGAACATGAATGGAACCATTTTTAACATTACCGACGGCATTGGATATCATGACAAGAACTGGGGTGATGCCTCAATCATCACCAGTCCCAAGTACTGGGACTGGGGTCACGCCCGCCTAGGACCGTACTCCATCGTCCGGTACGACCTTCTTGACTACAACAATACGGAGCATGTATATGCTTATGCCTCGAAGGATGGCCGAGTGTTTCAGACAAGCTGTGCCCGTGACGCGGTCCAAGTTCGTCAATGGGGGACCAATGTCACGTATCCGCCTACGTTCGGGATCTCAAAGGCAGATGGCCTGGTCGCTCGCTTTGATCTTGGGAATGGGCAGACTCTCGTTGCGAACGTGACCAAGGAGCAGATTGTTCATGACGAAATTGTTCATGAAATTGTTGGGGTCTGTGACTGGTGGGATTGAGGGGCAAGAGGTTTATACTGGGCGTGCTATGAATGAGGAATATCTCTACGGTATTCCCCTTAAATAGTTTGAGACTGAAGTCTTCTTGTATGATTCGAATTGAACGCATCGAGATAATGCAGGTGGTCGTTGAATTGAATGGTTCGGATCCTTGCTTTTGCCCTTTGGCATACTTTCTACGTAAGAAGCCCGAGAGCCTGCCATCAGAGACGACAAAATCGAGCCTTGCAAAGTGGGGACAGTAATTTATGAAGGCAGCTGGGTACTACGCAGAAGAGAGAGTTGGGCCTTGGAAACTGTTTATGAGGACTAGACGACTAAATAGTACGGAGCACGTGGATTCGAGTTCACGATTTTCATCGATTGATGAGAGAGGCGCCCGTGGACATGGGATTGGATGAAAATAGTAATCGCGACGACTTGATGTCGAAATTGAAGTCGTTCTGGGGTCGGGAAATTTCCGGATTATCAACATTGGTGCTGAGCACATGATGTCATGTAATCAATGCGCTGGCCGCCTAATTTGGCACGTTCAAGATCGATGAATTTCCGCAAAAAGAGACCATGGCCAGAGATCAGTCTTGCCATACAAGGGTGAATCCTCGTCTAGGAATGACGCGCGGTAGCAGGCCGCTGGTTGGGTCCATGGTGGACTGCATTAGAAAGCAAATATCTCGATGTGGCAGCCTCGGCAAGTTTCAGTATTGGGACCAAGCCTTTTATCAAGGGGGAAAGAAAGTAAGATTCAAATAGTGAGATAGACACTCAGCAGAAGATTGATGAAAACGCTATTTAATTCAGTCTCTAGATATCTCAGTACCATTCCAGTAACTATACCCTTCGCCTAACCCAGATAACCCATGGTATGCCAACAAGAAGCAAGATTGCAGAACGAAACAAATAAAAATGAGAAAGGCAGACCATGTCAAAAAACTTTGAACGCCCAGCTAACTGAGTGGAAAAAAAAGCCTCCGACCGAAAGTGACAGGCAGAAACGAAAGAATCAAAAAAAAAATGCTAATACAAATCGTGTCATCATGCTCATGAAGGCCGTGCGAAAGTAAATTTGGAAGAAAATTTCCTCGAGGGCCCCCGCGCTCTCATGAAACAGGGGTATGACCAGTGGTGGATCCAGACGAAACAACGGCGGGAATAGGGCCCGTCGGGGTGGGTGGTGTCGGCGGGTTATGGTCCAGCTCGTCTTGAGGTGAGGATGTATTCACTGGGGATACCGGGGAGACTGCGGTCGGCGAGGCCACGTTGATGTGAATGGAAGGCAAACGGGAAAGTTCGGGAAGTTGGCGGCCTGAACTTGTGTCGCGTTCGAGGGCTGAGCTTTCGTAGGCGGGTGCATTGCCCCAGTCTCAGGTGCTCGTAATCTGGCGGTGGGGGGATGCCTAAGGTGCCGAGGTCGCCTTCCTCAGGTTGGGCGACTGAGACTGGGCGACTTGAGAAGTGCATTGATGTCGGTCGGCTGGATCGATGAGTTGAAGTCGGGCGAAGGGCTAAAGGGTCGATTTCTGTGAGGGCGGTCGATGCCGTCATGATTGATGATGCAATTGATTGAACCCGCGAGCGCATGCTAGGCTGATCCATCAGTGACGGCGACGCGGAGTCCACGACGGCGTTTGAGAGAAGAGGCTGGTGGTCTGAGTCGTGGGAGTCGGCTCGAAGACGTGAGCCGTCGTGCCGGACATGACCGATAGAGGCATAGCTGACGCTGGAGATACGTCGATCCCGTTCGCGAGACTGTTGCTCGGCAAGGACGGCAGTCGCACTGATAGAAGTGTTGCTGGCATTGGCAGTGCGAGCGTTATTCCGAGCGCGGGATTCTGCTGCCAATTGCTCAAGGCGGACGGTGTCACCGCGAGCACGAGCGTCATGTCGTTCTTGTCGGCGGGCTTCTCGTTCGGCCATTTCCTGACGACGCTGGAGACGGAGTTGATAGAGCGACTCCATTTGATCCTCGCGACGTGCTTCTTGCTCGTCGGCCGTTTCGGGGAACTCCACGACCATATCCATGCCAGCGCGTTCACCCTCTCGCGCGACTACTTGCTCGGATTCCTTAGGGCTGACGGAGTAGGGTGGCAATGTCATGATGGATCGGACGGACGTCTCACGTTGGACGCCCCCATTGTTGCCATTGTTGCCATTGTTGACATTGTTGACAGTAGTCATCTCGGGGGCTCCTCCCGCACCGTGGTACGTGGTATCATCGGCGTTAGGTGCTCGAGGATTGGGCACCTGGCCGTAGCTGGCGCTTCCGGGGCGCCATTGTTTCCATTTCTCTTTCAAAAACTGTCCCGGGATATACTTCGGATTGTAGTGTCGTTGACGTAGCCATCGGGCGCCGAAATACGAGCACACGCACGAGGCAACAACAAAGAGGATGCAGGCCACACACTATAAAGAAGTCGAGTCAGTGACGAGTCCCCAAGACGAAAGATCCGAGAGCGATAGCGGATACGATCGGAAACAGGCAGCAGCACATACAATGATGATGATGCTATCCTTGTGGCTCAAGGCCCGCTTGTGAGGAATGTACATGGTGTAGAATGTGAGGGCAGCGGCCCTAGAGATTCTCGGAAGGCATGGAAGGTGAAAAACGTCTAGAGTGTTAGGAAACGAGCTGAAGAGAAAGTGATCAGCCACCGGATTTAATTCGAGGCACAGGTGGAGCCGTAGCCACTCCTATTAATATCGCAGGTCGAGTGGAGCAGTGAGACGAAGCGCGCGTCCAGTGGAGGCGTCCAAGCCCAAGGTCAATATCCCGGTTTGGACCGTCGATCGTGTCTCTGGTCTTGGTCTGGGTCTTGAACAGGGCTCTGTAGACCCCGTGCTCTGCCCCTTTCTCTCAAGGGACCGTGGAGGTCGGGAGATCTTCGCAGTGGATGCGGGTGGGTACATCCCCGGGATGAGACTGTCTCGAGGCCTTTGTCATTGCACGAGTAGTAGAGTCCGTGAGTACACGCCCTGGGCTTTTGCAAGTAAGGGCGAGAGATGCGGTGACACGAAACACTCAGTAAGGGGGACGAGGACAGCGTATTGATCTGCTACATTCGAGGGTTGCCAATAGAATTGATGGGACCTTATACTGGCTCAGGACTAATTGATATTTATGAGCCTGTCCGTGTTTTTCCTACGCCCAAGTGGCGGTGATCAACACACGGATTGGATAACCGCCCCCCTCATCCATCCTCTCAAGTGAGTAAACACAAATCAGCACATTAGCGCGGGTAATTCTCAAAGGGTTGTATATATATGAACACGATGCAGAAGAAAGGGTCGTGTGCTGGATTTGAACGATCGGCCTGCCGGTATCTGAGCCCCCGAAGTCTGGAGTGGGCAAAGACTCAGTCGTCAGGAACTTCGTGGGGCTCGGTTACAACACCGGAATGCGCCGTGTTGACGGATCTCGCGATAAACTCACCCTGCAACAGGTCATCTTCCAAATCGATCAACGTCCATTGTACAGGCTATGCCATGTATATTGAAGCCCATTTACGTACTCTTTTACCCCCCCTGACAAACTACAAAAGGGACTTTCGTCCTCATGCCCTGCAGCACCTCCACCATCGCACACTCCTAATACTACGTCTCATAATGCGCCTATGATCTCCACCAACTTGTCTTGATAAAGACCTGCCCCTGCCATACAATTTGTAGAGCTCCCATGGAGCCTGTCCTCGTGGCCGACGAAAACACAGCCTGAAGCCGCGCTACTGCCTTGGAGGTAGGCTGTATTGCACTTATTTGTATAGCCCCTGCTTTCTACGCATCGACTCATTTCGGGTGTCTTCCGATGAAGTCTCAGAACGATCGCTTTCTTTACCTTCGTCTTCGTGGCCCACGGACACATCGGTTAGGAGAGAAGTCGCTACTGCATACTGTTTAAAGCGCCCACTTTGTCGCAAAATCAATGTGGCATTGCCTTTTTTTCATTTTGTCATAGCTTGGCGTGGTTCAGAGCTTGACACGTTGACTGTATGAGCTGCTCATGTCAAGAAACTCCGGTGCTTTCGATACCTGCTTTTCTCGCAGCAGAGCCTGGAGATAACGTGGCGTTCGATGCTCAAGTGGAAGCCCTCCTTGAACACAGACCGATATGTGCAGGCAAATGCTGCTTCGACAAGGCACTTTGAGAATCAGGACCGGCGATTCGGTGTTGTGTGTGATCATTGTCCTCACACAGACTTCGAGCAATCATTATCAGCGGGCACACAGTCTGCAATTGTAACAGCACCGTCAATAAAGATTTCGTGGGGTCAAGGCCTAGCTCATTATCATAAGCATCGGTGGAGTACGTGGAACCTTCGTTATCGATGGTTGCAGCGAAAGATTTAGATTGCAAAAAAATGGCATCTTCTGTGGTGTTTCCATCTCTGACCTCACATTCAGGCGCAGGCGAAGATGTATCATCTTCGTCTTCAGTGTGCACTATGTTTTGGAATTTGAACTGTCGTTCGCACACTGTAACCCGCGGCCTATTTACTGCTCGCAGAACTTGCTGTGGCATTCCAATCGATTGTAAGTCAGCTTTTGGGTTTGGACCAACGAGTCTGTCTCTCGAAGATGTCCCTTTCATCACCTTTCAAATGCCCGAGGCCCCGGTTTTTCAGTTCCGAGAAGAACGCAAAGGCAGCGTCGAACGTTTCAAGACTCGTCCAGCCATCCCTTTTTGACAAGACCTTTAATACCGTCAAAAAAGTCCTGAACCTTATTCCATCCATCGACATCAACTGAGTGGTTATATAGTTCAGCCTGCGTGAAGTGATAGGGACAATCGCCTTGGATGCCAAGTTCATGCCAATACCTGAAATAGAAGTTGAACACCGGACAGGTAACGCAGAAGTATCGAGCAACATACCTTTCAACATTAATAAGTGCCTCACGAAAGGAGACTATATCGCCCTCCCACGTATTTCCGGCCAGTTCAACCGGAAGACGCCTAGTCTTCCTATGGTCTGGATAGAACGTTCTAGTAAGCAGCGGGGTCCGTTTCTCGGTTTCTAATAGATAGAGCTAGAATAGCGTTGACTTAGATATTCTTTGTTTGATCTGAGCTTGATGCTCAGAATCGAGATCATCAAAAGTTTCCGGGCGTCGAAGTAGAATACCACCTTGGTAGTCCACAAGCGGGGATGCGTGAGCTTGAAGGAAGAGTGGGCCCGCCCACGATGATTGCTAATTAATGACGGAGGTTATATGACCCTTATCCATAAATAAGTTAAAGGAGTGAAGGTCTCCATGCCACAATATAGGGCGAGTGAGGATAGGTTTAATATCCATAAGGGAAGGAGCCCCTTTGTGATACTTCTCTAGCAGCTGCAGATGCGCTTCTGGGCTGTTTTGAGCCAGTGACACCAATGTAGCGTCACTCGGTGGTTTTGGAACGGCGTAATTCTTGATCCACTCCATTTCGCGCTAGCTAACACATATCGCATAATCCTGAGGAGTTGACCCTAGTCACGATTAGCCAGTGGAATTATGATATGGCGGTATAGCGATGCTTACAGGGACCCTTTGAGATATCTATTAAAGTACGCTCCCTCTTCCAGAAGTCCCCGTCGACAGTAGGCCTAATACTAAACGTCTTATATATATACTCCTTAAGTTCCAATAGAGCTTTATTAGTGAGCATAGCAGGGACTGCACCTTTAACTGCATCGCTCACAAAATATATGCTGCCATAGCTGACGAGAAACAGATCAGATTTTATATATTAGGGTAAATATAAAAGTAGTCATACTATGAAAATAATACTGATAGCATCTTTGACTCGATAGCCACCACTTCTCTCATAATAGAGAGTTTTGAATCCGGACTCAGCTCATCCCAAATTACTCTAAGCTACGTGCCAGTTACCTCTTCCATAAGGATATATTCCGAGCCAGCCGGATTATCAGTTATAGCGCTCTAACCTAATACTCGGGGTACGGGAACTTAGAGAAAATCTCGAGCCTTGCAAGTAGATCAGCAAGCCGCCTTTTGCGCTTAACCGTAGCATACTTGACTCACGAATTCTATTGTAGCAACTTCAGACGCAGTCATATAGAATGAGGGGCCGGCATTTAGGTTTGGAATACGGACCAGCACCGATTTTCCGTTATTCATAACTAAACGGAAGACCTTATTATATCCTCCTCTGCCAACTTCTTCATCGAGACGCAGCCCTCTGAGCCAATGGCTCTGGCTGCTAAGCCTTGGAGCCTAGTAACATTAAAGGCCCGATACCTATCCCGAAGCTGCCGTTCTTCATCCCAGAGCCATCGCCCACTTGTATAACGAAAAAATTGTTCAAATTCGGGGTTGGCTGTTGGCAATTGCTTGGAGAGAGTCTTTATCGTGCGAATGGCGAGACTTTTGCGACAGGGAGGAAGCGTAGTGATCGTTAAGAATGATCGTGACGATGCTTGAGAAAGGGCAGGCAGTCGTAACTGATTATCAGGAACAGCACCAGATCTCAGCCCGCAGAATCTCGAAAGAAAAACGACGTCCGACACCGACTTTCATTGCTGGTCGTGCTTGTGAGTGATCGGACCAGTTGCGGTCGGGAAGGAGGCTGGTGGTACTCTCTCCGTGTAATACGCAGTATTTAAGGCTGTGCAAGGGGGAATCTGTTTTCGAAACCGACTGTATTTCGTCGTCGACTGATTCCGCCACCATGGGGATTGTTTCGAAAGTCATTCGTTCGCGCCACTGTCGAATATGAAGATTGTTTGGTGGAGGGATGGGAAGGTGGAAAGCGAGTCGTAAAGTACTCGATTAGAAAGTCACGAGCGACATACTGTTCACAATAACGATTTAGAAGTATTCACATTTGAATAATACAGCCTCGCAAAACTTGTGTCGTTTAATTTCAGGCTTTCCCGTTCCTATATTATGGTCGACAAGTCCCAAAGTTCCCCGGGTTGACTGTGGTCAGTTCCGCTCGCCACAACCAGAGTTAACTCATATTCATGGGTGGCCCCGAGTACCATGTGGAAGGTCGGAAATTCTCATAGTCCACATACCAAGACTTCTCGAGCGTCACACAACTTGAACACTTGACGGTCCTCTCAACACGGCGAAGACCGGATTCTGCAGCCTCCGCATAATATCCTGCTCGATCTATCTCCATACAGATGTTCCCCACAGAATGAACTTGGTTATAGTCGACACGCGGCAACGGGATCACGCAGATGCGCGGCATGATCGCGGCATGACGCGCTTTCAGGCTTTTCGCCGGTTCGGATGCCGGTGCAGAACCTACTCCTGGCAGTGATCTGCACATGTCGAGTCGAGAAAAGCGTGTCGCTCCAATCGGCGCGTCCTAGGGGCGGCCAAGTGAAGTCGCGAAGTAGTGCTATGGTATCACAGGGTCCAGTCATCCTGCCCTGCTCCATCTCGAGGGTCTCAGGGATGGAACCTCGAGGGATTTCAGTGATGGCGCTATAATTATGGCTCACTGCGCAGCCCCACGGCGGGCAGCGATCAACCAGCCAGATTCCTCAACGGAAGCCTTGTGGGTACCTTGCCTGTTCCTGTTCCCGTTCCCCAGATCCTTCTTTGATCATCGTGGCCATGGCGACCCTCAACTTCAATCTGGTCAACCAGTCTGGTTCAAACACCGCCTATGCTTATATTACAGGCCAGGCTATTGATAATAACAATGCGCTTTTCCTCTTGCGGGCCGACGGCAAGACGGCCTACTACCCAACTTCTCCGTCTGCTACACTGACTGCTCTTGCGCAAGACTGCGCGATCCCACTTGGCGCAGTAGGAAGCACTAAAACTGTGACGATCCCGCACCTTGCGGGAGCCCGTTTGTGGTTTGTGCGCGATGCAAAGTTGACCTTTTATTTGAACCCCGGCCCAGCGCTAGTTGAGCCGTCCTCGTCGAACCCGTCGGACGCAAACTACAATCTGTTCTGGGATTTCTGCGAGTTTACGTGGAACTCCTCGCAGCTCTATGTCAACATTACATATGTGGATTTTGTCTCCCTGCCTATTGCCCTGGCGCTAACAAACACGTCTGGCACGACAAACACCGTTCAAGGCCTCCCGGCCGACGGGCTGGCTCAGATCTGCACCGCGCTTAAAGCTCAAAATGCCACAGATGGCGCGGGCTGGGACAAACTCATCGTCACGAACAATGGCACGAATCTTCGCGCCGTGTCTCCCAACACTGGCATAGTACTTAACAGCGGGCTGTTCAGTAGCTACTATGCCAGTTACGTAAACCAAGTCTGGTCCAAGTACGCAAGCGCCACCTTGACCGTCAACACTCAAGCGTCAGCGGGTGATGTCACAGCGACAGTCTCGAACGGGACCCTCAACTTCTCGACTGGGAATATCACTTATGCCCAACCATCCACAGCAGACATCTTCAGTAACAGCTCCGGTGCTTTTGCTGTCTCGGGCAACAGCACCAAGGATGCAATCACTGCTCGCCTAGCTGCCGCGTTCAATCGGTCTACTCTCCTGATCAACACCATTCAGCCAAATGGCGAGAAGGTCGCGAATTACTACCAGAACGCAGTGACCAATCACTACTCGCGGATCTGCCACGCGACAACCTTAGGCAACCGCGGTTATGCGTTCCCCTACGACGATGTTGCTCCAACGAATGGTACAGACCAGTCGGGTAGTGTGTATGACCCGAATCCCAAGCTGTTGACAGTTACTCTGGGCGGCGGTGCTACCACAACTGCTAAGGAACCAGTTGTGCAGGTGGCTGCTGCTAGCAATGCGCCCGCGCCCCTTAGTGGAAACCCGAAACAGGGTCGTCTGAGGAAGACCCTGCGGAAGCTGTTCCAGAAGAAGTGAACTGGCGATACCTGCCACCTGTACATTGTTGGTAGGCTTGTAGAAGGGATGTAGATTGTGTGCTGAAGAGGTTCATGTTTATAACGTATCGATATCCTTGTGAATAAGAATGCCGCATTTTCGCGTAATATCTATTAGCATAGCGATGCCATGGAAAGCGCATAATACACCACGGACGTATTCTCACATCAGGCAAACCTTCAAACCGACTCTCCAGCTTGTCGCCGCAGATAATTCGCCACCCTCTCCGGATACACAAGCCAAGGTGAATGCGACGTAGGGATCTTCTCCGTCTCAATGGTCGCACCTCTCGTCTGGGCCCGATCGACCATCAACTGCTGCACCGCCATCGGAATGGCCCGATCCTCTTCACAAATCAAATACGCCGACGGAATCTGATAATACGCCGCACTAGTCGCAGGCGTATTCTTCGTCGCCCACGCATGAGGTTTCAGCGTAGCAGCCCAGTCCTGCCCATCAGGAACATCATGGAAGAAAAGCCAGAACGGATCACTGGCCGTGACGGTTCCATTCTCGACCTGCGCCTATTAACACATGCCCGCCTTGACAATATGAAAAAAAAACGAAAAAAAAACAAAAACAAAGGGAGACTTACATCGCGAATGTACCACGGCGGCGGGGTTCCACCAAACGCACTGATCAAACTCTCCCCGATCTGAGGAATGAACGCCGCAATGAAAACAAGCTTGACGACACCACCTTTCTTGCCCTTCTTTTCGCGCTCGGTCTTGCTCAGCCCGTCTAGAGCGCTGCAGACTGGTAACCCGGCCCAGCTGTGCAAAACGAGGATGACATCGTGTCCAGCATTGGCTTCGGACTCACTATTGTGCGGACACTGTCAATGTCCGGTTGCAGGTCTTGTACTGTGGTTGATTGCTGGATTGAGGGGAATGCGACTGTGTGGCAGGTGTAGTCGTCCAGTTTCTCAATGAGGGGGTTGAATGCGGTGGGCGGGTACCACGCGCCCGGGGCGAAGATGAAGGTTGGTTTGCTCATTGTTCTTCAATTTGGCTTGGAGCGGGAGACTCTGGGAAAGAGCAGGATCAAGTCTGCTGCAGTGTATTCGCGTGTCTGGATGGTGGTAATTCTGCCGGGGCTTGAGGTTACCGCGCCTCAGGATCGTGCTGATACCCCGCCCGTTGGCCACGCGTCGGAGAGTCTCGGAAATATTGCCCAGGTCGTAAATATGGCAGATAAGGCCTCCCATCGATAGTGCCAAATATTGTGTCGTAGTGGCTATGCTCGTGCATGATCTGACTCGTATGGCATTGTTTGAGATGTCTTGGCAATCGCGGAGAATACAATGTGTTTGATGGAAACGTCCATATATGTTAAATCACGTTATGCCTGTCTACCTGCTCAGTTTTCGAGTAGTTGATCGAAGAAGGCGCCCGAAGCCATCAATAATTCTCAAAGGCTTGAAGTCTCTATAATAACTGGCAGTGCACTCATGGCTAAAATCTACGTGGGGTCACTTTTGAATACATTCTAGGCCTGGAGATTGAACATGATTTCGGAGTGTAACCCGTTCATTGAGTCGGAGTGTAAAATTCACGAAAAAAAGAAATGTAAAGAAAGCTTCAAAGACACGATTGCACATCTAAGAATCACCTTCTCCGGGATCAGTGATCAACTCATGTAACTTGCCCCCAACCCTTTGCGACAAGACACGGTACGGGCCATCCTCTACGACGACACCGCGATCCAGAACAATGACGTGGTCCGCAATCTGAATCATCTGCTTTGAGTGCGTAATAATAATCACAGTGAGACCAGGACGCGAGGAGATGAGATTCTTGACGGTCTGTCGTACCAATTCTGCGCTAGCAGGGTCGAGACCGGACGTGGCTTCGTCCAGGATGAGGACTTGTGGCTGGCGAAGAAGTGCACGAGCGATCACCACGCGCTGCTTTTGGCCGCCCGATAGCCCAATGCCTCCATCGCCAATGACGGTAAAGTAGCCCTTGGGTAATGAGATGAGAAATTCATCTATTCCGGCTGCTTGAGCTGCGGCGCGAATGCTGGACACATTTGAGAGCGAGGTGGTCTTCTCCATGCCATAGCTAATATTAGCGAAGATGGTACCGGGGAAGATGGTCGGCTGTTGCGAGACGATTGCAATTTGTGAGCGTAGTGTCGGGACATGAAGATGGAGGATGTCTTGTCCGCTAAACGTCACCGTGGGACGACCACTTGTGGAGACCGGGGCTTCGTAAAGGGAGAGGAGCAACGAGGCAATGGTTGACTTGCCGGATCCCGATCGGCCTACAATAGCAGTGCAGGAGTTCTCGGCGATGTTGATGGACACGTTTTTCAGGACTAGTGTGTGTGAACGAGACGGATATCGGAAGTTGACATCAGTGAGCTTGATCGGGGTTAAAGTGGACACCTCGCAATTGGCCTTGATGCTCGTGGGAGCCTTTGGGTAGTTTTGCCAGACGCAGGAGTTGACTTGCTATCTCACGCGATGTGTTGATTTGAGGGACTGTGGCAGGGATCAGCCACGATGGATTGGGAATGTGGTTGAGGAGCAACTAACTCCATGATAGGATTTGGGCAGCATAGCCGATGCTGAAGAGCAGCAATGAGAATACTTGCATGACTTCGTTGGCTGTGAACTCGGACGCTGCCAGAATCGCACCGTAGTAAAAAATGAGAGCTGTGGCTATGTCAGTCTAGCATCCTTGAGGCCAGGAGAAGAATATGCTTGCCGCTTGCTAACATGACAACCGATTCCACCATACCAAACATCAACCCGGTGTAGGCAGCTCGTTTTAAGCCTATTCTCAAGCAACGAGATATGGCCATTACTTGCTTGCGGTGGAAGTAGCCTTCCAGCGTCAGTGTCCTTACAGTCCGAATCTCGGAAAAAGTCTCTGTGAAAACATCAGTCGCGGTGTTTTTGATTTCGTTGCATCGCCGTTCCCATGAACCATTGATGGTTTCAAAACCTCTTGTGATTATGTAGATCACAGGTCCGCAAGCCAGCGCGACCAGCGTCAATTTCCAGCAGACGACCAGGCTCCAGATGACTGCCATGACTGTGATTGCAACAGCTACAATCACAAACCCAGCAAATCGACCCACAAGATTGCGCATATCTTCGCTATTCTGGTCAAGGCAGGGTATTATTCGATGGGCACTATTGCCATCCTGTTCAAACCATGCTCGTGGCTGATCGAGGACTCGTTCAAATGCTTGTTTTCGGAGTGCGTTCTTCCACGCTTCGCCGCAGTACTCCAGGAAGAAGTGCATGAAAAAGGATGACAAGCCGTCACCGAGAGAGACTCCCAGTACAGCTAGTGACCATTTGATGGCTAGCTTAGAGCTGTTTGTTCCATCATAGAATGTGGTGAATAGCCCAGACATGCAGTATGAGAATATCGGAGTGGCACTCGCGTGAAGAAGAGAGAAGGCAATACCAAGAAAGAGAATGATACGCTCCTGAGATGTCAGATTTGGCATGACGGTACCCAGAATATGAACTAGAGTCATTTCCTCTTTTTTGACCCTTCGACGCTTCAATGGGTGTACATTGCATGATGCATGGCGGAAAGTGTGTCTTGAAAGTCGATTTGATTTCGGAAAGTGGCTCAATGTATCAGTGTTCGAGCCGAAGCTATGAATATCATCCATCACAAATTCTCCTACTGGTAGTTCAGTACCTGCATTGGTTTTATTGTGAGAAACATAAGCTTTCTGTACCCCAAAGAACGATATGCGCTTCCTTTGAGGTGATGCATCATCGTCTGTCGGAGCCCCTACAGTCGTTGGACTGTCCCACGGGGCGGAGCGGAAGCTGGGAGGAATATAGTGACGCGCCCATGTTTCATGTTGATTTCGATGAACACGCAGGGGCAGACGAGGCTCCAAACTCTCCAGGCTCGAGGCCGACGAGGCATCCCAGTCGCATTCGAGTGCTTTGCTGGCTATCATTTTTTCTGTCTCAACGAACTCTTTGTTGCTTTTTGCTGCTACTCCGAAGTACTGCTCGCTGCCGGGCAGTTTCTCGACTTGTTGCCTGAATCCAGAATGAAGGATAAACCCGTCTTCCAGAATGTAAACAAAATCCTCGTCAACGATGTGAGACATATCATGGGTAATGATGATAGTCGTCTTTCCGATGCGCCATTTGCGAATGGCTTTCATAACCGCTACACGGTTGAGGTGGTCGAGAGCACTTGTGGGCTCGTCTAAGATCAAAATAGGCGTGTCACGCAATTTAGCTCTTGCGATGGCCACTCTTTGTCTCTGCCCACCGCTGAGAAAGCTTCCACCGGGGCCGACACATGTCTCTATGCCTTTTGGTAGTCCATAGATCGTGTCCTGGAGCATAGCCAGCTCAATTGGCTCCGCCACATCTTCTGGGCGAATATCCTCGTGCTTTCTACTCCCGAATGCAATATTCTCGAATATGGAATCATTGAAGAGGACACTTCGCTGCTCCACAAGCGTGACATTGTTTCGGATCCAGGTGGAATTCAATGTCTGCATGGAATTTCCATCTATAAGTATTTCACCCGATGTTGGGGAATAAAACCGCATTAGCAACTGACTCAGTGTGCTTTTGCCAGAGCCGCTTTTGCCGATAACGAAAGTTGTCTTTCCCGCTGGGAAGAAGAAGGTGGATGGTTGTAGGATGATTCGGTCGGGCTGTGTGGGATAGGCAAATGACACCTGGAGTAGCCATTAGTACACTATGCATTATTGTACGTCACAGTGCGTTGCTTACATTGTTGACCTCAATGTCGCCCTCGCAATGAAGCGGGTACAGGGTATCCTTTATCTCGCTTTTGACATTTTGCTCCGAGTAGTACTGCAAAAGGGACTTAAGACCTTTGCTTGCAACCTTCCCTTTTTCCATGACGATCATCTGCGGAAGAATCATTTCAATGGATTGAGCTGCAGTCAGGCACGCCCAAAACGTCCTAAGGACTTCACCCGATGATAAAGTGCCGTTGCGAGCAAGTGAGCTCCCGTACCAGAAGCCTTGAACGAACATTCCGAACATCATCCATCGGATAAAGGCGAGTTGCAACGAATTTAACCGGCATTGACGAAGATAATGAACAGCCGATTGTTCGATCCACCTTGAAAAGCTGCGATGCTCAAAAGCTTGACCGTTCAGACATTTGACAGATTCGATGGAGCTGATAGCGTTACTTGCGATCTTAGAGGCATGGGTTAGCTCAGCTTGCTGATTAGTGATGCTTGATTTCATTCTCGACGAGAGATAGGCGATGATGGATGAGAAAACAGGGATCCCAGCAAGCGAGACAAGCGAAAGACTCCAGGATGTATAAAAACCCAGAACTAATGAAGCTACTGATCGACAGGCATATTGCAAAACAAGCCCGAGAGGCTGCGAGATTGCTGTTTGTAAGTCATACACTTGGCTTTTTCATATGTTAGAAGTTCGTCATCCTAGAAGAAGACACAGGACTCACGCTTGAATCCCAGAAAGGAGAGCTCCAGATCCCTCTTCTTGTGACTCGAACCATGCAACATCGCGTTTCAGTAGCTCAACGAACACGCTTGTTCGAATGCTAGAAGCTTGAAGCTCTCCAAAAGCAACAAATGTGGCATAATATGCACTGTTGAGAAACCAGCCCGCGGCTGCCAGTCCTAGCACACCGATGCAGTTTGTCGTAACCGTGTCGCGGAGATAATCAGCACCGGTCCCTCCCCTCCAAATGCTGTGAATGCGTCGAAAATATTTCCCAGTAATATAGCGAGAAGTGGTGTCACACAGCCCGCTAAGAGAGCGAACAATGTTCCAGTAACGAGGACTGGTAGATGCTGTTGAGTAGTGAAGACGAATAAGGATTTCCAGCTCGGCTTCGGTCCCGCTGTGCCTGCTAGAGGTGGTATTTTGTGCTTGATGGCCATTTCTCAGGTACTGTATCACGATATTCCGTGCAAGGACTATGATATTAGCCGTTCAGACCATGATGTCTATTAAGAAATTGATTGCTTGCGACAGTATAGGAGCAAGACCATAGGATTTGGTGATATTCGGTCTATCTCATGCATATTTACAATGACGCAAGAACAATACTTAAAAATTTCCCGATACGGAAAGATTGTGTTGGTGAAGAACAAAGCCTGAGAAACGGACATGGTCATGCACGCGTCACATGACCTGCAGAGGGCCTAGAGCGAAACAATAACGAGATGTAAAGAGTGATCGCGTGATACTGCCAGGGGGTTCTTTGTACTTGGTCAGTATCCATCTTGAAGGAAGGCGCGGCTTCATCGAGAACAATGGACAAGTTGAAGGTGCAGAAAATGTGCAGGAAATTTGAATATTTGATTCCCGGGTATATGGACATTGCCCTCATGGCCGATTCCTTTTGGGTCCCGAAGATTCTATCGAAATTAAGATGCCTTGTCTATGTCAAGGTTATCATCCATGTCGCTGGTCAGGTCCAATTCATCCAGGCGCCCCTCACTGTTCAACTTTTGCATCGTTCCATGCCGTTGGCTCCACAGCCTGAGTGGTGCTGGGCCAGTCTCCCATCCACCGCGGGTGGAGAGCGAGAGATTTCGAAATTAGGAGCTGGCCTTCTCCTTCTGAGCCTTCTCATAGATCCAGTCGTTCAGACCGGCACGGTTGCTATAGATCCATATCAGATTCTCGTTGCTTGATCTAACTTGACGTGAGATAATCTTACCGAGCGATCTCAACAGCATAGAACTGCATGCGCACACCTGTTGATCCTGTCAGTTCTTGCGTGATTCCTTTCAAATTGCGACGCTTCAAGTTCTGCTCACCGAAAATGGTGTTGTGTTGCTCGTATTCCTCATCTGCGCGGCTGCGGATGATAGTGCCGAAGTTGTAGTCCTCGATAGTCTTCTCGTACTGGTTGATGAAGTTGCGCCACCTCTCCTTGCCGGCCCTGCTCTTCATGTCGTCTTCGATAAGAGTAGAGGCGGGGTTGAAGTCGGGGAACTCCTTCATGAAATGCACATAGATCGCGTCGTCCATCTTAGTCAGGCGTAGCTGGGAGCCCTTGACCTTCTCGAGAATAGACCAGTATGTCATGAGGTGCTCGACAGCTGTGGGGGGCAGCAGGTCAGTACTGCTTGGCGCGGAAGGGAGTCATGGCAAGGTGCTCTTTGGCGCGTTTGGGCGGTACTCTGACAGGGACTGGACACCAACCTTTCACTGCGAACTGCTTCTCCATCTGTTGGACTAGTCAGTCATTCATTGTTCATCGGATAGCGGGGCAACACTTGCAACATACATCCTCCAGGTTCTCGGCCTGCTCGGGATCAAAAGGCTTCGACATTTTGGCAGTTTGGGGGAATTCTTCTCTCCTCCAACAAATGCAAGGGAAAAGGGGTAATAATTAATGAAGTTGAGTCAAGTGGGGAGGAAAGCGCTGTGCCCCGCGAACATTTTTTCGGCGGGCGGAGCATAATTCTGCCATCTCACACGACGTCATTCAATTGGCGGTGAGAGTATACCGACTCCCTCACAAACATTGAAGGATTTAGAAAAAGAGACTCGTCCCCCTTGGCTAGTTGAACAAGTATTTGGAGTCCGCAGAAGTTTCTCGCTCCCGCTACGGATCTGATGAGTGAGATCAAGGCGATCTCCTATAGTAGGCCATTCTCACCTGTGCTCAACTCATCTTTTCCACTGCGATCGCAGGCTGTGGCCAGTAGACACAACTGACATACCGTACGATCGTACCTCCTGAATTGATCTGCCCGAGCGGAAAAATTTCAGCGTTCACGGGACGTTGCAGATGTCCAGAGATGGAAGCATCAGTTCCATTGCCATATTATAGTAGACTTCCATCCTGGATACAAACACATGATCTGCCGGGGAGTTCTTTCAATGAGACAAACATTGATTGAGCTAATCATTAACAGTGGCACAAGTGGGCTGAGCTACGCTTGTGGTCGTCCTTAGAGCTTGTATGGTCAAAGTCTATGGCATTTACCTGAATTTGTCGAAGTGGTCATGCTTACCATGAGCTCACATCTCCTTGTGCAGAATTCTCATCCCGTACGTTGCCGTAGCGAGGCCGATCAACACGATAAAATCGAGCACGATGTTCAAAGGCCTCGCAAGCCTAATCGACCGCGTCAAAGGTAATTCGAACTTGCGCAACCCGAAATGTACGCAGCAGGCCACGCAGCCTCCATTGTCTACCAACGTCCAGACAGCCTTCGAAAAATCTACAAAGCGCGAGTCGTCCACGAGCGAGCATGTTCTGGAGCAGACATGAGGTGACCGGGATGCTTGTGGGTGGAGAAAGACAATTGAATGCAACGCGAGGAAGACACCAAATCAGTCTTCCCCGGAACACGTATGTAGCAACGCTGGAATATTCGAGACTCATCAGGAAAATGAGGTTAGAAGGTGATGCCTTATGGTATTCTAGCATCGAATTCTGATTGGCAACTGCCTCGCGTTGCATGCTCTTTGCCAGATATGTACATCTTGAAGAAAGTTGCAGATATCAATCACTATCAGCATCGTCAGGTAATTCCTCGAATCTTCCTTCGTGAAGAGCCTGAGCCACAGGGTTCTCCACGGTCAAAAGACCATTTGCTTTCGCCCTGTCATCATGATTAGCGGGTGACTGACAAGATCACTTCGCAGTTTATAGACTGACCTTTCAAATAGAACGAATAGTCTCTCTGCTTCCCTCTCCTTCTCTTCCATCGTCATAGGTGGACCATTATCCTTTGGCTCTGACGCCCAGCGCTGGCCAGTGATCGGATTGACCGATGCGTCACCCCCATTCTCGGCATATGCCTCGCCGGCACTCTGTGGGATCTCCATACCACGAGACGCCAAAAATCCCGCAGCGAAGCCATAACCGATCCTCCTTGTGAGGTTTTCTGCATCCTTTCCAGAGAGCACAAACATGAGCTCGGAGATTCCAGTCTTAAGTTTCGGGTAAGGGCTGGTCGAAAGCTTCAATAGTCGCGATGAAAGTGTGTCGGTCTGTCCAATAGGCAAGCTGCGGTCGCTGTCCTCTGGCAGCAGAAGCCACTGCATATATTTGCGCGGTCCATCGGGGGCGACTTCATGGACAACGATGAGGGAGTGTAATAATGGCACGGCCTTCTCTTCAAGCTGTTCAGGGCTGTATACTGACACTGCTTGGTCAAGGATGTTGATCAACTTATCCACATTGCAGTTCTGGTTGAACTTCGGGAAAAAGAGGGCTACTCTCAAACACTTTGCTCTTCTTCTCTTCCAGATCAAGAACTGACAAAGAGTTAATCAAGTAGCTGACCAGGCCTTCCAGAGGCTTTGTGGGGATATCCATGCGGCTGATGATCTTGAGAACGTGTGGTATCGAAGGAGAGAATGTGACCGCGAGGTCTGGATAGATCTTCGAAACGTTGAAGATAAGTTTCAAGGTGTCTATCAAGGCCAATTCGTCCATTTGGGACAGAGGCTGTCTGCCCGACTTGGGGAATTGCTTGGCATGGCGAGCGAGTTGCTGCGTGGGAGTAAGTATAAGCAAAGGTGGCCGAGCGAAGTAGTTGGACATACGTAGTTGACATTGTCACCAAGGGCATGCTTCTTGATCAAGAGCTCGAAATCAAGATTGGTGTCGTATGTTGATAGAAATAGGATTCGGCTCATGACCATTTCATCTTCTGAATTGTCAACCTACATGGACTTGTTAGAGTCTACCAAGTGCCTGATCCCATCTCCAATCACACCTTCAGTCTTTCCGCCAATTTGCCCGCAAGTCCTGTGTTCACAAAGACCTGGCGCATTTTGGAGTCGAGGAGGAGTGCATTAGCCACACAGCGTAAGGCGGCGCGGCGCACATCGGCCGACTCTCCTTCAATACCATAGCGCGCTAGTATCTTAATTCCCTGTCGAACCTGTCAGAGCTCGGTCCGAATGGTACCATTGTATTCATCGTACATCGTTGCAGTAGATCGGTCCGGCGTCGGTGGGGTTCGTGCCGAGCTGGCGCAGCTGGAGAAGAGTCTGCACTCTTTCTGGAAGAGAAGCTATGTAAGTATAATGCTTGGTTCGTGTTTGTTAGACCCACAGACTTACGTGCCGGTGTGAGCTGCTTCTCCTGCAAATCCGTTTTGAGAGAATCAAGCAACTTTGTAACTTGTTGAAGCTTTGCTATAAATGGCAATGAGTTGACTTGCCGCAAAGCTGAGTCTATCTTGTAGACTCTTATATGTCAAAACCTACCTGGGCCTTGTAGTTGGAGAAACTCCATGGTGAAATGCGTAGATCGTGGCGGCAAGAATCAAGGTACTCGAAGATTTCCAGTCAACCGTTATAGCAGAGGTTGGCAGTGCAGAGACAAGCACAGTCAAACAAGAGCGCAAAGGCTTAACAGCAAACGCATACAGACTGCAAGTAGTTGAGAGGTTCAAACCGAGAACGCGGGAAGGGGATGCGATCTGAAATCTCGTAGAGACCCCACTTCAGCTCTTCGGGCTTTTCTGCATCATCCGCGGCTCCGGCGCCAGATGAAATCTAGAGGCTTTGTGTTACAAAGGTGGCGTTAACATAGCATATTAATCCGATGCCCAATTATTTGTCTTTAAAGGAAAGAATAGCAAGCTCAAACCAGCTCGAGAATAGTCGCGAATGAAGTTTGTACCCTGTTAGGCAGGCGGTGACACCTGCCGATGGGATGAGATAACTGAAAGAGCTGACAATCAGATAGGGTCTTCGGCTGAAACAGATTGAATTATTGGTTGACTCGACGTGTGCGAAGGTCTTGGAACTTTTCCAACGTGGCAATTGAGATGTCTATCTAATCATCGTACCAACTGTACTCTGCATGTACCAAATTAATCGTCTAATTCTATGGTGACGAGGGAATCATCTGGATGCCACGCACCGTGGCGGGTATACAATAAGGTCACAAAATGGACTGAGACAGCATCCATTCATAAACAGCTGCATAAGCAAACTCTTCCTACCAGTAGAGTCCTGGAATATTTCTTGTCGCTGGATCGAAAATGATCAGTCTAGCAGGTGTCAGTCATGCAACGGATATTGGCCTCGACACCTGGATAGCGCGTAAATGGTGCCTGAGGCCTAACGCGGCCACTTTACGCGATGCGCGGCGCGTCTGAACCTAGTTTTCAACCGGCCCTGGCTTCCATCAACTCCGGTCGTTCATGGGAGGGCTTCGATCAGCTTCCCATCCAGCAATGCTCACTTACTTCGCTCGCTACTTCCTCTGAACCATGGTCGAGATTCTCCCCGACCCTGCTCGGCCGCCCACACCCCCAAGGCCAGGCTCTCGCCTTGAAGATCGAAAGTCGCCAGTCTCTCAAACTCCCGGGCAGTCATCTCAACCAGACACCAGGGCTCCTCCATCAAGTCGCGGTTCCAAACGCGTGACATTCTCGCCATGGCCACATATCACCGCCACAATTCAGTCTCCACGGTTTCCCAAAAAGTCTAAGTCGAAGGACAGCCCGAACTTTAAGAGCCCGCTCTCAGTCGATAACCGGCCGTTCAAATCCATTCTCAAAGAGACCAGCTCTCCGATTCCTGTGTGGTCTCCTAATGTTGATACCTTCACCACCGAATCGCTTGCCATGCTCCTCGAATCGGTCATCCAGCAGTTAGCTGGAGAGTCCATACCCTCTCGACTTGATGCTTACATGCAATTTTTTGGAGCTTTGCGCACATATGATGGATTACCAGCGGGTAAAGACATTGCTGAAAAATTGGGCTTGATCACAGACTTCATCCAGCGTGATGTCACTCGAAATCTTGTAGACCCCGCGCCACTAGACACAAATCTCGCCATCCAGGCTTTGAAGCTCTGCAATGCTTTTGTGTGGCACAAAGAAATTTCAGCGCAGCTCTCGGAGGATTTCAGGGTTTTCCTCGTGGAGCATGCAATCACTGGTCTCCAGGAAGGCAAAGCGCCCAAGTCCGTCTTGACACATTACATGTCTATTCTGGCCACTCAAAACTTTGGTTCCAAAGTCATGTCGAGTAACCGAGTCACTCGCATCCTCACTGTTCTACAAGACGAGAACCAACGTATCTCTGGTAAAGCGATTGCGCTGCATCGTTTGAGTATCTATCAGCGCCTTCTCACTCAATCCAAGGGAACGTTTCTCTCCCATTCTACACTTTGGGTTGAGCAACTGGTTCATGGCCTTCTGAATCAGGTGAAGGAAACCAGAGCTAAAGCCGTCGCCCTTGGATTTCAGATTTCCATGGCTGCAGGACCAAGCCCTGGTGTCTCCAAGAGTATCCGTGAGCTTTTCGATCGACCTATTGGAAGTGACAGGAAAATGGCCGCCGAGGTTCACGAACGTATGTCAAGAATGATGGGCTCTGTTGATAGCGGAGCTCATGTTCCACAGGTCTGGAGCATTATCGTTCTCCTACTTCGGAGTAAGAAGTGGAGATTGGACCAGTGGGAACACTTCAAGGACTGGGTTCTTGTTCTTCAAAAGTGCTTCAACTGCAGCGAGCCCGTCATAAAGGCACATGCAATTGTCAGTTGGAATCGATTCGTGTATGCCGTCAGCCCCGACGAAACCACCGGTCTGGCTCTATTGAAGATGTTGGGCAGGCCGGTGCTTTCGCAATTTGAGAAAAAGAAGTCGGATAAGTCTGCATCGCCACCCACACAACTTGCCTTGGCCAGCTATTATAACCTGCTTTACTACACTTTCCGTCCGTCTTCCTCTTATCGATACCTTGATATGATTTGGGAGGAATATGTCGCCATGCCATCTGCAAGCACGTTCTCAACCTTACCGGCTCTCAGCGACAGCGCTTCCCGTGTATTGGGGAACATTTTGTGGACCCAACAAGCCAAGGTGTGGAGTGAAAATCGAATCAATGACAACAGCAAGATTGAAGTGGAGGAGATTCCTTCGGTGGACCCAAAATGGATACGTTCGAGAGTATCTGTGGTTTTAAGGGTCTTTGAGTCATTGTTCAAGTCATCAGTTTGGGATGATGATGCACATGAGCGTTCACATATTGCCTCGGCCTGGAACTGTCTTGTGAGTGCTTTGTCCCTTGCTTCTAGCAAAGAAATTACACCATCGGGCGAGTCTATGCAGGCTGTTGCAAGTGCTCTTGGCCTACTTCATCGTCTGTGGATTGCCGGGCCGTCCTCCTTGAACGCACTTGGCGATGATTCTACGGATCTCTTCTACGAAAGATTCAGATTCCTTTCCAAAACAGTTATCCTCTCACTCGGCGGAATTCCTTTTACCGAAAAGCTATTCCTGAAGACTCTGGATGGGACATCCGAGACTGGTAGTACCCCCGCACATCATCCGTCCGGCGCAGGCACCAACCTGGAAAATCCGATTGTTCATCTTCTGCGAATAATCATGACAACCAACTCGAAAACAACCCCCACTATTTCCTACAGTCGTCTGGTTGATGAGACCCTTGGCGCGTCATGCAATGTCAGGATCTCACGTGGGTCCCGTCTCGAACTTTTGCAGCAGTGTGCAAATATTAGTACCGGAAGGTCTCCTCATTCTTCTCATCTGTCGTTGTTTCAAGAAGAAGTTTGGAAATCTAGCGCCCGAGCGGCTGCAGATGCCCTACGGTCATTCCCAGTCGAGTCTGCCCGCGAGCGTGATGGTTCTGTCTCACGCGATTATGACAACGTCATCAAGATTCTGTTGTCTGGTTTGCAGTTCACAGATTGCTCCGAAGAGTGGTCAAATCTACTAGGTGCGTTCATGCATGTAGTGGAAACAGAGAAGGGTGATCAAATTACTTTGATTGTCGCGCCTCTCGCCGAAGGCCTTCTATTCGTTCCCACTGAAGTCTCCCATCGGTATCTTACAGCACTACTCAACCATGCCTCTTCGATTTTCTTCACACGAGAGACTGGGCTGGGAACCGCGAATACTATCACTCAGCAGGAAAGCTCATCATCGATTCCTGCACAGCTGGTCGAGGCGATCGCATCAACCCTGCAGTTGGCATACAGACTTGTTGGTTCTCCAAAGACCGATGGTCTGGATGAGTTCCTGAAATCCTTCTCTGTCGTTCTCGGATCTGGCACAAAGCATTTCCGCTCTAATTTTCTTCTCGTGTTACAACCCACCCTTGCTGCGTGGATGAAAGATGAAGAACAAAAGTTTGATGGTGTAGATAGCCGAATTAAGAATGCGGTGAGTCTCTATCTGGTAGCGTGCTTTAACAAAGGCTAATTGATTGGTAGTATCGAACACTGTCAGGTGCCATTATTACCGTGCTAGATACCTGCGTTGGCGACACTGGGGACTATAAGAACTTTGGCTGTCTAATTCGCGAAGGGCTGGAGTCGACTCAAATGTCAAGAGCCCTGGACTTCCTTGGCTTCTGGGAACAGTCGGAGACAGCTCGCAAAGCATTCTCTGATTCGAGTGCAATGGAGGATAGTGCACGCCAAAGCAGGGCTCGACTGATTGCTTCCAACTTCATTCCTGAAGAGCATGTTGATATTGAAAAAGTGAGTTTCATCCGGCTCATTCTCGTTGGTCCTCCTATTGACTCCTGGGAATCCCAGACGTTGAATCCGGACAGCCCTAGTTACAAACCTACAAGCCCCGATCTTCCTCAATCACGCGTGAACTCATCACATGGCTCCATCGCCTCACCCACCCTTGAAAGAAAGCCTGCCAATGCTGTTGAAAGTGCAGAGTCGGTTGAACCCCAGTTGCCTGATGTACAACCTGAGCTCAAAGACGATCAACTCACCGACGACATTTTTAGAGCTCATTTCCCAGCCAACCGAAGAGATTTCTTCAAGGAGCTTGCTAACATCGGGTCCTCTTCTCCTGTGAACACTTCTGGAAAACCTGGCTACGATACGCCAGTCTACCTGCGCAGGCTGCAAAGCTCGCATAAAAGCTGTGAAATTCCGTTGACACCAACTCTTGCTCCTGCGGAGAACGATGAGTGTTTCGTCGGCTCTTCGCCAACTCCCGCAACTCGGGATCCGACACCGGCCATGAACTCAGATTTTCCTCTATTGAAGCATCAAGATATCATGATGACCGATGCTTCAGATCCCCCGTCCTCGCCGCCGGGGCTGGATTCGCGCAGTCCCAGTCCCAACAAAAGCCTAAAACGCAAGAAAAATGAACGGCGGAGGTCTGCAAAAGCCAAGGAAGCGATGCTTCGTCGTGCAGCCGAGCAGCAAACCGATATGAGCAACACTGCCTCATTGAATTCACACAACAAGCACGCCGCAGATTCCGCCAAGGACGATGTGCCTGAAGACCCTAAGGAAAATAAAGCAGCTGATCAATCGGATGAAAGGCCACCCAGCCGTCGCACGCGGTCTGCTTTGGGTCATGGCGCGTTCAATGACCAGAATCCTAAATGTATTGCACCAATTGACACGCCCATCAAGGACACTGAATCTTCTCCCGTGCAGAATTCCAAATCCAAAACTGCGTCTAAAAAGAAAAGGAGAAAGAGGAATTCATCGAAGCTATCGAATGAGGAGAGCCAACAAACGGAACATGTTGATATCAATGACCCTCCCATCTCAGCTCCAGAGCCATTGCTAGAGCCAGCGCCAGCTCCGGACTACTCAATTGATTCCTCTAGTGAGGACGTGGAAACGCAAATAGCATCTCAGCTTGAACAAGACTTGGAACTCGCGGTCGATTTGCGTGAGAACATTGACGAAGTCCAGCGTGAAGAGCAACCGCGTTCACCAGTCTCTACAAAGAAGAGGAAGCGGGATGATAATGAATCTCGTACGCCCACAGCAAAGGAGCGGCGTCGGTCAACCAGGCTTTCATCGACCAAAGAAATCGATGCCGGTGACTTGAATGAAGTGGATAGCTCTTCAGTCAACTTTTCGTCTCCAACGCTGCGCCGCTCTACCCGTGGCTCTCAAAGGAATGAAGAAACCATAAACGGTATCTCCGAATCGGTCCAGGAGCACAATGAAGATAAAGTTACTCTGCGACCACCTTCGAAGCGATCACGCAAACTCGCCCGCCTCGAAGGTCAGTCCATCCAAGCCAGCACTGAGGAGAGTTCGAGTCAAGCCGGGTCAATCCCGGGCACCCGCTCTCGCAAAACACGTTCTTCTAGACGCCAAAGCAAATTCCTTGAAGATCAACACGATGGTCAGGACGTGATTCCCGACAGCCTCCCACTCGTCTCGACCGAGGAGGCCACCGACTCACAAATGACAGACATGGGCTCTTCCATTGATGTACAAACGAACGATGAAACTGATATTTCTCATCACCCAAGGCCCAGTGTGGTGATCCAAGAAGTGGTGAACATCGATAATGCTGAATACCACACTACACCACAACTCCCTCATTCCAATATTACCGGAGAAGGCATCTCCGAGTCACTCAAAAAGCTCCTGAGTGACATGAAATCGGCCGCTTTGGGACCCAATGCCCTCCGCGAGGTCGACGACTTGCTTTTCAACATTCGTATCGAAGCGCATGAGGCATCACGCCGGTACAATGCATAGCGAACGGCGTTTACATGACACTGTTTTTTTGGATGTTAATCTGTTGGATTGTCCTTATTCCCCACCTGTACCTTATATCCACAAAACCAACAGCGACTTTGCATATGTACTGGGGACTATATCTTCATTTTCAATCCTTCCATTGTAGTGCTTGTTCCGAGTCGTTTCTTCTTCCGGTAGTACTATGCGCTCAGAAAGTGTTCGGGTTGACCTATTGTAAACTCTGTTACGTGGAGCAATGTGCCATTGATGGTACCGAAAAGTCTATCCAAGCATTAATGTAAGTAGTATAGGAGTCTAAACCAATCCACTGTACGAACGCCCTCAGCGTGCCTCATCCCAGGAATTCCGAATCAATGCTTCGCCTGCGCCTGTTTCCAACACTCAAGAATCCTGTTCCAATACTGCTCCGGATGCAGGCGCATATGCCCGACATGTGGCGAGCCCTCGAACATCTCCGTCTCAAACTGATACCCAATAGTCTTAACCTGCGCAACATTCTCCTCCAAATCCTTCCACCCAATAATCTCATCCTCCTTCGAATACAGATACAACCTGCTCGAATCGAGCGTCGTAATCGTCGTATCATTCAACACCCGATTTGCCCACGCACCAGACGGCTCTGAACCGCGCACACGTTCCCAGACAAAATTTGCCCACAAGAACACATACCACAAGCCCTGCGTGACAATGAACGGCCACGGGAAGAATTTGGCCGTTCCAACCGCCATCGCTCTTGACCAGCGACCGACCTGAGAAGCGAAATCCAAACTTCCAGGCGTGGAGTCGCAGACGAGAAGTTTATGCGGCAACATCTTATCCGCGCCGTGCCGACGCTGATAAGCGACCACAGCAGCAGCGCAGAAGATACCGCCTGTATTCGACATTGCGTGTAAAAGAATGCGCTCATCTTCCAAGCTGTCGCCTGTCGGCGTAGGGAACACAGTATCGATAACGGGCATGACCGCCTCGATGCGCGCTTCCAGGGGCTGGTTTGACGCTTGGAGCGTACGCGATAGAACGACTAAGATTCTAGCGGTAGGAAAATGTTCATGGAAGCCATCTGTGTATTTTGAGACGTGTTTCGGCATGCCATCGCCCCAGCCGAAGATTATGATTGTAGTTGGGTCATTGGGAGGTGACTTTTTGGCTGAATCATGGCCGTCGCGTAGGAAGACGCGCTCGGATAGCGCAGTGAACCCGGGGAATGACACTGGTTTAGTCGGCATTGTGCTCACTACTCGTGCGGAGTTTGCGCGATGTAAAAAGGTTGTTGGCTAATCTTTTCTATCTCAATTTTGAACTGTACGGCAATAACCCGATCAGGCAGTTTGTCCGAAGTAGAAGAAATCCATGGTACGGATTGCTCGTGTGGTGGGTCGTTGGGGCGTCAGGGGCCGAGGCATCGGACTGTTTATTCATCTTGCTTCTAGAACGCGTGTCAAGATGGCTTGGATTAAGGAACAAAGGTTTGCTTTGATAGGGCTTGAGTGACCATCAAGTGTCGTTGTAAGCAGGATGGTTCTTGATTCAAAATAAAGGCAGGACGAGAAATTTTCGGACGCAACGCCAAGGCATGGGGACATTCTACGAATGAAACTGAAAGGCCCTAACACCTTCCTACATTATCTCGTCCCTCTGTAGTTCCTTACCGTGAATCATGACGTTCACATTGATAGATTTATGTATGATCGGCCCCTCACGGCGATCTCTTCTGATTTCATAACTGTAATGCTTGGTAAGAAGGGTTGGAAAAGCGCTAAACGATGGATGAAAAATGAACAGAACTTCAACGCTAACCAATCCTTTGCTTGCGCCGAACCCAGACTTCCTTATCGTCCTTCGTGAGTTCATCTGGTGAGGACGGGTCGCGTAGTTGTACTTCCCACAACTTGAGCGTGTAGCTTCCGCGATCACCTCGCCCAGTGTGCAGATCGAACGACCAGTCGTGCTTGGGACAAGAAATGCCACTACTCAATGTGATCCCAAAATCTTCAATGTCAAAGACGTTACCCTGGGAAAGCGGGAAGGCTGAATGAGGGCATTGCTATAGAGGTTCAGCTTAATGCAAAGGTCTTTATCTCTGAGTCACGCACATGATCGACGGCATGGATTTTCCCCTTGTATTTAAACACGAGGACTTGGTCCTTCAAATCCCCCGGCATATCAATATCTGCTTCTACCGGGGGTTTGGCTTCGGAATTGCCTTCATTTTTCGGAATGGTAAAAGCTTTGCACCTTGGCGCAATCCGATATGCGTCCTTATCGAGGTCCAAATCAGGAAGCGCGGAAGCAAGGCCAACTGGATGCCAGGCTGCGTTCGCGCGAGACTGGGTGAGGAAGGTGAAAGGATTCATTATCCAAAAATTGCTGATTGTTATGCCATATTTTGTCTGTGAGAGATGCAGAACACAATCAACTCTGATGTCTTTAGTGTGGATCCTTCAGAATGACTTCGGAATATCCATTATCCGTAATATAGAAATTTGTCTAAGTTTTTCTTGGACTGAGTACTGGAACTGGAAATCTAAGGTCTCAGCTAGTGAGATTGTGAATGAAGTGATCCATGGCAAAGGCCTGAACTGGCCACTACATGGAGCTCAAACGTGCTTTAAGCTCACCTCTCCGGATGGAGTTGCCACGACATGCATCAGAGGCAAGACACTGAGCTTCTAGTTCTTCCAGTCAAATCCAATAAAGAACAGAGGCGTCCATATCACCTAAGATGCAATGTTTGTAACCGTGTTTTGACGATGGCGACTGACGCAGGGCACCCGCCACCTGGAGACCAGAAGTAGATAAAGGCACAAGCGCCCACCTTCTTCGATCTACATTCCATGCATATTTTCAATATTTTCCAAATACTTTCCAACTGCCAATCTTTAGTCAGATTAATCTGAAAGAAAACTAAATCATTATACCATGATGGCTACCCCAGGAACTCAATATATGATGCAGGTCGGCTTGGCCTCCGGCATGTCCGCAACAGAGGGTATACATTCGCCGCACCCCAAGCCCGTGGACGTTGAGTCCAGTGATCCAGCACATGTTCTACCTGGAGATATCATACCAGATTCCCAGAGTCGAATTGCTCTACATGGACACAGAGGCAAAGACGTCCTCATCCCGTACATGAGTATTGGTACGTGGGCATGGGGCGACAAGGCCACATTCGGATACGATCCGACCATCGACCTTCCTAAAATCCACCAAGCATGGGGTAAATTGAAGGAAGTTGGCCTAACATTTGTGGATACGGCACAGTCTTATGGTGACGGTGAAAGTGAGCGGATCTGCGGTACGCTGTTCCAGGGCATGCCGCGCAACTCGTTCATAGTGCAGACAAAATGGCACTCGACTGGAAACTTGAGCAGCCTGCTCCTTCAATCACGTGGACCCAAGTCCAAGCTCAATGGGTCACTCAAGCGCCTCGGTCTCGACTATGTCGACATCTACCTGGTGAATGGGCCCATCCACGCCGGCCTGATCTCCTCGGTTGCAGAGGGTCTGGTGGAATGTGTAGAGTCCGGAATGGCTCGAGCGGTGGGCGTAGCCAACTACGACACGCGAGAAATGATTCAGATGGCGGATGAGCTGGCCAAGTCCGGAATACCCTTGGCCGTGTCCCAGTGCGAGTACTCGGTCATTCGCCGTCTTCCGGAAACTAGCGGGATGATACGTGAGTGCCGCCAGCGCGGCATCTGTTTCCAGGGTTTCGCATCGCTCGGCGAGGGTCGAATCTCAGGTAAATACTCGCGATTTGAGGAACCTGCTCGCACCAGACGCTTCAGTAGCTACCCTATGCATATGCTCGAACCCACGATCGAAGTCTTGAAGAGCATCGCTGAGGAGCGACGGGTGCCTGTCCCAGCAGTGGCGCTTAATTACTCCATCAACAAGGGCGTTGTTCCCACGGTCGGAGTTCGCGACGCGGAGCAAGCGGAACAGAACATGCGGGCGTTAGGCTGGAGATTAACAGTAGCCGAGATACGTCGGATTGAAAAAGTCAGTATAGAAGGTAACACATCTGCGCTCTTGCAGCACGGTTAGAAGTTAAGACGTGGAGGATCCGAAAAATGGGAAGATGTTTTGAAGATGTTTCGAAGATGCAGGGAGTAAACATGGTGAAATAGTGGAACACGAAAGTTGGCGGCAGTAATCCGGTGGGGCAAAGCTCCGATCCCCCGCTATCACGTAGCTTCAACTCTTCCTCCTTCGCACCTCAACATGGATCGCTCTAAGAAACCGTCCGCCATCGGAGTGGGTGGATCTGTTCCCCAACCTACTGTTTCAATTCAGGATGCCACCATCGAAGCCAGTTTGCCTTCCGGCGAGTCCGTCACTGTCTACCTGTATGGCGCCACGGTCACCTCGTGGAAGGCCAACGGACAGGAACAGCTGTTTCTGAGTGAGAAGGCTCATCTGGACGGTTCAAAGCCCATTCGTGGCGGTATTCCGCTCGTGTTCCCGGTATGTTCACGCCTCACGTACTCCGTACTCCAGATAGCTTTAGCTCCAGAAGCTAACGCCGTGCTCGCGCTCTACAGGTCTTCGGTCCTCCCCCGCAGAATCACGCTACCTCGGCTCTGCCCCAGCATGGATTCGCGCGCAACTCCACCTGGGAGTTCCTGGGCAAGTCTTCCTCAGACTCGGGACAGGGTGATCTCGCTGTCAAGCTGGATTTCGGTCTCAACCATAACATGCTGAGCGAGGACTTCAAGAAGGCTTGGCCTTATGAGTTCGGACTCGTCTACAGTGTCACCCTTTCGAAGGATGCATTGGCGACATCTCTCAATGTAACGAACGAGGGCAAGCAGAACTTCGATTTCCAGGTCCTGATGCACACCTACTTGCGAGTTGCGGTAAGACTCCCTTGATCTTTCTGGCATTGGCAGCAACTAACTTCATTAGGACATCTCCGACATCCGCGTCAAGCACCTCGAGTCCAAGACCTATGTGGACAAGGTCCGCAACGCGTCCACTCACACCGAGTCCTCGAATGCCCTGCCGATCACAGAAGAGGTCGACCGCGTTTATAAAGACCTTAACCCGGAGAAGCCGATCGTTGTTGCCACCGCCGATGATAAGGCTCTGTTCTCGATCACACGGGAGGCGTTGACCGATGTTGTAGTCTGGAACCCGTGGATCGAGAAGGCCAAGGGTATGGCCGACTTTGGCCCAGATGATGCGTACAAGAACATGATCTGTGTTGAGGCCGGATCGGTGTCTGCTTGGCAGACCTTGGAGGCTGGTGATTCTTGGGAGGGTGGCCAGAGCATCAAGTGCCGGCTGTAAAGTCGCCAGCTTCGACTTTCAATCTGGCTGGAATCCTTTACGCCTTATATCTGATGACCTCAAGATGCTTCCGAACCGTTCCTAGTGAACAGAATCCAATATTCATTTTCCCATATTACTTACTTTAATAGTCACTTGTATGAGGAATGAGCTAGTAAGCGTAAGCAGTATGTTCGTGTTATATTTTTGACAATTTATACATCACGGAAAAGGTATCAAACGGAAGAAAAGAATAAAGGAAATTTTAAATGACAGTATACGCACACATCTTCCAGAATGATGCTTCTTTGTGCCTCATTTCACCGTTTCCCATACCCATGATCCTCCAATGTCGGAGTAGATGTTGAACCCGCCAGATCAATAAAGGACTTCCGGCCCTCTTTCCCACTCTGAAAGGCACTCAACCTCTCCGCCGCCTCGAAGCTATACTGGGGCCCCTGATACTCACGACGGGCTCGAAGAATCCACCAAATCGCAACCAAGAACATCAATCCAACAATAATCACACTGGTATAATTCATGTTCTGCACAGTCGCCGGCAGAACCAACGGGAAGCAGAAGAACACCACCGTAACCACAATATACATCAAGGCAATCACGTTAACAGCCATACCGAGCCGTTGACCCATATAGAACGGGCCTGGAACCATATTCCGACGACCAGAAAGAACGTGCGGGAATATAGCACCAAAGTAGGAGAGCGAACTCAGAACAATGAACGAGGAGATAAGTGCCTGGAATGCCGTTGTACTGCCGATATAGATACATCCCAGACATGTGACCATTGCACTCATCGCCACAGTTGCGTGGACAGGCGTGTTCAGGGTTGGATGGACTTGGGCAAAATAGCTCGAAAAGGGCGTCGCGTTATCTCGAGCAAGGCACCACCACATTCGACCACCGGTGACGAATGTTCCGATGAGTGTTGGAAAGGTGGCGAGGAACAAGACTGCTATCAGACCGATTGCACCTGCGTTGGAGCCGGTTGCTTGTCGATATATCTCGGCTGTTGGGAAAAAGCCGATTTTGCTGTTGAAGACGGCGTCGAGGTCGTTGATTGAGTAGAAGAGGGCGATTAGGTAGACGAAGGAGGTTGTGAATGATGTGAGCATTTGGAGCATTATCCCTTGTGGGACTTTAATTTCCGGTTTTGGGACTTTTGAGTCGTTAGTTTATGACTTGTAGCTTCGTGAGCTTCGTGTTTGAGGTTGTTTGAGTGTACCTTCTTCTGATAGATGGCTGATACAGTCAGGAACCCCGACCGCAAATGCAGCATTCAATAAGCCAGTCATAAAGCATACGCCATCTGACCATCCGCCAGTATTATTGTGATACTCGAGCCAAACTTGGGAGTTGCTCGCATGCTTTTTCGGCATCACGGCTAGAACGATGACCGTGGCGACCAGGCCACACATAGAAAGCACCAATGCAACACGATTGATCAACGGGATCAACCTGTTTCCAAAGCACACAATCGCACAGCACGTCCAGTTGACGATCTGGAACACGATAAACACATGCCACGAGTGCCATTTTGTCTCTGTGTTTTTCAGCACATACATGGCGACCGCCTCATTTCCTAGCACCGAGCTCATCGACGAGCAAGATAGAAGCCATGCACATGCATTCAGATATCCCGTGAAAAATCCGGCCTTTCGACCGCTGTTGCGACTCAAAACCGAGGACCAGTAGTATACACCGCCGGCAGAGGGCATAGAGGAGGCTAGTTCGGCGAGTGACGCCGAGATTGCTGTGTAGAAGATGCTGACCAGAATGAGGCCGTAAATGACGGCCATAGGTCCGCCATTTTGGAGAGCTGCCACGATAGTTCCGCCTGTCGATGCCCATGAGCTGGCACACCATTAGTCCACGGGGCTACCCCACTAATGTAAGACACCACGTACTTTGCGATGACAATGCCCAGACTTGTCAAACTCCATAGTCCAAAGTTCCTTCTCAGTTCTTGCTTATGCCCCAAAGCAGCTTCCAGTCGTACTTCATCGATCTCGCCTTTCGTCTTCAGCGGAGTTACCCCCTCCTGGGTCGCTTTCCGCCCTGACATGGTCATTGTGTCGATTCAAGTCGATCAGTATTCGAAAAAGAAAAGTAAAGTCATAAAAGAGTGTCAAAAAGGAACGTAGGACTCAAACGAGTGACAAACAGAAAAGAGATGTCCCTTCCCAGCAGTGCAGATAAAGGAGAGCCAGCGAACTGACCCATCTCAGAGGCGAATCCGACCTGCGACCCCAGGAATGCCTCAAGCGAGGGTTAACACCCATATGGCCTCCACGTGCATGAGTCGATTTGGACAATACATTGAGGAAAATGACCCCTCCCGGATGTGTTCATCAACGCTGACATTCTTTTTTGGCTCTGTTCCAAGCTATTCATGGTGGGCAAAGCAGGTTCTCAGTCTTGGTTCAGCAAGAATGCGGCTATTGGCAATAGACTGGTGGATGGCGTTGTGACTCCTGCGCCAAGTCTGTCAGTTACCGCTTCATGAGCGATCAGACGCTCGATGTGAGTTTGAAATTCTCATCTGAGCGCGAATTAGTTCGCAATCTCACTGGGGACCTTCCTAATCGAACACCAGGGCTGTTGGATGCATCGCATCGCATGCAAGGGGGATCCGGGTGTCGCGTTTGCGCCGATCGGACATTCCTAGATCCTTTTTAAGGAAACCACTCGACAAATCCAATTTGGCCAGAACTAGAACTGGGTAAGTTGACCTGGGACATCCCAGAAAAATAAAAATAGGACAAAAAGGCAGGGACAGTATGGTTCCATGGACATCAGGGTTTTAGGGGAAGTTTGACATTTCAGTCCCTGGGTAGCATTCTTCGGAATGTTGTACTGCATCCTATTGGGGTCATACTAACAATCTTTTGTACGATCCACATGGCCTCGCGTGAATTATCGGGGGATGAGAGGAGCTAGATCTTCGGTAGAAGTGTCAAAGGGAATCAATTTCAACAGAATCTTGCCGTGGAATAGATCTAGTGAAAGGGGGTCGAATCGGCGTGTTTGATTGCCGCTACTACTACATCCGATCGTACCCACAGCCCTTGATATGTTGACAGATGACCTCTTGTCTATTGTCACCAACCCTGCGGTGCAAACACTTGAAATAATTGTGTTAAGACGTCTGGATGAATTGACGTGAGATTAACTGCCAAGCTTTGAAATTAAGATTCCAAGTAGCCCTGGAATCGGGATCGAAGTGGACCAGGGCTAGGCCAAAACAAGACAAACCATACTGAATACTATCACTATGACAGCAGCCAGTTCAAATCTCCGGATCATCCTCTCTCGGGTTTTGATTACACTGTATCCGTCTCAAGCTTTAATTTCGACTTCTTTCTTCCAGTTCATTTCCACAGGATCCACGATGGGCACAAATACGAAGAAGCAGAAGACCGAGAAACCGTCAGACCTGATTGAAGAGGCCTATCTTCACCTGGAGGAGTCGATTGCTAATGAAACAGCCTCCGCCTCTTTCGTATGTGGTGGTACCATTCCTGTCAAGGAAACCGATGCAGGACCGGCGATTGCCCACAGTACTTCTCCAGTTCATATTTTCTGGGCAGCAAAAGAGGACATGGCGGCACGCAAACTGATTCTTCCGCTCGAGTCTAGCCCAGTATCGGATTCTAGCGCTGCCAGACTAAATCAGCTCGTCGCTGATTGCGAGCCGGCCAGTTTTGGCCGAGGCAAGGAGGATGTCATCGATCCTTCATATCGGAAGGCGGGCAAGCTCGATCCGAAACAATTCGCCAGTAGTTTCCATCCAGCTGACTTCGGAATTACTGAGCAAGTTGAGCGGTTGCTCCTACCTGCAATGGGTGGAACCGGAGATTCTCTAGCATCGCGGGAGCTTCATGCCGAACTTTACAAGTTGAATGTATGTTGATTGATATCACCCAATTCCCGGAGAAGACTTGAAAGCCATTCTTCGCATAGATCTCGAGATATCTTGATGATAGTCGTTTGAAGATACATACGCCATTTGCTTCAAGACAATCCTCGAAAGTCGAGGCTTGTCTCTACATATCCATGTCCCAATCGATGGAATTCCCAAGAATTACAATAGAGATTAACATGTTGGGTTCGTCATAGGTTTACTCAGGCCCCTCAGGGCTATTTCAGAAACATGTCGACACCCCGCGCTCTCAAAGCCAAATCGGATCGTTAGTTGTCTGCTTGCCATCCGTCTTCAAAGGTGGAAACTTGTTGGTTCGGCATCACGGAACTGAAGTTGATTTTGATTGGGCACTTCAGAGTGGTAAAACAATCCAATGGGCTGCGCTTTACAGCGACTGCGAGCACGAGATCAAGACCATCACGGAAGGTGAACGGGTTACCTTGACATACAATCTCTATGTGGCTGGGCCGGAATTCTCGTCGATTCCAAGTTCCGTCCTTGATCCGACGAAACTGCCGTTATATCCAGAAATACAGAAGCTTTTCCAAAAGGAGGACTTCATGAGCAACGGTATCAAGCCCTGCAATTTTCTACAATCGCCCGTCATTGACTTATTTAGGTGGCGTCCTTGCGATTTACTGCTCACATGCTTATCCGCACTCAGTGGAAGAAGCGAACTTATTACTCCCACGGGGCCTCAAAGGTAGCGATCTTGTCGTGTACGCCGTGCTCAAATCATTTGGCATAGAGGTCGAGGTTCTCCCAGTGATCATTGAACAAGAGTACGACTATGGTGACTTTGATTCCGATATTGATGAACTGGGTCCCGAGGCGGAGGAAAGACTGTATGGAGAGAGAAAAGAGAATCTAAAGAAACAGAAAGAGAAAGTGGAGAAAGGTGGCCGCGAAGCTCGCAGCAACCCATATGCTCACATTGGCGAAAGCCTAATGCCATACAGAAGACACGATGATGAAGAAGTGCCCAATGTCTACAAGGTGAGTATGCAAATTTTTCGCCCCGATAGAACGAGTTTGCTGTGTGGATACTTACTGAAACTCCAGTTCATTAAGGAGGTCTGGCCTTACAAAGATCTCCAGAATATAACCTGGATTTCACGGCCCAAACACCGTGAAATGGCAGTCAGCTTCACGCAATGGGGAAATGAGTATATCAATCATACGGAATATTCCTACGCTGCAATCGTTGCGCAGATACCCTCGTTCTCAGAAAGAGTGAAAAGCGGCAGATAATTCAACGATCATGACGGGTGGAAAAGATGTTTTTCTGCAGCATTGCTAAATTGCTTGATGAAACGGCCCTGTATTGCTTCTAACTTGACAGAAATAGACCCCAGGAAGAAGAGTGAACTTTCTGTTCGAAGTTTGTTTACGTCAGAGCTCGGAAGCTGTTCTCCCGCTTTTAATGGTCACTGTATTCCCCAGTACATTTCCGGGTCGTTCTCCTCGTCCTCGGAATAAAGGAAACCGCAGGGAAACTTTGCGTGGGGATCAAAGACGCTCATTTCCCACCCAGTACGTCGACTAAAGATTGTATCATTTATCCCCGGCGTAGTGCAGACAGACAGCATCGTCCGTCTTCATAGAACCATCGGGCAATCCCTTCTGTGTTCTCGTATCTGCCTTGAAGAGAATGTAGTGGCAGTGTCGTGGCACTTTCGTCTTGAGCAGCAACAAACTCTAATAGCACAATATTAGGGGGGAAATGGTCAATTGGGCCACACCTCATTCGTTCATGGTAAAAGTGAACCTGCCCGGAGATCACTGGGAACTTAGTGGTTTGTGTGAATCAAATATGACGCCTCGACAATTTGTACAATGGTTATTTTATTTACCACTACTTTCCAGTTTTAAATAGAGCATCAAGTTGAGCGAGCCGGTTTCAATCATAATGAGTACAACTGCAACTGCAGGATTTAGCCACTTGGATTTGTCAGAAGCCTCGGCCCCGACGAAGTCTTCTGCGCTGTGATGAAATTTCAATGATTGTTCCGTTCCACTTTGAATCAATTTGCCAGGTGTCGAAACCGGGTTGGGATGATGTCAAGTCTCCACTGCAATCAAAACAGCAGGAATGGTGCTTGCCCTGGTAGTGCCTAAACTCGCAGAGCTTACCAATATGTGACCAAGTAACAAGATGCCCTTGCAGGACTAGGAGGCCGAGGCTGTATCATCATACCAAGGGGTCGATACATTCTCTAACGCCATTTTTATCGAGTCCTCCTCAAGTAAACTGTGCTTTGGATGCACCAATTACGATACCGAACCATTGAGCAACCGACACTTTTCATCCCGAGGCCGAGAGAGTGAAAGTGATTACCAATCAATCCAGGGCATTGGGCTCTCGTAATCGGCACAGCGCCTCGAGACGAAGTCCCGTTCCAGGGAAGCGATTTAGTACGCAAATTGGTAATCAATGTGGAGCCCCACACCAGGTCACCACAGTACACCTAGGCCCTTGTGGCTATAAATTGATCAATTGCTCCAGCCCAAGTTGTTTCAGGACAGTCTCATCTTGCCACTCACTTGGCGTCTACAATGGCTGCTACACCAAAGACCGCGGTCGTGTTAGTTGACCCTTACAATGACTTCCTCCACCCAGAGGGCAAGCTCACCCCGCTCCTCAAAGACCTTGACGAGCAAAATGCAATCCAGAATATGAAAGAGCTAGTCCAGACGGCTCGCCTCCATAATATCCCTGTGTATTATGGCCTTCATCAACAGTGGAAGGGTGAAAGTTTCAGCGGTTGGAGACACATGACCCCTAGCCACGTGAAGCAACAAAACATTCACTTCTTTGAAGAAGGCACTTTTGGCTCTCGTATCTACGAGGGGCTGGAGCCTGATTTGAGCAACGGGGATGTGGTCGTGAGCAAACATTGGAATAGCGAGTAAGCAGCATGAATATGTTTGGCTAGGGCCCTGATTAACTGCTCATGCTTCAATTTAGTTCTTTCCAGAACACTGATCTGGACTTTCAGCTCCGACAACGCGAGATTACGAATCTGGTTCTTGCAGGACTAGTGGCTAATACTTGTCTGGAGGCCACTGCAAGACACGCTTTTGAACTGTACGCTGTAAAACAACGATTTCTCCCTGAAGTTTCGGCTGACCCAGACTTGTCTCTAATAGGGGCTATCATGTTACGCTCCTGTAAGTAGCGGCGACTAATTGGACAGAAATTACCTTACTGATTTGGGAAACTTCTGTCGAGCAGGAAAGATGCAACTGCAAGTTGGTCCAAGGAGCTCACCGATGCAGCCTCGGGTTTGGTTTGGCCGTTGTTTGCCCAGGTTCAGACTGTGGAGGACTGGGCCAATACTCTTGATGCAAAGTAGATCATATTTGAAAACTAGTCAGATTCAAAAAGACCTGGCAGCAGGCAAACTATACACGATTAAAATCTTCTTTGGCTGTAGTTTGTCTCGGAATCTTCGTAGATGTGGGTAGAGGGAAAGACCGGAACCTAGGTGGCAATTGCTGACCAATTTCAAATTCATCCGGGTGGAGCCATCTGACAAATTCCCGTCTCTCTCCAAGCCAAGTTCAACGCGGGCCTCAAAATTGTACTCCTTGGAGCTTCGGACTTGACAAACTCCCTTCGTCTACCTGGCTTTAAATCCGCTCCGCAGAATGGCCCCCAGGAAAAGTCAGAAAGACAGCGCACAAGGCCCAGGCCGCGGCGCGCCACACAAACGAGCGCGTCGCGGTTCCTCTCTTGTTGAGCCCGAGGCCTGCCAAAATCAGCCCAACAGACCAGCCAGTAGCCAGAGCCAAGGAATTGATCCTGTATCAGAGTCAACACTACCGCAACCAATCATGCCATGGGCAGCGCTTGTTGATTACCTCGAAAGTGAGCCCATGACTTCTCAAATACAAAGACACAAAGATTGGCGCCGTACGTATATTGCAGATGCTTTATTAGATTGATGCTGACAAAGTGCTACCAAAATATAGGAAGCGGCTCTTCACATGACAATTTCTGTCGTGTCTGCTTGCAACCAGGCGATCTGTATTATTGCCATACATGCCAGCCAGCGTTTCATGCCGGGTGCATTCCAGATGGCTCTCGACGCGACGCTGAAGACAAGCTTTTTTGCGCTATATGTGTTCGACGTGGTTGGCACGTCGCTCCTCCTCCACTGACGCCTCCCCCTCTCCAGGGCCAGCACCGGCACAAAAGCTAGATGCCACAGTACCGCACGCAGGCACAACGCCAAGGCTTAGCATGCTCGACGGTAATTTCGGCCCTACGCCAAGTTACAATAGTTTGCAGGTGCAGGAGGCAGCAAGGAACGCCCCGACATACCCTCCTGCCGATTATCGTGGTCTGCAGCCTCGACCCGCAATCTCAAATGTGGCAACCCCTTCCAATAATGACGCGCCCAGCGAAAATGGTGATCGTAATACGGCATCACCTCGTCCGAAGCGACAACGCAAGTCTCGATTCGCTACTCTTTCCAGTGAAGTCGACGCCTCGCTTGCCGTTCTTTACCGTGAATTAGAATCTGTCGCATCGCTCAAGGCGCAAATTGAGGACCTGCAGATCCAAAATACTCAGTTCCTCCAGATCATAAAGATCCGCGATAATAACATGGCAGTACTGCGCAGGGACCTAGACAGTCGGAAAGCCGAGAACGAAGAATTGCTAAAATTACGAGCAAATACCTCCCAGCATGATACTCTCAAGAGGGAAATGGAAGATCTTAAAACGAGAAACGCGCAGCTTGAAGCAGACTTGCAGGTCTCACGCGAACAGACAGCGGCAGCTCAAGAGCTCGTGAATGATTGGAAGGGGAAACTTTCGCAGTTGATCGGTAATTCTTAGCATGCACTTATTCGCAAATTATAATTATAAAAAACGATGCCCTCCATCTTCATGCCATCGTCAAGATGTCCATCATCTAGACCATTCGCGAATACAATGGTAGCCCGAGGTAACTAGACAATCAACCTCGGGATGGCAAAAATTCAACATATCACCTCAAACCCCGAGGTCTCTGAATGATGAAAGTCAGAATCCAAATATGGAACTCGGTATCTCCTTAGTCCATCACGTAACGATGCCGGTATTCCGGTTCGTGGGCGGGGGTTTGTTAAATTGGTCAGCAGAGCATACCCGAAGGGCGATCCCCTTTGTGAGATCGTTCGTACAATATCGAAACGAGCCTTCTCTGACTTGAAACCATTAGTCGATGATGCCAAAAGCTTCTTAGCTCGACTTTACTGAAATGCAATGTCTCGGATCCCGAGTGAATGTATTTAGCCCTGAGTTGAAACAGATCAGCGGTTATGAAATGCTACTGGGGGATTCTCTATCCTGTCAGCAAGTCTTGGTTTATGATTGGTAGAAATGAAGAATTTTGAACGATAATAAGGCTTTAAGTCAAACTCAATGAATTCAAGCCAGGTCTTGATAGGTGTATACCCTGCGCCCTCTGTTTTGCAATACGGGCCACCATGACTCGTAACCGGTCTTTAAGAATTGTGATTCGTAATCACCCCGAGATGGGGTGCCTTCCTACATAGTACTTCAAGTCGCGGAACTCTGTCCCACCTCTGTCCAGAGTCTCCTCCTTATGCACTCTATATGTGCAAGACATCTGATCAAGCAAATTCCAAACATGTCTCGGCTTGAGGAAAAAGCAGAATTCACTTCCGAAAATATACAATCTGATGATTCGAAGACCGTACAAGCCCCTCCCGACGGGGGCCTCACAGCTTGGCTCCAAGTTCTTTGCATGCACTTTACATTCTTCAATTCCTGGGGTGTTAGCAACAGCTTCTCTGTCTTCGAGCAGCTATATACCGCTGAACTAGGAAATTCGTCGTCAGAAATAGCTTGGATCGGCAGTGTACAGGTCTCGCTGCTCTTCTTCTTGGGAGCTTTCGCGGGCCGCGCAACTGATGCTGGATACTTTCGAATCGTTTACACCATCGGTGCCTTTCTGCAAGTCTTTGGGCTCTTCATGCTTTCGCTTTGCAAGACCTATTGGCAGATTTTTCTCGCTCAAGCTGTGTGTATGGGCCTCGGTAATGGACTTACCTTTGCACCTGGTCTCGCTATCATGTCCTCTCACTTCGCCAGACACCGTGCTGTTGCTGTCGGAATAGCTGCTGCCGGTGCTGCAACTGGAGGTCTCGTCTATCCTGTGCTTGTCGACCAGCTGCTCTATACACAACAAATCGGATTCGGCTGGACTGTGCGTGCCGCCGGTCTAGTGATGTTGATTACTCAAATCCCTGGACTTTTCCTTTATAAGCCTCGCTTCAAAGCACGTTCGTCAGGCCCTTGGATCGATTGGAGCGCATTTAAAGAAGCACCGTTTGTGTTCTTCACTCTAAGTATGTTTCTCAATTTCTGGGGTTTATATTTCGCCTTCTTTTTCCTGGGAAACTTTGCACGAGATCGCATTGGAGTGGAGAATACCATGCCTTTCGTCTTGGTGTTGAACGGCGTTGGAGTCATTGGACGCATTGTGCCCAGCATTCTGGGGGATCGATTGACTGGAAAACTCAATATTCTTGTTCCGCTCAGTCTATCTGCTGCCATAGTCATATTTTCTTGGATCGCTGTGGACTCTATTGGTGGGCTATATGCATTCACTGTCGTCTATGGTTTGGTTGGTGGAGCTGCCCAGTCACTCTTCCCTGCAACTGCGAGCACTATGACACCAGATCTCAGGAGAATAGGAACAAGGATTGGGATGATCTTGAGTATTGTCGGATTTGCAACATTGACGGGTCCTGCTATTGATGGTGTGTTGATCCAGCGAGCAAGTGGAAGCTTCACAGGTGCACAAGCGTTTGCTGGAACCTGCATTATACTAGGAGCATTTTTTGCCGCCTGTTGCAGGGTAGCAAAGGGCGGATGGAAACTCAGAGTGAAAGTATGAAACGAATTGTAATTCTAGATTCCTGTCATGGAACCAACAAGACTAATACCTATTTTCATCCTACAATATAGCAACTTGTTTGATATTCATTTGTTCACTGTAATCCATGATCTGGTGCTTGCAGACTCATACAACGCCTGAAAAAGCAGCAGCAATTCCTGAGCAATCTTTTCATCGCACCTCACTACCTCGCAATTAGGATCCTCGACACGGTCGAAGAAGCAATTCATTTGCTTCGAAAACGCAGCCTTGAGCATGTCATCCTTCTGATGAACTGTCTCGGGGAATAATGGATTGCGGCCTTCATCCCAACCGCTTTTCGCATCCTTCAGTATCAGATGACCCCCAGGTACATCAAAGTTCAAGTGCAAGGAACCTTGAATTCCGTACAAATCCATAGTCCAGTCGACTAGGTATCCAGTCGACTCCCAAGCCGTGAAATCCAGGTGTATGTTTATCGTATCGTACTCCAGAATAGCCGAAGCGATATCTTCGTGAGTGAGAGTTCCAATTTCCACCACGGGATTGAGTTGCTCTTCTGCAAAAAGTCCCGGAACCCAAGAAAATCCCACGTGAGGCTTTTGTTGCGGTATCTTGCGTATAGAAGAGACCACTTGCTTTGGCAGACCAAACAAATCCACCACAGTCTCTACTACATGCCCTCCCAGACTGTAGAAGAACCCTCCGATGTTTCGACTGTCTGATTGCCAGGTTTCAGCCCCAGCACCTCCGGGACAACCGCCATGAAATCTGGCCTCGGTGATATGGCCCAGAAGTGACTGGCCGATTACTTCCCTCGCAAACTCCACTGTTTCAAGATAATGCAACTCCCATCCAATTTCGAAAACTAGCCCCCGAGTTTTTATTTCGGTTGCAAGAGGCCCGAACTGTTCGGGATGAGCGGCACAAGGGTTTCTTTACAAAGATCCCTCTAGCCCCATGGTCTATAGCCAATCGAATGTACTCGGGATTCTCGTGGTCGCGGCCGTGGATCATGGCGATAGCAAAGTCCAGGTCGAGCAATTGCTTACGATCTGTATAGCGTGGACACTGGACATGTTGTTGCATTTGACTGGAGACTTCTGAATCGTTATCGTAGTATCCCAGAACCGTACTTTGATTTTGACGCAGCCATGCGATGCGATGAAAGATATGCGGATGGCCTGTTCCCAAAAGAATTACCTTCGGCCTCATGGTGGAATGCTGGAAGCTTACGCTGGAACTCGCCCGGGCTAGACCCTAACTTATAGGAATGTCGACACCATGGGAGAAGCATTCATTTCGCGCAGCCCCACTTACTAGTACTCATGCGACAGAATGACGACTTTATTACAGCAAGGTCATCCAGGGAGCTTTTGAAGGTCGGACTCCAGCTCCTTTTCAACGTCTTTGGAAGTTTTTGAAAGGGCCTTTCTGGGCGTGTTTCCGCTCCACTGTTTTGTGGTATCTATCAATGCCTATTTGAAGTTTGACAGAAACTCAGGGCTCAGCGCCAACGGTAGGTGCTTGGTGTATGTCTCGTCGAGAAAGCCGGAATTATAATCCGTTAGGAAGACCCGATGTCCGCGCTCGAGTAAACAGCGAGCTGTGACTCGGCCAATCCCGCTTCCAGCGCGGTGATTTTCTATAACTGGCTTGATTCATATTTTTCTATCGGTGCATCTAAAACGTTACATGAGAAAGCCTATCAGTCTCTTTCGTCCTCCAGCTCCGCCTTTGGCTTTTCAATTCCACGTCCTTCATGAATGGTCCACAATACGAACCAACCAATCGTTGCCTCAACAGCCAGCGCCCACCATATAGCACCAACCATATTATTCGCGAGACCAAGCCCCAAGCCCCAGCCGCCAAGGAAGGGGCCCAGTGTCCGCGCGGCACTTGCTATACTCTGTGCAACGCCGTGCACGGTGCCCAGAATAGACGGATCAGTGACACAATTGTTTACCAATATGATAGCTGCAGGCAATGCAAAAGTGCGTGAAATCACCTGTAGTAACACGACAACAGTAAAAGATGGCCACACAATCCACGGAACACGAGGGAGAACAACAAGGAAGGGCATGAGCAGGTATGATATAGGTGAGAAGGGTAAAAATGTGCGGAAAGAGGTGAGAGTTCCCAGTCTCCCTTGGATGCGAGGGTAGAGGAGGATTTGAAGAGGAAGGCCTATGAAGCCGATGATGGCGGTTGCGAGACCGACTCGGGCGGATGGTAGACCGAGGCCTCCACCGAAGTGGAGGAAGCCGTCGCGCGAGTTCTCGGGCGCACGGGGAGTAGGTAAGAAGACGAATGTCATAGCGTTGAAAGCGCTTGTATGGATGGCGAGGAGGAAGTGTGCAAGTAGTGTGAGCAAGACATTCTTCGTCCATATCTGTCGGAAACTTGGTCGCTTGTGCGGCCTAGGCACCGGCATCCGTGAGCGAGTAGGGCTAGATGGTGCAGACCATGTTCCCACGCTGCCCTCCATGTAGAGAGATTCATCCTCTGCATCGGTATTGAGACGACGATAGTGTCGAGGCCTTCCTGAGCACAGTCTCGCTATCTTTTTGCCGAGTCTCCGACCCCAATCGACGCGATAGCGGCCAGTCTCATGCGTCTCAGGAATTGAGTTAGCCAGTCCGCTTCCATGAAATATTTTCTTCATCCAGCACTCACCTCTTCAAGACCCAGGAAAACGGCCAACAGAGAGATAAAGATGAAGATAGCACTAAGCACATTCGGCAAAGCATATGGCCAGTGCTCCATCCACCATACGCCATCCTTACCACCGATGATTGAGCCAGGACCGAATATCTGGGGGAAACTATTTACAGGATCTGCCAATGAGCCTCCCAAGACTGGGCCAATAATGACACCAATATTAAAGCACATAGGAAGTAGAAGGAACGCCCGGGATTGAAATCTAGGGGGTCAGCAAAAGAATCGAATGTCGAACAATTGATCACTTACTTTTTCTCGGCAATAATCTCAGCAATCATTGTCCTCATGACGCCAATGTTACTGTTCAATACTCCTCCAAGTGTACGGAAGATCGCCGCGGACACGAAAGACCGAGAGAATCCAAACCCCAGACATGAGATACAAGTCCCCATCAATCCGATTAGAAGAACTCTCTTCCGGCCCATCCAACTGGCATCAGCGAGTCGTCCCCACCAGACAGCAGTAAGAAATTGCGCAGCGGTAAAACTGCCTTGCAAAATGCCCGCTTGCGTCGAGATCTTCGAGTCCGGTAAAGACGGATCAAACGACTTCAGCTGATAAAACATATAGGCCTGCAGCGAGGTCTGCGTAAGCGGCTCCGATAACCGCGCAAATGTCAAAATAGCCAGCTGTCCTTTTTTCGGCAGCGACATCCACGTCACTGGTTTCTCCTCTGCTTGGGAATTATCTAGGACACCATCATGGTCGTCGTCGCTTAAGTCATCGTCTGCAGAGGGGAACCGTCGATGGTTGATCAGCAAAGGCGCAGGTCCCAGCCTCGTCTGGCGGGCATTCCCTTTGAAAATAGCCGTATCTATACTCTCCTCACTATCACTCGACAGATCGGTATATGGCGAGTCCATGCCCTGGGGATGCATTCGTATACCGGAATCGGAGCGGGATTGGCCCGCATGTGGAGAGGACCCCATCAGCCAAGACCTCGGGCACGCGACTGGGTGTAACTCGAGATCGTCTCAGGGACAAGAGTCGTACAGCGGTGGAGAATTCTGTTTCTGTCTTGGCATAGTATGATATGTTGTAGGGCGTAAAGGAAGCAAGTGCTTCTAGGGAAGATAAAGATCAAGGCGGCAAAACCTCCGACACTGACACCATCGGCGGGTTCCCCACACGGGTCCGGTCATCACTGCGGAGTGCCGAGTTAACCGCTACCCATTTGCCACTTCAACTAACAGTTTACGAGCTTTCGATTTCTGAGTATTGGGCGCCAAAGCAAGAAGATTGACAATTCGTCTGTGACACAAGAAGCAAAAGCAAAAAGGAAAGTGCACCGACCGGGATTCGAACCCGGGCCGCCACCTGTCACATATCTGCATGGGAGGGAGGCATCGTAACCACTTGACCATCGGTGCCACTAAACAGGAGACTATGACTGATTTTCGTCAGTCGTACCATAGCAACACATCCCATTTAGGCTTCTCGATTCCCTCGGATCCATGGTTGGCTGCCCGTGAGATGTACGACTCAAGCCCTCATTGATCCAACAACTAGTCCTATTAGTCAAGACACTAATTGACGCTGTATTATCCGTTGAGGTTGAAAACAATTAATTTCTAGGGTTGTAATCAAATAGCCACCAAAATTCAAGGGTATAAAAAGCCTCGGCTATGAATAGCCGACTGGAAGAAGCGCGCGAAGGTGTATGGACAACATAAAATCCAAATCACAAAAATTAAAAACAAGAACGAGACTCGGTCCAAAGCGGGATGAGAACCGTCATGTCACTATGCACAAAGTCAAACTGTCCGGTTGATCTGGTCCTGTGGTTCTTTCAAAGGACTTCGCTGCAAAGGCGGATGTAGCCGCATACTGGCCGAACTTGAATCTTCGATCTCATCACCTTGGCTATTATTCTTGCTCCAGACGTCCATAATGTACTCTTCAGTTTGGCTCGCACCATCATGCTCACCAGAACCTCGCGTTATGGCTTCTTGGCTCGAGCGGTGAGCAATGCCATGTCGAGAGTTTCTTGCAGTTGGAACATTTTTTGCATGCTTGCGACAAGGAGGCTTGAGCCTTTCGAGAGTGCGAGAAAAGGATGGGCGCGATTGCGATAAAGACCCGGAGTACCCACTATCCTTGTTTTGGTCGTTGGCGCGTCGGCCTCGGTTGCTGTTGTAAGAAAAGGCAGTAAGACCAAAGATTTTCCGCAGTAGTGGCCACCAGCACATCAGATTGGCGACATATATTGCAGTACTGGCTTCACGAATGTACCATATTTGATAAGTGGTGGTAAGTGGCGAGGCGAAGTTGAAGTATTTGTTGAGAATGGCCGCTATTATGGTGAAGAGACCCAGACTCATGACGCCGATCAGGACAACCTTTCTTGCCTTTTTGACTTGGGCTTTGATCAGAAGCGGAATTGGGATGGCGAACATCACTGCGTCTGATGAGATGTTGAAGACGGCTTGCGTGATTGAGTAGCGCTGGTATGTGGCGCATTGCATGTTGCTCACTGGCATCGCCCAATATTGTGAGAATGGTCGACAGTAAACCGCATAGTAGCAGACCATGATAACGACAAAGCCCAGTGTGACGTATACAGCTAGGATCTTGATATAAAGATTCGAGCGCAGGTTTTGGGTAATCCTCCAGTAGAGAATCAACATGCATGTTTTGACACCCCATGTGGAGAACAGCATGCATTGCTCTACTCCGATGACTATCTTGCTTCCGAAGATCCGGTCGCGGACTTGTTTTGGGTCTGCCAACACTTCATCATAGTCTTTCGGGTCCATGAGGTTTGTTGCGTAGCGAGAGGATATTTGAATCAAGACCAGCAACGTAGTATATATCATCTTTTGGTTTATTCTCGGTCAGCCAAAGTAAAAGCCTTTCATCGACCAGTGGTGCATCACACTCACGAAGGTTCCTATCATGACATAGTCATCCCCTATAGGATGAATAAGTTAGTGAATGACCGTTCGTCGGGATGTTTTTGTTCCGGGAAACGTACAATATAAACGTTTAATGGAGCCATTGGCGATGATTCGCGATATACTGGCACCAAGTCAGCGGGAACTCAGATATAGATTGCGTCATCTCAACATACATTCGTCCGAGGAAAATCACGACTCCTATGCTCCAGAAGATGACAGCTTCCACCAACAGCTGATGCGGAGTTGGTGAAACGTCCCCCATTTTGGTGGGCGAAGCACGCAGACCAAGAATCCGAAGCGATGCAAAAGATCACTCCATGTGTATCGCTGCCCAGTGGGAAGTGCGGAGGAATCAATAGCAGAGAATGACAACAAGCATCCCTTCAGCGGCCATGGCCACACAACGATAGCGGTGCCCAAGCAGATCTCAGTTGCGGACCACGGCTGAATAAAAACGATCGATCGGTTCGTCAAGGTCGGTGAGCGAGAATAAGCTCACTCCCATCGGGGTTCTCAGCCTGCACCAGCTAAGAAGAGGGCTGCAGCATCATGCATCCCCGACCGGCAAATGTCAATTATGGGCTAGAGGCAAGTTCGAAAGCAAGGAGGACCAAGACTTGGACGCAAGGGAGAAACTCGAAGCGCCGACCCAGATCGACGGTAGTTGGGTTAAGAATGTAGATCACAAGGGAGATGAACGAATGGTTCAGCGCACTGTGCTTGTCAAAGACTCTATCCCTACTTTTGTAGCTTCAGTTGTCGTGATTCTGGAGGCACAGTGACAAGAAGCACTCTAAATGACGACTAGAAATTCAATCTAAAAATTCTAGGCGAGCCTTCATGTGACCGGATGAGACTTGTATGGAGCGTACCTTAGCGAGCAGAGGCTGGTATAACCGCCATGGCGCATAGAGGCTCGTTTTGTGATAGGCTCGACAGGAGCGGAGGCGAGATCCAAGTCTGCACAATTCCGATAGCTGAACGATCTGCAGCTCCTCGACTAGACACACGCAGGACGACAGGTCAAATTCCGCAGCGGGAACAGAAAGGCTGCGCTAAGGCGTTTGATTGGCCTTGTCAGAGCGTTGATCTGCAAGATGATCCGAGCCAACCTTCAATAGCTCCTGGGTCCTTGCTCCTAGATTCAACTTGCCACGATCCACGGGGGGCTTAATATTGGTGGTCATTGCAGGAAGTCTCTCGATGCCGGACACAACAATGTGAGAACAAGGCTGTACCAGACCGAGTTTTCGCCGATCGGGTGTGGTCAATTTTACCAGGTGATTGTACACGTTTCGATATAGACCACCTTAGCGATGGCATGGGCGGGATTAGTTGAAACCAGCAGATCCCGCGATATTCGCAACAGTGTCGACAAGGAAGTGGCAGCCGGTACATACTCTATGACGAATGAACTTTTGATCTGACAGCGACGCTATGGAGAAGCCGTTTAACTGTCAGGTTGTAGGATTCGCGCACTGGCCATTTGACCCATGAATGTCATGCCATGAGGAGATGAGTAGCAACTGTTGTTCCGATTTTTGCGGACTATGCGTGCTCCACCCAAGTTTGCAGCACAGTAGAAAAGAAGCAAACACATGGGCAAACATAATGAGTGAGACACATTGCTTTTATCCGAGCTCCACAATTTCGAGGGAAATCTCAAAATCCCCGCGGCCGAGAGTTTGAGGCACTCCTGAGCGCAAGCACCCGGGTGTTAGTGACGAGACTCGCTTATTTTGTCTTGAACTCGACTGAGCGCATCACAAGTTTGCTCAGAGCGCGCTATTGGTTGGTGTATACTTCGGACGATTCTCATCTTTTGAGGGTACGCCCTGTTCAACTCTCGTGTTTTCTTCGTGAAATGGATGATCAATTATGCATGTTTCTGCGGGCGTCTAACACTTGAATCGGGATGCTACAATACCGCACAAGACTTAACGATGGCCTGCATATAAACAGTTGCCTGTCCAAAATCTGGAGGCAAACCAGCTCAACCAAGAGAAATTTATCACGTGAAGATCAATCAAAGGTTCATCTGTCCTTTTAGCTTCTTCATGCTCGGCAACATGATGCTCCAGGACGCCAAGGAAGCGAGTGCAAAGAAAAAACTTACCAAGAGTAGCTTTGAGTGCACCTAAAACATTTACACGACTATATGTATAACAGCATTTCCTTCGAATATTGCTTGGATCCAGGGTTGTTCTATTCACAGAAGATTATCTAGCAGAAATATTGGTTCTATATATACAGATCAATCAGATCTTCAAAGGCATGATCCTCGTAATCTCATCGGCGCGATGGAACGCCCAGCAAAGTCGAAACACAGCCGGGGTCCTACTCCGCACCCTCATGTGTAGGAGTTCCAGCTCCTGGTCACCGATTCACTAAGGCTCAATTTTCGGCCTGCTCACACGGCGGCCATTGTTTTCAGCCCGCTCGGCTACAAGAGCCTGAGCGAACTTGGACCTCGCGCGGATCTGGGGACCTTTCCAGTAGAACACGTAAATGGGAATCACAATCAAGCAGGATAGACACGCCAGAATGGTAGACGCATACTCGACATGCCACTTGTCGCCAATGTTCTCGTACATTGGGAAGGCGTACATTGCTGAGATACCGGCGAGCAGATCACGGGCGAAAGCATTACCACCACAAGCGGAGGCCGAGTACACGCCATAGGCCGCAATCATGTAATCGACCGAGGACAGGTAAATAGCATAGTTGGCTATTCCGACCATGGTGGAGAAAATCATGGATGCGATCCAAGGGATACCTCTCGCCTGTCCGAATGACGTCCAAGCGAAGCCAAACAACCCAATAGGCTCGAAGGGAGCGAGCCAAAGCAGCCATTTCAGTCGTCTTTCAGCGGGTGCAAAGTCCGCTCCGTGCTTCTTAGCAAGATGCTCATCACGCCAGAACCATGGGAAGTATGAGAAGTAGGCGAGGAAATAAGCCAGGTTGATAGGAATGACTGCCCAAGCTTGACCCAAGATACCAAAGCCCCAACCCTGCTCATACACAGTTGAGAAACTCTCCAGGAAAGTGAAGATGAGGGCGTCGGAGAATCCCGACAGAAGCGACAGACAGAAGACGATGGGCTCACGCAGCAGCATGTGGAAAGGTCGTGCCCAGATTTTGCCAGCTTCCTTGAGAGAAATTCGAGGATTCTTCAATTCGTTAGGTCCGTAGATGTTCGGGTCTTCGCCAGTCTCACGGCGACGCTTCGCTTCCTTGTCCATGATAATGGTCGAGCGAGATTCGGGCATGAAGAAAATGATAGCCTGAGTCACAGCTCCGAAGATGAGCTGGATCCAGAAGAACCATTGCCAATCAAGGACTGATGATTGTGCGAGTTAATTGAGACGAAGGATCGCGAAAAAAGTAGGGGGATGACTTACAGCGCTCAATGGGGCCACCAATGACACCACCAATGCTAGTACCAATGCACGAAGACAGCACAATGAACGCGAGAGGGAATTGTTGGTCTTCACGTTCGTAGACATCGGCAATAAGACCAAGGGTCACACTACCACCGGCGGTTGAAAGACCACCCTAATATAATTAACGCTTGTGATCTCGGTGGAAAGAGGTTGAAGATTAAAAGAAAAAGAAAACGCACCAGGCCACGGCAAACAACAATAGTTCCCCAGTTAGGTGCGACAGCGCAAGGGATTTGCCAGATGTTGATCAAGAACATGGAGAGCTGGAGAATGGGCCAGCGACCGAACTCCTCGGACCAGGGAGCCCATAGTTCACACCCGAAGGAGTATAGGACAAGGTAGATCATCTGTCCAGTACGCGCCTCCTGCTGGCCGATCTCGAAGGCCTTCGACAAAGGCTTGACCGCATTGGGGAACACCGATGTGTTGAAGTTCATGGAGACCTGCACGAATGCGACGGCCACAAGGTACGTCCATTTCTTCCATCGCGGCCAAGAGTATGCCAGAACATCATAGCAATCCTTCTCCGTCAATTCGCGCTTGCCGTCAGGGCGAACGGAGTCTTTCTTCTCAATTTCGCGCGCGAGGTCGACTTGGTTGTCAGAAAGACTAGAGCCACCATTTTCGGAAGACCTCCGGGCGAGAGGGTCCCCGGCGGCAGCTTCTTGGTGCTCGACATCGGCCATCGTCAGACAGAGGTAATATCAAATTGACGAAAGACTGCCTACGTTCCAAAGACTCTTTTTTTTCGCGTCTTTGCCCGCGCATTTAATTCTCAGGAACACGACAGTGTTTGCCCCATCCTAAGTTCTTATTATCGTCATCGCCTTTAAACCGGTTTAATAAAAGCACTAAGAGCTGTCTGTACCCACTATAAAAGTGGATTCAGGCATATCCGACGAACTTGGCGCGTGCATAGCGAAGATCACGGCTGTACATTTCTTTGTAGCAGGACTCAAATCTGAACTGTGACAGAGCGCGGTAAGTATTTCTTCATTTCCTAATACTATTGTAGTGTCAGAAACAACATATGCGACCGTGAACAGTGGCTACGCAAGGAGAGAACCGACTGGAAATTCAGATGGTGTGATAATGGATGATCTTCGGGTGTCCTTGTTCCTCGCTGGACCCTCGGGGCTCCACTATGGACCGAAAGGCAGAATTGACGTCAATCGGCTGCATAAAGGCCCGGTCGCATGCCGCAACGCTCCAGACCTTCCTTCATAATTGCTTGGCAAAAAAAATCTGACAGTTACCACTGGCCGAAAGGTCATAAACGTCTGTCAACCTCGGTAACCCGCCAGGGGTCATTATATGATGTCTTTTGACCTTGCGGGGTGTACAAGATGGGTGCGCATGATAGATTCGATTCAAACTCATTCGTCAAAATTTATTTGGTACCTAGCAGTTCATCTACTCATAAATTTGCATCGGGGAAAGGGTATTCCAACGCCTACCGCATTTTATAAGTGGCAAGCGGGCCGCCTGGTTGAGCGGATTCCCGAACCCGAAACTTACGGCCCTTCGGAATCGGCTGTCATCATGTTCGGCTAACCTTCCACTTTACCCCAGAAATGCTTCACACATACAGCATTACGCCTTCCACGATGGTGTGATGAACGCCTTCAGCGCAAGAGTGACGTTTCCTTCGTGGGCTTTGAGGAGGTCGGTGGCTTTGTTTTTCTGCAAGTCCAGCTGTTCGGCCTATGAGTGTGAGAATCAGTATACAATTTAGCTTTGAAATAGAGAAATCATCGCGATTGGGAGGCGCTGCGCACGTACCAGAAAAGTGACATCACTGGCCGCGATCTTAACCGCCTTTCTTTTCACCTCAGCCTCCTTCTTCTGGGTCTCGGTGATATTCGTTTTCGCCGAGCCTTTTCCAGCGGCAATCTCGAGTCGGCTCATAGCCCTCCCGAGGGCCTCCTGTTCTGCACTCGAAGGTCCCTTGGCTGGGCCATCCGCTGCGAGTTCATTGGTATGCAGCGAGTCAAGGGCAGCAGCAGCTTTGCGGTCTTCTGCGTTCGCGGGGTGAGACTGCTCCACAGAGTCAGGATCCCCGCTTGCGGAGGGAATGGGATCAGACATGGTTTCTCAGTAGGAGTCAAGTGCTAATCGATCAAGGGCTCAGCTTTGTTGTGATGTACAGAATAACGTCACTGATAAGCGGGTAGGGGCGATAACAGCTGATGTAATCACATTAACACCTTAAATATCAGGCCACTAGACACTTTTGATGAACACCGTGTTAATTAGGCATCAACATGACTCATCCCGAATCCCGTGAATAAGCGGCGTCAACCTGTTTTGTCTTTTGCGGGTGTCGAGTGTGCGTTTCTCGAATCTTTGTTCGATTTTAAGATCGGTGGGAACTTCGTGGCATCCGTTAGCTACATACGCAGCTAGTCAATTGCATTCCGCGTGGATCAGAGGACCGACTGCTCCGTCTTCAGCTTGACCTGTCCCGCTTTACCCCGTGCTAACGACCCCACTAGTCATGGCCGACTGGACCCCAAGCTGTGCGTTCCTGACCTGTGCCAAGTGTTTACGAAATCCCAGGGACTGATCATTTCTAGCCTGGACTACCAAGCCCATCAAGCAGGATGTGGTTTATGAAGACGCCCAGGGAGTCAAAGACTCACTAGAGAAGCTACAGAAACCCCCGCCGCTAGTGACAACACAGGAGGTGTGCCGATCAAGCTCGAATTAGTCCAGGCCATCCAATATCTAATCGCATATCTAGATCCACAACCTCAAGAAAAGCTTGAAAAATGTTGCTCTGGGCAATGCGTTCGTATTGCAAGGTGGTACGTCTGGCACAATTCTCTAACGCTTGGCTTCGTCTAAATTCCATATGCACAGGTGACTGCGCCGAGTTGTTCGACTACTGCAACCAAGACATGATCGAGGCCAAGGTGAAGCTTCTGTTGCAAATGAGCTTGGTTCTGATCTGGGGTATGGAAATCAGCTTGTCTTGCAAGAAAAGTCCGCTGACCACCTCGCAGGAGCAAACAAACCCGTCATCCGTATAGCTCGCATTGCAGGCCAGTTTGCCAAGTAAGCAGCCATTCCCAAACCAACGAACTATGCCAAGTGCCATGATTGATGAACGATATACAGGCCTCGCTCTAGCCCAACAGAAGTAGTCAATGGCGTCGAAATGCCCTCATTCCGCGGCGACAACATCAACGGCTTCGCCGCCGATGCCAACTCGCGAAAACCCGACCCATCCCGCCTCGTCTCAGCATACTTCCATTCCGCCGCAACTCTCAATTACATGCGTGCCTCACTCTCCTCGGGCCTCGCCGACCTACACTCCCCACTGAGACTGGGGCCTCGGTCACGTAATCACTCCATCAATCAAAGAACAGTACTCGCGCACCGTCAACGCAGTCAAAGACGCCCTCCGCTTCATGCGCACAGTAGGCATTGATAAAGACCGCGGCGTCGAGACCGCAGACATTTACACCAGCCATGAGGGTCTCTCCCTCGAGTACGAGCAAACATTGACACGCCTCATGAAGAATCCCACTCAGGCCGGATCCGCACAGACATCCGCGTACTACGCCACCTCGGCACACTTCCTTTGGATCGGAGACCGGACTCGCCAACTGGACGGTGCGCATGTCGAGTTCTTCCGCGGCATCGAAAACCCCATCGGCATCAAAATCGGGCCGACAATGGCATCCGACGAGCTCGTCCGTCTCCTGGACGTGGTGAACCCGACCCGAGAAATCGGTAAAGTCATCCTCATCTCGCGGTACGGCGCAGCCAAAATTGGTCAGTTCCTACCGGGTCATATCGCTGCTGTGCAAGCTTCTGGTCATCTCCCCGTGTGGCAGTGTGATCCCATGCATGGTAACACCCAGGCGACGCCCTCGGGTGTCAAGACAAGGCATTTCACCGACATATTGGCCGAGTTGAAGCAGGCGCTGGAGATTCATCGTGCCGCGGGGTCGTTCTTGGGTGGAATGCATCTTGAGTTGACCGGTGAGGCTGTCACGGAGTGTGTTGGTGGTGCGGCTGGATTGACGGAGGAGGGGTTGGGTGAGCGGTATACGACTTTTTGTGATCCGCGGCTTAATGAGAAGCAGGCTTTGGAGCTTGCTTTCCTTGTTGCTGGGTTCTATCGGCAGGAGGAAGAAAGTTGAGGGAAGGACTGTCTTCTCTTACCTAACTCATTTTCAGCTCATTCTATCGGCTTAACTTTAGAGGAACAGGATGATTTAAATGGATGAAAAGTTCTCAGATGATTGGGTTCCACGTATTCGAGTTGAAGAATGAGCCCGGTTCTATTCCTATCCAGTCAATTTGACTGATCCGCCAACAGAAACTCCGAATGCCCCCATGTGTACAGTAGCTTGGGACGTATGTATTTACAGTGAGATAGAAACCCAAAAAAAAAAAAAACACGAGGAATTTACCGCTTGAGTGGACTTTCAGCGGAGGGTTTGAAGAGGTTGGTCTTGCGCCTTGCAGCTTCCATCCTAGTACGCTGTTTGCGTCTCTCATCGTCGTCGACGTCAAATAGACCACGACGTGTGCTAGGTTTGCCCGCCGAGAAGAGACCCCGTTGGCTCTGCTTAGGTGGACAAGACTGCTGGACGAGCTTATTGCGATTAGACAAGAAGTAGGGGGTAGCAGGAGACATGCCAATGGCATCAAGGTTGGCGAAGTTGTAGCCAGGGGTCTGAGGGATGGCGTAGCGATCATTGGATTGCTCAGGGGTCGATGGCACTTGAACAGGCGTTGGCGGGGTGATCTTGCGGAAAGTCTCGATTGCTCCAAGGTTGGCACCGTGGCGACGACCACTGGCAGAGGGAGTGGATGGCTCCGCAGTGTGCACAAGAGTACCATTAACATTGCTCAGCGCACGTGGCTCCATGCTCTTGCGGCGCTTGGCTCCGCCGCGAGGGACGATCGAACAGTCAACAGTGTATGGGGTCTCTTCGAGCCACTTGTTCTCTCGTTCACAATCCAAAACCCAGTTGACGCCAACACACTTGACCAGGCCAGCCGCATGCTTCACCTTCTCCAGGGTGCGCAATCCACCATCCTTGTATACCACATGGGTGATGCCCACTTTGGAGTTAGCCTCCTTGGAGTCTGCATCATCAGCTGGGGAAAGACTGGCTCGGGGATTCCAAGACCACGACTTTACGCATCGAGCGCCCATTTGTTGCAAAAGTTCGAGGAAGATGCCGGAAGCATCTTCACCCTCAGTGGTATGAACATCCACATGTACAACAGCACCGCGTAGAGCCTGACTACTGGGGTTGAAGTTGGGGCGCGGAGTCTTCGCTGGACTCGCAGCGACGGATGGAGCCTTTGTTGGCGTCACGTCTGTCACCTTCCCACTAGAACGTCTAGGAGCACTGCAGCGACGCTTGGGACTTGGGCTTCGACACATCCGCGGTGCGTTGTGTGGAGAGAACGAGGGCATACTGCAAGTCAGCTGGGGGAAGATGGGCTTAGAAATGCGAGGAGAAGAGCGAGTGGGAGATGCGCTCGCAAGGGAGTGACCGCGTTTTCGGGGAAGCTTCAAGGGGAGACGTCGCCCTCGGCTTTAAGCGGCACCTTCGAGACAGTATGAACCATTCGGCTTTGTCCTGGCACAGGTCTTACTGGGGTGGCTGGCGCAGGGGGAGCGGTGTCCAAGTTCTCCTTGTCCTCATCAGAAGAGTCCATAGCTTCATTGTCGGAAGATTCATGGGCAGCAGTCTCCTCTTGTTGCTCGACTTGTTTTATTTCTTCATTCTCCAAAACAACAGACTCCTCGTCCTCGTAGATGTCGCTCTTGCCCGGTGATTCTATCATCTCAGGATCGTGTTCAGCCAGGGAAGAACGTGCAGGAGATCTCGTGGGAGAGACAGAAAGGCGAAGAGGTAAATCAGTGAACAAACTTGGAGTGTTGGTAAGAGGAGTGCGCGAGAGGTCAGGGTATGATACATCATCTTCCTGGGCCGGAGGATTGATTTCAGTGGCCTTGTCGAGGGGGCCCACAAGAGAAAACACACCACGGCGCCGTGGCCGGGGTGTCCTCTCTTGAATTGCAATATTAGTATCCCAGTTGTCAAATCGTTCTGCTAGAGGGGTGAATCCCAAGTCGACTCCTGCAACAGACTTCCGGTTGTTTTGAACACGAGGGGTGTTGGAGACGCTTGGCGCAACAGGAGAGAGTATTTCAGTCTGTGTTGTGTCGAAAGGACTCTCTTGAGCAAGTGGGCGTGGTGAATAGTTGATGTCGAAAAGTCGATCAATAGACTTGACACTGGCCTGAGCTTCCTCCTGCCGTATGGATACAGGTGTCATCTCGCCGGCAAGGGGAGTAGGTGCTAGGGGAGGAACAGACTGCATAATCTGGAATGGACTGGTGATTTGTTCATCCTCGTACATCTGCTGATATGTCGAGTCTTGTTGAAATGGCGAGCGAGGTTGAGGAGTCACTGAGAATGCGATTTCGGATTGCGCAAAAGTAAAGTCGTTATCCGGAATGTCCTCTTGTTCGCTCTCCATTTCCTGCTCTTCATCTGGGTAGCGGATGGATGCAATGTAATCTTCATGCTGCTCATTTTCCCCTGTTGAGGCCAGTCCTCGTGATCCGATCGGGACATTTGCAGTTCCTCGAGAGCGTCCAGTCCGAGTGTGGGTTCGGAAAGCGGAGAAGGACAGGTTGGCATTTCCAAAGACTGTTTATCCAAATTGTCAGTTTCCGTCTCTAAGGACACGGCAGGCTCGTCGATAGGGTCTGCAGTGTCAGAGAGCAGACTGGGTTCACGTTCGCCTTGATCTTGAACCGCCGACTCCTCATTCGGATCAACCTCATCAGAATCCACGGCGAAATCAAAGATTCTCGGTTGTTCAAGATTCTGGAAAGGCTCCTGAAGTTCTTCCATGGTATTGAAGCAGAATGTACCCATGTCTTCAGGTTCGCGGCGAATCTCTTCTTGCAGCTCTTCCAACTTCTCATCGATATCCGCATCCTCAGATCCACTCATAACGTCATACTCTGCGGCTTCATTATGAGTTGATCGATGCTCCGGGACTGGTTCAACATTCTCATCACTATATTCGCTCATGGCTTCATCTTCAGCAGCTTTGGCAGGTGTGGCTGCAACATCCTCCACTGGTTCGGTTTTTGGTGACTCATTCAAGAACGGTGAAGCGGATGAAGACTTCCTGTCAGATTGCAACTCGATTCCAAAAATATCACGAGCCACTTCTTCTACCATGTCAAGATCTTCATCACCACCGAAAGGTTGGAAATCCTTGGAAGGAGAAGCAAATTTCCTGGCCTTCATGGCAGACCCAGCGAAAGTATCGGCATTCTCCTCACGAATCGTGGCTTTGGAAGAAAATAGAGAAGTCTTGAAAGGAGAAGCTATCCTCTTCGCTGGACTTTGGATCAGGGAAGACTGAGCCTGGAACAAAGGCGTTGCGGCTTTAGACGGTGTGCCCGAGAAAGATGCAGCCAAGTGGCCCTTTCTAGGAGACATCTTGAGTGGCGATTCACGGCCCGGGGTAAAATTTGGCGCCGGGACTGAGTGGGAAAATCCACCATTGGGGGTATCCCGGAGACTGAATTTGAAAGGAGATGGGGAAGCCTCAGGTCGCCTGGCTGGGCTAGACATGAAGACAGAATCACTGAAATCAATTGATTTTCCAGGCGGAAGAGCCAGGTGGCCATTGTCGGCGACGGCGTTTCGACTGTGGTTTGGCGTGAAGTTGATTCTCCTCACTGGGGAGCTGAGACCTGTGGTTGAAGATCCGTGTTTGGGCGTCGGGAATTTAAGATCACCATTCTCATCGATAATGGTGGGAGTTTTCTTGGGTGTGAAGTTAATCTTGCGAACGGGAGATGCCATCCCCACGCGTTCGGTGATATCTTTGGCAGGCGAATGGACTAGCAGTCTAATTGGACTCCTGGAGTCATCCTTCGCGGCACTCAACTCATCCTCCTCGCCATCAGAACTAGCATAAGCGGATAGAGACTTCGCAACTTGCTTCGCTTTCTTGGGAGAAAGAGGCTGAGAGTCATCTTTCTTCGCTGCTGCAGGCTTGCGTCCCCGGCCAGTCACAGCCGAGTTCTTACGCACAGGAGTAGAGCCAAGTCCGGTTTTTCCAGCATCTTTTGTAGCTGCCTTTTTCCGTCCAGCGGTTGAAGCAGCGGGCTTTACCTCCTCGTCCACTCCCGAGTCGGTCGGATCTTGGAACGTCACAGTCTTCTTCTTCGCCGGGCCTCGGAGAAGATTGGATCGTATGGCGTTCGGGTTTATAATGATCTTCGTCGGCCCCAACTCGTCTGATGTGTTCTCAGCTTCGGTAGCTTTTCGGGTAGTCTTGCACGTAGTTGTCGGCTTCGACGTATTTTGAGAGCCCTTCGGTCGTCCTCGAGGCTTGGGTGCAGCTTCGAGTTTAGCGACAGCAGGTTCCTCAGGTAAGGGATTTTTCCGTGGCCTCCCGACGCGCTTCTTCGGAGGTTCTGCTTTCGCGGCTCCCGATTCATCGTCGAGCCCGGCGAGTGCTTCTTCTTGGGCTGGTGGCGTTGATTTCTTGCCACGGGCGGTAGCTTTCGTTGCTGGCCGTGCAGCCGGCCGTGCAGCGGAGTTTCCACGGGGTCGACCGGGTTTTTGTTGTTCCTTCATCATCATACCAAGCTCATCTTCGGTATCGTCTGTATCCGACAAGGTAGCGCTCTTCACGGGCATTCGGGCCGGCGCCTTCTTCTTTGCTGCGGTAGAAGCAGTAGTCTTCGTCAAAGTCGTCCGAGGAGCTGTACGCGCTCCCCGTTTGACAGGAGATGGAGGTAGAACGGCCGCGCGCGCCATGGTGGCGGAAGCGGAAGAAAGAAAGCCTGACTGTGGTGCGTACTCTGTTGTGGTGTTGTTGGGGTCGTTGGTCGTGTCGTAATCGTAAGTCGAAATTGTGGGCGTCAATAAATTATTGCACCAGACGAACTCATAGCGGGGCCGGGTGATGTCTGGCGCCGTGCGGAACGCAGTCAAATTGCAGGTCAAAATAGGCCGTGGTGGAGCGTGTTTGCGCGAAGCTAAGAAGGTGTGCTGCGTCGCCATGGCGACCAGCACGTGATTACAGCCCTAGCCTCCGCATCGAGTTAGTCTCAGCATTTTCTCCCCATTTCAAGTGGGAAATAATGCTGGCTTGTATGTTTACGACACCGATGCATTAGATGTGGATGCAGCCACTCTTCTACACAGCCTTATGTTTATCTCGGGTCTTACAATGAATCCCTAAGTGTTAACATTACTAAATGTCATTTTTACTTCCTCACATTGCACGTATATATTTCCAGAACACTTGCGATTTATGTAAGACCGAATGCAAGATTGATGCTTTCATTCAAGTGCGGTTATGGAAAATGGTTGTGCTCCTTCTAATTTCGAATTAAGAATTCAATAGCGTTTACAAAAACCCAGAGCATACCAGAGCACACCAAAGCGTGTCAATACAGCAGGAGACTCAACTTATGGAATCATGATACAGTAATGAATCAAAAAGCCGTAGGCAGAATGCAAGCATATTTCCACAACTGTCTGCGCCGCAGAAAAAAAAGACACCCTTATAAATTTTGAGGATAAGAATATACAAAAAAAAAACCCACTAAACCAAAGTGAAGAGTGCCACCGAAACAGCAGCAGCGGTAGAAAGAACAGTCGGCACAATACCCGAAGCGCCACTATCACTGTTGGTCACGAGGGTAACAGGCTCAAAAGCATTCGGCGATGTCGAGTTGAGAGTACCATTCCAGCAGTAATTGGTAAAGCACTGGGTGCAAATGTCGGGGAGGGTAGTTTTCGTGCGCTCGAACGAACGACTGAGAATAGCACATCCCACACACGCGGTCCAGTTCCCATCACGGGTAGAGTTGGCCATGGTGGCGACTTCGTAGCCATTCAGGATGATGTCGTCGCGCTGAGAGTTTTCGTAGCTTAGGTCGAAGGTTGAGACGTTGGAGAAGGAAGAGTAAGGATAGTTGGGAATATAGACAACAAGGGGGGTGGGGCCCGTGAGGTTTGAGGTGTCGCAGCCAAAGAAGGTGGGACGGGTGTTGAGGCCTAGGTTGACGAAGGTGTTTTGGTCAGGGATCGAAGGGAAGGCGGTGCCGTTGCCGATGCCGCTGCTGTTCAGACTGCGCTCGTAGGTGGCGACGAGGGAGGTGCCGTTGGGCCAAGAGTAGGTTGTGTCGGCGGAGGAGTCGATGGCGAAGATCACGTCGACGGCACGCTCCGGTTGAATGAGTGGATGAAGGGGAATGTTCTGGAGATCTTCACCACCATCGACGACATCAAGGACTTCCTGTTGGGCATATGGGGACGTCTCGTTGTGATAGTGGTAGAAGGGGTTGGGGTCGTAGGCAGCGATGTCATCGCTGGCTTGGTCGATGTCGAAGAGAATATCGTTGAAGACGTTCTTGACGAAGGTGGGGAGAGAGGTAGTGTTAATCTGTAGCAGGAACTGATTGAAAAGGGTGGAAGATGTTCCGATAATGAAACCAGCGCTGTCGAAGCCACGAACGCAGCTATCGCCGCTAGGGATCTCGCCGTTCACAAAACGAGAGCCGATGTACTCCAGAGGAGCAAAACCGAAGATAGTTGGGTCGAAGCTACCAAATTCCCACGGGTTGAATTCGTACACAGTCGAGTTGCTGCCGATGACCAGTTCGCCCGGGTTCCGGCCGTCTGCAACGACCACAGGCATGGGGTAGTTTCCATTTTGGAACTCAGTCGTTTGCGCAATGGACGACCACGTGTAGTCAAGACCACCGTAGCTGGCATTAAACATCTGGATGGCAAGCGCACGGCCCCAGATATCAGTGATAGAGGTGTTGAATCCGGCATCCTTCTTGTCGTTCACCCAGTCCGCTAGATCTTTATAGTAGCTTGCTGTGTCCAGAATCTGGAGGCCGCCGGTGTCAGGGCCCTCGATAATGGAGTTAGACAACTGCCAGATGTTACTACTCTGCTGCAGCGCACTGATAGTGGTAAAGTTGTTGATATAGATGGATCCCACGAGCCAGCTACCTCCAGAAAGACCAGAGACATACGTAGACGACTGCAGCAAACCACCCAGGTGACCACTGGTAGTGGCATTTTCCGTTCGGCTGTCAAACGCCTTGATCGCACCGGCGCCGTTGAGCATTGCACGGTAACCGCCACCGGACATTGCAATACCGATATTCGGCAGGTTCGACGAGTTGCTGGAGTGCGTGTCCAAATACGAGGTGACATCATAATCGCCGACCTTGACATGACCGAAGAAATCCTTCATCGCAGCCAGTGACTTGGTGCGACGAGTCTCAAGCCAGGAGGTCTCATTGGTCGAGAGTTTGGCGGCGCTACGCACCGACGGCCGCGACGCCGGACAGCTCACGTTGGTCGGAGTGTATCCATTCGGTGCATTCGGAAGTGCACGGCGCGCGACTTCCATAGAGAGATCTTTTGTATCGAACCCATTAGGAGGAGCAGCAACGGTACCTGCCGCCATATTAGCAAAATGTCTCGGAGGCGCGCATGTGCGTCTGTGTCACACAGAACGCGGTCGAGTGAAAGACATACCGGGCACGAAGCCCAGGGCAATAGAGCCGATCAGCGCAGATACTTTCATGGTGGCAGCGCGACCTCGATCTCAACTGGCTCTGACTCGGTGATTCGAGGGAGAGAAGCTGGGGAAAGGATTATCCAGGGGTGGGCACATGATATTTATGCACCGGGCCCGCCGGAAGCTTAGCCAAGCCCAGCCGATATTTCAGAACTGGAATGCCTATGTTCTCCGCTGGGTGGGTTGGCGTTCCTGGGGGCACTGCGAATCATGGGCGCGAGTGGGCTATGGGGAGGGTGGAGATTGGTGATGTCAAGGAACGAACTTATGTACCGCGGACCCCGAGGTTTTAGCGATGTACCAATGATCTGTGTCGTTGGGCTCTCGGACTAGCTTCTTCGACTAACGGTGAGGCGCAGGTGCAGGGTCGAGGTAGGATTGAGGCCTTCAGTCATTAGGGCCTATGTACGAGACTCTGTTAGTGATCCTTCAGAATTGGCCGATCACGCCATCTGTAGGGTATCTATTGCCGCCGATTGCGATGCCCGCAAATGTTGTCTTGTACTGTAGGGGTATTCAGGCCCGGAAAGACGGCGGCAGAGGCGAAATACTCTTCTCAAGAAATCATATTGTACTTGCCCAAAATGCACAATTTCTTCTCGCGTCGTATTAGTCGTCCACAAGAAACCCCAAGGGATCCCAACCCTTGACCCTTGAAGCACACATTTACCCCCCTCAAGCTATTCTCCGGCAAAAGTCATTTCTCCAGGCATCCAAGTAATGCATCCCAAGCATAATGTATCCATGCTCGCAACCTGCCCGAGCACGGAGTAAAGATCCACTGCGGCGGTGCACACGTAATTCGTGTAATCTTGCCGACTTCCGATTCGCCGTACATCCACGGATAGCGTCGATCCACAGGAACCGACCATGGACTGTTGGCAACGAGGCAAATCGGGATTGAGATCGGGATATATTTTGAAACCCTCCATACTTGGCATTCCGCACTCGTATTCACCGCAGCATCAGGCAGCTATCTTTCCCCTGACACCAATGCTGACCGTGCTGCACTGAGATGCAGTAGTGGCTGGAGCTGACTGCAGCTGATTTTGCAGCTAAATCGGGAAACCGGTCCACCCGGCGAACAGCGAGTGTTGGCTGATGGGGCTCATTTTGGCTTGTTTTAGAGTTGAGAGACTTGCCTCGTTGGGCAAATGAGGCGATTTGATGGACCTAATGTCGGGAGTGATTTCAATTATGGGTGTTTCAGGGTTGGGTGTATTTGGGAGATCTTCTTTCTGTTCATTAAAAAAAAAAAACGGAAATCGCCATGCGCTAGGATCCACTACGATTGGCTCCAGTTGGTGTCGGTCGGAGATCGGCACGTCGTGAAGATGGAAAGACTGCAGAGAAGCGACGGTCATATCTCGATTCGCTACGAAAGATATCGAATGTAGAATGCAGATTAAGTATCATTCATCGTATTATCGTCCCTTGATGGGGAAATTCACATGTGTGAAGCGGTAGGCATTTCATCATTTAACCACGAGCAGGGCCAATCTCGGCGGCGTCGAACATGGCGCGATCGGCGATTTTCTCATCTGCCTCGACACGGCCAGCGGGCAGATTGTTAAGGGTCTCTTCTTCTTGATCCAAGCCCCAGAACTGGATGATGAAAAGGATACCGCCGACGAACGCCAGCACGGCGAAGACACCGTAGTTCCAGACCAACAGAGGGTCTGCGGACAGCGGGTTCAGGGCCTCGGCAATAGCCGACGAGATGGCGTTGGTGAAGAGGGAGATGGCCTGAATTAGAGAGCGCATGTTGACCGGGGCCTTGGAGTATGCGTACTCGAGTGAGGTGATGGAGGCGAAAATCTCGGAGAAAGCGATCAATACGTAAGCGCCAGTTTGGATCCAGACGTTCAACGGCGTGGGATTGATACTACCATCCGCATTGGTACAGCTGTTGGCGTTGTATCCACAGGGCGAGGTCTTGTAAATGTAGTACTGTAGGACGGCGGACCAGACCATCGCCAGTGCGGCCAGGAGGAAACCAAAGGTGATCTTCCTGATGGCGGTGAATCTAAAGCCAGCTTTGCGTAGAGCAGGATACAAGAGCTGATCGCAGATGGGGATGAAAAGAATCAGAGCGAAGGGGTCGAGGTTGTTGACAACATCGTTGGGCACGCCGTGCAGGGTCATGGTAGAAGCCTGGGTCGTCAGGTTGTTGGTCAACTGTCCGTATGCAAGCCAGTACAGAGGGTAGTAACAGAATACGGCACAGGCGGAGAAACCACGGCGAACCTCATCAACCCAGGCATCGTCGAAAGTCATCCAGTGGGGGCGGAGAGATGGAGGGATGTTGGAAGGCTTGACGGTCTCCCAGAGAGTACCGTCATGAGTGCGCTTCCAGAAAGCAATCGGGTTCCAGGAGAAGCGGGCCTTCAGAGCGAAGAAGAATGCTCGCACAGCCTTGGAAGTGACCGAGCCCTGAGGAGGAGCCTGGCGGTAACGGTTGCGTCCCCACCACATGATGAAGGGAGTAGTCAGGAACATGAGGGTGGGCAGCAAGTAGGCAAGCCAGAATCCAACATACTTCTCAGCATAAGCCATGCCGATTTGCCCAATCAGAGCACCGATATTGATGAACAGGTAGAAGTAGTGGTAGATTCGGCTCTGGGTGATAGTCGGATCGACAATCACACGCTCACCCGAGGGAAGAGTGCGGACCTTCATGCTGGTAGCAGGAATCTGCTCGACAACGAGGGCAGAAATATTGGGCTTGAAACCACCAGTACCGAGACCCATCACAATGACACCCAACATGAAGACGCCAAAGCAAGCGTTGGTGTTGGTGATAACCGGGGGAATGGCAGAGATGACCAGAATGATGTGACCGAGGATGGCCGCTCCGATCGACCAGCAAATGGTCTTGTATCGGCCCCAGTACTCATCAGCAATGTAGGCACTGAACAAAGGAATCACGTAGCACCAGAAAGTATTGAACGTGTTGATTCCATTGGCAACCTGGCTGCCCTTTCCCAGAGCTCCAGAGACACCTTCAGAAGTGCCGCCACCAGCTCCAGTGTTGTGGTTAGAACCAGCAGGGCCATAGGGATAGGGAAGAGGCAAAGAATGGTTCACAAAGTTGGAGTCTGCAGGTATCCCGGGTTAGTTCCATGTCATCCCAAAAACCGTAGCGATGGTAGATCTTCACTCACACAGGACTTGAGTTCCATAGTACGAGAAACGCTCGCACAGCTCGACAAAGGCGACAGTGTAGACGGCCCAGGGAATTGGGGCAGAAATACGACGCAGGGCATTTGGGCCGCTCAGCTCCTCTTCAGTGGGAACTTCATCACCAAGATAAGCATTGTAGGAAGCAGAAACGAGACCCTTCTTAGGGACGCTGTAGTTCAAACCCGTCTTTTCATCTTTCATCTCGGTTGCGGCCATGGCACCTTCGTTGACTTCCAACGAGGTGGTAGTGCGATTCATAGCTTTCTCCATGATGGATAGTGCAGGATTATCCAAGATTAGAGGAGCGGGTGAAAAGATGAGGGGGGCAGGATGGAACGAGAAGTGAGGGAAGGAGGGGAAGAAGTGAAGGAAAAGAGAATCACGAACTCTTATATTACTCGCGCTATCTACGATCCCTGCTTTGGAACCGCTAGGGATCTTCCACTGAACCTAGGCCTTTGTTCTTTTCTTTTTCATTCGCATTTCTCTTTCCTTGCCCATCGTGCTACAGCCACGAGATGACTGTTTACCCCGGACTTATCACGCCACCAACCACGCTTTTCCCAAAAGAGGTACTTGTCCGTGCTGTTCGGCAGATAAGGCTTGATAGGCAACAAATAAGGGCACGGCTTGAGTAGATTGTGGAGATCGGCCGTCCCGTGCCATGTAACTGTAGTTGACACTAGCGGTGGCGGGATGTTGTGAGTGGCCAGTGCAGAAAGAAAAGAAATCACGCCAAGACAAATGGTGCGAAGAAGCTTGAACCTCCTAGACTAATGTCTTCGGCAAATGTGACCAGACAGGATATGACTTTAGCCCGATCGTGATGTCAATTGAGCTTGGACATGTGTGTTTGAATTGCAATTTTTCTACGAAGTCTAGGAGATTGTTGAGAAGATAGGGGGAGTTGGGTCAAATGTCTTCGCAGCACTTGCAATTCTTTGACCAAGACACCAGATAATGGATTATTCTAACCGAGGGAAGACCGTCGGAGCAGCGAACACACAGACACGAAAAGTCTTTGAAGGCTTGGAGTAGAGCTTGGCAATGCTTATCGCGCACGAATCGACTTGCGCTGCTCCTTGGCACTCCACTCCGGACGCAGCTTGTTATCTACTTCGAACCTGCTTCCCGGATATTTACTTGCTCACTACTTATCTTCCTTGCTCTCAGATAATATATAACTGGAGCCGCCACTGGCCCGAGATATAGGGCAGAAGTGTTCTAGAAATCTCACAAGGAAGCGGGCAATCAAGGTTGGACGGCGCCAAATTGCACTAGCGTGGCGTGGGCCTTATCAAGGACTCCGCCTAAATCGCGCTTGACAGAATACAATTGGTCCCCCAATTCACGTGCTGTCTACCCCGTACCCCTGTCCGGGTCGCACTGTAGAGTTGGAACTGGGCTGATTCCTTGCATTTCGCCCCTGCGACCATACGACCATGCGACCATAGTACCACAGAGCAGGGTGTTCATTAACGGCGTAATCTTTCAGTGGCAACCTGTCTTGATCAGTCAAAACTTGCAACGTGTGTCACGCGGGTGCTCTGTTAGAATATTCCGAAAAATAGTCAGGGTGCTCAAGACCCGTTGCAGTCTGACGGGTTATCCACGTTGTTCAACCCGACCTGTAGAAGGCGCCGGGAGTGGTGCGACAAAGCATCGCCATTAGGTAATGAGCACGACCCCATTCTACGTGTGAAGTGAATGCAGGGTCCAACTTACCCATTCAGGTTGGCGTTGCTATTGCCAGCGAGCGTATCGGGAAGGCCGGAGTCATGACTTCACGCCACCTTGTGATCGTAACTCGTCCATTTAACCGTTGACAAGATGCCGTTAGTGACCCCTACTTCAGGAAGTCCCTGTACTAGATCGCCAGTAGTCACGTTGTCCAAGAATCCGACCCCGCTCTCACCAACTCGAGCCCAATCATCATCACACAGTGACAATCCGCGCGCCCACTTGCCCTCATCTATATATAGGGCGAACGTCTCGTATTTCAAGAGTTAAGATTGGCCACTAATCCAGAAGCTCGCCGCGACGACCAAGAACCAAGGATCGAATCCGTCCAAACTCTTCTGATTGGCAGGTACCCATTTCCGCATCTTCCCCGGATTCCAGAATTGCGCCGCAGCTATGACATTTTGATACCGAGTCATCTCTGTCATGACCTGGGGAGAACCCTGGTTCTGCCTTTGTTGATGTCGTGGCCTACATCATACACTTGAAATGCTTCGCCCACTTTCTACTCCGATTCGTGTCTAAAATATCATGTGTGAGCTCGATACTCAGAATATGGTTTCAACAGGATGTGCTCGGATCCGAGTAAGCGATACCTTTTACGCACATAGACTCTTGGGAGGCCGGGGGAAGTGAAATGACACATGATCTAGTAGAGATGCAGGAGACCTATTCTGGTAAATTTCGAAACAGGGATTAAATTTGTGGGCTGCGGAGCCGATCTGTCGGATGTGGGTAGAATGTGGGGTCAGACGTCAGATCCAGATGGGGGTGCATGAACTCGAGCGATCGACACAAGTCTACACATCAAAATTGTAGAACTACCAACTTAGTAGCCAGTGAGAAAGCAGACAAGTGCTGATCATAATATTTGAAGTCACACAGATCCAATTAAGAAAAACAGATAATTATATAAAAGGCCCGCTATTCGCCCCAAGTCAAAACGCCATGCAATGAGAAGATTGGTCTTGTTGAGAAGATCTACCACGCGGCATGACCTCCGTCCATGCGCAGGTCACTGCCGGTCATGAAGCTGCTGGCGTCGCTGAGCAAGAACACGGCTGCGCCGCGGTATTCCTCGGGACGAGACAAGCGGCCGAGCATGTTCTCCTTGGGCCACTGGTCGCGGCGCTCGGGGAAGTCGACGAAAAGCTTCTCAACCATGGAGGTGACGATGTAGCCAGGAGAGATGGTGTTGACACGAATGTTGTATCGGCCCCACTCCATAGCGAGGTTGCGACCCAGCTGGATGACGGCGGCCTTACTGGCATTGTAGGCGGGACAGATGAGACCCTAGGTTGAATATTAGTCTTGGCTCTTAAAAGGCATTGTGTGGGTGCGAGAAAAAATCCTTGTTCTTTTTGGACACGAGATCCACGACAAAGGTAAGTGCAAGGATAATCGGTCTCAAGGGAAAAAAAAACAAGATAAATGAGAGAAGACAACAAAAGGGTGGGGGGCGGAAACGTACCCGATTGGCAATAGTGCCGCTCATACTGGCGATCATGGCGATGCTGCCACCGTTTCCGAAGCGAATCATCTGCTTGGCAACGGCTTGCGCGGTCATGAAGACTCCAGTGACGTTCACTTCAAACATGGTGTTGCTGTCCTTGGCAGTGTATTCCAAAGCCGGGGTCTCCTGCTGGATACCAGCGGCGGCCACGAGACCATCCATGCGGCCCTCAGTGTTGGCAATGTCCTCGATGACGCTGTTCAAGAGCTCAGTGTCACGAACGTCGATGCGGCGATAGTGCAACTCGGTGCCTAGCTCCTTTGCGCGCTGTTGGATCTTAGCAAATTCGGGGGCAGGCTCCTCGAGACGATCAAGAGCGTAGACCTTGGCGCCAGCCTCCAGAAGGGCTTCAGTCTGGGTTAGACCTGAACCGCGGCCAGCACCAGAGACGCAGACGACCTTGCCGGCGAGATTGAACTCGGGCATTCTGGCATTCTGGCCCAAGAGAACGGGCTGGGAGGTGTTGGGGGCAGTGGGAACCTCAGTGGTTTCAATGGAGACAGACATAGCGTTGAGAGTGATTATAGGAGTATAGAATGTGTAGCCCAAGCAGAGTCAGCCGAAGCTTGAAAAAGGTATAGAAGGTGAAAGCTGAAGGTGATCAAGGTATTGGATTGAATACAATGGTGAACGAGAGTAACCATGGAAAGCACCAAGCCTTTAAATATTGACCATGGCGAGCACAAAGGCTACGTCCGGCGCCGCCGTACCGAGACCCAAGGAGGTCCCGGCGAGAAGAGGTCTCGTGAACATGAAGAGACTTCCTAAGAGAGCAATCCAGACTGGGCCAAAGACGGCGTCAACGCTCGGTCCAGGCCCAGGAATGCGCGTTGGCGCAGCTTAAACGGTCGTGGCGACAACCTTGTATAACTATAGAACAACATCGTATGCCTGTGGCAAAAACATCAATCTTGGAATAAACCATGCATATTGCATTACGAGTTCTCTATGGTTGCTGTATAATGGCCATATTGGCCACACTCAGGATGTGCAGGGATCAGGGAAAAAGAGAGAAAGACTGGGGGGGGGGAAAGATCGGATTCCTCTTTTGGGAAAGCCGATCCCCCGGTTTTTGGCGCCACTTTGGGGTTCACCTGACCATCGGGGGTTCCCCAGCGTACCCTGCCGAACCAACTCGGACTTGTATTTTGATTTTTTGCTCTCTACTGTCATGTGGTTGCTGGCATTCGCCAATAGCTGCACCTCCCTCCTGTTCCTGGGCGTTGAGAAAAGTCAATCGCCCATTCCCGGGCTTTGGGATGGGATTTTTTTCTTTTCTTTTCTTTTTTTTTTTTTTATTACCCGAATGCATTCCAGATCTTCTATCATAATCTCTACACCCGTCAATTGAAAGAGTTTTTCCACGGTAGCAGAGAAGCAGAGTAATGGTAATACAAGTCTAGGTCCAGACCATCGCCGCAAAGCATGCACCTCGCGAGACCATTCAATAAAGGCCTCGCAATCAGACCAAGGCTCGAAACCAACACATCCAAGTGCCATGTGACCCCAGCCCGCGAACTGGATCTAGGGGCAATAGTCACTAGTCCTATCCGGGGTCCATAAGCTTACTTGATCGGGCAAATCCGAGCATCCCCAGCTTGAGATCCTGTGCATGACCTAAACAGCAATAAACATCCGCACCAGATCTTCTAGATCTTTCGCTCGCTGAATAGACCAACGCACACCGCTACCCTGGTCTCAGACCCCCGGTCTGAGATTCCAGATCTGCCCTGTTCCTGACCCCCCTCCTATGCTACTTCGCTGTTCATCCCCCCCCTTATCCCTTTTCACCATTCTCAGGAACACCAGCCCAGAATACGCCTCTAGACCCCGGCCCGTGCTTCCGGCACGCGGAACCTACCAACAGAATTACCCGTGGCATGCACGGGTTCCTTTCCCCGTATCAGGGCTGGTTTTCAGTACTGTGGATCGACCTAGAATTGCGGGTCTGGGTCAGGACTGGTCGATAAGGTCTGCAATGCGGGGGGTGTTGGCAAGGAAGGGCGTGGGGGTACATGTCTTGTAGTGATAAGATGAAGACGGGTTACCACTTTCGTCATGGTTCGGTGGCTGTCGCTCCTTCAATCGATGGCCATATTCAGGGTGGCATTTTTATCATGTGTAGCGAACCACTTGTTCAGGAACTGCTTTCCCTTTCCTTTTCCCCTCCCTATCTGATATATTTACTTGTTCGTCAGGTGGGTTGGAAATTGACCCAGGATCCGGGACTCTGGGTGACAATCCTTTCGACGCGGCAAGGACGGTTAAGTATATCTGTCTCTAAAGTGGTCTCGTCTAGCCTGACCACTCCAATATTATTTAAATCGCCAGCTCCTTTCACTAAAGCTGTGCTCAATGATCTCCCCAGTACCGGCTCAAGCTTGAGAATGATCAACTTCATACCTTTACGCGAGATTCCCTTTCTCCTCTACGTTATGTTTTCACCTTGATTATTGGTGATTCTTAGCCGCTTTTCCCGCGACGGTGGAGCTGCGCACTCGTCTTAGTAATGTGACTTTGCTGCAGCGATCTGCGCGCCTTCAGCTATCTCAGTGGTGGAATTCGAACCGATACGGTAATCGACGATTGCTTGTTCTGATTTCCATCGTGAGGAGCATTGCTTACAAAAGTGGAATCCTTACATGAAAGTCTTCCCCCTCCGATTTTCTCTACTGCTCAGTCAAGCTGGTACCCTCTTCGATGACTGTGACCATCAAGATAACAAATTGCAAGGGGTCATAAAATGGCCTTGGAATACTTCATGCGTGATGGTCGAGCTTGACGTGGAGTGGGATATTAGCTTCGATTTTATTCACCAAGCTCGAGGGTGTATAGCGTGCGGGTTCTCTGTTCAATTCATACATAATCCATGTGTTGAAAATTTCTTCGACATGATTTTCAGACCACAAATCACATTATACTTGGATGGCTGGCTTTATCATGATCATGAATATATAATGCCACACTGCTATGAACCAATGAACTAAGAGAATTCGATACTGATCGTTTGTTGCTTAACCAAGTCGGCCAACGATGGCATACACTATGTATACGATCTAGCATTCGCCTTTGTCTTCGGCCAAAACCTCCGCTGCACACGCTTAGCATTTCTGCAGATCCCCAATCCAAGCCTTTATCGACCGAGACAGCTTCCAACAGCAATGAGATTGGAGGAAAAGATACAGTACGCTTCTTCGGGAGATCTACGAATCACCAGTGAATCACGGAATTGTGGCTGGGCCGATTCAATACACTAAAGAGACTATGCTATTGATATACATGACATGCATGATGCTATTAGACTTATTTCGTATCCTTCTTCGCTTCCTCGGCGAGCTTCTCCACCTGCTCCTTTCGCTTCTTCAACACATCTTGCAACTCCTCGATGGTCTCGGATAGAACCTTCTCTGCTTCACTGCCCTTCTCCTGCGCAATAGTCTGCAAGGACTGCAATTGAGGCAGGATGTTCGAACCACCCGGGACCATGTTCAGCCACTTGTCTAGGCTGCCCAAATTGGTGTTCTTGGCTTCCTCAGCCTTCTCCTTCACATATTTCTCGACTTGCTCCGTCTTGCCCGAAGAAGCGCTCTCCTTGACAAGGCCCCACAGATCCTTGAAGTTTCCCTTTTTCAAGGTATCGGCGTTCTCTTCGATCAATTGCTTCAACTTGGGGCTCTTTTCCAGATATTGTTGAGACTCCTCAAGGCCAGACTGCCATGCCTCGTCGCCCATCTTTTGAAGCTTGTTCTTCTTGTCTTGGATCAAATTCTTGATCTCCTCGAAGGAGTCCTGGCTCACGCCGCGCTGAACAATAGTGGAGATCTGCTTCCAGGTCTGGTTCACCTCCTCCTTCGCCTTGGGGCCGTAAGCATCGCCCATCTGCTTCAGCTGGTCGTAGCTGCTTCCGAACTTCTCCTTCAACTGAGGGTGGTTATCGAGAACATTGCCCGCGGCGTCACCGGCCAGATCGAACAGGCGTTTGGACTGCTTCTGCAAGACTTGCAATGCCTTGGAGGCCGAAGTAGAGCTGAATCCTTCATTTTGCGTGATATCCCGAAGCTCATTGTATGCGTCACTGATGATTTCGTCGAACTCCTTGTGGTGATCGTTCTGGATCCGTTTGAGGTCTTCAAAGGCGGTGTCGACATAGCCTCGCGCACCGGGGATCAAAACGGCGTAACTTTTAACCGTATCCTCCAACCAGCGGAAGGCCTCGTTTGGCTCAGGCGTCTTTTCGACGATTTTTTGTTTGGCTTGTTCAAGGTAGGCTTGTGTCTGCTTGCTTGTGTTCACGAGTGTCTTGACTCCAGAGAAATGGTACCAGAGGTATCCTGCAGAGAAGGCGACAGCTCCGCCAGCAAGCCCACCAATCAATGCAGGGCTACTACCACTGGAGGCTGCATGCGCTGCGGTCGATTGGAAGCGAGAGTTGATCACACGAGCTTTTGATCGCAATTGCTGCCGGGCGATCCGTGCAGCTGTTCCTGATTGTTGGCCAAACATTTGGAGAATCTAGAATAGGTCGAGTGGACAAGGACAGATATGTATGGATTATGAATGGGATGATGGGACAATTGAATGTAAGACGTGAAAGGATAGAGATATTTATTCGTTGCAAATGGTCCGGGCTACGGCTTTATGTAGTACTTGAGGGTTTTCCTCCTAGCGAATAGTATACTTGATTCTATGAATTGAATTCTAGTAACCGGGCAGACACTTGACCGTGAGGCTGCAAACAAGGCTGGTCGATGTTGGCATCCATAGGTCACGTCGTCAAGATGACGTTGCCGTAGTCGCCGGATTGTGGCTAGCGGCTACTTTGTGAAGAGAAATGACATCATTCTGCAAGAATTGTGCTGCTGCATACCGGGTTAGCGCCATTGGATCGCCAATGGCTGAGATAATCAGGATTCGGGGTCACCTGCCCTCAGGAACCTGGACATGCAAACCTCGGGCTTGGCATGTCTAGTTGAATCCCATAAATCAAGCCATCGGTTGCGATGTGGCTTGGATATCGACACCCGCCACATCTAGTTGGAAATATGATGTCATCATCGGCGAACGCCGTGAATGTCGTCTTTCAATCATGGTAGGCTCTTTTGAGTGAGTCAATACCCGGGTGCCTATAGTAAGACATTGGAATGATGGTTGCTGCGGACTCTTCGAAGTTTGTTTTGGGCAATACAGACTATCGGATGTGAGCGCACAAAGGCGATCCCAGTTAAACAGGAGGATCTCTCAGCCCTCGCGTCTGAAATAGGAGAATAAGTTGGTCCTGAAACGAACAGTCGCGCTGCAGGCATCGCAACAAGAAATGGGCGCCGAGGTGGAAGCAGCTCTAGATGGAATGAGATGACATTGCTGATATAAACCGTTTTCAATCAACATCTTTACGTGTATGATGTGCAAAGCATTTGGGGTAGTCTTTAGGTGTTTGATAAACGCGGCATGCTACTAGGGTATTAGAACGCAGGTGCGGTGTTTCTTCTCCATTGCACTTCATCGCCGACACTCAGATTTTCATACCACTTGAGCATCTGGTGTAATCCAGGTACCGTAGGATCGAGTCCGATATCCTTAATGAAGCTTCTGTCGCCGTCCACTTCAGCCAAGCATTCTGCGTAATAATCCCACTTGTCAAGCTCATCGTACTTTTCGCGTGGCCCCAAGAGCTCCCGAATTCCAGGGGGAACATCTTCTGGACGTTTGATGAGCCCGGCTTTGTTTCGGGAGCGGACTGATATTTTGAAGGCCCGAAACAAATGCCTCCCAACTTGTGAGCGACATGCGACAATGGAAAATGCTTCAGTCAGACTCAAGAAATCAGGATCCAAGATGTCAAAATCTTCTTGCGTCAGCAGGCAGAAAAGTGATACATTGATGGCGTACATAGCAAACTGATGGCTATGTCCTAGTCCGTATTCCTTTCCAAATGTACGGACATGAGCGGCGATCTCTCGTGCAGATCGGAGAGCAATATTGATGGCATCGAAGTCGCCGTCTGATCTGGCTGAATTGGCTTTTTGGCCGCTTCCTGTCATGAACATGGCGGTCTCTAGGTCATGGCAACATAGATTTATGACAAGAGTGTGATAGCGCATTCTGTTGCGATATGTTTCGTCAGTGAAATCAATCCTACAATCAAATCTTTTGGTACGACAAACCTGAGTACCATAATATATGGCGCTGGCTTCTCTATCAAATCAAAGGCAGGGGGCAGCTCCTTCTCCCACTTGGACAGCCGTCTGTAAAGCTCATGTTTGATGTGACCATCTTCATCGGTGCGTGCAATATCCCAGGAGGCATCCCTTGCTATAAAAGAGAGCTTGCAGGCTTCATCGAAGTACCAGCTCATGTGAGACTGACGAGGACTGCCTTCGGTGGGGTAAAGCGTCCACATTTCATCCGGATGTGTTTCGTCCCGGGGATGCGGTCAAGGCTCACGTTCTTAATCTGACTGCGTCTAAGAAAATTCATGTGGACAATGCTGTAGCAGTGTCAGCCAAATCGCTACTTGATTGCTGGGTTGATGGTGAGCGCACGTGTCAATTTGGAACAATCCCCACGCAGTTCGCTGGAGAGAGCTTATCATGTCCTTAGAGATGTGTGGGGTGTCCAGATTTATCATCTTAGCCTTGTTCACTATCCCAAGTGATTCCGCCATTCCTATTGCCTGATGAAGCATCGTGTATCCATTATTATCGTACCCTGACAGGGAATATCTGTAAATCAAGAAATCCAGAGTTAGAACCGAGAACAGTTTTCATGGAGAACATAGAAATTGCTACCTTTCATATAATAGAAGAGTTGCTTGCAAGGAAACCAGCCGGGTATCGCTTCTGCCCTCAAGTTGATGCGATTTCAGGTGCCATTCTGCTTCGGCCAGAAAATGAGCGCCCTTTCGTTTCACGTCTCCAGGTAAGCTATATGCCTCCGCGTAATCTGAATAAAACTGTTCTTGGTTAGAGCTCGTTGAGTTAAAGAGAACATGGCGCCTGTTCACTCACGCATGCGTTGGCGAGAAGGGCGTTCACTAAAAAGGGACTACAGAAGTCTGAGTTCAGATGGCCCAACTTCATGTGTTTGACAAATGTGTCCCGGCAAAAAAATGCGTAGAATGGGTAGCCCCAAGTGAGGTAAAGCGATACTAAGTGGGATACTAGGTCGTCATCATCCGTGACCGTCGTCCAAGGTCTCGCTGGGACCCTCACCGGAGCAGTGGTACACAAGTACTGGATATCCATAGCCCTTGGACGAGCTCGCGGCAAATGACTTTCCATCTCTTCTTCTGTTGAGGCCTCGGCTGAACGTCCGGCAATTTGATCGTTCATCTCGGACAATTTTGCATTGGCTAACATCCCGTAGAGGAAGGCACGAAGTTGTTGCGCTGTCTTGCGATCTCGGATTCTGCTAAACAATTCCTGTTCGCGACTGCGATCTTGCCGTTGAACTGCCTCGTACATGTCGTGAAGAATATCACTATACTCGCTCGGCATGGCCGCGAACGCGTCATTCACCGCACCGTGAGGCTTATCCCCCCTGTGATGAATCGTGTCCATCAACGTCTTTACTGGACGCGATCTTCTCCTGGCCTGCTGGAAATTCATTAACATCAGGTTCTTGTGCGATTTGTGCCCCCCTCATTTGGAATACGATGAGGACGCATCTTTCGGCTTACATCGTGCTCATTCGTAGTTCCAGTCGGCCCAGAATTTTTGGCCGCCGCCGTGAGGTTGTTCAACAACATAATGAGTCGTCACAAGTCGTGCTCTAATGCCTTTTACGAAAGTCCTACGGGTAAAAAGAGGTGTTCACTTCCAGACAGGTCAATCATATGGTGGGTATCAGCGATACCGGCGGGAAACCTGGATCTCTCAGAATTACAACGTTATGAGGTCAGCTTTCCCCGAATCGGTCATAACCTACTTGATTCCAGCCACTCAAGTCCTGAATCGACTTGAATCATACGGTTAACACTAGAATCGATATCAAGGAAATTCAATGTCAAGTTGCAGTGTAATGTGGTACATGCGCCCAATGCTCTTTGGGCCCTGACTGTCTCCCGGGTATCTTTCCACCAATGTCCTAAGGACCCTCAAGCAAGATCCATCATGCACAATGGAGCATCACCTGTGTACGGAAAGGTCTTATAATTACCCGCGAGAGGCATACGAGTCGCGCGACCGTCTGAGACGGAAACCTTTCCCGGGCTGCCGAGAAACATCTGGGGAAGGCGATAATCCGCCGACCGCATTTACCCCTCCCTAAACCCCACGATGTCGAAAGAGTTACCCACCACTAGTCTCCCGTCGGCCTCACTAGAGGCGAGACCTCCAAATGCGAAGATTGCGATTCCTCGACAACGTTCGAATGCTGCACCAAAGCTTGGCCGGCGTGTCCCTCGAGCATGCGAGTCATGTCGGATGAGAAAAAGCAAATGTAGTGGCGATACACCCGTTTGCCGACAATGTCGGGACCTTCGAATACCTTGCGTATACCCACCGGGAATGCGCGAGAAAATGAAGAGGTGGGCGAGCACGATCCCATGTTCGCGAAGCACTCAAGTTGACCGATGCGATCGCCAGGCAACAAGACGAGCTTGCCAAGAAATTGCAAGATTGTCAGAGCCTCTTGAAAGAAGCTGAGCAATTTGTACCCGGACGCACGGCGAAACGAATCCAGCAATATTTGGTAGGCAATCATTTCGGCATCCTGGGCCTATCAGAGGAGCACATTGTACACAGAGCTGATATCAGACCTTGGGGTTTAATAGCATGATTCGGATTCTGGATACGTATCCAACGACATACCTGGCGAAGCAGCTCATGACGAACGCACAGAGAAGTCCCATGAAGCGGAAGACGAACAAGATAGCTCGGGTTCTTCCGTTGGGTCATTGAGGGCCGTGGACGAAGTCGAATACGACGTTAATCGCACCCACGAATCGCGAGCTACGGGATATATTGGCAAAAGTTCGGAAATCACATGGATGCAACGACTGCAGCAAGAGACATTGCAACGAAACGGCGCCCATGAAGACGACAGCAATGCGAGCAATTTGTTTGGTCCTCCCGAAATCAACTATCACCTTGATGATTTTGATATCGGGGTATCAGAGCCTGTGCAAATGTATTGGGTGCCGCCTAGACCGCTGGCAGATCAGCTTTTCCAGACTTATCTTCGTGTGACACATCCTTACTTCCCGATTATCAACCGTCCTTTGTTCTGTGATCAGTATGAGAGATTCTTCGACAGTCCCGCGTTGCCCGGTGACAAGTGGATGGCTATCTTGAATATGATTTTTGCCATTTCCGCCCACTACGCTCATGTTGCTGAGTTGAACTGGCACAATGGTGACCAAGACCATCTACTTTATCTGACCAGAGCTCGAATGCTTAGCATGAATGGAGATGAGGTGTTCCGCCATCCAGATCTTCAACAAGTCCAAGTGGAGGGTTTAATGGCTTTCTATCTTCTTGCGACGCATCAGATTCATCGGTAAGTTAATAGTAACCTATAAATAGGTACATTTAATGCTAATCTGTGATGCAGATCCTGGAGAATCTTGGGGTTGGCAATCCGCTCTGCAGTGTCTCTTGGAATGAATTTGAAGAATAATAACCCGGCCATCACAGACGTCTCCAAGGAAATTCGCAACCGGGTTTGGTGGTCTCTCCTTGTCACTGAAAACAAGCTCGGCCTGATGACTGGCCGGCCTACTTGTATTTCGGTGAACTTGTGTAGCTCGCCATTGCCTCTCCCGTTCGAAGAGAACGAGTTGCAACAACAACCGGCCATTTCTCTTCTCAATGATTCAGACCTTCGCGACAGTCAAGTCAACAATGTCATGGCCAGCTCGAATCTCCGAAGCGCGCCTTTTGCCAAATCCAGCAATAGATCGACCAAAGTCACCAGTTACGAATGGCTCCATAACCTCCCTGTCTCTGCTGGACTATATTTCTTATATGCCTGCGACCTAAATATGCTGGTGCAAGAGCTCCTAGACCGTGTATACACGGCCAATGCTGTCCACCAAGCTTGGAAAGAGATTCAAAACCAAATTGACGATATCAGTGGAAAGATTGATTTATGGCTCTCCTCACTTCCGCCTGGTCTGGACTTCACTCGCATGAACGGTGGTGATCAAGTACTCGACGACAGGATGCGCCTGGCCTTTCCATATTACAGCGCGCGAATCATGCTGGGTCGCCCCTGCATGTGTCGACATGACAGAGACAATCCCCGGCGCTTCAGTGAAGACCAGCTTTTCACACAAGCCATGGCTATATCAACCATCAAGTCTGCTATCCAGATGGCTCATTTGATCCCAGATGATTCTACCGCTTTTCAGTCAATTGAGTATCTCCCCTGGTGGTGTCTGCTCCACTACGTCATGCAGACATTAACAATCATGATCCTGGAACTTTCCTTCAGCTGCATTCATTTGCCAGAGGAAAAGAACAATCTACTACATCTGTCCAAGAAATGTATCAGATGGCTCGACAGGACGTCTAGACATAGTGTTGCATCTCACCGAGCATGGCAACTCTGTGACAGCGCCCTCCGCCGACTCGCAGAACCTCTTAGTCTCGATGTCAGCGATTTACCATCGCGTCCTTATCGGGAGCGCCCTGTCAATACAAATTCCTTTGGCGTTCACCCGATGGACCCGATGGAAGGACCCTATCCTACCAGCAATGAAAGTCTGAAGCAGGACTATATCATGCAAGATCCAATTAAGGAAGTCTTCACCACGAGCTCAGGAACCAATCCTCTATTTGCAACAAGTGGATCCGCATTTATTCCGGGGCAATTTGCACATGACCCAATTAGTGAGAATATTCTGGAACTTTTCTTCCCGGGAGCTGGGGACATTGATACGCGCATGAGTGACTCTTAAGGCCTGACTCTTGTCTAATGCAACCCTTGGCCGAAAGAATAGCCCTGGGAAGAATGACACTTCTGCTGAAAGAAGGACATCCTATCTCCATGCATGAAGGCTTTTGTATATAATTGTTCGATGCACATTGTGATGCCCTGTTTCCATGAGTAGAAAGTAGCTCTGTTGAATCTATACCAGCTACTAGGACTGGGCGTGAAGTTAAGAAATCTTCTCGCAGGAATGACCCCATCTCGCATAGTCTCATTGTCCAAGGTCTGCTGTCATTGTGGTCAGTATTCAGGTAGAAGGTTTCTATCGGCTTTGTTGCCACAAAGGGGACGAAGTCCATCCGGACGCCATCTGTCCTTGCTTCAAAAGCAGAGTCTGAAGCCCTGTAGATGACCCTCGACTGCTTTGAAGGTAAGTGCATGGTGAGTGATCGGTCTCATGTGCTCCTGCACGGGGCTCGTTTTACATTTCACTGAAAATGTAAGAAACTAGAGAAGTCACCTAGTAGATGTAAGAAGCTTTTGGAGAGGGCTGCCACTACTGGTGCGTACATTGAATCTGAGTGGAAAATGATCCCTATGGTGGCCGCAAGCACTCGAGAGGATGGAAGTAAATAAAGACACTCCACTCCAGCCCTGGAAATCATCTCAAAATTTAGTCTTGCAAGAATGTGCAAAAAGTAAGATTGGAAAAAAGTTTACTTCGTGGCTGGATTATATTGGGCTAAGCGAATGGATACCACAACGGCTCCGGCCTAGCACAAAATGCAGAATCATGCGTCATAAATCAAGCTATCAATCACGGGCCCCAGACAAAGTATGTACAATTCAAGAGGCATATAACTCGATACAAAAGAAGCGTATCCCGAAATGCACATGATACGAGGACAAAAGACCCGTCTAGAGTAACAGTATGCAGCCCAGAAACCAGGCACCGGACCCAGTTTTTGGTAAAAATCCATGAGAACCGAGGTATATGAGAGGTGGATGTAGTGGGCGAAGAGATACCAATGCAAAGGCGATGCTTCTCAAACGTGCGTCGGGAGTTTATTTTTCCCGGTAGCCCCAGATTCGCCGTTGCTCGTTGACATACCACTTGCCAACCTGCTCGGCATCTTCGGCCCAGGAGGCGGCGTCCGCGCCGAATTTCGTGGTAATTTCGTCAATGATCTTGGATAATGTCCAGGCCTTCATAGGATGTAACTCGCCGGGGTCTTCGTTCAGTTGTGTGAAAACATACTCGAAGCCCTCGCGGAGAGGCAAAATGAGGCGGTAGGGTGTGTCGGCGGATGTGATAGAGATCATTGAGCCGCCTGCGTTGATAAGGCCGAAATTCCAGACACGCTGTGTCTGAGAGTCCTGGTGCTTGTGTGTTGGGCGTGGAGAACGGGCGTTTTTCGAGTGAGACTTCGGAGACAAATCGCCAATGGCGGGAACGAAAGGTCGGATGAGGGATTGACCTTGGTACTCTGGGAGAAGGGCGGAGGCAATCTCAGCGTCGCGGGTATCGAGAGATTCGGACTGGATGAGGAGGTCGAGGATGGTGGGAATGATGGAGAGAGAGGTTGCGTTGGCATTGATGTCGATGCGAGGCATGTGAGGATGGCGGAAGACGAGAGGTACGCGGAAGTTACTGATATGGCCGTTTTCATAGGTGCCTGTCATGTCCTTGTTGTCTTCACCGAAGGCTTGACCGTGGTCACCGACGACAACGACGAGAGTCGTGTTGGCGATGCCGCTTTCGTCAAGCATGGTCATGATGTCGCCGAGCCAGTTGTCGACGAAGCGCTGGGTGTTGAGGTAATTATTCATCAATTTATGGTTAACGGTACCTTCATTACCCATGTATGATTCCATTTCAAAATCGTCCGGCGTGTTCCATGGGTGATGAGTGGTACTAGTGACGTGCGAGAGGAAGATGCGGGTTTTGTTGTTGGCGGCTTCCTCGAACAGATCCTGCACGTACGGTTTCAGTTCCGTCTCGGCATATCCAAAGTAATTGATCTCTTGGCCCTTGGGAGCGTATTTGGAGCCGAGTCGAGCACGAGTCAGAGTCTTCTTGACAACCTTGTCTTTAAATCCCATGTTCTTGTTCAGGATATCCTGGCGATCGTAGTCCTCGGTGATAGACTGCATGAAGACGGACTTCCACGGGTACTTGACAGCCTCGGAATTGTCGCCGCGGGCTTCAATCGCCTTTGGCATTGCGGGCGGCGCAGGCGATTTGACCTCATTGAAGAGTTCGAAAAGCTGCGGCAGACACGGCTGATAGATCTCGAGAGCAGTCTCCTCCAACATGTCCACGGGAAGCGGGTTGACACCGCAGTGACTGCCCAAAATACTCTTAAAGGTCAATGAACTGCCTGTAAGTGCACCTCGCACATTCAATCCACCCATGCCTGCCTCCGCAGTATCCTGCCATGTTGCATGGCTCAAATCGACCTTGTCACCCTTGCTATCGGTAGCATATTCGCCCGTCAACATCTGTGCAACGGGGGTCATCTTGACCAGGCGATCGATCGCCATATCTCTTTTCTCCTTCTTGTGCGATTCAAGCAAAGCTTCAAACATGGGGGTACCCTGCTGCGCTGGGAACAGCTCTTTGCGCCCACTTTCGAGGGTCAAAAGAACAACGTTATCAATCTCCACCGAGTGCTCCTTGAAGGCTTTTTGCAAGGGCTCGTAGATCTCACCACCTAGATTGGAAATCTTGAGAGGATCTGTCTTGGGATCGTAGAATCCAGGCTCCTTGCCAGAGTTGCACAGATACCAGGAAGGGTTATCCTTCTCAGCGCGCCGTTCAGGGCTAATATCCCACCGACTGAATCCCGAGGGTGGATCTTGCGGTAACCACGCAGCACGGGCCCATCTCTCCGAGTTGCTTTTACTGGCGGTCCAGAGAGGGAATTTCATTCTCGGGTTGCGGCAACCCTTGAGGGTAACAGACTTCTTGGTGAAGGCCTCCATCAAAGTCAACGGCAATGCACCGGATAGGTGATCGTACGGGACGGCGGGTCTGGTGAGTTCCAAAAACAGCAGCGACACAAAGATCGACACAGCAATAGCGATTCGGCGCACGGTTCGGAGATCGACAGAGGCCAACCAAGACTTGTTCGGTACGGAAAGTAAAGTGTAGCGGGCCTTGTAACCTCCCATGCACAGTTCCCGGATCGCCTGCAATCCAAGACCTGTTACATGATATAGGTGGGCGTGAATGAGCCACGCAACCAAGCCGAGAATAGTCGCTGCGGCAGTCACGGTGGTAATCCCACTCAAAAGGATTTTCATGGCGGCAGGATCACTCAGGAAACTATTGCTTTGAGCCCAGGCGACTTCGGCGCCGGTCTGCATAAAAAAGCCGAACTGGACGGAAGAGGCACCCCATGTTAACAAGCTAGCAAACTTGTCAGCTCCAAATATTTTTGCAGATGTCTAGCATATCACCTACGAAAGCAGCCCCCCTACGCATGTTGACAACCATTGTAACCGAGTTCCTGGAGCTGCAAATTGCAACAACAGCCTCCCAACGAAGATCACTAGCAAGTCTGGTACAATAAGGGTAGGCGAATAGAGGACGAAATAGAGGAAGGGTAAGGAGCGAAGATGTAAGCCGATATGTAGGGCCTTGGAGGCAAGACCGCTCACGACCAGAGCCGAGAACAGGAATGGTGGAAGCGGCGGAAGGAGGGCTAAGAGCGTCATGGCGAGATCACTTCATGGTCTTGAGAGGTGAGAAAGAAAAAAGGCGCGCGAGGGGAGACACGCGCCAAAGAAAGAAGAGAAAAAAAGAAAAAAAGAAAGAGACTGGAATGAGAAGCGAGCACCCCGGAAAGCGAAATGTATAGAAAGTCAAAAAGAGTCGAGCAGCAGATGTTAAAGTGAGAAATGGGAATTGAATTATAATTAGATCCATAAACATCGGACCCTGGGTGGCGCCAATCAATGGGAAATTTGTGAATTATTATGGAATCCTGTTCCCTTCGGACTGTTTAGATTTCCCGAAAAGATGTCTAGGGGACCAGACTAGTCCCTTCCCGGATCTAGGGTCTCTCCCAGCCTCTCCCACTACGCCAATTGGGGCTCCATGGGGCATAGGGGCACGCGACTGAAGCTTGAGTTTTTCTTGCTTTTCTTTTTTTGGCCCCTTCGGATCGACTGACACAGAGGACCCCATTCGGGCCCAGTCTCCAGTGGAGATCGGAACCTACGGAATCCTCTACACCATATTCCTAGGGACGTTCCACATATCGTCCAATTCGACCTACAGTAATCTCTGTTGCCTACCTGAACCACGCCTGAGACCTCTGAACCGGCTCCCAAAAAAAAAAATAAATAAATAAATAAAGACTTTTTTTTCTTGGGTCCCAGCCGCCGACAGCCGGCCCCTCGCGCATCAGGTTAGACCCCCATGGCCCCTAAGGTAAGCCCAGGGCCCCCAGGAAGGAGGGCTCGGGGCATCTAGCACAACGAGCTCGTGTGATGAGCTGGCAAAGAAAGTCCGGGGAACGGATGCGCGCACCAGTCAGGGTGCAATTCGCCGATGCGACTCTGAATGGCCGGATTCCAGTCTGCTCCCGATTCCGTTCTCCACGTCGTCCAGTGGCTGGGTTCCTGGTTCGCCTACAAACTCCTCAATTGCTCGCGTGCCGTGCATGCGAGTTGTCTCATGTCCACTGCCCGAAATGCCTGACGTACCCCGAGGCTGAATGTGTATCAATCGCCGTGAAGGCAGCACAGTTTCTCGATCATCACCAATGCTGCACTTCTGACGTGATCCAGAACCCAGACACCGTCGAATCTGAGCCCTGTGGGCCCGGCCGATCGGACAAATCCGAAAATCAGGAGCTACTTCCTGAACAGGCTCTTAGCATGACGACATGTAATCATCCAGCATCGTAAGAGAGTTTTCAGGGTCTAAGGAGGACCCTGAAAAGCGGTCGGCACGTCAGAGCCTGCCGCTAGGCTGTGTGCTACATGGCCTGGTCAGACACCAGAGCCTCTACCGAGGTTTGCATAAATAGATGGGGCACTGCCTCTTTGGCTCCGGGCCTGAGTCTTGGCCCCAGGGTCAGGGGCAAACCCTATCAGGCAAGTGGAGCTGTTCGACCAGTCAACCGAGGATAGGTTAGGTCAGTATGGCCGATCACTGCTTCACAGCCCTATAGGCCTGACCATGTATAAAGAGAGACCTCGTGAAGCCAGCTATTTCATGTTTTCGAGGATCCTATTACCCCGGTTTCAAGGGTCCAGGCACTAGTGCGCTAAACCCGGGATAGTTTGAACACTGACCGCCATGTTCTACATCATTTCTGCAGCTAACCCTGCAAGCCACCAGCCATTCATAGGAGATGTGCACAAATACAGACGCCTTTGCAAAGCGCACTATGTACAATCATTTGTGTATTTCCATCGCTGCTTGCTACTCTCAAGATTCCCAGTTACGAGATGGAAAACATCTAAGATCCCATTCCATCCTAAATCCTGAATCTGAAATCGGGATCAGGCTATCCCTCCAACCCTTCATAGCTCTGTCCAGATACCCCTCTTTCAACTCCTGTCTCGTCTGAAACTTACTCTTCCACCCTATCAACCCGATCTCCAATCTCCACAACCCCATTCTTCAATTCACTCAAATAAGCTCCCAGCACCTCATTAACACTTTGTGCTTCAGGCTTTTCATCCCCAGCATACCCCATTAGAATGACCTTGATCTGAATCGTGTCAATTATTCAACCTGCTTCCTGAAGGATAGGCCCGAGCTGTAGCGTTGAAGTTGTAATCACAGAACCTACAAATACTTTCCTAGCAACTGCACAGCATCACAAAGCTCCGCGTCAGACCAAGTTATGTGCGAAACATTTTGCAATTCTGCGTGGAACTTCGGGTTGTTGGAACTGGGAGGAGGGGCTATTGTAGAGAATTACTTGAGTGATCGAATTTCTATTTTCAATTCAACATAATACTTTACATGGAAGTGTGAGCAGGACGTGGCTTCGGTATGTGAGTTGGCTGCCAAGTCTTGGATACATCCTGTGACACTTGCTCAATGTGAACATGTATCAACCGAGGAAGTTATGAGATTATCATGTAGACCCACCGCGATACTGTCTGGGAGTCCATTGCTCGATCAATAGTCTCATCAATCTTGAGATCGCCTCATATGTCGCGCGATCTCGAAGCATTCATGTTGTGGAGGGATTGTTTGCAAGTCCACCTATACGACGGGTCTTGCTTCATTGTGGCTTATTCTATCTTCACACAGCCAGGTAGAAAGATAAACCCGCCAGGCTTTGGCGCGTTGCATTCCCACTCGGGATGGACGTTGCAAGATTCGACGGATGCAAGCAAGATCGAATGGAAGACATCAGAATACTTCAGCCACACGAAAGCACCTAGTGACACATTGCCATGAGTAAAGAGGGTAGTCTCATCTCCCAAAGAACAAGCATATATTATATAGAAAACAAAATATGGATACAATCCAATCAACGCCATGCAACCCATATCACACCAAACACCCAGCGACAAAAGCAGAGGCAGGAAGCAGATCCAGACCCGTCAAACCACTTTCTTGACCTCAAGAGTTCTCACGTCGCCCGCGAGATCAATCCATCCTCTCCAAGCTTATCCATAACCCCCTTCTTAAGACGCAATGAACGCTCAATCTCCGCGCGGGGCATCTTCTGCACGTCGCGCATGGTCAAAGCCTGGTGAATCGTCATGGCATCCATGTATGATCGCCCCGCGAAATCAGGTCGACCCATCTGGTCGATCTCCTGCTGTGCAGCTTTGGTGAGACGATCACGTGCGGCGGCAGTGAGAAGAGCTGGGTTGGAAGCTGTTGGGAAGACAGTTTGCATGGGGCCGCGGCTGTATGCTGGGGAATTGGCGTAGTTGGCTGAAGGGTCAACGGGCCCGATGGAGCGAAGGGAAGCGGCAAAGTCGGGGTCGCGGCCATCCATGTCGATAGCTGTGAGTATGTCAGTATATTGTACTATAGCGTAGGACTGGTTTTTCTTTTTCTTTTCTTTTTCGATGCCAACGAAGTTCCTGTGTAAACTTGGAAGGAGGGGTGCGCATACCGTTAGACCTTGTTTGAGAGGGCTGCTCCTTAGTGTGATACTTCGGTCCTTGAGGACTCGAGCTTGGGGGCTGAGAAGGAGGGGCCGATGGCGCAGGCTGAGGAGTTGGTGCCTCTGGAGCTTTTGTTTTCTTCGGTGCCGCTGGAGCTCGCGGCGGAGGGGCGGCTTGTTTGGGATACTGGCGCTTTGCGGCACCGGCAGCCGCTCTTGCGGGCTTTGAAGCGGAGGATCCCATTGAGGCGACTGAGTGTGCGAGGGGAGGATCTATTCAATGTGAGAAGCTTTTGCGGCGGAGATCGGGGACAGCGCGGAGGTGGGACTAGGCCTTCCCGTTGCTGGCCACTCAAGTGACGTCAAAATATAATCAGCTATCACACTGTTTCCAGTAGTCTACTAGGGGAAAGAGCACATGAGCGAAGTGGTAATTTTTTTGTAAAAAATTGACATTCGTTTAATGGTACTTTAAATGAATAACAAGTTGCCCGAGCAGAGAAAGCGGTTGAGACGCCTTGCGATCAGTCTACGATCAACATTACAATCATTTAGAGCACTTATAGGCCATGAAATGATTCGAATGATTCGAAGGCTCTGAGACTACTTAAAGTAATTGACTACCTGGAATTTAGACCACTGTTAGAATTGCGACAGGCGAGAAAATGATGAAGTGACTTATCCTCAGTACTTCAAGACTACGATGGCTCAGATTGTGGACCATGTACAAAGCATTCCTCTCTTACGCAAAGTTCACCCTAAATAGTTACGACTCATAATTTTGATTCTCTGAAACAGGATGGATATCATCACAGATAAGATACAAACTCACTCCGATCGACGGCCGCAGACAGCTATACTAGATGGCCCAACGAGATTGGGATGAGGAAACACACTCAAGCATTCAACGAAGGCCAGCGAAACGGCGACCCTGGACCTCGCCGAGTGCGCGGCTGCCGCTGAGGAATGCGATCACGCCAGCAGCTGCCGCGGCGGGCAAGGTCTGGAACAGGTTCCAGGAAGTGTAGTAGAGGAAGAAGATGCCCTCGAAGGCGATCAGAGAGCCGAGGAAGAGGGCATGGGGAAGAGGAGCATTCTTGAACGCAGTGGGAAGGTGGTTGACATTGGCGCCGAGCAAGAACCACTGGACGAGCTTGTTAATTAGAGCTTCACGACAACAAGGAACGTATCTTACCAAACCAGCCAGAACCGGGAGAGAAGCAGCTACCAGGGCGACAAAAGTCAGGGTGATGATGATTGTAGGGTTGCTCGGGGCATCCCTGAAGATATGGTGGATCTCGGGCAGCTTGCCATAACGCGCGGGCTCGACGGTGGGGATGGGGACATGGGGGTCACGGTCGATGGACAGCTTAAAGACGGAGCTGTCGTAAGCCTCAGCGCTGCCGAAAGAACCTATCACCACGTGGGCATCGACGGTATCGGCGAGGTGGAGGAATTGGAGAGGGAGCTCCTTCTGGGTCTGACAGCTGTTAGCTTTTCCCCGCAACGAACTTCGGAAGGTCGCATACCAATTCCACGCGAGACTTGCCATTCTCCTTAACGGTAAATGGGTAGGAAATGTCCAACCCAGACTGAGGATCTTGCAATAGTAGAAAAGCTTGGTGTGGCCGCTTTGCAGAGCTACCTTCCTGCGTGGTCAAGGTGACGCGCAATGTGTCGGCACCAGCGAACGAGACGACTTTGGACAGCGGCTTGGAGGAGGAGAATCTACACGGGTGGTCTGTGAGCTTCGGCACATTCTGCTTCCAGTGAATGACATTGGATACGTACTGTTCCTTGAATCCGCCGTTGATTCCAGCGCCCTTTGGTTGAACTGCCACGGTGGCATCAGTAAAGCCCCAACCGGAGGCCGCGGCCGCAGGCAGGGCGGCTGACGCCAACAGACAGAAGGGAAGAGTGGCCTGCCACAGATACATCTTGAAAGCAAGCAAAAAAAGAAATAAATAAAACTCCAATTGGTAATGGAGGTAAGGAAGTAGTTGGAGGAGTAGCAGAATAAGGCGGAAGGCGATGAAGCCGATAAGCGCCGATCGACTTAGCCCTAATTTCTTTTCTCAGACTTCACCTTCTCCGCATGTTGGATCACCAACCCCGGCCTTTGCTGCCTTAATATCAGCAAGTTCAAGGCCGCATCGACACAATAGCCCTGTTCGATCGGATAGTAATAGGCTGACTCGTGAGTCCTTCAGCCCGAGACAATTCTCGGCTGCCCTTACCCGTCTCTGACGTCTCCCATCTTGCCCTCGTTGTCTAACCATTCATGGCTTTTTGAATGCTGTTGAGACGACTAGTTCCTCGTATTACTCTTCATCTCTCATTATTGTTATACCTCTGATCTATTTGCTCTATAGCTGACAATCACGGTTTTGACACAGGCACCATACACAATGCCTCCTAAAGGGTACCGCAAATCAATGCCGGGGCGCCTCAATAGCACCATGTTGACACCCTCACGGCGCTCACCCCGAGTCCCGGCAAAAATGACAAACCCGTCTACCCAACCCTCCAAATCACTCGACTCCTCCGCCGATTCTCCTGATTCATCCTTCAACATTCGTTTTTACAACCCGAAGACTCCCACCAAGTCTTCTTCCACAAGCCCTAAACCCGGAGCTGGCTCTCCGGACTTATCCTTGAGTCAACGTCGAACTTTCCAAGCTCGGCCTTCGAGATTGTCTACTGTTTTCACGCCGGCCGTGGAAACCCCAACCTCAACAGGCAGTCGACGAACCCTTCGTTCAACTGCCAACCCTGTACAAAACCAATTCTCAGACGACGACTTTGCCGAAACAGGCTGGACTCTCGAACAATACCTTGGGCTCGGCTACGAAGAAGACATGGCAGGCCAGACTTCACCCACCAAATCCTCCTCTATGGGGACCCGCACCTCAGCTCGTGTACGCAAACCTACAGAGCGATTTCTTGAGTCTCAAAAGTCCCAGCCAAAGCCCGGGGAGAACAATGGCAATGCCCCTGCCGTATCCAAGAGGCAAACCACTAAGACTATACAAAGGATATCCCAGAAAAAGACCCCTGCTCCAAAGAACGCCTTCAAGGCCAGCTCCGCTCTGAAAGGAAAGCAAGTTGAGGACGCGCCCGAACTTGAACGTATCAAGATCAAAGAAGAAGATGCGGCTCAGAGTCTGTATGAGTTGGCTCGTTTTGCCTTGGGCCCTGACTTCGAAATTCCCGAGAATCCAAGCGAGCTTATCGATGAGCTTCGCGCAGCCTATTTCAAGCGTGAGGCTGAAATTAAGACCACTCGAGATTTACAGGACGACCAGGAAGCCCAGGACGTACGCGATGCATTAGATGCCCAACTCGACGAGTATGATGACTCGGACGATGATGTCGTGAGCCACACTAAGCCCACAAAAGCTCACAATTCTGCCAAGCCTTCGAAACATGTGAAGTCGGTAAAGGATGTTGATACTATGGAGCCTATCCACTCCACTGAGTCTGTACAGCCCGCCAGTGCCTCACAGGGCGTTGAGCCCGCTGATAAGGCTATATTTCGATTCAAAAAGTCCGCGGCAGCGGTCATCGAACCTGATGGCTGGGTCAAGACTGGCCGTGTTAATGACAGCGGCGAGGAACTTGTTCTCACGCCCACCAATCACAGCCCTTGGCGCTCGCCTCGCACTTATTTTGACGATGCTCTTCCTTATCCGCCTGTACGCTCGCGCTCCGACCAGCAAGCTGAGGGCGACTCTGCTCTCGGCTTCCCTCCTCTGCTGGGAGACCGGAACATTCCTCCCGGGTGCTGAACTGGACTTTCGACCAGAGAATGTCCAGGAAGAGAAAGCGCGAGTGTCCAAGGTGTCTTCCAAGACTCCCGCAAAGCCCGTCTCAAAGCTTTCCTCCAAGACTGCTTCTACGAAACCTGTCAAGAAGTCTTCAAAAGCTATTGCCAAGGGTGGCCCCAAATCCGAGTCTAAGTCTTCCAAGACTGTATCCAAGACTGCCCCAAAGTCGATCCCAAAGTCGACCCCAAAGTCGACCTCAAAGTCTACACTGAAGTCCACGCCAAAGTCTGCTCCAAAACCCTCCACTAAGACCCCTGCAAAGGCTTCTGCAAAGACCTCGGCAAAGGCCCCTTCTTCCGCACCCGCGACAAAGGTCCAGCGCATCACGCTCAAGCTAGGTCCCGCTCCCGAGTCGGAAAACGAGCGCACCTCGGGTAATTCAGGCTCACCAGATGAGAAGGTCGAGGGGGTCCCCGTCGCGAAGGGCAAGAAACGCAAGTCTGATGTCCTCTCCGACGAAGATGAGCCCAAGCCGAGCATGTTGAAGAAGCGCGCAACCGAGAAGTCCACCCCCGTCAAGTCCAAGACCTTTGCCCACCTTGCTCCTACCACTGGACCCCCCACCGCCATGACCATTCCCACTGTTCATGGCCGTGGATCTTCTCAGGCCACGGCTCGTGGCTCACGAGGTTCTCGTGGCCCCCGTGGATCTCGGGCCCCTCGCGGCTCCCCCATCTCTCAAGGTCGTGGCCGCGGTCGTGGTTCGGCAAGTGTAACTGAAACCACTACAATTCATCCTGCCGAAGCTAGAGCTGCCACTACATCTGGCTCTACAAACTCTACCCGCGGAAAACAAGGCGAAGCCCGCGTCGCCCGAGGCCCAAGTCGTGCCCGTGGTCGCGGCCGCGCGCGCGGTGGTGCTTGACTCATCGGCACCCGAAGCCCATCCGCCAAATCAACGTGCATGAGTCTATGCAAGAAGTAACATCCGTAAGGTGAAGGGAACTGTCTGCTGCCAAGTATTTATACTACATCAAGACGAATAACGAATTGAGGACCTCGCATAGCCCGGTGTTTTGATCTACTACTTTACTTACTAAATCTCCACGTGAAAGTGGACTTGGAAATTTAAAGAATACCATCATTTTCATGCCCATTTCCTCAGTAGACTCTTTCCCATTGTATTTTTTGAAGATTCGGCCTCGCAAAGCAAAAACAGAACAGGGACTTGAATCTCAATGCGCTTTGTGCCTCAGGCACCAAACCTCCACCCGACTTCCATCTTTTATCCCGTCTCGCACTCATTCGCCCCAGCACAGAAGCTTCTATTCTTATTCCCTCAAAATGCCACCCAAGGCTACGACGGGACCTTATATTCCCCGGCCACTGCCTCAAAAGCCGGTGCCAGATGCAGTCAAACCGGCGCGCCCGATGAGGCCGGCTGACATCCGGAAAACGAAGGAGTATAAGTCTGCTGCACGGAAGTATGTATCAATTTCCTGATCTCAGTACCGGGTCTATCTTCGTTACTCGGTTACCTCAGCTACGACTGTCTCATTGGACTTCAACTAACAGGTGTGTACAAGGTGGACGGGTGCGATGGTGGGCATTCCGTTTGTGATTATCACTTCTTGGATATTGTACGAGAGAAGTAAGTGTTATCCTGTTCTTTTGGGTTGTACCTTTGCGCTTGGGTGCTTTTTGGTATATATTATGCTGGTGGATGACGCGTTGCTGACGGGCTGAACAGTCTATGGAAATAAGAGCGTGAAGAAGCTGCCGGCGCCAAAGCGGGAGTCCTCTTCCTCGTCTTAGCCGGGGGTTCCTTGTATGATTATGACTGATCTACACGGAGGGAGTCAATTTGTGGTCAAAAGCTGCCTGTCATACTGTACATATATTTTTGAGCCCACTCATTTCATTATCATTACAGCACCATATTCCAGTCCCGGAAAGAAAATCCAATCTTACTCGGGTGATTAAGGGGATTATCACACCCCCTAGGCTCTTTCGAGGGGCATTTGAGCACAATGTAAAAATGATTCCTGTTCTTTTTTATAGACCCTATCCTCCGATCTCACCAGCCTGCTGGCATATAAAAGCAAGAAAGTGTTACAGTCCCAAAGGTTTATGGATGAAGGCAAGATGCAAGGGAAGGCGGGAATGCGTGTGCTCCCCCTAGACGTATGAAAACCTGCAACTAGATCAGACGCTCACACCTTGCATTGGGAGATGATCTCCCGACCCGGCTGAAGGTACGGAGGTAGGGCCACTGCTCGTGCTGGGTGGTTTGACGCTGCGCTCGCGCAAACGGCGACCTTCCATCAGACCGCGCAGACCGCGTTTCTGAAGTCCGATCACGCTGCTTAAATCGCCAGTCCAGATTTCTCGGCTGTCAGTACCCCGGCGACGGTGCGTGCGCGAGGCAGCACGGCTCTCGTTGTCGCTGACGAATTCCGAGTCTGACTGGCTGAAATCTGCGCTGGAAGCGGAGGTTGCGGTGCTGGCGCTGCTGACTGAGTCTTCGCGCTCGCGTTGAGCCTGGGCGCGAGAGCGACTGCGTTGTTGGGTCAGATTTGTGTCGATGCGGAGGGATGGGATGCCGCGGGCAGCAAAGTTGGTTAGGTCGCCTGTGCTACTGGATGCTGAGGGTGCGGTGACACCGTGCTCGGTGTCGGAGGAGTCAGAGGCTAAGAGGACGCTGTGTTGAGATGTTGTACCTTCCGATACGCTAGGCATGGAGCCGTTGCCCACGAAGTGTGCGCCGTTCAGGGCTTCCAACGTACCACCGAGACCCCCGCCAAATCCTGTACCTCGGCCCCCTCCTGCTGCCATGGCAGCGGCGTTGAAAACAGCTGCAGCGTTCCGACCGTCAAGGACTTGATGGAGGCGTTCCACTGTTGCCTCCAAGAGACCGTTGACTTGGTATGGTCGTGCGAGCTGCAGTAGGGAGCAGAGGATCTGCGGCGTGCAGAGGGACGAGCCCGGGGAGGAAGGGCGGATGTGTAAAGAAATTGGACCAACACCTGAAGCGTTAAGATCGTATGAGGGAGATAGAGCACGCGAGGACGAGCAGTCGGAGCTAGGCCGTGAGCTGAAGGCGCCTCGAGATTTTCTAGTAGAGCCTTTGACGGGACAGCCGGATTCACCAGTGTTGTCGCATTGGAGTAATTGCTATTTTGTCCGACTGAAGGAGTGATTGTGATACTCGAATTGCGGCTGGGGTGAATCGCACCAGGACGAAGAGTGGCGCCCTCTGCGATAACACTGTCTGAGGACTCACGCAAGAGCTGGATGAAATAGGGCCCCCATCTCCGGGCTAGCAGGCGGGAATTGACCGAGATACATTCACCGCCAACAGCCTGCAACTCCATATCAGACAAATCCTGCAGTGAAAGAAGCAGTTTGCCTAGCTCGTCAGCTGCAGCAGACAATGGTCGTCCACCTGTCGTCAGCTGGGTGAGCTTCTGCTGTAATGATGCGGGTACAGATGGTGAACTGTAAGACTTGTATCCCGAAGTCGCAGCGGTGCGACACGGGTTATTGTAAAGGCCGAAAGCCTCCAGCTCTACTACGCAAACGTGCGAGAAGTTGATCCGGCGGTGGTTATAATCATCAACCAAGCTTCGCTTCCGGTGACCAAGAATCACAAAGGAGCTGCGACGCGGCCAGAGGATGCCACGATTCCAACTGCCGTGACCAAACACAGAACCGCCGGCATCGATGCGTCCCCAGGTCAGGGTCTTCAAATCCAGAGCCCAAAGCGCATATTCCTGCTTTGAGGAAGTCAAATATGTGCCACTGACGACAAAGTGACCATTGATGATGCCGCCATTGGGGAAGCGCAATCCAGGCGGAGAAGCTTGGCTCTGCATCGGTCGCTCAACAAGGCGCCCGTCCGGCAGGCGCACCTGCAGCTCCAACTTGACATCCAAGAAGTTATAATTTGAGTATATCAGCATGGGACATCCTGCCTTCTCTGAATGCTCGGCTGGCTCATGCGTCACCCGATCTGGCGAGGCCGAGCCGACCTCTGAAACGTCCATGCCGACCAGAGGGGCTACCACACTGCGGTAGGCACCGCAGCTACGTCCGAGGGGGCTGGTGTTGGTCCACTTAAGGCTCCGCAAGTTAAAAACACTAATTTGTTCGATGTAGTGGTTTGAGCTGTCTTGGCCCCCAACGACTACCATCTCAGCGCCTCCAAATCCATCGATATCCACCCAATGGAGCCCTGGTGGGCATTTGTTTCAGGATTGTGATGAATAGCCGACAGAGGCGCACTGGCAGACGTAAAGCAGGCGGTGGATGGAAGAATCGTAGCACAATGAGCATACCGTCCTTGCGGCGATTCATGTGCCGCAACTCGAGTCCATGCGCGCGACGGAACGTCGAAAATGTGAATATCCGACATGACTACAACCTCCGACTGAGCCTCCGAGCTATTCGGACGTGACGGCTCCTTGGGCGTCCCGGGCGCAGGCGACATTCCTCCATAGCAGACCAGCTTGTTATCACCTAGCGCGCAAACGCTGTGGAAGTACCGAGGCGGTGGGATATCCCCGGTCGGTTCGATTTTTGTCCAGTGCCGGCGAATCAAGTCCAGTTCATATAGGTCAGAGGTCAACTGCGGGCGACTGCGCGAGAGGATCCGGCCTCCGAAGACGTATAGCTTATCGCCCAAAATCGTAGTGGTGGCCCCAACCAGGGGGTGAGGTTCCTTGCCAGTGGTTCGCCGGACATTGCACACCAGGCCAGACAAATTGATAGGTCCAGACGCAGACTGTTGAACAAGGGACGGAGACCCTCCGGCTGCAGAATGATCCTGGGGACCTGCATCCAGGAACCCAAGACTCGACTGGCTCCGCGACATCATGGGGGCGAATTATGGATTCCGCTCGGCGCTCACCAAATTATATTTGTTTTGATTTGCCCCTTTTCTCAAATAAGCTGGTCGGTGTCTGAGCGCATATGACGAGACTCCAGGCTGGAAGTGTCTAACGAGTAAAAGCCCTTTCCCCGATCGTACCGCTGCGGCAGTGGTGGTGCGGTAAGGGGTGGTATTAGGACCGTGTGTAATTTTCTTGGTCTCTGCCGCGTCGAGACCGCCGTTGAAAGGCGCGAAGAAGTCCGTGTACCGAGCACAGGTTAAGGTGAGGCGTCTCAGGGTGGAGGGGAAAGTGTCAGACGGTGAGCGTTGGATCGGCACAAAAAAAGGCGGTCTCTACGTTTTCCCCGAGTGGGTTTGGACGCGGATGGGACCGCACTTTACTTTGATCCCTGACTGTGGGATTATGTCACCGTTCAGTGAGAAGACTTAATTACGCGCGTGGGTGCCTCGATATGGTCTGACGGTAGCGTTAGCCCCTGACCCCAGCCACGCTGAAAAGGTCGGGTGGCTTATCCACATCGTGTCAATCTACTTCGGAGTTAATCACGTATGCAGTAAGGAGTCAGAAGATAAGTGGATCTGGCCCATGGAACACTTTAAAATAGCCGATGCATACCGCGCTTGAACCTTTGCAAGGAACCTGCTTTTACCCGACGTGCATCAATGACAAGGAACATGGGCATAGCCCAACCACATGTACGGGCTTGAATAGCGACCACTAGAACAATAACACACCAATTGCTTCTTGCCCTTCATGGCCTTGAAGAAAAGGCCTAGAGGGAAACCGGGACTACACATCTGAGTAATGTCATTTATCAAATCTTATGCTGCGTTTGGTCCTAGTGGCCAGCTTTCACGCAAGCCAAGGTGGTCATATGTCTACGCTTTAGAATGATGGAAGATAAGGCATTTCATATTGGTATCATCTATCCTCTCCGTTTAAATTTCGCTCCTGTTCTTTTCACATCACATCGTAAAGCCCATCCTTTATTGGGGAGCCTTGGTGAAGCGGAGGTAAGGCTTGACCTCACGGATCTCGCCGAACTTCTTCTTGGCATCCTCAGTAGAGACGGGAGGGGGGATGACAACATCATCACCGGGGAGCCAGTTGATGGGGCAGGTGACACCGTGCTTCTCGGTGGTCTGCAGAGCATCAATGACACGGAGGACCTCGGCGGTGTTGCGGCCAGTGGAGGCGGGGTAAGTCATGATGAGACGGATCTTCTTGGCGGGGTCAATGATGAAGACGGAGCGAATGGTCAGAGCCATGCCCTTGGAGTCGACGTTGGTGGTGTCCTGGTAGTCGACCATGTCATAGGCGTAGGCAACCTTACGCTCGGGGTCGGAGATGATGGGGAACTTGAGCTGGGAGCCGGTGACCTCATCGATGTCCTTAATCCAGCGGTGGTGGGACTCGACATGGTTGGCGCTCAGGCCGATAAGCTTGACACCGCGAGCAGTGAACTCCGGCTCGAGCTTGGCAAAGGCACCGAGCTCGGTGGTGCAGATGGGAGTGAAGTCATCGGGGTGGGAGAAGAGGACCGTCCACTTGTCACCGATGAACTCGTGGAAGTTGATGGGACCGTTGGATGTGTCGGCATCGAAGTTGGGGGCAGTAGAGCCCAAGCGGAGACTGTATACAGTTGTCAGTAACCTGGAGACAATGTGGGGAAGCGCGGGGCTCCGAGAGCTCATGAGCGGGGGAACGTACGGAGCAGCGCGTTCAGCCATTGTGCTTGGTGTTATGAAGTACTGTAGAAAGAGAGAAGAGAGGAATGACTTAGGAGGAAAAGGGGACCTAAATAAGAGATCAGAGGGAGCCCCTCCTGCTTGCGATGGCCTCGAGTTCTTACCTCATTCGGCCTTGCTATTATCACGCAATTGACCACCGCCTCGGGCAGAATGTCCTTGATTGGCTGCGGGGCACGTGGGATGTTTAGTGTTCCTGATGCCACTCGGCTCCATTTGAAGGATGACAGGGCAAGGGTGTCCTAGTGTGAGTCTGCGTGGGTTAGTGGATCTCGGGGGTCTTGATTAACCCCTCTACGGCAAAAGCCATACTACCAGGTCCCCGACCTTTCATGGTGTTTGCGACATCCTATGTGGAACTAGAGCATAGATTTACCTCTGCATTCACTGCAACCATGAACAGATGTTCAGCTGACTCTATCGGCCGGGCTATTCGTGATCATGCTTAAGTCGGCCGATCATCCTTTCCATGGAGCCAATGGAGATTCCACGGGATGGCGTAATTCCAGGCGGTCTCTTTGTCGGCATGAGTAGCCCCGTACTACTGCAGATCCAGTACGAGTTGGAAACTGAGTCATTGGCAGCCCTTTGGAATTCGCTGCACCTCGTGCACCTTATGGGAGCGCATTGATGAGCAATGGAAGCGTGGGGACCCACCGGGTGGGGCAGAGTTTCGATATGCTTCTTCGCTGCTTCTTTAGGTTGAGCATCAGGCTTGGGGCAATTCGTGGGCCTGCCAGCTACCATTATGACCCATCTAACAAACGTATTTTAGAAGTCTAGGATGGCAAACATCGTGTTCTGGGTCACATATTGAGTTTGCTGTAAGTGCAGACGGGTTGCTCTTTGTACATATATTGAGAGCCTCAGTGTGTATTAGCGAGCTAAAATTCAATTCCTTTTCGTTGTAATATGAGTTTCGGGGTACGTTATTTTCCTCTATGGTAAGTCCTCAAGTGTCGGACTAGACACAGGAACATAGCATCTCGGGTGGTGTTTTTGGTTGAGAAATCGAATAAAAGATCAGGTCTAGCTCAATTTTTCGTTTCTTGTCGATCGTAGCTTGATTTGCATGCCCGTCAACAGCCTTTTTCTAAGCGACCAGTCTCGCGCAAATTCAGTTGAAACCTCGCGTCTCTGCCAGCTACAGCTGCTCGTATCCTCACAGAACTTAGGGGTACCTTCGCGGGTAGGCCAAATATCCATGTATGTTGAACATTCGACAAGATGGCCTTCTCTTTGGTTCCCTCCTAGCCATTAGACTTTGCTCAAGTTGCTAGTCTGCCAGTTCGCCAGAGCTCCCATAGATATCTCACGCGTGTGTCACATGTTGTAAGAATTGGACCAAATTGATTGCTATAAAGGTGGTGATTTTGTAGCTCAAGATCTTGTGATGGGATGGCGGGTCACTTCAAGGGTCTGCTAAACGACCTGAGTGATGACGAGTTGAATTTATTTTCGAACATTTTAAAAGGACTTCTTGTATTGCAAGGGGTAGCCTCTTTCTGATACTTGATGAAAGTCCCAGCTCCAAAACCTTCCGTGGTATCATTGGCAAGTCTCGGGTCTGAAACAAGTTGATGATGAATTTCATCGAAAGTTCTACTGAGAATCCCATCATGACCATGCATGTGTCAGTTTTCAGTGGTGACAAGGACTTTCATTCAGTCAAAAGCTCCAAGACGAGAATAAATGTTGACTACAGCTTACCTGATATCCGGAGAAGCACTTGGGGTCCGGTGCAATGGATCTTTAAAAATTTTCACGGTTACCGGATTGATTGTTCGTCTTCTAGTACATGCCTGGGATGGATACATTATCTGGATCTCACAGAGATGATTCTTCTGTCACATTGCTCATGGTTTCGCTTGTCCGGGTGGTATAGGGACAACGTGGAATAGTCTGCTGAGATATCAAACACGGTTTGGTCAGATAGACTTCAGTCTAGATCAAGTTCTGTGAGGCACAATGTGCCCGGGATTCAGTCGCAACATTGACGCTATATACTCATCATCCATAAGTGCAAAACATATATAATGAAGGTTGACATTGCCCGGTTGATCTCCCAGCCAAGAACAATTTTAAATGGCATCTATGCTTCCGTAGAGATTTTGAATTTCCAAGGTTGCTATAAGGTACCATCGATGCATCATTGTCCGTCGTCAGAGACGGCAAAGCAACTTGCCCGTGAAGGTCACGTCGATTGAGCTGCGTCACGTGGAGTGGACCCACCGTCGCGTCTCAAATACAACAAACATCGACGCTTCCCCAGCTTCAGGTATTCCGAGAGCCATCCCACCTCGCAATATTCTAAACCTCAGTTTCTGTGGATTTGACGTGCTGATTTCTGATCATACGATCTTAGCTGCAGTTAATGCCACCCAAGCGCAGATCTAGTGGCACAATGCCCGAAGCGACTCAGACGCCCTCCAAGCGACTGCGCAACTTGACAACTGCAACCTCGGACGGGGCTGAAGCAATCCCTCCAGTGAGTGATTTCCCAGAGACTGATGTTCACAATTGGCCCGTAACTCAAGTTATCCCGAGCCTTGTTCAATGATCGTTAATCCCGATTCAGGCTGCAACGCTCAAGACCGGAGAAAAGAGAAAACGTGGTCGTCCGCGCAAGAATCCTGAGGCCCCTGATGTTCAACCAATAACTCCCAAGCGCGGGCGCGGCCGTCCACCCAGGATCGCCTCGGAAAAGGAGAATGCTTCAAAGGCAGTGGCCTCGCCGCGCAGAGAGGCCGAGGACGCCCTCGCAAGGTGCCAGGTATGAGTTATCTGACAATTAATGATGTAGTGTACTAACATGTTGTCTTTTCCTCTTCAAGTGGAAAATCCGAATACACTTGAATCAGGACAATCCCGCGAGAGTCTTCACAGTAAGCCAACCGCAAATGCCTCAGCAACTCCAAGTGGCCGAGGACGACCTCGTCTAAGCCTGCCTGCCAAGGCAACTGCTGAATCGGCGAGCCCCAAGAGGGGTCGGGGTCGGCCTCGCAAGAGCCTGCCTGCTGCATCAATTCCGGATATATCGAGCCCTAAGAAAGGCCGTGGACGCCCACCCAAGCGCGAAAGCGTTGATAAAGCAGTCGAGGCCGCCGTGCCTATTGATACCACCAAAGACTCTGACACCTCCGAGGCTATGGAGCCGAAAGCTGAGGCTGCAACAGAGAGCGAGCCCAAAGGAGGCAATGGCCGTTCTTACTGGCTCATGAAGGCAGAGCCCGAGAGTCGCCTTGAGAAGGGCGTTGATGTTAAGTTTTCAATTGATGATCTTGCTGCTGCAAAGGTCCCAGAGCCCTGGGATGGTATGTTCATCCGCTCCATCCTACTCGGAGACGCTGACTAATATCGGCAACAGGAGTTCGCAACGCCGTTGGTAAGACCATTGTCTCTAGTGACATGATTGCTTGGCTTACAATTGAACAGCACGCAATATCATGCGGGAGATGAAGAAGGGTGACTACGCATTCTTCTACCACTCCAACTGCAAGGTCCCTGGGGTGGTCGGAATCATGGAGATTGTGCAGGAGCACTCGACTGACGGTAAGACCTCTGTTCCATTTGGACTATATCAGTTGGCTGATTGACTCTGCAGAGTCTGCCTTTGACCCTAAGCACCCGTACTACGACCCCACGTCTAACCGCGATAGCCCCAAGTGGTCCGTCGTGCACGTCGAGTTTCGTCACAAGCTAAAGAACCCGGTCACCTTGGCTGATCTCAAGGCCAACAGCCAAGCAGGCAAGCCGCTCGAGAACCTGATGACCCTTAAGCAGTCAAGACTCAGTGTCTCAAAGGTGACCCCAGATGAATGGCGAACCATCTTGGAAATGGCGGGAGAGGATCCACACGAACCCAAGTTTTAAACTTCGATCAATCGAACATTTTCAATCTTCATGTACTATATCAGCAGAGTTAACGGGCGGCGTTGCGGGTGATATAGGCATTGACATTGAACTCATTTGAATAATTTACGTCATCAAGCTTAGTCTATTCTGCCGATGGCTGTCAAGAAATCGCAAGGCATCAGAAATTCCGACTGATTGATAATTGTAATTGACTAGAATCGCGGAGAAGAGAAAGAAACCTCGGATGAGTGAGGGGGGGCGGGTCATGGCCAACCAAAGAAAACGCCAGATAGACCAAAGGAGTAAGGCGATCCATTGATTCCTGCTATTACCCACGAAGAGTAAGTGTAGCCGACACAGTGGGCTCGGCTTATCGGTTATCGCGCGGGGAGGGGTGGGGGAAGCTCCCTTAAAAGACCTCATCTGCTCTGCATCCAAGGCTATGCTTAGCTTTACCATCCGGTCCCTGCGTCATTTGTCTGTCTCCGGCCGTCGATTCCACAGCTCCGCCATTATGTCCAACCTCTCGGTGCAATTGACTGCCCCAAACGGGCGCTCCTATGAGCAGCCCATCGGTCTCTTCATCAACAACGAGTTCGTGGCGTCCAAGTCCGGCGAGAAGTTTGCTACCATCAACCCTTCGTATGTGAATTCCCCAATTTGCTCATGTGCTCGTTTTTAATACGATTTGTGAAGCAACGAAACCGAGATCGCTTCCGTGTACGCCGCTGGAGAGGAGGACGTTAACATCGCCGTGGCCGCCGCGCGCAAGGCTCTCAAGGACCCCTCATGGAAGGGATTGTCCCCCACCGACCGCGGTGCTCTCATGATCAAGCTCGCCGATCTGATTGAGCAGCACAAGGAGACTTTGGCTACCATCGAGACCTGGGACAATGGTTAGTGATTATTCGTTGTTCTTACTGCTGCAGTGCACATAGGGGCTAACAGACAATTGTAGGCAAGCCATACTCCGTTTCTCTGAACGATGACCTCGGTGAGGTCACCTCTTGCCTCCGCTACTATGCCGGCTGGGCCGACAAGGTCATGGGCCAGACCATTAGCACCACTCCCCAGAAGTTCGCCTACACTCTCCGCCAGCCCATTGGTGTCGTCGGCCAGATCATCCCCTGGAATTTCCCTCTCGCCATGGCCGCCTGGAAGCTCGGCCCCGCTCTCGCCTGTGGTAACACTATCGTCATGAAGCCCGCCGAGCAGACGCCTCTCAGTATTCTGTACATGGCCAACCTGATCAAGGAGGCTGGTTTCCCTCCCGGTGTCATCAACATCCTGAACGGCCACGGCCGCGTGGCTGGTGCCGCGCTGGTCCAGCACTCCGACGTCGACAAGGTCGCATTCACCGGCTCGACCAACACTGGCCGCGAGATCATGAAGATGGCCGCCGGCACCCTGAAGAACATCACCCTTGAGACCGGCGGTAAGTCGCCCCTGCTTGTGTTCGAGGACGCCGACATCGAACAGGCCGCCAAGTGGGCCCACATTGGCATCATGTACAACCAGGGTCAGGTTTGCACCTCCACCTCCCGTATCTTGGTGCATGACTCCGTGTACGACAAATTTGTGGCACTCTTCAAGGACGTCGTCAAGGAGACGAGCAAGGTTGGCGACCCCTTCCACGACGACACCTTCCAAGGCCCCCAGGTCACCAAGGCGCAGTACGACCGTGTGCTGTCATACATTGACGCCGGCAAGTCCGAGGGCGCGACCCTCGTGTCCGGCGGCGAGCCGTACAAGAACGTCGGCGACGGAAAGGGTTTCTTTATTGCCCCTACAATCTTCACCAACGTCAAGGACAACATGCGCATTTACCGCGAAGAAGTTTTCGGACCCTTTGTCGTCATCGCCAGCTTCAAAACCGAGGATGAAGCCGTCACCCGTGCCAACGATACCACCTATGGTCTCGGTGCTGCTGTCTTCACCAAGGACATTGAGCGTGCGCATCGTGTCGCTTCGGATATCGAGGCCGGTATGGTCTGGATTAACAGCAGCAACGACAGCGATTTCCGCGTGCCGTTCGGTGGTGTCAAGCAGAGTGGTATTGGTCGTGAGCTTGGTGAGGCTGGCCTCGATGCCTACTCACAGGTTAAAGCGGTCCATGTCAACATGGGTAGCCGTCTGTAACTGAATGTCGGTCTTTGATTTGGGGTATCATAGAACTAAATGAGATTAATGTCTTGATGACCTGAAATTTGATGCAATTGTTTCATCTGACCTAGTGGCTTTGGGCTGGCGTTTTACTAGCCTTTAGGCGTCCCTTGTCGACTGCCAGGGTGGATGAACATTGGAGATCCGTATAAAGTGGAGCATATTTACTACTCCAACTCAAAAGCCTGGGCGTCTCCCTTACAGCCATCATCTCGATCACATCTGTGCCAGTTGAAGTGACATCAAATGTCTTTCTTTTTCTCTTAACTCTTGAATTTCGAATTTTCACTCGATTTAGTAACTCTAACATGTAGATCTATCTGTCGTCATCCACAGATGTTTATTCTTCAATCAGAACTAGGTACCAACTGTGGCAGATAACAGCGCAATGTCTGCATACCTTACAATACTTATCTGAATAGCCTGGGTGTAGTCAATATAGTTTTTTTTTCAATAGCGAGATTGCTGAATACAACTGCGCTATAATAAGGTCTGTCAGTCGATGAGCTGATAAGTATGATAAGTATACATATTTACTAGCTACTCTTGAGAATACCTTCATTGACAGACATAAAAAGAGTCAACTTAATTCGGCGAGGAAGGGTAGCAAGCAAACGGGGCCGGGGTACCATTCGATTTGCGGCCCATTTCGTGGGCTACTCGATTCTACGCGCAGAGAGCTCACTAATCAGCCCAGACCGCTCAGGAGCGTGCTTAGCTCTACACGGTGAACAACTCGGTTGAACAAAACGCGGTGTGGTGTGAAGCACTCAATCCGGATCGGGAGCGCTCAGAAAGGACAGAAGATATCACATTTCTAGATAGTCACCGAATAACTTCATTTTCACCTTGGTATATTGCAAAGGTTTGCGAAGGAAATATGAATGTTTCAATTAGATACCGTTGCACCCAGAACGAGACGCACGCCCCCGGTAGACCGCCTCGCACGACCCTCCATCAGGACACCTTCATTCCCCCGTCACTCGTCACTCATTCATTGGCAATCTCCAGACTACTCATGTTCAAACTTGAATCTCGGGACACCAATAGCCACGCACGAACCAATTACTATCCCCGCAAAGCGAATGCCAAAAATGGGGAAATCTCCTTAGCGGCGCATCACTAGTCGATCCGAGACGATCCAAGCACTCACCGGGCAGAGCAACAAATCACCCCCAAACTCACATGTACACTCTGGTGCATGTTGGAATGAACCGAACATGATGTCAGACCGCACGATTCACCTCCCAGCATGAAGCATGAAGCATGTAGCACGAACAGCGTGGTCCTCTTGATGCCCAACACCTCCACAGGGAATGGCGACCATTTGGGATCGGTTCCATTTACTGCGTACAGGTACAATTACAGGTACATACATGCAAGCCTCGCCAACGCAACCAAATTCCCGAGTGGGCTAGGGCCAGGACTAGGGCCAGAGCACCGACATAAGCACGAGCAGGAGCAGCAAAAGCACATCCGGGAAGTGATGAGGTGCATATGGTTCTGTGAGTGCGTCGCCGAGTTTCGCTGACTTTGAGTGATTGGAAGCCGTGCACGAAATGAGTTATTCTGCTTCGCGGGAATTGCGGATGGGCCGTACCCTGTTTTACTTTTACTTTTATTTTTATTTTTTTTCTTGCTTTTCTATTCTTTCCAGTATTTCCTATTCGTTCTAGGAGAGGTTCAAGGTTTCGCGTGTCATGGTTGGATGGCAGGGCTTATGTAGATCTACGTGCACCACGAGTGCCCGGGTTGTAATCAGAAACAAGGTTGTGACATGATAATTTACACAACGTGCAAATTATTTTGTTATTGGTGAATCGGCCTGGTAATTGTGCCCAATGGGTGGGCAGGTCGGGAGGTTAGGCACGCAATTGGGTTGGGAGAGAGACTTCTTAGCGCCCAGCGTAGGACGCACGTACATGAATCTCGTGCAGATGCATGCAGAGTTGGTCATGTGAAGGCTGAGGGACCGGTGTGATATCTAGGGCTTTACGACGGAGTTTTTGGAGTTTATTGTTTTATTCTCGTCATCTGTTACAATTTCAATACAAAAGATCTTCAATTCTTTTCTTCTGTGGGCTTATTGTATTAGAGGGAATGACATCAGTTGTAAAGTCCAAAGCGCTGCTTCTCCGTTCTACAGCACCTGTGCCCTGGCTGGTTAGAGTTCCAATGACACGCGCTGTCACCTTGACAGCGCAGCTGGGGGCATCCTGCAGACAGATCCAGAGGGTTTGGACATTTCTGCAGGACAATAGCTCCCAAAGATGACGTTCACATCTTCTGTCTCTGTCCTGACACACCATGACTCTCTTGTCCTACTGGTTCGCGGAGGAGGATAGTGTTCCGACTCCACCGCCAACCGGCAATGTGGGGGCGGGGCTTGGTCGGGAAGATGAAGCTGTGAACACGACACATCCTAGCTATTTGCTCACTCTCGGACAATTCCCGCGATCAGCGCTGCCAGCAAGTTTTTGATTTTCTCTGTGAGCAGGGGTTCATGACCTGATCTCGAGGTTCACTGTTGTGTCTCCCTTAATCTGTTCTTCCCTCTGGTTCTCCCTTCCTTCCACGTCCCCGAAACAGCGGTGTCCACACCCCTCTTCACTACCGGTGCAATATCTTTAGTGGAGACACTATCGGCATGTCTGAAATTCAGAGATGGACGGTCAATGAGGTAAGTTAAATGCTCCTATTTTGCTTAGGTGTCGGGCCGCCTGGCTTTTTCTTCTCTTATTTCCGGGATTGGTGATTGGCGCCGTGGCATTGATCGACACGTTCACGATAGTGTGAAAGTGCCGGATTGAATGAGACGACAAAAAGCAAAAAAAAGCGAAGGGAGAAAAAAAAACCAATCATCGAGTCATCAGCTAACACGACATGACTCGCTCTAGCCCTATATCGAGGTAGCGGGCACTCTACTCGAGGGGCCCTATCACGATGCGGTCAAAAACGAGTTTCGCTTCATCGATATCTGGGAACATAAGCTTTACCGACTCGATTTGGCTCAAGGTCCCGAGTCCCTGACAGTCATTGATACTGATGCCGCTCTCGGGTAAGCCCTTTCCCTGAGCTGTAATTCTCTGCTTGAAGAAATCACCGCTAACAGTCCAATGGCGTCACCGCCAACATCTCGGGCGAGACCGCGAACCAACTCATTGTCGGAGCCAAGCTTGGGTTCGCCCGTCTCGACAAGACTACCGGGAAACTTTCCTACATCCGCCAAGTCTGGGGCGAAAGCGATGGCCCCGGGAAGGCGGAGAGGTAAAGCTCGAGGTTTTACCCCTTTGAAAAATGTTCCTTTAACACCATTGTAGAATGCGATTCAATGACGGGGCGGTCGATAGCAAAGGCCGATTCTGGGCTGGGGCCATGAATGATCCCAAGATCCAGTCTCCAGGTCCCGAGGGCGTGCTGTTCAGACTCGACCCGGACCTCACTCTGCACCGGATGCTGTCACCGGTGACGATCCCGAACGGAATGGGTTGGAATGCTGCAGACGACACAATGTACTTCACTGACTCGCCAACGGGCAAGATCTTCGCCTTTGACTTTGACGCCGCCACTGGCGCCATTAGCAATCAGCGCGTGCACTTTGACCTGGGCGAGCCGCTCGAGCCGGATGGGTTCGCCATTGACGTGGAAGGATGCATCTGGAGTGCTATCTACGGGGGAGGCAAAATAGTACGCATCTCGCCCGAAGGCGCCGTCATCGGGCAGATCGACCTGCCCACGCGTAACCCGACTTGTCCAGCATTTGTGGGCACCGAGCTGTTCATCACATCTGCCAAGGACGATCGTGACGATGAGCGATTCCCTCAATCGGTCAGGTACGGGGGCTGCTTGTTCAGGGTCGAGGTCGGAGTTCGCGGTCAGCCGAAGAACGAGTTTCGGTTCTAGACTTATGTAGACTTGAATGTCCGGATCACGGAACTAGACTCTCCTCCTTTTATGCCTAAAATGCCTAGAGCCTGAATATATGACTCGTCTCACGTTTCCACGACCTACATGTAGCTAAAGAGATCGACTGTGCATTTTACCCCCGACGTTAGTCATAATGAGGCTACCTACACCGTACAGTGGCATTTCCTGGCTGATGAGTCGGGCTGTCTTCTCACATGCGAATCGATTCATGCATTGCCAGTGCCCGAGAGAAGATTAGCCGTCCATTATCCAATGGAGGTAAATGGCAGGCAAAACGACATAAAAAGACATAATATGACGGATCGCCAACAGGGTTCGGTTGTGACGCTGCAGCGCGCAAGGGAGCCGGGAGCTGGAACCGGAAGCGAGTTTGAAGCAAGTTACAGGTCGAAACAGCAAGTCTCTAGGACTAGGCATCTAGGCACGGTCTGGATCGAGTCGAAAAAGCAGTGCTGAAATCTCAGATGCAAAAGTCGGTCCAGTTCGCAATCGTGCCCAAAGCCACGGAAACCTTGCAAAAGCCCACGCGTGGACAGGGAAGCACTGCCACCACTGCGGGTCTTCGCCCTGCAGGGCGAATGCAGGCACGGAGATTGGGTGAGATGGGATTTCCCTCCGGAGACCTTTCGGTGTGCACTCTTGTATTCTGTACTTTCCGTGTATAAGAACGGCAACGGTAGCGATAGCGGCAATTGAGACGGAAAATATTTCCTTATGCTGGCTGAGCGCTGAAGAAATTGCCTTGTTTATTTTTCCTTTTTGTCTGGCTGACAGTGGCGGTTGTAGCGGACACAAGATATTCGTTGCATGTTACCGTCTACCTCTGGTGGGTCTGGAAAAAAGTCAAAATTGAGCAGAGCAAGAAGAAAAAGAAAAAAAGAAAAAAGAAAAACTTCAGATTTGCAATGTTTGCAACCTTGGCAAAAAGGTACGGACGCCGTCACCAGGAACATGAGAAGATTGGCAGAATAAACGTATAGATGAGGTTAGAGAATAGGTAGACACTATTGAAACGGCGTAGCAACTACAGCCATGGCCACAAGCGAATTGTGCACTTGGTCCATTGCGTAGTTCTCCCGATTCAATGGGATAACCCGCGTACCAAACACTTGGGACACTTCCCGGGCTTTGTTTCCCCCTGACCCACGTAATCTGATGACACGCATCGGAACCGGGGTCTTGGACTCGAGACACCGCCACGAAATTACGATTACGTGCAAATCAAAACCCAAATGGCTGGGTACGGGCGTGAATTAACCCAATGTGTTTCTCTAAACTAGGCTAGGTGAATTCTGTAGAAATGGAGAAATCATAATGCATTTCGAGGAAATGGTCGATGCCCGACCACTGATGATCCTCTCGTTTCTTTAGACCCGCAAGGTCACCCCCCTTCTCTGTGCTTGAGGTGTGCTTGGAGCAAGCACCGAGCAATAGTAGATGGACAAAAACAAAAATAGAAGACTTTTGACAGCCGCTGCAAACTCAGTCTCAACTTCTGCCTTGTAGCGGATCTATCGCATATACGAAAATAGGGGCCCCCCCCCTCTCCTAACCCATCGGGAACAAAGCTGTCAAGGCCGATCAGAATCCCATTGTCGCCTAGATCGGACATGAGGACAATCCGCTGTCAGCCGCTAGCTGTTAGCTGTAAGTGCTATTCAGCTGAGCTCTGGGATCGTCGTTATTTTTGTTTTTGTTTTTATTTTTTAATTTTTAATTTTCTTCCCATCTCCTAGACGGATTCCACGCATCCACTTGTTCGCAGCCGCGGGCGCGCTAGCGGGATCTTCTTTCTTCTCGTCATTCGATCCTGTCACGCGGGTCCTTGTTCCTCTGCCGATGGCTCCGTGAGATCAGGAAGCTCCACGTTACTGAGCAACCCGGGGGGGGTGAAGCCTAGTAAGCTTGGTCCCCACTGCGTTCGTGACCTGAGCTTCAGGGGAGCTCCCGGATAACTTCCGGAAGCTCGTTTGATCGAGAAATGAGCTGTCGTGATCCTTCCTAGGAAAGAAGTACTTGCGGACTACTGTGAGGCTGGTCAATGACCCTTGTTTCCACGGGACTTATTCCTTCTGATATTCCTTTTGCTAATTGGTGTTCATCTTGCTTCAAATTGACGGTGATGGTGCTGCCTTTGCGTTACCCTGAATCGACCCTGGAACTATCCTGTGACGTAAAGTCGTGTTCAAAGCATGAACGTCCCAGGATCGGAGGGACATGTCAACCCCGAACCACCTAACGTTCGCGTAACGGAAAAAGCGGTAGCCGACCCTAGTGCCATTTACCTCTCGGAGATGGGCTCCACGAAACCCATCAATAAACCATAAAGAGAGAATAGAGCCCCACTTAACAATGCTAACCCACGACACTAGACTGCTGAATGGGACCTATCAGCTACCTTGAAGGATCGGTGAAGGGAACCACTGCAATAGCTTTTCCCTTGATGAGAACGCAAGTGGAGAGTCCATCACTTACCCACACCTACCTAACGGCCACCAACGGCGCCTCCTTTTTGCCGGTATTGACACGGGAACGCTGTGATGCATGCACAACATCAAAAAATTCAACCCACGGGAAAGGGGGTCGAGGCTTAAGGTTGACAGGTACCTGTATTTGCTTCATCGTCGGTGTCAACTCGCTATCGCCGCCTAATAATCCTCAAAGTGACTTGGACCGTTGTTGGTCTACCTCGAAGCTAGTTTCTGTCCGGGTCCCCCAAGCGCCAAACTCTCGGAAAATGACAGGACCACTCTGGAAAAAGGCACTATCGGCTGGCCGGGCTCCCCCATAACCCCCGACTAGGCCCGAGGCGGTACGAATCTGAGCAAAAAACAGATGAATATTGGCGTTCTCGGCTCCATCGTCATCGGTTCTGCGTCATGAATTGGCCCACTTCTCCCTGCCCCTATCGCACATCCCTTCTGGGGCCTACACATGGCACAAAGTTCCGGCTTTCCCTTATCACTAGCGTACTAGCTTTACCTGCCTTGTCCGGGGGGGGGGGCACGGCTTGAGATGGCTGGTTCGAGCATTGCCACAGACATCATTCTAAGAGCGAAACAGGGGAACAGGGGGGTGGACCACCGACGCTGTCCCCACTTGTCCCTTGTCCATGTCCATGGTGACGGCGCCCGCGCACTTGCAGCTTTCGGTGATTCGTTGCATGACGATCTGTACTTTGTTACGAGGTGTAAGGAGTGGACTCCGTAGGTACGAAAGTCAGATCAGTAGTAGAGAATAGAATCACCTCCAGTTTCGAGCCCAAGAAACAACTTCCCTAGCCCCGTGTGGCCCAACATGGCTAGCTAGGGTACTCCATACAACAGCAGATCCTGCCCAACGCTAATCCAGTAGTCTGGGTTGGACAGACAACTCTGTTTTCTGTCTTTTTTGGCCTTTTCTTTTTGTCTTTTTCTGTCTTAGAAATCCGGAGGTGATGGATCATGAGTCCCTTTTCCCCCCTCTCTCACTCACCGCTGCAATCTCAACGGCTCACTTTAATTAATCCTGTTCCTCTACTCTAGAACCGTTTTTCTTTCCCACCCCTTAGCTCCATAAGTTTAGCCTTGACCTGGCCTTGATGGGGCCTCGGATCGCTTCCGTCTTGCACATGGTTGATCTTACAAAAGCCGGGACACAAACAGAAGTGGGATCGATTCGCAGATCGACTGTTTCTATCTCAATATTCGCAATTCTTCAATCTCTCTGAATCGTCTACTTCTCCATTTCTTCTCAAAGGCAGAATACACTCATTTCTGCTCTTTCAATTCTCCATCGACGCCTTTCATCGTGGCTACCCTGGGCCTTAGCGTGTTGACTGCGCCTTACTCAAGGCCGCTGCATCTGCCTAAGCTGTCGCAGTATCCAGCAGAGTCTCGCTATCCGGGTCCCTTCCCCTCTCTCGCCTCTCGTGAGGCTCCCGTCGGCACCGAGAGAGGGGGGGATCTGGTCATGCCCTAAACCCCAGTCTGCCCCAGGAGTCCCGTCGATGTCGCAGGAGCTTCGGCGCACAGGTCCGTTGCCCGACGATGTGACTACCGATGGTCCCAGTGTCGTTGACACTGAGCGTGCAACAGCTGGCCACCGTCAGCCTTTGCGCCGGCCGCCATTACGCACTAGACCACAATCCTGGCATCCGTATGGCCCTGTAGAGCCGCCGTTGGAGGTCTCTTCCGCACGATCTATTGGTGTCCATGCGATCTTGAATCCAACGGGTCAGGCAGCGACGATTGATACAGTCAGCACCAGTCGCGAGCCTTTGAGTTTGCCGGGTCCCTCGGCGTCGTCTCGGCCACGGCAGGGTTCTTCACCCGCACCAAGGACGATGCATCATCTAGCGCAGCAGCAATTGTCTCCCAGGGCTCATTCGCGGTCTTTAATGCGACCGAGCTCCCCCTCTGCACGGTTTGTTGGTAACGGTAGGACTTCCGGACAACCGACTGTGGTACAATCTCCGCTCGTTGCTCAGAAATCTTCTTTGGGGCCTCGTCAACCTCCGTCCAGCTCATCTCTACCATTGGAATCGACACTTCGGCCTACTTCATTACCGCCTGTTCAACCTCCAACCTCGACATCATTAGACTCAACTCCCAGTCTTCACTCGCGAAAAACCAGCACAGGCCCAGGCCTCTTGACGAATCCGAATTCGCAGGAGACTAGCCCTTTGACACCTCAATCAAGCTTCAGTCACTTCGCACACGCATCGCCCGCAATGATTCATGTATCTCTCCCGCCATCTGCGCCGCCATACTCAGCACCGCCACCCTACGTGACACTGGAGTCCGTGGCCCGCGGTTCTCCGGCGATAGCAGAGCCCCGTCGCATCAAGGAAGAAGCAAGCGGAAGTGTCACACCTCTCGGTGGTAGCTTGATACCATGTGTATTGGACTTGAAGTCTGGATCCTCCAGTCAAGCAGAAAAGCGCAAAGCAAATAGCGACGCCAGTCGACGATTCCGGAATCGCAAACGTAACGAAGTCCAACTGGAGCAACGACTCGGGGCCCAACATGACGAGATCCAGCGTCATGTCGAGACAGTCCGTCGTCAAAGTGAAATAATCCGATTTCTCACATCACAGAGAGACCATTACCGTTCCGAGCGGGACTTCTACCGCGAACAACTCGGACGTACACGGTCCTTGAGTCAGCTGCCTCCCCGGCCGTCCTCACCTCGTTCTCAATCTTCTCTCCTTCCCGCTTCGGACTCCACTTCGACTTCGACCTGGGCTGGCGATGTGCCGCGCTCTGCAGCAGCACAAAGTGCGACTGCAACAGCGAGAGTACTAGACCCAGCGAGACAGGGGAATTGGCCGGCTAGTCCGGCATCTTACTCGCCCGCTCCTACTTCAGGGAGAGCACTTCCTCCAGGACCACCGCCTGTAGCTGGAGGAACTCTCCCTCCATTCCAAGGAACATGGACACGGCAATAGATCGTGACTTTTGCCTGGAACAAAATGATTTGCATTGTGTCATATTCTCTCCTATTTCCTTTGTCTTCAACCCCATCCCCATCCCCATCATGAACAGTCACTGGTCTGATTGCAAGCCCAATACTTCACCCTTGACCCTTCCAAACCTCCCTGCGATGAACAAAATTTCTCATTTGGGTGTATTAGTATATGCATATTAATATGTGTTCTTCATAATCCTTACCCCAAAAAGTGACCTCACAATTCTTTTCCCAACCCCGGATATATGGGCTCCCCTGGTGTCTGGCTTCTTTACAGTGATACCTCATTGGCTTTTGAGTGGGAAAAGATTCCAATTCTGTTTTCAACCTTTCCTTGATCCCTGTAATATTGTGACATGGAGTATAGATCCAGCTCAAAATGATTACTCAGGCCCCAACCTGTCAAATTACCTCAGTCTGAGTCCGACACGACATGTCTGCATTAAGTGGCACTCTCAGGCCCATTGGAGAGCCCCAACTAGTCCTCTTGCAGTTACGTAGCCATCGCCTCACCATCAATGCGTACCCAACATTGATGATTGAAGCCTCACCCAATACCTCCACTCGCCACCACCGGAGTTGCAGATTTGCCTGCATTGACGTGGATGTATTGCTCGCTGGGTTCTTCAGCTTCTGGGCCTGTAGTGTCTACGTGGAACCACTAACGCACATGTACTGTACTTCTATTTCGAAAGCTCCCCGCCAAAAATCCCGGGTCCCGGCTAGCTATGAATAGAGCTGTGAATTTTGGAAAATTGCGTGCATGGAATAGCCTCGAATCGATACCCTCGAGACCCATAGCCTTGGCAGGGCAATTGGGATGCCCCTTGCTGCGTTGGCGGGATCGACCTGAGATGACAGCTCGATTTTGAGATGGGGATCCTTCGTTCCGAGTGGACCCCGGATCTGTAGTGCCCAGGCATCCCTAGAATGGTTCTTTGTGAGGCTGTGGATGACGTGAGGGATCGGGTTTACTTGAGACGTCGCTTACAGTGCAGGCATCACGGTGGAGTTCTAGATCCTAGGGTTATCTCGACTGCATTGCCAATTTCATTGTTTCTAATAGTAATGGGCTGCGGAATACAAATGTGGGGAAGTGGATGCAGTACGTAAGACGACTGTATAGGGAGAACAATCTTCCGTGTCTAGTCAAGTGCGCGGCACGGAGGGACTGTCAAAAGGTGAATCTAGTCACCAATCAGTACATTTGATCCGGCATTAAATCCTAGCGGAAACAAGTACCAGCAAGTCACTGACCGTGGATGCGCGCACGTGTGGTAGAGCAGGGGCACGGGCCAATGAGATGACGTGAACTTCTCACGAGCTCAAGTGGGCAAAGGAATGCACTGCAGGTGTCGTGACATTGTACGGGCTGACCTTCTTGTTTCACGATGCATTTTGTGTCCTCCTCACCTGGACCTGGGTTCATTGATCAACTCGGAACGGGTGGAATCTACAATGGCGGGCCACGGTCGACCTTACGGACGAGCTCCAGTCGACGAGGAAGAAGAAGCTCTGCTAGGCATTCGCGATGGGGAAGAGCAAGCGAGGCCTAAGTCCTCACGCAAGCGATGGACGGTGCTCGGCCTGGTGGCCCTGATGGGTGGTCTTGCGATCGCCATCGTGTACCTGGTGTTTGGGTATGGAACCTGTCGTTCTGCATCTCTTGCCAAGGAAAATCATCCTGATGAGAAACTGGCGGTGTCTAGCTCGAGAAATGTCCCTCGTCACCCGAAGATGTGTGATACCATCAACAGTGGTTACGAGTGTTTCACCGACATCTCCCAGCGCTGGGGTGCCTACTCGCCTTATTTCTCCGTCGAGGGAGGCATCTCCGGTGATCTGCCCAAGGGCTGCGAAGTCACCTTTGTCCAGGTTCTCTCTCGTCACGGTGCGCGGTATCCCACTGCGTCTAAGAGCAAGAAGTACGCCGAGTTGATCGCGGATATTCAAGCGAATGCGACGGACTTCAAAGACACCACGGCTTTCTTGAAGACCTACAACTACACCCTGGGCAGCGATGATCTGACCACTTTCGGCGAGCGCCAGATGGTGGATTCAGGAATCAAGTTCTACAACCGTTATGAATCTCTGACCCGAGACAATATCCCATTCGTCCGATCCTCAGGGTCCTCGCGAGTGGTCGAGTCTGGCAAAAAGTTCATTCAGGGCTTCCAGCAGACCAAGAACACTGACCGAAAGGCAGACCGGGACCAAAGCCCCCCAACGATCAACGTGATCATCTCCGAAGATACAGGTTCAAATAACACGTTGAACCACAACACCTGCACAGACTTTGAGGCTAGCACTCTCGGCGATGACGTCGATGCCGGCTACGAGGCCAGATTCGTGCCTTCAATTGCCCATCGCCTCGAGAACGATATGCCAGGCGTGACTCTCTCCAACGACGATGTCACCTATCTGATGGACATGTGCTCATTCGACACCATCGCGTCGTCGGAAGATGGAAGTGTTATCTCTCCGTTCTGCGAGATGTTCACCCTGCGCGAATGGAGTCACTACAACTACCTCCAGTCGCTAGACAAGTATTACGGTTACGGTGCGGGTAATCCTCTCGGCCCTACTCAAGGTGTCGGTTTCGTCAACGAGCTCATCGCAAGAATGACCCAAACCAGTGTGCACGACGACACTACCACAAATCACACCCTCGACTCCAATCCAACAACCTTCCCAGTGAACACGACTCTCTACGCAGATTTCACCCATGACAACGGCCTCATCCCGATCTTCTTCGCACTGGGCCTGTACAATGGTACTGAAACCCTCCCAACCCAGCACATCCAATCTGAATCCGCCGCAGATGGATACTCCGCCTCAAAGACAGTTCCTTTCGCAGCTCGCGCCTACATCGAGATGATGCAGTGTTCCAAGGACAGGAACTCCGATCCATTCGTGCGCGTTCTCGTCAACGACCGCGTCGTTCCGCTGCACGGCTGCACCGTCGACAAGTACGGCCGATGTCGCCGAAAGGATTGGATCAATGGCCTCAGCTTTGCAACGAATGGAGGCGACTGGTCGAGTTGCTACGCATAGGCGTGTCACAGTGTTTCTTTGCTTCAGTTGCTCAATACCCACCCTTGACTATTTTGGGGTTTCGTCTGCATTAGCTCGTCATAGTCCTTCTTGCCTTGAAAACGTGGTTACGTAATTTGATGATGGTAAAGAGAAGTATGCGCTAAACGATAATCTAGTCTCTCTCTCTCTCTCTCTCTCTCTCTCTCTCTCTCTCTAATCGTAGACTCCAGCTATTTGCGTCAGGCTAAATACAGAGGGGCTATATACGAAAGTCGCCGCCAATTCCAAGCAATTTCAACAAATTTTTTGCAATTTTTAACAATTAAATTTCTCGCAAATGCAAATGCGACTGGCCCTTCGATACCCTGCTGAGTCCTGACCGAACCCACGCCTCCCAAAGACCAACCTGCTCCCTTTGAACCCGGGCTCCATCATCGTCCATGTCATGGATCGTCAATGTGAGCAACTTCTCCAAATCCTCGGACCGCCATGGCGCCGACAACCTCCCTCTAGCAACACCCGCGGGCTCCGCTCCTAGCGCATTTCTCACCACTGGCAGTGGCGTACCTGCCGCAAAAGAAAACGAAGACGACAAGAGTGTATCAGGCTGCGCATCAAGCGGTACATCAAAGACCTCCACTCCACTACCCGAAGCCAGCAGATCAAAGTTCTCCTCATAATCAATCTCTTTCAACTCAACCCTCTCCAATCTCTCCAATTCTCCTCTCAGGACAGCCAGTACATTCCTCCAACGCCCACCACGTCTGAGATAAATAGCACCTAATCTGATCTCTCTCAACATGCGTCTATGTCTTCGCGCCAGAGAGATTATTTCATGATCTGCCAATCTCCATCCTTGTAGACTAAGTGTTCGAAGCGTTTTCCACCGCGTCTCATGAAAGATAGCTTCAAGGTCCAAGTCAAGGGGAGACTTCGGTGGGAAGCCGATATGGATGGATACGAGGTTCTTGGCTTCTGCGAAGAAGCGACCAAATACATCAGATAGGTCAGCCATTGTGGATGAGATGTCCTTGCTGGAGTGGAATGTTATGTCTAGACTTGTCAGGCGGCTGCCCATGGCGGCCAAGGTGGTTGATGGGGCGTTTAGGAGTTTAAGGGTTGCTTCCGGGCTGATTTGAGGGCCGATGAAGCGGATGGCTGTGCATTGGGAGTCGAGAAGGGCGATGCCGAGGTTTTCTACTGCGCGCGAACAGGCGAGCTCCCAGTTGAAGTAGGGTGCTCTTGTGGTTGTGTTTGAAGTGTGGAGAAAGTCGATCATTTGTTCGTCTGCGGAGTCTTGGAGACGGAGGAGTTTTATTTCTTGAAGGGCTGGAAAGGCGGCAATTGCGCGGCTGAGTTGAATCAGGTCGTGATCTGTCTCTATCAAGTTTGTCTGTTCATGAAGACGGCGGGCGTGGATTTCGGCTAGTGTCGTGTTGTAAGTGTGCAGTGTTTGGAGAATATGTGCCCATCCTGGAGAAGGTCAGCCTGTGTCAGCCTGTGCAGTTGCATGCCTGGTGAAGTGGAGGTGTACCGCTACCGGTATAAAAGGGTCGCACGAGATATGTCACCGTTCTCACGTAGCAGGCTAGCTGCATTTTAAGTAGCTCCTCTAGTCGACGGAAGCCATCCAGCGAGAAACGAATCACGAAGCGGGAGAATTGCCTCGGGGTGCCGATGCGCATAAATCTTTTGCAGACTAGTCTCCAGCGATCGAGATCAGATGCTTCTCCGCGATGATGGGAATATGTATCAATGCTGTCTTGGCCGTGCCCATTTCCGAATGAATGACAGTTCCGGGTGCTCGAGCTCGGCTCCAGCACAAAAGATAGAATCTCGCTCAATAGCTCGTCCGCGAGGTCCTGGATATGACGTGACAGGTCCATGATCTGCGCATTCAGCAGCCGCAGACTGGGCGGCGTGGGCGATTAACGCCAACATGGAATAATGAAGACAAGGAACAAGAGGGAACCAGAAACAGGAATCAGAGAGATCCTCCGGGAGCACCAAGACGTTATAAATGCGACAGCGGTGTTCTGCACGACATAGAGCAGAATGGACTGGTCAAGACGGCTGTCTCACCATGGGCCGCATGGCGGGTGTTCTCGCCCTAACAAACCGGGACGATCGTTAGGACCCTGGTTTAGCGCGACGCCGGCGCTGACAGACTCAGGCTCTGTATTGTGATCCGGCGGGATCCATTGGCGATGAAGAACTCCCGGGAATCACATGATTGAAGAAGGCTGCGGCCAGCCAGCGCGAACGCAAACAATTGTTTGATCAGAAGTGCGAGTCATGGCGATGAGTGGAGCTGAGAGAGGCCAATGCAGGCCCCCGCTTCGTTGTCACATCTGCATCTGCAGAGTGACGAGGTCGCGTGTGGAGTACCCTTTGATTGGAGGAAATTGACCGATTTCTGGCCCCTGAAGTTTGTTGGGTTGGTATTCTTGTATATCGGTTGGTTGTCAGGATGTCTTTCTATCGCCTTAGTGGCTTACGCTAGACCCCCATCATCTATAGCCTGTCATACCTTCGCGAGGTTCATCCGCCGACGCCGGATGTCTGTGCTACTGATTTTGGAGTCGATATTGGCCTCGGTGGCTCCAGCCTGAAGCACGTCCACCTCAAATGCCCCTAGCACATCCCAACCTTTTTCCTTTCTCTTATCATTGACGGCCTCGCCGCCAGAATGTGTCTCTTCGGAGACAACTAGTGCGCTAATATCTTCCACGGTGATTGTAGGCCCAAAGGGGTCGACAATCTCCACAAAATTGAAGATCAAGTTGGGCCGGACTCTCATCTTGACGGTCTTTTCATTGGGACCGGATCCCCAGGTGCGCTCGAGCTGTGGAGCGCTTTCTTCGCAAAAGACCATGATGGAAGCAAGGAAAGATGCTGTGCTCCCATAGCGTTCCTCCCAGCTCTCGAGATATTCGGCGTACTTTTTGTTCACGAGGAGTGCATCGCCCGTGATACCCGCAGTGAGAATCCTGTCTCGACGTTGGTCTGCCTCTTCGAGTGGCTCCAAGACCAGTGCGGTGGCTGTCAGCAATAACTTGTGGCCCACATGGAGGTGATCAAAGGTGCCACCGACAGCTACTGAATAATGGGGGGGTTGATAATTGCTGGTTCTTAGGGATTGACTCATTCTTCAAACATGTTAGACTTGTCGAATGGAATCACCAAGGAAAATAATCTCTTACCTCTGACATACGTCCATCCTGTTCGGGACACAGAAGAAGGGTCGGAACAGTCCATTCAGCGCTGCTGGAAACGGCTCGCAACTTCGATGCTTCATGATTCCGGTAGCTGACAAAGGCGTCGGCCAATGCCTTGCCAGCTTCATTCCCTGGATAGAATACATGATCCCATTGTCGATCTGAGATTGCAAGCGACTGTACATCGAGAATCGGACCAAAGTGCGAGCGAGTTGTAGAGGGTGAGTGGTCGACGAAAACCACGCGAGCATCGATGCCACCAGGAGAGTCTAGCTCAATATCCAAAGCTGCCGCGGCTGCCCCACCAGAGTGTAGATGCTGGTGAGATAATGTTGCAGTTGTTTAAAGATTCTTGCACGGGGCTTGCTAGCTGGAGAAAGTAGTCCAGGGACGGCAAGAGCAATATCGAGCGAGACAATGTCATGAGATCCATGTAGTGCCTCGGAGAGCTTGACCAAAACATCCGAGACCGAGGTCTGGAATACATCCTTGACCGGGTTGAAGTCAAAGGATGGGGGTGGGGGAAGTAAAAGCACCGCCGTATACGGGCGAGATTTCTCAGAAGACATGGCGAAGAGCTCAAGAAAACACAACTAGAAAGTGCAGAGAGGTAATGATATCAAGTAGCAATGGAAGATCAACCTTAGGAAAGTGGCTGAGACCCGGGGTAGCGCTGACTCAGCGCGGGACCCCCCAGCCTCGAGCGAGCTGCGACAGCGACGTGCTATTGCGATCCTGCGCTGCCTCTTTCGGAGCTCTCTTGAAGCTCGCTGCACCTCAATTCGGTGTCCCTCTCCCATACACCTTCTTCCTACCTCGGGGAGTGGAGCTCACGAAGATCTCAATCTCGATCGTTTTCCTCTTGACAGCCGCCGTGGAACCCTCCTCCGCACCATGTCGAATCCCGCCTCATTCGATTCGCCTCGGCGGTCTGCCGTATTTGGTCGCCAACCAGAAGAGCTACATATGCCTGCTTCGGGCCAGGTGAATTCGAACCCGTCCCGTCAACCCTCCTCCCACGAATACCCCACGACCCCAGACGCCGGTGCAACCCAACCCCCCCTCCATCAACGTCCACTCCAGCGCCCAGGCTCTGCAATATGGCAGCCCCAGTGGAAACAGCAGCGGTACGCTTCCAGGTGCCTTGACTCCGGGTGGTCAACATCGTCCGCCCGCCGTCTCGGTCAATACAGCCCCGTCCGTCATTCCCACCTTACCACAGACAACACCACAGTCTACTCATCGCGCGAGTATGGTCAACTCTCACGGACATTCCCGATCCACTCCCTCTGGCTTTGATCAGACCATGTACAAGCAACAGAGTGCGGGGGAGGACACCAGGTATCCCTCTTCCCCTGGTGCTGGATACCCGCCCCACACACCGCAAGGATCCAAGTACTCGCCCTTAGGGCTTTCAGACATTCGTCCTTCCAGCGATCAGCTCGGTCTGGGAGACTCGCTCCTGAGCCCTGGAAGTGGTGGCGGTGGCGGCCTTCTGCCTTACAACGGCGACACCCAGATACCCTCCAACAGCAATTACGTTGCTCCATGGCCTATATACGCGGTAGATTGGTGCAAATGGCCGATCACAGGAAATTCCAATTCATTCGGAGGGAAGCTAGCACTGGGAAGCTACCTTGAAGACAATCACAACTTTGTCAGCACTGCAACCTCCAACATCCTTTGCTGATGCTAACCAGCCGTTCAGATTCAAATCATTGACGCACACTGGACCCAACCAGATCCAGACACACCGGACGCCGCAGCAGGAGAAATCAAGCTGGAATACGTGAAAACTGCAGAGGCGACGCACTCATATCCTGTCACGCGTATTCTTTGGGAACCTCCATCGTCTCAAAAACAATCCACTGATCTCCTCGCCACATCGGGTGATCACCTCCGCCTTTGGTCTCTTCCCCACTCCCAGCCGGTGCAGGGCTCAAACTCGATTACACGGACTGCAAACCAGCGAGAAACTCCTACTACCAAGCTTTCTCCGTTAGCCTTGCTTTCCAACTCGAAATCCCCCGAACACACCGCCCCGATCACTTCCCTCGACTGGAACACAATCTCCCCAAGCCTCATTATCACTTCTAGCATTGACACAACCTGCACGATTTGGGATATTCCTACATTGACAGCTAAAACACAGCTCATCGCTCATGACAAAGAAGTGTATGATGTCAGATTCTGCGCGAATAGTGTCGACGTCTTCGTCAGCTGTGGTGCTGATGGCAGTGTGCGTATGTTCGATCTGCGGAGTCTGGAACATAGCACCATTATCTACGAGCCGAATGACAAGGTCGAACGCCGTAAGTTACTCGATTTAAGGCCGAGTACTGCAAATTTTGATGACTAAATCTTTCTAGCCGTAATGAGTCCCGGGAACGCCAGTCCATCAGGCCCATCACAGACGGGAATGTACCCTCCTCCCTTGTTGCGAATCGCAGGTATGACATCTTGATTCTTCTCGTGGATATCAAGAAATTAACAAACATTTTCAGCATCTCCCCATGATGCCCATCTCCTGTCAACTTTTTCATCGGAATCCAACGTTGTGCGTGTTCTTGATGTGCGTCAACCAGGACAAGCCCTTCTTGAGCTGAAAGGCCATTCCGCCGCACTAAACTGCGTCGAATGGTCACCAAGCCGGCGTGGCATCCTCGCGTCCGGTGGAGATGACAGCCTCGTCCTGATCTGGGACTTGATCAACCAAAATAACGCCGTCCCTGTCCCCGCTGCCACCCAAGTTCCAGGGGCGCAGGCTCCCGCTCCAACTGAACGCGGGCCCGCCGCCGCTTGGCAATGCGATTACGAAGTATCCAACATCAGCTGGTCACCACAGGGCGGACCTGGCCACGACGGATCTCCCCGAGAATGGCTCGGCGTCTGCGGCGGACGAGGCATATGGGGTGTGTCGCTGTAAAAGGAAGAAAGGACATCCCAGAAAGAACGTAAAAGGGCCCAGTAGCGTGTTTGACTTTCTCTCTTATCTTCTTGCTGCCTTGTCATTTTCTCTGCGATCTGCCTGCATTAGATGGTCTTACTGCTTTATTTGATCTCTATCACATCCCCCCTTTTGCTCTCCGGATGCATTTCACCCTGTTTGTACTCATGTGGTTAGACCGATTGATTGATGCCCGAGGCTTAGCTGCGACGTGGCTGGGCTCTGACTTTTCTGCGATGAATGGGCCTCATTTTCATCTGACTTTGATTTTGGCATGAGTGAACGAATGAATGAATGATACATCAATATCTCAGCCGCGGACGGCTTCAAATGTACTTTGTTGCCAACAACTTCGACTCACATGCCTTTTCATGCAAAGCTAGTCCTAGAGCCTTCCTGGAAGCGCTTTTTGCGAGGACCATGAGCATATCAGATTCCACGTTGCACATATTACAACATGATGCCTTGACATTTGTATAGTTGAAGGGTTATATCGTGAAATTATGGGGTCTCTACAACAGTCTCTTCGTCCCAGATCACCGAATTCTTCCCTCGAAAGAGTTCTTTCACGACATCAGCTCCTTGCTGATTGAAGTCTTTGCCTGTAGTATGCTAAATTTAGACCCCAAAACGAATGCCTTGCTGAGATCAAAGTGCTACAGCGCCGTTGTCCTGTGAACAGATTGCGCAACTTTAGTAGATTGGAAATCACCCCGGTCAGACGCCGATTCCAAATTCGGCGTCTAACAGCTGTAGAAATTGGCTAAGACGCTTGTTCTTTACGTACGACAGCATCGACGAAGGTGGACATAATAAAGATGCAAGACCAGCAGTCTATTGGTGCGACAGGTTACAAAGATTGAACTGTCGTGCATTCAACTGCAATCTGGTCGATTCTTGGTGACAAAGAGTGGTGTAGGGTGTTCAAAGCTCGAGCTGTGTGACAATCAAAATTGAATGAAGATAAAGCCCTAATATCTATATAGAACAGGGAAACATCCACATCTATCCCAATTTAGGCGTCGCCCTTGGAGTACCCAGACTCGGAGTAGGAGCCAATGGAGCATTCTTCACGAGAACGCAATTCTCAGCCCATCGCGCGAATTTGACACTGGGAATATCCACAGCGCGCCAATAGATATCGCCCACCCAAATCGAGATAGGCAGACATATCATCCAACCAATCAAGAACCCAAAGCAATATTGGAAGTTGGTTTCCTTGCCCGTGATAGCCCAGATATTCGGCATGAGAGAGTAGCCCAATGAGTGTAGAATGGGTCCGTGGACGATATAGAATGCAAAGGAAATCTTGCCTAAGTATTGGGAAAGCGGGTTGGTGAATAATTTCTGGATGTCCGGTGAGTGGTTGATACTGAATACGATGAGGGCTGCGCCAATAGATTGTGGGAATCGTTGAAGTTCGCCGTAAGTGTGAGGGGTCAAAGGCCATAGCCATCCAAAGCCAGGGGTCCATTTGAAGCCTAAGTTTGGGGCGGAACCAATGTATAGGCCGGTTATGAATACAGATATCCATAGTTTGCGGCGCGAGATGGTGGTTAAGACTCTGCCACTGGGGCTTAGGCGAATGTTGGTTTTCTCGTCAATTGCGTTCAAGCCCGCTGGACGCTCCCAGGTTCCGTTGATGATGTCGATCTCGGCCATGATCATGCCGAATAAGAAGAGGACAACGTCCCAGCGGCCATAGCGCATACAAAACCAGATGAGGGACCCAACGAGAGACATGCGGACAGCTGTGCCGACACGGGATGTGGCGAGGATAGTAAGGAATAGGACAATTGAGGAGCGAAATTCAACTGGGATGGTCCAGAGATGCGGGTTGTAATTGTTGTAATAGAGATTCCAGTCAAAGGGGTTTAAGAGATGCGCGACTGTATAGTGGAAATCCCAGAACTGCTTTGTGAATGATCGATACACTGGCGGGTGTTGTTCATTGGTGCCGCGAATGGTGAGGCCCTCCTGGATGACGCTGTGCGAGTAGTTGTAGAGACCGAGGCGGACGGCCAGGAACACACACATGAGTCCAATCAACGCGGGCACGTATAGACGTAGGCCACGTCGGAATGTCGAAGAAGCCAAATTTGTGAAGGTCTGCTCAAATGACTGGGATCGGATAGTCTTGAGTGGCTTGTACGACAGCACATAGCCAGAGAGGACGAAGAAAATGGCCACCATAACATGGCCCGAGATCAAGAGATGCACAACTGGCAGCTGGTGAATGCCGAAATTATCGCCATTGAAACCCCATCCAATTGAGACTTTCCACGTGTACGTAAAAAGGAAGTGGAAGTTGAAGACGAGCAGGCAGGCCCAGCCGCGAAGCCCGTCAAGGGCAGCGATGGCGTGCAGCTTCGTATCGTCGGGCGTTTCGCCTCCGACATAGTGTTTCAGAAAGCTCGGCGTCAATGCGACCGTTATCCGGTGCCATGCATCTTCCGTGTATGCCACCCAGTCTTTCTGTGGCACTTTCGGTGCTAGACCGTTGGCGTTCGCGAGGATGTTGGATGGATGGAATTGAGAAAAGCCGTTCCAGCGGGCAGATTCATTGGTGTTCGAATTAGAGCCGCGCTCGAGGTCCGTCAGGGGAACATCAGCGGCGCTCATTGAGGCGCGGTCTTCAGCAAAATATGGCATGTTTGCGCGCGATTACGGGGGGATTTTTTCAAGCGTTCATGGCGATACGACAAAGCGTTTCAGGTTAAAGAGTCATCGAAAGAATCGTATTGAACCGTGCAATCCAGATGAGGTGCTCGCCAGCGAGGTTCCCAAGTATGCAAAGCGGGGGGTTGAAGGCGCGCACTGCGGGTCGGCAGGAGAGTACTAGCAGTTTTCAATGGCGGAATACGTCAGCGGACGCGGGAACGGCGGGGAATGGCGCGGCTCTGCGATTTAAGGTCTTTTCAGAGGGACGTGGCGACTTGGCAAGATCCTAGATTGCGAGGAAGGTTCAAAGTTGAAATTTTAGAGAAGAACGGGCTTGGGGTGCCCTGCAGGTTGATCATTGAAACGAAGGGGAGCTAAGTGCAGATCTCCTGCCGATAGCGTGCGAGTGCATCAGGGGGCGCGGCCGTCTTCAGTTAAATTGCGGGTGGGCGCCAATGATAGCGATCTCCATGTGAGCACAGTATACTCTCGGTCATTATATCCTGGTTTACGTCATGATTCAAGTAGTAATTGACCGTGATATAGGTGCCGATCTCGCACAATAAACTCGGGAATGAGGCTTTCTTTGTTTCTTTTCTTTTTCTACGCTGGGACACGCGTCCTTCGGTGGTAGTGAGCATGCCCCTCGGAACAAAGCTTCGGGGCCAATCGAGACATACGCAGTGGTAACAGCTATTTCAAGAAGATACAACTAACGCAAATCTCCGATAGAGCCTTCCAGGTGCCCGGATGAGGTACTACTAGGAGCCTTAACGCTCGAAGTATACTGCATGACAGCGTCAAACCTTATTCATGAGGCCAAGAGCCATGACTCAGCATATCACATGATCGTGTAGAGAAAATCTACTTGGCCCCTTGGTTTCTTTGCTTCTTCTACTGATAGTTCCTTGTATGAGTCCAATATCTTTCTCAGACATATACGAATTGACCTGTATCAAGTACGATGACTCTTTTTTTTTTCCAATATATATCCTTGTTCGATTCGACGTGGATTGCCCAAACCCCGAACCCGTGTATACAGAGCTTCGCAGGTGCTACACAGCTCCGAGGTCCTAGCTATCGTAGAAACTTCACAAGTAGATCAGGAAAAAAGTCCAAAATTAAAGTCGAGTACAATGAACGAGATATCACTGAGGTCGGCTTGGATACTTCGTCGATGGAACACTGGAGTCTTTCCATGCTTTTCCCCGAAACGGCGATGATCCTCCCAAGCTCCCTGATTCGCGCGATCCGGGTCGAGAACTTCTCCCTTTCTCTTGATTCCACCTGTCATCAACCCTCGACTCGTGCAATTCTCGGTTGATGTCGCGATCGCTAGTTGCGCGTGTCTTTCGATAAAGCCTTGATCGCGCTGGTGGTTGTGGTGACCCCTCTGCCGTCGCGATGGATTTGCGCACGATCATGAATAACGACGGCGGTTCCAAGCCTGTCCGCCCACACAAACCTCAAGCTCTCCGATCGATCCTGCTCAGCAGCAGCGCACACAACAGAACTACTCGGAAATCGCTGCTCGCCCTTCACAGCCTCCGTTGCAGCATTCGCATGGCTCTCCCGAACAATCCTCGCCCTACGCTCCTCCTCAATCGCCTTACCAACAGTTCAAGGGCGCCCCCGCGCCTCCACCATTGAATACAGGAGCGCGATCTCAGCGGAGTCAAAGCCCTCCTCAGGTAATGACTCCATATGGACCCGGTGCGCGTGACCCATACGGCGCGTCGGCGTACAATTCGCATCCACAGCCCCCCGCTGGCCCCTTGGCCTCACCGTACACACCGCAACCTACGAGTGCGGGTCCTCATCATCCCGAACAGGGTTCATACTTTGCACAGCAGAGATCCCACTCGTTACAATCGGTCATGACGAATCCGCACGCCCCGGGGGAGACGTTCCGTCCACGAGACAGCCCTCCCACCGCCACGCAGCCTCTTCCACCCCATCACTTTTCTCCTCCTTCCCATCGTCCTGCTCCGGAGACACCTCTGGGACCCCCCGCCGCATTTGCCTCTCGCCAATCCCCTTCTGCGCGTCCGCTATCCTCCGGCCACGAATCTGCGCGCAATTTTCTGTCCAGCCCTCAACCAATGCAAGACACACCTATGCGAGACTCAGCCAATACGCAGTCACCTTCTCTTTCCCGGAACTTCTCACCCAGCTCTAGACCCTCTGAATCTACTCCTCAACCTCACTCGGCCGGCCTGAAACACGAGTTTATGGAAAAATCAAGTCCCGGGACCTCTAGACAGAACAGCATCGCCGGTACATCTGAAATATCCGGAGCTCCAATGCGCTCATCAGAGGATAGAAGATTGAATGAAAGCCCAACGGCATCCTTTCCATCGGGACCAGGGGCGGAAACACGTGTCTCGCCCGTCGCATTGGCTAATGCCCAGAGGAATAGCTACTCAGGGCCGAGAAGTGGATCCCACCCCTGAAGACGGTGAAGATGGAGGTTGACCACGACCCAATGTCTCGAGTTGAGAGCCACCCGTCAGTCGATAGTCAGCCACCAAAAGCGAAGAGGAGACGATACAATGAGCCCCCAATCTATGCCCAGCGGTCGGTCCGTACCAAAGGCAAATGTCCTGTTATTCCCAACCCACAACCTCCTGTTCCAAAACATTTACGCCACTCAAGCCAGGAGCCTTGGGCCGCTCGCAGGCGATCTTCCACAAATGCGTCCGCAGTGACCACTGCGACTTCGCATAATGTACGCACACCGGGCTCTGTTCCGCCGAGTGTGAATGGTCCTCCACTGCAGGCTACACCGGTAGCGGCACCAGCGCCTGCGCCTGCGCTTGCACCTCAGGCGTCTGCACGTCCCGTGGGATCACTAGGACCCTGGGAGCCCTCAATTACCGGACTCATTCCATTCGAGGAGATCACGAAATCCCTCTGTGATTTCCTTTTCAAGCATGTCGTCATGAGAAACGACGTAGCTGTTGGAGGAGCAGGCTCAGTTGCTACCGGACAAGGAACAATCATCGAGGTAGAGGCGAAGCTAGGTCATGTCATTGACCAGGATCGTCGAGAAAGACTGCGCTTGCCTGTCCTCACCGAGAGCGTCATCAATCGCGATTCCGGATTCCGCACAGCGTTTGAGAGCAGCATGACAGTCGTAAGTGACTCACCTTGCCCTTCAAGGCGTGCAACGGCGATCCAACTAACCAATCACGAATCCTTAGGAGCAACACCGCGCCATGAACAACTTTCTAAACGAGACCGTTCGACATTCTATGCCGGCCGCCGACCCGAATCGCATCCCGCTCACGTACGCCCACAAAAAGGAGCGTGATACCTTCTACGAAGTCGATCCCAACGAACTTCCCCCAGTGATTCGTCAAAATCTCAACCCTCGCCACAAACCCAAGGTCCGTGTGACAACGGACCAACGAACCGGCGAAGTGATCGCCAAAATTATCAAATGCCGTGTTGCCGACATCGACGTGTACAGTCCCCGTACAACAGTTGACTGGCGCGTATCCGTCAATCTAGAAATGGAATACGAAGGAGATCACACCCACCTCCCGATGGTAGACGCGTCCAAGGGCGGTCGCGGCGAACGGAACAAAGACCGTATGAGTTACCGACACTTAGCCTACCAGATCGATCTGACACAGGTAGCCAGGGCCGAGGTGAGCCTTTTCCCCCGTCTGACCCCTGATAGCCACGTACTACTTGAATGCCTTCTAACCACCGTCATAGCCTGCAACGAAAAACGAATTCGAGCACGAGCTCGAGATCGAAGTCTCAGCTGCTGAAATTCGTCGACAAGGGACTCTGGCTATGGCCGGTGACCCATCGAACCAATACGAGGAATTGGTGAAGGGCTTTGTGGACAATATTCGAATCCTGGCGCGAGCAGTGCCGCCTTGACCTTGACGAGTCTTCTTTTACGCTCCGATTTAGGATTTCTCTTCTTTACCTGTATTCTCACATCTGATTTGGCTTAGCCCATTCTCAATTCATCTTTCGTTCTTCCTCCAGGAAGATTGATTGATCTCACCATGCTCAAAAATGTCTCAATGGAAGGCCTACTTGTCTTCCCAGGCAAGTCTACTCTGCAAATGACTGTATGATCATTCTCGCCACGTAGCAGTGCGAATGTCTATTTTCTGACGTCTCTTTCAATCCGTTCTTTCCCGCGATATTGATGCAAGTGTCTCTTGAAGTGCGGGTTCATCCTGCCAGACCGCGGGCAGATCAGACCCTAAGATTCTTAAGAGGCTGTCATTTCCCTCCTCCAGATAACCTGAGCCTGATGGAGGCCAGAAAGACATATACTGTGTGTCTTGGTCGAGTCAATTTGTCATTTTGGGGTTGTCTGAGGACTGTTCTGGTAAAAATGTCGACGTTCAAGACATATCCACAGTTGCAAACATTGTGTCGAGACGTGAACCAATGAGACTTCTGGATTCTAATGCGAATCCCAGTTTGAAATGTTGATGCTTTGATGATAAATAACGTTTTCCGCAGTTCTATACCTTATTGCCACATTCGAATCATGAAATATGACCTTTCAAAAAGCTAGATGCATAAGAATAAGAACCTGACTGATCTTTGGACTCCAGTCAAGATTCCAATCGTTTCAGCCGTTTTGTTGGCACTGAGGGCTGATGCCCGGGGCAGAACACCGTTATTGGGACAAAAGAATACATATGAGTAGCTTTCTTGCTGATTACATATCAAGTATGTTTGCTGAAGAAACTCTGATATTTACAAAGCACAAACTTTGAATTTTTTTCATGTCATACCCAAGGCTGAATGTCATACTCATTCAAGCTATATGCGTAGACTTGATAAAGGTATACTGGAATACTGGTTGACCTCATCCACGCTTGATAAGGGAATTTCTTTTTCGTTCTATTTGTGAAATTTTCTAACAGATTTCCGAGTCATCGTGATATATAAATTACGTTATGCGAATATACTGACTATGCAAAGTCCATCGCCGAGACCCCTTCTATCCTCGACTACAACTTTGCGGCAGGCTGAAGAAGGTGCTTCATCTCCGAATTAGGATACTCCACGTTTTGGGAAGAATCAGGACGCTGACGATCCCATGCCCACTTCTCTACAAGTTCTGGCTCCAACTCACCCTCGAGCATTTGTGTGATGTATTTGCCGAGCACGGGGAAGAATTTGTATCCGTGGAAGGAGCCACATGTCGCGACATAGAGGCCCTTCGAAGCGGAATGAGGAGAAATGATAAAGTCAGAGGTTGTAGTGAATGCGTCCCTGTTAGATGTCAGATTTTGTGAAACTTACGGTGTTGCTGAGAGGCAGAGTACTCACCAGCAGATTCGATGCTTCGTCATTTCCCAATCCGCACTCTCAGGTCCGTACCACAGATTTCGTGCCTCCACAATATCCTGCTTGAGAGGCCCAGGAACCTTCCATTGGTTGTAGTCGTGCGTAGGCGGAGGCGAAGATATGTGGCGACCGGGCAACACTTCACGAGTATTTGTGAAAATCTTGGAGCCCCACCACTTGAGCTCTCCATCTTTGGTAGGGGGTAGAGTACCAATGAAAGGCTTGCCTAATTATATTCAGCGACATCCATGCGAATAGGCCAGGAAAAGTCCTACCCTCCTCGGGCGTATAGCCCTGGAAACCAACGGGCATGTCTTTGAATTTCGCATATTGCTCCTTCTTGAGCTGCGCCATCCCTGTTGTGATACCAGCGGCAACAATTCGCTCTCCAGCTCGGAGACCGTGATTACCGCTCTTCGCAGCGCTCCACTCAAGCAACGTGGGCGTGAAAGCACCAGCGGCGACGATAGTATGCGTCGCTGACAGAATCTGTCCAGACTTTGTCTTGAGACCAGTACACGAACCACGACCATCGAATTCCAAGGTAGCGACCTCAGCAACTACATATTTCACGCCTAATTGCAGACATCTCTTCGTAACGGCGCGAAGAGAATCTCCAGCAGCGGCCCATCCACTGGCTCTGTTAATAAGAACCTCCTTGACACCGGTATAATCAGCATTGTCGAAAATTCCACCGTATAGCTTCCGGGCCTCCACGACCGGCAGAGCGATGATATCGTCATTCCGGCCAAGATCTTTATGGTGGTTGATCACATTTTGGGCGTAGTCGCTGCGGCATGTCCAGTAGACACCGGTCTGATGGAAATGAGGCTGCCATAGAGGATCGGACTTGAAGATATCCTGAGCTTCAAGAGCTAACCTGCAGTAGACCTTGTCGTCGTAGTCAGCGCGAACAACCTTGTTCCAATCCCAGGATGCGGCCACGCGGGTATCGGCGTCGTATGCGTCTCGGTCTACCAGAGTCACCGAGGCATTGGGATATTTTTGAATGAGGGTGTATGCTGTCGAGACACCAAAGACACCGGCTCCAATGATGAGGTATGAGGGGTTCTTTGTAGTCATCTTGAACCCGATTTGCGAGCTTTTATATAGCAAGTGAATCTCGCTAGCTTCCGAATGAAGCTGCGTTGAAAGGTGAGGTGGCCGCCAAATGCACGGGGAGGTTCCTAAATTGCTTTCCTTGAAACCAATTGATGGTTTATCACTCAATTGAGACTTTATCTGAATTGACGCCGACTCCGACCCGGGGTTGACCTCTGTCGGGCGGGGAACCGGTACAGCCGATCACGTGGCGGTATAGATCGGGTTGATGAAGTTGCAGGATCTCCGTTCTGCACCTTTGGAAAGTGATGCTTTCGATAGCAGATGCAATCATAAAAATTTAGTCCCACTCGATGTGAAGTAAAATATTTAAAGAATGTAATGAGGGGTAAATGCCCACCCTTAAAGGCTCGTATATCCGTACCCGGCGGGTGGGCCCGAACCGTCACGGACCGTTTCCAACATCGGCGCTTTACAACTCGGCCTTTACTGGGATCTTCGAATAAGTTTCGGATGCATTGTAGTCTGTCGAAGGTCAATCGTTGGACAGAATCATTAAGAGGTATACATGAACGAGTATACTCCAGCATTCAATTTCATGGAGAAAAAATATAATGTAATCCTCAGCAAGCTCGCCACCCCAATTACTTATTCTTTATTCATGAAGCGTTTATAACGCCTTTATATTTATTTTAAACCCTCATCAGGACATATGAAAGCCCTATAACTAGGCTTCCTGCAGATATCTCATACGTATTGACGTCTATTAGTTTAATTACCGGTCGCTAAAGCCCTCTAGGTAGGCGTTGCAAAGACTACTCTTGTGCTAACTGAGGCTTATAACCTAGTAAATATACTGATGCAGTCGATCTATTATACCGACAGATCTGGCTATAATCTTTTAGTCTATGGGTTGAGCACGGGCATCACCGTGTGAGATTCTACCCTCCTGCCTTCTAATCCCCTTAGTAGACTAATGCCTTGCTTAAAGGCTTCATAAACGAATAAGCCCTTATCGCGCTGTATTTACCGTTTAGGTAACACCTCTTTTTTTTATCTTTTTATACTTTATAGCGCGTAAATTTATTGCTTCTTATTCTAATAGATGAATACGCTTTATAACTTGTTCGTATGCTCTTAACTCCTATTAGCCTATTCGACGGCCTATAGACGACCTTCTTCCTCTAAGTACTTAATCTTACTTCGACCTTATTCCGCTTTTACTTCGACCATATTTTGCCCTTACTTTATTATTGCTTTGCTCTTACCTCTCTTTTACTTTACCTTTACCTTATATTTAAGATAACTAATGTAGGTAAGATAGGCATTACCTTATCTAAGTTATCAGAATAATATGTCCAGATTAGTTAAATTGAGTCAATTTTATAAAAGGTACATGGGATTTTATAACCCCTAGTATTCTAACGAGAAGAGGTATTCCTTCTTATCCTATTCCCCTAAAGTCTATATCGATAGAGAATTAACTTTGAATAAGCGAAAAAGGTAGAGATATAAAAGAAGAGACCAGAAGCTTCAATCTTCGCGAATACGACCGTATTCTAGGTGCTACTTCCTAGATCTACCTTCTCATCTATCAATTCTACGTTTTTATTAGATAGAATCTTACTCATCTTAGATCGAATTAGTAGCACAGTAGGAAATTAAATGTGGGAGGTGACGCAAAGAGACGATAAATTGGATAGGGTGGCGAGCTTATTGTAGATTACGTTAATTCGAGCATTTCATTAGCCAAAAAGATAGGATCGCCTATTCACTAGAGCATCTACCCCAGCTAGCCACCTCTCCCATACCTTCCCGTTCTTATCTTCAAGCCCTAAAACCATCTTCATCCTGGTATAATCACGCACTTCTTGATCCTCCTCTTCACCCATAACCTTCATCTTGCTATCTGGGCCCCAAAGCATCCACCTGCGATCCCCATCAGTCTCCCATGGCATCAAGCCGTGCGCGAACCGAATCCAAGCACTTGAAAAATCCCTCACCATGCCTGTTTCCTTCTCACTCAGCTCATTATTCAAATTACCGAACAGATACAGCAATTCATGCGCATGATATGCTGTACCCTCTAATGCGTTCGGCAGACGAGATCGCTGATCGAAGTGGTAATAATATAACGCGTCTTTTGGTAACTTCTCAGCTGCACACTTGTTGGCTAGTAGGTAGTTAGGGACCTTGAAGATAGCGTCACCACACATGTGCTCTGTTCGAGAGAAGAGATCATCTTGTGAGAGGTCTGCTGTAATGCCATATGCTCTGAGGATGTGGTCTGTCTGCGTATCATCTCCAATTTGCCTGCGAAGGGCTTCTCGAATGGATTGGTAATTTTCTTCGAGAAGGAGCAGGTTCAGATGGAAGATGATTCCCTCGTGGTAGGTATCGCCGAACATAAGTCCTTTCAGCCATGCGGGCGGCGGCATCACTTTCCGTGGATCTACTTCCGGGAGATAGAACCAGCCATCCAAACAGGGATTCCCCGTACCGGATGGAACACCCTGAATCGCGGCCGTTGCGTTCGCGAGCTCTTGTTGAGGGACAGATCGGAGCATGTCGAGAGCGTCTATTGCCGCGGGGTCAATCTTAAAATAGATGCAGACTGCTTCAAAGAAACAGTCATGTTGGGCCATCGTCCACGCCGGGATTGCAGCAGATAGGCCAGACATGCAAACAGCACGGTGGAAGACAGGAGGGCGAGCTGATTGAAGTTGGTTGCTGATCGAGATGCCCCCGGCCGACTCGCCCACTGCTGTAACGTTATGGATATCACCTCCAAGGAAGCCGATCTACTTCTGTATCCAATCGAAGGCGACTTTTTGGTCGGTGAACCCGAAGTTGCCACTGCCTTGGTAACCGTCTTGCTCCAAGCTGCGAGCGATCATCTCGCCGGCTAGGAACCCGCCAATGCCGACGCGATAGGTGAAATTCACGCTGATGATCGGGCGACCAATTGAGATGCTGTGGGAGACGAGATTCACAGCATCGAAAATTGGAAGGTTGGCACCGCCATACAAGAGAGAGCCGCCGTGGACATAGACAAAAACTGGTAGCTTGGTATTGTCCTTGAAGGCACTAGGGACCACGATATTCATTACCAGACCAGAAAGCTCGTCTACTTGACGTGGATGGGAGAAATGAGCTGCTGGAGGAACGGGGACCAGGTCATCCGAGTCGTCACCTTCGAGAATTGGACTCGGACAATCATTACTATTGATGTTTTTAGAGGATTCACTCTCGTCGGGCGGTCAATTCCTACCCCAGTCGAGTCCCATCATGGTGCCCTTTCTCCCATGATGTCTTCAATACCGAACGAGTCCAGCGCTTTGACAGATATGCATATGGAATGCCACAAAATTGCTGAACTTCGTTGGCATATTCGAGACCATCCACATTCCCGAGACCAGGGATCGTGATCCTGCACTTAGAGACAGGCGATTGGAAAGACATCTCTCAGCCGCAATTTGAGAGACTTTTTATCTTCCCTTCCAATTCATAGATCCAGATTTATATGTACCACCAACCATAGCTCTCTTTTGCTCAATTCTTTATCAAACCGAAACGGGAAGTCGGACGCGTTACCAACTCGGGTCCACATCCCCCGCATCTCCTACTTAACCCAGCCGGCGCCCTCTTGTCTGCGATCCTTCATCTGTATTCGGAATGTCGACCCGCTCATATCAAGGCTGCTGGACCTGTAAGCGTCGACGGCGGCGATGCGATAATACTCACCCCACCTGTCAGAACTGCGCGCAACGGGGTGTGAACTGTGAGGGGTACGAAGTGCGGTTACGATGGGGTGGTGGCACATTGCATCGCGCGGTCGATTCACTGGCGCTGATAAACCACTTGATGAGAATGTTCCGGCGAGGCCGAAGGGACGACGAAGGGATCTTAGTCGAGAACGGATGAGACTTGAGGCGCAGCGGGCTGCGAAGTCATCGAGTTCGTGCTTGCATGGTCTTGATCCGTTGTTGGTAGAGCTTCATGATATGGATTTAGCATCGCTGAATCCAGGAGCATCTGAGCACGACAAACTGTTATTTGAAGAATGTAGGTGGATCCATATCTTAAAACTGATGGTTTTGGATGTTAAGCTAAAGAGAACAGTCTTGAGACGCGGTATCAATGTACTACACTCAACCACCGCACAAGAAAGCATGCTCCAGCCACGACTACCCCAGCTATGTCAAGAATCTAGCGCATTGTATCCGATCTGTATCGCATTTCAACTATCCCTGTCAGCCTCACAGACACCGTTATTCTTCGAATACTTCGACGCTGCGCTCCGCGAGTTCCGATCTGAACTGGCCCGCAGTACGACCCTTTCGGATGGGACTCTGACAGCGGGTCTCCTGCTGTGTAGCACTGGTGTGCGTCACCCCAGATATTTTGGTTTCAGTTCTTTTTCGTATGTCCCCTATTACATTAAAGTGCTGACTCTATGGCCAGCTGATGCATGGGTTGCCCTGGGCCATGCATTTAGAAGGCATGCACAGCATCCTGCAAAGCCACGGTCTCGACAATTCACATCGCACATCCACCACTTCCAAGTTCCGCATGCATCTTCTTGAGGTCATGGGGGTCATGGACTTGCCTTGCTTTGCCGTTGGTCGTCAAACCCCCTGTATCGGTATCTGGCGCCGGTATTGCCGGCCCGCGGCACCACGGCAGGGCATTGAGCCTGTGACGGGGCTTCCCCGCAGCCTAGTCGATTTATTTTCCGGTATCGGCATGGAAACAACCGAACAAAGCTTCTGGGACTGGCCAGGCGAACTGGGAAGCTTTTTACAATGTTATCTGTGGGAAGCGCACCGATTAGCGGGAATCTTGACCATACGAAATCACGCACGCACTACAGGCAAAGTCGCGAGCTGTCTAGTTTCTCAGCGTGGCGGCAGTCGAGCACGTGTCCTGTAGATGCCACTGTCCTCGTCTCGCGCATACTGGCCAACCTCGATGCTCTACGTCTTGCATGTGTCGAGCGTCCGGCCGAAGACATATTTATCAACAACGCTGTTCTTTACCCTTTTTTTATTACCGGACTTGAGGTGGAAATGATGAATCGCAACCCGCGGTTGCAAGATGTTATTCGCAATCGTGCCTCGGCGTCAAAGCAAGACGGGATACTCCTAGGATTACTAGAGGAGATGTGGCGGAGGAACGAACCTACACTGGATGTCAATACTCTGGCGCAGTCCAAAGATCTTGAAATGGGTCTTCTATAGACGAAATGCTAATCACGCGGTTTGTTTTCTCGGTGATCAAGCCCGATCCAAAAAAAAGCATTCTTGCATCTGTGTCATATTCTACCTAAACCCTTCTGTCACTCCAGCTGCCTCCGCGATCCATAGGACCATTTCCATCTTATGCCCGAACCATAACCCAGTAAACAAGCTTCTCGACATCGTCATCATCAATCAATTCTACCTCTTCGACGACTCGAAAGCCGAAAGCCTCGTAGAATGGAACATTGCCCCGTGCCGTACATTCCAAGTATATGGGCTGATCCCCAACACTTTCCATAATCCACCTCATCACACCTCCACCTAGACCGCGTGATTGTAATGCAGGATGCACCGCGATGACCTCAAGGTACCACAATTTCTTCTCTGAGTATTGATTCTGCAAAATCAGAGCACCGGATTTATTCGCAGCCATGAGCATTTCCACACGCTACAAGGAAGGTAAATTAGCTTCACTCTGTGAAAGGTCTTGGATAATACTTTTTCTTTGCAACCCTCATCAATAGCCGGGTTAAAGAACTCTAGCAGCCAAAGTTTGCATGTGAGGAGTGCCCGACTTAGTGACCAGCTGAGGTGTCCCGTAGGCGGGTGTAGGAACACAACCGTGCCTGCATCTGTAGTGTTGATGTATGGGTCTTGAGTCACAGAAAAGTGAGAATCCTTCTCGGGAGATGCCTCATGTTCTGATATAGACGGCATTTTCAGATGGTCTTGTGCCATTTGAGCGACACTTGCGGATTGAAAGACTTGTCCCCTGAGAAGGCGAGGTTGACTGTTCGGACCACTGCTGAGATAGAGGCATCTATTGTTCCAGAATCTGTTAGCCGAGATGCAATTTGATTTGAATTGATTGAAGAGTGTACAAACTTGTATGAATAGGTGCCAAGAATACTGTGGCTTTCCCCTTGGACATGGTTGATTCTCATCACAAGTGCTAGGCGTGGATATTGACAATCTCAGAGCTAATCGATTATCAAGGTTGTAGGACACTGATGTATCTTCGGCAGTACTTACTCTTTCTGCAATAACATGCTGCCTAATTGTATCCATTGAATCTCACATTGCTATCTTAACCTCCGGTTGACGACCCGGTCGATAGTGAGCCACATGTCTGGGGAGAAGTGCGTCCACCTACCAATTACGGACTAGTTTACCGAAGAACACGGACGACGAATGGAGACTAGAGATAATACGAGTTGACTGCGGCCTCCTTGGCTAAAGTCAAGCCTGGTACCCAATACATTATTATGGCGTCACGCTATCCTCCAAAGGGGAGCCCGACGCCCGCAGATTGAATCTGTCGTAGCGAGGCGCGATCTGTGAACTCCTTTTCCTCCCCGCATTTGACTTCGCTGGGGAAAGATATTTCTGACGAATTGAAGGCTTATCATGGCATTTGCGGTTCATAGTCCTCCTGGTGGCGCAAGTGATGTCGTTCTATCATGTGGACTGCTGGTCGCAACAGGACTTCGAGATATAAATTAAATATCATCATGTTTCACCACTTGAGCCATTGCCACTTTTCTTGCTTCGATTTTACAAAGTGATAAATCCCCGTGGACTTGATCTTACCACTTTCTCATCGGACTTTAAGTACTTTTCTGCTTTCGCAGCCCTACCTGGCCTGTCCTTGCCCAACACCTAGTTCTTGCATGATTATACCATTCCATCTACATCAAAGTCTGGTCCTCGTTTCAACATAGTTTGGTCTTCTCATTTGGTCCACACCTCTAGATTGCACAGTTACCTTATCGCTTCACAGCTCGTTTGGGCCAATTTCAACCTGTCTACGTCTGAATAGAGCTATGTCGAGCATTCGCAACGACCCTTCTGCCGGAGCAAGAACCGCGCTGCCTCCTGGTACCTTCAGATTGATTCGGGGTATGGAGCCAGGAATGATTGATAAGTATAGACATCGCTGACTTTCATCAGATGGTGGAGGGGAATTGTATGGCAAGAAAGTAGTCATGCTTGACCCAGTGCCGACAAATGACCCGAATGAGCCCTTAGTACGTTGTGCACTGTCCTGATAAATGCATTCAGTTGATCCGCGACTGAAACTTCAAGGAATAGAACTGGAGCACCTTACGGAAGTCGGTCAACTTCACCATCGTCATGGGTATGAGCATTATCATCTTTACTGCGTAAGATTTGCTATAACCAGGCGTCAAATGCTCCATGCTGATTGAATTAGTCTTTCCATCCAGCAGATCTTCTGGCAACAGATGACTGTCGATCTTCATGTTACCTACAGCCAGCTCACGCAGTCAATGTCTGTCAACTTCGTAGGGCTAGCCATGGGCTGCGTGCTGTTCATCCCATTTGCAAAAAAGTACGGCCGGAGACCTGTCTATATCGTTTCCACGGCTTTGATGCTGGTGACCACTTTCTGGACGACGAGGCTCACAAGCTTAGCTGAGCTCTACATTTGCAATATACTACAAGGTCTAGCGGGCGCAACAAACGAGACCATTGTCGAAATCACAGTATGTGTTCTCTGATTTCTGCCCAGCATTGGATCTCTTCTGACCATACATAGATTGCAGATTTATTTTTTGTACACCATCGAGGCACCACAAACGCTATCTACATGACCATGGTTATGATCGGGGTACGTCGGACTCACAAGCATGCTTTCATGGGAATTACCCTAAAAAAGATAGTGCTTACGCTGACCACCCTCGCAGAGCTTTCTTACACCCATGGCAGCGGGCGCCCAGGCCACAAGCCAAGGATGGCGCTGGTCTTACAAGACAATGGGGATTTTCAATGCGATATTTCTGGTCTTGTTTGCAATTTTCTACGAAGAGACCAAATTTGTTCCTGTCATTTCAGGGCGCGAAGGTATTACTCCCGCCACAGACGATAACATCCCCATATCCAAAGACGACGACATCAAAGACCCAGTCCAGAGCCAGACCAATATTACCACAGACATCGAACCCAGCAGGTTCTACCACGAAATTGACCTAACGATCCCAATGAACTCATGGCGCAAACGCCTCGCCCTGTTGACTCCAACCCCGGAACCGATCTGGCCGTACTATTACCGCCCCTTCGATGTCCTTATAACTTTTCCCGCAGTCATGTTCACTGCCCTTCAATACGCAGCCGGCGTAGTCTGGCTCACGATCACAGCCAGTGTGCTTTCTCTCGTATTTCCCCTTCCCCCATATAACTTCACACCTGAACAAATTGGATTTATGAGCGTTGGCCCGTTCATTGGAAATTTGATCGGGTCAGTTTACGGTGGTGTGCTTGGCGACTGGTCGATCCAGTTCTTTTCGAGACGCAACAAAGGCTTTTATGAGCCAGAGATGCGTCTGTATATTCTTCATCTCCCAGCTTTAATTATGGCGGGTGGGTTAATTATGTTTGGAGCCACCATCCAAAGGGTACGTATCACGTAAATTACCCTGCTTACTTGCTCAGCGGGATATCTTACTGATGAAGCTACGACTCGTAGGGAATGCATTGGATGTATCCCAGTGTGGGTGGTGCGATGTTTGGGTTCGGCCTAGGAGCTATCAGTGATGCCGTTTTAACCCTGGTAATTGATAGCTATCGTGATGTGAGTTGAATCGCTCAAGGGCATTTAAATTGCATTCCGGGCCTAACGTGAGACCCTAGATTACTGGCGACGCATTCACGGGAATTTCATTTGTCCGAAATGCTGTGAGCATTGGTATTCCATTCGCCATTAATCCATGGATGGAGAGGGATGGCATTCAGAACATGTTCATTGCGAGCGGATTCATCAGCCTGGCTATTACGGGTCTGATCATTCCGATGGTTATTTGGGGTAAAGACTCTCGGCGGAAGCTGGCCACGAAATATCACAGCCTCGTTGACGCGCAGGGACATACTGTCTCGTCCCGAGAACAGCTGAGTTGATCGCTATGGACTGTGACTGAAGTCTAGGTATAACCTTCCCTTTGAGTTTTCCCCAATTCGTGAGCCGCTTAAATGTTGTCTACTTGGGTCTTGTTGTTTTCTCCTGGTCTTCTAAATGATACAGTTTCCCGCACGCTATGACAAATCATTTCACTTGTATTCTGCTCCGTATATTGTGGTTGAATGAATCCCGAGACAATGACTAGATTTGGAGCCTAACCAAAGATCCATTATCCCAAAGGACAATTATCGCTGCAAACCGTAAATATGGATGCCTGTTCAGCCCGGCCACAGAGAACTGCTGAGAAGTTGCATGCGACATTACACAACATAATCAACCGAACCGTGACTCAACTATCTACAGATTTGCATACCGCTGCGGTGAGTCAGAGACAACATGAGGCAACACGGCATTTTTTACGCGCTCCTCAGTAACGAGCAGCTGCTCTGGGAACCACGACAGATCTTTCCCAGAATGTCCATCTTTTATCAACAGCATCGCAGCCAGGGCTTTCCCAGATAGCCAGGCCTGGACCATTCCCTCGCCGCAAAACGCCGCACACACCCACTCAGCACCCTCACCTGCCTTATCGCTGGTTTTGTTTCGACGTGTGAGAGAACTAGGTAACTCTCCCACCCAGGGGAACCCGTCGGCGCTGAATCCCATGTTGCCGGTCCACATTGCTTGAATAGGATTGCCTTGAACACGGCCCCAGGACTCGCGACCAAAGACGGCGCTTAAGGCGCCGGAAAGGTGGATGTCAATCGCGAGACTCATTTCGCTGTCTGCTGGAACGCCCATATCGGCGATGCCGAGGCTTTCACCTTGTGCGAAGCCGCCACCGAACATCATCTGGCCGCTTGGGAGCTGGGTCAAATAATCGAAGCCACGGTCGTAGTTGAAGATCCAGGAGTGTTTCTCTCCTTGTAGAGGGAATTTGTCTCCAGGCGTCTGGGTGGACATTTGTCCGCGGACGGGAAAAATGCGGCCTCGCAGGCCGGGGACTAAATGTCCGACATGTGCGTTCGTACCATGAATGACATGGCGAGCATGGACAGTCCCACGGTTAGTTTCAAGTGAAAATTTATGGTCTGTATCCCGGTTGTCGTGAATTGCGGTCACTGGGGTGTGATCCGCAACCTGGAACTCGGACGGGTAATCGGAGACCAGGCGAGAAAGAACGCCCGTCACGAATTTGTAGGGCCACAAAGCACCCGCAGGACCTGCAATGACACCATTTGCGCGCGAAAGCTTGAATTCCTGTATGGCCTGTCAACCAAAGAACCAAATACCAAATTGAAGAGATGTACGAACTTCGGGAATTGCATCTCCCTCATAAGCTATCCACTCCTTGGATTCCTCTGGCATGCCCTTCTTGAACCGTTCGAGCCGCTCTTTAGCGGATTTCCAGTTCTCGTCTCCGAAATAAGCACTCAGAAATTGCACTTTGCGAGCCTGGGCAATCTCTGTCAGCCCAAGTTCCTCCGCAACACCGAGCATCTCGCGCAAATGCGCAAGTCTGAACCGAATGAGCTTTCGCGCCGCGTCCTCTCCAAACTCATCTGCAAAATCGGCGTACTCGTCTGCATTTTCAAGGATATGGCCACCGTTTCGGCCAGTAGCACCGCTGCAAATATGGCGAGCTTCAAGCATCAAAATTCTCGGGTGAGATGGATTTGAGTTCTGGGTGCTGCTCTCGAGAAGAGTGCGGGCGATTGATGCGGCTGTGACGCCCGAGCCGATGATCAAAACATCCGCTTCAGTGGGCAGGGGAGTCGAGAACTTGTTGTCAAAATGGGGGTGTGGCTCCTGTAGCCAAAAGGAAGAGGTTGTGGCGTCCTTAGGGATGCCGGGGTCTGCATGCACTCGATCTAGAGCTTTTTGACGATCTGAAGCTGGAATGCCATGGTTGTTGAGTTGGGCCTGGACGATTGACATTTCGGCAAAAAACAGAGTGTAGTTTCGAGATGGGGAAGAGAAGATGAGCAAGGAATTGGAGCTGATATGCTGTGACGATTAGAAGTGTGAGAGAATAGATCAAGCAGATAAAGCAATAAAAGCAGCGGAGACTAGGATAGCTCCAGTCGAGGACCTGCCCGCGGACACCGATCAGATCTTCGATACGGGATTCTCTGTTGGACTTTCCTATCTGGTATATCTATTATTTTACGGCTTTTGTGCCTAGTTTCTGTAAATTAGTCTAATCATACTTTAGAAGAGTAGATTTGGTTGGGGTCGACCTGCTGTTTTGGACCTTAGAAGTGTGGGGATGTTTATCTCCGCATCCATCGGCTCATCGAGTCTCATTTCAAAATACGCGCTTAACAGAACTCTTGGAGTTAACACTCCTTTGATTGATAGCTAGTGGAGCTTGCCTGGCATCTTCGATCGGGTCTTAATGTCCGTGCTACGGGTTCACTAAGCCCCAATGCCTGCTCCATAATCAGCTGTAGACCAACGAGTATCCTTCGTATAAGTATGCCATTTGTAAGGACCGTCGGTCCCATCAACCGCTATAAACCAAGCAAACCTCATTTTCGAGTCCAAATCTCACAATGTCTACTGCTCCCTCTCCTCGTAACGGCATCTTCCCTCATGGCCCGCAGATGCGCCAGCCATCCCTAGCTTTCCTGTATCGGCTCGAATGCGATATCGCCAAAGAGGAAATCAACATCGGCGCGCCACACAACTCAGGCATTATCCGGAGCATTGCCAATATTCTCAGCGGTACTATCAAGGGGCCTGGTATCGAGGCTACTATTTTACCTCTTGGTGGCGTAGACTGGGCGACGGTGGTAAAGGGAACTCATGTAAGATAACGAGTCTGATCAATTCACTTGATCCCATTACTGACTTGGAAAGTCCATGACACTTGACGCGCGCTACACTGCAAGCACAAATGATGGTCACTACATCTACATCCGCGCCCATGGCTTGTACCGTCCTGGCCCGGGAACCGAGTACGCTAAGCAAGTCGAAGCCGACCCGGAAAAGCCACCGCAGCACACCGTGACTCAAGGCGACGTTGAGTTCTTCTCGCACCTCAGACTAGAAGCAGGCTCTGGTCCTTATAACTGGCTTAACGGGCTGGTCTGCCTCGGCGTGATGATCTGTGAAGGCGAGAAGCTCTGGATAGATGCGTACCATCTGACAAACTTCCCGGGTATCAAGCCGGAGAACGTGATGGCCAAGGCATAAACGGCAAATAGGATAGAATAGAAACCGAATAGAGAAATGTTTGGTCCCATGATGATCGTGCAGCGTACCCGGCAGCTATCCCAATCGGGTATGTGGACGCACCGGCGCATTTCATTCCAAGCGAAGTGGGTCGATGATAGACATTGACATGGGTTGTCCATGGGTCGAAGGCCTATGCCTATGCCCGAGCATGGGCAACCCATCGACACCTTATTCTGCCTGATTTAGAGATTTCTGCCTGATTTTGGCCTAGTTTATGCCTTAATAATCCGCTTATTAATTTGTTATTTATACCCGTTTTGGTATAAACGATTACGACTATTTAATATTCTACCTCCTAGAAGGTAATTATATGTTTTATCTTTGTTTCTAGACTACAGGGCTACGTAGGATCAATTGTCGGTCTCCACCTTTATTCTTACATACCGCCTTTTTCTATTACTATACGTGACCATTTAGAATTCTTCCCTCCTTCAACCATGGCTCGCCATGCGGAGCTTACCCGCGATGAGCGTCTGAAATGCCGTCTATTACGAGATGAAGGCTATACCTATCCATCTATTGCCTCCCGAATAGGCTGTTCCGAACGCCAAGCTCGGTATGCCTGCGATACGACACAAATCACGCCTCAGAAGAGGAAAAAGACTGGCCGACGCCCAAAGCTTACCCCTAAGCGCCTTAATGAGGTAATCTCCTGGATTTAGGCGTCCTTTGAGCATCGCTGTATGACTATCCACTAAATATGCATATGTCTAGACCTTAAGGTCTGCGGAGAGACGCTTCGCCGATCCCTTAAGGCTTGTGGGATGGTTACGCATCCTGCTACGCAGAAGCCTCCGATTCTTGCTATACACCGTTCGAAACGACTCGCATAGGCTTTAGCCCGTCAGAATTAGACTGTCGATGACTGGAGAAGGGTCATTTTTAGCGAGGAGGCTTTATTTCGATCTGGATGGCATCGAATACCTTATATCTGGCGATTTAATCACGAAAATTATTATGAAACCGCGGTTCTATTTTATCCCTAAGGGAAAGTGGTCCGCCTATCCTTAAGGGGACCGAGGATCGAAGTCTGTTCACCGAGGTCCGAAGACCATAGTCGAAGTCCGCAGGCAAGATATACCCGAAGGCACCCCCAAAGGAACGGACCATTTATGCCTGAAGGCGGACCATTTACCTTTGAAGGAAAATAGTCCCGCCTATCGTTCGGGGGAGGGCCGCGGACCAGAATCAGAAGTGGTCAAAATATCATTTTGATAGAAGAAAAGAGAAGGCCTCAAATTGGTCACGTGATCAATGCAATCTGGTCTTATATGTTGAATATAAGGATAGATCTTTCTATGTAGCATTGGTCTATATTCCAATACCTTTTCATATACATATTTGAAGCCTGAATGTGTGCAGGCTTCTTCAAAGCGGTCTAGGACTGATTTGTCTGGTTCCTAGTCCTCGGGTCTGACAGAGAGGTTTATATAAAGGCAATCATCGAATGTATGATATCCCTCATTAACACCCCCTTTACATAGGCAGAGTTTGGTGGTCTTCTTGCCTTGGCCCTAGGCCTTGTCTGATTGTCCTCGAAAAGTGGCATTACATTAGAGGCTCGTTTAGGCGGAATAAGCCTAATAGAATCCCTATACTTCTTTGTGAGGGTAAAGAAGTCGATAGAGTCTATTTAGCCTATAGATTTAAGCCTATTAATCTTATTGTGCCAATATTCGGCGAAGAAGGGAGACATAGAGGATAGGCCTTCTAGGAAGTCCAAAAGTGGTCTAGTCCTTAATTAGACTTCACCGATACCTAGTTAGACGGCTTCTATATAGGTGTTTTCGTATTACGAGATCTATATATCTATAGTCAAAGAGTGTGGAATTCGGCGTATTTAATGGTATTTCTTGATAATAGACCGCTTTCGGGCTTTAGTGGTTGGAGTATAGCGCTTTTGAAGGGTTTATAAGTATTGGAATATAGACCAATGCTACATAGAAAGATCTATCCTTATATTCAACATATAAGATCAGCATTGCATTAATCATGTGACCAGATTTTTCCTTCTATCAAAATAATATTTTGACCACTTCTGATTCTGGTCCGCGGCCCTCACCCGAATGATAGCCAGGACCATTTTCCTTCAGAAGTAAATGGTCCGTCTTCAGGCATGAATGGTCCATTCCTTCGGAGGTGCCTTCGGGCATATCTTGCCCGCGGACTTCGACCATGGTCTTCGAACCTCGGTGAACAGACTTCGACCCTCAGTCCCCTCAAGGATAGGCGGACCACTTTCCGTTAGGGATAAAATGGTCCACCTTTGGGTATGCATAACCAGATACTGCGGGGAAGCTTTCGGGGTGGCTTAAACCGTCGATCCTTGACATCATTCTTTTGGCTTTTCTTCGGTTCCCTTCTTTGCCACCTTTATTATGTTGCTGCCTACTATTTGTATGACATTCTAGACATCATTTCTAGGCTATTCTAGCCTATAAATATGTCCTTCTTTTCTAGCAGAAAGAATCAAGTGAGTTCTACTTTCCAAAAGTTATCTCTACCTTCTTCCTTTGATCCTTAGGACTGTGGTTCTGCCTTCGTTTAGGCTATATCTGCTTATAGTCTATCCTACGACCTTTGACCTTCCACCTTTGTCTGGCACCGAATGATCCAGCCGGACTAAGGTTGATCCCACGGACTTAAGGGGCCACGATCTGCTTCGTGGTAGCTTTCCCCTTATATTCCAACAATAAGGCTTTATAGACCGATGGTAGGTGCTAAATGATAAGCTTACTGAAATAGGAGATCGATAATTAGACGATAAGGTAGATCTAGGAGATAGCACCTGAAATACGGTTGTATTCGCGAAGGTCAAGCTTATAGTCTCTTCGTCTGTCTCTCCACCTTTTACGCTCGTTTGTGGTCAATTCTTTATCGGTAAAGGCCCTAAGGTTAATATCGGTAACCCTAGGACAAATAGGATACGAAGGAATATCCTTTTTTGTTGGATTATCGGGGTCAATATAGTCCTATACGCCTTTTGTAATAGCATAGGACTTAATTTGACCAATCCAGAGATACTAGTCTGATAAGTCAGATAAGGTAACGCCTATCTTACTTATATCAGATATTATAGGTAAGAAGGTAAAGGCACAGTGAGAGAGAGGTAAGAGCGAAGTCAAGACGAAGTAAGGTCGAAGTAAGGTCGAAGTAAGGTCGAAGTGAGGTCGAAGTGAGGTCGAAGTAAGGTCGAAATAAGATCGAAGTAAGAGAGAAAGGTTATCTGTAGGCCGTCGACTAGACCTATATGAGAGGAGGAACGTCGTCGATAGCTTTGCAGAAGATTAAGCCTTATAACTATCGGGTATAAGGCCGTAGGTCGATATCAGAGGGTCGTCGAGGGTCGTCGAGGGGGAACGAAGGGGAGTCACTAGTCTTATATTATAAGACCGCAGAAAAGGAAGAAAATAGTCTTATAGGATAAGACCGCAGTGGAAATCAGAGAGGAGCGATAGCTAGGCTTATAGCTATCGGGATAAGATCGGTACAGGGTAGTCGTCGATAGCTTTAGATCACAAGTCTTATAACTATCGAATATAAGACCACAGTAGGGGAAGGAACTAGTCTTAGAAATAAGACCGCAAAGTGAGTCAAAGAGAAACGAGATCCGGGCTCATAACTATCGGGCTATAAGGGTATAGCTACCACGAAGCAGATCGTGGCCCCTTAAGTCCGTGGGATTAACTTTAGTCCGGCTAGGTCAGTTAGTGCTAGATAAAGATAGAAGGTTAAAGGCCTTAGGATAGGTATAAACTACTAGTAATTACTAGTAATCACCGGGCATAACTAAATTAACCTCATCAGGTCATCAGGCCAGGGGTCGACCTAATGACCTGATGAGCTACACGCCTCTTACAGTCGACTGTGGGTTACGTTTCTTTCTTGAAACATCCACCAGCCTCGACGAACTCAGGACTCGTGAAGATGCTACTCGAGTTAGGAGCGGTGTTATACGTCAAAACAAACATTCCTCAGACCATGATGGTAAGTACGCACTACATTTACCTGCAATGCAAGGACTGACTACTTCAGACCGCTGATTCCGAGAACATCATCTATGGCCGAACTCTCAACCCACACAACACGACGCTGACAGCCGGTGGCTCCAGTGGTGGCGAAGGCGCCCTCGTGGCTTTCCGTGGCTCCATCCTCGGTGTTGGTACCGACATCGCCGGTTCAATCCGTATTCCATCTCTCTGTTGCGGAGTCCACGGGTTCAAGCCAACGGCAGATCGCGTTCCCTTTGGTGGGCAGGTCTCCGGCGCAATGGAAGGATTGCCTGGGCTCAAGCCCGCTGCTGGTCCTTTAGCGCACAGTGTTGCCGATTTGCAACTTTTCATGAAGACTGTCATTGGCGAAGGAGAGGCATGGCAATATGACCAGACTGCTTTGGCTGTGCCGTGGCATAGCAATCCTCGTGCGATCAAGGAGCGTAATGGCTCTTTGACTATCGGGGTCCTGGCTGAGGATAAGCGGTTTCCTCTTCATCCGCCTGTGAGGCGTGCTTTAGATCGTGCGGTTGAACTTCTCACTCGGGCCGGCCATCGCATTGTCAAGCTTGATAACCAGAGCAGAGAGGGAACATCCGTGGCATTCGCCTCTCGCCTCTCGTTTGAATACTTCGTCTAAGAGCCGCTTGTAGCCTCGGTTGCTAAATTCAAATCACCAATGTTCACGGGACCTTGGCCAGTCGACCCAGAATTGGAAACTTTTGAGAAAATACAGAAGCTGCACGAAGCCCGAGCGAGGGTTAGTGATGCCTGGTGTCAGATTTGGGTTGATCAGAAGCTGGACATGGTTATCGCTCCTGGGTCGCAGAACACAGCGACTGCTTTCGACACGTATGGATGGCCACCTTACACCCTGATGTGGAATTTGTTAGATGTAAGCGCCTTCTCAGATTGCTTCAATACATGTGGCTAACCTAACTTGCTTGCAGTATCCTGCCTGTATCATTCCGTTCGGGAAGGCGTCCAAGGAGCTGGGTCCTGAGAAAATGCAGACTGGTGATGATGTGCAACCTGATTGTGAGTCTTTTCCACCATGTGTCAAACTCCTTACCTAACAAGCGATAGACCATCCTGATGAAGTCGATGGTGCGCCTTGCGCAGTATAAATCATTACTCCCAAATTCCAAGATGAGAAGTGTCTGTGGGCCGCGGATATTATTGACAAAGTTCTTCGAGCGCATTAGGTTAAATCGAAATTAGATAAACAGAAACATTTGAAAGTCATCAAGTTAGACTCTATCTACGATTTATTTATTTGTCCATCGCTCCATCCAAGTCTTAATGTATCGTTGAACCAACCCCTCCACAACAGGATCCTTCACCAAGCCTAGTGACGGGCAATCGTTAACGGTCCTGGTAGTCTCAAAAACAAGGCCGTCATTTTCATCCGCAGTGGCTGGTTTCGGCCCGTGGGTTTCATACTTGGATCTCCAAAAGTCAATGAGCTTGATGCTGGGATTCTTCTCCGGGTCTTGCTCACTGCCTGCCAACCTCTTTAACCATTCTTGGGGTGAGACGACATCAAAGTTGGACAAAGCAGAGCTCTTCTTCAAAGCTGGCAGCAAATCACCCTTCCAGCTAAAAGTATGCGGATTGACCAAATGATAGACCACGTCGGCATCAGATATAGCAACATCCATGGATATATCAGCGACTGCCCGGGCACACTGATCGACGGGCAACCAACTGGGTCTCTCATTCAGCTCCGGAAGTGCACCAGTTGTCAAGGCACTTCGAAACATCAGTGCCACAGCTTCGGTCTCATTCCATTGTGCGCTAATGGTATCACCACCCAGCTGTCCAATTCTCAGAACCCGGGCGTGCAGACCAGTCTGACGCATAGCGTTGCGAGTGACATGCTCAGCCACCAGCTTCGAACGACCATAGCCCGTGGTCTGAGCATGATTTAGATTCTCAATTGCTACTTCGGGGATGGACGCTGGCTTTGGAGTGTTGCTCGCTGTGCTCACGCTTGAGCAGAAAAAGAATCTTGCAGGGATAGGGAGTTTCGAGCGAAGGCCGAGGTTGAGCAGATTATATGTTCCTCGAATGTGTTGCTGCTCAAAGGATCGCACGCCGAGATTAAAGTTGACGGCCCAGGCGCTGTGTATGATGCAGGTCAAAGACGTGAGGAGGTGCTCGAGGATGTAGTTGTCTAGTCCTAGATTTGGCTTTGAAAGATCGCTAGGAATTGCGCGGAGCTTTGCGGCTTCGCCTTCTGTAAGATTGATATTCCGATCAGACAGAGATTTGTACAGGCGAGCGCCTGCGGCCACTTGACCAGGAGCACGAACAAGTGCCCAGACCTCTGAGACTGAGGGTCGCTTGAGAATCTCCGCAACGATAAAAGCCCCAAGATTTCCTGTCGCGCCGGTGACGAGGACCACCTCGTGCTCGGGTTGTTTAGCGATAGTGGGAAAGTGTTGGGTAAATTGTGAGTATTGTGCAATCATCTCCTGCATGACTTGGACTTCATCATCCTCTTCGTGTTCCTCGCCTGCGCGTAGCTGGTAAAGGTGTTTTGCGAGAGCGCGAACGGTCCCCTTCTCAAAGACGATGTTCTGAGAGAGCTTCACTTCATGATCACCGAGATCCAGATCGCGCACAATATACCGCCATATTTGCGTGGTCTGCAAGCTGTCAACACCAGCTGAGAAGACGTCAGCATCAACACTGGGCAATGTAATACCCAGCTCCATGCTGAACTTCTGGAGCAGCCAGTCCTCCAGCTCCGACACGCTGAGTACAAGGTTTCCCTTATTCTGCCCACTGCCTTCAAAGCGGGCATACGCTGCGTTGATATCTTGTTCAAATTGATGATAAACCTGAGCACGAATAAAAGTTCCCTTGTCGGTGCCTGGGTACTTCACATCAGCACCTTTGACGATAATTAATTCCTTCGGGATTCGGGAGAAGGTCTCGGCGCGAGCGTTTGCCGCTTCTACAGCTGGCCAAATCGTCTCCAAGAATTCGTCGTCGTTCATTTCGGTTGCCTTCCCCTCAGCTCTGAAGATCAATGCACCAGGGACAGTACGCTGAAAGCCAAACACAACACACTCTCTCACAAGCTCCTCCTCCCTGACGCGACCTTCAATTGGTATGGGAAGCACTTTCTCGCCATTGACAAGTGTAATTCGGTCATCAAGTCGACTGAGATACTTGTAGTAATTGCTCTTCTTTGGGTCCGGGTGGCGTGTGAACAAATCAGCGGTGCGGAAACTATTCTCCGGGTTTTTCGCATTGAAAGGTGGCTTCGAGTTTGAAGGTCCTTTGCTCGGTAAACCATCCAACGCAACGCATTCGAAGACCTCCGGGGATATCTCATCCATGAGAGTAAAGTCTGCGACAGGCCGATGAAGCCGCATATACTGCCACTCTGTATCACCAGGTGATCTGAAGGAAGTCATGATCTGGCCTGTCTCGGTAGCGCCGTAGTTCGCAACAAGGTTGACACCCTGTGCGACGAGTCGGTCACCAAGATCATCGGGACAGCTAGATCCGCCGTACAAGACGAGCTTGGCTTTTGTTAGCTCTTGTACGCCTGCTGGCTTCTCCGCCAGTAACTTGATAACATATGGAACGGCGCTGATTTGCTCGGGCTTGGCGACCTGCAACGCATCATACAGGTTTTGATATGTGATGGGAAGAGAGTGGTTTCCCAAGTACATTGTTGCACGGGTATAAAACGCTCGACCGACTTCCATCAATGCATGAGAATGGAATAATGGACTAATATTGAAGAGTCGAAGTCCGAAGCTTTTGCGGAAGTTGGCGAGAGTCTGGAGATTTGACAAGAAGATCGGTTTTGGGAAACCCGTGCTGCCGGAAGAGTGCAAGATCCAAGCAATCTTCTTTCCCTCCCGACTAGGGTCTACATTTGATCGCTGGAATCGAGGAGAGCTGGCTGGACGGTTGAACCAGCTCTCTCGTTGCAGCACAGGAAAGCTGATACAGCCAGGCCGCTCGGTGCGAATGTCGGTTACTACTTGTTCAAACTGTTCTTTGATAATGAGCTGGTTGCAATTTGCCATGTTCATCAGTCGGGCATAGGCTGGTGCTGTGAGCCGTGTAGATAGGAAGAGTACAGCATATCCGAGGCGGTTGAGGGCAAAGAATGTCAAAATGACCTCGAAGCTAGATCCTGCCAGAAGACCGATGACGGGCGCTTGATCCAAGGTTGGGTCCTATCCAGTCGTTAGATTGCTTCAATCCAGAATCACTGTGCTCTTACAGCTGGCTGAAGGCCTTTTGTCATATAATATCGGACAGCCACATCTGTATACCGGTCGATGTCACCAGCAGTGTGTTGTTCAAAGTCCGCCGCTCCACGAACGGGGTAGCATATCAGCGGCCTTCGGGCATCATCGCTTTCAGTAGCATGCGACTTCAGGAGACCATCTATTGTCATAAAATTCTCGATTGCGGGGTATCCGGCGTGTAGAGTACCATTCAGTAGACGCTCCGAGATGTCTGCAGCGGACAAAGACGGTAGTACTTGCAGCATTGTGGCTGTTTCGGTTGTGGTAGCCATCTGTCAAATTCTGGTTTGTTGAAGGATGACAATGAGGAGGGACCAGTTCTATAGGCCTTATATTCATTACCCCACGATGGTTTTTCTCCCTCGTTGATCTCTCCGCGCGTGTACTCATCCGTTATCCGGGCTTCGGATTTCCGGGTTACTTTTCCGTGCCGGAAAAGCGGATCTTTGTTGTCCACCAGGCACGTCGGAATTCCAGAATACTGTGGTGGCCACCAAATGAGATCATTCAAGCTTGCAGTCGTGTCGGCTTCGAGCTCAGCTCAATGATCTCAGTGGTGGAAAATCAAGCGTTGAGATGGATGCGCCGTCGCGGTCTCATAACCCACCCCCCCTACCGCTCTCCCCACTCGACGTCAGGGCCGATCTGTCAACAGGAGCACTAGAAGCCTAAAGAAATCCTGGAGGGGCTTTACTCATGACAGTACCAGACCATACATGAACTTTCAATGAGTGGTTGTGAGACGCCCAACATGTACATAAGCGGAATCGAATCTTCTACATGCTCTATTGTGTCTACCGGGTATAAAACAAGTATGCAAGAGCTCACTTTTAATCACTTCACCAAGCCTCTCAATTCGGAACTTCCGGCGTCAGCTTTGACATCTTCCGCAGTTTTGGACCATACTTCATGAACAAAAATGGGATTGGCAGCAAGGCCGCAGCCACAGCTCCAATAATTGATACTCCAGGCCCAACTCCTAAAGCTCTAATCATCGGCTTGGCCGCCAGAGGAAGCCCAGCTGCCATAATGCTTCGCAAGAACGTGACCGCTGCTGTGGAGCTCGCGGCATATATCCCGTAAACGTCAACGAGGAAGTTAAGGCACTGCTGAAAGATGCAGTTGAAGCCGATACCGATGAATAACGCAGCCAGACAAGGCAGGATCCAGTGATGAGGCGGTTCTGCCGTCCATGCGAACCAAAATGCTCCCACAACAAAGAAGACCGCGCCGATAGCCATTGGTGGTAATCGGGCTTCTGGGACGGACCTTCCATTGGCTTCTTTCGCGATTCTGTTATAGCGGTACTGATTCCAAATATTTAGTCCCACAGAAGATATCACACCGATCAAGAGTGCCAAGAATGGAAGGGATGCAACGACAGGTTCCCAATCGCGAATTTCCTCGAAAACGATGGGGAATACTTCCAATGTGAGATACATGACACCATATACGAAAGATGCGTATACTGCAATGCAGGTGACGATGGCCTCGGTGCAGAGCATGACCAGCGGGCGAGACAGTTGCTTCGTCACGATTGAATGGACATCGAGTTTGATGTGCTCATGTGGATGATAATAGCGCATATCCTTTGTCTCTTTCCGCAGAGCTTGGGCTTTTTTCTTGAGAAGAACCAGAGGATACACCTCGGGTAGGAAGAAAACGCCCAGGAGAAAGGTCACAAAGACCCAGATGGCCAAGATATATCCGGTCCAGCGCCAGTCGAGACTCGGATTCGTCACAATTGCCGAGCCAATAACGGGTCCTAGAGATGGGCCACCGTTCACTGCCACCGCGTACAAGCTGACTGCGACACCTCGAGTCTCTCGACTCCACATATCACCCAGGGCAGCTGTGACATTACTGATCGGTGCTGAACCAAAAAACCCGGTAAAGAAGCGTGTGACATAGATGGAGGCTGCACTAGTACTTCTTGATGTACCGATAGCGAAGAGCGCTTGGCAGAAGACAGCGGGAAGAATGGAGACTCTTCGTCCCCAAATTTCAGAGATCGGAGCCCAGATAATCGGACCACATACAAAACCAAGTCTAGATTCATTAGCAAAACTTCTTCAGATTCAATTACTGCGTGGAAACACTCACAAATAAAGCGATACGTCCAAGACAGAAACTTCACTGCTCACACCAACATACTTGGCGATGATGCTATCGGCCGGGGTCATGATACTAGAGCCGAGACTGCCAGCCAGGGCGAGCATGCCCAGCTGGAAAGTCACCCACCATTTGTATCGGACGGGCCAATTTTGAGGGTTCATAGGGTCATCAAGATCCCACTTCACGAGAAATGCTGGATCGAGCTCATTTGGCTCTTTTTCTTGCTCACTCCGAGTCGGCACTTTGTCGGCTAATCGATTGCCGAACATAGTGCTGAGAAAAAGAGACAAAGCTCACAGGGATCGACCACAAGAATAATCAAATGTTGCACTTGTTCGATCAGAAGTACCTTGGTATTCGCTTTAGAAGAACATGACTGAATGTCTTCGAGTGCCTCTGCAATTGAGCCTAATAGTTGGTCTTGGCAAGATTTTGCGCAACGGTACGCGGACATGAGGAGTTTTGCTCGTCGGACCCCGAAGTCGGAGTTAAATTGGACGATCTCGACTTAGCTCCACCAGTTAGTTCATCTCGACCGTTCTTCCGAGGAGATCTTCGGTGGTTGCGGATTTGGGAAGTTCGGAGGTCCGAACATTCGATGGTCAAAACCAAGGGTAAAAGCACGGGGGGGGTGGGGGGGTGGGGGGGAAATCCCTTGGGGGAAATCCCCTTGCCATGTTTTTTTCTTTATTTTGCATTTGATAGATCACATCTTTGATGCCATCATATGTATCTATTATTTGATGGGACATATGGGTCTTTGGGAAAATCTATTCAATTCTTTCATATTGACATCGCATTCACCTAATACTATAGATAGAGTCCAGGAATACTTTTATGCATGTGCTTGGACCAGACGGACAGCAGTCTGAACGTCTACTTAGAATTATTGACATATTTTCCCGCGAGTGGGATTCATTCTAGTCACATCTTATATACCAACTTACGTGAGGTCTGGAAAATGATGGTGACGAGGACACTGCCTCTGTAGTCTATCCTCTGTGGCTAGTGCTTGAAAATGAGATGCGGCCTGTGTCTGGGTGAAGAGTATACCAAAATGCCGAGAGATGACTCGGACCAAGACACAGACAAATGCAAAGGAGCTCTGAAGTGAAAGGAAATTCAGTCGATTGGGTATTACAAAAGGGCCTTGCACAAATTCAGAACATTGGTGATCATAATACGAAGCAATGTATACTCGCACTAGGCGTAAAGCAGCAGGATCTGGAGTTTATCATCCTTTTTTTGCTTATTGAATCACTGTTTCGGAAGTACAGCATAGAAGCTCCACCGAAAATAGGTAGGAGAACGTGAAAAGCCGTACCCAAATGAAGTATCATTTGCTAGTGATGAAGAAATTACATCCGATCAAAGTAGAATACAAGTTCGAAGCCGACCACACCCCAAATCTAAAACCATATTGCATCGAGCTTTTGTGCGAGAGGGTGATATCACATGCAAAAAATAAAAATTGTTTACGGGCTGGGAGTACCGTCGTCGTAACGTGGGCCGCCGTCATCATCTCCGTAGCCAGCACCAGGCGTAGCCGCCGCGCCGCCCATAGCTGGGGTAGGTGCGTCATATGCAGCTGGGGTTGGGGCATCGTAGCCTCCGCGCTTCGGCAAACCGCCTGGAGTAGGTGCGTTGAAGGCTCCGGGTGTGGGGGCGCTGTCTGGCCAGGCACCAGGGTAGGTGCTGAGGCACCAGGTGTGGGAGCTGCGTAGGCACCGGGCGTAGAGGCGGAATAGCCACCGCCGGGCGTAGGAGCGTCATCGAAGTCGCGCTGGTCGCGGCCATTGGAGAGGCCACCCCAGGCAGGCGTGCGGTTTCCAGTGTTTGCGCCAGCACCAGCACCAGCACCAGCACCAGCACCAGCACCAGCACCACCCCAGGCGGGAGTGCGGGATCCGGAGGCAAATGCGTCGTAGCCGGAGCCGGAGTCGTAGGGTGTGCGAGAGCCGGAGTTCCACGCTGGGGTGCGATTGCCAAGACCTCCGTACGCAGTGCGGTTTCCAGCTTCGTAAGGGTTGGTCGTGCGGGATCCATCGTTCTTCCAAGCCGGCGTACGGGAGCCGCTCATGCCACCCCACGCAGGAGTTCGAGAAGCAGCGGCACCGCCCCAAGCCGGGGTCCTCGAGGAGTCGGCAGCAGCCATCGGGGTACGGCCACCTGACCAACCAGGAGCGCCTGAAGGAGCGCCAGAGCCATAAGGAACACGCGAGCCTCCTGCTCCACCTCCACCCCGGCCTCGTCCACGTCCACGTCCGGAATCCAATGTCTGCTTGGTAATCGGGTCCTTGGGAGTGAGAATATTCCGGTCTATTTGAACGGGCTTGTTGACTGTGTAAAGCTCGACCTGAGCGTTCTTATCATCGGCATCACGGACAATACCAACTAGACCCTTGTAGCGGCCCTTGCGAACAGCAACAGTCTTTCCGATAAGTGTATCACGTCCACGGGAAGGCGGTGGCATTGCAGCACCACGGCCACCCCCGGGGCCTTGCATGTTGAGGGCAGGGTTCAGCTTGGTCAGATCAGGACCAGTTGGACGACCACCTCGAGCGGACACGGTGACGACGTTCGTCGTTCGTACCACAGAAATGCCTGCATTCTCTGCTTGGGCTTTATTGTGCAGGAAAAGGTATGAACGATGAATGTGGCGAATAGCTCCGGTTCTTTGCTCTCCGTAGACCTCCCGGACAGTGTCACCGTTTCGGATCTCTGCACCGTTGCGGTCAGTCGCAACGGCATCACGACGGGGTGGAATTTTGTTGGCAATCTGAGTAGGAAGAATATTGCGGACAGAGCCATTCTGATCCACGACACGAAGGGACTCGCGGTCAACCTTGATGACACAGGCAACAGTTGCAGCGCTGGAAACATGTTAGCAAAGGTCTAGCTCGAAACAGTTCACAAGTAACTTACTCAAGCTGGACAAGGTCATGGACATCATAGATTCCGAGTTGACCATCAGCACCCATTTCGGCGGAAAGACGAAGGTCTTTACTAAAGACCGTGATTTCCTGCATGCTCATGTCGCTGAGAATAGTGACAGTGTCATCTTTGACCTGTACCACCATACCAAGTTCGTTTTGGTAACGGCTTCCTCCGATGACCTTAACGTGGTCACCCTCACGGAAACGCTTGCGCAGAGTTCGGACAGGGGCATCAATTGTCTGGCCAGCCAGATCTCCCTCAGTAACTTGCAAGGATACGATGTCGCCGCGGGTTGAAACGGTGCGACCAATCAAGCCTTGTTGTTCACCACGATAGACCTCGACGGGGTCGCCCGGCTGATACGAGTCCTCGGCGGTGGAGTTTTTCAAAGTCTCGGCCAGCGAAGCCAGATCCAGATTGGCAGTGCCATCTTCTCCTCCACGGGCAAACATCGTGACTTCCTCCAATCTCGGGTTGACATTCTTAGTGATCAAGTGCTGGACGCGCATGTCCTTGATAAGGAAGCCATCAATGTAAGTATCGTTCAGGTAGCTCCAAGACTTGCCGCCTAGTCCAGATGTAGCCGAGAGGTATTTTGCGTGCTTCTTCTTTGCCTCGGATTCGTTAAACAGGCGCTGCGGAGGACGAATGGTATTCGTAGCACCACGCTTGCGCTTGACGTCAGGTCCCATCAGAGCAGCAGCATCTTCATTCATGCCATAGTCAAGACGAGGAACAACGCGGACAGTAACATTCAGGCCATTTGTCTCGACCTCTTCAATCTGCGCCAAATCGCCCTGGTAGCGGCCGCGTTTGATGCGAACCCATCCACCCGGCATTAATTCCTCTGATTTCTGGACCTTCAGCAAATCAGGCATTTCCTTCACAGGAACCAGAGTCATCTTCTGGGATGGGTAGTAGAAGTTGATACCCTCCAGACCTTCCGTGACATCAGCCTGTCTGCGCGCTTCACAGTAGAACCAACCCTGCATGAGATGTCCGCGCTCGAAAGCCGAAATGATGCGAATGGGGTTGCGAGACCCAGCCGGGCGCTCCTCGATGCGCTTCTGGATTGAGTAGACGACCTCGCGCTCCTTTCCAGGCTTGCAGCGAGCGCCCCAAATGCTGGGATCCTCCACGCTGGGAAGAAGCAATCGCTTGGGGATCACGAGAGCATCAGTAGCCGCAGCGCGGTTTCGTCCGTAGCGCTCCTTGAGCAATTGAGCCTGCTTCTCTGCGTCCATTGTAGCATCAAGCTCACGTTGACGATCGAGCTGTCGGTGGCGGCGGTCATCTGTTTCGGCGCCGGCGGGCAGCTGGTCGAAGTCGTCGGGGTGCATTTCTGTACCGAACTCGGCGAGTTCGTCCTCGTCGTCTTCAGCTTCATCTTCCTCCTCGTCGACACCGGCCTCTTCATCGATGAAGGGGTTGAGGGGACCACGTCTGCGCTTGCGGGGACGAGCCTCCTAAAAGCACATTAGGTTAACAAGGCTCTTTCCAGGTCAGAGCCTTCGAAGGAGCACAAACCACGGCGTCTTCCTCTTCCTCTGCATCTTCGTCCTCTTCTTCATCTTCTTCGTCATCCTCATCATCATCGACAACATCCTTGACATCGTCTTCTTCCGCATCGCCTTCATCCTTCAGATCGTCGGAGCCAGGGGCTTGGCGCTCATGAGATTTGGCCGGCTAGTCATTGTCGGTCTATCAGCACCATCTTTCAACTGACACTGCTCAGTGATGGAGACTAACCTTGGAGTCCTCACCCTCAGACTCATCAACGGGGGCTGGGTTGAATTCGTCATCCTCATCCTCCGAACCAAAGTCCTGATTAAGAAAGTTGGACATCTTTGAAGGGTAGCGGGTCGGGGTATCTTAGAAGGGAAGATCGCGCAATATCGCGTGAATGGCTTGTGCGGCGAGTCCAAGTCGCTGAAAATATCTTAGAGACAAAAGGAAAGGTCAGCGACAGGAGTTGAGGATGCGTAAGCACAAGGATGAGAGAATTGGAGATCTGGACGTACCGAAACCTTTCAACGAGGCGCAAAGACCGCCAACCACGGAGATGGCAATCCCGGTCGCTTGAAGAGAGTAAAATATGAATGAACGATTAAAGCACCGCACGCAGGGAAACGGGGCTATTTATACCCTGGGACGCCGTGTCAGTGAGTTTGGGGGGGGAAAGGTCGGAGAGCTGGGGTTGCGATTCGCGGCGAAGTTGAAAGAGGCTGCGCACTTGGTCTTTACGAGCTGCCGGACCAGGTGTTTACTTCAGTCCTGAGCCATGTTTTTCTCTCAATATTCTCAATACCAAATCACACTTTTGTCAATTTGACTCTAGATAATGAGATAATGTACTCATCTATCTTGGGTTTTGGCATAAATTCACCGCTGCCGCATCATCATACAGTTAGGTTACCTCCCAGGCAGAGTTCAGCGGGTATGCATCCCACGGATATGTACATACTTCAGGTTTCTTTACAATGTCGTTGATCTTGTGTATGGATTTACGGATCAAATAAAGGCGTACCAATGCCGAATTTCCTCAGACAGTGTACGCAAGCGGCGGCGTTGAACCACTGGATACATGGCGACGTCGTCACGCTATCCGATCACCGAGCATGGCCAGAGTGCGCGGTCATGAATGAATATACCCAAGGCGCGCAATGGAGCGAACTGGGCAGTTACAGATCACGCAGATAGAATCTAAACATCAGAGATAAATCCACACTACACTGATTCGTCGAGTTGGGGTAGTTACTGAAGTAGCAAGCTCCATTCCAATTTTATTGAGGAAACGATTGAGAATGAACAGTCAATGTTATTGTACATAGACAAAGATGATAAAGAAAATGCGTCACACCGGACGGGATATCCAACCAAAAGATCCTCAAGAAGGAGGTAACAATTCAAGCCAAATAATAGCAAAAAGCAAGAAGATGCCCTGGAAGACCCAGATGAATAACCCAAAGCTCCCTATATCTTCATACCAAACATCCCATGCACACGCAAACTCTGTCGCATACTAAGATCCAGCATGATCTCCTCACTGCCACCAGGAATAGCATAGGCCCTCACATCCCGATACAGTCTTTCAACCTTGCCTCCCTGGCCACCGCGGCTATAACTGAGACCACCGAAGATCTGACTCGCCTCGCGAGCGCAGAATTCAAAGGTCTGCGTAGATTGGGCCTTCAGGCCGGCAATGGCACCGCCGAGCTTGAGCATGGCTTCGGTTTCTTCCATGCACTGGCACTGGAAGATGATGTTCTCGAGCCAGTTGTAGGTGGCTTCGATCTGACGGGCCATGTGAGCGAGTTTCATACGGATGACGGGGTGGTCGATGAGGCGCTTGCCAAACGTTTTGCGCTTGTGGGCGTATTTGACTGATTCTTCGTAGCAGACGCGGGCGAACCGGCAGCATTGAATTACGATGCCGATACGCTCGTGGTTGAAGTTTGTCATGATCACCTTGAAGCCGCCGTTCTCTTTGCCAATCAGGTTCGCGACGGGGACTTTGACATCTTCGAAGGTGACATAGGTTGTTCCGCTGCTCAGAACACCCTGGCAGTCCATGCGGCGGGTGCTGACGCCTTCCGAGCGCTCGATCAGAAGGACGCTAAGACCGTTCATGCCGTCGGGGCCTGTGCGAACAGCGGTGGTGAAGTAATCGGCCCAGATACCATTCGTAATCCACTTCTTCTCGCCGTTGACAATGTAGTGCTTGCCATCCTCGCTCAGCTTAGCCTCGCAGCCGAGGTTAGCAACGTCACTTCCCGCATCGGGCTCGGTAATGGCCAGGCAAATACGCTTGTCGCCAGCCAGGATACCGGGAAGGATTCGATCAACGAGAGCCTTCTTGCCGAACTTGACCAAAGGCGGGCAACCAATACCGTAACCACCGATCAAGTTCCAGACCAAGCCACCGCTACCAGCACGGGACAGCTCATCTGTGAGCAGCATCTCGTGGAACAGATCCCATCGGTCCGGGGACACAGACTGTACCCGGAATGGAGTATGTTGCTCAGGGTATTTCACACCGAGCAAGCCGGCCAAGTAGCCGCGCTCGCCCATCTGCTTGTAGATATGCGGGGGCACCTCCTTGCCCTCATCCCACTCGGTGACGTAGGGATCGATCTCGGTCTCGACCCATTGGCGGACTTCCTCGCGGAGAGCAGCGTGGGTTTCGTTAAAGTAAGGTGAAGAGTACTATCACACGCAAACATTAGCACTTTCCCCATTTCCGGAGGGGCTGTAACTTACACCTTGGTACCACGAGGGATCGGCGAAGGGAATCAAGTCGCCATAGGGCTCTTGCGGCTCGGCAGTCGCCGGGGGCTTGAGATCGCCCGAGGTTTGCGGCTGAGGCGTGGACTCAGCCTTCTTTGGGGCAGGGGCCGGGGCCGGAGCGGGCTCGGGCTGCTTCTTGGTATCCAACGAGCCGATCTGCAGCTGGCCCTTGTACTTCTTCAAAATACCCTCATTATGGTATTTCCAGAATTGCTTGGAGGCATCCTTTCCCGCAACGCGCTGGAGAACTGTATGACATGTTAATAACGGTGGTCGCGTGGTCGCGCTATGACGTACTTTTCTTCCCACCTGTGACTTCGTTAGCATGTGATTCTCTCGTATCAACCGCACCAGGACTTACCCGGGTGCTCATCTTGAAATTGGGAGACGTCGTAGACGTCCTCGTCAATCACAATCCACAAGCTATCGCCCTTGCTATGCGACGCAACATCGTCCTTGCTAAAAGTCTTCACCATGGTGTGCGACTCAAAAGTAGGTGTTCGGTAAGAATAGAGAGATGTGAATGAAAGATTTAATCAGCCGGAGTGCATATATAGCAGCCTCGAAGAACCTATGCTGTAGAAAAAACAACGGTTTCGTGGGGGGAAAAAGAAACAGAAATCGAATTGAACGTCCGGGGTAGATGGAGCACGCGCGATATAAAGGACGGGAACCGGACCCCTTTTGAGTAACCCCCGTTTTCCCCGTGGTCATGGCCTCGGAGCGTCCATCGTCACTCGTGCCATTGGATTTCCATTCAGCTGCGTCCCTCGGTCGCAGATCTCATCAGTCTGTCTCGGTCATCCCCAAAATGCCATGTACTTGATTGGCTCAAACTGCGTCATCGCCGGTGAGAAATGCCGAGGCGACTTTCATGCAGGCTGAGTCAGCAGCATGTGAAGGCCAAGACGGAGTGTATGCGACTTGTCCAGGTTGTGGTCGGTTTTGTTTTCATGTGCTTGGTACTCCCACGGAGGTGGCTGATGGCCTAATGACCTTCTACGTATAGCTCATGGAGTACTTAATAGATGCAGACAAATGCTTCATATCACAGGAGGCCGCTACTGCCCTCCCAATATATCAGGCCTGAACCTGACTAGTCTAGTAATACATCCCAGTGCTATGGAGTTGTGTCCTCAGCACTCTACTCATCCTCGCCCTCGGTCTCGTAGGTGAACTCGTCGGGCACTGGCGCGTCCTCTGCACCCTCCTCGTCCTCGTCAACAGCGGTCAACACACCCGCTGCCGCTGCAGCGCCAGCCGGGGTTGAAGACAGCATGGCGCGAGCATCGGCCCGTTGAGGGGTCTGCAGGGCAGCAGTGCCGATAGCCGCCTGAAGACGATCCTGAAGAGTTTCGGTAGGGGCAGGGGCCTCTTTGCTCGCCTTGAGCTCGATGGTCTCGCGAGGCTCCTCCGGGTGCTTGTCTAGAACGACAACGACACCACCAGTAGGCTAAAAGATGAATTAGTGAAAAAATCCACGGCATCAAAGTAACATTGAGACTTACTCTCTTGACAGGCTCGTAGCGCGGATCGGGGAAGGTCAGGTACTTGAGCTGTGCGGGCAGTACACGGGACATGTTGTCCAACTCGTAGCCAACCTTCTCTCGCTCCACCTTCTTCTTCTGGGCCTCGCCAGCAGCCTTGTCAGCGTCCTTGCTTTCCTCGCCATCCTTCTCGTCGGTCTCCATCTTCTCCGGCAGTTGCTCTGAGACCTTTGGCGTAGTAGGCGTCTGGTCAATATCCATGCTCTCGCGGCGGGCCTGCTTCTCACGACGCTGAGCACGGCGCTTGGCCTGAGCCGTCGTGGAAAGCACGGCAGTCTTCACCTTCTCCGGAGCCTCCTCAGTCTTGACCTCCTGCATGGGAGGGTAGTCAAACAGACTCGGACGGGTGTTGCTGTGGAACTTGAACTCCGGAACCTCCAACTTCTGGGTCGACTCCGATGACGGAAGTCGGGGTAAAGCTGAGGGACAGGAAGTGGGTAAGAGGGAACCAATACCAATACTGGCAGAAAACAGCCGCACCAACAATGCCGGGCATGTTGAGATTCCCGGTCTGTGTCTGCAGGCTGATGGTGCAGTTGCGGCCTCCAGCGTCGATGATTCCGAGAGCTACGGCACAACCAAACTTGGCCATAGCATCCTCGTGGCGGTCACCGAGCATCTTCATCATGGCCTTGCGGAGGCTGGTGACACGGGGGTTCATAGCCTCGTTTTGCTGAACGAGAACCATGGCCAACGAGATCAAAGCACCTTGACGAACGAAATCTGTTGAGTCCTTGAGCATGGGCTCCAAAAGGTCAATAGCCTCGTCGAGTCCAGTACCGGCACAAGAAATACCGAGAGCCATGGCGGCACCGTAGCGGACGTGTGGATTGTAGGATTCCGAGAGCAGCTCCACCATACGGGGAACACTCTGGTGCTTGCGGAACAGAATGAAGCCCAAGCTCAGTACTGCAACACGGCGAACATCATCATTGACATCGCTGACGGCGACGTGGAGAAGCTTACGAACGGCCTTGTTGCTGCTGCTACCACAGTAGGCCAAAGCGATTGTCATGATACCGCCATAGCGGAGAGTCGGGTCGGGGTCACCGAGGAGACCGTTGATCAGCTCATCGGCAGCCTCTTGGCGGCCGTACATGATCAAAGCCATACCCATGGCAAGACCACGGACGATCTTCTCGTGCTGGGTGTCATGGGCGTACTGAATCATGTCCTCCAAAGCCTTCATATTACCGGTGCCTAACATGACAAGACCCATTGCAAGACCGACAGCCTCGCCGTTGAGAGCCGAGTCAGTGTAGAGCACATTGCGGAGATCCACGTAGATATCCTCATCGCCAGTGGCCATACCAGCCACACCCAGACCCAGAGCACCACCGTGCTGCACCACCTCCTCGGTGGCCTTCTTGAAGTGATCGCGAATGAGATCAACAGCCATGCCACCGTGATTGGCGAAGATCAGGCCGTAAGCATACAGAGATCCACCCTGGCTGTAAACCGAGCCCGAGCCGCCCACCCCGGCAATGTGATCCTTGGGCAGATAGGGTTGTAGGAGCTTCTGTCCCTGGCTAAGGTTGCCACGGTGAATGACACCCAATGCAGCAGTAGCGGTGAACTTGGACCAGTTCACAGCCTTGCCAAGCCACTCCAGATTCTCGCGGAAAAACTTGTCATGTGTGGTTCCAGCGTGCATGAAAGCGTTGCACAAAGTGACGGCGGTGTGGAATATGGAATTGCGTGCCTCGAGACTGTCGCGTACCTTGTTCAAAATCGCCATATCGACCTGATTACTCCGGTAAAGGAACTCAAGATTCAGTTGAATGGATTTAATGCCATCCAGGATTGAGAGGATGTTCCTCAATGCGGCAGTCGACTCATCCTCCGCGCGATTTGAGCTTGATTGGTCCTCAAGCAACGCATCTGACTCCTTAGGCTCTTCTTGATCGGTTGTAGCGGTATCGCGCTCAGGCACAAGCTCGGAGATTTCCTCTCGGACCTTTTGGAGGAACTCCTGAGTGCTGTTATCGTAAAGGTCGAAAGAAATCTGGTATGCAACAGCGAGGGATCGCGGATCACCCTTCTCGACAAGTTGACGGAGAATGTTCGAGGCCATCGAGTGTTCATTAAGGTAGACAACGCATTTGGCGATAGAGAAATAGTCGGGTGAGGGAATCTCGTTAAGAAGCTCGAGGATCAGCTTAAGGATCTGTAGAGGCAAAGGTTAGTAGCCTTTCATAGCAAAGCGGCTAGCGGGTAGACAAACCTCAGTGCGGAAGCCTCGCTCTTGGACAATGCCCATGCAAATGTCCAGAACGTATTCCATGAGCTCCTCACTCCCGTGAGACTCACCCAATTGCTGCTTCTCGTCCGCACTGGCACGAAGAATGGCCAGACGGAGAACATCCAAACTCTTGGCCTCAATCGCGATACCGATCACTTGACGGTAACGTTTTTGACGGAAGCACTCTTCGAACAGTCGCTCAATCACTGCCTGTAGTTGACCCTGAACACCTCGCTTCAAAACAAGCGGAGTCTCGTTGTGTTGGACACTCTGGTCATCGCCGCCAGGGTGTGCAGCGTCGATGCCAGGAACCTCCTGTCGGGAAAGAAGGGACTTTGAAGGCAAAGCAGACTTGGAGAAAGGTGTGATGGGAGAGGTCAGGCTTGCTGATGTGCTGGTGGCGCCATCACCGGATGCTGAGAAGGAGGTGTTCAGATTGGCGGCCGGGTCACCAGCCGCAGGCCTCTGGGCGGCAGAGAGAGATATGAAAGTATCGACGCATTTCGCTGTAATGTAAAAAGGCCGCAATTAGCCAATTTCCCAAAAAAAAGTCATATCCAACGGGAGTTTTGCTCAACTCACCAATAATGGTCTCTTCATACTCGCCACCGTTGTCGAGCTGGAACAGCTTGCCGGCACCTAGAGCGAGGACCATGCTCTCATTATATTCCTGCAGGTGATAATATACCTTCGAGGCGACCAAAGCAGCCAGGCCGCGTTCCGGGAATGATTCATCTTCGTAAAGAGCCTCACTGGACAGATTTGGTTAGCAGTGTCCAATGAAACGGGGGTCCTTGGTAACAGCGATCGCGCCAGCGGTCGCCAACGACCCTTCCATCTGCCCTATCAACAAAAATAAGGTACTCACATCTCGGGAACCGCGTTCACAACTTCTGTCCAAAGTGTATCGATCTGAGAATCTAATGACTTCAAGGCAAAGACCTTGAGCTCGGGGTCGGGCTCTGAGAGGAAGCCGACAAGACCGGCGGCCGAAACAAGGCCGACCATCTTGTATGATCGAGACTGCTGGCGTCGAGACTGGTTCAATGAAGCTCAGACTCAAACGATGATGTTGTTGATGGGTGTCGAAGCAACGTCGAAGCAACGTCGACCGGAGGGAGCTTGGGGATCAACAGCGAGCGAACCCTGTGAAGGAAAACGGCGTGGAGGGATTCAAAGGCCCTAAATAGGTCGATGAACAGAAATAGAGTAAAAGATTAACAGGGAAAGACGAGATGACTTAGGGTACAAATGGAAGCTGGAAGCAGACAGCAGAAGCTTTGCTGGCGCGAGACCCGACAACGTCAACGGAGCTGACTGTGCTTGTCACGTGCCATGACGAGTACTTGCAGCTGTGTCAGGTCTTCAATTTACTTACACGTCGCTTGGTCTTTTTACTCCTCATATGCTTTATAGTGTCCATTTTTGAATGAGCCGAACCAAGGAAATGACCGAAGTACCAAGATTCATATTCCAAATCATCAGGTGAAATAGCTCCTCACGCGCAGAGTAACTGTACCTGCATAGGCGGCCAGCAAGGCGGTCAGTTATTGTCCGGCGTGAGGTCCGAGAGCGTCAGCTGGCGAAGCTCGTGGAGTCAGTCACGATACCGATCATGGCCTGCTAAAAAGCGGTCGTACCCGAGTCTCCGGTCGAACCTCTGTTCCGTCTTCCCGAGAGGGTCTGCTCTGCTATTTTTTCCGCCATGTCAACTCTTCTGCCCTCCAGAGATAAACGGCTATCGCCAACGCCGATGGGAGCTTCCACATACCACCACGATCCTCTTGTTCAAGTGGAGCGGCAATCCAAGCTCATCCAGAGTAATCTCCAGACCTTAATTGATGCGCAGAGCGAGCGCCTTCTCTCAGGCTTGGCCCGAGCCGAGCCAGACAACACTTCGGACGGTAGCTTCACACCTACCTCTTCCCAAGCTAGTCAAGCTCGGTCTTCCGCCAATAAAACCGCTAGAAAGTCCTCAACCAAGAAGATCGGGCTTCATGCAGCGCGGCAGGGTATTTTTCAGTCCATCTATGACCTACTGAAGTTGCGAGAGGAGGAACGGGAGATCCTCTCTGCTCAAACAGACGAACGAGACAGCGCACTTCAAGAACTTGAGAGTTTTACCTCACGACGAGATGGGTTGGAAGAGGCTATATCTACCATTCATACCGACCGGGAGAACCAGCGCGCTGAAGAATTGGAAGAAGAGGCTCACCACCTCGAGACTGACATTCATGAATTGGAGACCAGGCTGTATGAGATGAAAGCCAAGCATCGATACCTTGTTAGCGAGATTTCAAATGTGAAAAACTCGGTTGACGCTAAACTATCCTCCTATAATGAGTCCATGTCCCTCCTCGAGTCCAACATCCGCAACTACCTTCGCAATCCACCTGTTCAGCCCCTCTCGCGTACAATCAACTCCAGCTTCTACTCCTTGAACCCCGAGCGTCGAACCCTCGAAATAGCCCAAGACAACTGGAGATTAGAACAGGAAGATTTACACAGGAGACAGCAAGAAGTGGATGCAGAGATTCTGGCCCTCGAGGAAGGCGGTGGGGTCTGGAAACAAGCCATGGCTGACATCTCTGGCTTTGAGGAACGCCTTCGCGCCAATATGCGGCACTACATTGAATTACAGGAGCAAGCGGCCGATCCGAATCATCGACAGGCTAAGGATACAACGGAAGAAGTGGCTGCCAACCTTGCGGAGGATCTGGATAAGACCACACAGCGCTTGGATGCGCATTTGGAGCACGCGGAGGATAGAAATTGGAATCTTTTAATTTGCTGTATTGCAGCCGAATTAGAAGCGCTGCGAGAAGCGCGCAAGCTGCTTCTTCCAGCCTTTGACTTGCCTGTACTGGGCGACGAGGCTCCATCTGGCCAGTCGCCGTCACCGACACGCGCGGGTGACGATGAACTTTCGCAAGAAGATCAAGACCAGCTTGAGAATGATGACCCAGAGCCGCCGGCCGATCTTTTGAGGGATGATCATCACACAGACACGTCCAGATCGGAGGATGATGAGCCTGACCCTGCATGGCTACTCCCTGAATCTTGATAGCACTAGAAGTTATTTCAATGAATAGCATTGACAACTAGCCTGAACAAGAGATTTGTATCGTCATTGAATGATTACGTCGAATAGTTCAAAATAAAGAGCGTGTCGATATTTGCTGATAGTGTAAAGCAGTTCTCGGTTGCGGCGCGGTCCATCCAACCTTCCAATTTCAAGGCCGAAACACCCATATCTCCAAAACATTATGAACTGAACGCGTTTTAACTTGGTATGATGTTTTGATCCAATCAACCTCGACCATGAACAAAACAGGTCCGACTTTTTCGTTCAGTATCGGTTCAGTCCACGATGGCTGCAATCTCCAGTGTCGCCTCTACCTCCCTGGTTGGGTCAGGAATATAGAATCGGCACCAGCTTGGTCAGTCCGCGGTGCCATTCTGGCCCATCCCTATACAGCACTCGGTGGGACCTACGACGACGAGGTGATCAGTTTCCTCGGCGGTGAACTTCTACATGAAGGCTACATCGTGGGCACATTCAACTTTCGGTATCCATTTCCCTAAAACCACCGGATTGAAGTCGGCTAACATGGACCCTCAGCGGCTCGGCACCATCTGAGGGCCGATCCAGCTGGACTGGACGACCCGAACTCGGAGACTATGCAGCATTCTACGGTTTCATGCTCCAATACTTGCATCGAGTCAACGATGGGCTACAGAAAATTCTCAGCGACCCGGAACACCTGCCTTCACCCGTAGCATCCGCAGACCGGAATGTCCATCTCATTCTTGGGGGATATTCCTTCGGATCACTGATCGCATCGCATGCCCCAACCCTTGATGTCATGATAGACCTATTCCGCCCCGGCACAGCAACTCCGGGCACACCGATCTACGAGATTGGGCGCAAAGCAAGGAAGATCGCAGCGACAACGATCCGGGACCTAGCGCCAGCAAATCCGGAGTCACAGTCATACCCCGAGCAGCCCGACCGGATCGAGCTCAGTGCGGAGACGAGTATTTCCTATCTGCTCGTGTCACCTCTACGACCACCAGTGAGCAATCTCCTGACTGGGTTTCGAGGCCTATCGCTGAACGTGGGGGGAACGTCAGCTCCTCAGGCCCGACCCGCTGGGCGTCCAGCCGACCAGCTGAGTGCTCACCGGACACTGGCGCTATATGGGGATCGGGATGAGTTCACCTCCGTGCGTAAACTGCAGAACTGGTCAGCCGAGTTGGGCCGCGTCCCGCAGAGTCGTTTCCAAAGCGGCTTGATCGAGGGAGCGGGGCATTTTTGGCGAGAGCCAGGCGTCGAGTTGAAAGCGAGACGTGTTCTCCGTGAATGGCTTCGGCCGAGTCTTTGACCTGGGGACTTGTGAACCGTCACTTTAACCTGAATGCCCGTCTACAAATTGTGTGGTTTCAGACCCTTTCTTGTGCGCTGTGCTGGTATTAGAGTAAGCCGTGCGCACTCACATGCGTCGCATACGATGCATGTGAAAGACGCCAGGGACCGGAGGTGAGATCATACGGGATAAACCCTGTGTAGGATCGATAAACCTGTTGCATAGTTTACATAGAGCTGTTTCGGGTTTCTTACTGGCTCTCAATTCCAGCCTAGTTCATTAACTTCTTAACTTCTTACTCCCCATAATCGACTGTTAGTGGAAACCGGGGAAGTTGGGGTCATCGGGTAGTGATCCTCGTGACGTTTTCCCGACCGCTTCTTTCATTTCTCTGCTACTTATCAACTTCGCCTGCACAATCTGCCTATATATCTGAGAACTTTAACTTCAAGGGACAGATGCGCCCCGGCTGGATGGCTCGCTCCCCATGCACAGGCCTGTTATGTCGTTGGACTCCACAATAGTCCATTGCCGTGACGAACCCCTTCAGAAGGTTCCCAAGGCTCCACCGCGATCCCTGCGCAAATCCATTTCAATCCCCGCCGTCTCGACACTAGTCAAAGAGTCATGGAATTGGGCCGGCGATACCCTCAATAACTACCGCGATGGCCTTTCCGCCGAACAGCGGAGGCACCGGGCCGAAATCGAGACCCGCAAACAAGTCCTTTACATGAAGATCAAAAATGTGAGTACCTACCAACCGGTACCTGGCAGGCGGCCGCATCTGCAGAGCTACCCTTCTAACCATGACCGTGGGCTGCAGGCTGTGTCTTACGAGGAATGGCGGAGCTGCGCCGAGGAGTTGGACGTGTTGGAACACAACAACGCCTGGAAGCAGGAACCTGAGTGCGACGAGTACTATCCGCGACTTGTCCAGGAGCGCTTGCGACAACTGGAGGAGGCGCGCATCAGTTGCGACGTGAGTCGTATGCTTTTTCTCGTACGCACCGCTTTGAGCCGCGACCTCGGCAAGATGAGCAACGCATCGCTATACCGTCACTCGCATATTGGGACGAAGGACCTGATCGAACAGTACATAGCCACGGCCCTCCACACAATCAAGGCGTTGGTGGAAATGTCGGATAATCGCTGTGACGGGTTGGAGCTGAAATACATTCTGGATCAGCTGTTGGCAGCTCGTCAGGCATTTGGCCGGAGTGCGCTGCTGTTTTCAGGAGGCGCAACTTTCGGCATGAACCATATTGGTGTTTTGAAAGCTCTTTACGAACAGAATCTTATCCCACGCATCATCTCTGGAGCGTCAGCAGGGAGCATAGTGTGCGCCGTGTTCTGCACTTGCCCAGACGATGACTTACCAGGGCTTTTGGATACATACGTCCATGATGGGGATTTTGCGGTATTCAACAAGCATGGCCAGGAGGAGAACATCTTTCAGAAGACAGCGCGTTTCTTGAAACACGGATCGTTCCTGGATATCTCCCACTTGGCAAACACAATGCGCGGCTGGTTGGGCGATATGACGTTCCAAGAGGCTTATAATCGGACTCGACGGATCTTAAATATTTGCGTGTCGAGCGCCGGCATGTACGAACTCCCACGACTGCTTAACTATATCTCAGCTCCCAATGTGTTGATTTGGTCTGCTGTGTAAGTATTTGACCCCTTTCCATCTAAGGGGTTTCATACTAATGAGTTGCAGGGCCGTGTCGTGCTCGGTGCCCTTGGTTTTTAAGCCCTTCACATTGATGGCGAAAGACCCCAAGACAGGAGAGGCGATACCTTGGAATGACCTCCATAGGCAATATATTGACGGCTCAGTTGATGGGGATCTCCCGATGACACGTTTATCCGAGATGTTTAACGTCAATCATTTCATTGTCTCGCAGGTCAACCCTCACGTGGTTCCATTCCTGCCAAAGGAAGATGGTCCAATAAATCCCGCCGAGCACCGATCATTTTCCGTTCCCGCCTGGGTCAATACCATGACGCATCTTGCGAAAGATGAGATACTTCATCGAATGACTGTCCTATCAGAAATGGGGGTGTTCCCGACCTCGATGACCAAGGCTGCTTCGATCATGAATCAGAAATACAGCGGCGACATCAACATTTACCCCGAACTCAGCTCCTCGAATTTCCCACGAATCTTGGAGAATCCGACTAAAGAATTTATGCTTGAAGCATGTCTCAGCGGCGAACGGGCAACATGGCCCCGATTGAGCCGAATCCACAACGCTTGTGCCATCGAGCTGGCACTCGACAGAGCTATTCAACAGATGCGAGCTCGTGTGGCCTTCAGTCCAGGCCCACTTACTTTGCGCGTGCACGACTCTATGAATCACTCTCTTCATTCAACAGAAGGTATGGGACGAGGACGGATTCAAAGGAGGGGCTCCTATAGTCACGAGCTTGTTCGAAGACGATCCAGAGGGCACTCCCAAAGTCAGCCCCTGCAAGAATTGCGCAAGGCACGCAGCACCGTCTCTCTCGAACACCCCCCCCTTGATATTCCCTGATACAATCTCCGCACCTCGGGTCAAGGCCCATCATCGACGATCTTCAATATCTTTCGGCGGAGCATTTACAACCGGGTCAGGCAGCGACGACGAAGAAGATAATGAGCTAACCTACACCATCCGCCCCGGACCACCATATCACCGGGCATCATGGGAGGCTTCATCGTACGGGGCAGAGTCAACCCACGGAATTCTGCATAGTCCCGTCCGATCGCGGCGATCGTCATTCTCCACACACTCACCGCGGTCCGCATCAAGCCGACGAGCATCCCCCAAACAGGTGTATGCCCCTTCGGCTCGGGAGATCTCCATGGCTCTCTCACCTTCGTCGCGCCACCTGCTCAGCATGACGCCGTCAGTACATCTGAGCTCTCATGACATCGTCGCGCGAAAAACGCGCCATTGAGAGCAATCGCTTCATTCCGTTATATTCCAGGTATACAGCTTCGAAGTTGACAGTGCTTCAAGCCGTCCCTTTCTATCGTTCGACACAGGCTAAATGACCTATCCTAAGTCCGATGCGGGCCACTGGACAGGAGAGATCCGTGCGAGATCACTTGTATCCATCTAATCTCCGACTACGTTTGATCTAATCTTTATCACCAGTACTCCGTCCTCCGTACAGCGATCGCCATGGATTATTTATTCTCTTTGATTCCTCTACTTTGTCTAGACGGGTTTCAGGTTGCATTTCTGGGGGTTTTTTTCTCTTGCAGATGCTGTAGAACAGTCCAGACCTGCCATTCGGGTGATGCGCTTGGCAGTCTCCATGAAGGGATTTAGGTCTGGTCCTTTATATAGCAAGTGAACGGGCTGCATGGGTGACAGGGAGACGTCACCAGGCTTTCAGGTTTTCTAGATATTTTCAGTCAGATCACCTGAGCTCGACAGATCCAATTTCAGTCATAAATAAGAGATTCCGCCGTGGGCGCACTAGACCTTTTACTTGTACGCAGAAGGCCATGCGGGATACCTTGTCTTGGAGCAACGGATGCATCGGAGGCTGGCCCACGGTGTGAGCCTTGGAAACGGTGGTGTCCACCCGGTGGAGATGCGGCAATCCATGAAGAGTAATCATCGGCATTCGAAAATGAGACTTACCCTGCACTGGGCTCTTCCACTGACCTTGGAAATATGAAGATACCAACCCAATTCAATTCAGGAGAAACCCGAAGTAACAGAGGTCATCTTTTAGGGAAGCTTCATGATCCATCCAGTGCGGCAAGACAGGGCTGTGTAATTTTGAAACAGCCTAGTCCATTGAGCAGAGCAAGATTGAGGCAACAAAGGGCACAGCCTTTTCAGCCGTGACCTGTCAAGAAGCCATTAGCTAAGGGTAGATCAAGCCGTACTTTGTACGGATCTTGAACCGAGCCTAGGACATCTTTACCTATCCAATGCACACCAGCGCTTCACATCAACCAATTGACATTTTCAGCTGCCTGCCGCGACAGTGCATCGTACCTGGTGCAGCGAGTCTTTTTGATTCTTCGTGACTTACTTGAGACGCAAGAAAGAATCAGACATCATCCTGCGCTGGTCACCACGGCAGTTTGCTGTTCAAGGGAGGTTGATCTGCAGATCCCCTCAATATTGAAGTTTTGGATCCACCAGGCAAATCGTTCAAGGCTGACGATGCTTCGTCGAGAACCCTTTCAGGCTTTGAAACCCAAGGGTTCCCCTCCCGTTGAAACCATCTGGCCCTCATGAATAGTCTCCACATGGAAACCTAGAGGTAAGTCCACACGTGCGAAAGGCTCTCCCGAACCGTGCTCCTCGGAGATCAACCTCACCCGTTTTGTCCCATTTGACAGAACAGAAGGATTTCAGCCAACTTCCGAGTTCCACATGTCGATCCGTCCCGGACAATTGGCTCATTCATATCAATCAGTGGGAACCCTTTCCTTCCTTTCCACGTTGCTCTTTGCCCAATCCACAATTCTTTCATTCGGTTGCCCCCTGATACACAGACGGTATCAGAGCCATTCCCATCTTTAAGTAAAGCAATCATCCGGAGAAAATCATTTAGTGACTGGGAAAAGGACCTGAAATTTCGAAACAAACGGTGAAACAGACGGTGGACGGTGGACGGTGAACCTGACATGGTCCCATTCTCAAAGATCAGTCGAACGACATCAGGCGCAGCCTTGCGCAAAAACCGTGCTTGGAATATCAGACCAGGCTCTGGTCCTCCAAAATTAAGCACTTCGGTGATACTTCCTACTCTCGGTCCAGGCCCGTCTGGGCTTGATCCTGGGAAATGGTGCCCTAAAGGGCAAGTGGCCCTAACCATCCGAATAACGGGGCAATATGATACGATCAGACCACCCCGGCACTTGATATACACGGAACATGATCGTCGTGTTATTGTCTGGATCCCTTCTCTCCCCCGTTAAAGCGGGTCAAGCGAACGTCGATACTTGCCTTCTTTGATCACAGGCCGCTTCTTGGGCTGCTCTCTGCTCGTTTGGCCGGTGGATAGCTAGTATCTATCTTGTCGTGGGAATTCTCTTAACCCCCAGACCAGAAAGACCAAAACTTGTGGCACCGTCTCTTGCCCCTTGTTCCTGGGAGGGACCCTTCACGCTAACGCAAAATTAGACCATTTCGTACTCTTCGATCCATCAGATACAAATGATCGACAATTCGTAGCTGTAAGGACTGACCCGTGGATTACTCGGCCCAGATATTAGCGACAAATTGTTGAGATCATTACCCGATCAAATATCTCAATATCGAAGGTCTCCATCAGGTTTAAGGACTCAGCAATCAGTTCTGTACTTAGCCTTCCCCAGTCCTATAAAGACATCCACGATTGCCAGAAGAATAAGATCTTTCCTTCTACATCACTACTACATATAAACGGTGTTGGGATCGATTCGAACACTCTTTATCTTCAACCTTTTGAATTTCTTGACCTATTCCTTTCACAATGAAGTACACCGGTATCGCTGCTATGGGCTTGATGGGCTCTGCCCTCGCCCTGCCCAAGGCTCCTCCTCCTCCTGGTGGCCTTGTTCCTTCCTGTGCACCCACGCCTCTTGGTGTGCCGTCCGGCTTCCCATCCGGCTTCCCATCCGGCTTCCCAGTCGGCCCCAGCGGCTTTGAGAAGCGCCAACTGCCTATCCCGTCCAGCATCATCTCTGAGATCGAGTCTGCTTTCCCTATCCCCACTGGCTTCCCTACTGGCTTCCCTACTGGCTTCCCCACTGGTCTTCCGTTCGAGAAGCGCCAGTTCCCTGAGCCTTCAGACATCATCTCTGAGATCGAATCCGCCTTTCCTATCCCCACTGGCTTCCCGACTGGCCTACCTACTGGTCTTCCTTTCGGGAAGCGCGAGATTTCCAAGCCCTCTGGCTTCTCCAGTGGCCCTGCTCCTTCGGGCCCCGTCCCTTCTGGCTTCCCTCCGATCCCCAGGGTTTAAACGAGTCGAATTCGTGCGCATAAGGCGCGAACGGACCAAATTGGACTGAAATTGGACTGGCTCCTCAGGTCTCAGTTGAACTTGAATAATGAGGTGGTCGAAATGATCCATAGACGTGCTGTGCAGAGCTGTTCTGAAGTAAGTGTATTTGATCAGAACGAGGTTTGGATGGTTGGATGTTTACTTGGACTTGGACTTGGACTTGGACTTGGTCTGGACTTGATTGTCTCGGGATTTGTATGTATGACTTATGCCTGACGTGTACAGCTGGTTTTGGATGTTTCAATGTCTAAATGGATACGCCTCTGGTACACGTGGGCTCCTTGCTTCGATTGTCTTGACTTTTGTATTTTTTGTTACAGGGATAAACACACTCTTTTACTTCCCATCGCATCTCGTATATGAATTTCTTTGATACAGACTTCTTCATCAATATGGAAAGTTGAATGCTAGAACGCTGCTCTTGAGAATTATGCAGAATGACGTAGACAGGGTCTGGTCCCTACAATCTTTGCAGAGTCTCCGTCCAAATTAGCACAACCAGTGACTTATCGATATCCGCAAAAATTTGAATTACCGTGCAGCCGAATCCCACCCAGTCTTAAATGACTAAGACACACAAGGCAGCCTTTTCCAACTGGCCGGATCCCACAGGAAGCTATATGACCTGGCCATGTTTAGTGCAGCGATTGTTGGATGATGACTATCGATGACGACACGGGTTACGATTTGATAACAACTCAGAGTGAAAGAGTTTGGGTATGCTCCAGAAGTGAACATGCTTGATACGTGTGTACAGCGTCATGGGGGGGATTGGGGTGTGTCTCTGAAGGTGATCCTCGGCGACAGCGAAGGTGAGGTCGTTATGGATCGATGCTTAGAAGAGCAATAAAGGTTGCTAGCGCCAACACAAATGACAGGGACCTTCTATGAATCTGCTAGATGGGTACAACAGTGCTTGTAGATACGTGTGAAAATTGTGGATTGAAGCTGAAGACTATCAGGCTCCGAACTATCCATCCCATAAGATAGTAATACAAAAGCACAGACGGATACATTTACTGTACGATCCCATCATTAGGTATGAGTATTGCATTGTGGACCAAAATGTGGCGTGAAATGAACGGAATATTGGGGACTAAGAGCAAGTACACCCATCACCACAAATAGACATGAGTTCATTGTTGGACCCCGTGCTCCCCGCATGAGTGATCTGACCTGGTCATCAATGAGCTAATGCAGACAGGTACCTGGACCCTGCATCCTTTTTTGCTACAGTGGCGGGGCATGACCAACGGCATCGCGACAGGTCCGGGTCTAATCCAGATCTAGCGGCGGCCTCGGTGGCTTCCCTGATCGATGATGTCAATAACGTTGAATTTCGGTTCCCAATTGATCTCGGGGGTACAGAATATAAAAAACATCGTGTCCTTGGATTTTTCTTTTCTTGCAGTATACGCACATCCTTGAAATTTGCCAATATGAAACGCCCGCAAAGACTTGTCCCAATTCGCCCTGCTCTATGCTCTTCTGATTTCCGCTCAACAGCTAGCATGTTCATGAAAGCAGTGATCCTGAAACTCATTCTTTCGACACTCTCCTCCCCAGATCAGGTCTGCTTTGCGTTGAGTTGCAAAGTAACGCTTGTCTGGTTCCAAATATTCCTTGCGCTGCGAGGGAAGACACTTCGCGAAGTACTGGCGCGCGAGCAACGGAAGGTACTACGCCAAGAATCAGAGCTGCTGAGGGCAGATTTTCTCCGCCGACTTGAAAATAAACGGTGGAAATATTGCGCTCATTGCTCAAGTCTTCATCGATACTCTGCATGGCGATCTCTCAAATACACTTGGAGACTTAAGCTGAAGCTGTTTTCTCCGAGCAGTCACGCGCTTAGTGCTCAGAAATGTTACATGCCGTACGTTGGTGACGTTGATATCTGCCCTTGCCGAAGTATCAACTTTAACGAGAAGCTGCATCTGATCGAATTAATTCAATACGCTCGTAAACCGGGTGCGAAGGCTTTCCTTGAATCTAAATTTGGTTCTTCCGTCAGGTTTAAATACAAGGCAGATTTCGGCTGTCCGGATCTTTGCGCTGCTTCCGGGCATGACTGTACCATTGAAGGTCATCCTATTGCACGGGTTGAGAGCAAAACAAAGTTCTGGCTTGCTGCAGATCAAAGCTTACGCGTATATACTCGCTTTTTGATTGATTTTTCGAAAGCGAGTGGCTCAGAAATAATTCGATACATGGGAAAGCACGATATATGCTTACACGATGACCCTAAGAGATGGCTGGAAAGGTTTCTCTCCCAAGCTGGGTTGAAATTTTTTGGTGGAGAAATGAATCGCGATCCTGTTCAACACGTCGGCTGGGAAGAGCCGGGTGGAGCATCAGTCGCAATCACATTGCATCGAAACTTGGGAAATAGTGAGTGGCCCAACAAGAGCTGGACTCGCAACCGTCGCAGATAGCTTGTTGCTCCTGCGCCAAGCGCTGCTTTGGATCTGTTGGAGCTTTTTGAATGAAAATCACGAGGGCTAAATTGCAAAGAACTGTGGATTGCTCCTTGCTTCGAAGTTGTATTGTTCAGAAAATTGTAACGCATTATTGGAGAAGCTAGAATTCATATGCAAAAATTGTGGGGAGTCTCTTCTCGCTTAGGGAAGTAATCTTCTCGCTTCCGAAGGTCTAATCAGATTTCATAGCGAATGAGTCTTTAGTTCCAAGAAAGAACACAATGATATATTAGCACTGGTACGGTGAACCCGCAGGAAGACCCGCGTCTGCCTGTCTGTCCGTAAACAGGTCGGCCACCGAGGCGGTCAGACTTTGCGACAGGCGAACATATAGATTTATGTGTCTGCGTTTTCTAAATACGAGGCGAAGTCCAATATATAACAAAAAGTTGGATCATCTGGTGCGCCGTCCACTTTGCAGTCAGCAATTCCCCACTCTACAGTGTTGGGGTTCTTGGCGGTGTACGTTCAGCAGAACGCACGATGCTCACTTGAGGCCTTGTATCACAAAGGTCTCACATCGTCAACGTTGGATGATGGGTTCAGAAAGTCTGTCTGCTTCTTGAGCTTGAGGGAGCAGTGTGGTAAGCACACTGCCCTAACTGCAAGAATGGTTTTATTATGAGGGTAGGTGCTAGTCACTCAGCAGTGCCGGGCGAAAAGAACGGATGGAGTCCTCGCCATCCTCCCATCTTCATGTCCTTGCTGTATTACTCGCTGTCTTTTCATCTTTCTGGTTTGTAATCAGTGATCCTTGATAGCGCACTTATCCTGCTCCACGCTGCCGGTCCTTCCGGGCTCGCTCTGTGCTTGAAGGCATTCGTGCAAAGCCGTGCTCAACTACCGAGTGGGAATAATTAGAGTCACACTAGCGAGGAAGAACCTCATGGTTGTCGTAAACCAGGTTTTTCTTGCAGAGAACCAATTCGGGGCCGGTCTTGATACCCTTCATCTGTTAGGAGACGAGGAAGCCGTGTAAAAATTGTAACCGGGCCGGTTGGTAAGGCTGCGCTCTTCGGTAAGCGCTTTGCAGTCCTCCTTACATTGCTTGAATTGGGCGATCAGTTCGTACGCTTCGCTATGGTTGCCGGAACCGAGGGTCACTTCGTCCACCAGTTCGTTGCGTACAATACAGAAACTGGTGCTGCTGGCTCGTCCCTGCAAACGGCGAGGCCGCTGGGGTAGATTGTTTCGAGAGGGAGACAGAGGAACTGATCAAGAAACCGACTGCGTTCCTTTGAACTGAACGGTACTCATCGCTCGTAGCCAAAAACCACTCAAGGTATTGGCAAGACTTGGGGATGTCCCCAACACACTATAGCGGATATGGGCGAGGTGAGCTCTCATCATGTCTTGACTGCCTCACTGCTGCTCGGGCGGGTTCTGCTGGGAATCTTGCTACAAAAGGAAAAGCGAATACCCTCTTTTCCAGTTCCTTGATGAAGGTAGCACGACACACATTACTAGCTACGGTCTCAGTAAAGAAACTCAACTGCAAGCGAACATTGACAGGAATGTGTAGGCACTTGGAAGCATCATGTTTGGAAAGATGGATTGATAATAAACGTTCATTTGAGCTCATCTTGGTTTCGCCTGAAAGCTACTCATCACCGACCCTGCGTAGAAGGGTGAGCTCGTCGTCGGTGTTCTACCTACCTATCTACAATATGTACACAAAGCAAAACGCCCAAAGCAAAACGCCCAAAGCAAAACGCCCAAAGCAAAACGCCCAAAGCAAAACGCCCAAATCCAATATCAGAATAACCAAAGCCCCAAAGCCCATATACCAGACACAAAACACAAAACACGAGCCACAGGACACAAGACACAGGAAATTGGACAACACAGAACAAAAGACACACAATACCTCACCTCGTGAGCACTTGCTCCATCTTCGGCATATCGACGCCCTGCGGGCCCAGCGGATCCAATGTTGGAGGTGATGCCGATGCAAACGGCGCTACCGACTCAATCGCTGAAGTCGATTTGCACGGCGCAGTCGATTCTGATCCCATCGCTGGAGTCGATTCACGGGGCGAGGTCGATACTGGCTCAAATGCTGGAGTCAATCCCGGCGGCGGGTTCAATCCACACGGCGAGGTGGATCTAGTCGGCTGGGTGGATCCTTGTGGCGGGCCCATTTCCAATGTAGCCGCACTATCGTCGGGTGTGTTCCATGGCCAAAACTTCTTACCTCTGTACCATTTGTACGTAGCGCGAGATGCCCTATATAGGGCAATAAAAGTACCAAGAGAGCTTACGACGAGCGAGATAATATGCGGAACCGACCAAATTGTTAGTAGTCAGTAGAAAAAGCAGTTAGTATAGTCAAATGTTGGGGGAACAGGGCAATACTCACTGGGAAGAGAAATACAAAGAGGAAGAGAGGATTCACAGGATAGAAGTGTTGGTAAACATGCCAAAGTTTGGGTCCGATCTTACTTAGGAAGTAATGGCCAACTACTCGTTAATTTAGCAGGCGCCCTGCAACATCAGTCGTCATAGTAGTAGTTGCAGTGATGGCTAAGAGCAATGAAGGAAGGTTACAGGGAGGTTTGACCGTCGTGCCTGCTTGCGTCCTGACATTGTGAACGGCAATTCTCAGGTCAGATGTAGGCCCGCGTATAAAATGGTTTAATAATGATTGTCCGAGTCAAATAATCGAAGGCGACGACTCGGATGACCTGGTCCCCGTTCCTTCAGCAGCTTATTTCTCCCATCCACGCCAAGTAGACAAGCCTTCTTGTCTGGTAATGAGAACCGTGGTGCCTAGTGCCTTCAAGAACGATACCAAATCCAGGTCTAGCGCGGTGACCGGAGATTCTCTCCAAGGTTTGAATTAAGCCATGATAACCGATCTGGTCGTATTCAACGCTGGGCCGTATTTATTTTTGGCGTGTGCCGCATGGACATGTTTTGTCTTGCGGCCCAGGGTGTTTGAGGCGGGTTAAATAGGTGGGTTGTTGCCGCTGATTCTCAAATAATTTCTGATTCTTCTGGGTGAGTGTGGCTACTTCTACTTTCAAGTAATTGTTCTTGATATCATTCAGACGTGGAGAATTGAAGGTCTTCTGCTTCGATATCTCTGATCAAAAGAAAGGTGATATAAGCATTCATTGTTTAGAAAGATGGGGGCATGTTTAAGCGCACCCTTCAGGAGATATCAAACAGAAACAACGCCTCTCATGATGTGAGCAACGCATCCACTCATTACTATACCAGCATTGCACCTATGCTCGGGTATAAAGGCACATAGCTAATCACCGTCCAGCTTCAGAATAAGAATAAGTTGATTCGAAAGGATAAGTTGTACTCAGCGGAGAGCCCTGTTACAGTGCATGCTTTTGATCAGGCGGATACCCATGTCGGGCCTCTCCATATACATTGATCTCGGGCTGCCACGTCTCAGGCAACGGCGCCTCACTGATTCCATGCTGGAAGCCAGTCTTGGCTTGTGAGTGGTCATACCCATACCCAACCTCACGCGCATGTCCATCGTTATCAACAAAACCGAAGCCCAGCCCATGCCCATACGCCGCTGCTCCAGCCGCCTGGTCATGATCCGAGTACGCGGGCTGACCTGCCCAGCCCCAACCACCTTGGTTATGCGGTGAGCCGCTGGCGGGATTGTTCCATCGCTCATAAAGATGGCTCTGGTATCGGTTTCGGCGGACGCGCTTGCGACGGTACCGGATGAAAAAGAAGCAGCATGTGGCTAGGACGATGAGGATGATGATGAAGCCTAGAACTGGAAGGGCGATCACCAAGCCCAGATTAACACCACCTGAGGAGGCGGTGGCTGTGGAGAGGGACATGGAGGAAGGCAGGAGGACTTCGGTGAAGATTCGAGAAGGGGAGATGTCGAATGGGGAGCCGATTGTTGCGCTGTAGTGGCAGTTGTAGCGGATGGATTCGAGGACTTGGGGTCAGGTTAGTGGATGCTTTTCCTTTCGGGGGTTTCTTGCGGGCTTCGTTTGGGATGGAGGGTTTCACATACAATTTGCGAGGTATACCTGCCCGCCAGTTGTACCGGGATTCACGGCTTCGGAGGTCAGGTTATAGCAGAATTCGCAGGTGTTGATGATGTTATCGGCAAAGGCGGTACTCTTGCACCAGTCTTGGAAATTGTCTGCGGTAGGATCTAACAGGTTGATTTCCACGGCGGGCTCGATCCCCGCGCATGCGACTGGGCATTGCGAGGTCTGATTTGTGACCACTGCGGGATACCCGAAGACACACGTTGTGAAAGCGAAGCGGAGGTTATCTGCAGCGGGCTGATTAGCGACACTACTACCGATGCGTTATAGGCTGTTGACCTACAGAGACCCCAGTTGACATCGGATTCACCCGATAGGCGATCGACATAGGTGCTTTCCAACTCGCACTTGATGCAGTCTTCGAAATCGCGACCTTTGGTCTGGTCGTATTGCGAGTCTAGACAGACGATCTCGGAGGCGGTGGTGTTTGATGATGACCCCCCCCAGTTTAATGCACTGTTCTGAACAGGGAGAGCCCGATGTAGTTCTTAGGCCCTGGACACCGAGGGGGCTACTTAACAGGGCCGTAAGGGCAATCGCTAGCATTTTCGCGGGCTGCGGACCTCGGTGCGACAGCCCAAGCATGTTGAACAAGAGCAATATCGGGTCCTTGAGTAATTGCCAGACAAGGAAGAACGTATAGGTCTAGCGCCGGGAGGGGCGATCAAGGTAACATGGAAATATTGTTTCAGGGAAAAGCAGCGACGGTCAGGAGGGAAAGCTTCTGTTTTCACTGTCCGGTCCTGTTTCGAAGCGACCGGGTGGGATGATCGAGTGGAAGAATCCGTCTTCCAAGAAGAAAGAAAATGAGGCACCAAGAGGTGCAACCTGCAGTGTGCAAACTAGCGCTGCAGCATGGGAAGGAACTCGAATCAAGCACACCCCTCTCCAGGGTACCAGCTCGGCGCTAAGAGCTCAACGAGTACAGGTCAAAGGTTGGCCGAGAACGCAGGATAGGCCCGCCATTCCAGGCCAAGTGGATCTCTAGGGCCGTGACGAGAGTGAGGAAGGCACCGGGGTGATTGGTGATAGGCGGCTGTGACTGTGACACGGTCTGCATAGTTTGCTGCACGGACCGGCAGGAGTTCGTGCCTCCACCGGAACTGCGAATCACATTGATATGGAAGAGGCTTAGTTCCAGACGGATCCCCGACTGCTGGATTAGAAGTAGAAGTCATGACAGGAGCTTGAAGCCATACACGTAGACGTTGATGGGGGCGGAACATCCGAATCAGTAGTGGAGAAGTGCTCCGCTTAGCCAAGACCACTCTAAGAACGGATAGGAATAATTGATTTGAAATAAAATTCGTGGTGTTTAGGAAAGATCTGCAAAAAAGCCGCCAAATTTCCGGGGGGGAGGTAAGAGTATAGTAAATGGATCCGGTAGAATTATGAGTTCCAACACCTGGGGCGTAACCAACTACAGGCCCCTTGAGCAACAAACAAGACCACCCAAATTGACAACTTCTAGAGCACAAAGGAAACAAAAGGTAGGATATCGAAGACTTCATCCATAGAGATCATCGTAGGATGGCACCATCTCATGGCGAACCGCAAACGCAGGCTCGGGCTCCCGGGCCCGCGAGCGGGGAGTAGGTCGCTTTTCCAGTGGTGCTGGATGCATGTTATTGAACGCATATCGCGGCGTGCCTGGCGGAAGTGAGGGTGCCGAAACAGAAGAGGCAGCCGTCAAGCTCGTATGTCTCGAACTGGTCGTTCCAGCGACCGAGAGCGTGGGTTCGGTTGTCGAGCTTTGCATGCTGACTCGACGCATACGTGAAGTTACTGACAATGGAGGGGATCTTGAAGAGTGACCCATGTATGAGTCGAGTTGAGGCGATGGGCGTGCGATCTCTGTGCAACGTAGCGAGCCTCCTGGGTCGTCGAATGTGTCTCTTTCTTCGTCATCTTCGTCGCATGACTCCTCATTCGAGCTAGCTGGTGTTTGTTGTAGTTCTTCTCGCGGATCATCAATGCCCAAGCCTCGTACGTGTGGACTGCAGCTTCGCTGTGGGCGATGTCGGATGTTTTCGTCGAAGTAACCCTTTGGAATTGGCAGACCGGCGACCGTGTCGCGCATGTCGATGCTGTGAGGACCAAGTTCGTTTGGATGGCTGTCGCTTTGTGTCGGTCCATTATTCATCGGCACATAGCTCCGCGACTCATCTGGAAAATTATGAGGGTATGCACCCGTTGGAGGAGTGACCGCGAACCCGGATTGATCTTTTTGAGTCCATGAGCCCTCATTGGGATAACTGATGGCCGGGTCGCCCCAGCGAGAATGCATTGTGGACGAAAGCCTTCGCTTCCTTTTGAACCGTTTCACGAGGCTCGACATTGCCTTGAGCGGGTTGACCATTTAAATGAGCGTAGAGTGGATACGCTTCTGGATTTAAAGAGCAACGGTCTCAGCGGGAGGACGGTCCACTCCCGAATGCGGTGCGCATCTCAAGACCGATCAATCTTTCCCCCCAGGGAAACGTGGAGTCAAGCTGGAGAAAATGACAGATCTGCTTCTGAGCCAAGTTGGAAGGGCAGCGCAGGCAACTTCACCCGCATGGGCTGGACTTATATCAAAGAGAGAGGAGTCCGTGAAAAAACCGCTAGTCACCGCATGTCTGTTAGGTTCTGACCCGGTAGGAAGATCTTCTGAAGAGATACTTGACGAGTTGGTGTTGGGAAATGAGCGAATGCCCAGTCTCCGATGAGGAAAGTGGAAGTTGGGAACCCGATACTATGGTTCAAACCCTCTGGCGGTGGCACCTGGGGCGCCACTTGGGACGACGATGTCGAATCCGGCGCAACAGCAGCGCTTCAGGAGAAGTGATGGACGAACTGAAAATGAGACAAGTGGCCGGGCGAAGGAGACTAGCGGGTCGTAGTCGCGTTGGAGTGAGATAGCTCCGAGGACTGCATGTGTTGGTGCGGCAGCGCAGTTGCAGGATAAGAGGGGTAAGAGAGTGAGTGGATGAATTCGCGACACCCTGGCTCGAGGGTCATTTGCAACCATTTGCGGCGCAGGGCGTGCAGTTGACTCTCGATGGCGAGTCAGACATGGGTTGCACACAGTATCGCATGCACGTCGTCCGCCGTCGTCTTGGCATGGCGCTTGTCGTGGGATCGGCACCTGCGCACGACGCTTAGACGACCATAATGCAGAAGATTCGAGTGCCTCTAGCGACATCATCTGTTCACCATTCACTCTCAATGGCTAGGGATGTACCGGCACGAGGAGGAGCTGGCGACAGGGAAGAGGATCGCTGACCGCCGGCCGCGATCTACTAGGGCGAGAGGCTCTAGCAAAAGAATGGCCCACCTCCAACAGGGATCAAAAGAGGGGGTGGAGTCCCTAGGATGTTGAGCAAAGGTCACCCTGTTTCACCATAATGCTTCCGATCCCTGCACTCGAGTGGATTATTGTCAAGTTCCGTGGAGATCATGGTAGCCTAAAGTCGAAGCCAAGTGCAAGCAAAGTGCAAGCGAAAGGAGAAAAGCAATCGGTGGTTCAGAATGCAACTAGGCTGATCTTCCCGTGGAACTCGTGGCACCGGAGCTTAGCTTAGGCGCCGATAGACGGATAGAACGGTTACGAGAAAAGGAAGGAAAGTCTGGAAGATCGGCAGTGGCACAGGCCAACAGGCGTCTGTTTTGGGTCTCGATCTCGACTCCAATGGCATTGCGCCATTTGTGATTTATAATTTGTGATTTTACGATTGAGAAGTAATTGGAATTGTACTTTCGTTCCTTTCACTGCCGCACTTGCTATGAACTTGTCCACCTTGGAAATTTAATTCATTTTGGAAAAAGAAAATGCCCGCCACCACTCATTAGTTCACAGGCCAAGCTCCCTAGTGCACGGATGAACCATTCCCAAATTCAAGATTAAAGCCCAGACTCCTCGCACTTCATGACGGTCATTAATTGGAAGCTGTCTTGACAGCAAATCAAAAGAGTAAAACAATGCGTATATGCACAACGGATCAAAAATTGGTAATCAGCCGTGAGAGCACTGGCTTAGCTCGTTTTGGGCCGCGCGCGGCCTGCGGCGCAGAAAGCCTTGGCTCAGAGTAGCTTCTTTCCCGACCGTCTCCCGATCTAGACGAGCGCTCAGCCGAGGCCGTTGGGTAGAAAGGTAGAGGCAAAGTGGACTGTCGTCTTGCATGAGAGGGCACGTTTTGGGGCGGTGCGGGCTGATAGATAGATGAACGTGCATCGTTATAGTGCACTTCGCTTAAGCGGGACGGCTGGCCCCTGGGGTTGGCGTACCCGTATGAGGATAAGAGATCGGCGCTGTTTGTTGACGTTGGTCGAATTGGCTGGTATTTGGAAGGATCATACGTGGGTAGTGGGGGCTGGTCCATGGAGGCTCGCGGGGCATAGTGATAGTGACTGTAGTCCGGGGCGAAAGTAGATAGCGGCCGGGGATGTGCAGAGCGGGGCCCGTTTGGCGCTTCGTAGTAGTTGGCCCTGTAGACCGGTGGCACTGGCGGTTGCTCGGCTTGCTGTGCTTGCTTTCGCTTCGCTCTCTCCTTCCGAGAGAAAAGATACAGAAGTCCACCCGTCACTAGGTGGAGTCGTTAGCGTTGCATTATCACTTCCGTTCCTGGGCGATGGCGAACCTACTTGCAAGGGCATCGGATGCTCACTGACACCTCGCCAATAGTACGTCTGGAATCCACAGCTCTTGGATGGTAGATCGTGTGATGGGGTCGGGAAATTCGTCGAACCCCGGTTGGAAAGCAAGCTAAAGGATGGAGAGCACTGGGGAGCACTGGGAGATGGACGATGCAGGGTCAAATCAATCCATGCCAGGTCCAGGCTTGCTTCCTAAACCCCCCCCAAAAACCGGCACCTGGGGAATTTTTCAGGAGTCGATTCCTCAGGCGTGAGATTGAAAAGGGCCATGACGAGCCCTGATATATGTCCTAGAGAGAAGCTTCCCCGGCACAAGGACCCTGTTTCAGGTGGGATTACTTGAGGCGCTTTCAGCAAAAAAGAAGTAAAGATAGTAATTGACAGACTATAGATAGAAAGGCCCATAATTAGCCCTCAATTAGTCTCAATCCAGTGCCAGCACATCACGCTAGTCACGGCCAGGCCTCGTCCGAATGCGCCCGCTTCATGCCACAGCTGTGTGTATCTCAATCTTGCATAGCATCGGCAAATCATAGCGAACCAACACTTTTAGAGCTTTCTGAATGGCTAAAGTTACGCGCCCCGAGAAATCATCGAATCAAAATCCCGGCCGAAACCAACGCTAACAAAGTGCAATCTACATGTTCAGGTGGGGTCGGCTACCACCAACGGGGATCTGCACGCCTCCTGTCACTGAATTGGTAGAATTCGATTTTCATTGTTTGCCTTTTCAAAAAGGCAAGATGGGGCGGGAAAGAAGTTGACCAGTCCAAATATGAGAGCCCCGTCTCGTCAAATCTAAACCATCATTGAAAATCAAAACTTCTACTCTGCATAGGCGCGGTAGACCGCCAGTCCCTTGTCCGTGCAGAAATCCAACGCAACGCCCTGGCCCACAAAATACACAAACCCCTCCTTCAATGCAATCGTCTGGTCTCCAGGGATTTGCATGGCCCCACACCCCTTAACAACAATCATCAAACTCAGGCCCAGAATGGCCTTGTGCGTCTCCTTCTCTCCTGCGCCCAGACAAGTGCAGAGCACTGCAAATTCGCTGATCGAGGCCGCGTAAACATCTGTCTTGCAATTCATGCCCTTGTCGCTCTTTCTACGAGGTAGTAGAGCGCTTTCAGCATTGTGCGAGTTGAAAGTTAGCGTCTGGCCGAAGAGCTCGACGTTGTCACGCTCGGCGGCGGGACAAAAGCCCGTGGTGATGACATGGTCGCTTCGGGCCATGCATTCCAAAATGTCGCCTTGTAGATAAGCGTGGATACTATCGGGTGGAACGAAGATGGAGTCGCCGGGACCGAGGGCCATGTAGTTCATTAGAAGAGCGGCAACGAGGTTTGCATTTTCATGCTCGCCGAATTGCTTGCTAAGTCGGTCGAGGAGAACTGGAACGTAAAAATCGTGACCAAACTGGGATTCTGGGATATTCCGTAGCTCTTTGACTGTTGCGGCCACTGTGTTCTGGTCAGCACTCAATAGCGATTTGCAGACTTGCCGCAGGGTCTCGTTGTCGAATTTCGTTTGTGGCGCGACGTATCTTTCCAGCGGCTTGAGGTTGAACAAAGCCTCGATCTCACTAAGTGGCTTCCAGCCTGCGAATAACTCGAAATTGGATAGCGCGATGGCAATTTCCGGACTGTGCTTCGTATCGCCGTACCTCTTCGGGTCTTGCATCTGCAATTCGGCTGAGAGTTTCAAGTCTGGATGGATTTGAAGTGGAAGAGCTTTGGAGACAGACAATATCTGGAATTATTAATTCGAGGCACTTTCGAGTCTGTTGCTGTCATACCTTTGGTAGGTAAGGTATCTCCGAGCCCCAGCGATCGTAAACCGCTCTGCCCACCAGCTGGGGGTACTTCTTCAAATATTCGCCTAGATGCTCGCCAGTGGATAGGAGATAAGATGGATTTGAGGGATACGTTCCCATCCACATCTGGATCAACATGTCAGATTCTGGGGTTTCCGAGTTTCAAAAGCTCATACCTCTGAGTAAGTCTTAGACTCATCAATCCCCTCATTGCCCGGTGTTTTTGACCACAGTTGGGCAGCTACTGAACTCTTTCCCTTCTTCCCCCAACTTTCGTACTGCAGACTGAACTGTTAGACCATAATGCGATGGCCAGGGAGTGATATCAACGTACCTTGACACCGCAGCGAAGTTGAACCACTGCATCAGCCATGTTTATTCTAGTATTCCTCACAACAAAATGCAGAATACTAGTCACAAGTGATTCAATAGTTGTCGATTGATGTGCAGTGGTTTTTCTGGTAGTTTAAAGATCTTGGAGCGAGGCATTTAAGAATATGATTTGATCCAGAGACATTACCATGCCATCATAGTGACCGAGTTGCCCTCTGGAGCCGGACCAAGGTGAAAGTGCAGTAGGAGCCATCCACTACATGTAGATCACCTGCGACATCAAGAACAAAAAAAGGGGTTCATTTTTTTGAAAATGTGGATTCGGCTATCATTCTGAAATTCCTCATGCCCTGAAAATAATTACAACGCCTTGAATGCCGTCAAACGCCGCGCCATGACAAATGAAAGAAGAACGCCATCCGTGAGAACATTCGAACATACAAAAATTAAGATCATTAATAGAGGTCATCAGGATCAGGAACCATCGCCAGAGTCATAGGTTTCAAAGATGAGGACCTCCGATCCGCCGCAACAAATGGAGAAGTCCTCCGCCTAGGCGGCAACCCAAAGCTGCTGAGCCGAGAGCCTGCAATATCAGAGCTATCGCCCAAGCTGGATCTCAGACTCTGTCTATCATCCTCTTGACGCGAGCTGGCCCTCGATGGAGCTTGCATCCGTGAATGATGGTTGCGATCATAATCACTGTCATCCAGAGACTCGGAAAAGGAGTCACGCCGAGCCCGTGAGCTGCGACAAGATCTTGCGGATTGGCTTCGAAGGATAGGACCAAGGTTATCCTCCAAGTATCGCCCACTAGCGGGAATATACCGATACCGTGGGGTGCTTTGGCTTGAAATCTCCGAGACTTCAGTGGCATAATCGTTTTGAATCGGCTTGTATTCAAATTCAGGCCTCGTTCGATCTGACTGGCTGTCTCGTTCCATCCTGGGTTCCTCTCTCAGGTGTTTTGGGCGAGATGCCAGCCGGACTGAAAGCCGACCGGCTCGAATTCCGCCCAGACCACTGATAGATAGAGAGTTACAACGGGAGATAGTTGAGGTCGTCAACGTGCTTTCTTCTGTATTGTCGCCAGTCTCCGCGATCTCCTCTTCGTTCACTTGATGAAGCTTTTTCTCCGAAGGCGAGCAGTCTGGAACAAAACCAGGCCCGTAAGATGGCCTCCGAGGATTTCGATGAGGATTGTCGTACTGATTCCATGAGCCGTCTGTGGGAACGGAGATCGCCACGTCACCCCACCGGGAGTGCAGAGGCTTAGGAGACTCTGGTCTGCGGAAGATGGAAAGAGGCCTGTTGGCGATACCAGCCATTTTACCTATGACTCTAGCAAAAGATCGCCGATGATATGAAAGCCTTAATAGCAGCGAAAGATACCGTTCACGCTTGAATGGAAAGGCGGGGACAAGGAAGAGAGGAACCCTGGAGATAAAGTGCACTATGCTGAGGCTGACGTAGACGCACGAGATCAAGAGGAACCAGACTCTTTGGCTTTCACTACCGGGGATCTCCCGCGGGTTGCATGCAGGGCACGAGTCAATCCGCACGATGAGGCCGGCCTCGGATTGGACGAGGCCCAGATGGTGACTGACAAGGATCTTGGGTCGCCGTGGAGGGGTCACCACCAATGACCGTTCCAGATTGATAGAACCCAGAATCAAACAAGAAATAATGAGAGTAGGCGGAGAAATACAAGAAAGATCAATCAACAAATGTAATCAATACAAACCCGCAATGCAATGTTGTCCGAGACTCGAGATGATGAGTCTCTGAAACATCTGAAACTCGAGCGGGAGGCGCCTGGATATTAAAGCTTGTTCACCATCGCGACCGGCGCAGAATAAGTATCCGACATGCGTGGGAGGGTGGCATCGTGAGGTGCATCGGTGTACACAAGTCAATAGACATGCATTGCCGCCGGGACGGAAACGCAGGATTGCGGAGAAATCGGCGCCTGCCAGGGAATGAAGATCCATAATTAGCTGCCTTTGTGCCCCAAAATAGAAGCAAAATTAGCTGCAATTATTGTTCCCCGATCGGCTGTAACCGTCACTTATGCAGCTAACTGTGTGTTATTTTTAGACCTTTCCTGCATAATCGCCGAATCGGTATACACCCTCGATTATGTCGCTGATATGACCCTCATGGAGGCTGAAATGATTACTTGGCAGATTTAGAAATTTTGTCGCCCACAAGGTACGAATCCTTAATCAGAGTAAGGTCGTGATACTCGGCTGGTGATTTCGTTGTGGGGGAGTGTCAAGCAACAAAGTGTAATGTGATTTAAGACCACCTTAGAAGGGTGCGACCCAGATGGAAATGGGAACGAACAGTGATCCTAGCATGCCAATCCAGGTCTACTCCACGCACCAGGTTATCTTATTCCTGTTGGGGAACGGCACTGAATTTCACGCGCGAGGCATGTTTGACAGTGTATCTACCGCCGCTTCAAGAAATGGTCGCCTGAGTCACGATTTGCTAGTGTCCGCTTATGATACCTGGACGAGCCTTCAATAGGTGGCTGCGAATAGACTCCCATAGCGCCTGCTGCATTTCAGAAGAACCCAAAAAGTTGATCTCATCGGCGCCCCTTACGAATTAATCAGAACTGGGAATTTCTGTTATTTCCGTGGACGCCGGGCTTTGTTCCAAGAAAATTACAACCCGCGCTATCAATCCTTCCACGTAGAACTCGGGAGCAAAAGAATCGGGACTTTTACCTTGATCAATTAAATGCAGGCTGAATTCTGATACAACGTGGATATAATTTGATGTGGAAAAAATGCTTAGACCGGTATTGTCTGACGACCAGCCAGAGCGATCAATGAATTCATTCAGCAATGTTATAACCGTTCACTTATAGCAAATAACTCTCATTAACAGTCGTGTTAATGGCAATAATGTTATAACCGTTGAAGTGAACTCTGAAAAAAATGACTGAATCCAGCAACTGACCATTAATAGTCCATGTTGTAAGTGGAGGCGAAGGAGTTGTGGAGATAGTATGGTGGAACTTAGTCTCCATTTGACAGGTACTGTATTATCATATTGGGAAGGCTCAAAAGGTCCTGCATTCGCTTCTATGAAATTAAACGGGATATCATATTTCCCCTGTCTGCATGACCTCGGTTCGGTGGCCCAGTTGCAAGGTGTGCGGGGCCTTCAGAAGGTTGCCGTCGTGTCAGACTCTTGCCAACCCATTCCAATGACCTAACTATTTCCAAATCTTGTCAAGATGTTTAAATCAGTATTTCCATCACTCGAAATTCCCAGAACCAATATCCTCTCCTACCTCTATCCTACGAATCAAACGGTATCCGACAACCCAATATGGATCGACGCTCAGAACCCCGCAAATTCCCTTTCCCCTCGCCAGATGCTCTCGTGGGTGCGTCGCCTGGGATTTGGCCTGGATAGACTTGGAGTAAAAAAAGGCGAAGTGGTCATGATCATCACGCCGAACCATATATTCGTGCCAGTCGCATATCAAGGCATCGTGGGATCTGGCCGAATCTTCAGCGGGGTTAATCCTACCTATACAGTGCCAGAGATCCAGCACCAGCTCAAGGATACTGGTGCCAAAATTATTTTGGCTCATCCGAGCCTCATCCAGACTGTCCTGGAAGCTGCCCGCGGAGTTCAATTCCCGGAAGATTGCATCTTCCAGTTCTCCGATCGCCCTTCCCGCGCCACACATGGTATTCTTGACTGGAGAGAAATGCTGGGATCCGAAGAGGAGGCAAATATGTGGAAATGGGATGAATTGACAGAGACTGCAGCTTCGACAATTGCCACTATCAATTATTCTTCGGGAACCACTGGCCTTCCAAAAGGCGTGTGTTTGTCACATTACAACCTCATCGCGAATGTGGAACAGTCTATCTATTGTCGCGACCAGGAGACCACTTATTCGGCTGTTCCAGCAGCTCGTCCTGCAGAGAAATGGGTTGGCCTTCTCCCACTATACCATGCGTACGGTAAGATAACTCCAAAAGACGGTTCACCATCCCGATAACACCACTGACGATCTCCAGGCCAACTTTATGTGATCTTGATGGCCGTCAAACTGGAAATTCCTGTCTATATTATGCAGAAGTTTGTCTTCGAGGACTTTCTTGGGGGGATCCAGAAATACCGAATTACCCATCTCCAATTGGTTCCACCCATTTTGATCATGCTTGACAAACGACCAGAGACCCGAAAATATGACTTAAGCAGCCTCAAAAATATCTTGTGTGGAGCAGCACCACTCTCCCGGGAACTTCAGAACACGATTCAAAGGAAGTTGAGGCTGAATGTCGTTCAATCCTGGGGAATGACGGAGCTTACATGTAGTGGACTTTATGTCCCCGGTGGTCGCACCGACGACTCAGGCTCTGTTGGTATGCTTATTCCAAATTGCGAAGGCAAGGTTCTTGACGACGAAGGGAGACTCATCTACACAGGTGAGCCCGGTGAGCTGTATATCCGAGGCCCCAATGTTTGCATGGGTTACTGGAGGAACGAACAAGCTACCCGTGAGTCTCTCGATGCAGAGGGCTGGCTCAAGACCGGAGATGTTGTTACTGTCCGTGGCAATTCTTTTTGGATCGTTGATCGCAAAAAAGAGTTGATTAAAGTGAATGGTCTACAAGTAGCCCCTGCGGAGCTCGAAGCCGTGCTTCTGGAGCATGCTGATATCGCAGACGCCGGGGTGGTTGGCATCACGATGAATGGGGAAGAACTGCCCCGGGCCTACGTGCGGCTGCAGGATAATCAAGTATCTCAAACCTCAGAAGCCCAAATTCAGAATTACATGAAGACTCGCCTGGCGAAACACAAGCAACTCACTGGTGGTGTGATACTTGTGAAAGAAGTTCCACGATTTGCAAGTGGAAAAATCCAGAGGAGAGTTCTCAAGGAATGGGCTAAACGCGACGCTGACTTGTTGGGACAGCAATCATCTAAACTATAGAGCTATAGAGGATTCTCGGTTCATCTTTGCTTCTTAATATGAACTTGTCTAAGGACGAGCGTCAACGGAGTGGTCAACTTGCACAGACTTAACAACTCGTCCGTATTATCAGTGGAGCATCAGTAACGGGCTGCACCTGAACGCGTCCCTCGAACCAAGAAATAAAGGCTGAATTGGAGCTCATGAGGTAAATGTATCCTCTGATAATTCGCGTAGGCTTCAGAAGCCGAGGAGCGAGAATGGTATGCCAGTCCACAGGCTCTCCAGGCAACAGCTTCCTCAAAAGCGCTTGGAGAGATGTACATGAGCTCTTCTGGTCTGGGTCTTAATGAAAGCACCCGACTCTATCAAGCTGGACAAATCTAGTCTAACCACCTCGCTACAGCAAAACCATAGCTTGGCTGTGAGGACTAGATTGGACAGGTATTTGAAGCGTCAAACACAGATACAAAACTGCTTACTGACGAGCAGCTCCAGGGGCGAAGAGCTGTTATCTCCGCCATCCGCGCGACCCCTCTTTGCTGGGGTTCGTTGTCACATTTGCCCCTCCATTGGCGCTTGTTCCAGAGCTGACCATTTCAGAACCGGCAATCAGCGCTCTGAATTCAGCGTTGCTCTGCCATCATACTGATGAGATCACTCATTATGATCTTCTTGAATTCAGAAGCGCCTTGTAAAAAAGCGCTGGGCTGAAACTCTACAGAAACTATGGACGAGCTGTATTCGCTATACTACGGTGGGAACTCCCAATGCGTGGGATGCGGTGAGGTCCTTGTCAGATCTGACCGGTCGGCATGCTTGGCATTTCGCTACTGGCAAAACGGTTGATCCCTTGTATTCATAGGTTGGAAGGCAAGGCGACCTGCCATTGCGTGGATGACGCTTTCCTTTGACCTGCACGCCTGCTGCCGTACTTTGTGCCAGGATGATGTTGATTAACCCATATTCCATGGAGCATGATCGTCGTTGGAATTATAAAGCCCCGCTAAATCTGTCGTGAGAATCATAAACGAGATAGAATTCCATTACACAATATCTCCTTGAACCCCTGAGACCACCATGGGCTCTATCGATGAGAACCCCGTTTTCGGCTTTTCGGCCAGCAAGCTACCTCTACAACTCTTCATCAACAATGAATATGTTGACGCAAAAAAACACCGAGACCATCACAGTCTCCAATCCCAAGGAGACTCGCTAGTTTCCGATAAAGTGCCTGTCGCCGGCGCAGAGGATGTTGATGCGGCCGTAACCGCCGCGGAGGCTGCCTTCCCCGCGTGGAAGGCAATTCAGCATAAGAGCGACACAATATTCTGCTGAAGTTCGCCCATCTTCTCGATAAAAATATCATGGCTCTGGCAGAGCTGAGGAGAATTACGCTCGGTGCGCCTTATGGGACATTTGGCAAGTTGGAAACTGGCATGGCCGCGGAGTCATTCCGCTACAATGCAGGCTGGATTGACAAATTTGCTGGGGAGGCGCACCCTCAAGAAGATGGGTTTATGAAGATCACTCGCCATGAGCCCTTGGGTGTGACTGCAGGAATCGTCCCGTGGAACGCTCCGCTGGGCACGGTTGGTCTCAAGGCCGCTCCGGCGCTGGCAACGGGTAATTGTTTCATCCTGAAACCCTCGAAGACGCCGTTTGCTGCGCTGGCCTTGGGCCTCTTGATAAAAGAGGCCGGCTTCCCGCCTGGTGTTTTTCAGGTCTTGTCAGACGCTGGGCCGACGGGAGCTCCCCTCGCACGACACATGCGTATTCGGAAGGTTAGCTTCACTGGGTCCATTGGCACCGGGAAACTGATCCAGAAGATGGCTGCCGAATCAAACCTCAAGCGAGTCACCCTTGACCTCGGAGAAAGTCTCCAGCTGTTGTGTTTGACGATTGCAACTTGGATAACGCTGTCACCTGGTGCGTCAATGCGATCGCAGCCAACACTGGTCAGGTTTGCTTTGCCGCCTCGCGTGTCTACGTGCAGGAAGGTATAGTGGACAAGTTCACCGAGAAATACAAGGCAGCCTTGGAGGAGCGCGCCAAATCAATCAATGACCCTGAAGAGCCAACGACGCTGATGGGACCCCTGGTGGACGAGGCCCAGTTCCGACGTGTGACGGGTTTTATCGAGCGAGGTGCACAGCATGGAGCCATTCTCACGGGAGGGAAGCGCGTTGGTGAGAAGAAATACTTCATCCAACCTACCGTCTTCACAAATGTCGCGTCCGTTGCCGAGCTGTACAAAGAAGAAATATTTGGTCCGGTGTCTATTCTCAACTCCTTCAAGACAGAAGACGAAGTGCTCCAGGAGGCTAATGCCACAGAGTACAGACTTATGGCTGGTGTCTTCACTCAAGACATCAACAAGGCCATGCGAATGGCTAGCAACTTTGATTCTGGAATGGTCGGCACTAACTGCGTTAGCCTGAGTATGCTGAACATACCCTTTGGTGGCAGCAAGCAGAGTGGTCTTGGTCGTGAATGTGGACGTGCTGCCCTTGAACATTTTACCGAGCCGAAGACTATTATGATGAACTTGACATACTAAGTTGATACTCTTTTTGTCGCTCGTCAGAGGAGATTACCGACTCTTGAATGCACTGATACAATTTGTCCATCGGAAACTATACAGGAATTGATTTGATGCCGGCTTCGGAAATGGTAACCCATTGACGGTGGCCTTGTTTGACTTTGAGACTCATGGTGCGGCCTTCGTAGTCATGTCTACTATTCCCAGTTCTTGAGACATAGATTTCGGATAGTAGGAAAGTAGTACAGAGTAGAATAATTCAGACTTAGGCGTCGCTTCGACTGTTGTCCCATGAATTGTGACATTCGCCGCCCAGTCTTCCAGCTCCAATTCCTGAGCTCCGAACTTGTTCTCCTGAGGTCTTTATTCTCAGTCATTATCCCACTACCCTCTTGCAAAAGTTTTTTATGACGTGTAGAGCTCTATTTACCAATCAGTATTCCTCTGCTACCCTGAAACGGCGAAACACGCCCTGAGTCATATAGATTTATGCAACTCAAATGGATCTTTTCTATTGAGCCAGTACTACTCTGCTTTCTTCTGTAGATTGTGTCAACGAGGACCTTGCGAACCTTTTGTCACCTTCATGAAATTAGGCTACATATCTCACAGGACTATTTGTGAGGCAAATGGTTGCTCTGATTGGTCAACGTGCAGGTTTCTTTTCAGCTAATAGACATATCAGCGAGTGAAGCCGCTTAATAGGCTCTCCATGGCTCATTGTCTTGCGCAAATGCTGCATCAACATAATCCAAGGTCGCAGACAAAGGCGGAATGACTGGCAATGTGATATGATTGACGTGATCTGGGCCAAAGTGGATGTGATTCTGACCCTCGAAGACCGAACCGGGTCTGTGTACGAGTCAGCTCAGGTTGTTATATTCATCGAGCGTTCCACTACTCACCTATCAATTGGATCATTGTGATTGAACATTCCAGTGCCCGCAGTGTCGCCAGAGCTGACTTCCAAAGTGAGTCTGTTTCCAGCTTCAACGACTACATTGGTTGGCCACAGCTCAATGTCCACGGAGTATATTTCGTCAGCAATAACCGGGAGAACGTCTACCAATCGGTATTCTCGGTAGGGAAGCCAAGGGCGATGCAGTGGATGGTCTGGATTGGTCTTTCTCATGCTCACTCGGAGGAAGCCTTTGGTCACCGGCGCACCCTCACCCGTGGTACCGGTGTAAAGAATCTCCGAGCCATGAGCTGAGATATGTCGCAGACTGATAAAAAGGTCCAAATCAGAAGGTATGGGCCCATTTGGGCTCTTGCTGACGGAAACATTGAGATGAGCGACCATATGGCCTGTGATTTCGGTCTCCCTTTCGAATGGCGGCGTCGTGAAAGAGATCATATCAGAAGATTGTCCAGTACCAAGTGCATCGTAGCTTTTCCTCAAGAGGCCTGCATTTGCAGGATTTTTGAATAACATCTCTCCGTCATACTGGAGAAATAATTTCGTGTATTCGGTCCTGGCAATCGGCCATTCCTGCTCAGATCTCCTAGCAAAGGTTTGTTCTGCCTTTGGATTGTTGTACCCGACATCTCCTTTTCGGAGGAGCAGATCAACGGGCGGAACAGCACCCTTCTGAGACCATCCGTACCTATCTTCTCCTTTGAGGAAAGCATCCAGGAAGCTTCGCTGAACCTCGACTTCTTCGTCGTAGTAAAATGGGAGATCATGGCGACCAGCAATGAATCGAAGATACTTGAACTCAGATCCGGCACGAATGAATCCTTGCACATTGCCTCTTAGATGTAGCAGAATACCGCCCCAGTTCGCAACACTCAGGATCGGGATTTTGATGTTCTCCAATTTACAATCCATGGAAGCAAAGATCTTATCATCGGCATATCGATATTGCGGTGCCAGAGCAGGCTGCTCGATCCGGTTCGCTCTCAGCTCATCTTCCTCAAGATCCCCTTCAACGGTATCTGGGCCCCAATTTCTCGAAGCCTTCCCAGGCAGCCCATACTGGTTCGAAGCGACCTGGCGTTTCCACCAAGCGCTCTGGAAAGTGTTCGATAAGATACCTCCGTGACGGCCCATGTCCCGATAGAGGTCTGAAAACCCTTCCCAAGGAACGGCCGCAGCAAGACCCTTGGGGTTACGGGCTGCTGCGTACCACTGTGTGGCGCCGAAATAGCTGATGCCAAGTAAGCCCACTTTTCCAGTCGACCATTCCTGCTCCGAGGCCCATTCGATGACCTCGCAAAATGATTTGACTGTCTGAGGCGAAAGAGTGTTGAGGAGGCCAGGAGACTGCCCTGTGCCAATCTCATCTGCACGTACGACGATGTATCCGTGCGCGGTCCAAGATTCTGGCGTCGGCGTCTCCCAGGATGAGTGTGGTGTTTTATGCTTAGGATTCACCTCAGCGTAGCTTGGTGAATTGAAACTTGAGACAGTGAGATTACTTCGGTGCGGAGAATAAGTGATCTGTCAACGGTCTCACTCACCTTTCATATGGGATGTCCTTGCCGTAAGGGCCATAGGTCGCCAACACAGGATAGCGAGCCTGTGGACCAGAATCCTTTGGGCGGTACACGTTGCAGCGGACTATATTTCCATCTTGAAGGTTGATGGAAACGTCTCGCTCGAAGATGTAGGGAAAGCATTCCGCGTCAACGGTGCGGATGTCTCGAATCTGGATCGGCATATTTAGACGAAGAATGATTCAGTTGTATTATTTGAAGAGGGCTTCTCATTTATACAACTATGCAACATGCCAGTTAAATTCCCCTCGATAGTCGTGAACCTTTTGAAAAGGGTCAACCCCGCATGTTCGGTCAGCCATGCCGTCATCTACCGGTCCGCAAATATCGGGCCTAAGCAGGAAGCCTATACATGCTCAGCATTGCCGTCAAAGAAGAACAGTGACTCGGCGCATCTTGTTCAAAATTGTGCTGTCGCTAGTATTAAGGGACTGATCTGCTCCAGGTAAAGTGTCTTCGCTGTAATCCAGTACACGAGTTGGATCCCGGGCAAAACTACAAGTAAACAAGGGTTTGAACGTGGGAATCCAATGACCCGAACTATAGGCTTCGTGGCCTATCGTGGCGTCGAAAATCCAATGTGTTGCATTTAGCTCTTTCATGAAAATCATGAATGGAATAGCTTTGGTGGAAATTGTTCAAGCTTTCCTAGTGAAGTACCTAAACGTAGAGTGAACGACCGAAGCTAACGTCCAGACAGGCTTAGATCACGGGATCCAATAAACAGATTTCCCCCTTTGAGATGCACCCCAGCCGTCCCCTCTAATTTCGTGTATACAACATGCCTTCTCCGATTTACATCGGACTACCAAAACTACATTCAACCAAGAACAAAGGCAATAAATGCGTGCCCCCACTCAATGATTTCCTCATCGGGACATGGCACGTAACCCACTCCAGCCTCCCGCTATGGAAGGATAAGCGCAACGTCAACATCACCTACGGGTTACTCCCCGCCGATAATTCGGGTGTGGAAAAAATCGATGATCTGGTGAAATACCAATCCAGAAACTCGGAGAAAGTCTCGTCTATCCATGGTATTGATACCCCAAGCCCTGGCGATCCTGGTGCTTGGGATTGGCGAGGCAAGGGCTGGTTGAAGATTGCGAGCTCGCATTGGGAGTATCTTGGCTTTGGTCATACGGATGATAACAACAAGTGGATTGTCACCTTTTTTGCCAAGATACTTTTCACTCCGGCTGGCATTGGCATCTATTTGAGGAATAAAGAGGGGCTCCCTCAGAGTTCAGTCGATGAGATTCTTAAAGCTCTCAAGGAGCATGGTGTCAATGAGATCTCGAGTCTTGCGGACAGTGTCTTTCGAATTCGGCAAAATTGAAGATACAGCAATTTCCTAGACACGAAAGGTCACAAGAATGGGTATGAATGTGTGGAAATACAATTGACAATAAATATGTCATCCCACCAGCCATTTGCAGACTGCGTATGGAATCTGCGTTGAATGCAGATTAATCGCCCGCGAAGTGGAACTTGACGTACCCGAATTGTATCCCGTATTGGATGTTTAATGTCAATAGTGGTTCTCTGGACCAGGTGTGAGCTGTCTAGAATAGTGGACTGTTTCTTCGTGCTCTTCCCCATGGAAGATGTATGAAACCCCTTGGAGCTCATAAGATGCTCTGTTTGGGCGCATATACTCCGAGACATTGAGAGTACAACCACTGCCTGAGCAAATGATCTGGATAAGATCTAAGGACGCAGCGCTGTTCAAACACACCATGAATCGATGCTAGATTAACTACTGTGTCAGTAAGTCAACGTCGGCCATAAGCTTCGTACGGCTCCGTGAAGTGCCACAGTGGGAATCAATCATGTAATTGAATCCTATTCTGTCTGGGTCGAGTATTGATGGAGGTTTTCCTGGTCAAATAGTGGTGTATAGCCAGAAAAATATGCTCAAGTAACTTGCCCTGAACGCATTCTTAACGACTCTCTTTGTTCAAAAATCACAAAAACACAGATACGGTGTGAATCCAGTGTGTCCCTCAAAACAAATCAAGTGACTTAGAAAGGCATAGGCATATCTTCTCTTCGTCACAAGGGGCCTGTCTTCCTTTGGTTCTGGATTTTGCAATTGCTTTTGCGGTCCGGAGCGAAAAACAGAGGCAGTCAAGACCATTTCTCGTACATTGTGTAATAATAAAGTTCGGCACTTCTCTATCGCCTTCAATTTATTGGATTTGCTAGATCATGAGCTGGGAGCATTTATGGGAATATTCACCATGTGGTCCCGGCACCTCCGACATGCAGTGGTAGCATTGCGCGTTGCGTCACGTCTAGATTCTTTGGTCGTCTTGATACATTTACTTACGCTCTCGGTTAAAAATCTGAAGGGGAGAAAAGACCACATTTGGCTACTCACGAATGGGTTGCCTTCGTCTCCACTGAGCGGCGATGTCCATGTCTCAGCAATCATTCACGGTATATGTTTTTGAGACTGGACGACCAGTGGCTGACTTTGACCTGAGCATTTACAATATGTCTTGAATGATTGAGACTGGATTCTGAGTGCATAGCTAGAAAGGCATTTGAATTTTGCAGTCCATGAATATATAGGCGTTCTACTCTAGAGTTGTTAATTGAGCGGCTGCACATAAAGTTCTTGGGGGAACTCCCAAGCTTCTCCACTCAAGCTTCGAAAAGAACCGCATCTCCTCTACACTCAAACCTTCCTCCGGCGCATTTACTCTTCGGCCGGACACAGCCGATCCCCCAGCCATCATGTCCACTCTTACACCCGATCAAATAAAAGTGCTCGAGCAATCCCGTCAACGACTTGTCCAACTCACCCGCTCCCTGGGTTCGCTGATCGCGAGTTTGAACCAAAGCGATCCCCTCCCACCATGGTGCGCAGCTCCCACCAATGGCCCAAAATAACTCCTAACGGCTCCACTAGGTCTTCACTCCAATCTCAAGCAAGCATCATTTCAAATAACCTTGTCTCCGTCTCCGAACACCTCTCCGACCACCGCGACCTCCTCTCCTCGGTAGTCGCCTACCCAGGCCCCGACTACCCAGGTCGCACACAAGCAAGCACCCTCGAGCAACTCCTGCGGACAAAACTCGATCCCCGCGTCCAAGACTGGGTCGCGCGGGGCCGGACAGCAGGCACCGAGCCGCAAGTCTCGGACACCTCCAACTTGAATCCCAGCGCGATAGCAGCAGCGCAAACTCAGAAACCGCTAAGCGAGACGGAACTCGCTGAGCTATGGGAGTGGGCTCCTATTGAAGCGAACCAAGAGGCGAGGAGACGGAATTGGGGAGGAAATTTCACGCTTGAAGAACGCGAGGCGGGGATCCAGAATGTTGTGACGGGGCTGAAGAGACAATTGGAAGATGATGAGGGGTCTGAAGACGAAGACGAGGAGGAAGAGGATGAGGAGGGTGAGGATGAGATGGAAGTTGTGGGTGTGCGTCGAAAATCCAGTGGAAATGGGTTTGAGTTTGAGATTGCTCCGCACCATGCGCATGCTGTTGAGCCTGTGGTTCCTCTTGCGGATATCTTGAGGTATATGACCACAGGGCGAATGCAGTAGTTGTTCGAGCTACTACTCAGGTCTTCTCGCAGATCGCGCGAGGTCGATTTACGCGCATATGAAAAACTGGGGATGTACAAGAGGGAGAGGAACAGTTTGAAGGATGTTTAATTCCGAAGGGCATTATGAGGAGTATTACAATGGTTCTGCAGAATAAAGCGCATTCAACCGAAGATATACCGTCTAACCCCGTCGGCGAGTTGTGGGCGTCTTCGAACCTTTCGGCGAAGCACCGGAGCTTTGAGCGATAGGGCTCTGGTCGACAGCCTTTTGCTTACCGGCAGCCTTTTTCGACTTCGGCGTCTGCGTCTGCGCGGGACTGTTCCAGTAGTAAACCATCTGTGCAGCGAGGATCACGTTGAGGGAGAAGCCGGCGATGAACCCGTAGAGAATGAGCTTGTCGTCGACTTCCTGAAGGGTAGTGAAAATACGGGAGAGGGATCCGACGAGGTAGTTGAAGACCTATAAACGATATATTGTCAGTTCGGTATTTAGTTCCATCCTGGAAAGGTCCTCTTACGGCGAAAGCGCTCAACTGTCCGGTTCCTCCCTGGCTCCAAATAGCATAGATCTGGGGCAGCTTGCTCGCAATACCCAAAGCACCAGCACCAGCTTGCAGATACGACATGGTCTGCGCATCGATGAGGGTCTGATCGAAGAGAAGCGCGTACACGCTGGCGGCGACAACGGCGACAAAGGCCGCGGCGGCAGCGGACTTGCCGGCGTAGTTCAAAACAAGAACACCGACGGCAATGTCTTGCACGGCAATAAGAGCTGACTCGCCGTAAGTGCTGAAGGGGAACTGGTTGCGCACGCCATAGGAAAGTGTAATAAGCAGGCTGGCCGTTTCAAGGGCGTAGGAGACGAAAGAAACACCGGCGGAAGAGCGCGAATTGATGAGCTTCAGGATCTGGGGAACCTTCACGACGGCACTAGCACCGACGATGGCGATTCCGAGGGCCTTGGAGATCGCTAGGGAGGTACAGGCAGGGTCCTTGGTCAAGCTGAGATCGAGGAGCAGCGCGCTGTGGCAAGGTGCGCCAATCAACGAGACGACTGCATCGTGAACGGGTTCGGGGATCGCTTTGACAATAGGTTGGAGGTAAGGCTGGAGGGGATCCAGTACTGATTTCTGAATGATATCCATGATGTCCGATGGTTGTCAAGGCAGAGAGGTGTTGTAAGTGTTGACATTCCACGCACACAGGAACCGAGGAGATTATTTTTAGTGGGCCTCAACACTTCGTTGCTGTAATGACTCCAACCCTTCTTCCGGTTGTCTTATTATTGAGCCTCTGGCTTTTGCAAATTAGTCTTCTCCTCTCGAAATATCTTCAAGCTTTTTGAGATAGGTAGAATGCCAATATCCATATACTATTGTCGAAAGTACACAACTTCGTCTGTAACCTGCGGCTTTGGTCCGTGCCGCGCCGCCGGGGAAAGTTCCCTTCTTCCACATTTCAATCTTGAGAGATAGAGAGTGTCGACCCACGCGCCATGATCCCTCTCCGGTCCGCCATCGTGAGGCCTGGGCCGCCGCGAGAGGTACTATCGTGCTCAAATTGTCTGGTGCGATCGCGAGTCCACCTTCCCTCTTCAATACGAGGGTTCATCTCTTCTACCAATCGTCGTACCGGCATCGCGGCCAACCAGCCCTCCTCGGTCTTCCTCAAGACATACTTTTCTCCCAATCGAGTCTTCGATGCAACTGGTTTGAAAGGAGGCTTCCTTTCATCCTATGCGTCCGCCCATTCCGACTCCCTCTCCAAGGCGACCTCCCAGTCCACGAGCGATTCCTCCGCAAACCCGGCCAGCACAATTGAACCAGCATCGTCTGGATCAATTGCAGCAGAAGCAGCGCAAAATGAATTGCCACATCGCCGGAGGAAGCGTATGAAGGCCATAAGCTCAGATAATGCTTCACCAGAGGCAGTCATGCCACCCGATGCTTCAGCGCAATTGTCGGCCTTCTCATCTGCGCAACCCGCCACTTCCCTCCGCCGCAAGTTCGCAGCATACTTCGCACTGACGAAACCGCGTCTATCCTTTCTTGTTCTCCTTACGACAACATCTGCATACGGAATGTACCCGTTCTCATCTCTGCTTACACTCGACCCAGCCATGACCCCACTCCCGACCCTATCGACCTCGACATTGACCTTCATTTACTTGACCGCGGGAACATTCTTGTCATGCTGCAGTGCCAATACGCTAAACATGATGCTTGAACCGAAATACGACGCATTGATGACTCGGACCCGGAACCGTCCTCTTGTCCGCGGGCTGGTCTCGCGTCGCGGGGCTCTGTTCTTCGCCATTGGTACTGCGGCTGTCGGTTTGGGCCTCCTGTACGTCGGTACTAACCCGACAACCACCGCGCTCTCTGCTGCGAACATCCTTCTCTACGCTTTTGTGTATACCCCGCTCAAGCGGATATCCGTGGTCAATACCTGGGTTGGCGCAGTAGTTGGAGGTATCCCGCCATTGATGGGCTGGGTTGCCGCTGCAGGACAAACAGCGACAACTGGGCATGACACGTGGCGCGACATGCTGTTTAGTAAAGATAGCATTGGTGGATGGCTGCTGGGTGGTATCCTATTTGCCTGGCAATTTCCACACTTCAACGCCCTCTCCCATCTCATTCGTGACGATTATAAGCAAGCCGGCTATCGCATGCTCTGCTGGGTGAACCCGGCCCGAAATGCTCGAGTTGCTCTTCGCTACTCTCTGCTCATGTTCCCGATCTCCATCGGCCTCTGGTGGATCGATGTCGTTGGCCACGGCTTCCTCGTTGGAAGCACATTCGCCAATGGCTGGCTTGTCCGTGAAGCATACCGCTTCTGGCAACACCAGGGTGCTCAAGGAAGCGCTCGCGGCCTCTTCTGGGCCAGTATTTGGCAGCTGCCGATCCTGCTTGTTGGTGGTCTTGTCACGAAGAAGGGTCTATGGGATGGTGTATGGAGAAACGCCTTCGGACAGCCAGAAGGGGATGACGAAGAATACCTGTATTATGAAGATGAGGAAGAAGGTGTGGAGGGTATCTCGGAGGCTACCAAGTCCAATTCTAATTCTCTCTCGACCGTTTAAGAGTCCCAGGACAGCATGTTCTCCCCTTCAATTTCTTTTTTGGAGTTCTTTTCTTGATATCATACAGCGGTTGGGAGTGGCGTTGCCTGCTTATTATCTTTCTTTCTTGTACAACAATTTTCATACGGAGCGATTTCCAGATCATCCCAAGATTAGCTTTCCAAAATGTAAATCAAGACTTTCGAAACAAAGGATCCTAGAGAGATCGTATCATTTGAAGAAAGTATTCGATCGAAGTTTCGAACGACGAATCCGGAGACGCATGTAAATCAGTAGCGGAGAAACAGTGATGAAAAAGGAAAATTATGGCAAAACCCTGCAGAGTGAATTATGATCTACCTGAAGGGGCGTGTAGCTCATCAGGTCATCAACCCCTGAGTGCAGACTTGGACTGACCTTCGGGCTTGCTTGAAAGAATATCTTTGCATTGACTTCTTGCATGATGATCCAGGAAAAGCAATGTACCACTTGATCATACCAAACAATTAGTAACTATGCTATCTGACAAACATTAAGTATGTCATTCTTCACATGCTTCCGGTCCGTGAACCTCTATATCGTTCGATGTTCATAACTTCTGAGGGTCAATTCTAGGACCTTATTTTCGGTTCTTACTACCCGTCAGTACACTTGGCCAGCCCCATCCACCTGAACTGTACTTGGCTGAATCATACAACCCCTTCCAGGACTCTAGATTTGGCTGTGTCTGCAGTGTAAAACCATAATCCTGAATTTCGCTCTTATCCCAGTCCCCCGGTTGCTCAATATACTCCCCTGTAGGACTTCCACCCAACTCGCATGTTCGTTTCGCTCCGGCATTGCGCAGGATAGTTATCACCTCCGGGTAGGAACGGTATGCCTCAGCGGCACGTGCTGGAGGGCCTTGATGCTCATCATAGACGAGTCCTTGCTCGATTGCTCTGGCCCTAGCAGCACCAGCTTTGTAAGAAGCAAGTCTCCGCATATGTGCTCGTCTACTGAGCTCGGCGGAATGGAGAGCTTGATCTAGGGGTGTCCAGGGCGGAGACTTCGTCCTGTCAGGATCATTGATGCAGCTGGCGAGACCGAGAGAGAGGAGAAGACTCAAAGTTTGGGGCTTTCCGCGGTCTGCGGCAGCTGAAATGGTATTGCTGCTGTGAGGATTGCAGAGATAGTGTTTTCTGTAGGCGGTTTCAATATTGGAATCAAGATGGAGAAGGAAATATTTAATGAGGTCGTGGCTTTCTTGATCGGCGAGGACGGCATTGTTCGAAATTGAGTAGAAAATATCCCGTCCTCGATCGTTGAGAACGAGAGGGTCAGCGCCTCTATCGAGTAGAAATCGACCTCGTCGTTCGGGATCCAGGTTGGTCTCTAGAGCGATGCACAACGGGGTGGCCCCATGACGGGTCCTTGCGTTGATATCAGCTGGAGGAACATGACTGAAGAGAATATCACATGCGGCTTCAAATTCGTCTTCCGGGTGGTAAGTTGTGGTCAGCAGGTGGAGTGGAGTCTCCTCCTCGAACCGGTTGGGAATATCGAGATTTGGAATAGCCTCGACGATCTTACTCAGGGTAGGTAGATATGATTCGGGATGATTCAGACGGGGTCCGACTATTGAGACCCATGAATGCAGAATTGTATCTCCCCCTGATAAGAGCGATTCCTTCAGGTCGGCCTCGGCCGCCAGCAATGAACAGATCATTCCCCCATCCCACACTCCTAGGTCTGCCGCTGCTGCAATGGGTGTGAGACGAGGATACCCTTTGTCTTTCATGTTGATTTTCACACCAGCATCGATTAGAACCCTGACCAGATCCGTCATTTGGGCCAAGTGATTCTCCCAAGGTCCATGGCGGACCCAATAGTGCCAGGCATGTGGAAGATACCCATGTCTGTCGGGAAAGTATTTAGTGATCGCATGTAGGGTGTTTCGCTCCATCGAGTCAAGCAGGGTGACGTCCGCACCGTGCGATATCAGATACTTGGCAAGTGCCGTCTCTCCATGATATGCTGCCAAAGCAAGAGGAGTTGATGATGAATCCGACCCATAGTATACTGCGTTAACGTTACCCCCAAAAGAAAGGAGAGTGTCGATTGCCCTCGTGTTGCGGAAAAAACATGCCCAGTGAAGAGGTGTCCCGTGCGGAAGTTCAAAGGGACTAAGATATCTCTATTAGCTTGGCTGCTTACCGCTCGTAAAGACGGGATGAACGTACTAGTGAAGGATCTGGATCTTTTCCGGGAATCCACCGCTGTTTTCCTGGGTCACTGGCTCCATGTTTCGATTGATGTCTGCTCCACCTTCCACCATCCGCCCGGTGATCTGATGGATTGCATCCTCAGGTATCATGAACAGCCAATGCAAAGGCCCGATCTTTTGCCGATTTTCGCAACACGCACTCGCACCGTGATCAAGCAGAAGCCCAATGACATCTGAATGACCTGCTTGGAATGCTTTGTATAATGGCGTCTCAGCATTCTCATTTTCTGTATCAACTCCAATCTGAGTAGCGTTCAGCAACTCTTGTACCGCAGCAACTGCTCCGAAAGCAGCGGCAGCATGCAGCAACGTGTTCCCGTGTCGATCGACAACAGCACCGTTCTTCTTCTCCCACTCCAATATCTTCCCACTTTTGATTGCTGTTTTGACATCACCTTTGATCAAGAATGGATCTGAGCAAAATCCACCATTATCTCGAAACCTACGTTGAGCGTCTTCCACGTCCGTCGTCGACTGATCTGGCTTCGCAAACAGATATCCCTCGGAAACGGCCTGCAGCATCCAATCTTGCAGTACATCCTGACCAAATTCTGAAGCTTGACCATGTGCCTCCATAATTTGTGCATACACAGCTCTCGCAGGTGAATGTCCCGATTTCGCTGCGTCAGTAAGATACCTCAGCATACGAGCAAGATATGTTGGTTTTTGACCAGTGATTGTTTGGGCTATGCCAAACAGCACATCACCACCGAATGGTGGAGCATTCCCTTCTTGGCTGAGCATGTACTGCTGTTCAAGCTCTGCGCGGATGCTTGCGTCGAGTCGGTACCAGAACAATGGGCCTTTGTTATAGATTGGATCGATTATTCCAGCCTGAGATTTTGCCAAGCTCGATTGAACAGAGGCGAGCCTTGGTCTCTCCATCAGCATTTTGAAGCAAGACACTTATGTTTTCAACATACCAGGACCCGTATAATGGCGTGTCAGCTATAAGTAGCCTTGGACTCGGAAGTGGTCGTTTTGTAGGATCCTCGGCGAGAAGACTAAGAATGGCTTTGCGTAATTGCATGCGAACGTCTACAGGTATTTCTTTCCGGCTGTTTAGCAATCCAGAGATCTGCTCCTGAATTCTGTCGTGATTCTTACTCAGAGCTGGAGGCTCACTACCACCGGTAAAAGTTGACAACAATACCAGGCCGAAGCTGTACGCATCGAATCGAAACATCAACTCGGGCGAAAATCCCCCAAACCTGGAGACGTCTCCTTCAATCACCTCAGGCGCCAACCAAGCCGGTGTCCCCCGATACTCGCTCAGCGTAGAATTCCCCTTCGGTGCCTCCAAGTCAACACAAACGCCAAAGTCACTTAACTTGGCCTGGAATGGTACACTGTCACTCCTGCCGGCAAACACGAGCACGTTGTCTGGTTTGATGTCTCCGTGCACAATCTTGAGATTATGCAGCGCCTCAAGCCCATTCGCTATGCCCAACACAAGCTGATACTTCACACCCGCCTCTCTCTCTTCAGAGCTCAAGAAGACTCCCAACGGCATGAGCGCCGCTTCCATGAATAACACAGGCACCGCTAGATCAGCAAAAGGGAAATCAAACCCCCAGGCCAGGAGACGAGTGATGTTCGGATGTCCGCGAATGACCGGATTACATAGTGACAGCACTTCGAGCTCTAATGTTTTGAGCTGGAGTCGGTACTCTGTGCTTGCTGCAAAGCGTTGCTCTGCCCTACTCGAGAGTGGGACATTGAGGCGCTTGATGACTTCACCTTCAAAAATTGGGTCCTTGAAAACAGTGAATTGGGCACCGGAACCGATCTTCGCTGCTCGGGTGGACAGATTCGCAGCTTTGAGAAGGCGAGGGCCGTGGATGCCTGTTTGGGAGAGAACCGTTGTGAATTGAGAGAGAGTGCTGAGGACGGAGGCCGATCCGTTGCGGGTGGCTGTTATGGCCGACTCTAACGGGTCGACCCATGATGAATCGGAGCTGGAGAGATTGAGGCTTTCTAGGTTAAGCTCTTCAATGTCGGTGGAGTTTGACCAGGCTTGGAGGGAAGGGGAGAGGTCGCTTCCTTCTATCGAGTAGTAATTGTTATCCTCGAGAGAATTGAGGATATCATCATAAGAGTCCGTCATTCTTCACTCAATGCGTGTCTTTCAAACAGACATTCCGCATGTCGGGGAAATTGGAATGGATCTTAGTGTCTATTATCTCACGCGGGGTATCTTAGAATAATAACCCCCCAACGCCAAATTAGAACCAGCCAATGGACGCAGTAGATCATAGACCTTCATGGTTAGCCTCATATTATCCTACTTAGCGCTTACTTTAGCGCTGACTGCTAATCCTAGGTACCTCTCTGTGTCAGTCTCCTCTATTTTTCTTGATATCCTGACACATCAAACCCCAATCTACCCTCATGCAAAGGCAAATATGGACGTCTACGGGACAGCTGTGACGGCCATAACGCAGATATACCAAGTCACAGTGTTCATCCAGGGTGTCATTTCCGACATCAAAGCATTTGACGAGGACCGAGCCGAGATCCGACTCAAGTTGAATGTCCAGCTGTCAACCTTACTCTTCTTTAGACGCACTTTCTTCCATCCAGATCATGGATTGATGGTTTCGGGGAAAGTAGACCCTTTTATCGCCGACACGGTGGAAGGGCTACTGGTGCAGATGCGGAAGACCCTCGCTGAATATGAGATCGTGGCTGCCAAATACGGTCTCGTGGATGACGAATACACCATCGAGCCTGACCAGTCCCAAGTGCAGGAGTCGCTCCTAGAGCGGGCCAAAAGCAAGACTAGATCACTCAAGCTCAGAGGCTATGACTGGTCGCTCTTCGACAAGAAAAAACTAAATCACATTCTAGACTCCTATACTGAGTGGTCTGAAAGTCTACGCAACCTCATGCAGCATATGTCACAGGAGACACTGGCCAAAATGGCTGAGAACGATCATGAAGGATTGAAAAGCAGTGGTCTTGAGCCGGTGATGAAGCGCCGGGAGCTGGCTGAGGCTAAGGCGCCAATGAGTTACCGTAGTTTGACTGGTACCATCACCGATACAGGAAAATCAACAGGCGGATTCCAACTGGGAAAGTGGTCTTCAGGATCTGAAGAAACAGAGGTCATCGTCGAGTACCACGAGTATGAAAGCCTACTCAAACGCGACGATCTAGATCCAGACGAGATAGAGGAGCTCAAAGACCCCATTCGCAATCTGGCATGGCTACTTCAAAACACCACTTTCGCCGGCAAATCATCAGATGCTCTCGATCAGCCGAAGATATACGCGCTGGAATGTCTTGGTTTCATCGATCAACCTATTGAAGAACGAAGTGTATTCCTTTACAGACTTCCTCCCTCTGAGGCAGGCACCACTGCATCCCTGACGACCTTACACGCTTTCATCAATGCAGTCGATAGTGCAAACAAACGACCGATCAAGAAACCCTCCCTCAACGACCGCTTTAGCATGGCATATACTCTCGCTTTGAGTCTCAGGTAATGTGCACGCCTCAGCCTGGGTCCACAAGAACATATGGAGCAGAGGAATTCTTCTGTTCCTCGAGACATCCACCGGAGTCAGGACTTCAGGGCTCTACGAGCATCGGGTCTCGACGCCTAAACCTGGAAACAGAATAGTCTCATACCTGAGTGACTGGGGCTACGCGCGATCAGTCCAACAAGGCACAGACATGCGCTCCGATTTCGAGGTTGAGCCAAATCTCTATCGTCATCCCGCCCGGCAAGGCCGCCCTACGCAGCAATTTAGCCGTCTTCATGATATCTACGCGTTGGGCGTGGTACTTCTTGAGATTGGCCTCTGGGTAACGCTGTCACGACTGATGAATGCCAAGATCCGAGAAGCAGAAAGTAGTGGGCGGCTGCCGAGACCGAAGAAGGTGGTTGAAGATTTGGTGATGCTGGCCGCTCAGGGTTTGCCAAAAGAGATGGGAATGGGCTATACAAATGCTGTACTTGCTTGTCTGAAGGGTGATTTCCGGGGGACTGAGGGTCCTTCTCTGGCTATGGATTTTCAGAACAAGGTGGTTGATGTTTTGAAAGTGGGTATCGAGTTGTAGACTATGATTGATACTAGCCAGCACGACTCTATGGTTGCCTATTTTTGGGAGATAAGGCATGGGATCTCCTCATTCAGGACATCTTTTTTTCATTTTCTTCTCCCCCTGCCGTTTGTGGTGCGCGCACCAAACATGACTTTCCATGTAAATTTCCTTGAAATCCTTTCTGAGATCTATAAATCCTCAAGAGCGGTCGCTCTATATTACAACACTGATAGTCAAAAATCATCTCTCAAGCACAAGGCCCATGAGTTGCTCACGCACGGTTCATAGTTTGTTGAAGGTACTGATAACAAAGTACGAGTTTCAAATCCCATTCTATAACAAAAAGCAGCAGAATTGCTTAGCGGCAGTCTTATATCTTCCCCACAATCTACATACTGGAGAAGTGGAGTTTGGCGGAACATCCACCCCTACTTAGCTATGTGGTAGCAATAGAATAGATTAAAATTGAGAGTCCCATCGGTCTATGGACATTATAGTATGCGCGCACAAGTGACAGACGTACACACAAAAAAAGCACCTGGAAATGCATAGCTCGGGTTGTTGGAGGTCCGCAAGCACTCACGACGTGCTTATCTCATTTCTTTGTCTAGATAGGCATAGTTAATGTAAGGTAAGCATGTCGCGAGGATGGACGAGATTGGACGTAACAGAGACAAGGAGACGTAGCGATATTTTAGAGACATAATGGGATGTTATTCATGTTCATTCAAGATGAAAGTATTGATACAAAAATTCAAACGTCGCAAGGTATCATGAAGTGTGACAGAAAATTGCATATAGACCCAAAGCTAGTTGAGCTTAGCTGAACCGCTTGCCGGGAATGTTACCCTGAATTTTTTTAAAGATAGCAGGCCACAATTCAGGGTAGAAGGCAGTCGACTGTTTTCCGGGCCGACTCTTACTATCAGTCAGGTACTGAGTAGGTGTCTTGCCTGCCCACCATGGTCGCGGAGTAGGTCTCAAATTCCGAAATGTGACGGGTCGTGTGAAATCTTTTTCCGCAATGAGGTCGCCCAGGCGGACTGCCGTTTGTCGCGGAATAGTGTTAAAGCGCATAGTGGTGAGATATAATGTGGCAGTCGGTGGCAGATCCTTGGCATAGTGGATTGCATTCTCGCGAGACTTCCTGGCAAATGCTGGCAGAGCTAGGTGAATAAAGTTTACATAGGGTGCTGCTATGTAGGCGACCACGACCATTGGGACGGCACCGCCGAGAACAACTGCATGTAAGTTAGCACACTCACTCTGATATTGAGGGTCACAACCTGAGGAGTACCTAATGGCGCAAGCCACTTCTTTTCTCGTCAGCGTAACAAGCCGGTGCTGCGATCACGCATGCACCGCCAAAGAGGAAGATGGTGGTAAGTCGCAGCATACCCAAAAAGACAGCTCGACCGGTGCCTCCATAGTATACCATTATGCGCTCCGGAGGTCCTTTTATATCCGATTTAGTATAATACCGTGGAAAATAAGAGCCCGACATACCCTTCCTAACGGTTGTCTTGGCTGGTGTGCTTGGAGGTGCTGGCCGCGCAGAAGCGGCCAAATCTTTGAGTTGAGGCGTTCCGGGTTCATGGCGCTGAGATGGACGGGGAGCTTGGGATTTGAAGCGAGCCCATAACTGATTGCGGAGGCTTCTGTGCGCAGGCTTTGAAATCGCAGCGCGCAATTGGGGGTGTAGAAGGATGTGTCGCATGGTTGCAAATGTGAAGAAGCAAGGTTCCCCAGGCGGAAAGCGGTGCCGCATCATCCACGACCGCCTTGTGTTTACGCTTTGTTGCTCCTTCACCACTTTCACATTCCCTTTTAATCTTGGGTTCCCGGCTGGTTTGGGGCTTATTGTCTTTGTTGATTTTTTTAGAGTCATGATACACTAGAGACCCGCTGCGTCGCCATGTCTTCGGCATATCGTGGCCTTCGGGGCTGCTTATCGATGCTCTGCCTCGGCCTCCTACTCCTCCTTCCAGCCCAAGCCTACGAGAAGTTGTCCGACGATACTTTGAGAGCACTACCCCGACCCAGTCAGGACTTCGATATCCATAATGGCGCAATTCTATCACCCATCCTTCAGACTCGCGTACCCGGCACCCCCGGTCATGCCGCAGTCTTACAACATTTCGTCGACTTCTTCCAGACGACTCTGCCGAAGTGGGAGATCGAATTTCAAAATTCTACAGCTAAGACACCGGTCTCGAATGGAAAGGAGGTACCCTTTACCAACTTCATCGCCACGCGCGATCCCCCGCATGCTCGAGTAGGGGATGTCGAGCGGCTGACCTTGGTTGCGCACTACGACAGTAAGCTAGAACCCGAGGGTTTTATTGGAGCAATCGACAGTGCGGCACCATGCGCGATGATCATGCATGCTATGCGTAGCATTGATTCTGCCCTCGACAAGAAATGGGCGGATATGAAGGCTCAGGGGATTGACCCCTCGCTCGAGGAACAGCGTGGAATCCAAGTCTTCCTTCTAGATGGAGAGGAAGCCTTCAAGGAATGGAGCGCCTCGGATTCTCTTTACGGGGCGCGTTCTATGGCTGAAGCCTGGGATCACCAAATGTACCCGGCGATGTCAACATTCAAGACCCCGCTCTCGGCCATTTCCTTGTTCGTTCTCCTAGACCTGCTGGGCTCAAAGGCTCCCTTTATCCAATCTTATTATCCCACTACCCATTGGGCCTACCAAGGGCTGGGAACCTTGGAACAACGTCTTCGGTCAATGAAGGTATTAAAGGCCGGCTCTGGGGAACCTTGGTTTATTGATTCCTCCAAAGACTCTCACCAAATAAACCCCTACGGCGGCATTCAGGATGACCATCTACCTTTTCTGGCACGAGGTGTTGAGATTCTCCATCTCATAGATTTCACTCCTTTCAAGGGCTTCCCTCCCGTCTGGCACACGAGCAAGGATGACGGAGAGCATCTAGATATGGACACTACCGAAGACTGGAGCGTACTCGTCGCTGCCTTTGCCGCAGAGTGGATGGAGCTGGAAGGATACTTTGATTTGCCAGAACAAACGTACAACACGCGAGATGAGGAGCTTGAGGCGGAGGCTATCCGTTTGAACAAGAAAACCGAGCTGTAAGCCCTCTCCGTTCCCCTGTTTCATGCATTGATCAGTTTTCTGGTTCTATTCCTATCCGGCTCTTGTCTATACCCAACCGCATTTTCATGGAGCATTTTTAAAAGGATTCAATCTGTGCACGCGCCGTAGAACCATGCTAATTAATGTGATAGCTCATGAATCGAGATCTTATGTACACTGTTAACGAGAGCTGCCAAGAAAATAATCTACAGCCACGAAGCACCCGTTCCTGCTTGGCTTCTTGTACATGAATATGCTAGAACATATTGCCTAGGATGTACCCACTCATAGTTGACAGCCCCCATGTCGGCTGGAGCACCGAGCGCAAGACTGCCGGACCGGGGCAGACTCCCCTCAATCCCCATGCAACCCCAAATGCCACAGCCCCAGCCACAAAGCGCCAGTCAATATCTGCCACTAGAGCAGTGGGAAGTCTCCATTGTTCAGCAAGCGTCGGTTTTGTTGGTTTCTTCTCGTTCTTCGAGATTCGGCCCGGACTCTGCATCAAGTATGTCGATAATGACGGCCCGATGCCGAAAAGAATAATCAGAGCCAGTGACGGATCAAAACGAGACGGGTCTGTTAGGAAAGCGAAGAACCTCAAAACTTTAGCCGAGTCCGCCATTCCGGAGATCAACAGGCCAAGTCCAAATTCCAGTCCTGCGAGGTAGGAGAAGATGGTACGGGATCTCTCGACCGGTGCATCATCTTCGGAACGACAAGGAAGTTAGTCATGCTAGAAAGCAAGACTGCCGCAGTCATGAAGACCACCTCATTCGATGATGGGTAGACTGGTGTGTAGCACGGGGTTGATCCACAGGAAGGGATATTTGATCCTCCATTTGCGAAATTTGCGGTGATCAGGGCAGAGGTGAAGAAAACGGCTGTTGCGATCAATGAGCGTGGCGAGAGACGGGATAACCCGCAGAGCATATGTCCGGAGGTACATCCGCGCCCATTCTAGTGTTTCGTTATACTAATCAGCTCAAGATTATTCGCCCTTGCCATTGAGGTTCATACCTTAGTTCCCCAACCCAGTAGGATTCCAACACCCAGCGTTGTCAACACAGAAGCCAATGAGTTTGGAGAAGCAGGATAATTTGGTATCAAAGACGGTGCCAGCAGATACACTGGGAGCACACTGGACATGAGTCCAGCGACAATCGGTACATTATCACGACTTGGGCTAAACACCGATTCCGAGATCAAGGATGAGATACCAAAGACTGCCCCATTGTGAAAGAGCAGACCCGAGGACCCCTCAAACAAGAGCAGTGCACCGAGCGAGGTATGAATTGGCGTGAACATTGTTGGTGTCAAAACTCTTCGTGAGGAGATGATTTTCCTCGAGAATTAGACTTCGTCGGGAATCCTGGTTGATGTCATGGATGAACCGGTACAGAAGTGATAGACCAAGGCGTTGAGCGGGAATTGATCGTCAGGTTTGGAATTGACTTGATGTTCAATCCTGGATTGTTGGAGCATGAGATTGTCTTTGGCATAAACTCATCCTCACGGGAGTAAGGGATCAAACCTTGAAGCTCGGGGACCACACGGTGGTCCCCGACCGACTTGCCCGCCGCGTCCCCGATGTGGATCGTCGAGGAGAAATTTATTTATGGGAGCAAGCAAACCGGTTGGAATGGAAATGAATATGTCCTGGATGATGAAGCTTGTTCTGTCTGGTTACATCGAGTCCGGCCGATCCGGAGTCGAATGTCGGGGCATGCTCAGCCTCATTCAAGGTGAACGTACGAATGGTGGCTTCGGGTCCATCCAGAGTTGAAAGACATGCCTTGGGTATTTAAGTAAAAATTAGTCTTGGAAGACGCATGAACACGCCTAGGCACAAGTTGGAAATGGTCGGGCCTAGATGCAGGACATGAAGTATAGGGTTTGACACCAGCCATGGCGCTCGGGGATTATTCTAATTGGAACACTCCGTCATGCATCCCTTTGCTTGTTTCTGGCCTTTTTATTCAATGAGATCCCTTCACTGTAGTTCTTGAAATTTTGGTGCCTACATTCCATATTGTTGGAGCATTCCAGGAAGGTGCTAAAAACGAGGGTGCAGCTTCCTTGGCTCCAAATTTCGCGCCTGACATTCATTCACCTCCGAGGATGTATCTTGGGACTAACTCTTTTCCCTCCTTGTCCGTTCATCTGCTCTGACCATTCGTCCGCGGCTTTGTGATGGGAAACATCCCCAGCATTGCCGGCCACGACTGCCTCCTGGCAGCCGTAGGACATGACTCGTCCATGGTGACCTTCCGAACTGACTTCTCCTTTAAATCCCATATCCCGCTTTACAATCTTAACACCCCCGTGATTCCAGTGGCACTCACATATCCCACAACAACCCACCAAGTCGCTGACATCATCAGCTGCGCAGTCGACAATGGGTACAAAGTTCAGGCACGCAGTGGGGGACACAGCTATGCTAACTACGGTTTGTCTCTCAACTCTATCCAGGGTTCATGAAGCCTTGCTAATCTTGTCTTCTTGATAGGTCTTGGAGGCACGGATGGCGCAGTGGTCGTCGATTTGAAACACTTCCAGCAATTTTCTCTCGACCCTGACACTTTCGTTGCTACTATCGGAGCAGGCACACTCCTTGGAGACCTTCAAAGTCGTCTCGATCATGCAGGTGGAAGAGCAGTGGCTCATGGAACTTGTCCCCAGGTTGGCACTGGTGGTCACTTTACAATTGGCGGTTTAGGTCCAAGATCTCGCGAGTGGGGCATGGCCCTGAGACCATGTAATCGAGGCTGAGGTGGTCTTGGCCAATTCGACGATTATTCGAGCCTCTAAGACTCACAACCAGGATGTATTCTTTGCCATCAAAGGTGCTGCAGCGTGCTTTGGCATCGTCACCGAATTCAAGCTGCGCACACACGAAGCACCCCACGAGGCCGTCCAATACTCATTTGTTTGGAACCTGGGCAACACATCTGAAAAAGCAAAATTGTTCAAGGACTGGCAAAGACTGATAATCAGCAAGGATCTTTCCCGCAAATTCGCCTCCGAGCTTGTAATCTCTGCTGCAGGCGTCATCGTCTCGGGCACTTACTTTGGCTCTAAGGCAGAGTGGGACGCTTTCGAACTCGAGAAGCATTTCCCACCGAGCAACTCAGCAAATATTGTGACCTTGACGGACTGGATGGGTATGCTTGGCAGCAGCGCTGAAAATCTCATCGAATCGATTGTCGGCGGAATCCCGGTCTCATTCTATGCCAAGTCCATGTCTTTTACTCCAGAAAACCTCATCCCTGATAGCGGGGTCGATGCAATGTTTAGGTACATCGATGCAACTAACAAAGATACCCTGGTCTGGTTTATAATCTTTGATCTGGAAGGTGGTGCAACTAACGACGTTCCAACCAATGCCACTGCTTACGCCCATCGCGATGCCATTTTCTGGATGCAATCTTATGCAGTCAACCTTCTTGGAATCGTCTCTCCTACTACCAAGGATTTTCTTAACGGCCTGAATGCGGTTGTTGCATCATACCATCCGGGCGCTGATTTTGGAGCTTATCCGGGATATGTTGATCCCCAGCTGATTGATCCCCAGAGCTCTTATTGGGGACCGAACTTGCCTAGACTTCAGACCATCAAGGCTGAGATTGATCCTCACGACGTATTCCACAATCCTCAGAGCGTGCAAGCCCTTTCTTGAATGCCGTTGACTCTTAGGCTAGTGCCATCTCGGTCTATCAGCACGCGGACTAGCTCTATGCGACATGACAATAATGACTTGCATCAATCATAAAGTAGTGTTATAATTGAAATTTCTCGATACATTAATATTGGAATCGGATCACTATTTGAACGTATCATTTTGCAATCGTAAGCTCCGCCGGAAGCTGTGAGCCTTCTCAATGGTTGTTCTTCAGTATGACTAATCCAATGCAGTCGACCTCAAGCTCAGATAGAACACTTTTCGATGAAAGTGCATGATCCGGGATTATGCCCGCTAGCTGTGATTCTGATTAAAGAAAACATCTGCCATGCCAAATTCTCGGTCATCTTCTGGACGCTCGACCGGGCCCGTGCTCTGTTTCAAATAATGAAAAGATTCAGGAGCTCTGAGAGACAGCATCTGGACGAGTCAGATTCAAAAGATGAAGAAGACTTTACCATCCTCGTCAGCCTAGCAAGACCCGTGTCTCCACCACCAAAGCGGGCTGCACCAGTTCCAAGGCCATCGCCAAAGAAAACTCCTTCGGGATCGCCACAAGACACATCACTCAGCCTCGCCGCCATTGAAGCAGGCGAAGTCACAATTGCCGACCACCTAGGAATCATCTCTGAGAGACTCAAAAGATGCATACGCCCTCCAATTCCTGGGTCAGCCCCTCGTATTCCAATAGATGAATGGACAGAGCTTTATCGCCGCAACGCACATGCCCAAGGTCGTCATTTTGTCATTCACCAACACGATCACCCTGTTGCTGGCCCACACTCTGACTTCAGACTACAATTTTCAGAAAATAGCTCTGTCAGTTGGTCTATTATGTATGGATTGCCTGGAGACCCAAATAGCGAGAGATTGAATCGAAACGCTACTGAGACTCGCGTCCATTGTTTATGGGTATGCCTATTGACTTTCTTTTGCCATTCACATCGCTGATCCTGATCCAGAATCATCTTCTTGAGACTGCATCGGACAAAACCGGATCAATTATTATTTGGGATACTGGGGAGTATGAGATTCTTCCTGTGAATGGGGATGAATCTTCGTCCGAGACTGATGACTCGCGATCTGAGTCTGATCTCGATGTCATGAAGGTTGAACAGCGCTCAGACAGCATGAAGTTACACGAGGCATTTGAGAGGGTAAGTTACAACGACTCCCATTTATTTATTTGTTCACCTAATCACATACCACAGCGCAAAATCCGTGTTCGTCTTCATGGTGCCCGATTACCAAAGGGATACACCATCCTTCTTCGACTAGATAAGAAGACAGACTTCGTGCGGCCGATACGCAAAGGCCCCAAACGCCGCAGACGCGACCCGAAAGTGGCGCAGTCAAAACGAGCCCCGTCCACCTCGGATTCAGGCTCGGATTCCCATCTATCTCCCGATCAAGTCTCACCTCCGAGATCATTCAAGCCCAATGACAGCACCCACTCCGACGATGACGTCGACACCACCATACAGAAAACCAACGCATACCCCGGCTCACACAACACAATCGGCTCCATACATCAGCGCCGCTGGTATCTCAGCATGGATCGCGAGGCCTCAGGATTCCAGCCCATTGGAAGACACGAGAATCGGGGAAAAAGAAATGGGCTCGAAGAAAAAGCAATCAAGGATCTCTCGGCTTCGAGCCATTCTACGTGCGCGGGCCGGATATCGAACGCAGTGTCGTGACTGGGCGTCTTGGTAGTGATGTTCTCTCAGATGAGAACGTGCAGGGATTTCAGCGTAGGAATCTGTGGAGACCTGTCCTCAATTGAATAGTCTCGGGCGAAGATACATACGTCTTCGGGTATCTGATTGCCTGTAACTTGACTAGTCTGACTCCACCTTTCCCGGCACGGCGGCGATCTTATCCTGGGTGGGGTCATTCTATACTTGTAGATAGTAGATGAAAGTGGAATTTTTTTGAAAGGCGCTTGAATAAGAGAGATACTATGAGCACTCAATGTAGTAGCACAGGTGCTCAATTACAATCAAAGGCTCGATCAGTTCTTCAGAGTCGAGCTGGACTCACTTTGATAAGAAATTGCTCCGTTCCATGCAGCGTAACAGGCGATAGACGGCTCGTTTTCCAAGAAACGAAATAAAAGAACCTGATGCGCAACCTCTAAAATACAGAAGCCAAAACTACTGAGATGCAACAGACGTACGCAAAATCGTAGAATGATCATCATAGCTGATAAGAGCTCCATGGGCTCCCTGAAAGAAGGCGCTTTCGTCAAGACTCATGCAAAGATAATTCTTGCTCAATTCTAAAAGTGACACGATCCAGGGAGGTCCAAATTCTATCGGGGTAGATACATGCTTCAAAACCACCCATATTAGACGAGCAAGGTCCAGGGACGCTCAAGAATAAAGCCGGTGAAGAGCTAATGTTTGCTAGGAACATCGACACGCTCGATAGTTGACGCAGTATTCCCGGCCACAAACCTTTGTTCGGCCCAGCATGTATTTCGGCAAGTCACAGAGCCGGAGTCTTGTGGATGGTTCGTGGGACTCGGACGGTGAACGGGGGAGCGGATTTTCACGGTGTTGACCATGGATGTCGATAGGTGAGCTTGAGCATGCAGAGCCACAAACGGAATCAGTGCTTTTCCGAGACTTTGAACAGCTTTTTTCTTGGGAATTAGGTGAGATACGAAAGGACAATAATGGCAAAAGTCGAATTGTCAAGAGATTGTCAAGAGATTGTCCCCTTGAGTACGAGGGAAAGGGGTCCTGGATGTCTACACTGGGACTGTGATGGATGCATGAGTGCATAATTAGAACATATTACCACAATTTCGACATGCCGTATGAGTAGCCGCTATGATCCTTGCTAGTACCGGATTTTCCTATGTCTTCTGTTCTACATTAGGGGTCAGCAGAGAAGGCACTTATAGTCGGTGATAAGGAATTCCTGCAACCCCTGTATGTTGGCGCAACTCTAGAATTCTAGTACGCTGGATGGTATACTGCTGATGTCAGACACGGAACCTCCAGAAAATTTGTCCACTCGTGGATGATCATCAGGCACGAATACCCATCGGTAATGACGAGGGACCACCTGGTACTGGAGTGCTAGAACATTAGGAAATCCGTGAGCTAGCCCCGGGAGCTTACCTCACATTTTGTGTAGGAATTTAATATGCATTGAATCCACTCGCCGCGATAGGAACGGGGCTTAAAGATAAGCGTGGAGTCAATGTGGAAATTACCTTTGGCTCCAGAAAGACGTTCGCCTCACCTTTTAGAGTTAAGCATTGTTGGGGTATTTAGCCCCAAGGTTCTTCGGAATGAACAATCACTTCCAGTAGTCCGTAAAATGCATAAGCATTTCCATGTCCCCAAGCCAAGATATAAAGTGGAGCAACGGCCCCAGATTGAAGACAGACGAAGCTCGGATTTCAAGAGTCCCCGTACCTCCCAGACCCACCGACGTACGCCGCTCCACGACGGCTCAAGAACTCGAGCTTACCAAGGAGCCACGGCAAAATCAGCGAGGACGAGGCTTACCCATCTCGGATCCCGCGCGGCCTGCAAGACGCACTCCGTAGCGTGACTCATCTGGTGCGCCAATAACGACAGCGCTCGTGGGCTTCACCGTCCTTTGGATCGTCCCGCAACTGCAATCTTCGACTCACGGACCGCCGGGTGGCTGGACCATTGCCTGTAAGAGAAATCTGGGACCGGAAGTAAGCGTTATCATCGTGGGTTCGAGCTACGGAAGAGGGAGAAGACGACGCTAAGACAGTGTCATCTTGACTCACAGGAAAGATCGCGGTACAGTCCCCGCTTGAATGTCACCTTGGTTTCTAGACCCGCCGCGGACTAGTGCACTTCATCAATGTGAATCGCGATAAGAGGCTTATGCTGCACTCCACTTCAATCCTTTTTTTCTTTTCTCATCCCTGAGGCTATGAGCAATGTCTGCCGTTCAGCTCGCTTCATTAGCTACGGGCTCGGTCGCCTTGCTCCTGGCGGCCGGCGACAGCATTCCTGCAATCAGAAGTATTGTCGATCGGATTTCGCGCAAATCACCTACCGTGGATGAGCCGGCGTTGGCAAAGACACTTTACAGAGATGAAGATGGCGAGGCTAGCGAGGAGTCCATTCGGGCTTTCTCAGACAAGTGGCAGCGATTCGCTCTCGCACTTTTCTCGGCCAGTGGCTTGTCCGTGACTGTTGCGCTGGCTGTGTTGTCGACATTGAACAAAAGCGCAGGAGACTTCCTTCTGAACTGGTTCCAGTTCGGCATTTGGGTAAGTAAAGGCGTGCGTTCGCACTGTAGTGTAATTCCTATTGACATGGATTTATGTGATAGGCCTTGCTCACTGTTCAAGCTGTCGCATTTTTCACTGAACCACGGCCAACAAAAAGATTTACACTCGGCCAATTCTCGTTCGGGGGTAGCATGATTGCTGCCGCTCTCACTGGCGAACAGATTCGTCAGGCTTGGGTAGGCCAGACTCGCCTTCTCCATGATCAAGTCTGGATAGGTCTTGTTGCCACGCAATTATCCAGCGCCCTTCTCCGTGCTCTGTTCAGTATTCTGCTACCTCGTCGGCCGCATGTTTTTCTTAATGGAAGGCCAGTCGATCAGGAATATACAGTCTCGGCATTAGGTCGCTATACCTTCGTCTGGGCTATCAGCCTTCTCAACTACGCCGTGCAGAACCGCAAACTAGCACTCACGGACCTTCCAGTTCTCCGATCTGCGAGACGTGCTGACCAGCTACGTAGCAGGTTTGAGAAAGCCCTTGCGTCGCGCAAACTCTGGAAGGGCCTTATTCTTGCCCATTGGCGCTCTCTCCTGCTCCAGCTTATACTTACAGTCATCATCGGCGTCTTGAGCTTTGGTCCACAGATGGCGTTGTTCAATATCCTGAGAGTCCTTGAAGCCCGCGGAAGTGAGACCTGGCAACCATGGGAAGCGTGGTTCTGGGTCCTTGCGCTAGGAGTCTTGATGCTGGTACATTCCACTGTTGAAGCCTGGCTGTTCTGGGCTGTATGCTCCAAGCTCGGTGTTCCTATTTACGCAGAGCTCTCTGCTGTTGTCTTCGCGAAATCCATGCGCCGCAAAGACGCCAAGCACATGAAGAAAACGACGAAGCAAGATGACGCCAAATCTTCCGCAAAGGCTTTATTGGACCAGAAGGACGAGGAGGAGGATGATGACGAAGAATCCGTCAAGAAGAGCCGACAGAGTATCATCAACCTAGCTGCTGTGGATGCACGACGTATTTCCGACTTTACATCTTACGCATATCTCATACCATCGGCGACTTTGAAAGTCATCCTCGGCTGTGCCTTCTTGATCCAGATTCTTGGATGGCAAAGTGCCCTCGCTGGACTTTCCGTCTCCGTCCTTGTAACCCCCTTGAACATCTACGCAGCAAAGAGATATACAGGTGCTCAAGACAAATTGATGAAGCTCAGAGATGCGAAGATGGCTATTGTTACGGAAGTGCTTCAAGGCATTCGCCAAATCAAGTTTTCCGCCTTGGAGCAGCAATGGCAAGACAAAATCGGAGAGGCACGAGACACTGAGCTGTCTGCTTTGTGGATATCGTTCCTCTACGATGTTGTACTCATGGCAATCTGGATCCTCGGACCACTGGGTCTCTCGGCTGTTTCACTGACTGTCTACGCTGTGATGCATAGCGGCTTATCAGCTTCTGTCGCCTTTACAGCAATGTCGGTCTTTGGTGCCCTGGAGATGTCGCTTGCCATTCTACCTGAGATTATCTCAAATGGGCTGGAGGCAAACGTTAGCGCAAACCGAATCGACGCCTACTTGGCATCTGCGGAAAAGATTGTCAACACTGTTCTATCCGACAATATTGAGTTTGAAAACGCGACAGTCGCATGGCCGGCGGAACACGAGCCAGGCACAGAAGAGGGAGACGAAGACCGATTTGCGCTGCGTAATTTGAATGTGAAATTTCCAAAGAAGAAGTTGAGCATTGTCTCCGGGCGGACTGGTTCTGGAAAGAGTCTGCTCCTAGCATCCATCCTCGGTGAATGTGATGTGCTGGAGGGCACCCTTAAAGTGCCTGTCCCGCCACCAATCAAGGACCGCTTCGACCACCTCGCGACGGATGCGAACTGGATTATCGATTCTGCTTTCGCGTATGTTGCGCAAATCCCATGGATTGAGAACGCGACCATTAGAGACAACATCTTATTCGGTTTACCTTACAATGAGACACGCTATAAGAAGGTTCTGTCTGCATGTGCCCTAACAAAAGACCTGGAAATGTTGCCAGACGGCGAATTGACAGATATTGGCGCGAACGGTGTCAATCTGAGTGGTGGCCAAAGGTGGCGAGTTTCATTCGCTCGTGCGTTGTATTCTCGAGCCGGTGTCCTCATTATGGACGACATCTTCAGCGCTTTGGATGCTCATACTGGCCGTTATGTCTACGAAAATGCATTGACTGGCGAGCTTGGACAGGGACGGACCCGAGTGCTAGTCACGCATCACGTTGCTCTCTGCCTCCCCAAGACCGACTACTCCGTCTTGTTGGAGAACGGATGCGTTAGATATGCCGGCACCATTGATGAACTTCGAAAGGAGAACCACTTGGAGGAGATCTTACGAGAAGACAACGCCGCCGAACAACAGGACCTTAACGCCGAAGATCCCGATGACCTTCTGAATTCCAAGGAGACCAATCTCCAAAAGGTCGTCTCAAACACCGTACCTCGACGGCAGAGCTCAGCCCCAAATGACACAACGCCTGTACCTGCAGCTCCCAAAAAGTTCGTCGAGGATGAAAAACGTGAAGTGGGATCTATCTCAATCTCCGTCTACAAGTCATATCTGTCTATGGGAGGAGGTGTGCCCATCTGGATTCTGACCATTCTAATCTATCTGACCTATACCTCCTTGATGGTTGGCCGAGTAAGTTAAGCATCATTTATGGTTCTTCCCTTCGTTTTCTAATGATTTTTCGAACAGGCCTGGTGGGTGAATATCTGGACCAGCGCGTCATCCAGCACCCAAGCGCACCCGGGGCAGCTTCAGACTTTGTTCACACAAACCGTGATGCGAACTCACCCCGAGCCGCAAGACGACAACCTTAAAATGTACCTTGGTGTCTATATCGGGATCTCTGTTCTTGCTTGCATCATTGGGACTGCGCGATATTACTTCATCCTTTCTGCAAGTGTGCGCGCATCCAGGAACCTCTTTAACCGCTTGACATATGCCGTCCTGCGAGCACCACTGCGATGGTTGGATACCGTTCCCCTTGGCCGAATTCTGAATCGATTTACGGCAGACTTTCACATGATCGACTCACGTATCGGATATGAGCTCGGGTTTCTTGTTTCCCAGTCTCTTGAAGTTTGCGGTATCATGGTGGCTGGCATTCTCGTCTCACCACTGGTTATCATCTTTGCGATAATCCTGCTTGTCGTCTGTCTCAAGCTGTCATTGAAATACCTAGCGGGTGCACGTGAAATCAAACGCCTGGAGAGTACTGCCAAAAGCCCTATCTTTGAGCAATTCGGCTCTAGCTTGACCGGTTTGGTTACGATCCGAGCATTTACCAAGAGCGAGGACTTTATCGACACCATCTACGGCAAAATCAACGCTCATGCCCAGGCCTGGTGGACTATGTGGTTGTTCAATCGCTGGCTGGGAATTCGCATGAACCTTGTCGGAGCAGTCTTCTCAACACTAACAGCGTCTCTTGTTGTCTTCCTACCTGGCATCTCAGCCTCACTTGCAGGATTCGCCCTCAGCTTTGCCCTACAGTGTAATAGTGCTATTGCATTTGCGCTGCGCCAGTACGCCAACATCGAACTCAACATGAATGCCACAGAACGTGTCATTGAATATTCCAAGATCGAGCTCGAAAACCAAGGCGGTGCTGATGCACCTGCTGCTTGGCCCACCGAGGGTCGGTTGGAAGTCAGTGATCTCATTGTAGGCTACGCACCCGATCTTCCCCCAGTCCTGAAGGGCCTCAGTTTTACCGTGGAGCCGAATCAGAGAGTCGGCGTGGTAGGAAGAACTGGTGCGGGCAAGTCGTCTTTGACCCTTGCGCTCTTCCGTTTCCTAGAAGCACGCGAAGGCCAGATCTTGATCGACGGCCTAGATGTGTCCAAGATCAAGTTGCACGACTTGCGTAGTCGGCTGGCGATTATCCCCCAGGATCCTGTCCTCTTCTCGGGCACTGTGAGAACAAATCTGGATCCGTTCGAGGAGTACAGCGATGGGGAGCTCAATGATGCGCTAGCACGCGTGCATTTGATTGCTACTGAGGATGACGAGGCAACTCTTACTTCACAAACCGCCACACCTCGACAGGGTGACGGCACAGAAACGCCAGACACGGCCACGATGCAGCAAGCCAACACAAACGTCTTCTCGTCATTGTCAGCGCCCATCTCGGAGGGTGGTCTAAACCTCTCCCAGGGTCAACGACAGCTGCTCTGCCTGGCCCGTGCCATTGTCGCCCGGCCTAAGATCATGGTTCTGGATGAAGCGACGTCTGCTGTGGACATGGAGACGGATGCTCTGATCCAGCAGTCCATTCGGGCCGAATTTGGCCGAAATGCCACCACGCTGCTCGTTATTGCTCACCGGCTAAGCACCATCGCCGATTTCGACCGCATCTTGGTGATGGATGCCGGCAAAGCGGTTGAGTTTGGAAAACCGAGGGATCTCATGAGTCTTATGGATGGTGTGTTCAAGAGCTTGGTCGACAACAGCGGCGAGAAGGCCGTGCTGGAGAAGATGATTTTCGGCCAAGAGTGAAAAGTGACCGCAACTATTTCCATTTTGTTACTTTAAGATTAGCGAACTGTATAGATTGCACAAATTGTGAACAATATATAAGTCTCATTCACATGAAAAACTATGACTAGCCTAATGCCAGGGAAGCAAATCTACATGACGAGGTGAAAAGGTCCATGAAACCAAAGAAGGTCGTGGATCAACAATACTGAAGATCCACAAGAATCAATCCAAGACCCATTTCCTTTTCGCATTGTTCACCCACGGCCAAGCCAGTGGAAACACCTTCAAGTCTCAAAAAAGGATCAGAGATGCCGTAAAGCGTCCGTGTTGTAAACAAGGTTGGTGTGCCGAACGCCGTTATCACCCTCCCTCCACCTCGAGTCAAGCAGCCCTTGGGCTCCCCGAAGAAGAGAGCCACTCGTCTCAGAGGGAGAGATAGATATCATATGGTACACGCTAGGCTTTCATCATCTGGAAACAGTCAGTAATCAATGATTCAATCGGGGAATCCGCTCCTAGAGACTTGGGGTACTCACAAGTAAAAACTTGGAAGGATGAAGAAGAAAAGAAAAAAATGCGGTTGACCGCGCGCTAATTAAACACCCGCGCTAGGCTGCTTTGGACGGGCGGTGGAGCTACTTTCTGCCGCGTTTTATGATATCGCAGCATCGGATGATCTTTGAATGTACGTACAATGATGTTGGCTGCAGGTGTGCGGGTGCCGTTGAGGCTCCGCTCGAGCTGTTATCTTGCCCAGTCTCTGCGTCGTCAGTCTCCAACGCCGTGGCCACGACAGAGTCCTACCGTGCGTCGCTTTCATCGCTCGGTCCGTCTCCGCGAGCAACATGCTCCGACTGAGCTCCCGAGCTTCTTGGAAGCATACAAACAAGCTGGTATGGCTCCAGCTTCTCGAGCGTACATTCTGAGGTTCAAATTCGGGATTACGTTTACTAAAACGGGCTCTTTCATGCAGTGGAATTCCCATCGGCTACCCATGACTTCCAGACCTTTCTCTGGCAGGCCGAGTCCAACATGCAAGTCGTCTTGCACGGTTACCTAGGCCAGCGAGCCGACCTCTCCAAGAAACTATCCTTCGTCCGCCTGACGGACCCGACGATGAAATACAGCATACAAGTGGTCGCCTTCGGCAAAACCCACGCTACCGAGAAGCTCAAGTCTCTCAATGCTCATAGTCCCGTCGCCGTACGCGGCACGGTCCAAAAGAAAAAGGGCAAGGACACTGACGCGGGAAAAAAGTCTGCAGAAGACATGTGGGAGCTTTCACTAGAGGATATTTACCCATTGAATGATTTCCCCAAGGATATTATCATGACGCCCGAGACTGTCTTTGCGCCAGAACATCGCTACCTCCAGCTGCGGTCTGATGGGGAACTACGTGAATCATTAAGGTTTAGAGCCGAAGTTCGCAATGAATGCAAAAAGGAATTGGAAAATTGCCAACCGCCATTCGTCGAGATTGAGACACCACTTCTGTTCAAGTCTACACCCGAGGGCGCGCGCGAGTTCTTGGTGCCAACCCGCCGAGCGGGACTTGCTTATGCTTTGCCCCAGAGTCCGCAGCAGTACAAGCAGATCCTTATGGCAAGCGGTATTCCGAGATATTTCCAATTTGCTCGATGCTTCCGTGACGAGGATCTTCGAGCGGATCGGCAGCCGGAATTCACCCAGCTGGATCTGGAGATGTCTTTTGCTACCGGCGAGGATGTGATGCGTACAATTGAAGCTGTGGTCAGACGGCTTTGGTCGAATTTGATGCAGGATCCGGCTCCTGAAGGGCCATTCCGCAGAAGGTCATACCAGGAGGTTATGGCCAAGTATGGTTCCGATAAGCCTGATACAAGATACGGCATGGAGCTTATGCGTCTTGACCACCTGCTCCCCGCCGATCTTGTTATGAAAATTTCTCCGCTGGAAAATCCCATTGTCGAGGCTTTCAAGCTTGAGAGTCAGGATAATGATCCTGCCGAAACACTCAAATTCATTGGCCAATTTTTGGACTCCCCAGCGGGGGCTCCCTTTAACAACAATCCAGATGGAGGCCCAGGTGTCTTTGTCTACAATGGCAAGCAACCTCTCTGCGGTCTCCAGCCCTTTGGCTTTGAAGCCGCCGAACGGATCGAAGAACTTCTCGAGCCCGATCACGGCGACCTGATCATCATTCAAGCCCGCCCTCGCGCCCCCTTTGCCGGTGGCTCAACACCAGTCGGTGACCTCCGCCGTGCCCTTCACGCCCATGCAGTTTCAACCGGTTTCTCACCGGCCCCCACAGGCTTTGATTTTATGTGGGTCGTTGACTTCCCTCTGTTCTCCCCCTCTTCCGACTCAGAACCAGGCCAAGGCGGTGCTGCTGGGTTCTCATCGACACACCACCCCTTCACAGCTCCCAAGACTCCCGCCGACGTGGATATGCTCCTTACAGACCCCACGAAGGTCGTTGCAGACCACTACGATCTCGTTGTGAACGGTGTCGAGCTTGGCGGTGGTAGTCGCCGTATCCACGATGCTGCTGTGCAGGAGTTCATTCTCCGTGATATTCTCCAGATGAAGCCCGAGCGGCTGGTTGACTTCGAGCACCTTCTTGATGCTCTACGTGCTGGATGTCCGCCGCACGCTGGCTTGGCATTGGGCTTCGATCGCCTTGTTGCTGTGATGCTGGGTAAGGAATCTGTGCGTGATGTGATCGCTTTCCCGAAGACTGGCAAGGGTGGCGACGATGCTATGGTTCGTGCGCCAAGTCCTATGACCGAGGAGGCGCTAGAGACATATCATCTGCGGCTTCGAAAGTAGGCATTGACGGGTTCCCTCTCCTGTCCGTCCGCCTTGTACCATATATACTATAGCTCTAGATACCTTGTCATGATCTCCAATCAATGTATATTATGCTTGTGTGGCATTTGGCCTTGGACGCCGTCTCTCGTCCGATGGGGGCTTGTTGCCCCGAAATGTCTGAATACTATGCAAGATAGTGTATTGTGGCCGAAACAGGCGTACTGGCCGCCCGGCACAGCCTTCTACCCCTCACTGTCTAGCTCGGAGCTAGTGTCGGATCAGAGAACAGATGTTATGTTGAATAGTCGACCATTGCTGTATTACGCTTTCAGCGAGTCTTGTCGATTTGTCAAGTCAAGATTAAATCAACTGTCTTCTGGGGATACTGACACTGCAAACATCCAATTATCAAAATGGCGTCTACCCATAAGCCGCTCTTTCCAGTGAAGAACTCACTGAAGTCTTACTGGATGAAGGAGCCTCATTCTCTGGCTTCTTTTCGCACTTCCAACGACCTCCCAAAACAATGCGATATAGCCATCATCGGCACCGGAATGTCCGGAGTCGCGACAGCCTACCATATACTATCAAACCCAAATATTGGCCCCGAAAGACCTAGTGTCATACTCCTGGAGGCGCGTCAGGCCTGTTCTGGAGCGACCGGGCGCAATGGTGAGCCAAAGACCATCGTGTAGACTGTTCCTATCCTAACTGTAACTTTTAAAAAGGCGGCCACACTAAGCTGGCGATGCCCACCGTTCACCGACTGGCCGAAACTCATGGACCCGAAGCTGCGGCTCAAATGGTTCATCACCAGCTGAATCAACTCACTGCTCTAAACGAAGTAGTTGATAGAGAGGGTATTGATTGTGAATTTTTGAGAACTCACTCTTTTGACATCTTCTTTGATGAGAAGTATGCTCAGGAAATGTATGCATTCATTTCTGCTGAACTAGCCAAAGGGACGCCTTGGGTCGAAGAGGTCCAATGGATCGACAAAGAAGAGTCAGACAAGGTACTCCCCGTTGTAATACATTACTCGGCGATAGGATGGCCCCTTTACTGACAAATTGCCTCAGATGACTGGTGTCAAGAATACCAAGGGCGCCTTGAAGGTCCCCGCGGCGTCGCTATGGCCTTATAAACTTGTCACAGCATTGCTTTCAAAAGCCTTAGATTTAGGTGGTCAGTTATACACAGAAACTTGTGTCACAGCCGTGAAAGAAGAAGATAACGGTGAAAACATTCTTACAACTTCCCGTGGACTATTGACGGCGAAAAAGACCATTCTTGCAACGAACGCTTATACTGCCGCCCTGCTCCCTCAATACGAATCAGTCATCACCCCATTCAAAGGACAAAACTCGCATCTGTCTCCATCTCCATCTTTCACACCGCCTATGCCTCTTACCAACACTTACAATCTTCATTTCGATTCGCGTTACGCAGACTACTTGATCCCAAGACCGGACGGAACAATCATGCTTGGTGGCGCAAAATGGACCTACGAACATGATCGTCATGTATGGTGGAACAGTGTTAATGATACGACATTGATCAACAATGAGACTACGCAGCATTTTGATTCTGTAATGGCTGATCATTTCCATGGCTGGGAGAATGCCGCTGCGGAACATGACATGGTCTGGACAGGTAGTAAGTGATTCTATCGCCTGTGTACGCTAGGATGCTGACACGAGCGCAAAGTCATGGCATCCACACCAGATGCACTACCTCATGTGGGAAGGGTCCCTGGATCTAAGAACCAATGGATTTTGGCGGGCTTCAATGGTGCCGGTATGCTGCAATTATTTACGTTGACCCAAGCAATTGCCAAAATGATTACCGAGGAAGTTGAGTACGAAGGTACAGGGTTACCCGAGTTTTTTAAAGCCACGGATGCTCGGTTGACTGTTCGCCACCAAATGTAGATTTTTGAGACAACATATTACTTGAATGACTTTTGTTACATTTGGGGAAAACTCATTGACAACTATAGATTATGCAAGACATCGTTTGAGTCCAGAGGTTTGAATGTATTGTATGTGTGAACGCTGATCGGGTGTCTTTGTGTTGCGAAATCAGGCCAAACCCGAATTTTTGCGACAAAAGCTCGCAGCGGGTGTTTTGCACTCTGATTTGAAGATGATCTTGATCAGAAGAGATCCTTGCAAAGATGTAGTGATGAGTAGGACCTATTAGACTTCAGTGCCAGACAAGTTATTGTGATTTGGCGGAAGCATTGTAGAATCTTCCATGGAGAGGTCTCGATGAGGAGTGGAGATCTGGTTATTCAGCACCTGTCTTTTCCGTCACCCCTTCAGAAAGGTTTGTTTAAATTATGATGGGGATTACAGAACCGGCATCTGTCCGTGATGAAGATGTTAGAAGGAAAGTCGAGAAAATCAGCAGAAATTGTAAACATTGAAGCCGGTAGAGAGGTACTCATGGATCCAACTGTGAGTCTTCTTTTTTCCGAAGTCTGGGGTCTTGTTACTCATATCTCTGCAGCTCACTCATTTCGCGTCTCATAGGTATCTCATACACCCCAGTAACTTGTTACTCTCATTTCCCCGTCACTTTCCGAGTCCTTTCCCCTCGCATCTATGTCAATTCGCTCTCACATAATGACCCTAGGGCTGTTAAGAGACATCTTCTCTTTTGGCAACGCGCCTAGGGGCCTCGAAGCACCTGTCCTACGAGCTGACCCTTACCTCGTCAATCAAGCTCTGCACTTTGGAGTTTATTTACGTCGACGTATGCGCTTATGCTTCTCTTCATCTTCTTTTAAATTCGTGATTAAGAAACCGTAGACGGCCAAGTACGCGCTGTGGAACTCGAGGTTATAATGCTTGCCTCTTGCTCTTTTTATTCTCTCCCGTTCAATCCACATTGACTGACTTGCCATTGCACCCTTGAAGCGTAAGCCTATCCAGCCCTACTGCGTCTTCTGCATCTTTGCTACACTTCTACGGACTGTCTCCTTGACAATCGAAATTGTCCCGTTCACCACTCACGGTTCTTCAAATCTCTACTTGATCCTGTGAGTCGCTCTTCATTCTTCATTCTGCCTTACCCTCATTCAGCTTGCCTCGACTCACGTAGAAACGTGACCATTGATATCGTGTCCAAGGCCCACTTCACTTCCTATTTAGATGGCTTCCCCAAAGGCCACTTCGGCTGCGACAGGCTTCATGGGACTGAGCGAGTCCCAGAACCGTCTCATGCTCCTTGCTGCTCTCTGTGAGCCAGCCGATCACGCAAGTCCCTCCAATGAACATTCCACAGATCTCAACTAACAAGCAGGTACAGATCGATTATGAACAGCTCGCCAACTTGGCCGGTATCACAAAGGCCAGTGCTCGCACCATGTACCCCAAGGCCAAGAAGAAGCTTGCTGCCTTCCAAGCAGCATGTCCTGTTATGGCTGCTGCTGATACCACTGGTACCGATCCCGACACCCCAGTTCTGGCCGAGAAGTCCGCCGGGCCGCGCCGATACAAGAGACGTAAAGTCACCAAAGCGACCACTGCCGATATGAACTTGTCCCACACCCAACGTGACATCGGCGACGCTGAGCTCAGTGAGGCCCTGAAAACTGCTGTGGAGGGAATTGAAGTCACGGAGGCCGCCGAGCTTGTCACCGATGACGAGATCTAAATCTTCTTTTTGTCAAAGAGCAAGGCGTATCAATATCGTTACACACACCGAGTCACTGGTGCATGAAGCCGAGATGGGTTCAAACTCTTTACTATCTGCGATTCTTTTGCGTTTGCTTCCACGACTGGCATGGTGAAGACCACTCCCAATGAACCATGTGAAAAATGACTTTTCAATATTCTCGCCATTATAAGAACAGGGTCTTGTGCTGCATTTGCTTGGGCCCCTATTTCATTTGATGTACTCCCTTGCCAAAATTGAAAATTGGAAAAGTGAATATTCAAGGATTCTTTTAATTGTCTTGTAGATAAATAGAAACATTCTCTCCCAGTATCAAGCGACCATATACCAGACACCATAACCGAAATATAAGAAATATGAAAAGAGCCCCCGATAATGTCAATATCAAATCGCTCAAAGCGCCTCAATGGCCCTACACAAAACATCCAGACCACGATCAGTAATCTCACTACCATCAGTCCCATCACTCGACGATTCGCGCAGAGCCCATGCAACATCGCTCCACCATCCCAACCCAACATAACCGCCTCCTTTCCGACGCTCCAGACTCTCCTTGAGCCTACTAGTGTGCTCCCATTCCTTGGCAGCATGTTCAGCACACTCAATCACCTTACTCGGGATCCCACACATCGAAGCACAATGCATACCGAAACTACCCTCTGCGACACCCTTCTCCAGTTTGTAAAGGAATGTCACGCGGCGTTCGGCATCATCAACGTGGATCGCCATGCGCTTAGGTGAGATTTCAGGGTGATTCTCAAATTCAGCGGCGAGAGAGTGGTAATGGGTTGCGAAGAATCCCATTGCGCCAATGTGAGTTGCGATGTGGTGAAGTACGGCTTGTGCAACGGCAACGCCATCGTAAGAGCTGGTTCCACGGCCTAGTTCGTCAAGAATGACTAGGGAGCGGGGAGTGGCTTCGGAGAGGATTTTCTTGGTTTCGGAGAGTTCGACGAAAAAAGTGGATTGGGCAGCGAAGATGTTGTCATTGGCGCCGAGACGTGACATGATGCGGTCGACGGGAGTTAGGCGGGCGGATGCGCAAGGGACGTAGCAGCCGATTTGGGCCATGATGACAGCGACGCAGGTCTGTTGTTATTAGTTATGGGTGAACACGTGGGGAGTAGGGGATTGCATGTACCATTCGGAGGACGGTTGATTTTCCGGCGGCGTTTGCACCAGTCAACAAGTTCAGGTTGGCTTCTTGGCCACCGAGATTGATGTTGTTGGGGATGAAATCATCAACAGAGGAGGCGAGGCAGGGGTGACGCAATTCTTCGAGTTCAAGGACGCTTCGTTCTTCATCCACAAAGACAGGACGGCAGCTGGGCTGGCCAAGAGAGGAGGAGGCCTTGGCTAAGCTGATCAAACAGTCCAGTTGCGAGATGACACGGACAGCTGCAAGCCAGGTGCCGTAGTGCTCATCAAATCGGGCATGGAATCTACCAGCGACTTCCTTGACAATCTGACTGTGTGTTTCCTGGGCCTCCTGTAGTTTGCGAATGAGAGTCCGCAGCTCGGGGAAGTAGTACCGCTTGACTTGCTTAGTGGCCGACATCTGGTTCCAATCCTTCGGGATATTCTTGACCTTGATAGGCACTTCAAGTTGGTAGATCTCCTTTCCATTGTCCCGGTAGCAGATGGCAGTAGATCCAAGATCACGCCGTGCCTTCTTCAAAAGGTTGTCGAGATCCTTATGGAGCTGGTCGATAAACTCCTGCGAGGAATCGAAATCTTCTTCGACGCCGGGCTCGGGAACAAGAATTCCGTTCTCCTTCGCCTTGGATCGATCAAAAGCCGTCTTCCAGTAACCCAATAGCTGGGACATATCGGGCATAGCCGAGATAAGTTGTCCGATGATGCCATCGCCAGACCCACTATCCTTGAGGATACCCATAGTGTAGTCAATCTGCTCAAATCCTTCGAGGACGCGGACAAAGTCCTGTGCTTTGCAGACACCAGCGTGAACACGGGAGATAAGACGCTCCAGGTCAGGCATCTTGGTCAACTGGGAGGAGAACTGGTCTCGAACACTCGGGTCGGCATTTAAGGAATCCACGGCATCGAGGCGGGCATTGATGCGCTTTGCGTCCATCAGGGGTGGCAAACCCACTGCTTGAACATGCGCTTGCCGAAGGGCGTGATGCAGCGATTGAGAAGCTGGAATAGGGTGCCATCGACACCGCCATCGAATGAGTTTGCGAATATCTCCATGTTGATCAGAGTCTGACCATCCAACACCAGACTGGAGGCCTTCTTGATCGGATCGTACCATTCAAAGTTTCCGATGGTGATAAGGTCTCGGTCGATCTTCAATACTCGCAGGTACTGTGTGAGAGCACCAAAAGCCGACATGAGCAATTCCTTCTCACGTGCATCACGAAGGGTCTGGGGCCAAGCTTTAACATTCTCGTCATCTTCTGAGACAAAGTAGTCGCTAGCATCGAGTTCTTTTACTGTGACATCACCCTCCCAGAACTCTTTGCCCGGCTTGAGATAGTTCCACAGAGTAGTGGGTCCCGTGTTATTCTTCAGGATGCGCAACGCCTTGGTCGAGACGCAGGATTTTTCAAGCAAGATTTCCTGCGGGCGAGTTTGCGCAATGAAGGTCTCAAACTTGGTCATGTCCACATCATCAACGAACTCGGAGATGTGGAATTGACCTGTGGCAGTATCGACGAATGCGAGACCAAATGCAGGAAGTTCATCAACAATGGCTTCTTTGATAGCAACACAGTAAGTGGCCATTTCATCCTGCAGCATGGAACCCTCAACAAGGGTACCGGCAGTGAGAACGCAAGCCAATTCTCGCTTGATAATCTTGTCTTCTTTACCCTTCTTAGCATCACGCTCGCGCATCTCTTTGCCAAGGGCAGATTCAGACTGATCAACTCGAGCAATCTTATAGCCCTTGGCCACAAATTGATTTGCCCAGTGGGACAGGCTCATCTCGGGAACGCCGACCATTCGCATGTTAACTCTATCAGTAAGCTTCAAGTCGAACAGCTGGTGACCAATCGTAGCATCGTTCTCGTAAAGCTCATAGAACTTGCCCTTCTTGAAGAATACCACAGTATCCCAGAACTTCTGCTTGATTTCCCAATATTGTTTTTCGAAAGGAGAGAACTTAGACCAGGCCAGTGGAGGAACATAAATAGTGCGAGGGTCAAAGTCAGGGTGGCCAGGAGGATTACCATCCATGTCCTTAGGATTGGCAAGCCAGGGATACCGTTGTTCAGGGTCTTTAACGTGAGCTTTTTCCTTCTTGGCACTAGACGGCGTCTTCGAAGACTTCTGCGCCGCTCGTTCTTTCCTGGGCTCGGTGTTTTCAGGATCAAATGCCCACTTGAGTGCGGTGCCTCCTGAACTTTCTGGAAGATCGGCATCAAGGTCTTCATCGGCGGCTGGAGGGGGAGGGGGCGAGGAGGATTTGGCCGACGGCTTGCGCGAGGTCTGAGGGACTGACTTCTTGCGTTTCTTCGGGGCGGTAACTTCTTCGTCGGATTCATCGGCGACTATGAAGTCGTCCATTTCTACGCGCAGTCAGCACCATACACGTTTCAGTGACCATGTTACGTACCATCATCAGATTCGACACCCTCATCTTGTGGCGCTTGGAACTCTTCCTCGCTCTCATCTGGCGATGTCTTCCTCCTCTTGTTTTCCCGGCCGCGGACACTGTTGTTGCGTTTTGGACGGAAGATAACATCGTCGTCGTCTTCCCCTTCCGAATCGGACTCCTTGTAGCTGATCTTCTTCTTGCCCTGTAGAATATATAGTCTCAGTATGATGAACCATAGATACGAAACCCGACTTTTCAAACTAACCCGACGCGAAGGAGACATCGTATTTTCCTGGGCTTGGTCGCGGCCATTCTGAGAAAAAAAAACGAGCATTAGCGATGTATTGCGTAGGAGAGACAGACCAATAAGCCAACCTTCACAATGTCACCATTCTCTTCGTCTTCATCAGGAATTGGCAAATCACTGCTGGGCACAGGGCTCAGGTCTTGCCCAAAGCTCGAGAAGCTCCTCTTGGGTGTTGGCTTGACCGTACTGGCACCACGCTCAGATGCTTTTTGGGCCGGCGATGACGCGGGTTCGCGCACCTTGTTGCCTGATGGGGCTGCTGGTGACGACTTCTGGAAGAATCCGAGGATAGACTTTTGGCTTTTCATGTTCTGGGCGCTCGAGGTCGTTCTCTTCAGCGCGGAGGGAGGTGTCGCGGAGGGCGATTCGGTAGGGGCCTTGGCCATTGTCGGCGACTTGTACAGATTTGGACGCGAAATCAGATGCTCGATGTTAGAGACACTCGGGACATGGTATAGGGGATAAGAACCGGAGGATTAGGAAGGGATTGGAATGAATGGGTTGACAGGTCGATAGGAGATAAGCGAAGTCGCGGATCGCGTCGACGCGTAAAGTGAGGTGGGTCCATCTATACTTTTTAGACCATCTCAAGTACTCGCTCCAGAACATCTGCATCGAGTATTATTAGAGGATTGACGAAGGTTAAACTCCGATGCGGAATGACCGAATACGCATTATACATCAAGTCTCCGGTGCAATACTGTACAATTGATTTATGCTACATCGACTCTATATAGAAATACAAAGTGGAGAGCTCATCTCTCCATAGTCAACTCAGTTATTCGACTTGGTCGAGTCAGTCGACTTGGTCGAGTCAGTCGACTTGGTCGAGTCAGTGTGCTTAGCCGAGTCAGTGGGCTTAGCCGAGCTGTTGAACTCATCCCAGCCTGGAGCAGTGAGCCCTTGTGCGCGGAAATCCTCATCGCTCACAATCTCCACCATCTTGAACTTCCACTTGCCCAACTTCAACATCAGAAGATTGTCATTCATGATGTATTCCTGGGTCTTTTCAGAGGGCCAAACCCGGATGGGAGTGAAAGCAAGATCATCAGACATGGGGCCACTGTCACCGGGACGGCTGCCCACGTATGCTCCGTTGTTCGTGATCACACGGTGCCCCTCGCCCTTCGATGAGACAAGACCAGCGGACCAGAGGATCTTGTTGAATTGCTGGTTGAACACCAGGGACTTAGGAAGGATGACCCTTGCGTTGGGCATGTTCGCAAAGTGAGTCTGAGAGGCGAAAGGGTTGCCGGATTGGGGAGTCTCGAATCGGGCCGTTGGGGACTGAGGGTTTCCTGCAGCGCTGGGCGTGCGAGGCATGGGCGAAGGTTCGCCGGTGGAAGACCGCGAACGGAACAGCTGGCGATGTTGGAGGGAGACGGCGTCGGCCTCCTCTTTGCCGTGGACCAGCTCGACAAATTCATAAGCCAGGAGATGCTGGGCCACACGCTTCGACGGATCCTCCTTCTGTTGCTCCATGACGGAGGCAATTTTAGGCAAAGGAAGGAAAGTGAACAGCTTCAGGTAACGCTCCACCGTATCATCAGGTGTACGGACGAAGAACTAGGTTCATGTTTAGTTTCGAGATTCACACGTTAAGAGGAGACCTGGGCCTACCTGGTAAAGCTCAAAGGTAGAAGTCATGTCCTTGTCGAGCCAGATGGCATTGCCAGCCGATTTGCCGAACTTCTCGCCAGAAGGCGCCGTTAACAAGGGTGTAGTGAAGCCAATCGGTCTGTCCACTTCGGACTCAAGGGGATTTCGGTTAATTTCAATGGCCGTGTTCCGGCTGATGGCCTTGACAGCATCCATGCCGAAAAGGATGTTTCCATACTGATCGGCCCCTCCCACTTGTACTTGAGTTCCTTTTTGGAACAAGGTCCACCAATCCCATGCCTGAAGAAGAGGGTAAGAAAACTCTGCAAAAGACATGCCGTCCCCTTGATTTAATCGGGTTTTGACACTAGTGGTATCGATTAGAGCTAGCGATCACCCAATTTGAGCAAAACTTACGTGTCTCTACCGAGCATAGGTCCAAGTCTCATGAACGCGCCGAGGTCGCGCAAAACCTCGATGAACGGCATAGAATTCCACCAGGTGTTGTTGTTGAGCAATGCTCGCTTCCAAATCGGCTTTCTCACATAACCGTGTCTCCGACCGTAATGTTCAATACTCGAGCCCAGCTTCTTGAGTTGCATGTGCATGCTGGCCATGTTTGCCTTACGAACTGACGAATGCACGGCATCGCGTCCCTTTAAACGTCCAGTGGGGTCTCCGACCCGCGATGTAGCACCGCCCAGCTGTATTTCATGAGCCCCATGCATCGTGAGAAATCCGAGAACATGTCAACTCACCAGGAAGGTCACGGGAAGTCCCCAAACGTATCCCCAAGCCAATACCATAAAAGGTAACATGTGTCCAACGTGCATCGAGGGCGCGGTAGGATCGATTCCGACGTAGATTCCGGTTCGCTTCTCGGTGAAGACTCGGTGCAACAATTCTCGCTCTCTGCAGCAAGTGAAGAAGTCAGCACAAGTCACAATACCAGTTTTCACATCCAAACCACCATTGTCCTCATAAGCAGTGAGAAACGTACCCGACAACATCATGGATGAGCCCTCGCTCTTCCAGGTGAGCTGCAAAGTTCTTCCGCTTGCCAGCCTTAATTTCCTCGGCGTGCGCCGCCCATTCCTTCTCCCCATCTTTCATCCGCTGAATATAAGCCTGTGTAATACATCTCGTCTGTTGCAATATTTGTTCAGATCGCCGAGTGAAAAGAACGGGGCGAGGAGTTTCGCAAAGCAGCGGAGTTGTTTGCGTGACTGCGGCAAAGCTGCGCGCTCCACATGGTGCCCGTCGAGGAAGACGCGGGTTGCGACAGGTCGCTCGGACGAGCGGTGCCGATTGTGGCCGCATCAGTCCGGTTTATAGTAGAAAAGAAGGGCAGCGAGACCTACAATGGTTGAGATGCAACTCAAGTTGTCCGCGATCGACGCCGACATTTTGTCGCGCGATAAGATTCTCGGAACATTGTTTTTGCGGCAATCTAGCTTTGCTTTCCTTGTATGGAATCAAAGTGCATGTTCTTACTCACAATCATGCCTATAAATGAGATTTTCTTGTATGCTTCAGCAAATATTGGCAGTCGTAGATACTTATACCACAGCATATGAATAGTATGGTCCTTTTCGAGCGGCCCTTCTGCGTTCTATGAATTAAGCCACGAAAATTTGGACGAAGATTTCGTTACTCCACCCGCTATCAAGCTTCATCTCCTTCCACGCAGCCTGGACGTCGATACCTAGTACAGTGGTACCACCACCGCCCTCTTTCCAAACGGTCTTCGGTGGAATGGGCTGTCCAAGGATCATGACCATAAGGTCTTTAGCAATATCCCGATCACGTAAGTCAGAGATGTAGATCCCTAGTGTTCCCAACGCCTTCAAATGGATGTCAAATCGCAAGCGACCGTTCTCGACCATGAAGATATCAGAGCTCACAACGGCTGCCGCGCCGGTCATCTTACCAAGGAGACCAAGGACAGCCACATGAGTTGAATTATTTTCCTTGATATTGAATGATCGAGTCAGGTGGACCGTGAGAATCTCCCATCCTTTCTGCTCCAGATTGACGGACACGAGGGATTGCCCATCAAGTGGTTCCATGCGTCTTGTGACTTTGCCGCTTGTGTGAGCTCGTACAATATACTGACCATCTGACCCCTCGTGTATACCGGGGAAGTCCATCAAAGAGACCATGCATGATGCCTCTGTGGAGCTCACGTTGAACAGACCCAGAATGCCACTTCCAGTCCTGGCCCAGCCTGTGTAGCTTCCAACGCGCAAGATCTGTTTCTCGTTGAAGTCGTGGTAGATATCGATGGTGCGGCCGATGACACTTGGACGCAGAATAACAGTACTTCCTGTAACTGTTGGCGCAGTCATTTGATTAAGAACTTTGAGGTCGTGTTTCCCGGGTTCATCCGTGATATACACTGGTCCACCTGATATACACCGCGCTGCAGCGTGAAAGGATGCGTAGGGATGGCTTGTCTGGAACATGTCCCAGTCCGGCAGGACATTCAAGTACCGGGTGAGGAGCGCATTGTGTGCGTTGCAGAACACATGCCATGGGTGAGATGCAGGGATCTCGGGGAAATAATCGTCTGAGTTTCGCACCGGTATTGTGGGCTTATTTGTAGGAAGCTGTGAATGGAATATGATCTGCGGAATCATTGATCCGCAGGAAATGGACTTTGTGGTAAAGTACTTCAGCGCAGCGATGGACCAGGCATCTTGATAGGAGACCATGAACTTCTTGCGGTCTTCTGGATCGTTCAGAAGGTCGAGGAAGAACTGGGCGTCTGTCTTGACCGAATCTACGCCGGCTGATTGGAGATAGCTGTAAAAGTCGTCGTAGAATTTTTGAACGGATTCCGGATGAATTGCAAGGATCTCTCCACTGGGAACATTTTGTGAGATGGGACCATCCACAGATGGATCCTTTAACTTGACTACCTTCGTCCGGTATCTTTGCGCCAGATCCCCATTCGGGCAGATGCCTCCCCAGTAGCCCAGCAATGCATGCCAGACCGCGATATGTTGGATACTAGGATTGGCCTGGCGGATCGTCTGGACAGTTTGCTTCAGCCCTTTTGGGAATGCCTTTGCATTTGCTTCAAACTTCTCCCAGCGACGCTTGAACATCGACTCGCCCTCGTTGTCGAGGCTTTGCCAGTTATCGTCGATGATCAGGTTGACAATATTGATGCCATGATCTTTCAAGGTGCTCAACGCACCAAGAATCTTCTCTTCATTCAGGTTCTGTCCTAGCCCATTCCAGGTGCAGTAGGTCAGACCGTCCACCCACTCAGTAAGCCACTGTGTCTGTGGGTCTTTCTCGACTATGACAATGTCATCGCCAAGAGGAGAGGGAGGAGCCTGCTCCTCCGCCATTGTTGTGGGTTGCGCAAACGGTTTCACAACCTTTCTCGCCTCGTATATCACTGCGGACATGGCAACCTCAAAATCCTCTGCAGCCGCGATCAAAACATGAAATTTGGAATCCGATTCGTTATCATTCCTTGCTTTGACCACTACTTCGCCATTTTTGCCCGACTGGAAGACTGTCAACACGTCGTTGACCCCCGATACAGCCAGCATGACAAGGTTTACCCCATCGGTACGAAGGAAAGAGGACAAAACCGCATCTTCCGTCAAGTGGAATTTCTCTCTCCCGTGCCTCGGTCCTAGCCAGGGACACCAAATGCGCACCAATGAGAAGTACCTGACCACCTCGGACGGAATACCCAAAGCGAGTCGTGTGATACCAGAGACACTGCCTCTGGCCGATTTCGATCTTCCAGTAATCTCCCATAGCAGAGACCCAGGTGCTTCACTTTTTCTCACGTGAATCTGTACTTCAGAAGGGAGACCATCGATATACTTTGAAAGCTCATCCTTTGCATCACGCGATGACGGTTCAGACAGCCAATATCTCTCCAACTTCGAGGTTTTTGGGCCGCATACGAGCTCGCCATCGCTGACAGGATGTTGCTGGTTGGCCCATTGCCATTCCGCATCCGGACTGGTCCGGAATCGCACGGTGAATTGAGCATGACAGCCGGCGGTTGGGAGCGCGAGTCTGTTTGAGAAGACATGACGATGGTGGTTATATTCGTCCTCGCTTCCAGTCAGTAATGGCGCATGCGAAGGATCAACTTGATTCAATGGGAGAGCTGTCCATTGAGAGCTGGTGACGTTGTGCCATATCTGGACTTCCCAAGACTGCGCTGGGAAAGTTGCGCTTGATTCTACGACGACGGTAAATTTGACCTGTTGCGATAATCAGAGTCTTGAGTATAAATCATGAAAAATGGCCAGTAGTTGAAAAGTAATTTTGTCTTTTACCTCATCATCTTCTTCTGTCCGTAATCGTCTCTGTGCTCTTTGGATGCAAGTGGTCTGTCCCAGCGGTGGGTAGCTTGTCACTCGGGCGAACAAGCCCATCTGGACCGGTCGAGCGAATACTGGACGTTGGGGTATGGGGTGCTGGCTAGCTCCAAGGATTGGAAGTGTGGAAGTCGCGTCACTAGCATTGACCTCCATCGGGATCACGGATGGGGTACCAAAGTAGCAGCTCGGGATCTGGGGAGACGCGAGCTCGTTGGTCAATGGGTGCAGAGTAGAATGGCTTTTGCCGCGTTACGTGGCTTGAGGTAGGGAGTACGACTGAAATTATTTGGAGGGCAAAAGGCAAAGGCAGAATAAAAATGATGTAGAGAAGTACGGGTGGGGGCTACTTAAAGAGGTGGGGAAGCTTGTTAGCCTTGATAAGCTACAAGCTACTGTTTCGCATCGCTGCCCAGAACAGAGGTCATACTTTTGATGGTCGTTATAATTGAGTACGTATTATTCCAATTTGAGATTTTGATACTCCATCGTCGCCTTGCCATTCGTTGGAAGGGACTCCCATCAGTGGCACTTAGTTAATCTTGATAGTCAACTTACCGAAATGGTTTTGGCCCCACTACAAATGGAGTCAGCACAAGGACAATGGAAGATGGAAGTGATACTCACCATGTGCTCGTAGGCTTCCCGAGCCTGTTCGAGAGTGAACACTTTCTCGTCCACCACGGGGTGAATATCATTGGCCTCGATAGCCCGGATCATATCCCTCATCAGCTGCTTGCTGCCGACGTAGACGCCGCGAACAGTGCAAATGTTGCTGAGGGTATCCAGGACAGTGGGCTGGTCCTGACCCTTCATGCCGCCGATGAAACCAATCACGCTGATCACGCCCTCGTACTTGATGGCCTTGAAGCTTTGCGTGAGAGTGCCAGGTCCGCCGACCTCAACAATGTGGTCCACGCCCGCGCAATCCGGAGTCAATTTGCGAGCAGTCTCGCCCCAGTTCGCGTCTTCCTTATAGTTAATGATGTGGTGGGCACCCAATTTCTTCAGCTTGTCAGCCTTGGAGGCGGACGAGGTTGTGGCGATCACGGTTGCACCCGCGGCTTTAGCAAACTATGAGCCGATATTAATTGATTGTCCCGTGATTTATATCTCGGCACTCGTCCAAGCACATACCTGCAGACCGAACATACTGACACCACCGGTTCCCTGCACGAGGACGACGTCGCCCGGTTTCAGAGGCTTCAAGCCATACAGGGCATTCCAAGCTGTGAGAGCAGCACAACTGAGGGTACTGTTCTCGAGGGCATTCAGGTTCTTTGCAGCCTTGACAAGGCCCGACGCGTTGAAAACGCCATATTCGCGCAATGTACCATCGATCACACCGCCCAACCCGGTGACGGACGCGGGGATATCGACCGCGCCGAACTGGTGGCCCTGGTTGAACAAGGTCGCAACGTGGTCACCCTTCTTGAATTCGGTGACTTTGGATCCGACCTCAACAACCTCACCAGAACCATCGGATCCAGGGACCACAGGGAACTTAGAGGGGAATGGATATCTACCCTGTCAAAAGTAGAGTCGAGTGAGTACGGAATCCACAACATACCGACCCCCGTATCACGTACCTTGGGAATGATCAGGTCGCGGTAATTCAACGACGCAGCGTGAAGCTTCACCAACACCTCATTCTCACCGACTTTCGGCACCGGCGCGGCCTTGTTGAAAACAAGTCCGTCGAAATCCTTCTCCTTGCTTTCCACCAACCATTGTTTCATAGTCGAGGGAGCCATTTTGAGGTTCCACTTAAGGCTGTCTTGTGGGTTATGATAGCTTTTACAAATAATTTCAAAGCTCCCTGAGGAGAAACGGGCGGTATATAAGCTTCACAACTTGACGTAGTTGTTGTGTTATCGTCTCCACTCTCTGACGGAGACACTTTCCGTCTCCACCCTCTGACGGAGAGATTATTAAGAACACCAAACCATATGGTTCTCCAATTGGATTTTGTCCCTCTGGACGGGCAATTTTTCGGAGACTTTTGTGGTTGCTGATCAATCCATCCGAGTGAACTAGGCTCAACTCTGTTCGGGATTTGGCGGATGTAGCAGATGCTCCTGTATCTCTTTTCTTTCTGCAGCTTGCATTCACCGACCTCGGGCATTGTCAAAAGTTGGCGGTTCGAGCACCGAAGCGTGAGCTGTGGGCGAATTGGGCAGATGCGGCCTTGTGTACTTTTCAGGAGCCGGATTTATGCTTTCCGCTGCTATCGCGTTGCTTGACGAAGAAGTTGGGAAGTTACGCAGAAATCCTAAGTTGCGTCTTTGCCACCTTGTGAAGCCTCTTAAGCAGCCTCTGACATCATCTGTTCAGCATGGTGTATGCATGAAAGGTGGTTGGAGAGCGCTTCTCCAAGCGACCATGATAATTTGGTAAATGTCGGTAGTAGTTGGTAAGAACAAAAATTCGCTTTCAGTGGCACAGCTGCCGGGGGCAGAATCAGCAATGCTCCGCCCAAGGTTCACAACTATGGCCCAAACCCCACTGAGGGGCCAAGCAATGGCACAATGCGAAGCTCATAACACTCATATGATGTGATGGCCACTCCATTAACAACTACTAGAGTCCCCGAGAAGCACACGAGATCATCGGACCGCGTGTAAACACTTGTCACAATGAGAAGTCGCATTGGCGACATGAGGAGGGGTAAGATCGTTGTAGGAGCATGAATATTCGCGAATCCTGTCGCAGTCATCGTTTTCATCCTGAGCGTCGCATTCGATTGTCTTTACTCTCAAATAGATATGGGTAACAAAAATCTCACCATCGAAGGGACCAAGAAGCTATTAGAGACTGCGAAGATCCCGCTGTGAACCAAATCGAGGCGCTTTCTTACTTGTTACAGTCAGAACCTTTCCAAGTTCTTGCAGAACAAGGTGAGTACACCAACCCTTCTCATGTTTCTGAACAATTTGGCATTAACTCATTGCTTGATAGAATATTCCGCCCGTGGCGTACAGCCCGCTCGGAAAAATCGTTTACAACCTTTCACGGTATGCACACACGATTTCCACAATTATCTGCAGCTACTAATAGATCGACAGTGTCGTCGATGACACAGCGGTGGTGGAAATTGCTAACAAGCTGAACAAAGACCCCGCTCAAATGCTGGTATCGCGGGCTATTCAGCGGGGCTCTTCTGTGTTGCCTAAGAGTGTTACTCCCTCGCGTGAAGAGAGCAACTTCCAAGGCCCATTTTTGTTACTGGTTTCTTCTTGCGTATGTTGACATTTTTTTTAGATTTTGTGAATCCCGACGCGGAGTCCGACGCTCTAAACAAGTTGGACCATAAAGCGTTACAACTATCCTTTACCTTGGTGAGTTGATATCTTTAATGACTTGGGTGCAGCTGAGGCCGAGAGACGTGCTGAAGAGCATGCTGCTCAATTGAGGGTTTCTGCGTAGATGAAAGAACGTCTTTCTACGGATTGCGGACTGCTGAGGGCTTTCTATAAAATAGTGATGCTGGTGGGTTTGGACATATATTTGTTCGCCGCAAAGACTTGACCAAGTAGAGACCGTGAACTTTTGGGAAAAATTGAATTAAATGAACCTGTATTGAAGGGGGTTCAAATTCAGATTGTTGTCCATAATGCCTTTTAGGATTATACAAAAGCCCCGAGTAAACGAGTAAACGAGCGAATGAAAAAATTGGGCAAAAAGAAGCTTCAACAATAGGCCCAGGTGTGCTTAGTGCAGACCCAGAATGTGACAGGCTCTTTCCGACCAACCGAACCGCGATCCCGTCGACTCCGCAATTGATGATGGACTATGACTGAAGAACACATCGTTCCTCCACCAGAACAACTCGAGCGCGTACATTATCCCGAGTTTTCCGAGATGCCATCAACCAAAGAAGGCCGAGTGACCAAGCTCAGATCGCGACAATCTCAATCGACCACCAAGCGCGTCAAGCCCAAAAGTAAGTAAATAAAAACTATCAAAGACTCATGACGTCTATACACGTCTACACCCATCAACAGAATGTATATTCTACGAGAAATCATAATCTCGAACTATCCATCAATTCCACACGTCCTAAAACAATCCACGCACAGGCTTACCACTGGTTGAACGCACCAACGCGTTATCAATCGAAGATTTCGTCACCAAATACATAACCCCGCCCACACCAGGCCTACCAGAGCCCAGATCTAACGACTTTGAACTCAAAACAAATGCATCCGACACACCCATCTATGCATACTCCGCCGCGACAATCAGCACCACCGACCTAGAAGCCTGCCTCAACCTAATAGAACTGACATCCGGCTCAGCCTACGCCGCCTCCGGCGGAGGCTGGTCACGAACGGCAAAGCGCAAAGAAATGAAACTTCCCGACATGAAATATCTAATCGTGCGGAGTCCTTCCGGGGGACCCAACACAGACAAGCCGGATTCTCCGGATGCCGTGCTGGGGTTCTTATCGTTTATGGTAACCTACGAGGACGGGAAGGAGGTTGTCTACTGTTACGAAATTCACTTGTCGGAAAATGCTCGGGGAAAGGGACTGGGTAAATTGCTTATGGGGAAGATGGAGGAGGTTGGGCGGCGGATTGGCTTGGAGAAAGCTATGTTGACCGTTTTCAAGTCTAATGAGATAGCCAGGGAATTCTATCAGAGGAACGGGTATGTCGTTGACGAGTACTCGCCTCAGCCACGAAGGTTGAGGAATGGGACGGTCAAGGAGTTTGGATATGAGATTTTGTCTAAGTGTTTGAAGTAGGAGCTTGCTTTGAGCGGCCTGCTATGTGAACTTTGATGCTCTCGAATTGAGATGCTAGATCTGAGATTTAATGTACATTACACTTGTTTCACCTCGGAGCCTCGGGCTTCGGGGTGGTCTTGTTCCCATTCGTCACGGAGGACGGCAAAAATGCTGTCAGCTAGGAGGATTGAGAGGCCTAGACTCCACACGAGTGTGATCGCGTAGAAAAAGTTGGCGTTCCCAGACCCGGCGTAGATCCAGAGATGATAGAATGCCGGGCCGAGGAGACTAGCGTATAGGATTGCAGAGATGGCGAAAAATGTGTATCGCATGACTAGTTGCAATTAGCAATTGCCATCTAGGAGGTAACATTCTGTAGAGAAACTCACATGGGAAGTTGTGCCGGTACAGAGGCAAGAATGCGAAGTACAAGGATGCGTCGGAGATGCTGGGGTATGGCTTGAAGAGAGCAAAAACACCCAAAAGTGAGGTAATGACGAATAGAGGCTGGCGATGAAGCCTTGCGGTGAGTCCTCCGACATAGCTCGCAAGATGAAGCCAGAAGACTCCAAGGAAGAACTCGCGGAAGGAATCGAACATTTCAATGAAGAAGTACCACCAGAGACCCACGTTGGGAGTCAAATCCGGGACCAATAGGTGGAAGCCATATGTCGCAGACATGAACTCCCAGAAGTTCCCGGTAATCAGGAAAGACAACCCGAGGAGTCCTGCAACGCTGCCTATAAGAATTGAGGCATTTTGGATAGTGAAAGCCGCGGTGTTGGGCAGGTTTGAAGCCCGCTGGTCATAGCAAAGTAGTACTAAAGGAATGAAAAGAAGCGCCGGATAGAGGGAAAGATAGGATGCAAGTCCGAGAGCCAGCATCGCATTGATGTTATTGCCATTGACGGCATTGGATACTGCGAAAAGGATTCCGGTTGTAGTAAACACGCTCGTCGACCGTGCCAGGCATGTTGCGATCGTGAAAGGGTTAAACAAGAACCTTAATCAAGTCAGTATCATGGATTTTAAAGAAAATCGAGCGCCTTGAACATACCAAGCTGCAACAGATCCCCCGTCCCACCTGATATGCTTCCGAATGGCGGAGTGGAGTCGGCTCTGAACTGACTGCCCCGATTCCGAGATGGTAGCCAAGGCATGCGCATTGACCAAATCAACAATGAAGTAGAAGATCGCGGTTGGGAGCGGGTTGCTTTTCACATCGGGAAGTAGGGCGAAGAGAGGAAGTAGGAGTGGTGCCTTGTTTTACATCGAGTTAATCGAAAAGCCCCGTAGTTGCATTGCATGCGCTTCACCCACCTGGTGATAGACACCACCATCATATGGCGACACATTTCGCGTATACAGGAACAAACCTTCCTGGACTAGTCGTTTCAAGTCAGCTTATGCGAGTGTAACAAATTCGAAGTTCACTTACGTCGCTTGAAGCTGTTGACCGGGGTAGAGACCTCGACTCGGCCGGTCAACAAGTCGGGCAGGGAAGGGAAGATACAAACGAGTACCAGGCGTAGAATAAAGGCCGCGCTGAAGACAGCGACCTTGCGACGGTCCACTGCCATGGCGATGGAATGGAATACAAGCGCGTGTTGTGTAGTTGTCCCTTGAAGGCGGAGGAACCACGGCGCCCGCAACGCACGGGCCACCCGCCTTCAGCAGAAAAAAAAGTTATCGAGAATTTTTTCCTCTTCTTATCAGCAACTGCTTGAGCTCACTATTCAACCATGGCGAAAATCAAGAAGAAGGGTATGTTTGACATTCTGGATTCGTTTATATCTGGATTGACATCGCTAATATTCAATTCCAGGTACCTCTGGCGCGGCCAAAAACTATATCACTCGTACCCAGGCCGTGCGCAAACTTCAGATCTCTTTGCCCGATTTCCGTCGACTTTGCATTTTCAAGGGTAATAATAAGTTGTTCCTTGGCTTGTACGTTTCAAAATGCTAATCGGATCTGTGATACACAGGAATTTACCCTCGTGAGCCTCGTAGCAAGAAGAAGGCCTCAAAGACCTCGACCCCGAACACCACCTTCTATTACACCAAGGACATCCAGTACTTGTTGCACGAACCCCTGCTTAACAAGTTCCGTGACCAGAAGGCACTTGCCAAGAAGATTGCCCGCTCGCTCGGTCGTGGTGAAGTCAGCGACGCTGCGCGCCTCGAAAAGAACCATGCCCCGAAGCTCACTCTGGACCATGTCATCAAGGAGCGTTATCCGACCTTTATCGATGCTCTCCGTGACCTCGACGATGCTCTTTCTCTTCTCTTCCTGTTCGCCACCCTCCCTTCCACTACCCATGTTCCCGCCAAGACTGTCGCCCTTTGCCAGCGTGTCTGCCACGAGTTCCAGCACTACCTGATTGTCACCAACTCTCTGCGCAAGTCCTTCCTCTCGATCAAGGGTATCTACTACCAGGCAACTATCCAGGGACAGGATATCATGTGGCTGGTGCCGTACCGATTTGTGCAGCGCGTTAACGGTGACGTCGACTACCGTATCATGGCCACGTTTGTGGACTTTTACACCACACTCCTGGGTTTTGTCAACTTCCGTCTTTACTCCGGCATTGGATTGAGATACCCTCCCAAGTTTGACACCCGTAGTGACGAGAACGGTGCTGAGTTGTCTGCCTTCACCCTCGAGGGCCGCACAGTGGGTCAACAACCCAAGGCCATTGAGTCCAAGAAGACCCAGGCAAATGATAACAAAGAGGTCTCAAGCGATCTTCAAGCCAAGGTGGACAAGGTCATCAAGTCAGCCGGTCTGGACCAGAACAAGGACGAGCAGGCAATGGACACAACCGAGGAGAACGTCGACGCCATTGACAAGTTCGAGCCAGCTGCCCCCGAGGCCGACACTCTGCCCCAGCCCGATATGAGCGGCAATGAAGCCGGAGCTCTTTTCGCTCCTTTCGTGTTCTACATTTCTCGTGAGGCCCCCAAGGCTCCTCTTGAGTTTATCCTGCACGCTTTCGGCTGTAAGCGTATCGGTTGGGATGCCGTTCTTGGTGGCGGTGCTTTCACCCACGATGAAACCGACCCACGCATCACTCACCAGATCGTTGATCGTCCTCAGCTCCCCCAGGAGTCCCTTCCCACGATTCCTGCTGCGGATGGTGCTGCCCAGAAGGTTAAGCCTGGTACCCGCATCCCGGGTCGTACATACGTTCAGCCCCAGTGGGTCTGGGATTGTATCAATGATGGCAAGCTCCTGCGTGCTGACCTTTACGCCCCCGGTGCCACCCTCCCTCCTCACTTGAGCCCCTGGGTGAAGCCCTCGCGTGGCGGCTACGACCCGCGCGCTACCTTGGCTGAGCAGGAAGAGGAAGGTGAGGCCGAGATGGCCGAAGACGATGCCGGGGACAGTGATGAGGAGATGGAAGATGAGGCCCCGGCCGATGAGAAGGCCGCTGTTGAGGAGGAGTCCGACGATGAGTCCGTCGACGGAGGAATGGATGTTGCCGGAACCGACGATGACGAGAGTGCCAGTGATGAAGAGGAAGAGGATGAAGACTTTGGTGGATTTGAGGAGAACGAGGCGGCCAGCGAGTCTGACGATGACGACGAGGCTGCCCAGAACCAGCACCAGCGTGAGCTTGAGGCCGAGGCCGCCGGTCTGCCCTTCACCGCCAGCAGTGCCACCGAGGAGTCTTCTAAGAAGAAGACCGCTCAGTCCAAGAAGCTGGCTGCTAAGAAGAAGAAGGAGGATGAGGAACTCGAACGCCAGAAGATGATGATGAGCCGGAAGAAGCGCAAGCTGCTCGAGAAGATGATGTACTCGAACAAGAAGCAGTCTGACGAGGCTGCCAAGCTGCGTTCCAAGCGTCGCAAGCTTGAGAAGGCCCCTCCTGCTAAGAAGTAAGCGGTGTCATTCAAAGAGTGGTTGTTCATTTTCTGCTGGCGTTCGCGGCTGGGATAGTCCCCTGTATATGCATGTCATAAAATTTATGTTTTCAATGTAATGGATGGATGGGCCATATCACTTGGAATTTTTTCTTGCAAATGACTTCTTAGAAATATTTGTAGACGCTTAGAATGCATTTCATGGTCTATTGATCGATTTCTCTCGGCGTTTCCACAGCAAGCACTTGGTAAGAGTATGGATCACGTGATTTTACGAAGATCCACTTTAGCTCTCGATTTTTTGATGAAGTCAACATTCAAGACCTCGACCAGGACAGCGCAATAAATGATCAAATCCGCTAGAAGCTGAGCAGACACATTACTTGAGTGATGCCCAGTCATATTTCAGAGCTCATATTGTGTCATCGAAATTCAATACCAAGATCCATGTGACATCCCGGCACACACTCAGCCTACAACCTGAACACGGCACTGAGGCATGTCCTCATTCTCAGAGCAGCAACAACCATCTTCTTCTCAATTTGTACCTCCAGAGTCAGCCCAGCCGTACCGCTCACTATTTGGAGGTCCAAGCAGTGATTTGAGCTTGCCTCCATCTTCTCTGCCGGAACAAGCCCGCAAGTCCATCTTTGGCGGCCCAGCTCAAGATGTTGCTACAGAGCCAGAGACAGAAGCTGAATTTCTGGACCGGGGGCTCAGTAATGATGAAGAAGATGAGCTTGGGATGATCATGCGCGAAAGGCCTCTGGCCGTCGACTATGACTCTGACGGAGAGAGCTTTCAAGACCGTGACAAGGAGGCAAAATTTGCAAAAGGGCCAAAGAGTGGCGTGAAAAATGAGTATCGTGGCCGGTCAACTAGACCGCGATCGCGATCCCGTTCACAAACAAGATCACAGACGCGATCGAGATCTGAGTCGCCTACGAAGACAGCACCACAGCCGATTAGCTATGTCCTTGATCGTGGTCTTGACCTGCCGCCAGGCGTTGATCGCCCAAATCGATGGACGGGGAATTCAACCACATACCGGAAACTCATTTCAGACGCCCTAGCCAGCTACGAAGGGTTGACAACGGCTCAATCAAGGGATCTTGCGGCACATCTCTATAACTCGTACATGGTTCGTCTTGAAAGTAAGAATAATACACAAGGAGTCGTGGAAGAAGGAGACGAGAAAACAACTATTTCCAAACGGTGGGGTGCTTGGCCTTTGCCGCCATCCCGGGTCCCTCGGCCTGATGACCATATGAAAGAATGGTTGAACGACCCCGATACTATCCGAATGCCACCCGATCCTCGACCCAGCGCAGAGCTTGAAGAGTCAATTATTGCGGTAATGACGAGAATCTCGAAGGAGAATTTCCTAGATCGTGATTGGGATTTTGATGGAATCAAAACCAACAAGTCGAAAAGGTCGATCGACCCAGATGCCATGATGGACAAGGAGGATGAGAAAGACGAGGATGACCGAAAAGACCTAGGCCCATATGCCGATCCGTCATTTCTTCAACCAGCTCTGCAGACCGACGATGATGTCGCCCGGCGACAATTGCGGCCTCTTGCCCGGAACGTGATCACAGAAGTGGACAGACTTCTGACCGCTTTACAACGCACCATGGACTATCGAATCGACGAGCGCCAGAATCGAAGTCGTCCAAAGCCTCGCCTTGATGACAATGCAACCGAATCCAAGTCCGGTGAGGGGCTTAGTAGCAAAAGGGAGTCGCGAGGTCGCAAACGCTCTCACGACGAGCGTTCATCGCCAGGCAAGTCAGAAGGCGCAAGTACGCGTGAGACATCTCAGTCTCGAGACCAGTCGCGCGATTCTCGTGCGTCTGCCAATGAGGTCAATGAGGTCAATGAGGCCAGCGAGGAGGAGGATGATTGTAGTGATGACGGCATCCCATTCAACGCAAAACTGCCCTTACGAGACTGGAGCGAAGTCATGGGTCTCGCATCCATGATCGGTCTTCCCCGGGACGCCGTCATGCGTGCCTCGAAGCGGTGCGCCGATCTGTTCAACCAAGATATGACATTCCGCACGTTCCGTGAAGGCCGGATCGCACCAGCCGGACGAAAAGAGGATAAATCAATATATTACGACTACCACGAGAGCCAGTCCGAAGACAGTGATACTGATCCTCCCGATCGAAAGCGCAAAAAGGTCTCCCGAAACCAGTCGAAGTCGCACTCGCGACGCAACAAGTCCAATTCGCGAGAAGCAGGCTCAATGCCGGTCGAAACACCCGTCAACCCGCACACGATCGTACCTGGATTTGCTCCAAGTCTTGGTACGACCCCGGAGAGAAGTAGTCCTGAAAGGTCAACGTCGCGCCGACCCAAGGGCAAGGGAGAGCATCGCAAGGCGGACCTCGTCTGTCCTATCAAGTCGTGCCCACGGCATCTGGAGGGTTTTTCAAGAACTTGGAACTTGAATCTGCATATCAAGAGAGTTCATCCGGGATATCAGGAGCGGGAGAGGTCGACATCCAGATCTCAAAGTCGGCAGACCGAGGAGCCTAAAGTGATTGTGATTGATTAGAGCGTGCTGTATATTATCTGACTATGATATCCCATTTGATGACAATTTCGCGTAAGTGAATTGATTCTGTATACGGTTATTTCAACGGACTGCGGCATCGGCTGGTCCTTCCTAAACGCCGTGGATCTCGTGATTTCGCGAATACTCTGATATCCACCGGGGCTTTATCAACAAGTTGTTGTAATTCCGTAACGCTATCTCAAAATCGGAGAAAATCTGTGGTTTTCGATTGGTGAAAGTCTCCGACCGTTTCATCATGCTGAGCTCTTGATTCGTTGAAAACACCGAATATTGTAATGTATGTAATTGTATTACAACTGAGCTGGAGGTCTTCACCCCGAGAGTCACAGTGGACAGCATCCCCAAATTGATGTCAAGGCAATGATATGAAAGAGAATTGTGAATGAAGCAAAATAGCAAGTAGTATTCTAGAAAGCTTGAGCGCTTAAGCTCTCGAGCGTCGAAACCGGAGATTCACTCCGCCAAGGGAACAAGAATCCTACAATGACATCAACTAGGCAAAAGCAACGGTCCCCGCTTAGCATTCAGCTTCCCTTCTGAGCTCCAGCTTTCGCGGCACGATCTCCGTCCTCGGTGTACTCGGTGCTTCTCGGACCCAAAGAGCAATCAGAGCAAACCATAAGTCGTTTATTAAAAGCTCTGAGCCCACCCTTTCGCAAAACAGCGCCCTTTAAAGACGGCTCTAACTCCCCGCACATCCTATCTCCGCGTCTCTTCTCGCTCGGACTTCTTTCCCCCACACGACTTGCCTCCGCGAGCCGGTGACTTCATAATGGAGCGACTTATTCGCCCCGTCTCGCGTCAATTGTTGCGTTCTCGCACTCGTTACCCTGTTTCCATTCCCCCGCCGCCGGCGTTCAAGAGACTCTACACTATGGGACACCACAAGCCTGAGGTGAGTACCTGGCGGGTTGGAGTAAATCAATGAGAAACTAACATGAGTGTCTAGTTGAAAGATCCTTCCCTCTTCATTGAGAAGTCCTACATCAATGGCGAGTGGGTAGATGCTAAGTCGGGCGAGACCTTTGAGGTCCATGGTAAGCAGGTTACCGAGCTGTCTACACTACAAACTGTAACTGACAAGGCCGTGCTTTGAAGACCCCGCCACTGGCAAGCTCATCGGAACTTGCCCCGAGCTTGATACCGCCGATGTCGAGAAGGCCATCGAGGCCGCCTCTGAGGCCTTCCCCAAATTCCGAACACTCCTCGCCCGCGAGCGCGCGCGCATGCTGCGCCGCTGGTACCAGCTCGTGATGGATAACGCAGACGACCTGGCCAAACTGATCACATGGGAGAACGGCAAGCCTTTGGCCGATGCCAAGGGTGAGGTGAACTACGCCGCCAGCTTCTTCGAGTGGTTCAGCGAGGAAGCGCCCCGCGTCTACGGCGACACCATTCCCGCCTCTGTACCCGGTAACCGTGTCATCACGCTCAAGCAGCCCGTTGGCGTGTGCGGCCTTATTACGCCCTGGAACTTCCCCGCAGCTATGATTACCCGCAAGATCGGCCCGGCCCTGGCGGCGGGCTGTACTGTGGTTGCAAAGTCCCCTGCCGAGACGCCCTTCACTGCCAACGCCCTCGCTGAACTGGCACACCGCGCTGGTATCCCCAAGGGTGTTGTGAACATTGTTACTTCGGGCAAGAACACTCCGGCCGTGGGCGAGCTGATTACTACCCACCCGGAGGTGCGCAAGGTGTCTTTCACTGGCTCGACTAATGTCGGTCGACTCCTGATGAAGCAGGCTTCATCGACTCTCAAGAAGGTGTCATGGGAGCTGGGTGGTAACGCGCCGTTCATTGTCTTCGACGATGTTGAGGACCTGGACGCCGCTGTCACGGGTGCTATTGCCTCTAAGTTCCGCAGCTCGGGCCAGACTTGTGTCTGCGCGAACCGGATCTACGTGCAGAGTGGTATTTACGATGAATTCGCTAAGCGCTTCGTTGCCAAGGTCAAGGAGTTCAAGCTTGGTGGTGGTTTCGAGGAGGGTATTACCCACGGCCCTGTTATTCACGAGCGTGCTGCTGAGAAGGCGCACGACCACGTTCAGGATGCTACTTCCAAGGGTGCCAAGGTTGCTATTGGTGGACAGAAGGCTTCTGCACTGGGACCCAATTTCTATGAGCCTACAGTGTTGACTGGCATGACCAAGGAGATGCTCCTCGCCTCCGAGGAGACTTTCGGTCCTGTGGCTGGTCTCTTCCCTTTCACGACTGAAAAGGAAGTCGTGGATCTGGCTAATAGGGCTGAGGTTGGTCTCGCTGGATACTTCTTCAGTGGCAATGTGCACCGCATCTTCCGTGTTGCCGAGGCTCTGGAGGTTGGCATGGTTGGTGTCAACACTGGTCTGATCAGTGACGTTGCGTCTCCGTAAGTTTTTTTTTTCCCCTTTTTTCATTTTTGAATGACATTCCTTCTAACTTGTCTACAGATTCGGTGGTGTCAAACAGAGCGGCTTCGGTCGTGAGGGCAGCAAGTACGGTATTGATGAGTTCATGACCATTAAGTCCGTCACCTTTGGCGGCATGGGGGAGCCTTTGCAGGCACAAGCCTCCTCTGGTTGATTGATTGACTGATTAATTGTACACGGAATTTGAGACATGATAAAATTAGCTATTTTGATTGAACATAAAGACTATTTCTTTTTGCTTATTGGAGAGAAACGGAAGTAAATGCAACCATAATACATCTATTGGTAATGCGCCAATGATACGAATGATTATATCTATATTCGATCTTGCCTTCATCTAACTTCAAACAGATTGTACACAGTATGCTTCGCTAAAAACATGATAAAAAAAATAACCGAAAAAAGGGTTGCAAAGACCGACGGTCATTTACTCTGGGGAGCCGCAGGTAAAGACACCATGGACAGTGCCGGCGCGGTACTTAAGAACCTGTTTTTTGTCTCGAATTAGACCAATGCCATTAAATGAAGTCACCGAAAGAGAGAGTCTTACAATATCATCAACACTAGCGTAGGTTCCGGCAACCAGCGTCACCAAGCCAATGATAAAGGTAAGCAGGTTGACGGCAGCGAGAGCCATGTTCTTCTTAGTCCACCAGCTACCCTCGCGAAGAAGCAACACCCACATCATAGGAGGGAAGTAGAAGGTGAATCCAGAAATGAACAACGAAGACGAGATCGAGAGCAGATCATCAAAGAAGGGAATGACCTCGGCAATGATAAAGGCCACGATCGTCGCCGCGGAAATCACAGCCAACCAAGTCAACCAACCCATCTTGGTGTTCACGAAGCGAATAGGCGAGTTTGCGAAAATGCGACCATGCACAAGACGTCCAAAGACGACGGTGTTGATGGACCCACTGATGAAAATCACGGGCAGAGCAACACCGAAGGCAATTCGGCTGACAAGCGAGCCGGCGGACAGAAGCGCGGGACTTTGAACACTTGAGCCCACAAAGGCATATACCAATGCACCCGTGAGGGTATAGACAATGATCTCAACAATACCCAGAGCCCAAATCGACTTGACGAAATCCTTCGGCGTATGCATCTCATCCATGAACGAGAACTGGCATAGAGCGAAACTATAAGCGAAGATAATGTTCGTCACGGCGACAAAAGCATCGGTAAAGGTGAGGCCTTCCTTAGGCCACGCCGACCAGTCGACGGCGGACAGCCCACCAGGGGCATTAGTAGATGAGACACCAGTCGCGATAATTGTGATTCCAATGGCAATGATGATGGAGGCGAAGTCAATGTATCCCAACACAGCCATCTCCGTGAAACTCGGCGGGATCGCAAGCAAGAGCAGGATAATGGCCGAGACAACACCGAAGATCACAGAACAGATGTCGCTCCCTGTGATGCTCCGCCATGCGATGGTTCCAGTCAGACAGTGCGAGCCAGTGAGGAAGAGCAATTGGATGCCCAGCATCGCATTGATCAATTCGTAGCCGAAACGAGGGCATCCGAGCTTCGCACCCATCACACGGCCGGCGTCTGCGTAGCTTGCAATCTCCGGGTAAGCCAGCTTCGTCTGGCCTACGATGTAACTCGTGTAGATAGCAATTAGACCGATACCAACGCAGGTAATCACACCTGCCACCATGCCGAGAGCTGCAAAAGTAGACGGGATCGACAGACTTCCCAGCGCAATAGCCTCGACAATCATAACGACAGTCAAGCGCTTCCAGCCCAGACGACTGAAATGCTTGATGCCGCGATCGTAGACATCACCCTCCTCGGTGTCCAGGTGTTTCGTCAGATCGTCGCCCGCGAACTGGGCATTGTATAGCGGCGACGCCATGATAGCCTCATTGCGCGCCCTCAAGGCGTCGGCCGACATATCCTTAGTAGCATCGTCGCGGTTGGCAGCCTGCGCAGCAGAGATCTCCTCGTAGTCCATGGTCGCGTGGGATGAGAGTTGGAAGAAGTTCAGTTGCCCCAGGTGCAGGAAACCATTACGAAAGAACTGGGGAAAAAAGGCAAGATTTCAATGGAATTGAACGAGCTAATGAGCAGGACGCAAATTGTGGGCTGACCAAACAAGATCCTTCCATCAGGGGGGGGGGTATACCTGAAGCCCTAGATGACATCGAAACTTCTCCACTTGCTATCCTCTCGCGACGAAAGTGGAGAGTTGCCAGACTTCCGTTTCTCGTGAGCGGGTCCCCTGCTAACCCAGGATGCCTGGGTGATGGTCGCATATAGCCCAATGCCGATGGGCGCTGCACGATAAGCTTCCATTAGTTGTCCTGTTAGCTTCGGTGGTGTTAGGTAAAAGATATTCTTCTGGCCCCAGATGAAAGCCTCCGAGTCGGTTATCAACGGGAGGCTGATCGTATGGGGACGTCGTAGAAGAAGAAACCCAACTACAAAGTTTTAGCGGGTCCACATGGGCCGCAATTAGGTTCGTTCCTCCGATCCTCTCTTTCGGTGAAACACACATCTTGCCAAGTACTTCTTTCGCGAATTTTCCAACCGAGACTACCCGGGAAGGGGAACCGTGACAATGTTGGGGGTAGATAGCTGAAGTACAGATCAATGAACTTGCATCCCTCGCTAGGTTTCTCGCTTGAGAGCGGGATGAATGTGTATGTGTATGGTCATGGACTGATCGACTCTGGGGCATTATCTCTCCCGAAATACTCCCGAGGTGATAACGACAATCAGTAATCTGTTAGACAATTCCATTATTATGGGGATGCTATGTTAGCATCTCGCGATCCTGTGACTCAGTCGATGTGAAAAGAACTCTCAAGAGCACGGCCAGACCCGAACCGAGCTCTACAGCTGTCTTCTCAATTTGCGCTTCGAGAGACCTCGGGAGTCTAATTATTTTCATTTTCAGGTCCTCAGAATTGCTGCATTCGTAACGCTTTGGCGGTGCGGAGGCAACGACCTGAAATATCTGACGGTTGCCAAGGTGTCAACGGACAACCTCCGTTAATGCCTCAGGCCCAAAAGGTCCAAGAGAGCCTAGCAACCTAAGAAACGGTGGAAAAAGACCCAAGTAGTCTGATTCATCTTCTCCACCGGGCTCATGTCCTTCTCTTTCAATAGTCGATGGATTTAGATCTGTTGCCATGTTAGACACAGTCAGACCACAACATTTCATACAATCTTAAAATTGATAGGTGGCATAGTGAAGGCGCTGCTGACCTTCATAACAGCAAATGTGGTCAATTTGGCCTTTTAGTGAAAGGGAGCTACCCTAAGTCTTAGTTTAAAGCTACTCTTTGGGAGATGAATTATCTTGTTCCATGGAAGTTATAAAGCAATGACTCCCATTACAAGTATCTTACCGGGAGAGTAACTTGATGTGTGGAGTGACTGTCACATGACCGTATACTAATGGTAATACGAATACAAGTCAAAATCGACCGCCTGCCAGCAGCGCGCGATGTCCATTCCACTATGCGACATCAAATGAGCCGATTGTGATCGTCGACGGTCGTTCTCTCCAGATATGATAATAGACTAGCACAATGCGCCCCTCTGTCCGCTTCCTCGCTGCAATCTCTCACGGCCGGTCGTCGAGGCTGAAAAAGCCGGCGATCAGTTTAGACCATGTCAGTAAGCTACGGGAGAGGCTTTCTCCCATTAACTCGTGTATCGATGTAGCTGAAGCTGACATTGAAGGCAGTTCATTCAACGAGGACGTGTCCTGGCCTTTTGGCGAGAGGTCGTGCGAGCATTGAACAGTACGAATTCCTCCCTTTCGTGTCCTCCCAATTCGCCACCAAAAGGATGACTTATATGAATAAACGCAGAAATCCCTCCATCTGCTACACGGACTGAGCTCCACGACTATGCTCGACAGGAGTTTGAACGACATCGGGAGGTTACAGACTTGGTGAGTCGTGCATTATGTTCATGACCCACGGAGTTGTCATGAGAGCTAACTGAACATTCTGTGCAGGCACATATTCGATACTTGCTTTCGGTAAGACATTTCTATCAAGATCTCGTGTTATGGATGATGACTTGTAAAGAGGGTATAGCTAACATTTGATATAGACTGGGAAATCCGAGTTCGAGACCATGAGGCGATACATCGACGAGCAGGCTGCTTCATCGTCCTTGTGAGCCGTGGTCACTCCCCCCCCCCCGGTTCCCCTCTGTGGTCTATTGTACATAGAATTTTATTGAATTCGCATTGACAGTCACATGTTTCTCGAGGTTCTAGATTTTTCAAAAGTCCCAGGCAAGCCCCGCGAGCCATGAGCCGCGGGCAAGCCTCGTCGTCTCGGGGTTCAAAGTACCAGTGGAAATGAGAAGCAAAAAAAACACAACGGATGATGCATCCCGCCGTGACCTATTGGAGGACGATGCAACATTCTGATATTAGCGGTGTCTCGTGCTATGACATCACACTTTCCCCGCCCCAAAAAACCAAGACGAAAGCCACACTGATCTTGCTCGTTCTAGACCTTGCCTTTGCAAATCCCATGTCCTGGGATGATATGTATTCCAAACCCGCAGTTCGCCACCTGTAATCTTCGTCATCCACCCTTCCCATAGCTCCACCTCGGTGTGGGAGCTTCCAGCAGGAATGCTCCCGGAGAACACGTCTCCGCAAGGTTGGGCCTGAAACGAGACCTTAATAGAGAAGATTAGTCCGAGCTGGACATTCCCTGGCTCGAGCTTGTCCTGTCCGTGGATGTGCGGTGTCAGCTCACCCTGATGGTCCCGTTTCGTCTTAATAGACTTGGTCGAGCAAAGCAAGGATATTGGCGGGAACTCCCCGGGTTCGTTGCCAGGTCCCGGAGGGCATCAGAATCCGGTTACGTGCTGGTTTAGGAATTTAATGGTTCTTGACTTGGACCCCCGATCGTATTTAAGGCCCTGTTTGATCTCCCCCTTGAGTTTGACGCTATTTTTCCACGTCTGAGGGTTTCCTTGGGTCCCTATCATTTTTTTTTCTTAACTATTAATACCCTTGTGCATGAATTGAACGTCTTTTGCCTATTGCTAGCCTCATCCGAACCCCCTTTCATCATGACCACCCTACTTCAACCATCCGCCAACAATGTATTCTCAAACACCTTAAATGGTCTTCCCACACTCGACGAGCCATCACAACTCTGGCTCAATCCGTTGAACATACCACAAGATAGCAAGGACTCGCTGATTCAAAGTCTACGCGAACAACAAGAACGCACCGAACAAGATTTACACACAGCCGAAGACTCCGAAGCTCACGCGAGCTCCACCCGAAAGCCCCGCCGATCTTCCAGGGCCTACGTCTCGCGCGACAATGTCAGTCCCGAACGGGCAAGACACCTCGAACGAAACCGCATCGCTGCCAACAAGTGCCGCAAGAAGAAGAAGAAGGAACACGAACAGATTCAAAGCATCCTGCACGTCGAAACGGCGAAGCGCGAGACTCTCTTAGCCCAAGTCAACGTGTTAAAAGAAGAAGTCTGGCAGTTGAAAAACATGATGTTCGAGCACGCCGACTGTGCCGACCAAAAAATTAATCTACAACTGGCGATGATGACTCAGAATATGCTGGGTGCCAACATTGAGGCGTTAAAATGCCCGTCGCCCACCTTCTCGGCCAGTACGTGGTCCGACGGATCGGCGGGGAAGGGGATGGAGATAGTCGCAAGGTCGAGTCCAGCGCACTTCAACCCATTGCAGACCCCGTGCCCGACTTTCAAGATGGACTCTTTGAAAGTTTCATCGATGTGCCCAGCATGTAACAATAATGGCCTTTTTTTTTTTTGACCCCATGTATGGAAACGAATTTTCTAATTAGCTTGGCGCAATGGAATGAGAGCTTCGATTTTCGTGACGTCATCGATTCTTCAAAGGTACCGCCGTGGCTCGAACTCGACTGTCAATGGATCTCAGATCCAATGGACACGATTCAACGGGATATCCCAATTCGTGATGATGAGACCAGCAAGACAACGGCAAATGTAGTGACGGGAGGTCAGAGAACCGTTAATTTTAGAGAGGCCACAGAAGCCTCCAATGGCATAACAGGGCCGATGGGCGACGGGCTCGGGAGGAACAGGACCCCTTGCGACCTGATAAAGGCAGGTGCAACGGGCAAGAAATCGCTATGATCCATATGGAAGCGCATGCCATTCATAGAACCTGGAAAAAATAACCTCGTCATGCAAACGGGTCAGACGGGGTCTATAGGACAGCCTTTCAGATTGGTCGGAACAAATTAGCAACCAATGGTACTGTCAAATACCGAAGGTCAGTGGGGCAGATACGCAACGCCGGGAGGATCAAAGGTATCTACCGAATCTTGCGAATAACATCTCCTGGGCTTTCTCGTCCCCGCCAGCCACTGATGTAACAGAACTGCATCGCCACAGGATCCGCTGTTAGCGAGGGTCGTCTGTATTGGTCTTCGGTTATAACAGAATCCCATTCTCCGCCTTCTAGTCTGAAGCTTTTTGATTCTCAAAATACTTTTAAAAAAAAAAAGGAAGTGATTGCCACCACCCCCGAATCTTCGTCGTGGCCTGATTCTTCTACTGCTTTTTGATCTTGGTCGTGCTATCGACAGTAACTAAATAGCCTTGACCATGTCTGATTTCTTAAGCCAATCATCGGCCCCGGGCAAAGCGATGGCCCAGTTCACCCGAAATAACATCATGGGGGTGAATTTTGAAACCACTTCAAGGTTCATATTGAACAGACCTCAAGAAAAATATGCATAGAATTCATACTAATTTGCTGTAAAATTTGTAGATATAGCCAGCTCGAGCCCATCGGGGTCGGCGTATCAGGCCTTGTGTGGTATGATATCCCTACTACTCTCCCGGAATAAGGCAGAAGCTGATAAAAGTATTCTTTCTTTCTTTTTAGCTCGGCCAAAGACCAAATTTCGAACCGAACCGTTGCCGTGAAGAAGCTTGCCGAACCATTCCAGTCGGGCGTCGTCGCTCAGCACATGTTCCGTGAGATCAAATTATTGAAACAGCTCAAGCATGATAACGTTCGTCGATCAGCCTCTCCATGAAGAACGAGGATTCAAGACTAAATTGTTCGATGCAGCTCATTCAACTCAACGACATCTTTATCTCTCCATCCGAAGACATGTAGGTATCCTTGAAACTTATCAACAAACCCCGCTCATCCTCAGACAAGATACCTCGTGACCGAATTGATGGCAACAGACCTTCACACTCTCCTCAAGACCAAAAGAGTCGACAACCAGTTCACCCAATACTTCCTATACCAAATTATGGTAAGCACACAATTTAAACATCTTCCAAGACCATCAAGACTATGACTAAAGTCCAGACCCAGCGTGGTCTCAAATACGTCCATTCGGCCGGTATCGTCCACCGCGACCTCAAACCAAGCAACATCCTAATCAATGATAATTGTGATCTCAAGATCTGCGACTTTGGCCTAGCCCGTGTCCAGGAATTACAAATGACAGGCTACGTCTCCACGAGGTACTACCGAGCTCCGGAAATCATGCTCACCTGGCGACGATATAACGAAAAAGTCGATATGTGGAGCGTGGGATGTATCTTTGCTGAGATGATACTCGGACGGCCTCTTTTCCCCGGCAAAAATCACATTGATCAGTTCTGCGTGATCACGCAATTACTCGGAAGTCCGCCTGCGAGTGTCATGGACAACGTGACCAGTCCAAATGTTCGTGTGGAATCATTTCTCATTGTATTTACTGTGTTTTCATCTGACTCATCTTCTGCAGACCCTGGAATTTATTCGTTCGCTTCCCCAGAGGCCCAAAAAGCCCTTGTCGAAGCTCATCCCTGGGACTAACGCGAAGGGTAAGTCTTCAATTGCTGAGCAGGGACTTTTTTCCAGAGACTAACTGTTACCAGCTATCGCTTTGTTAGACAAACTTCTCCAAATAGATCCCGACCAGCGTTGTTCTGCTGCAGAGGGTCTCGAATCGCATTATCTCGCACCATATCATGATCCAAATGACGAGCCTGTCTCTACGGAGACGTTCGACTGGTCATTTAGCGAAGCGAACCTGCCAGCTGATGTCTGGAAGACTATCATGTACGCCGAAGTCCTTGGATACCACGAGGCGTCGGGCGGCTCGACACAACTTACGCCACAAATTGATGGTATGGATTTAACGCACTGATTGCTTGATACCAATTTTGTCTCGTCCCCTTTTTCTTGGGTCTTTCTATTATTTCGGTTTTTCGTTTGTTTGGACTTGCTATATTTGCAAAGGCATTTTCTTGGAATTGAACTTATGGCCTGATTGATACCTTGGGATTGAACCCGGCACGCTTGCCTTCTGTGATTTCATATGGTGCTTTTTTTTACGCTCAACATTGAAAGAAAGGACCGGGGTACTACCCAGTGGATTGAAACGAATGAATAAATGAATGACATATTACGAACGAGTGTCCAATTGAAATTCCTACCGCGAACTAAGCCGATCATGCCATTGACTTTTACTGGAGAACTTAAAACCCTGAAATCATTTCGATGACCTGATGTTCGCGGATATCTATATCCGGCTGATAATCTTTCCTTGGTGGCTAGCCGCTCACGAGCCCCGTAACGGTTGTCTCCATCCGATTGACTGAACGTTTTCCCGGGCGAAAGGGGCTTAGCTTGATGGAGCCTTGGGATTTAGGCGAGGACCACCCCCATGTGGGATTGAAGGCAATCAAGATCCGGACCCCGGACCTTAGTCAATGTCGAAATCGAGTCAAGGCGCAAACTGGTGTGGGTCACTGCGTCCCACTTGTGGGAAGCGTTGACGTTTCTCTGATCGGACTGACCCCAGAGAGAATGATCTTTTTGACGTCATAGATACATAGAGAATTGCATCTGGAACGCAGCTTGTTGTAGGGAATGTTGGGGATTACTGACCGTTTGAATTTACGGGGCGCAGCTGTTGATGTCTGCATTGGTGTTGGTAGTCAAGAGCTCTACACAGTCCTGACATTGTCCTGACCATATTTGTCCGATGCATGATACGCCGAGCTTCTCGAAGAGGATGGAGAGTCATCCACAAATAATATGTAGTTTCTAGGAACGAGTATTAGTTGATCCCACTTGAGCGAACATGGCAGTCGTTCAGTTTCATGGGCGTGGGGATATCTCCGCTTGGACCACCTTGAAGACCCAGTACGCGGAATGGGCGAGATAAAAGCATCTTGGCCAGAATAGCCTTTGGTTGATGACAAACAATACAGTCGACGCTAACATCTCCCGTATGGACGGATGAGATCGCGTTCAATGGACTGATACTGGCATGTCGAGTTCATAGAACAATTTTGCATGAATTAAGTTGGGATGAAGGCCATGACTTGACATATTGAGAAAACCGACTACATGGGTCTGCTTTGTATGATAAGGGATCAAAAGCCGAAGCATCGAGTCATGCTAGGTTTTTCTCCATCTTCATTCTCCAACACAAAACAAAAGCCCAACCCAGGCCCAAGGAGATAACCACAGCAGAAAGAGATGAAGCAAGTCGAGGTAAAGCAATGGGGATTTGAAGAGCTCCTCGATGATCATGATCAATTCTGGTAGATCTTGATTGATGTCCAAACTTCATAAACACGGCATAAGTTGCGGGGTCATTGATGTCAGTCATTAGGACAGTGCCATGATCGTATTATATGTAAGTGAAATATACAACAAATCATCACGCAGATGTGCTGGTCATCAAGATCCACGCACGAGATCGTCAACTGGTCCCCGTAGATCCACCCATGTAATCGTGTAATCGTCTTAGTCTCCAAGCGCCCAAGGGTATTATGATTAAGTTTTTTTTCCAAACAAAAACAGGTTGACACGTAGGATAGACTGGTTGCTCTAGACATGCTGAGGGCCGTTGACCTCTGCGACTTCACTGGCAGCCTCACTCGTAGCCTGGCTCTGAGCCGCACTGCGGCGAACCTCGCGGTCACGAGTGTTACGCTTCGAATTCACGATATCCATAATGGCGAAGACATTTGTAAAGAGGAACAGAGCCCTGTAGTTGAGCAATTAGTACTAGATCGTTCACTCTTGTAGAATAGCGACTCACCACTCAACAGCACCCACAACGATGAGAGCCTGGAGGCCATGACAGCTAGGGTAGTTACAGGAGCTGGGACCAGGGATCTGAGCTGCCAGAGCAATCCAACCAGCGAGCCAGAGGCAGGAGGTAATGATTTCAACTCCGGGGATCACGAGTTCGTGCGACAAGCGAGGGATCCACAGAGGAGCGAGTCCCAGATAAGGGACTGCAACAACAAGAGTCCAGCAGCCGTTGAAAAGGACAAAGTAGATGGTGTTAGAGAACGACCATTTGTCGTAGAGGGTGGCAATGACTATAGTTGTTATCAGTATAAATCGCAAAGGGGGCGTCAAGATGCGACGTACCAAATGCAGTCAGGCCAATAGTAGCCAAGGCGAACAGGGCCTGGACGAGTCGCAGAGGATACACCCAAGACAACATTATTGCAGTGAATTTGGAATGATACGGCTGGTACTTTTCTGTCTGCGAAAGTGTTGGACAGGAAATGGCGTCTTTAATTCCCTATGTATAGGCGCATGTGACGGAGGAAAGCAGATCCAGTCTAGCTTCACGGGGTGTCCAGCATGTTATATACACTAGTAGAAATCAAAGTTCAGGAGAAGAAATCATCAGGCCTCGGCCCTAACTGATGGCAGGACGTCATGCCCTGGTTCCTAGAGTCGGAAGGCCCTGCAGGAGTCGTCGATGGTCACGGAAACCACCCGGACGAACAGGGTGGATCACGAAATCCCACCAGGGGTCTATTAGTCTATTGGCCATGCACAAAGAAGCTCTAGTGGATAAGATGATTTAAAGCGGTAGTGATTGCGATTTCCTGGGGCGTATTCCCACCTCGGCTCGCCGATATTCTGGACATAGGGTTTAGTTTCTTTTTTCCCCAGGTTTTTTTTTTTGTTTACCCCAGGCCCAGACATATTTCCAATTGACCTCATTCCGATCAGACACAGGGAAGGAAGCCTGCATAGGCCTCTAGGCTTGGAATTTGCCTCATTTTTGGGAACTGTACCTTTTGCAAGGCGGGAAAAGTTTGTTCAGCTTCTGATGTCGTAGTGTCGATCTCACATGAATCCGAGGCAGCGCGGAACCGGTAACATCAACGGTCGATCCTTCAACGGACTCTCCGTTGACCCTGACTGTACGGGTCTGTTCCTGGTGTCTTGATGTCTTCCAACGCTAGAGAATGGAGTCCAGGCCTCTTTACTACGCGGCAAAATGGAGTTTATGTAGTCGAGTCATCACTCCCAAGTCACGTCTGTCCATACCCTTGGCCCTGAGAGTTCATGATCATCGAGATCAACACGGGTAAAACGTGTGGCATACTTTGCGAAAGCCCCGAAAAACAAGCCACTGCCCTAGTCAGCGCAGATGTACAATCAATGTGACTCATCCCTCCCTGGCACCCACCTTCCACCTGGAAGAACAAGATCATGAAAACGAAAGTAAGCATAATGGAGATTCGGCAACTATATACAAGTACAACCATTATATTTTACACGTGTCGGCTTAGCCTCGAACGCATCCTGAAATCTTCTAGTGGCGACCCAGAAGAGCCTTGACAGCATCAAGAACACCAATCGACTTCTCGTCCGCAGGCTCAATCGAAGACCGGGCCGCATCAGGCTCCGATGGCCTTTTACCAGCCTCCTTCGCCGCCGCTTCAATGCTAGCATGACGCTCTCGCCACTCGCGGTCCTCCTTGTCACGGATCTCCAGCTCACGCAGCCACGCGTCGCGCTTTTCCTGTGACTTCCGCTCTTCTACTGCCTTTTCGAACTCCCGGCGTTGCTGGCGCTCAGTCTTGAAATACATGCCGCCTACCACGAGCGAGACTAGTGTAAATGCTTGGGCGTAGATACGGGCGCGGAACATGCGATTCATTTCGTTCGAGTCGCCGGCCCTCATGGAGCGGTAGGCGCGGTAAAGGGCGTAGCATGTTGCGGCACATCCTGTGGCATTGAATTAGTCCCTCGAGTTTGGCAATGGGGCTCTGTATGCTGGGCTTAAACGACATACCTAGTGGGATCAGCGGCTCCTCCTTGAGGCGTCTGGTGAATTTCTGGAGACCGGATTCCTCGCGGAAGACCCTGATTAGAGCAGGGGTTAGCAGATGGTCTTATTCGAGTTGTGACTTTGTGCCTCTCGAGTGCCGTCGGCGCGTGGCATGTGAGAATCGAGGCAAGCTCGAACTTACGGATTACCGAGGTTGTCATCCATAGATGACGGGAGAGGCTCGCGACTCATTTTGATGGGTAGTTGTATAGCTTGGGCCTGGACTTGCGGTGGTTGCGCGTGGGTCGGTCGCGCTCGGAAAATTCGGAGAGAGTGGTACGATGAGTTTGGGATCTAGCACTAACAAGACCCTGACTTTCAGAGCTCGATTGACGCGTGGTAGGTGCCCTTTCGATTAGGGATGATGGATGGTGGTCGACGGCACGCGAGAGATGCTAGGACATGACGTCGAGACCTGTCTAGGGAGATTTTCTCGGCGGGTCATGCACCTTCACCGTGACTTTGTGAAGTTTGGCCCGAGCTCGACTAACAGACTACATCTATCTCTATATATTAAAGTTAGATCTGGCGTCTTTTTCATCAGTTTAATCTACTCGTGGATTGATGATAGAATTATCGGCGATGCGGGCGCGCTTGGTTGACGCGGTATAGGTAGGTGACGACTCACAGGCATCATTAATATTTCAGGACTCAGAGCCATGATTGAAACGTCCATACGATTGTGATATTGAAAGCTATAGGAATCACGTATGATATCAAACCGTGACTATAAATCAATTTTGGAGCTTCAGTTCGTCTCCATAGCAAACGGAAAGCACGCAATCCCAAGTGGGCTTCACCGCCATCTTTATCCGCCCGCTTATCGGCCACTTGCCCCCCCAAGGTTACGAGGCATAGATGACATCTGGAGCTACCATGATCATTTGCAAGGTGCTACAGTTTAGATTAACTCGAATGAAATAAATAAATTCCACCCTTCCTGCCAATCTATACCTTCATTCAGCCGTTAGGGCTAGGAACCAGGGTTGATGACATAAGGTACTCCGATCACGGTCCCGCATCCAGGAAAAAAGAGTCATAAGCAGGGCCTAAAAGGATCTTGGCCTAAAGGTTTCCCGTCAGCTTTGAAATCTTTCCGCCTGAACCCCTGAACCTCTGCTAACAGAGTCATTTGGGTCCGTTTCTCTAGAGTTACCATGTCTGAAGAGCCTGCCGCCAATGGCACCACCATTGGTGTGGCGATGCCCATCCTGCCGAAGATGAGTGGTCTAGCTTTGACCGAATATGCCGCGACCCCAACTCCCCCCCGGAGAGCGCAACGAACAAGGCCTGCCTGTGAACTGGGGCATCCCAGACGCCTTTCTACTCCCAAACGGATATCCTGATGTGAGATCGATCAGCCCCGTCGTGCAGATTGGTCCGATGCTGACGTGCGATCTGGAATGTGTAGTATCTGCGATTGATCTTGACATCCCGCGTCTATGATGTCCTTGAGGAAACTCCCCTTCACCATGCCGTGAACTTGAGTAACCGTCTGGAGAGCCGAGTTTTGCTTAAGCGAGAGGATCTCCTGCCTGTCTTCAGCTTCAAGCTTCGTGGCGCATACAATAAGATGGCTCACCTGAACCCGGAGCAGCGGTGGAAGGGTGTCATCGCTTGCTCTGCCGGAAATCATGCACAGGGAGTTGCTTATTCTGCTCGCAAGCTGAAGATTCCCGCCACGATTGTGATGCCATCCGGTACCCCCGCCATCAAGCACCTGAATGTTGCCCGTCTGGGGGGAGTGTAGTCCTCCACGGACAGGATTTCGATGCCGCTAAGGACGAGGCACACCGGTTGGAGAAGCAGCATGGTCTGACTAACATTCCACCATTCGATGATCCGTACGTTATTGCTGGTCAGGGTACCATTGGTATGGAGTTGTTGCGCCAGGCCAACCTTGATAAGCTGGAAGCCGTCTTCTGTGGTGTTGGTGGCGGTGGTCTGATTGCTGGTATTGGTGTGTACCTGAAACGCATTGCTCCTCAAGTCAAGGTCATTGGCGTGGAGGCCTACGAGGCCAATGCCATGGCCCAGTCAATGGATGCTGGTTCCCGCGTTTTCTTGAACGAAGTTGGCCTCTTCGCCGATGGTGCTGCCGTCAAGTCTGTGGGTGAGGAACCCTACCGTGTTGCCCGTGATGTGATCGACGAGGTCATCCAGGTTTCCACCGATGAGATCTGTGCGGCCATCAAGGATGCATTCGAGGATACCCGCTCCGTTGTCGAGCCTGCTGGTGCTCTTGGTCTTGCCGGTCTGAAGAAATACATTGCCAAGAATCCCAGCCCTGACGTTAACCGTGAACTGATTGCCATCACCTCCGGGGCCAACATGGACTTCGACCGTCTTCGCTTTGTGGCCGAACGTGCCGCTCTCGGCGAAAAGAAGGAAGCTTTGTTGAGCGTTAAGATCCCCGAGAAGCCCGGTGCCTTCGCCAAGCTCATTGAGGTCATCCTGCCTCACGCTGTCACAGCCTTCAGCTATCGTTACGCCCAGGAGGACTACGCCGATGTGCTGATGGGAATCCAACTCTCCGCCATTACCGGCCGCGATGACTTGGCCAAGATCATGGCGGAGTTGGAGAAGGATGGTATGAGCACCCGGGACCTTAGCGATGACGAGCTGGCTAAGCGGCATCTTCGCTTCCTTGTGGGCGGCCGCTGTGATGTTACTGACGAGCGCCTCTTCATGTTCGAGTTCCCTGAGCGACCAGGCGCCCTGGCCAAATTCCTCACCACCCTCCGCCCTAATCAGAATATTTCTTTGTTCCACTACCGCAACTACGGCGGCGATGTCGGCAAGGTTCTTGCTGGTATCCAGTGCCCGTCTGCAGAGAAAGATGATCTCGAGTCCTTCCTTTACGATTTGGGATATCCCTTCAGCGAGCACACCGACTCACCCACCTATAAGACCTTCCTCCGCTCGTGAGTGTCGACACGGGAGGAAAACGGTTTATGATATTCTTTTTTTTTTAGCGGCTCAAAAGTACAAAACCCATCCGTGCTTTCATTCCCGTTCGGCGTTTGGTCCCAACTATAGACTGGGAGGTTGTTTCTCCTGTATGATAAAAGAGTCCGGTGGAATTGGCTCTTTTTTTTCTTAAATATCAATACCATTCACATATCATTTTTACTCTAAAGCATGCTACATACTGTCCCTATGTGCATCATATAAATTTGAAAATCATTGAAGGCGAGTTCACGCTACTTCGTACCCAGAGCGGAGGCGGATCATCGGCAAAACCAAAATTCCGGGCAAATCTTCCGCGACAAACGAGAACCCGCGGAGCGAAACAGCTACGCCAGCCAACATTGCCAATTTCCTGTCCTCGGACTACTTGCAACGTGTGGCACCGCACCTCAATTCCACCGTTGTCAGGACATTTATTCGGCCGCGACCATGTTTTCCCTTCGCTCCGTCCTCGGAGCCCCAATGGCCTCTCCGCCAACTCCTCCCCTCCGTCTCTCGCCGCAGCATCCCCGGCGCTGCTTCGCTTCGTCCTTTCTCGCATATGATCCGAAACAGTCTCACGAGGCTGCGCACTTCTCAGACACAAGGCAGCAATGCTGTTGCTGGCACCATCGGCTCTGCTCGGCATCTCGAGCAGGTTCGGGGGATGAAGACTCGCTCTTCGGTCAAGCGTCTGTGTGATGGCTGCAAGGTATGATCCTCATTGATCGACATGGCACTGCTTGTTTCAGAGAGCAGGGATTTAGCGGTATGGATGCTAACTAGATTTCTAGCCTGTCCGACGCAAGAACCGCGTTTACATTATCTGGTGAGTCCAAGACTTCCTACATCGTCATTGATACATGACAGTCCCACTGACTCAATCTTTCTTTGCAGTTCCAAGAACCCCAAGCACAAGCAACGACAAGGGAAATAGTGTAGAATACATCTGCAGACAGGCTGGGTGCATCGGTTTCGTCTCGAATCTTCAATTGTGGCATGTTCTTGCATACGTCTTTCTACCCCCACAACACTTTTTTGGGATACAGCGGCGCTTGGGTTTTATCTTGTACATTAGTCTTGAACCGGGATATCGGTTTATGTTGAAATTCAACTCAATGATCTTCATACTTCGTGTGTGTACCGTACAATTCCTGGGTAGCACGCTCAAGGTCAGTATTGTATGCTCAGAACAGTCTACGCAAAATGTCTGTACACAAGCAAGCCAGAAGTACCCAGTAAAAGCCAGTCCAAGGCCGGATGTAATGGGTCCATCATGAGAGGCCGGATCTCACGTGACGCGTTCCTGGCTTCCCCGAACTTTTTTTCCGCGAAAAAACATGCGCGCTTTCGTCCAGTCTCGACTCCATAGGAACAGACCGGCGATATGAGGTCTCTTTCTCTTGCACGGGTGAATTACCGTGCAGTATCTGGCTTGGCCAGATCCGCTCGTTTCCAGCCCCAGGGTTTCTTGACTTCGCGATGCGTCTCCACGGCCGCTTTGCGGTCTTCCGGTGTCGCGCCGGCTTATCAGTCGATTCTGAAGCAGTGGGACCAGCGCCGCAATGCCTCTACTGCTGCATCTGCAGTGTAAGTGCTTCCTAGCAATATGGTTCTCTCCGTGTCTAACATATTGCTCAATAGTCTTGAGGCCGCCGCCGCCAGCCCGGATGCCCTTTCGCAAGCCGCCATCATCGACAACCTCGACCCCGTGGAGGCTGCTCGTCTCGACAAGGTCCGCAATATCGGTATCGCTGCCCACATCGACAGTGGTAAGACCACCGCTACCGAGCGTGTCCTATTCTACACCGGTCGTATCAAGGCCATCCACGACGTCCGCGGTCGTGATGGTGTTGGTGCCAAGATGGACTCCATGGATCTGGAGCGTGAGAAGGGTATCACCATTCAGTCCGCTGCTACCTTCTGTGACTGGGTCAAGAAGGATAAGGACGGCGTTGATCAGAAGTACCACGTCAACTTGATCGATACACCTGGTCACATTGACTTCACCATTGAGGTCGAGAGAGCGCTGCGCGTTCTGGATGGTGCCGTCATGATTCTGTGTGCCGTGTCAGGTGTCCAGTCCCAGACCATCACTGTGGACCGTCAGATGCGTCGTTACAACGTTCCTCGTCTCTCTTTCGTCAATAAGATGGATCGTATGGGTGCCAACCCCTTCAAGGCAATTGAGCAGATCAATACCAAGCTCAAGATGCCTGCCGCCGCTGTCCAGGTTCCCATCGGTGCCGAGGACGAGTTTGAGGGCGTTGTCGACCTCATCACCATGAAGGCTATCTACAACGTTGGCGAGAGTGGCGAGGAGCTTAAGATCACTGAGATCCCCGAGAAGGTGAAGCAGCTCGCCGAGGAGCGCCGGGCTATGCTCATTGAGACCGTCGCCGATGTTGACGATCAGATGGCTGAGATGTTCTTGGACGAGGTTGAACCCACTGAGGACCAGTTGCGCGCTGCCATCCGCCGCGCTACCATTGGGCTGAAGTTCACTCCTGTCTTCATGGGCTCAGCTTTGGCCAACAAGTCCGTTCAGCCTATGCTGGACGGTGTTGTCGACTTCCTTCCCAACCCCTCCGAGGTTGAGAACCTTGCACTTGACCAGAAGCGCAACGAGGCTTCTGTCAAGCTTGTCCCTTATAACTCTCTTCCCTTCGTCGGTCTCGCTTTCAAGCTCGAGGAGTCCAACTTTGGTCAGTTGACCTACATTCGAGTCTACCAGGGTACCCTCCGCAAGGGATCGAATGTGTTCAACGCCCGTAACAACAAGAAGGTCAAGATTCCCCGTATCGTGCGTATGCACTCCAACGAGATGGAGGAAGTCAGCGAGATCGGTGCTGGTGAAATTTGCGCCGTGTTCGGTGTTGAGTGTGCCTCCGGTGATACTTTCACTGATGGCCAGCTCGGCTACAGCATGTCCTCCATGTTCGTCCCCGAGCCTGTCATTTCCCTCTCTATCAAGCCCAAGCAGGCCAAGGATGCGGCCAACTTCTCGAAGGCCATGGCCCGCTTCCAGCGCGAGGATCCCACTTTCCGTGTCACTTATGACAACGAGAGTGAGCAAACCATCATCTCCGGAATGGGTGAACTGCACTTGGATATCTACGTTGAGCGCATGAAGCGTGAATACCGCGTGGAGTGTGAGACCGGTCAGCCCCAGGTCGCTTACCGTGAGACCATCGGCCAGCATACCAAGTTCGACCACTTGCTCAAGAAGCAGACTGGTGGTGCTGGTGACTATGCCCGTGTCATGGGTTTCATGGAGCCCACCGGCGTCCTCGAAGAGAACCAGTTCGAGCAGCAGATTGTCGGAGGCAGCATCTCCGAGAAGTACCTCTTTGCTTGCGAGAAGGGATTCAACCTTTCCTGCGAGAAGGGTCCTTTGATCGGCCACAAGATCCTCGGAACTCGCATGGTCATCAACGACGGAGCGACCCACATGACAGATTCTTCTGAAATGGCCTTCAAGAACGCCACGCAGCAAGCCTTCCGCAAGGCCTTCATGGACAGCCAGCCATCTGTGCTTGAGCCGCTGATGAAGACCGTTGTCACCGCTCCCAGTGAGTTCCAGGGTGATGTTATCGCCTTGCTGAACAAGCGCGGAGCCACCATCAACGACACCGAGACCGGCGTCGACGAGTTCACCATCTACGCCGACTGCAGTCTGAACGGCATGTTCGGCTTTAGCTCCAACCTCCGTGCCGCCACCCAGGGCAAGGGCGAATACACCATGGAATTCAGCCATTACGAGAAGGCTCCCCCGCACGTGCAGAAGGAGCTCATCGCCAAGCACCTCAAGGCCCAGGCTGAGCGTAACAAGAAATGAGTGCCCACACAACCACCCAGCACCGTCTAATTTTTCATAAGCCCTCCCTGTTCCTCTGTACCATACCCACTATTTTACCATCCTCTTTTCCGACTCAACCCGGGCGGTGCCTGGCGTTTCTTTGAGGAGGGCAGATATAAAGCATCATAGACACTTCTTGTGCTGTGGCTTCAAAATCATTTCTTTGTGCGTCATGGCGCGGTATCATCTTGTGCCTACTTTTAGAACTGTATTTTAGATTCAAAATATCCCTTTCTACTCTCCTGTCTGAACAATACATCTGATGAATACAGAAAGTCCGCTCTTCACCTTGTTATTGTAATTTCACGCCTTTCTCGGGTTGGAATGGTAAAGGTCACGTCCAATATATATTAGTAATATTTGGTTCGATGTCGAAGATGGAGCGTATACTATAATGTGTTGGTCTCAAGCCCAAAGCTTGCTTTAGGGGCCATATCCATCCCTTATGTACAATCGCGTCCGTATTTCACGATGATTTCGAAAAGATCGTCGGATTCCTTATCTTCGAGTATTGAATCCTTTCTATTGCCCTAAGTAGGTTAACGTCGAGTTTGCATGCCGGGGTGAGTCCTGATATATCACCTGTAACACAATACGAAGAACATACTGTCATTCTTAGGAAATGGGGGAGACGATTCTGGTCTTTGGAAGCGTTCAATTTTTGATGATGAGGGCATTGTTCCTTGCCAAAGCCAAGAACGTAATTCAAGGGTGAGAACTTGTGACTATCATTGAGCCTAGGCGAAGAAGGCCTTGTTGATAAGAACACAATTATGTCACGGAATTCCACGGATTCAAAGTATGAGTCCGGGGACACGACTTCTTACATAGACCTATAAAAAGAGTCTCTCACAGCCTAGACAGGATTTCCCTGGAAACGAGTATTTGTAATGAGATGATGTCAGGGTCCATATCAAACAATATAAATGAAAGAGGGATACCCCAGATGCATAAATAAGAATACAAGAATTGATCGATCCACAAGAAAAAAAAAGAGTTCTGTATCGAGCCTAGGGGGTATATATACGCTATGAGAGATGACCACGTCTCAAAGAACAAACAGAACAACAAAGGATGAGAAGGGATTCACTCGCTGTACAAATCCACTAAAGCCAGAACACCCATCGCGCACCAGAAACAGCACCCCGAAGAACACCGCGCACGAGCTTGAATCCCATGACAATCAACCAAACCCACCACAGCATACTGACAAGCGCCCATTCAAGGATGACGAAACCAGCCCGCCGGACCCAGCGGAGTCGACGACGGCGCTTTCGTACGCCTCTGTCAAGAGCATCAGTGAGAGACTTGACTGCCAGTGTACTGGTCGTATTGAGCTGAACGCAAAGATCCTCTGCTTGGTCGGCTGTGGCTCGGACACGGGGAGCGAGGAATTGGGTGAGGAGAGTCTCCAGGTCTTTCAGCTGGGCGCGAAGAGGTGACGATGTAGTTGTGGTGAAGTGGTGCATGGATTGCTGGAATGAGTATTGGGTTGTCTCGAATCGCCGGAGAAGATTTTGGGCTGCGAGATCGAATTCGTTGACTCTTATCACGCGGTTGACGGTTGTGCCGGAACCCATGGAGGATTGAAGCCAGTGAGGTGGTGGATCGCGGACGCTGTGAGCTCGGCGGGTGATTTCTCGGGCTTTGATGCCAGATGAAAGCAGCAAAATTCGGGTTCGCTCAATTTCTGTCTTGCTAGGTACGCCCGAGTCATTCGATGTTTGGATGCTGCGATCTGAGATACTCCATGCGCGACTCGCTCCTGATAATGCGGGTCTTTGGTCGGTGGGGCGTTGAGGGTATGCTCGGGCTTGAGCAAGTCCAGTGACAGGAGGACGAGTAAGACTGAAGGGGACTGAAGGGTCCTTGATATCATGCTGCTTGGTGCGTCCTCGATTCAATTGTGAAGCAGGGGCAAAATCAAATGTTCGGCTCCTAGATAGAATCGTCCTCTTTGGATCGTCACCTTGTCCGCGGGATGCAGCTGCACCTTCACGGGAGCTACCGAAGTCCTGTGCATCTGTCGAGTCAATGCGCTCATCCTGCCGCAATGGCGAGGTGAAGCTTGGTAAAGAGCCTTTGAAACTTTTAGATGGTGTGGCTTTTTCAGTCTCCCGGCGAGTGAGGCGCGAAGGTTCCTCGCCGAGATTCGGCAGGCGTCGGAGGAGTCCCTTGGCCGCAGATCGTTTGTCCGTCTTCCGTTCCTCATCATCAGAATCGCTATCATCCGAGGCGACAGTGGTAGCAGATGACGACTTTCGGGAATCGGGTGGTGCATCCTTCTTCATGATCATGTCTCCAACCTTTGATACTTCATTTCCAACAAGCTCAGCTATGCGTCCAGGTCCTTTCAGTATACCTCGTAGCTTCGACTCGGCAGAATTTTGGACCTTTCGTCCTCGAGAACCATCTATACGTTCGTCCTCCGGCGAATCTGGATTCTCAGTATAAGAGGAAGACACAACGTCCGGCAATGGGCTTGGTTCAAGCTTCGATGTCTTCGATTTTTGCTCGGCACGCTCAGGTGGAGAGCTCAAGCTTGGACGAGGCAATGGCTTCGTTTCAGGTATCGCATCTTCATTTCCTTTCAGGTCCCGATCTCCTTGTTTGCTCTTGCTTCGCTCATGGCGAGAAGCGATCTTGTGACGAAGTCCCTTCTTGGCTGGTGAAGGGGACCGACTCGAGGGCGGAGAAAGGTTGACTGCGATACTAGGGAAGTAGCTAGCTTGAGCTGGAGAGTTGGGAGCGGTGCTGTCCCTTTCTTCAAACGACATCCGAGAGTTGTATCTGTCGTCCATACTTCCAGCCGAGGAGAAAGAGGCCCCCCCCTTTGTAAGACTTGTCTTGGTACTGAGTGACGGGAAGTAAGAGTGAGTAGCTTTGTCTTCGTCTGCACCGAGAATTGCCGCGGCGGGGGATTTGGCTCTAGATACTCGAGGGTCAGATGAGTTCGCACCATCCTTGGATTTCTCTTGGTCTTTCCGTGAATGTGCCCAAGCCCGACGGGTTGGTTCTCCCGACGTCCGCCGTTCGTCACTTGAATTGCTTGAGGCGCTACCAGAGCGCATTTGAACTTTGTCCCATCGGGAGTGCTTCAGTGAGCTAGATTCACTTCGATCACGAATGTTTTGTGAATGACCCCGGAATCTTTTTCTGTGTCGTCCACGGCCAACGCTATTGAATTCAGGGCCCAATGCAGGGTGGTTACTTGATATAGAGGTATGGGATGACATTACCCCCGCGTCCTCCTTTTCAATTGCCCCGTGTCGTTTTGATTGCGCGGCTGTTTCTGATTTGGTGACGGTCAGAACCAGCTCTTCTGGGTTTGGGTAAAGCGGATTGCTATCTTTGTCGACAATTTTGGCCTTATTTACACCATCTTCAAGCCAGGCTGCATCAGCTAGGAGCTCAGCAGGTGAGATTTTCCAGTCGAGTCGTGGCCGAGGAGCCTTGACGCTATTTGTGCGGCTAGCACGTCTCAAGCTCGAAGAAGGGGACGTGGCCAACATATCCATATCATCCGGATCATCATATGACTGGGACCGTTGCCCTTGCTGAAATGGGGGAAGCTTGATGGATTGCGTCTGATCATGGGCCATATGGCCATACTTCTCCTCGATACCTGTGACCCAATCATGAACCTTGTCGACGTCATGCCAGCCTTGTATCTCTGGATCAATCGGACACCTTTCTCGATATCTGACCCTTCGATTACGGATCATCTGGAGAGGATTGTATTCCCGACTAGTAGATGAGCTAGCAGCTGCTTGATGCAGAGACTCGTGGTCATCTTCGGTTTGGGGGGTTCGAAGCGGGGGCAGCAATGGAAGGAGCCGTAGATACTCATGAAATAGATCAAAATGACGACGAGCTCGATCCGCGCGGGCAAGTGTGTGACTAGAAAATTCATATGCTCGAGTGTTGCCAACCGCGGTTGCTGGTAAAAGCTCCGCCACAGGAGAATGTCCGCGCTGAGGTGTTGGCGGAGAAAGATGGTCTCCGTGTGTCTGGCTGGTATTTCGAAATGGATGTGTATGTCTCTGCGGAGACGGGGCATGCGGATCAGTTGGTCCTGCAGCAAGCTGAGAAACAGACATTGGTCTGCGAATACCGGACCCTGTAGCGAGCCCAGAGGCTGTCCTTCGCCGAGACTCATTAAGGTTCAAAGCCAGGTTCACAATCTGGATGGAATCTCTGTCAAGGCCAGGTGTCTCTAGGCTATGCCCTTCGGTGTTAGCTCCTGATGAAGCTCGGGATGTATCCAGTTCCGGAGGAGGCGTGGGGCTTCGTTGCGCCATTGCTGGACTCGCAGCTGAAGTAGCCGAAGTCTCCGAGACGGCATTCTTGTGACGATTCCATGGAAAGCGTGATCTTTTCTTCGGGACCACGATGTCCGCCTCTGGGGCACTTCGTTTCTCTGCAGGTGGCTCCGATGCGCGATGATGATGTGAGCTGACCCGGGAGCTCTTTGAGTGTGGGAGAGGGTCAAGCAGGAAGCCACTAGAGCTTTGCATTCTGCGCTGAGCAGGGTTTCTGCTATCGCCCTCCCGAGAACTGCTGCCCAGTGTGCTGCCCTCAAGCTCCCCGCTTGGTCGACCGCTACTAGTAGCGGCAGGGCCCGCTGCTCGCCGGGCCGACTGAACATCGTATCGGTACAGAGGCGACCGGTTGCCTGAAGATGTGTCTCGATTTTCGTCTGTCGAAGGCATTGAACCCCGTGCGCTTTGATGATGACGTTGCGACATCTGAGCCGAGGGGAGGGCGAGAGAGCTAGATTGCCGCGCCCGTCAAAGAGGCAACAGACATCGCTTGCCAGACAAGTCTCAGCATTAGCGCGATATCAAGAAGAAAACAATCGCAGACTCGTAGGCAACAAACAAGGGTGCATGGGAATCGCTCAATGTCGGTTGATCTACACCATCGGACTTGCGCGTCACGCAGCGAGTGCTGAGTAAGCTAAATATAGGTTCTCATTTATCCGCAAGACGTTAAAACAGTCCCTGAAGCATGTCTGACATTGAGACTGACTTGGAAGTGATTTTCACTGTCTCTCTACAAGACTTCCGACCACCAGGCACATAGGAAACATTCTAGCATTTGGGTCTAACGCAAAAGTACAACTAGAGGTACACTTCCTGTAGACAAGACGAAGATATACAGGATTAAATGAATTCAGCATCGCTCAATATATGCTTACTCAACCCGCAAGCACTGGAGGCGGGCTTCGGTCTCAATGACCTATCAGGAAGACACGTTAGCGAATTTTCTCAGCCTAAATTTGGTTGTGGACTCACCTCAAGAGCCTGCTTAACTTCAAGAACCCTGCGAACATCTGCCATCCAATCCTTGCTCAAAATCTTGGCCCAGCCCTGAAGGCCGTTCATCTCACGGGCAGCAGCGTCGACGTTGCCCTCCTCTAGCAAATTCTCAGTGCGGAGGAGAATGCTCTCAACGTCGTCACCGTCAGCAAGGCCATCCTTTTTTGAACATAACCTTACTCAGGACCAGGCTAGCAGCGTGGCTTGCGATACCAGCATCCTCGGGCAGCAAGCTAGCCTTGCGAACCTCGCTGGCAACACGGCGGAACCGCTCCATGATCATGGCTGTGGAGGGAATACCGCGTTGGTAAGCAGTGGGGTTGATGGAGGCAATAGCGGCATCAACAACTGGATCGTCGGCAGCCAGCTCCTTAACGGCAACAAGTTCACGGACGAACGGACGGGGAACCTCGGCGCGCTCGAGAGAAGAGCGAACGGCATCGACGGCAACCTGAAGCTGCTGGGTCTTCAGGTTGGTGTCAATGACGCTGCTCCAGCCGGTAGTCAACTGCTCAAGCTCAGTGATGTTGGCGGTGAGCTCATCTAGCTTGCCAAGACGACCCTCACGCTCGCGCTCAACCAGATCCTTGACCTCGTGGACGTATTTGCGGTTGAGTTCAATGGCCTGCTCAACAAGTTCATTCTTCAGGCGCTGCTCAGCGAGCTCCTGGGCACGGAGAAGCTCGGTCTTAATCTTATCTTGGTAAGCCAGGGCAAGCTTCTCACGCTCAGCCTCGAACTCCTCGCGGAACTGGGCAACCTCGGCATTGCGCATCTCCTCAAAACGGCGAATGAGTTCCCGAGCCGATTCGTCGAAAGTGTTGTGAGCCTTGGTAATCTCCTCCTGGGCGGCCTTAGCCGCCTCAGTACGAATGGCGGAGATCTTCTCGCCAATCTTCTGTAGCTCCTCCTTGGCCTTGGCGACGGGCGCAGAGTACTTGCCGGCATTCTCATCGGCACTGATAACGGAGACGATGTCGTTGAATGTCTTGACCAGCTCCTGCACCACAGTCTCATCACCCTCCTGCGCCTTGAGCAGCTCGATGTGGCTAACAGCAACAGCGGGCTGGCGAGGCTCGTCGAGAGAGACAGGCTTCTCCTCCTTCTTCAGGGCAGGCTTTCCCTCCTTCTGACCTGTTGAGTCCGTGGCCTTGTCTTCCTTAGCCTTGAGGACAGCCGCATTGCGGTCCTGCGGCGAGGCACTTTCGGTCTTGGTCTGGCCCTCGTGGGCCTGAGAGCTCATGTGAGGACCGCTTTTGGAGACATCACTTCCAGACTGCTCAGCAGAGACTCTCCACGACAGACCGCTCTTGCTGGGGATTGTGACGGACTTGCCCTCGTCCCGAGACGCAGCAGTGATACGGTTTTGGTGGCGCGAGGCGTTTGGGAAGCGGCGGTAGAAGTCACGCTCCTCGAAGTAGAGTACGCATTCCTCGCCGTAGGGAATATACTCAGTGAAGAAGTCGTGGAAGTTGTCGGACTTGAGGGCTAGGAAGATGCTACCGCCATAGGCGAAGCCGGAAGTAAGAATTAGGTACAAGAGGAATCGGCGGAAACGACCATTCTTGCGAGGCGCAGCCGCAGAAGTAGACGGGAGAGCCTTGGGTTCTGCCGGAGTACTGAATTAGCTGATGATCCTAGATTGAATGTCGATGGAGGCCAGCGGTACCTTGTTCGGCGAGCTTGGGCACAGTCTCACGTGGGACGCTCGATTCAGAGGAAGGCGTGACGGGCGTGGGGCTACCAGGCGCAGGAGGCTTGGAGTCGGCGAAGAATCGCTACGTAGAATGCAAGATCAGTTGAATTGAGTGGGCACATGAGCAGAAGTTCGTCGTACCTGACCCGAGAGCCGGCTGCTAGCGCCGGCCTTGGACAGCCATTGAGAAGGCAACCGTTGGCGAACGGGGCCAGACAGCAGCTGCCGACCCGGAGCAATTGAGGAGCGCAGCATGACGAGCCGCACAATCGCCAGAGAGCGGGGAAGGTTAGCAAAGGTGGATGGTAGAGAAACGGGAAGTTGAGCAAGTCGCGATCCGCTCCGAGCCTGCAGGCGGTCAGCCCGGTGTCGCTCAACTCCCGTAGTGCTGACTGCATCACTCGAATCAATGCGAGGGAGTCTATGCATTTTCCAGTTTAACAAAAGATTTCTCTGTCAACGTCTAGAGCTCGGTAGTTCCAACTCAAATCTTAGTATGAATTCTTCAATCCAAGAATATCCCTTTCCCATCCTAGTTGTGCACTATACACCCACTGGGAGTTAGCTCGAGAGAACCATTGATCTATTCATACGTTGGATCCACGATAGGACAGAATAGGACGGATTTTAATAGATTGAATCCTTGTAGGCAAAGATCCTAAGCTAGTTTAAAAGAACTTTGCAACCAAAGTTGCCGAATAAGGCGGCACAAGTAAATCTTTTTCGCCAAGGCAGGTATCTGATCCAAGTACCTGGGCCATCTTAACAATAGTTACCAAACTTCACTATGACATTGAAAGACTGTCGGAGTCTCGTCTCATATGCTTTACGATAGAGTTGCTGTTCACCACCTATGCTACAACGTGGATATTCAAGTACACAGTCGGAAAGAAATATATTATCGGGCATAGCATACTGAGAGTGGCTCTGAAACAAGGAAGGAGATAGTAACAGTGCGGGAATTCAGCCCAGCAAAAGAGTAGATGCAGACGCCGGGTTCAAAGGGAGAAGTACAAGGGAAATCGAAGACAGACGAGCCCTGCCGCAACATGTCTAAAGCCAAATTCCAGATGCGTTCGTGGAAAGTCGAAGAATACCTCCGCCGGCGGCAGATCCCCGAGAAGGGCGAGCGAAAGTTCAAGGGTTCAGGATAGAGAGACTAAGTGTACGGCGAACCGAGAGTCTACCTCTCGTGTCGATATGTCGTGTTAGGGGAGGTCCATGCCACAACCTGACCAAACGAAGTCAGACTGGGATTGGACATTCGGGGAATTGTGGCAGGAGGTGAACACAAAAGCTGGATATCGGGGAAATCGAGAAAAAATTAATGGCTTAGCAGTTGCAAGCACCGGCACCCTGAGTGCCAGGGGCCTCGGGCCGCAGGTCGACACCAGGTCGAGGGGCCGCCCCACGCAGGTTCCGGGGACCAGCCTGATCGAGAGGCAGCTTCTTTGCGATGGCTGTGAACAATTCAGTGACGTTCGTCGATGACTTCGCGGAAGTTTCGAAAAAGAGGAGACCAGCCTCTCGGGCGTAGGCTTCAGCATCTGCGGTCGGAATAGCCCGCTTATCAGGACTCTCGGTAACAAGATCGAGCTTATTGCCTGCCAGCGCAATCACAATGTTCTCGTTAGCTTGACGCTGGAGCTCCTTCACCCAGGACTTGGCCTTGTCCAGCGAAGACTGGAGCAGGTAGATGACGGTCAGCGATCGTGATTTGAATGGGATTATACAAGTCAGACGTACAGCTTGGGTGATGTCATAAACCACAACAGCACAGTTGGCATTTCGATAGTACATGGGAGCCAGCGACTTATATCTCTCCTGGCCAGCAGTGTCCCAGATTTCAAACTTGACGGTGGTGCTCTCGTCGAGGGAGATGGTTTGTGTTAGGAAAGCGGCGCCGATAGTTGACTCGCGGTAATCATCGAATTGGTCCTATATCGGCAGGTCAGTTTCATCTCATTCGGGTTTCGGTCATCAGTTTTAAAAGCTTACCTTAACGAATCGCAACACCAGCGAACTCTGAAGATAGCGATAATGTTAGCGCCCGATAAAGATAGTGGCAGACTGAAAATCGAACCTTTCCGACAGCGGACTCGCCTGAACAAAGAAGAAAACGTTAGGTTCTGTGAGTGTAAAACGAGGTTCAAGTTGTTACGACGAGCATAACCTACCGAGCAAGACGAGCTTGAACTGGGCGAACTTGGCCCCGGGGCGGGCGCCTGCTGGTTGACGGGAGGCCATGACCAGGGGATAAGGGGACTTCGGATTAAGGCGGATTGGACGAGGGAGTAGAACTCTCAGAGGAAGAAAGAATCAAAGACAGTATAGACGAGGCTGTTTGAGGGTCCGAGAATAAGTGATGGGTGGAGGGAGTTCGAGAGTGCCCAAGGAAGAGAGAGTGGATGACGGAACGAGCCACAGGTGCAGCGGGGCGGTGTGGCGGTACTTGGCCTGTTGACTTACGCACCTGCCGCTGTGCATGTGTTTGGTTCCTGGTTGTTCATATCTCCCCTGACTGCTTTGATTCAGGCCAGTCCAACATGGCTCCTCAAATTCTCCCATTTAGGGATGTCAACTTACATGCATCGCCGTCTCATTATGCATTTACCTCCCCGTCCTCCCCCCAGGCACCAACGCTGGTTATAGACCGGCCGACTGGTGACCTCCGCCTCAGCGATGGTCTCTCCATTTCTGGCACCAAACGCATTTCCAGCATTGCGGGGATTTTGGGGATAGTGAAGTTGAAGCTGGGTAAATATACATGCACCGCCGAAAATGTTCGGACTGACCCTGGTAGACAAGTACATCATCGTCATCACCAAGGCACAGCCGATGGGACGCCTGTGCGGCCATATGGTGTACAAGGTCGCTTCGACGGAATTCCTTCCCATGCGCGAACGCCCGCTCCACGATACCGATGAAGATACCTATCTCGCGTTGATTAAAGACATGCTGCGCACCGGGCCCATGTACTTCTCCTACTCCCTGGACCTCACCAATAGCTTCCAGCGCCAGTCGCAAAGTGCCTCTACTATCCCCATGTGGAAGCGTGCCGACGACCGCTTCTTCTGGAACCGCTTCATTCAGTCAGACTTGATCGACTTCAGTCTGGGAGAATCTGACACGAGCGGCATTCGCTATGGTCCGCAGCCGGGTGTCGACCCCTTCATCCTTCCTGTCATGTTCGGCATGATGCGTATTTCCCCGCCCGAGTCAAGGGAACGTCGTTCACATTTGCGCTGATCACTCGACGATCCCGACACCGCGCCGGAACGAGATATTTCACCCGAGGAATCGACGAGGAGGGCCATGTCTCGAATTATAACGAAACAGAGCAAATCGTCATTTTGAATGACGCGACAGGTGGACTCTCAGGCTTTGCTGGAGGGCAGTCGATGACCAATGGCAAAGCTAGCCAAGATCTCCAGGTCTATTCATTTGTGCAAACCCGAGGCAGTGTGCCCGTTTTTTGGGCCGAAGTGAACGACCTCAAATACACGCCTAAGCTCCAGGTCCGGGGTGTTGATACCGCTGTCGAAGCCGCGCGCAAGCATTTCTCTGAGCAGATTCACCTGTATGGAGAGAACTATTTGGTCAATCTGGTCAACCAGAAAGGCAGGGAGGAACGCGTCAAAAAGGCCTACGAGCAGCTGGTTCAAATTCTCATCTCTTCTTCCACCGAGACCACCGAGGCTGACCGTGCAACTTCCGAAAAGATCCACACTTTGGAGCCAGGCCTCAAGCAGAAGGAGATGGATCATCTTCACTATGTTTACTTTGATTTTCACAACGAGACCAAGGGCCTCAAATGGCACCGCGCTGAACTTCTGATGGGTCGTTTGCAGGACGGACTGACTAAAGGTGGCTACTTCCGAGGCATTGAATCTCCTGGAGTCCCCGGCGGACAGCTGGAAGCTCGATCGACACAAAGCAGCGTGGTCCGGACCAACTGTATGGATTGCCTTGACCGCACCAACGTTGTGCAGAGCATGCTTGGCCGCTGGGCGGTTACGCGACAGCTCATGGATGCTGGTGTCCTTCGTCAAGGCGAGTCGGCAAACGATGACCGCGAGTTCGAAGACCTTTTCCGCAATGTCTGGGCCGACAATGCCGACGTGGTTTCCAAGTCCTATTCCGGTACAGGCGCTTTGAAGACTGACTTCACTCGCACGGGCAAGCGCACTCGAGCTGGAGCTCTTCAGGATTTGAGAAACTCCATCACTCGCTACGTGCGCAACAATTTCATGGACGGTCCTCGCCAGGATGGATTCGATGTATTTTTGGGCGCCTATCTCCCCTCGCACTCAGGCCCTGCGAACATTCAGCTGTTCCTTGACAGACGCCCCCTGGTTATCCAAGCCGTTCCTTACGTGTTCGCCGCGAGTCTGTTCTTGGTTCTCGTGGCCATGCTCACACGACAACTACCCGATGCTGCTGTCTGGCCCCTGCGCGTGTTCATGATATTCTGGTTGGTAATTGGCGCGTACTGCTTCCGCTTCATTTACGGTCACGGTATGCTCTATGTCAACTGGCCCAAGTTGAACACTCCTGTTGCTGGCGCCGAGGGATACCAGGATGCTATGATCAAAGCCCGTTCCGACCCTATTATCGGAAACTGGCTTCCGAACAAAAGACATCAGCGCGGCATCAGCAATGCCCGTCTCGTGTTCCTTGAGGAAGGCAAGACCAGGATCGAATGATTCATGTCTTCCCAGTCAATCCTCTTTGTCACTGTTACGCCCGCTCCTTCGCTTTCACTTCTGTATACTCAATGGCTGTATTTCTTATTTTCTATTATTTTGTATTTCTTTTCCGCAGACAGGCTTTGCCCTTGAGCCGTTTACCCCATGTCTCTTTCAACGGCAGTTTCATCCACCTCTACCTCTTCATCTTGACCAAGCAAAAATTAGACCGTGTGCACCTTCGCATGGGCTCATGTCATATCACTCAATCTTAGCGTCTCGTGAAGTAGACAATGCTTACGGCTGCGCAAAACCCAGTCAATCCATATGAACGGACCGATTTTCTTGTGCCTTATTGCGTATACCGCGAGCAAAGTGCAAAAAAGAGTATTCAAAACAATGCTCTCTCTATTCCTTTGACTATGCCTCTCTTCATCCAACCAAAAGATATCCTATCTCCGATCAGCATCACGTGAGATTTCCGATGCGACTCCGTCTTTCCCGAGGAGATCCTTTCATCGGGAGAACCAAGCAGAGAAGATTGAGCCGCCGGGGTTTCTTGTCGTAGCCCTCGCCTGCTCCCTTGAACAAGCAATTCTGGTCTCTTTGTCTATGAGAGGTATTTGGGTCCCTCTTCGTTGGCAGTCCTTCCCAAGGCGCCGAGTCTCGACTCGCTCGGCCACTATGACTCGCACATATGAGGTATGCACCTCGGAACCCCCCCGCGCGAGTTGACTCCGCGGTGATGCGCAAGGAATTTTGTGTATCATATTTACTCACATGAGCAATACTTCTAGAATGCCATCTCGGCGCTCAATTCCCTGCAGACCAACTATGCGATTGTAGAAGAGCTTAGGAAGTCCAAATCCCCCGCAGATCAGAATGCGCGCTCACTCCCGGAGACTGTCGAATGGCTTCGGCGCATTGGACATACGGTTCGTAAATGCAAGATGTTGAGCTTTGGGAGAGCTGAGGGCTAACATGACTTGCACCCCAGCCTTCCGAGCTCGATCGCATCAACCCAGTTCATGTGGCTGGCACAAAAGGCAAGGGCTCGACCTCCTCGTTCATCTCAACAATTCTTGCCCAGTACACGAAGCCACAAGCAGACCAGTCGGCTCCCCGACTCCACAAAATCGGTCTCTTCACTTCTCCGCATCTCCGCTTTGCTCGCGAGCGTATTAAGATTGATAATGAACCGCTGTCTGAGGAACAGTTTACTCGCTACTTCTTCGAGGTTTGGGACCGTCTAGAGGAGTCGGCTAGACTGGCCGGCGAGGACCCGACCGCTCGGGGCACAAAGCCTCAATATTTTCGCTATTTGACCCTCATGGCGTTCCACACATATTTGAGCGAGGGCGTCGATGCCGCGGTTATCGAGTGTGGAATTGGCGGAGAATACGACTGTACCAATGTGATCCAGAACCCCACAGTATCGGTGATCACAAGTCTTGGGATCGACCATGTTGCCATGTTAGGTGATACAATTGACCAAATTGCCTGGCACAAGGGTGGTATCATCAAGCCTGGCGCAAGAGCTTTTAGCGCACCGCAACCTCCGGCCGCTATCGAGGTACTGAAGAAGCGTGCTGCCGATAAGGGCTCCAGGCTTGACTTTGTGCCTGCGCACCCTGATCTTCAGGCTGGCAACAGCCAAGTGAAGCTTGGATTGGCTGGTGATTTCCAATACAATAATGCCTCAGTAGCAGTCGCTGCCGCCGCGGAGTTCCTTCGCAAGACAGGAATTGCAAAAATCTCAGAGGACATCATGTCAGAAACCCTCCCAGCCGAGTTCAAGAAAGGCCTTGAGGAGACCCGCCTCGGTGGCCGATGTGAAACCCGGTACGAGAAGAACGTGTCCTGGTATATCGATGGAGGACACACATTAGAGAGCATTCGACTCGCTGGCCAGTGGTTCGCCGGACGAATCCAAGCAGATTCATCCTCTAGCGACCTTGCGACGAAAAAGACCCGGATTTTGATCTTCAACCAGCAGACGCGAAATAGTACAGCCTTGGCCACTGCACTATATGAAACTCTCGCTGCAGCGCTCGGGTCCACAATGCCCTTCACTCACGCCCTGTTCTGTACCAACATGACCTACAAGCAAGCCGGCTACCGACCTGACCTAGTCAGCATGAACACAAATGCCGACGACGTTGAATTACTCCGCGTGCAAAAGTCTCTAGCGAGTGCCTGGAACGAGATCGACCCGTCCGCTCAGACACATGTGTTCGGTACCATTGAAGAGGCTGTGGACTTTGCACGAGACGTGGCGGAGCAAGAACGCAAGGTGCTGCAGGAAGATGAGACACCAGTGATGACCTTTGTCACTGGTAGTCTGCATCTGGTCGGTGGCTTCTTGGATGTCATCGAGACTAAGCCCTACACTGAGAGCGGCTGAACTGGTTGTTGGCTTGATCAACAGCCCGGCTCTGAGAATTTTGAATCTCGCATCAAAGCTGAAGGACTTAATTCGAAATAGCGCGATGTGAAGGGTCATATAGAGGTGTTTGTGCATTTCAACAATTCGAAATTAGATTCCCATTTTGCAATACAATACGTCCATCTTCTGGCTTAGGGGTGCTTAATTATTAGGGACGTTGGCCTAATTGCGTCAAGACGCCTGCGCTTCTAGGGCCCCTCCAAGCTGTAAATGGATAGAGCTAATTTTGAAGACCTATTGATAACCAAGATCTGTATCTAAAACTCATGCGAATACTTGATTTCCTTGAGCCCGCATCGCTAGTCATATCGCAACAGGCTTACACTCGGCACCCCACTGAGCCGCATTACTTAGGTCAACGTGGGGCCTCAGCGAAATCCTTCCTTCTCCCACTTTCACAACATCTTCTCACCAGCCTCACACAAGATGTCGGACCAAGACAAAGGCAAAGCGCCCCAGCGCGAGAGTGCGTCCGATTCTGGAGCCCCAAGCGAAAAGGGTACGTCCTAAGAGTAACGGTTACGCCGCGCGACCGCTCCGCACTCAACTGACCTCGATTACATAGGTTCCTCCACCTCGAAGAATCTTCCTCCCAAAGCGATAGAGGCTCTTCTGAATATGAACCCTGCATTGAAGAGCGAGCTTGCTACTATGGATCCCGAGACCGCGGCTAAGACTATCGCCAACCTCGACCTCGACCAAATGTTGACCGGACTCTCAATCAATGGAAAGAACCAGAAGGATATGGCCTCCTACAAATTCTGGCAGACACAGCCCGTACCCAGCTTTGAGGATCAGAAGAGCAAAGAGCCTGTTGCCCAGGGCCCTATTAAGATTATCGACCCGGAGCGGGTTCCCAAGACACCTGGCCCGCTGGTTGAGGGCTTCGAGTGGTGCACTCTTGACTTGACAAATGAAGAGGAGCTTAAGGAGCTCTACGAGCTACTGAACAACCATTACGTGGAGGATGATAACGCCATGTTCCGTTTCAAGTACTCGCAGTCGTTTTTGCACTGGTATGGTGGCTCTTCATCTGACTGGATTGTGTGATCTGTGCAGCTTATTAACCATCGTCTGAAATTAATCTAGGGCCCTGATGTCTCCTGGATGGCAGAAGGAGTGGCACGTCGGTGTACGCGCCTCGAAGTCGCGCAAGTTGGTTGCCTCAATTTGCGGCGTCCCAACGGAACTCCGAGTTCGCGGCGAGCGAATTAAGGTGACCGAGATCAATTTCCTTTGCATTCATAAGAAGCTGCGGTCTAAGCGCCTGACCCCGGTTTTGATCAAGGAAATTACTCGCCGTTGCTATGTCAAGGGCATCTACCAAGCCATCTACACTGGCGGCATCATCCTACCAACTCCTGTGGCTTCTTGTCGCTATTATCACCGTCCGCTTGACTGGCTGAAGCTATACGAGATAGGCTTCTCGTTCCTTCCGCACGGTTCGACCAAGGCACGCCAGATCGCCAAGAATCTCCTTCCCAGCAAACCTGAAATCCCGGGCTTGCGTCCCATGGAGGTCAACGATATTGATGCAGTCTACGATCTTTTGGAGCGATATTCGCTCCGATTCGACATGAACCAGGCATTCACTCGCGAGGAGATTGAGCACTGGCTGGTCTTCAAGGAGCAGCCGGGTAAGGATCAGGTTGTCTGGTCGTACGTGGTCGAAGACCCTGAGACTCACAAGATCACTGACTTTGTCTCATTCTACAACCTTGAGTCCACTGTCATTGATCATCCTAAGCACGAGACTGTGCGCGCCGCCTACCTTTACTACTACGCCACCGAGACTGCCTTTACCGAGGACCAGGTCACACTCGCAGCGCGTCTGCAGCACTTGATCAAAGATGCTCTTATCTGTGCAAAGCAAGTATGTCAGATCCCATTAGTACTTACCTTACGAAATCATTTAACACATCTCCAGGAAAAATTCGATGTCTTCAACGCTCTTACCCTTCACGACAACCCTCTCTTCCTTGAAAAGCTCAGATTTGGCGCCGGCGACGGCTCGCTCCACTACTACCTTTACAACTACCGCTGTGCTCCGATCAACGGAGGTGTCAATGACAAGAACCAGCCTGATCCGAAGAAGATGGGAGGCGTCGGCGTTGTCATGCTGTAAAAAGGGAAGAGTGGCTAGTGAATCTGAACGTATTTCGGATACCCCCAAAACGAATGTCTTTTACGCTTCTATAAGAATGAACTGCAAACAAAGTTCATTCAGCCACCCAATACTCTTTTAGTCATTTGTACTATTTACACGTTGTAGCTGTTTGCACGCGATGGCCGAAATGAAAGGACACCTCAGGCAGCAATATCTGACGTCGTCATCCGAAACGTCGCCCGTTCATTCACTTTTTCTCTGTTCTCGCAGTTTAAATTTTACAGGGGTCGGGACTTTTTGTGTAGTCTTCTTTTAATGTTTCTCGCTATCACTCCTGCTAGCTTCGGCTGGACACCTGCGACAGACGTGAGACAGTGGAGAGCTCCCCGCCTTTGCGGCACAACAATGGGCGCAGGTCAGTCGGCTGAACACGTCGGAGCGTCTCCTGGTAAGTCTCGCTGGTCCTGTTCAGCGACGTAGTCTCCTGGGACCCTTGTACCCACATTGGGATCATGATTGCCCTTGAAGCTGTTCTGCTCGAATACCCCTTCTCCCTCGGACCATACTAACCGTAAACAGAGGAGCTGAGCTACGTGCTCGCGGAGCGCTTTGCGACGAAATGCTTCACACCACTGGAGCTGACACATTTCAAAGACAATTTCTTCTCTCGTGCCGCTGAGCAGGGTGGAATTCGTTATTGGAATGAAAACATTCTCTCGGAAATCCTTGGCGTCCCGGATGGCAGCTTCTCTGATGCCAATGAAACCCCACTGGATGCGGGACCCGTCATCTTCCGTATGGTTTCGTACCTTGGAGCATTCCCATTTCAAAATACCATGGCTCCAAGCCTTTTAACGTTTGAGGCTATGGTCAAGGTGGCCGTTCTCTTGACTGAACGATATGGGAAAGTGTTGAAAAGAGGACGCAAGGATCGCATAAAGCTGCTCTTTGGCAGTCTTGCTGATGTCGGAAGAAAGGACATCGAACAAGTTCCAGATGAAACTACTGGTAAGGGTGAGGAGTCGCCTGCAGAAGAAGGTAGTTCTACAGCCGTCAACGCTCATGCCCCGGGGTTTTCAATCGACGAGCCGGCAAATGACGATTACGACGAAGATGAAGATGACGACCTTGCCCTAGCGGCGCTGGAGTCACTAGATGCCATTGAGGTGTTTAAACACGATCATCGAGTCGACCGCACCGCTTATGAAACGCGCATATCTCTGGGTACCTTCCGCCGACTGCTCATGCTGCTGCTCGTGATCGCGCCTCTCAAGCCTTTGGAATCTGTGCAGATTTATACTAATGACCTATCTGCTGAAAGAGTTGAGGCGATTCAAGAAGAGGCAGACAGTATCATTGCGGCTTTTTCCCCGGAGGAAAATGACGGCGGCATCTCATATCGGGCTTTTGCTCGAACAATTTCATCCTCGTTGCCATATCTTTTTGACCCTCTTACACCACTATTCGAGCATCTGTTGTTCAGCAAGAATCTGAATCTTTCTAAAAAGCAACAGGCAGAAGCACGGGACGGAAATATTTCTGTTGAAGAGACTAGAGAGAAGCCCGAAGACGTTCCACTACCTGCACCAATCATGCTTCCAGGCAGCTTCGAGTCGACGATTCTGAATTCGACGCTTCTGTCACACATGTCTTTTTTCTTGCCTTCCACGTCGGCATCACGAAATCTCTTCCGCAACGGCGTACGCCTTCACCCGGTATTCTCTACGTCGGCCCACGGCTCCTCTTTAACGTCATTCTCCCACTACGTCCTTACCTGGCAATCAGCATCGTTGCTGATACTTCAGGGCATGCTAGAGGGTGAGAGTGAGGAGATGCATACCCTCGGTGTCTATCTCCCTCAAACATGGAAATCATCTTCTTCATCACACAGTGCCTCTGTATCGCAAGCCTCTCAACCTCTCCCTTGCCTCTTTCAGCTCTCTCCCAAACACCGAGTCCTCCCAGGCAATCCATCTCCATCCGTTGAAATGAAATCAAATATCCCAGCTGCATGGTTTTCAACACACTCTGGCATTGCCATCGGCTGCAAGAGTCCCCCCACCATCTCGTAGCCACCAGGCCCATCCTAGCCCATATGGCGCAGCAAGTCTCCTCATTGACGTCAACCTGGAATCAGCAGAGCTGCACGTTGCTCCTGTCGGACATGATGGCGTGTTCCTGCCATCAGGCACATCATCTCCGAAGGACAAACCGACAAAGACTAGGATAGATATATACTCTCTTGAGATCTGGGGCGTTGTTCCTGACCCGGAAACAGCTGAATCGGCATCTGGATCTAGCGCCGTAGACGCGCAGAAAGCCAAGTGGGAATTTGAGGCTCGCGAGGCAGAGAGACGGCGCAATATTAACATTAAAGCTGGGGCAGGTGACTCGGCACAGGAAAGTGCGAGATGGCTTTTGGAGACAGCAGGAATCATTGGGGACCATGGGAGGCCCGGTGGTAGCGTTTAATGTTGGAGACTGTAGAATTGGAAACAGTGCAACCGCCACACAATCTTTGCCAATCCCCATGCAGATCAATACATCAATTATCGTTTTCAATGATTGTGTGAACATATAGGTCGGGATTGAAAAACGCCGCATCTCATACAAATTTCGTATCGACAAGGAATTCACTCAGCTAACCCTCTCTGACGCTCATTCTGCTCAGCTTCACACCCAGACATCAAGGGTAAGTCTTCGTCGAAAGCCCAAGTCTACATCACCCCGTCACCCCTTCCGTCTCGCCAATACGCACCACGTATTTGACAGCAGAAACCCTGCCCGCTCGAAGATCTTGCAACGCCCTTGAAGTCCAGCCAGCCCACCGGGACGTACTTCATACGGGTGTCCCGAGAACCAGCCCTGAGACAGGCCCCGGCCAATAAAGTGGAAGAAAGCAGCCCCAAACTCGATATCCTCGAGAGTCTTGCCTGCTGCTGGAGGCATGTGAACCGATCCCGCTATAGTTTGGCCCATGGCGATTCCCTCTGGAGGCTGATAATCACCGCTGGGCAGCATGGTAGTGACCTCCCCTGGCGCAGTCATCACCGCACCGACATTCTGATGACTTCCATGTTCGCCCACCGCATCGTACGCATAGTGTATCGATCGTCCACGCGCGGCTTCCTTGATCTTTGTCCGCACGGCCTCATCACCTTCCCGATAATCAATTATTGTGTCACCCTTCTCGCGATCGATGAGGGTTTCGACGAAGGCGCTGCCCTTTCCAGCTACCGTGATCAGCGGATGGATGTTGGAAAGTCGGGCGAATTTGATCGCAAAGGCTCCAACTGCACTTGCGCCGCCATATACAACCAAAGGCAGAGGCTCGGTGGCCGGGTTCCAGGGCAGAGGCAGCTTTAAGCGCTGATAAAGACCGAGTGCGGCTGTCATGGCAGCGAGCGGGATAGTGGCCGCCTCTGGCCGCATCTTTTGCATTAGCACCAACATGAAGCTTTGAGGGGAATGAGGCCCACCTTCGAACCTGATTTGGGCAGGAATGTGGAAGGTCGTGTAATCGGGCGCGATTGCATACTCGGCCCAGCTGCCGTGAGGTTTCATCACTTGATGGAAGGCGGCGACCTTGTCGCCTTTGTGGAATCCCATCACGCCTTCTCCCACAGCTTCGATGTATCCGGCAATATCGTCTCCTTGATTAGTTGGGGTTCCATCCGCTGGCCACCAGGCAGGGAGTTTCCAGTCTTTAGGATTGGTGCCAGAAACGACAACTCGAATCAGGACTTGGCCAGCTTCAGGGACGGGGACATCGGTGTCTCGGATCGTCAGGATAATGTTTTTATCCACAAAGGCCTCTTTCATGGTTGATGACGATCGATGACGAGTTTCTTGATTTGGTGTTTGCTGGAGGTCCTTGAGATGTGGTTTGGCTTTCCTACATCGTGCGTCGGAGGATGATTTATATAGAGCGCTTCCAGTTCTAGCCCCCCAGAATCCAAATCCAATTATAAGCATGAGGTATTTTTCTGTCCGGTTGGGCGCAATGCAAGCAATCACAACGCTGATCATTGCCACCATGCTATCATCAGTTGAGATGTCAAAGGAGAAGATCTGTTCTCGGTGATCTCCGTACTTCACCCCGTGTCCAATCAGATCGGAGACTTTCCGAGGCTCACGGTTTCTAGCGTCGTACCGCGTACGGACCGAGAAATCAATCGTGAGGGTCTCGAGGGCTCCAAACTGTGTTGAAATTCTGTAACATCCATCCGTACGAAAGTAGGTGTACGTCCTGCCATGCTCCGGAACATGGCTCCTAGTAAGATCTGGCCTTCGGGGCCACTAAAAGTTGATCTAGTAGATACGATCAATTACGCACGAGGTTCATCTCTACCGATTTACAATGTAGAATATCTCTAGCCATCACAGAAGGGCCTTGAAACCTGCGTCTCTGCGATTCAAATCCAGGAAATCAGCCACCTGGCCGAGATGATCCACCCCCCAGAAACCTTCTGTCTTGCCATTAGCATCCGTGCACACAAACCACGGAAGACCAAAGGCTCCCTCCTTGAATGCCTGATCTGTGTTCGACATCAAAAGACCTTTGACATCCGGTTGGCCCATCTGTGAGAAAACACAGTTAGACTAAAGAAACCCCAAATCACGACGGGTGCAAGTAACTCACAGCTGAAAGAATCTCCTCCGTATCATGCTTGCCGAGGACATTCTCCAGAATCGGAAGAAAGCCCTCTGGTTCCGCAACTGTAGAATTTCTTTCAACCCAGAATGCACGATACAGAGCCTCAAGCGCAGCAGGCATCTTCGCAGGGGCCTTCAGGGAAGTGCGCACAGCGCCCGCTGGACAGCTAGCGTCCGAACCGGGAAACCGTCAGGCGGCCTATCTGCTATGGGCACGGAGAAGTAGGTAGCCCATCTCTCGCGCTCTTTGTTGATCCATTTGTCCTTGTCTGGAAGCTGTCAGTGAGAGCTGAAGAACAAGAAGTGTGAACGGACTCTTGATGTTGATAGGAGGCGAATTATCGCAGGCCTGCATCAGACCTCCTAGTAAGATCGGGACATAGGTGACGTCGACCTTGGCGAATGTCGGTGAATTCTGAAGGTCTGAATTAGACCAGTTCCTGGAGTAGTGCGGAGATATGCGCTTGCCTTCAACACGTGGAACGCGATGTATGCGAATGGACTGATCACGTCCACGTAGAGAGTGATCTTTGGATTTGGCATAGTGAGGGTTAGCTGGAAGACGTTTCTCACGCTGCAGACCAGGAGCTTCAAGAACCTGCATTTAGGCCGCGATTTACTGGTAGCTTCATCGCCGTCTTGTTTCCCCGCAAGATGAGTCAGCGTTGATAACAGCAGCCGAGGTTCGGTTATGGATGGGGTAACTTGGAGGGAATAACTTGGATTTTCGTAGAATCTCTTTGTTGGATCATTGCGGTCTAGCGGCAAGGGAGTTGTTTTGATTTCCATTCCAATAGTCTAAGCATATGGCGTCATCGTCATCCATGATTTAGCCTTAGGGCTGCATGAAACACGAGCTGACAAGGGACATGCACTTTTTTGCAGTGTAATTGGACTTTAGATACCCGAGAAATCTCCCTAGATTCAGACAAGAGTCTTTAATATGCTCTGAGTCTTTCTTACTTTCTCTCACTTCTTCAAATGCACACTTTCGTGTTCAATCCAAAGCCTAGGCTAATGTGGATTCCAGTAAAGTAAGCGTCGAATCTAACAAACGACATTTGTTCTAGGCCCTGCCTTTTTTTCTTGCAGCGCGCTCAAAACTTGAGATTTGACGAACCCGGTTCTCGTTTCATCGATTCTATACTTCCGCGCCTATGGCCCCGGAGAAGGCGAACCTCGAAATGGTTATCAGTCTTTAGGTTTTGGTTCTATCTGCTTCATATAACATCTATTTATCGTTTGATCACAATATACAGCACTTGCAAGCCGTTCAAAGAACGAGTTGCTCCATTTCACTCCTCAAAGGCCCTGAGAGCTGCAAGGCCAGCAACAGAGAACGTCGCAACACGATCATGGCCTTCGAAGTTGGTAATGTTAATATCAGAATGAGCAACATGACTCGGGGATGAAAATGTTCCAACTTACCTCCATAGCGGACGCGCTCCCAGCGCACTTTCTTCAAGGCCGTGCTCCCATCCTTTCCAGTAATCTTGTTCTCCCAGATCTTCACCTCACCAACGGGCTTACCAACATCAGCTCTCTCGTAGGTCAATGTTCCGGGAGCACCCTGCATGCCCTCGCCGGTAGCAGCTATCCAATTGCGACGTCCTTCATACCAAGGAATTTCAATATCATTTGACGAGTGTATGATAGTCAAATCAAGATCCTTATGAGAATGCTCCAGCTCGGAGCCATCCGGACTCGTACTATTGACACCAGTCAGACGCGCAAGTCGGGATCCGGTCTCCCAGCGGTCCACAATATGGCTCATTACCCATTTCTGGAAGCGGGGGTACCCAATCAACGGGGACAGCATCGGAGGCGTCAAGCCCTTGATACTGTAGGACTCGATGACATTTCGAACGTTACTGAAAGATGCTACCAGAATCACACCGGCAAATGGCTCTGGATTTTTGATGGCGGGCTGGATTGCGGTTGGATCGGGGGACCCAAAGGTGTACCGCTCGGCAACTGCCGCTGTGACCGCTGTGCCTAGGCTCTGGCCCATGATCACGATGCGAGATGTCGGAACCTTCAATGGACCGGCCGTCAGGAAGTTGATGAGCGAGACACCGTCTGTGATCAGGCCCTCTTCAGTGGGGCTGCCGGTCGATACACCGAAGCCGCGATAGTCAATCGCAAAAACATGCACGGGGTTGGACGGAGTGGACAGGCTTAACATAGCATTGTAAGTGGCTGGGCGCTGGGCAGAGCCGAGATGAGCCGCATTGCCATGGACTGGACCGACTGGTTAGATACTTAAGCAGGACTAAACATGACAGGTACTTACAGCTTACCACGACCCGAGCGTTGGGGTTATTGGCCAAACTCTTGTAGGCAACCGTCTTTGTGTAGTCCTTGGCAGGGCCATCAGGAGGGCTGTCAATTAATTCCTGCTCGTGTTCGCGACAGAGATGTAGGGGCATAAGGTGCCAGCCATACAAAGTCTCATTATCGGGCGTCACCAAGTGGAAAGGCTGAACTTGGGATTCTGGAGGCGTCAGTGGAAGTGAATGAAGAGACCTTACACGAACATACTCAGGAATCCGAATTGCTCGACTTGATTCACATCCTGCCAGAGACTGGGATTGACCTTGTTGGCGTAGAGTGCACTGCTCGCGGATTAGCTATAGCCGCGCTCAGGAGCAGGAATCCTTACAAACGCTGAACTTCAGGCCATGTCAAAGAGCAGACAAAGAGCACATAGACCAGCCCGCCAGCGGCGAGGACCCAGTAGGCTTTTTTGAAAATGGACTGCAGTTCAACCATTGCGTGTCAAGTCAACGGGGAAGCGCGGAGAAAAGGCGGCCGATAAGCTGCGACTTATCGCGTCACGCTTTTTCCCCCTTCCAACTCCCCGACTCCCGCGACCCACGATGATCACTTTGTGAACGCATCTGCACTGGAGTTGTTCGCAATGGCAGAAAAACGCAAACTCCCTCCACGCGCTGGTCGCGAGCCCGCGGCTAAGCGACGTGTCTCCGAAGCCGCTCCAAAGAAGAAGGCTCCGACTCCGCGTGTGCCATCGCCGCCGCCCGAGCCTGTTGAGGCACCGTTGCCATCGAAGCTCAGGGATGGTGAGCCATTGCCGGTTAGACGTGCCCGACAGCCAGACTCCTTATCCGACATGGAATATCAGTCTATTGCTGAAAGGTTTGATGGTCACTGAACCCGCGACAGGTCATCGAATGCTAACCATGTTTGACCATACAGCGCAGTCCTACTCGCATCACTTGAACGATCGAAGAAGAAATGGTTGAGCGACGGTATTCTGGTTCGATACTACACAAAGCCAAAAAAGACAAAGCGCGAGCAGATTGAGAGAAACAACCCGCCCAAGGATTCTATGGTAAAGGTCGGACTTTGCGACGTCACCGTGGGCCCTCATTATTTCGATGCCATGTTGTATACTGTCAAAGACCCAAATGCGCAACCGCAGCCGCTTCAATATGCACCACCGCGCCCAATGATGCATTACAATGGCCCGAATAATTTCCAGCGATACCCTCCATACCCATCTCCGAATCAACAACGTCCGCCCTATCCTGCAGCTCCGGCCGGCCGCCCTCCACAAGGATATCAAACTCCGCAACAACGTGCACCGAATGCGTCGTCTCCATCTGGTCAACGGCCACCTCAAGCTAGCCAGACTGGCCAGCCAGCCAAGCCAAGTCCCGACCCCGTTATCCAGATGCTTGCCACGAGGGCAGCGGCAGATCCCGAGCTGAAGGCACTGATGAGAGTAGTTGCCTCTAGTCAGGCCTCACAAGAACAACTCCGCGCTTTCCAAGCTCATATTGACGAGCTCAACGCAATCATCAAGGCCAGGGAACAGCAGCAGAACGCAGCCGGCCCATCCACACAAAAATCAGCTCCTCAGTCAGTAACGCCTGCACCTCAAGATAAGCCGACTCCGCCACAACCCGAGTCTCAACAAAAGCAAGGATTGGGGGCGAAAACATTACAAGAGCAGGAAGCCAAGCCACAGCCCGCGGCTCCGGTTGAAACACCAAAAGAGCTCGAGAAGCCAGCGTCATCAGATCCGAAAGCTGCCCTGGCAAAACCGTCATCTGGGGAAGCACCATCTGGTAGTCAGTCTCAAACACCAGCACAGACGCAATCTGTTGCTCTTTCACAGGACGCTGCGGCACCTATCAAGCAAGAATCGAACACCAATAACACCCAAGCCGCCCTCACGGTAGCGCAGCCAGCAGTACCAACTTCATTGGGGACTCCCGCTCCTGCCGGCTCTCCTGCTCAAACTGCAGCTGGCCCTGTTCAAACCCCGGGCACCTTTCAACAACCACCCCGGCCCGGACAGGCCTATACCCCCCCAACCACCGATACAGTCACGCCCTCCGCCGTATGGTTCCCCCACACCCTATTATCGTCCCCCCGGGCCTCATCAACCTCAAGCTCGAACTGGATACAAGTCCGTTGTCTTCGAATTCACCTCTCCTCTCACTCCGTACGGAAACGTAAATTCCGGTCATGCCGGTTCGGGAGATCGCTATTTGTTCCCGGAATATTCGATCTTGGAATGGATCCCCAGCGAAAATGTTATCCTAGCATCTTTTCTCATTGTGCGCAAGGTCGATCCCTCCAAACCATTCCCAATCGAACCTGAAGGCGAGCCGACCACCAGTCGAGCCAAAAGCAAGGCCTCCAAATCCAAGAAAGGCAAAGGCAAAGACGCGATCGAGCTTTCAACACCCAATCCAGCAAATCCCACAGATACTCCTCAGAAGATCGAACCTACAGACAAGACAGGCATAAATTCCAACCCGTCTGTTCCTGCCACCCCCGGCACTCCCGCTGAGCCCATCGTTAAGGAAGAAACCCTGAAGGAATACTGGCAGCCCGTAACATTTCGGATTCACGCCAGTAACCCCAGGATTCTGGAACCCCTCACTCGTGTTGTCAAGCCGGCCGAAGAAGTCCGCAAATACATGAACGAGATCATGGACCGTGCTGAGCGAGCCCCGGACGGCTTCCCAGCTTTCCGCCTACCCCGTGAAGATGCACGCGAAGCCTTCGAGTCAGAAGGCACACCGGCCTCCGGGACCAATGTGATCCGCAGTCGACCTTCCCGTGCTGCCATCAAGGCACCCGAGGAAGAGTCCGAAGCTGAGAATGTGCCTGACGTGGAAGAGGAAGAAGATTTGTTGGATTTCTACGGCGCACCGATGGGATTGCCACCGCTCAAAGCTCTGAGAGCGTAGTTTATTTTGCGACCAAAAAACTCCCCTAATCCAGCGATTTTCAATGAAAGAATTGACTTCAAATGACCCTAAACAAAACCCATGCCGCCCAATCGTGATTACATAGAACCATAACAAATGTTAAAAAAAAAAATCAAAAACATATCAAAAACTCGTCATGTCGTCGATGGCGGAGGATTCATACTCCGATGCTTTTCTCTTAAGAAATCGCAAATTTGTTCCGTATCCATCTGATCAATTTGCTCTGCATCTCTCGCATTCGCCTCTATCTCTTCGGGCGCTGCTCAATCCACATCAGCATCAACCTCCAAATCCGGGGCATATAAAACAAACCTGGCTCAACGGTTTCCTCAACACCTTTCACCAAAGACTGAACGCGATCCTGCGCGCTCTGCAACGACTCCTTAGCCATCGGGATCCCCTCAGCGACCGTCTCCTTCACGCCATTGACCGCGTCGCCAGCGACAGCGACGAGATTCCCCTTGAAATCCGTGACCGAAGATCTGGTCAGATCATCGAGTTGATTCTTCACGCCCGCGAAAGAACCCTGTGCAGAACCCTGCGAAGCTGTTTCGGCATTGGGTGGAGAATCCAAGCCAGTGTCGGAGGTCATGTTATAGAAGTATCCAGACCCACGGGCGAATAATGTACAGTTTTCCCGAGACTAGGGAATGCAAGTCAATGAAGGGAAGAAGGAAAAGGTGGAAAAACGGGACAAAGAACAAGAAATCAAGATCGTAGGGCTGACTTGACGTAGGGCTGAGGCGTGCTTCGGTACTTGCAGGGTAACTGTATGACATCGGGGGTGGAGTCTGCCCAATTATAGAATTATAGCTAGGCAGCAGCAAATCCATATCGTTTAGAGAGTTGGACTTGCCGCGGGCTTGTCGGGGGTTTCAGTGTTTTTCCTTTTCTTTTTCATGTCGATCGTGCCTGGCGATGACGTCGTGGACCCATCGGGTGCCTCGTTTCTGTTGTGACACTGTGGGGTGAGGGGCGTTGCAGATGAGGGTTTCCAGGGGTCGAAGCTCGCCATGGTCTTTCCTATCTCTAGCTTCATATATGTCCTATGGTAGTCCCTTGAAGCGACACAATAACGAGTCTAGCTCGATGGAAGACATCCGGGGATGAACGCACATCTGTGGGTCCTGTCGATTTGGTTCTACACGTGGTTACTTGCACAACAAATGTCGCAATCAGATCCCGCCTAGAAGATCAGAAGATGGATAATACTTTTAATCGGTCAAAGACATTTTCTCGATGCGTATAATATCGTCGTCTTAATGGAGAATAGTCAAGTAGCCGTCGTTTACCTGTGGCACTCCCTCATGCAGTCTTGCAATATACATCCAAGTCTTTGATGAAAGGCTCTTTCAATTTGAAATGCCCAATATAACAGGACAATTAGGCTATAGCCGCCTGGTTCAACCCATTTGTTCTGATCTTTTTGTCAAACTGAGAGTCAATTGAGGCCGAGATGTGAATGCCGAACAATTGCCGCTTCGGCCGGAAAACAGTTCTCGGGCCCGGCAACGTGGTATATCGCGGATAAGTTTCGCGAATACTCTTTATATTTTCTCGAACGATCGAGTCTTGCGCACTAAGCGCATGCCATGTGACAAAGCAAGCTTTGACAAATAAAATAAAATTCCTGGTGAGGAATTCTTCCCCTTCCACTACTCCGGAAAAGTGTAGATCCTCGCATCAAGCCGAGATCTTGCGATACTTCCCCCTACCTTTCTCGTGACAGTCTACCTGGATCCGAGATTTTGCATCCTCTCAGGATTATCTTCCCCGAAACACAGGTATGGACTGCCTATGAATCGACTCGCCACTCCTAGCAACATCCGCTAACACCTCAACAGTCGCTGCAACCAACTTCCATTCTCTGAATCTTGAAACTCGGGTCGAACAAGCAGGATGATCATCACTCGCGGCTTCTCATTGACCAATTTTGTGATTGCCAGCTCGGCATTATGCTTCCAGGTCTGCGTCCTGTACCCTTGGCATCACAAACTGGACGACGAGTTCAAACAATTGAAAGCCGAGCATCTCCGACTGCTGCAGGAAAGCGAGGAGAGCCGAATAAAGGAGTTGAGGGGGATTCGTGAGCATCTTGGCCTTTTAAAAGCTGAGAATAAGTAGGCATGGCGCATCGCACGGAGTCAGGGGAGTGATCAAGGTTTCAATCATGTCAGTGGCTCTTCTGTTCAGCTTAGAATCGGCTTGTGAGTGTTCATGGGCTTAGACAATAAATTCACTAAGATTTTGCACTTGACAAACGTCTAGCACAGTGTAGGTATGTACGGTATGGCACTAATTGCTATCTGACGTGCGTCGGGATAAATTGAGGGCCAAGAGGCTACCCTGCCTCGGAGGCAAGTAACTTCATTTGACTGCCCACCATGATATCCCAGAAGCATAGATGGTCTGATGTAACCTTGATCATTGCGCTTCCCTCTGATGATTCATTACTGTCACCACTGGGTGTTACGCCATCCATTTATACAAGGAATGATGCTACTCATGGCTACAACAAATGTCATGGATGATAGTTGATGGTACCAAATTGTGCTAAAAGACCAGACAATTGAGAGTGGGACTCATTAGGCTTGATACCGTCAGCCCATTATTTTTATTGCACATTTCAGGAAGAAGTTTAAGGCTCCATTCATCAATTAGCCATTTGATTCAGTAGCTAAGATGTTGAGACTCATTTAGTAGACTCATTTCGTCTCAAATCGAGGTCTTTAGACGACTCCAGACTTATCAATGGTGATCTTGGCCTTCGGGGTTCCACTGGAGGAACCAAGCGACTCAATTTTCTTGACGATATCGAAACCATCGACGACCTCGCCAAAGACGACATGCTTGCCATCGAGCCAAGAGGTGACAACGGTGGTGATGAAGAACTGAGAGCCGTTGCTATAGAAAGACGTTGCGTTAGTCAAGTCTCTTTAGGTTGTGGGTAGCACATCATGTCCACTTTGACATACGTGTTGCGACCAGCGTTGGCCATGGAGAGCAGACCAGGCTTGGTGTGCTTCAACTGGAAGTTCTCATCTTCGAACTTCTCTCCGTAGATAGACTTGCCACCAGTGCCCTACATAATGTGTTAGATTGCAAATTCACTAATCTCCAGACTCTGTATGTTGTCAAGCAACACTTACGTTGTGTTTGGTGAAGTCACCACCCTGAAGCATGAAGTCAGGGATGACACGGTGGAAGCCAGATCCCGCGTATCCAAATCCTTTCTCGCCAGTGCAAAGGGCACGGAAGTTCTGAGCCGTCTTGGGGACCACATCGTCGAACAGCTTGAAGGTGATGCGGCCAAGGGGTGCTATCCACGGGCAAGATTAGCCTTGAGACATTGAAATTGACGGCTATCGTCCAATTATCCGGGGAAAAGAACATACCCTGATCGGCAGAAACGTCGAAGTAAACGTTGCTCATTGTTCCAGATTTAGAAGTGTAAAGATTGGAAGTACAAGGAAGTGAAAGTGAAGCTGAAAGAAGGGGAATACTGAGGGGTCGAGTTAACTTCCCCGCGGTTCAGCTCGCTCACGTCATTCTTCCCAATCCGGCATGGATTGGCGTCAATTCATGCAGATTCACCGATCTTTGCCATTCGATTCATTTTCGACGGTGTCAGGAGCATCCGAAAGAGATGAAAACAGTAACTATGTAAATCTAGATGCATAGATGCAAGTCGTTGCCACATGGTCTAAATTCAATGCCTTGGAAAACAAAGCAGATTGTCATGTGCCGCTCTGATTCTTTGGCCGTATTCATCACATGGAGGACATGTTCCAATGATTTCAGGAAAACAAAATTGGCATTTAAATACATTTATCAACTCATACTTTGGCCCTCTTTCGTCTTCGAAGTTGTAGGGGCCCTAGGGAACAAGTCAAGACTGTGGGAACCTAGCAAATGCCTGGATATGGTCTCAGCAGCGCCACCTCAATTTGTGTAGCCCCGCTCCCTGCTTCAAATCTTTCCAGCGCAGATTGAGTAGGCTCCAACATCAACGAATAGGACCGCAAGGCACCGAGGCTTTTCAGAACGTAGCCGTAACATTTTCTTTACAGACCCCGAAAGTGGCGTCATTAACAGGAGATATGGTACCACTTCGTCGAAAATTATCAAATGTCTGTCTATATAGCCATGGAGCATTGCAATAAAACAACAATGGCTTAGTGATATTGATTTAAATGTACTGGGAGCTTCGTATTAGATCATGGCTTCCAAATCCGGCACACTGTGGCTCAATGGTGAACCAATACTACCGGTAGATCATTTCGCTTTTGTGGTCACACTTTAAAGTCCTGCTACATTGGCTGCACTAGCTCATAGGACGGCAACCTTTATTAAGTAGGCTGCTGAACATTTTGGCGCATCAATACATTGTCGAGGATTATTGTGTTCAATGCTCCTGAGAACGTTTTCTGCAGACGATGCGGCCCGGCAATCATTCATCGAGCTGGTGGAGTAAGCTGGATACCTTGGATCTCAAAACCTTTTGACTCCTTGGCATTTGCTGCTTCTATACGCCTATGCGGGACAACTTGGAGGGATTTAGGATCGATACTTCATGGATTGGACAATCGCCCGATTTGAGACCTGTCTCATTTCCGTTGTGACGGCAAAAAACCGCAAAAACATACAACAGCAGGGATTCGCTGGTGGTCACCCACCCAACTACTAACCTGCCGGCGTGTGGCTTAAGTACGGCTGAGCGGACGGGAAGCCCTGTTCTCCACACCCTATGGTCGTATGTATCCTGGTATACAAAAGCACTACCCAAGTCAGACGGACCATTGCAATTCTTTCAACCTTGATTGCCTTTCGTGGAGAAGCCATAGTAAAATTAAAGCCATAGTAAAATTAAAGCCATAGTAAAATTAAAGCCATAGTAAAATTAAAGCCATGGAAGAGCGTGTTGCCGAGAATTTTAAATAAGAAACAAAAGAAAAAGCCACAGATTAGATACTAGTCTTCCTTGAACAAGGCGTGTCAGTCACTGGTCTTGTGGTGTGGTAGCGGACAGCCAAAGCAATTGTAGCCTTCACCAGCCTCTTGCGTATGAAAGGCCTCAGTTGGCCGGTCGCTCTCGCCAAAGTCCTCCTCCGTTGGTTTGGTTGGGAGCTGCACCGTCGGGCTGCTCACGCCAGGCGCCAGCATTGTTCTGGTAAGGATTATCGGAGTTATCACGTTCGCGCCAGAAGCCTCCATCAGTGGGCTGTGCATTATTGACAGGGACCTGTTCCTTCCAAGAACCGTCATAGTTCGGGCCCTGGTATCCGGTGTTCAGCTGCCCATTCGGAAGCGGTTCACGCCACTGGCCAGTATTCTGGTTAAAATTTCCATCGTTGATTGGCCAATTGTTGACAGGAATTTGACCGATAGGAGAATTCTGTCCTTCCTGGCGTCCATTGCATACCACTCCGTCGACAGTGAGCTGGCAATTCTTTCCGTAGGACTCAGTCGGACAATATTGGAAGTCCATGCATTCACCGGTGGTAATAGCACAATACTTACCATTGAATACCTGGTTTTCGGGACACTTAGGTTTAACAATGGAGACACACTCCTGGCTAGACTTGTCATAGACGGTACCAGAAGCGCACTGGGGGGTATTACCAGCACTACATCTTTTGCCGTTGAATCTGAAGCCTTGCGGGCATTGCGGGTCGATGATGGAAATGCAACTCTCCCCTTCGAGATAAGTTCCCTCAGGGCAGCGAGGCTTACCACTGGAGCAGGCTTTGCCGTTGAAAGGCAAGTTTCCGCAATCAGGTTTGGCATCGAGATGCATTGACCATCCTTGAGGACGAAGCCTGGCTCGCAGCGCTCTTCGGTGACTCGAACACACCTCCCTCCTTTCCAGGAGAAAGCTTCGGGAAACTGGGGAGTTTCAACACTTTCGCAACGTCCGTTCGCAAAGACTTGGCCAGCAGCACAGCCAGGAGGTCCGTAGACACAGAGACCTTCCTGGAACTTGGCGTTGGGGGGACATTGGGGCGTGCCGTCGGTAAGACACTGTCCATCACCACTGAGAACTGATCCTGTAGGGCATCGTGGGATCACCTGAGACACGCATCTTGATCCGTCAAATGTGGCACCATCAGGCATTCAGGTTGGCTTCCGGTAATGCAGTCCTTTCCTTGATGGATACCCTCGTCACAATCGCCGCGACCGCTGATCACACAACGCTTGCCATCCCATTGAGCGGCCTCATCACAAGAAGGTGGCATATACGAGACACACTTGTTGCCTTCCATCCTGGTGTTCTCCGGACGAGAAGGTGGTCCTGGGAAGACACAATCAGCACCGATCAGAAGCATGTCCTTGGGACATTCTGGCTTCTTGACCATGGTATACTTGTCACTATCAAGATAGGAACCTGGTGGGCAGGCAGGTGGTTGGTGGTAGACACAGCGAGTGTCCTCCAGCTTGAAACCTTCAGGGCAACGGGGTTGACGGTTGGAATATTTCTCGCAGCGATTGTCTAACGCGGCGCTGCCATTGGGGCATTTGCCATTGACTGGCTTAGCGGAATATAGCGTCCCGTCCTAAGCTATGCCTGAGGGACAATAGCGGGAGGTTCCTTGCGCCTTATCTATCGATAGAGTTGTGCCTTGTGGGCACTCCAACAGGCTAACGTAAACATATTTCTTATTACCTAACTCAGTTCCTTGAGGACACTGGGGGGCTTTGAATGATAGCACAAGTCTAAGTCTTGGGATTGAAATCACCACCCTCAGGGCAGATCGGTCTTTCCTCAGAAATGCATTGCCTGTTCTGAAGAATCGTATTTTCTGGGCAGCTTGGAACTTGCTTAGAAATGCGTTGAGAGGCAGTGCTGTCAAAATTTGTGCCCTTGGGACAGGAAGGGATTTTTTTCGTCAACACGGAGGCCGTTTTCAAGAACAGCTCCATCAGGATACTTCGGTCCTTTCAGAGATGCACACGATTTCCCATTGAAATGTTCGCCATTAGGACAGATTGGTGGCTTTCAAGAGACACACACTTTGCCTTGCACATTGTAACTAGTCTCACAGATTGCAACCCCTTCCATAACACAGTGTGTGCCCTTTAGAATGGTGCCGGGGGCGCAGGTAAGGGGTTTTTTGGTAATGCAGAATCCGTTGCGAAAGTCATATCCGGCGTCACAGGTTGGCTTTGCGTGAAAGACACATTTCTCACCGTCGCGGACGCTACCTTCGGGGCAGAATTGGAACACTCAAAACGCAGCTTTGACCGTCAAACTCGGTGCCGGCAGAGCAGCACTTGACGCGTCCAGAAGTTTGATCCGTGGAGGGTAGTATATTCTTGAGTGTATACTTTCAAATAGCGGTCTGGCTATGAGTAGCATTCTAAGCCTAAACGAAAGAGATGGCGAGACATAAAGCTACTAGCCTCGGTAGCCTTACTATTATGGGAGATAGGGATGCAAAGGTAGCTAGCTATTGTATAACACAGAAGTCAATAATCTCGTTATTTAGGAGGGATAAACTAACCGTGGCTGGCTCAGCTTTGCATCTGCGGACCTGCCTTAGAGATCAGCAGGCGAATGAATGGCCATCGCTGGAGCTGTTGTTTCTGGCTTGGAGAAGACTCTAGGCAGAGTTGGGCCATCTAAGATATCTGATTAACTCATAAATACCTCTTCCCTGCCCAAGCTAAGTTGGATCTTCACACACATGCCATCATCATCTTTATTCATATGACCACTTCTTTTGTCCCTTCCTTCTACATCCATAACTCGAGCGTATTTCCATTTTCCGTGGTAAAGGTTTTGATTGGGTTCTACGGCGCTTGTGAACGTACTTGCAGCATGAGAGTAGTGAAGAGAAGTTTCAACAAGTCTGGGTATCATCTTCTTGTGCTCTGAATACGTAGATTGACTGTCCAACATCTCTTGATATTTTGAGAATTAATTGATATCCAAGATTGTGGTCAGGGCTATTCAAGTCTCCCATCACACACATATATGTTATGTTCTGTATAGCTTCTGACATCCAAATTATATGTATGGGAGATAACGATTCAGTCTCATTTGTGCTCAAATATCAAGCTGCGAGAGATGAGACTTCTCCTCTCAGATTCAATATCAGAACACCCGATGGACGCAAATTCGAAGCAATTGACATAGATAACTATGCGAGACCCCCCCAATGCCCACTGATGTCACCGATCTCCCCCCCCCCCCAAAACGCCAAAACGGGCACCGGAGAGCCCCACGTGCCCCGCCGCATCTCATCTCTTCAAAATCCTCCCATCCTCGGAAATTCACACTCTTTTCTGCCTCAGGAAAAGGAGAAACTTCCCTCACGATGGTGCCAATTCCAGTGACGATCGTCACAGGCTTCCTTGGCTCCGGCAAAACAACTCTCCTCCTAAACCTCATCCCGCAACTGCCCAAAACCTACAAACTTGCTCTCCTCAAAAACGAATACGGCGATGTCGCAGTCGACTCCCAACTCGCCTCAGAACAATCAATCTCCGGCGTCCGTGAACTCCTCAACGGCTGTATCTGCTGTAACCTAGTCGGCCAACTCAGCGATGCGCTCCAACAACTCCGCGACACCGTCAGCCCAGATCGCATCGTGATTGAGACCAGCGGGAGCGCATTCCCCGCTACTCTCGCGATGGAAGTGAACCGGCTGTCACGCGAAGGAGAAGGCGAATTTATTCTCGACGGAGTCATCAGTGTAATTGATGTTGAGAATTGGGACGGATATGAGGATACCTCGTACACGGCGAAGATTCAGGCGAAGTATACGGATTTGATCATTTTCAATAAATGGGAGTCGGTTCCGGAGGAGCGGTTTGATGTGTGTCTTGATCGGGTCGGCGATCTGGGAATTGAGACGCCGTGGGTTAAGTCAGATAAAGGGAGCGTGGATAAGGAGGTTTTGCTTGGGATTGATGGGGCACTATTTGCAAAGGAGGAGTATGAGCATGCACATGAGCATGAGCATGGAGATGGTGACCATGAGCATAAACACGACCATCAGTCGGAGGTGGAGGTTTTGAGTGTGGTGTTGAAGGGGAAGGGAGTTGATGTGGAGAAGCTCGAGGGACTTCTTGCGATGGCGCCCAGAGAGGAGGTTTATCGCATCAAGGGCATTTTCAGGGCGGATGCGCAGAAGCCGCCGGCTGAGACTTCGGATGATCTGCAGAAGAGGATCAAGGGAGATGGGCTGCAATACTACATTCTGAACGGGGCCTTTGGTCGTTGGACTTGCACGCCATCCAATGCCGTTGCCGAATCAGCGGATGAGAGTGTCGCGGCGCGTCTGACATTCATTCTGGCACGCTACGAGTCCACCAAGTGGAAGAAGAAGTTAGAAGCTGGAGGCCTATTGCAAACCACTGAAGTGGCCGAGGGGGAGTTGACGGTTGAGCGGTTGATGTGAAGTGTTCTGGCGTATAGAGCTGGCTCCACTGGGACTTTACAGACGGATCAGGGCAGACATATTTGATGAGACTATGCATTTACTGGATAGAAATAGATGAATAGAAAATACAAAGTGCATGATCACGACCCAAGAATCCAATTCTTCGATGGCATCCCAACGTCACAAAAGATGAACCAGGCGTTTAAATGTCTAGAGGGCTCGAAAGCAAAGATTGAAGTGCACGCAAGCTCTATTCTATTAGAACTCTATACACGCAAACAGTTTTGGGCAGTAAATGCAAAAAGCGCAGTATATTAACGTAACCGATCACTAGGTGAAGGTAGACGAATAGCCAAGATTGAACGCGTCTTCAAGAGAAAGAAGAACAAAAGAATGGATCAGTGAGAAGAACACACAGAACACAAATCAGTAAAATCACTAGTAGTTGAGGAGGGCCGAAGCACCAGTCTCGCTGGAGGTGTAGATCACCTCGTGATTGTCGGAGAATCCATTGAAGCGAGTGGCACTGCACTTGGTATAGGCGCCCATATCCTCGAAGTAAAGCCAGTCACCGATGTTCAGCAGGCCAGGCAGCTCGATGCGCTCGGAGATGACATCGATACCGTCGCAGGTAGGACCCCAAATCGAGTACGAGACGTTCTCCAAAGACGCAGAGTTGAAGCCCGGCTGGGAGTCGGCTGCGGAGAGTAGGACCTGCGCGACGGGGTGCTGGTGGTCGAAGATGATGTTCGAGAAATTACCGTACACGCCGTCATTGAGGTACAGCATGTATGCGTTTCGAGAGGGATCCAGCGGGTCGGGCACATCACGACGAGCGATGACGTTGGCGGCCAAAGTGAAGGCGCTGGCAACGTAGTAGCGGCCAGGCTCGGCAATGATGCGAACGCTAGGAGGGAAATAAGTCTCCAAAGCTTCACTCAGGTAGCCCGAGAACTTCTCAAAAGTCTCGTGGCAGAAGCCACCACCCACATCGAGAGTGTGCAGCTCGTGGCCGATCTCGCTGGCTTGGTCGAATACGAGACGAGCGTCTTGGACCGCCTTGAGGAAGGCGCGGGGATCTTCGGCACCCGATCCAACATGGAAGCTCACACCAACGACCTTGAGCTCGAGCTGATGAGCCAGCTCGAGAAGCTGAGGAGCCATGTCCATAGAAGCGCCAAACTTCATGCTTAGCCGACAAAGGCTGGTGGAGTCGTCGGTCAAGATACGAAGGTAGAGCTCCGCATCCGGAAAAGTGGCCTTGATCTTATACAGCTCATCGGCGTTGTCAAAAGTCATCTGCTTGACGCCAACCTGCTTGGCATAGCGTAGGTAAGACTTGGTCTTGCAAGGCTGAGCGTAGATAATACGGCTAGGATCAATGCCCGTCTGGAGAGCCATTTCGATCTCCGACTTGGAAGCACAGTCGAATCCGTTGCCAAGCTGGGCCATAAGACGGAGGACCTCAGGGTCCGGGTTACACTTGACAGCTGGAAGAGCCTTGTTAGTATATTTCTTTTGTCGGCGAGACGCATCAGAGCTCACCATAAAAGGGCTTCACACGGCCCAAGTTCATCTTCCATCGCATATGCTGGCGATACACCTCCCCCATATCCGCCACATAGAAAGCATCTTCCTCACCGGCCTCACACCGATCCACATCCACATCGGCAGCGCGCTTCTTCAACAGATCCATGACCAAGTTCTTGGCCGTCAACCGAGATTGCAGCAATTCGTCCCCACCATGATTATTGACCACAGCGAGCGGATCACGACTAATGTCGTTTTTGAGGTTGCATATTCCCACAGGGGATACACCCGCAGTCGGTGCCATAACCGTACAGCTGAGACTCAGCACGGTTTAAAAGATAGAAAGTTGTAAAAAAGGGTTGTACGCGACTGCGGCGTTAGGGAGGACGAAATACGTCGCAACCGAGGTTGACTGGACCAAGCCTCCTCGACCCTTCCTCCTTAAGAGGAAGAACCTTCAGAGAAGTCCTATGCGGCAGCTCAGAAGGTGAGGGAATAACGTGAGGGGGCGTCAACGGCTCCAAAAATGGCGCACCGGACGAGAAGTTAGGCGTGAACAGGAGGTGGAATGTTGTTAAGAGTGTCGCGCTGACGTCGAGTGGATACAATTTGGCTAAGAAGCGATTTCGAGGCTGCGGTAGCCGTGATGAGAGGTGCCTTTGGGGTAGCCAAAGGCTGAAAACAAGATAAAGTCTGACTGAGTAGGGTAGTCAGCAAGGTGCGTCTTTGGTATGAGAAAAAAAAAGGACGGCTGAGGTGGGTGCGGAGGGTGGGGGACGGGGCTCTGATTTTTAAAAAATGGGCCAAGTCGGAGTTAGGGCTCAACGGCGTGTGGTCAAGGGAAAAGACGCACGTAACACGTCGCCAATGCTATTCTTAGTGCACAAGGGGTATAAAAGGCACTCACCAAAGGCTGTCGAGGTTACCCACGAGGGAGGAAGAAGGAGAAGAGAAGAAATTTTGAAGTACTTGGAAAGTAACTAAGGGCATGACATACGCAGTGGGTTTTCCCGTCGCAGGGTGTCCTCCTCTTCCTATTCGGGCATTTTTCTCACGCCGCCTTTTCCTCCGCCTACCAGTCTAGAGAGAAAAACCTCATGAAAGCGGCACTACAGATCCACCACGAGGAAAATCTGGTACGAACGGAGTAACAGCCACCCAAATTTCGTAGTAGCCTAAGACACTTTTGCTACCTGATTACATAGCACTGCCATTCTATAGGCTTAGGATCCGAGAGGCCACAAAAAAAACTGGGAACCAGTCACCACTAGTACACGAAAGCCTAAAAGTATGAGCGATTTCTGTCGCGTCTAGACACATCAAGGCGGGAGATATGATAGATGCGGGAACAGCGCCCCTGCATATCGCCGCTGTGTTAGGATGATCCGTTTCAATTTCCGAAAATTGCGGTGTGACTGGCACCGCGAGCTGCTGAGGCTGGTGGTGGCGTTGGGGTCTCCACAATCATCAGTCAAAAGTCCTAACCCTAACCTAGAAAGCCTGTGGAAGTATAGAGGACGCTATTTTAACAAATGACCGTGCCATGCAGCCACGAAACCAAGTGTAGCGAGTGCCCTCTGCCGTAAGAAGTGGATCGTCAAAGAAGGCCCCGCGTTATCAGGGCTGGAACTATGACGTACGCGCACGGGCCAAGCATACGAGCCGGAGCACTTCCAAGTATAGATACCGATGCTCAGGGCACAAACCCAGAAATCTATGACACATCAGGGCTTCACCCCGAGCGACGGTAACAATATAACTCAATCTGATCGACTTCGCCGTGCTGAGTAGGCAATTGGACTTTGGTGTGCAGGGGTGCAAATGCCGCGGCCCGCATTAAGTCGAAAAATACCGCCTCGCTTTCATGTCGTCGCTTCAGAGCCACCAGAACCAGGGCCTCCGGGGAAGTCCGAACCAATCGGTCCAGCACTGAGACCAGCGTTGGCAGGCTATCCGCGTTGTAGGTGCAGTCTGAGACCAGGATTAGATCAATAGGCCGACTGCAGAGATTGGGCGGTGGCTCGTCCCAGTCGAGAGTCTGATAGTGAACGAGCGATGATGGTTGCGGCCGGGCTTCCTTAATATTGAGTGTCACGATCTCCTCGACCTCGGGGAGGTCGGTGAGGAGTACGTCACAGTGGTCAAGCATGGTTGCCAGCGCAATGCCGACGATGCCACATCCAGCCCCTAATTCAACGGCTTGGAGCGGCGAACCACGTGGGGTCTGCAGAAGCTGACTGAGGGCGGGCATGTCCTTGGATGTACCTTGGACCGTTTGATTGAGAATTATGATTGATGCAAGTGCTGCATCCCTAGGCAATCTTCTTAGATTGATTGATGGACGGGTTGAGAGAGGTAGCTCACCAGATGTGTCGCGCAATGCTATTGCCGGTCTCCTCCCAGATCTTCAGCGGCTGCTTGAGATCTGCAACATAAAGATCTCGCAGTATCAATTTTTCTGCTGGCTCTGACTGTGGTCCAAACGGTGCGCTGCATCCAGAAATCACCAATGGCGTGGAGCTGACTCCCAGTGTATCTTTTTGACTAGCTTGTAATTGAATGTTCAAAATCGATGTCTTCTGGGCCACATCATTGGATGAGAATGGCCCCAATAGGACCGGAAGCTGGCGTGTACCAGCCTCCCATTTCAAAGACTCTTTGTACAAAGCTGTATATGAGGGAAACTGCGCCCATGTTGCGATCAGGTCCACATCTTCGGCGAGGAAGTCGTCACCAAGATCGGTGGTGATGCAGATGAGAGCGGATATGAAGACCGCTTTCTTCTGCGGTTGAAGCCGAGGAGTTTTCAAAAACCGAACATAATAGACCATCTTCACAGCGCCAACAAAGCAGTCCGCTCGGCGATGGAAAAAAAAATAATAGAAACAAAATCTCCGTTTACCCCAGAGATCCACTCACGTGTTCGCTGACTAACGGGATGACATCGTCGCATGCCTCTCCACCTGCATTCCGAGACCTCGACCTTCCTGAGTTGCCAATGCAACGCGCCGATGAAGTGAATTTCGCCAATTCCGAAGCTCCGGCCCTTCGACGCGTTCCATCATGATGCGATCGCGCGATCCGCGGATCCGCCAGCGGATCAATCAGATCTCCCATAACCTCGAGTCCGCCAATGAATCCGCCCAGGAAGGCCTGTACACCTTTGCACAAAATTATCTTTCCCCGTGTCTCGCTTCAGTTGGAAATTGTGTCCAAGTCTGTACTGCGCCCTGTCTCCCGACCCGTGAGGACCACCTGAGACGCCGACGCCGTGGCCGTGCCGAGGACAACTTTGACTTCTATGATGATTGGGATAACGAGGAAGCTGACGAAACCTTACTGGGATGGGGTACTGGGGAGCTTGATCGACTGTTGGCTGGGAGTGGGCTAGCCAGGGGGAGCGCGGAACAGCCGCATCGGCCCAGGAGAATGAGTTATGGGACACGTCACACAAGAGGAAAGAGCGTACACATTCCAGACAATCGCTCCGACCCGACGGTTATACCGAGCTCTGCTTTTATCGGCTTTTTGGAACGTTTTCCCTGGAGGTTCGGCGCAAAGGGAGTCAAGTATCGGCCGTCGGCGGCAGACTTGCAGGAACACCCGGGCGGCTCACATCGCCATGCCCATGAGGATGAGCCATTAATGGAGACTTCAGAGGATGAAGGTGGTCTCATATCCTACGGACTGAATGGACGGAACCGCAGCGCAACTCAGTCATCTCGTGGTACAGACAATTCGTTGAGCTCCCGGGGCGATTTACTACCCAGTGATGACGAGGAAGATGCAGTTCCACTGGACGACGAATTCGCACTTGTATTTGGGCGCCGAGGAACAGGACTCGAGTCCGACGATCAGTCTGGGATGAAAGTAGACATGGTGAGGTCTGCCTCGGGCACATCCAGTCTGGGCGACGCATCATCTAGGAAGTCAAACCAAAAAATCAAGAAGAAGAAGCGGTTATCGACGCAATCATCGGTGAGTCCAGCTGAAGATGTGCACAGCCTCGACAAGCCATCAATAGCAGATCTGAAGATTGAAGAGGAGCGGGCTGCTCAAGAAGAAGATGCTGCGATCGAGAAGAAACGACTTGCTGCACGGGAGCTGGCTTGGAAGCGAGGACTCGATCAAACTAAAACAGACATGGTATGACCGAGCGTCAACTTCCACAGAGAACAGTACAGAGGACTAATGCGCTTGTACAGGCCGCCACGTCTCCGCATGCAAAGGACCAAACTACCGAGCTCTTCGTGAACGCTACTTTTTCACCCACCGACGAGATTCGCCCATTAAGCCGTGGCAGAAAGCCGAGCGAGTCGTCTGTCCGTCCACGTTCAATTGATCATACCGAACCCTTCCCTCCATTCCCCCTTTCGGTATCCTCGCTGCACCAAAGCTCTCCTGGATCTGCAGCATTGTCACCTAAATCTGGCCTTGTGAACATGGATCAAATACAGGGAAATGGTGATCAGGATATTGATGCGCCGCATTAATTTCAACGCTGGCTCAAAACTGTTCAGTGACCCCGTACTGGACATGTATGACATGACGAATTGCCTTTTCACTGTACCTTATACCCCTTTGACAATGATTGAATATACTGCCATCAATGCTCGAGTTGCGGCTTGCTGATACAGTAGTTTTCGAAATCAGTTATACCCTTATACCCCTACACTCTTACGACTTGATTCCCGGAAAATGAGTCCGAAATGCGCTAGCTCATTTTAGTTCACCGCTCTGTAATTCCGGCATAACTGTAATGGTAATGGCTCCACACCAGTTGATGAGGCATTGTTATAATACAGTAATCACGCATGGAATCACGGATAATCTTTCATGCGAACAGTCCCAATCCTTCTTCCCATTTCCCCTCATCCTTCTCCCTATACGCACAAACCGCTTCGCTGGTCGATCTACACATGTGATGCTCTTCACAATGGATCTGTCAGGATTTAGTGACATGTGGTAACTGTCTGCTTTGGATGTGTCGAAAATTGTCGACGCGAGAGTGCACCATAAAAGATGAATTTTGTCTTCTAGACTACCGCTTCATTTGGAGACGACCGGCTCTCCGCTTGCTTTCCATTTCAGTTACACACACACACGGCTACGGAAGGAGGACTATAGGGGAGGAGAACACATAGGGGTAGTTTGGAAGAGAAAATGTGTCTGTCTTGTTTATCCCACGCATAGAAAGTCTTATATATCACAGAAGCCTTAGTCATCCGATAGACCGCTCCTTCAATTACCGAATCCACTACAGCCTGACCGGGTTGGGGGACAATTTACAGTCTCCTGATCTGTTTTCGCGCTTTTGTGGCTTGCTCGTGTTTGGCTAAGGTCGCCGCTACTATGGTCGGTACCTTCGGTGATCCCTTGGCGTGGTTCGTCGTGGTTTTCTTCCTTTGTCTTGATTACCTGGCCATTGCTGGTTTCTACTGGTGGATACGTGATTATACCAGGCATGGAGACCGGATTTGAGCCCGACTAAAGTATACTGCATGTATTTCGACCCGTTAGTCTCCACCTTTGCGTGTAGATAACGAGGTTTGGAAGATACTTTAGATATAGTGGTGGACTTGACCGATCATAAGCCCCGGTATAATAATGCGATAATACGGTGATAAATGGACGACCAAATGTACAGAAATTCACATAGTCACATCGCCTTCGAAATAGACCTGAAAAAAAATGGCTTATATCAGTACCGCCACCCCATCCCATTATTCATCATGGTTACTGCTTCGTCTTTCATGGCGTTGTTCCATTGGGCCCAGAGGCCTTAGCGCACAGGATCAAAACAAATTCCGTCAGCAGAGAAAGAAAATGGAGTTATGGTAGGTTCATCATCTTCACTTTCAGAGACTTCAGCCACTGTTTCTTCTATACGAATGATACCGGGCGTATTTTCATGCCTGATGATTTTCCAATCGAAATGAAATGGACGCTCCGGTTTTTCAATCGCGTCTAAGCAACAGTGATGCTTCAGTGTGGAGAAGTGGGCGCAGTTTTGAAGACCATATGTGTTGAGCTTCAATTGCAACGACAAAGGAAGAGACAACTCCGAGGAGATGAGATCACGCGCAGCTCTCCCCCACTTATTGGGTCGGTTGCCAGTACGCGGGATCATCATAACGAGGAAGTCCAGCGTTGACTCATTGTTTGCTCTGGCTGCCAAGTGAAGGAGACTATTGCCAAAGGCGTCGATACAAAAAATATCCGCCTGTTGACCTCTGATTGTACGGTCTCTGGCGCTGGCTTCGAGAAGAATGTTCAAGGTTGTCAGAGAGGCAAAGGATGCAGCAAAAGCAACGGCAGCTCGGCCATGACGGTCGGCTTTAGCCAAATCCACACTCTGAAGCGAAGTGAGGTAGTTCACCAAGACATCGTTTCCAGAGACGACGGCACGGTGAAGTGCGGTCCATCCCATTGAATCACTTTGGTTGATAGCGCAAGGTGTCGGCAAATATGCAACTAATACCTTCATAATTCGCGTATAACCCTTTGCTGCTGCTAGGTGAAGAGGAGTTTGACCAAAACTTGCCCTGGCTGTCGGGGACGCACCATAAGACAACAAAATCTCAGTTGCGCGGTGTTCACCTTCTTGGGCTGAGTAATGAAGAGGTGTCATAGCATTCTTATCCGGAACAGCTAGGAGATTGGGGCTTTTCTTTAGAGCGAGCTCGAAGACGTCCATCATTCCAACGATAATTGCCCAATGAAGAATATTTCTCCCACTATCGTCCGAGAATTGATCAATACTGTCTAAGCGGTAAAGCATAGAGAAAACAAGATCTGTCCAACCTTGGCGGGTAGCGTTGATTAGAGGGTTTTCGCCTTGAATCCGCGCAGTTTCAATGCTGACCCCAGGCTTACTCAAAAGAGTGCGAGTCATTTGCTCCTTTCCCCAATGTATAGCGAGAGTCAATGGGGTACGTCCAAGCTCATCCTGGGGGTTCAATTCCAAATCTTCGTGAGTCATCAACATCTCCAGCAATATGTCAGCATAGAAACAATCGTGTATAATAACGGCATGGAGAGGCGTCATTCCCCGTCGATCACTCGCGTTAATGTCAATATCGGGCCATAATAGAGCTTCCTGAATCATGCCCAAATGGTCCTCTGCGAATTTCTCTGCGCGTTCCGCTGAACTATACAATTCTCCCCCACCTTCCCCATCAGGTTCCTCGTTAGATTCAGCCTCCCAAATACGTTGAGGCTGAAAGTTTTCTCTGATTGCACGAAGAAACAATGTTTGTCCATATGCATCTCGCCCATTGATGTCAATCCCGAGGCCGACAAGTGACTCGAAATGCTCGTTAGTAAAATCGTAGTAATGGAGGATGTGGCACCCTTCGTGTAGTGCATTAATGTCATGACCATCACCAACCAGGTTTTTCATGAGACCAGAAAGCTCGTATCCCGTTGCCAAAAATAGCGGAGGTATGGCGGTTGCAAGGTCTTTAGTTAAAAAACACAATGCCTGATAATTTTGCTGTCTGTTCAGCACTCGCTTAAAGGCGTGATAAAATTGCAAATCATCCGAATCATGGATATGTGATTTCCAGAACTCTGAGGCATAGGTGAGAAATGGGTGTCGTCTCAAAAACTCATCCTTTTGATCGGACTCTCTTGCCCCAAATTTTCTGATTGTGTCAATGTCTTTTAACCAAGAATCTTCGAACCCCATATCCACATGCAGTCTCGGCCAAGCTGGATGTCCACCTGATTCATATCAAGGTGGAACTTGTTATTTTCCTTTCCTTGGTTGAAGTTCACCTGGCGTGCGTCTAGCAGGAAGGCTTTGAAAGAATGGTGGACGAGCGTGATATTTCCTTGACCGTCAACTCGAATCAAGTGTGGACATACACGCCTGAGAAATCCTCTAAGCGATAATTTGATGTTCATATCTCTTGCACAGGGAGGTTTTTCCACCAGAGCTAGTGCAACTGACATTTCACTGACGTTGAGTGGACGTCGAGCCGCCACAATCCACTGAAGAACATGGAAAAGCTCTATATGTAGCCTTTGGTCGACGGAGCAGAGCAAGCGGTGATAAAGGCTGTCCATTCCGGGTGGTAGGTGCTGTAGCTTATGCAGCCTCTGATGAAGGAGATCCTTCGTCCAAGAACCAACGCCATCTTTGAAATGAGCCCAGGCGAGAGAAGCCCACAAGAAAGACCCTTCAGCACGAACCATAATCTCCTTCGAAATAGTCTCTGTTATATTCTTTTCAAAAGAATTTTCCAATGCGTATTCGTGGACAACATCACGAAGAAACAGAGCACGATCCTCTTGATTTTCAGTAGAATCATCAAGGTCGAGGTGCATGATATCCCAGGATAAGAGGATACTCTCCAATTCCGGCTCCGTCCGGCTTGTAAAGAACACCTTGACATTCTGTAATTCTGGTCTGATTGCTCGTCGGATTCCTTGGAGAAATGGCTCCCACTCTGATTTTTTTAGCTCATCCAGTGCGTCAATCACAATATATAGAGGACGGGTGCCCACGGCGTCTAAAAGTAGCGAAAAAACTCTCCAAAGTTCCCAAATTGACTCAAAAAGCTCCGGATGAATTTCCAGATATTTTTCTTTCAACTTCGTTACTAAAGGAGGGTCCTCAAAAAGCAGCTGGTGAATTAACGAAGCAAGTAAGGTCGTGGGAGACTTAGCCCGCTCGTCATCGTCAGAACAAAAGAAATAGCATATCAACGTCCTCTCTGTTTCCTGCTTATCCAGACAGTTGAAATTGTCCTGGAGGCTTTCAAGCGTGTATCTAGCCAGTACTGATTTCCCTTGGCCTGGAAAACCATGAAGCCAGAAAAAGTTATGGGTGACACTGTCTCTCCATTGGACAAAACCTTGACTGTCAGCAAGCCAAGAGCAGGTATTTTGGTGGCGTCTGGTTACTCGAAATAGAAAGTCCTGGTAATCTAATAGGCGAAACTTGTGCAAATATTGATATTGCTCAGTTGAGATCATGGTACCTACAAAATTGCGACAAGTATCGTCAGCCCATAGCGCTTACTTCTGAACGTTCATTTCAAATAATTAGAAATGCAAAACAAGACCTTACGTACGTGACATTTGACCATTCTTCTTCTCAATGTCGCGAACGTAGCCTTTAATCACCGCAGAGATCTCCCGAGAGCCAATAAGCACCATGTCCATGTGATTCGCGTCGATTGTCTCCGTTGTTTCAAAGGCGTAGCCTAACTTGGAGGAAAAATCGTCCACTACCTATATTCGAATTTAGTACCGTACATAATATAAATATAGTAGAAAACCACACCTTCCCGCTAAAACCTTTGATACCTGAGAAACCACGGCTCTCTTGAAATGAGTGAACAGAGATGCCGGTACCGTGCAGTATTCGAAGGAAATCTTCTTGGACTAAGTCCAGAATTTGGGAATCGATCTGAAGCTCAGAAAGAAGCCGATCGTTAGAGCTCTGCAGGGCTATAGTTACGATGTTCGTAACTAGGTGACCCCAAGCAGCAGCACTCGCTCCCCTATGAGGTGTTCCGCAAAAGACAATTGCATGTACGCGAGACAAAAGGCTTTTATACTTGTTGTCAAGATTCACATTGCATCGTTGAATTGCCTTTTGGTTCCGAGTTAGCCTAAAACGAAGCGAAGCAAGAAGAGAACTAGACTCACAGTTTTCACAATGATTCCTCCGAGACTATGGGCAACGAATACTATAGGAAGCTTTGTTCAATCGACAGGCATTAGCAACTATACGTAGAGGCAGTATGCTTCATAACACCGTGGTGTATGCGAATTAGAACGACAGAGATATTAGCTTATTTCTTACATCATTCTCAAGTGAACGCTCCAATTTCACCATCAAGTCATTTCCGTGGTGTAGAATGCTGTTGCGATTATTCGAGCAAAACACGCCCTCTATCACATCGGCATTATAGCCGTAAGTAAATATGTTTGCCGGGGCACAACTTTTGGGAGCTCATCTGCGGGCCAGAAAACAGAATTTGGTCCGAGGCCTTCACCGTGGGTGGACTCTAGTCGGCTTTTTCTATCTCCTTGGCCATCTGCTTGTGACTCTGATGAAGATGCCAGAACCCGATGCAACCATAAAGCTTTGGAAGGGTTCGGATTCTCCTTGTTGGACGGTTGTTTCGCAGTCGTTTGTTTGTATTCCCAGGTTTGGCGAGGATGACCCCGAAGCCCATGGACAAATACGATGCTTTCAATTCGTTAATATGTTTTCAAGGCTTGACGAGGTCACCAAAATACTCACTTGACAATTGGATTTCTGCTGTTGGTTCCATTGTCTTCTCCGTTGGGAAAGACCTGTGATAGTCCTTCACGGTTGATTATCATCCTTTGGTCCTATGAGCTGCGCGCTTCTATAGGAAAGTGTCACCTGTTGTACCACGCTGGTATCTGAAAGCTCTGGAAAATCCATCTCAGGGGAAATCCAGATGAGGGGGGCCAAAAGTCCGTTCATGGTCACATGATGGATAGTGCTAAAACTGCAGGGGTCCTGACCGATGCGTCGCTACTGAAGATATTGAGTGGACTACTTATCGCCTCGACAAGATGTTTAGATCAAAAGTGAAGGATTAACTTGAAAGATCTTTCTCAATGATTTCACATTGCAAATGTAGCATGGTAATAGAATTCCAATGATTCTTATGGTGATCGGTGACTACCGAGAATTGTTGTTGCATCATATGGCCCCCACGCGAAGCAGCTAAGAAACAAGGCCGAATTACAGATAGTCCGAGAGAACTCATTGATTGTTACCCCACAGGTGCGCTGCCAAGCCTGACCGGGGTGATTGCACTTTGGACAGGGTTGGTGTCTAGTGGGAACCCTCAATCTTGGATCGATGTACCAGCTTTTAGGCGTTGGAGAGCATGATATTATTGAAATGCAAAGGGGCGTGGAACTGAAACGCCAAGTCAGTAGCTGATCAGACTGGTCGCTGCTCACGCTAATTAGGCGATGTCAAAGCGGCCCTATGATTTAGCCGGATCCAGATCGTCCTAGTAATAGTGGTCAATATGGGGGCCATAATCCTACCATCCTATGGCACCATGGTCCAGCTAAGCGGCCCCTGCTCGTGGTGAAGCCTAACGCTAATGCAACACGGATGCAAGGTAAGCGTTACTAACAAACAAGTCAGGTCTGTGCCTCTTCTTTGATCGACATGTTAGCTTTATGAGCCCTGCTGCTTCGATCGTTTCTTAAATCGAATTTAGTGGATTCGCCCGAGCCACTTTACTTTCCGGATTTGATATGTATGATAAAGATGAGTTAAAATCAATGAATCCGCTGTGTTTCATGTATGATGCAGATACAGCCTCTCGCTAAAGCACAGAGTGTCACATTGGTCTCGCAAATTAGGAGCGGCGCGTACATGTGTTAGCGCTCGGTCCACAACAGTGCGCTGATTGTGGATATCTCCAAGAATGGCCGTTACTGCGGCCAATCGACAACATGTGTTGAGTTCCCGCGCTCTTGTGGCTTCTATCTGCAATTCCGTAATATCATGCTCTCTATCATGACTGGGTATGCGCTTTTCATAGTAGAGCTCTTCGGGTGATAAATGCCCATTGGCGAGAAGTTGAGCCACCTCCGTCGCACTTTTTATTTTTCTTGCAAACCAACAGGCCGTGGGAATCGGGAAATTCACTACATTGAGCCGCAAGTCGATCAAGGTATTCGCGCCTTGTAAACAAATCATTATTCACATCTTGAAGGCAAAAACAAAACCTGGCCAATGAAGGTGGTGATATAGGTTTCCACTTACGAGGCAGCGTGATCTACTGACTTGGAGCGGCCAAGAAGCATTCTCCGCCGTTTCAGCTTTCATCATGACCGACTGGCCGGTGTTTCCTCTGGGGCAAAGCGTATCGCTTGCTTTTGAGGTGCGCGATTTTATGTATACCTATCCAATATTTGCTTACACGCGTGCGCCTCCATGGAATATGCGTTTTTTTTGATGGGTTCTTATCAAACACTAAATCGTAGTGCGTGTCCTGATTTCAAGTATAAAGACCTGCCCGTCCTTCGGGGAATTCAATGAAATTGTCGACTTATCCCCCCTGCAATGCACAAAAACGAGCAAAACTCCTCAAATTTTTGTTCATTCTCGCGCTACGGTACGTTGGCTATACACTTCATTCTCAAGGCTATACTCACGATCTAGGAACTCTTCTTTCTTGGACTTATTGCCACAATTGGAAAGGCTTCTCTACAAAAAAGAGTCGAATTGTCTAAGTCGTTGTCAGAATTACATCCTGAAGTTGTTCCAGCTTTCAATAGATAGCCAGATGTCTAGGCCCTTTCAAACTTTGCTCAACTGGCGCAAAATGTCAAAAATGCCTCGACCAAATTTACAGGCACTGCCGCCAAAGGCAGCCGCCTTGTCCCGTTAAAGACCAAGGACGAGCAATTCCAATTCCGTATCGACGCGGGCCATTACGATGACAAAACAAAACGTCTCAATGTGAACTTGCAAGTCAATTCTCAAGCCAAGAGCCCCGCATTGAAAGAGTTTGTTAGAAAAAAATACAACCCACGAAAAAGTTGCGACCGCGGCCTTTTGACACCACGGCCGAGGACAAAACCGCGGAATATAATCGGGTGGTGAACGAGTTAGCACAAAAGAGCAGGCAGAAGCTGGGTTAATGCTTTATAAGCCGTCGATTTTGTCATATATTGTATGATTCGCAGTTTTGAAAAACGTTATCAACACGAAAGGGGTGGGATAATCTATATGAGTTCTGTCATCCATAATTCTCGTCTCATTGCTGTACGTTCTGTCTATATGCTGTCACGGGAGAAGAATGGTAACTACTCGCTAGTGAATATATCCTGTACTTATCCTTACCCAACAGCAAGAGCGGTAGGTTGCCATCGGGAACGGATAGTCGTGAGAGGAAACACACCGTGCTCCTAGTGGGTGGCTGTCTGCTAATGTAGAGCCATGTGGGGAGTGGTTTGGAATGACTAACGCTGGCACGCTAAACCTGAAGCGGACAAAAGCATCTTAAGAAAGGTTAACTACTGAAGTGGGAAGCGCACGATGGCTGTCTGACGTGTTGATAACGACGATTTGTGCACAAAAGCCTACGAAATTTGTACTCAATTTCTTACTCCGAGGCTCGCTCGCCCTCTATTGATAAATAAGGGCCTATTTCGACCTTTTAGGTACTGCTACAGAACTTAGAAAGATAGCGCAGTTGCTTTTCGGCATAAGCTTATTAAGACCTCAAAAGACTGGGAGACACTCGGATTTTCTGACTCGTGTCCATTTCTATTGCCAGTCCCAGAAGATGCAGATTTGTATCAGAAGGTATATAGGCGTTTTGAAGCGGCCCAGAACTTAAAGCGTGATTTGTCAAACTTGCTTAACAGTGCATCTGATGGATAAGTTCCTCCAGAGAACTAGGAAGCGGCAAAAGCAGAAAACAAGGCAATATTTAAGGGAATGTTAAAAGCCGTATTAGAAAACAAAGACCCAGACGATAATGAACTAATTAGAACTGAAGGAGACCTACGAGATATCTGGCCTTTTGACTTGCCAGAGGACGATTACTGCTGACTTTGAAAAGATTGAGATTTCGTGCTAATAAAGAACTGTATTTATTGGGTTCAAGGGAGCGTAGGCAATGGAGACAGTAAGGTCCCTGGTACATTACCAATATGCCGGAGCTTGAAGCGGTTGCACGGGGCCTAATGATTTGGCTTATTTGGGATAGTATAAAATAGTAGAGAAGGACGTAAGATGTGTCGTGATCCCCTTATAACTATGTTTTATATCAAGCAAGAGGTAAGAGGTGTCATGATGAGCTCTAGTTGTAACACTTATATTCCAAACTTATAAGCCATGAGCGCTTTGTGAAAAGCTCCTAATACAGATTTCCAGCCTCAGGAGTCTCGAGTCGAATGGCGAGAGATTTAAAAGAAGAAGTAAAAATAGTGATAGTTGTTCTAGACCCTCTAGTTCCCCTGGAAAAATCCCATTGGGTTCCATTCTATGTAAACAAAACTGAGGTAATTTGCCATGCGCCGGAAAGTGGCTCGATATTTGCGCTAGATCTGTAGAAGATAGCTAGCTATCTGAGGCTAAGTGTCCGAGTTGAGTCAGCATCAAGCGTCAAGCATGAAAGTACTGTATTGTAAGGAACGCTGACTGCATGGATTTTATCGAGGTGGCTTTTTGGGCTGCTCACCCCAACGCTCAGGTTCTGCTCAGTGAGCGAATCAGGGCGCTCAGCTGAGTATCAGGTGATGCTCCCTGAGCAGATCAGACCGCTCCTCAGAGGCGTGCTCGGATCTGCTCAGTGATCAAAAAGCGGCAATGTCTGAGCACTAATACGGAAGAGGAACGCCAAGATTTGGCAGAGGAAATCGGGTACGTAGGAATCTATATGACGACCGAATTCCCGTGGCGATACAAGATGCCATGGGAGTCTGTTCTCTCTACCAGGCGAGGAATGAAACCACCCAAGCGATGATTCACCAGATTATCACGCAAAAAGTACGCTCCCTTTTGACCAACTACAAACAGCCTGATCTCTCCGCACTTGACCAGCTGGCGTCGGTCCAATCGTTGGCGCTTTTTCAGATAATTTGCCTCTTTGATGGAGACATTCGCATGCGGGCCGATGCAGAGCCAATTGAGCCAACATTTTCGAACTGGATTGCACAACTGAGGCTCCGGGTCCATGACCTCGATACTGACTGCGAGAGTTTATGCCCGAATTTCTGACAGAACACATGGACAATGGCAGTCGTGGATATTTGCGGAGAGTGTCCGGCGAACCGTCATCATCGGATTTACCATACAAGGACTTTATTGTTTCCTCAAGAATGGATGGGACAATTCCCATCGCCAATTTGAGAGTTTGTCATTCTTCGCACAGAAGGCGCTTTGGGCTGCTCACTCTGAATATCAATGGCGCTCAGCTCTCGGTACGCATTCACCACTTCCAGTCCGTTTCTCCAAGTGGGATACAGACATTACCGCCGCGAGCCCACTAGAGACTGACGATCTGGCCATGTTGATGATGGTTTTGATCAGAGGTGGTGATCACTGTTCTTTTTGGGTGGGAAATGAGAATTGGACAAGCTCATGGGTTTTGAATAATTAAGTGCCAGGTCTCTGTACAACTGTTAGGTGAATCTCCTCCTGGAATTTTATTACATGTTATGTTCCCTTGAGGAGGCTTCCAATATATGTACATATTGAAATGGGAACGGCTCGATGGCTGTCTGGCGATGCAGACCGGACAACACACACACACACACACTGCCTGTCTGGTGTAGAGGATGCTGGATAAGGCCGTACTGATGCCCTATTGCGGCCGTGCGGGATAATCTTAATGCTGCATCATGGATAGAAGAAATTGGGTGAATCCTGAATGAATTAGGTAGATAACTTGTCTCCCTCTAAGTGTGTCTGGAGATATACTATGCACTACAGATATTAAATTATGCCTGAGGCCACACATAGGCTTATTATGTCACTAATTCTCCCACTACATACCACCCCTCCCTATAAAATCAACTGTCCCGTGGTTAAGCGCAGTTAATTTAGAATACCTAAGCCACTTTAACAAAAGTAAAGAAAGATAGGACTATAATACCTATTCCCTATCGCCGCGGACATTATATCTCTTCCTTGTTATTATTATCCTCCGGAGGTACAACTTCTGGATCAGGGGGACTAATATATAGCCCTAATACCTTACGGTGGAAGAAAGAATCTTTCCCGAATGCTAGCTTCTCCGCCTTAATTATATCTCTAAATAATTAGGCGTATATTTGCTGCGCCTTCCTCCTCTATAAGATAATATAGGCGGTCGCTACTACTTTATCCGGTCCGAAGAGGATATCTAACTTAGCTAATATACTAGGGTCTGTCCAGCGGCTACGACTAACTAAGTATTCAGAGATTAAACCTTCCCCGCGGAATTGTGGCGCCACAGGGAATATATACTGCAGACGGCTATATATATTGCTCGTAAGCCCTAATAGAGTTCTTGGAGCTTACGTGAGGTCTCGGTGTGCCGCAGACACTTCTTCCTACGTACCGGACTCTAGAGTATCCAGAGTTAAGTGGTTATCTCTGATACGCACAAACCATAATAAAATGCTTCTCTGCCTCTTAGTTACGGGGCCCGTCGACCTATAGGGGATACTAGGCAAACTAATTCGGATATTACTAGCTATACAGATCTCCTTTACCTAGTTAGTGCTATATCGCTTAGTATCTTCTGGGGTCTAAAGGTGATTATTAATCTTCTGCACGAAGCCATCCGTAGTGTTCGTCCTATCCCGCACGAGAGCCCACTACTTCTGAATATAGCGATATATGCTAGGCAGAATCTTAGTATAGTTCTGTTTATCTTTATTATCTAATACTAGACTGCCCTATAGGATTACGCTACCTCGTCCAGTCTGCACTAGGTTATTCAGATTTATATTAATATGCCTAAAATAAGTCTGTTCCTTAGGTATAGTACTCTTTGCGTAGTACGGGAAGGAGATCAGTCGGTAAGCGTGGTCTGGCCGGAAGAAAATATAGTATATATAGTACGCTAGATCCTGACGGACAAGCTATTAAATAATGCCGTGCTATATATTCCTTAACCACCTAAGGCGAGGCTTACCCACATAAGGTAGATAGTGGTAGTTATATATATCTATCTCCTTATATGCGAGGGTAAGAAGGCCACCTAGGTGATGCCTATCGAAGTCCTCCTTTAACCAGCCGAACAACTGCGGAATAACCACACTCCCTCGCTCTTATATTTATAACTTTAACGTAATAGGCATAGGCGTCGTGGGGTCGGGAGTAGGAGATACCCTACGATAAAGGCTTTCGAAGGATAACTAGGTTGCCCTGCGATAGTCGGCGATAATAGGAGGATTAGCCTAATACTTAAAGTGATAGAAATCTGACTGTAACTTATCGGTATCTAATAGAAACCACGTCCGGTTCTCCTTTATTATAGTGTCTTAGTCCTTAGTATATCGGTAAATGAAATTAATTCGCACCGTTAGTGCCGCGTGGTCCTTACTAATACTACGTATATCGAATAATTTAAACACTCTCTTTGTATAAGGCAGACAGATTATATCCTTAGTAAAGGTCGAATCTAGTTCCGGAAGAGACAGCTTTCTAATACGCCTAAGTACTACTAACTTTTGTCTGTTCGTAGCGTCCGCAGGAAGGGCCAAAGTCTTATTTATAGCTACTCTTTAGGCGGTATAACTGTATTTAGCAGTCTCCTTTCTCTCCTGCGAGGGGTTATGTTCCTTATCACTTTCTAATAGGTAGTCGTTAGGAAGTGACTGGGCCATAGAAAGATCAGAGACCACACTAGATAAGTCGCTAATAGATATCGGGTCGGCCGTATATTCCTTATCTGACTCTTTAAGCTATATCGCTATATCCTATATATTATTGGGTATAACACTCTTAGGATCACGGTTATCTATCGCTTTAGTATTAGTATCGGCCTTATCCTCTATCTTAACCGTAGTAATAGAAATAAACTATCCTAAAAGAGCAATCTAGCCTCCTAGTTCGATAGCGGGTAGATCCTGGCCGAAGCCTACTTCGTAGCAGTACCTATCCTAGTCTAGTTACAGTTCACACTAAATAAGATCCTCTTATCTAAGGGCTAAGGTACACTTCCGGAGGAGGGCCTTTAAAAGATCCCCTTAAATAACTTCTTTAGTGTTTCGGATACCTCTGCCCGGCGATAATAAGCGAGAGAGAACTTCATTATTAATAGAGAGGCGAACGTGATCGTAGCTAAGGCTAATAATAATAAACCTACTCGCTAGCTCTATCATCGAACGAGTAGTTAAGTAACCAAAAAAGGTATTCGCTTACTGTTCTCCCTATACTTCGATAGCTTTTAGCTTATTCGCAATAAGATACTGCTTATTCTAGGCGCGTCGTGCTTATATCCTCTGGCCTTTAGACTACCTTCTCTAGAACTCCTTATGCTCTTCCGAGCCTCTCTATAGTTCTTCCTTATTAACGTACTGGTACAGTAAATTAATAGCACGCTCCGTATAACTATAGTTTATAAGTAGCCTATCGAATAGTTAAGATATAAGCTCGTACGCCTAAAGCTGCTTATAGCTTCGAAGAAGCTAGAGGGTATTCTCGATACTATTAATGGGCTATCTATGCACCTTAATATCTCTCAGGAGGTTATCGTTATCTATATCGATCAGAATTCGTATGCGAAGGTATACGAGGGTGTGGTGGTAGGTTAGAAAGAGAGATTTTGCAAAGTAAGATTTTCAAAGTGAAGTTTTTAAAGTGAAGTTTGGGGCTTTCAGTATTTCATATTCTAATGCTTCATAGGGGATTTGCTATATAGTCTTTTTAAACTAGCAATAAAATTGTAATAAACAAAGGAAAATCGTAGTAATAAGCGTTTAATCGGTAATAACTAATAGTAATAAGTATCCTTCCCCTCCTTATTATAATAGGAGAGCCGTCCCTTAGCGATATAAATAAGTGTAAGGTATAAGGTGTTTTGGTGCCTTAGGCGAAGGATCTTTTCGGCCGAAAAAGTATCTCGCAGTATCGGTGGAATGATCGTTTAAATAGCGGGATAAAAGAGTTATTATGCTGCTCTTAGTCGACTAATTAGTCTTCGCTTCCGAAGGTGGCCAGTCTATATAATATCCTGTATCCTATCAGAATCTCCTATTCTACGAGGGTAGAATCTTTTGAGTCTGTCGCCGTTAATTGTATTTATATTCTTATCTCTGATGTGGCATAGGATGGTGCCGTTAAGTTCCCTAATAGAGTAGGATCTATTTCCTTTAATAGACTTAATCTAGTATAGTCTAAGCTATCGAAAGCGGAGCTTCTGAATAGATATTATATCTGAAGACCTTTAACTATTATATAGTAAGATATAGTTATCTTTCTTAAGGGGGAGTGTCATGAGTGCGATAGTGGTCGTCAAAGTATCCTATATTATTCTCCTTAAGGCGGTTCATTCGCAGGATAGCTTCCTTAATATCCTTCTCTTGTCTTTCGATCTATCGTACGCGTATTATAATAAGACTCGGTCTGTCCTAAACAGTCTCCTATAGCAGTATACTCTATATAGGTATCTCTAGTTTAACCGGTAAGACTATATATACCTTAAATAGGAAATAGTATAGGCTAATTCCGGTAGTAGTATTCACAGTCACTCAGTCTGCTATTAATATAGTATAGAAATGAGGTCTCTATCAGTTTATCTGGGTGGAAGTGTCTCCTATTAGATATCCGCCGGTTATCTTAGAGAGTGCGTCCTTTAATGTTCTTATAGAACGCTTAATAGGGCTATTTGAGCCAGGATAATATACTAAAATAGTGACCTTCTTAATACCGCGGTCTTTAAGGAATTTCAGTGTCTTACTATGGTTTTTAGGTCTATCATCTATAATAATCTCTCTTAGATACCTATAGCGGCAGATAATATCTTCGTAGATAAAACTCTGGATTGCTTCAGAATCTGCGCTAGTGAGGACTCATGCTTCTACCTAGCCGCTAACTAACTCTCGCCCTTAGACGACAGATTTAAAGCTATCCTTATCTAGTATACGGGTAGTATTAATAAACCACTTATTAAATAGCCTTAGGTTCTTCGGGGTGATAGCGGGCTCGTGTATCTGTGTTAGGTCTCGTGCTTAGTATTCGATATAGGTTCTGATAAATACGGCGGTGTCTTCAAATATTCGTGGCTAATAGTATCGGTGCTTTAATAATACGTAAGTGGCTTCTCGACCTTTATAGGATAAATCTGTGTGTGCGCCATATAGTGCATTCTGTTAGTCTTCCTTATTATCGAGAACACATCGTAAGATCTCTGTTCTTCCCTTCTATCGATAGAAGAGGTGGCCATCTTAGTAAACGAACTTCATATAGCGTTTCTTGAAGTGGTAGAATTAACTACGAGACATTTCCGGCGGTCTTCTTAGTGTAATTAGGTACCGCGCGATGTCTTATGATTCGGTCGAATAACCCTCTCTAAGAGGTAGGACTATAGCGTTAGCGGTAGGGTTATTATCCTCGTCCTCGTCCTTATCCTCGTCTATTATGATAGTGGCACGCGCTAGGAAACAGCTC